CTTTATTGACCGACATCTTACAAAATCCAGTGCTTAATTAATAGAGCAGGTATGCTAAGATCGAATGAGTTACGTTTCTATGCACGAGGAAGATGCGTGCAATCTTGACTGAATAAAAGAGAATGTCCCGGATGAAACGCAACATACTGGCAGTCTATCTCAATTTACAATACCTCGAAAACATTACTTAGCAATATATTACGTTTACAAAGAATATTACTAAGAAAAATAAAGCTCCTGGATGTTGTAACCACTAGTAATGGCATACATCCTCGATATCACTCAAACATGGTCAGGACTTCTCAGGTTGTCCAACTATAAACTCCGAGTTCTTATTACGTGTTAATTTCCGATTACGTTACTAAAACACTAACCTACGTTGACGGTCGGCGCTTGTTTATTCTGTACACCGAAGTTTCACATTTATAGTCTATTACAAATTACTTAGAGGGCTTGCTTGGATCTCAACATATACATGTTACCAGGCTTGCTTGTTTTCAAGTAAACAACGATCAAATTTAGGCATGGCGGAAGATTTTCCAATTATTACTTTATCATCAGTACATGCATGATTAATTCGGACTTGGAAAATGCATTCGAACAGGTTCACCGAATCAACATCCAGTGCCACCGCTTTACAGAACAATACTATCTTACAGTACGAGTAAGTATTACGAGAATATATTTCATGTAATCGTGCTGTTTAGTCATACTATTCCCTTATGACGAGATTGACTTCTTCAACGCCAAAGAGTCGGGAGGTTTAGAGTATTATCGATTATTCTTTTTACCGCAAACATCGGCATTTCTCCTCAGGCAATCTAGTCAATACCCCTCCAAAATATACTATGCAAAATGACCTGATGGATAAGTTTCAAACGATGAATGGTTCCAACAATAAAGAAGAGACAATAGAGACTATTCGCGGCACATTCCTTCGGTTTACGGGACCCGCAGTTGAATACGGCACATATGTCAAAATATATATCCACCAATTGCCCTATGCCGCTTATGTATTCAACCTGACGTAGCTCTTATTATGGTCCGGACGTGTATTTGGGGTGACATAATCCTACCAAAAATCCGGGCTGGTAAATGTTAGCCAGACTAGCGGTCGGAACTTAAGGGTTTCTAAATAAACTCTATTGAACTCGCTCACACGCATTCACTATGGTAAAAAACATGCGATTGAGTTGACAGATTTTACTCGGAAGCTGATTGAGCGTGACGTCATTATTTAATCTTCCGCGTTTGGTCACACCGAAATTCCCTATCTTTGTCCCTTTCGCCGTATTTTATTTTTATTTAAAGAACCAATACCGCATACTTCTTGAAACCTGCGTGCCATCATTACTCCTCCCGCAAACTGTTTGCTTCACGCTATACTCTTCGTCAGGGTACCATATTGCTCTCGAAAAGTGGATCAATGGACTCTTTCAGAACAGTGGTACATAGGATTGCAGGCCAACACATCCGCGAACATCCTCACAGCGAAGAATGCTCAGAATATAGCTAAGAAGAAGAATACTTCAGATATTATGAATAATCGCCACCAAGAGGCCGTATTGCAGCTTGCAGTCAAACAATACATCCCCCTTGATCGACCCCATCCCATTCCCAACAATGCAGTGACCATAATCGGGGTACATGGAAATGGTTCACCCAAGGTAAGATTACTTTGACGTGAAATTATGATTACTTAATTAACCGTCTAAAAGGAACTTTTTGAGCCTTTTTGGGAGCATTTATACGCTCATTTACAGGCGCAAGGTGTATCACTCCGTGCGATATGGATTGCGGATGCATCCAACCAAGGCGCTAGCGGTGTTCTGAATGAACATATTCAAGGGGATACAAGTCTGTGAACCCAGTATTTTTCGCCTGATATAGATAGAAGAGTCCTAACTACCGCAAAGCTCCCTGGTACGATCACTCTAGAGACCTTTTACACATGGTTAATCACTTTCGAAAAGATATGCCACGCCCAATTATTGGCATTGCACATAGTATGGGATGCAACCAGCTGTTCGTAGCGCTGAGCTTTCCCCGTTGTTATACGTTCCCTGGTATTATTTGTGGCTAATGTTCTTTCTAGAATTCACCTCTCTATTCTCCACCCGCGTCTACTATCAACGCTAATTCTGTATGAGCCGATTATTTTCTCCAAGAGTTGGGGACCTATAAACCCTGCCAGATTTGTCTCTCAGCGAAGAGATCTATGGGATACAAGAGAACAAGCCGAGACCGCGCTCCGAAAAACCTTTCGCAAGTGGGATCCGCGAGTGGTGGACCGTTTACTCAAATTTGGGGTTCGATCTACCCCAACTAAGCTGTACAATTCGGACACCGATCCTAACTTATTAAAATCAGCCGTGACATTAACAACAACCAGACACCAGGAATCTTGGTCCTACACAATCCCAAATCTCGAACCCGAAGCAGATAGATTAGACCGGCTGATTTTACCAGACTGGGATCCGCACACGGAGAGACCATTCATCTGTGGGAGGCCAGAGATTTGGTCTTCGATGCGGAATCTGCCCTTCATTCGTCCGAGTGTACTCTGGGTTTTTGGAGGCAGTAGTTATGCTTCATCGCTAGAAGAACAAGACGCTAGGATGAAAGCCACCGGGGTAGGGCCCGGAGGAAATGGAGGTGTTGCAAAAGGGATGGTCGAGAAAGTGGTCTTTGAGAACGCCTCGCATACCCTGGTTTTTGAGCAGATTGATGACAGCTCTGAAGTTGCAGCGGAGTGGATCGGGCGTTGGTTCCAAGCCTGGCTAGCGGATGAAAATGCGTTATCTCAATATCAGAGTAAAAGGTCTGAGGCGGGCATGACGAAAGCATCAGTCGCAAGTATTAAAGCTACGTTGATCAAGACTGGGACTAAGAGATTGATGGCTAAATTGTAGACAGAATCTTCTTTCAAGCCCAAGAACGAAGGTTATGATCATTGAAGTGGATAATTATAGGCGTTCTTAATTCAATTGCATCATTTTCTCGTCGGAATGACTATTTATACAGCTCACCAAACAAAATACAAAAAGACGTACAAGGTCAAGTAGCCTTGTACTAGATTTAATTAAGCTCGCAATATGCTTCCGTTCTATAGGCTAACAAAGATAATGCAAAGTGTGGAACGACTCGCACCAGTGTTTCAAGTATCAATATACAATATTATAAGTGCGGGATAGATGATGGCGATCTTTGAGCTTCAACCGGTTAGTACTGTCGTGGCCTTTAGCCATTCGAGATCTTAGGTTACTCTCATAACGCGGCCATAATTAGTTCCTAATGAAGGCGGCTGACGATTGTCCGCAGCTTGCTGTATCTCGGCGAGAAGTCACGAAAATACTGGCTAAACTGAAATTTAAAATCTGGTTAGAAAATTCATGTCATTCATGTTTTGTTGCGAGTTTGATTGGCGGAGCGTTTACTGTTGTCGATCCTGAATGGCCATTGCTTGCTATGATAAAGGTCTTCTATTATAAATATACGCTTGAGGAGAGGTATGAATTGACAGCTCTCACAAAATAGTTGCGGCAAACATGATTCAATATGTTGAAGCAGTGAGACATAGGTAGGTCGTAGGTCTTGTATGGAGGTAGCGGGGGTGTTGAATGGGGAAGTTGAAGAGGCCGAGAGACTTCAGAAGAGCAGATCGGTCGAGAATGTTGCGGTTCTGGTTCAGGTATTGTAGTGGACTGTTCGAAAGCAGTATCGACGTTCATGGTTGAAGATTTCATAAAAGCATGATGCCGGCGCTAATTAAAAAGGCCGTCGTTGAAGTGATTGGGTAACAGTGCCTGAGTAGGTAACAATATAGGGCATTCCAAAAATAGGCTTCAAATTGGGACAACTTATCTACCATATGCATTCTGACAAAGGAAATTGTTGCATCGCGTCCTGGAATTATTTTGTAGTTGGTAGTGAGCGGGAAGGGATTCTCGAAGCGACACGATAAAAATGTGCGGGTGGTGTAACGAACTAGGTCGTTCCCATTGTTATTGATGCCCTGAGCGGATGGCATCCACTTAGGCATCCACGCCTGCAACTGTATCTAGCTTATGTCTCAGCTTCCTGTTCTACTTTCTCCTCAAGCTACTACGTTCGTCGAACCACTACTGCTTCCTTTATCCGATATAGCTACGTCGTATCCTGATCTCTGTGGGTATCTGAGCATCCTCACAGGTGGAATGGGACATGGATATGGTATCGAGACACCACATCCACCATGTAGCGCTCTGGTAGAGAGCAGGACAAATTGCGAGGATGTAACGTATATATTAAAACTATTCCTCCTTCCGAATGAAGATATCTAAGCCAGCAATCGAAATGGAGCTAGCCTGCTCTTCTAGATCCGACCAATCGTGGCGATTTGCCTATATCAACCGCTTCTCCCCACTACAGTAGCTACAAAGACTTGGTTGATGGTTGTAACATAGGCAAACGGTACACCGACCCGCCAACACCTGAAGGAGGTTTGCAATATAACTCATTTTTGAGCCAGCCGTTGAGTGGTGGTATCGAAATGTGCTTGTCTATGATACGAGAGATCTCCCGCAGCCACGGTTGAATGATGATCAGGATCTGGTAGACATGTTGTTGCAATGTGGGTGGCTCGGTCGGCGGAGCGGGGTTGGCGGCTTTGAGGAGCGATAAGGGCCGAAGATGGGCTGAGAGGCTTGGGTATCCAGCCCGCCCTGACATCCGGATGCTGCGAACTCATTTCTCAAGCTGATCGATCGACATATGACAGACGCATGGATGTATGGACGGACTTCATTTTCCCCGACCCCTCGTGAAGTTGGTTAGAAACCTCACCAACCAGGTTATATACACATTGAGAAGATGAAGTTGATTGGAAATCAACTTGATCCCTGCGCTATCACGCATTGTGTCTCTAAGTCTCGGAGGCTTCGATTCTCCATGGACTTCGTGAATAGGAAAGATATATTACCAGGGGAATCTTCATAATACTGAGATACAATTTAACCAAATCATCTCTCGGGGATAAGATATTCCTGCATTTTTTCACGAAAGGAAGACATTGCATGACGCCAAAGTGCAGGGCCCACACTTATTCTAGCGACTCCAATCTCAGCCAGTTCGCGAATTGACAACCCCCCAGTATTGAGTCGAGCAATGACATTTAAGCGGCCATCAAATGCAGTAGAAATTCGTTCGACCTCGCCCCTTGCCAAACCACGCTGTAATCCACCCCATACGAGAGCCGTTGTTGCGCCTTCGTGTAGATACGATCTGCCACGGTTAATAGCGTCGTCGATATCATTATTCAGCAGTATTGCATCAGTACGAGCGTTCACAACAAAACTAGGGACGCCGGCAACTGATGCAGCGTGACAGACACGCTGAATGCGTTCAGTAGCGATCTCCTTCGAAAGTAACCCACCAGTACTGTTGTCACGATCTTCAATATTGCAACCCGACGCGCCGAGCTCAATAATCCTTGTGACGACTGACTCTAGATCGTCACCATATCCGTCCTGGATGTCTACTGTGATTGGTTTTCCATGTTCCAAAGCAACAGGTATAATGTGTTTCAACGCCTCAATATTTGTTTCGAGATCAAGATCGTCGTCATCCAAACCCCTGACCGCTGCAATGGCAAAGCTAGCAGTGGCGAGAGCTTTGGTAGCTGGGTTCTGGGCAACAATTTCCGCGGTGGGAGCATCAAAAACGTTCGCGAATATGACGGGAGTTCCTGGACAATGTAAACTGCGTAATATTCTCGCTCGATCTTCGGCCTGATTGCGCCATTCAGTCGATTTCATTGCTTTATCAGAACCACAGTCAATTTAGCAGGTTTCAAGCATAATAGAAGTATGGAAACTTACTAAATATTTCGATATCACAAAGAACCAGTACTTTCTTTCTGCAAACCAAATGGTTCAAAATAAAAATGCCAAATGGAACGAAAGTGTTGTGAAAGTAGACCAGGATATTTCAGTAAAAAAATACTATTGCCCATTCTTGATTTCTACTAATTTTGTTTTCAATTCCGCAATTGCACTCGTATGAATATCTGTAAGGGCTATCATTTTTTTTGGCTGTTCGTGATTTATCTTACTAATAGAATTTGTCATTTTAGCGGCGTATACACATGATTTTCATTAAAGTTCCGGATCGGCAGTTTCTTAATAAGAGAGTTGAGTGAATTGCGACCAATGTGACCAATCAGCCCACGTAAAGATTGGGCCCGCCTCCGAAATACAACTTCCCGACGATTGATTTTGAGTTCCACTTTTCAGCACGATCGTAAAATAGAAAGGAGTCGGAAATTACACGACTCAAATAAATTGAGTCTCGTTTTCCGACACTATTACATAATGTAAAGATTATCAGCTGAAAAATTTAGACAAACTTCTCTCCATTAAAATCGGCAGGTTTCATTGTGGAAACTATGTGAGAAGAGGAAATCAAGACGATTTAAATCTTGAAGACTTTCCCTTGAAACACCAGGTGGCATAGAATAATTCTCTTCTGTTGACTAGGACAAAAATGAAATCCAATTCATATTTCCCCCTAACTATTACAATAAGTATCGGATGTGTTAACTGCAAATATACCATAAACCAGATTCGGTCTTCACCAATGTCTACTTAAATCGCAACTATGAGACATGGAGATTCTCCAACTATGGTAGCAAAATTCTCAGTCTAGTGAGTTAAAAAGGATTCAGTCGAATTTGCTTCTAGCCCTAAGAGTAAAACAAACGCAATAACAAGCAGATCTAGTCAACTTTGCGATGAACCAAATGGTGCCGATCAGTATAAGAAATGCTTGCTGACTTACTCAACTTCAGTTTGACCGAGGAAAAAAAAAGCATCATTCAAATGCAGTATCAAGTGAGGCTAGAAGCATGGAGACCATCGGCGATTCGGTCTCGTCCGCCAGTCACAGGATAGGATGCAGTAATTTTGACAAATTTTCGCTCGCGTCAACATTATGCGGAAAGCAAAGCTGCAATACGTTAGGTGGTGCAATTACGTATGTCGGCCGAGAGGGAAAGATGAAAATTGTTTGTCTCAAATGACCCACGTAGAGCCCATATCGGCGAATAAATGGGCCTGTACAACGCTGTTTGATGCTAGGGCACTTTAGTAAGCTCTTCGAACCCACCCAAAAGTTTTATTGATCAAACCACCTCCGTCCTGTCTTATTATACCTTTTATCCCGATAATTTGTTCTTGCCTATCTCAGAATGCGACTTGAATATACGCCCCTTGAACCTTACTTCGAGAAATATGAAGAAAAACAAATCCTTGATCGCGTACTCCAGCGTCGAGGCGGCGCGCTGATCCCTCTCGACCGAACCTTGCTATATGCACCACTCATTACCGATGGTTTTAACTCTTTTATGATTGCTCTGCGAACAAAAAATTCTCTGCCGCCAGATGTAAGAGAAATTGTATTCTGTCGAGTTACCGCATTGACTTTATGTTGGTACGAATGGAATATTCATGCGCCTATTGCCCTATCAACAGGAGTTAGCCAGGAAGGTCTTGAAGATGTGCGCAATCTTCATTTGACCGGGGCAAAAGGGCTCAACGATTGTCAACTGTCTGTTGTTAAATATACCGACGCTATCACGACCGCCGGGAAGGTTCCTGACGCCGTTTTCGAATTGACTCGGGCGTTTTTCAGTGAAAAGGAAATGGTAGAATTGACAGCAAGTATTGCTGGATTCAATACTGTGGCACGTTTCTGTGTGGCGCTCGAAGTTGGAGAGTAACAATGAGAATTAAAAAAGTGCTGTATATGATCTTGCTGGTGGGGATTATGGAAATTTTAATTACTCGATAATAGAAAATATCTTTTAAATATTCCCTTCGCAGCTGGAAAGTCTCTGTTTGCATCTTAACACGTAAAATAAAACATATTTGACCATCAGTTGTCTTGATTTATTCAATAATTAAAGCGCAAACAATCGATAACGCCGGTTTGACTAGATGCTATCGTTGCAATCTCTGATGCAGTTTCATGATCAAACTTCCGAGTTTACGACGTGTTAATTTCTCGAAAATCATTAATTCCTTTATGGCACATTAGATCATGCTCGGGCCATTTGATAGGCTATTTGATACGCTCAATAAACATGAGAGGTCATCGCCCTTGATCATTTTCCTCCTCACCTCTGCCTAAGTAGTTGATGAGAATAAACATTCAAATAAATAAAAGAACCTAGTTTTGACAACAAAATATTTCAACAACATATGCCAGAAGAGAAGGAAATGATCTCGAGCGATCAAGAAACTTGAGACTATCAGCGGCACGATTCATTCTGAAAATTCATTCTGAAACAAGATCAATTGATGATATATACGCACAGTACAACATATAGTACTTATTCGTGTTCTATCAGTTTTCAAGTGTGTAGTCAATTCGTAGAACCATACGTCTTTTCAGTACACCTCCATCTAAGCCACCCCATTCAGAGAACTATCACCGATTTCCATACCTCTCCGTGAAGACATTCGATGGAGCTGACATTATAATGTTCACACACACGAACGCACAACACCGGGCTGTTCTCTCCTGTTTCCGCTTCCAAAAGATGCTTGCTTTCAGAGGCTTCCAAGACGATGAGCCTGGAGAAGCTGGTGGAGCTATAAACGATCCACGCGAACACATTGGCGGTGGGGAAACCAGAAGCTTGCTAGATATCGAAATCGAACTAGGGAGAAATACCGAAAGAGAAACAGAGAGAGAGATAGAGAGAGCGGAGGTCACCGTCCGCCCTCTCTCGAGCGTTTCAATCTACTTACTTATGGTAGGATGCCATTGTTAAGCTGGCGCAGCGTGGGAGTTATTTGTAGATATGGGGTCTAACTTTAGAAGACTATATTGCATTCCGTGGGAACATTAATCAAGAACAAAATCGTGCACCTTATGACTCGGCAGGTGAGTTATGGATTTAATTTACTGTGTTGAATCTAGACAGAGCTCCTGACTTGATTTGGTCACAACTTCAAACAAAGCACAAGCAGCTGAATATGTAGCAGTTGGATCCTTTCAGGTCGTTCTAATTTAAATGACAGCTAGACATCGACCTTACGCTCACACAGTAGCCAAACGAAATACAATCAATTTTGCGCCGTGTAAATTAGCCACTCATGTTCAACAGAAATTTGATGTGTTTCGTACCACTGCCTATAGAAGCCCAATCTATAATTTTTGTTTTTTATTTACTTCACAGAAATTGTATCAATTATCAAAAATCAGTCCAAGTCCTCTTGTGGCGAACAAATAGGATAGCCTGTGCTCAAAGCAGCTGCCGGCCAATAATCACACTATTGTGAAGTGAGAGTCTGCTATGTCATTTTTTGAGATTGGGAAAGGCTCCCAGTGAGATATTAGCTCCACTGGCGAGATTGACCCATCCCCAAGTGGAGATATCTGCGATCGATAGGTGGTCTCCAACTAAATATCCAGACACGGATGTTGCTAAATGTTTGTCCGACATCCCATAAAGTCGTTTTGTTTCATTTAAATAATGAGCAATGGCATATTCATTGTGCCCCGGAGCTGCATGTATGGAGTGACTTGCTTGTCCTTGCATTGGGCCAATTCCAGTGTTCTGGAAAAACAACCAGTTGTTGACTTCATACCACTCAGAGGAGCCGCGTGGGTATGATATCCTATATTCTGGATCGTATCTCTCGGCAAGATACTGCAGGATGCTCCTCGATTCAAAAATCTTGATTGCTGTGCCATCTTCAAGTTTGTCTGCAATGGCAGGTATTCTATCGTTTGGGTTGATTTCAAGATACCACAGTGAGAAATGTCGATTTTTTGAACTTTATATGGAAATCTAATGATTTATCAGAACCTCTTTATTATGTCCAAGAAATTCATTATTTTACCCTAGCTCAGCCAAAGCAATTGTAATTTTGATACCGTTGGGTGTTTACGCTGTGTAAAGTGTGATCGTTGAGTCTATCGCTGGATTCATCTTCGGAAAAGGGAAATAGAATTCAATCAAGCGAAATTATGTTGCGAAATTATGTTGCTTCGAAGATTCACAACTGAAGACTATAATACAAATTATTTCTATTACGGCGGGCTCATTCCTGTATTAATGTTTAGAAAATCATTGAATCTGAAAGTATTTATGTAGGCAGTAAGTCGCGAGATGTCAAAGTGAGGTAAGAGTTGTAACCTCCTTGCGCCCAATGCCAATTGTTCACGAAAAGCGATTCAAATAAATAGAGTTTTCTTACTGAGTTGAAAATGACTACGTAAGTGGTCATTCAACTGTCATTACAACGCACAGATATAATGCTAGTCCGTAACAGGTTCGTACGTCCATTTTGGGTTTGCTCAAAAGTTTAGTATCATTCGAGCCCTGAAGCGAAATTGACAAGTCATGTCGGGCCCGCAAGCGAGACGGCCAGAGGAGACGGCCAGAAGCTGTTACCAATCTCTTGTGCCCATTGAATTATTACTCACCTGCAACTAAAATCGACTTGGTCGCTTCAGGAAAGTATGTTCCGGATGTGTTACATATATTATAAGATGTGCGTGTTGAGCTTCGTCCCTGAAGGGAGAACCAGTAACGACATACATAAAACATGAAAGCAAAGCTATAAATAAAATCTCCGAAACATGATATTACGACAAAGACTTTTGCGGTTATTATTTAGCCATAGACCTGCTAAGACAAGATTACAAAATCGCCGACCGTCAAATCCGCTATTAAAATAGACCACTGCCTGATTCGGAAAAGAGTGAATTACCATCCGTCGCTACCCCTGCTTAACAAATTTTGGGATATGTATTTATCAATTGCTTAATAAGAGTGACGTGGCCACAATTGAAGTTAATGAATGTACGTTCGATCATGTCAGAAATTAGTCATTGCATGATTTGGCAAAGCTCGCCCGATTTTCCACTCGCCTCACCTAATCATGTATTTGGCACGTGTCAAGAGATTTAATATAAGTTTCTTCGCAATTCCTCGTTACTTTTTGGCGTCTTTGAAATCAAGTCATATGACAATAAAGTATATTTGTGTCTTGTGTTTTAATCATGGCTCAACTAATTGATTTTTATTCCCACAGTGAGGCACTCGTCTCCATGTGACATCCCACACTGATCAATTAATAGAACAGGGCCCAAACCCCTGGAAGACAGTGCTAGTCTTCGAAGAGCTCAACATTCCATACAAGGCAATTTACCTTGATTTTGGTAATGCCAAAGGCGGTGTTGAGCACAGCGACTTTCTTCGCAAGAATCCGGCGGGGCGCGTACCGCTCATTGTTGATCCTGCCAATGGTGAGAAACTACTCAATTAGACCTCAAGATAGAATATAGCAACTTGCAGATCTGATCAATGATATACCAGGCTTCTCATTGACCGAGTCAAACGCAATCGACCAATACTTGGCGGCTCGTTATGATACGAAAAATATTTTCGAGGTTGAAAATGAGTTGGATCAGTATCGTGTCAACCAATGGCTAGGCTTTCAGTCTAGTACCCAAGCTCCGTTTGGCGCCCAGGCAAGTACCTAAATAAGGTCGAGGTATAAGGATTCTACTAATCCTCAGTAGGCCATTCAGCTTCGAAATAAGAAGAATCTTGAAGGCGCGGCCCATTTCCATGAATTAGTGAAACGTACATTGCGAACACTGGACAAGGAACTGAGTGACAAGGCTTATCTTGTGGGCAACAAAATCACTCTGGCAGACTTGGCTTTCGTTCCGTGGGATTTGATTCTAGACGTTGTCCTGGAAGGGGACAAAGAAGCTGCTACCGCCAATGACAGAAAGATTCTTTTCCCTCACTGGTATGACTGGCACTCGAGAATGTTGGAGAGACCGGCTGTACAGAGGATGATCGCAACGCAGAAAGAGATCAAAGGCAATTAGGCTACTGATTATCAATTCATCTTTACTTTCCAATGAGTTTAAATGCGGCCCATCTTTTCAGGGGGGTCATGACGAAAAAACTAACGTCGTAAAACAGCGTAAGTTTAGTTTTCCGTATCTGGAATTCTCGGAAGCTGAAGTTTCTTCGAGAATCCATTATTAGAAACTTCGCTAGATTTACGTACGATAGTAACATGACGAAGCAGATTTCTCTGGTCAAAATAGGCATACCTGTCTATAAAAAATTTGTTTCCCATAGACGACAGCTATCAGTCTTCGGGCAAATCTCGTAAGCAATGTACCACACCAATCCAGACAAAGTATCGCATCCTTCTAGCTCTCAAATCGACCGTCCGATGTATGAGATGCCATTGATTATACATTATCTTCGCTCTTCACCAAGCCATCCTTCTTCGGTGACGCCCGATGTTTAGGTAAGCTGGTTGAGTAAAGCTAGGTTGTTAGCAATTTGGCCTCCGGCTGTGCTTGTGTCAGTGCCGAGCGCCGCGTCATGTCCAGTGCGGGGAGCGGCTAGTGCTGATGGGTTTGCGCAGAGGTAATAGTACGCATAAATGAGGGTCGTCGCTGTAGTGTCGCGTTCTGCAAATAGGAAGATCTTCATTTGAGCGGTGGCGATGTCTATGAATTATTCGTCCATATCGACTGCGTTTTTCTTGGAAAATAATCGTTCAGAGAGGTAGGCCTTGATGGTTAATTTGTGACCTAGGTGCTCTTGTATCCCTCGCTCAATAACGCGTTTCACCACCGAACCGGTTGCCCCACCGAACCGGCCGGGCACGCTAAAACGCGTCGCGTCTAGGATCTTTCCTTTTTCAAACCACCACCATGCCAACAATTCGCAATGAAAAATGACAAAATGGGATTTAGCAAGAGGTTAGGATTCAACTTGTAATCCAGGCCCCAAATTCAAAAAGTAGCATCTCTCAATGAAGCTGCGCGGGTTTTGAACGTACCGCGTTGAACGTTGCAAAGGGTGCTAGTTTCGTTTGAAAATGTAGACTAATGTCACTAAAGATGTCGACTGTTAGAGAAGGTTGGAGAAGATAGAAGCAAAAAGGCATTCATACAGGATAGCTCGACCTATGATATCGACCGTGCAGCTGATGGCCTTATCTTCAAGGCTAAAACTTCTCTCGGATTCTGCAGCCCCCTTAAGCTGATCGACAAAAATGTCGATATTCCCAGGCAAGGCCAATATGAGCGTCCAAGCATCCCTGGCTGAAAATCCTGAACGAAATGTCTCTCTATATCTTGCAAGCTTCTCCCAACATGTTTAATAGGCTGTTGAGTTGTGTGAAGGGGCGGGGCTCGCCTTTCCGTGAAGAATCCTCTGGAAGAAATGTGATCTTCATGAACTCGTCCATCATATCAGCATGAAAAGCTGCCAGCATTGGGGGATCAGTTGGTCAGATATCGATATACATGAGCCCGGGCATCTCCGACTCTGGGTGGTCTTTGGTCACTATGAGAGGCATATATTGGCCATGGACATTGCTGGGATATTTGGTCATAGCTTTGCCGATATAGGAAAGGTGTCCAAAGATCCACGAATGGGAAAGCATTGCCTGTGCGAGAACTCTCAAGATTCTGTACAATTGCCAGTTCAAGTGGATATAACCCGCCACTCCATGTCGTCCAGCCGCATTCCGGAACAGGCGCAATGCGATACATCTGGAGGGCTTCACGGAAGGCGGGGTGCTCCAGAGACTGAAAAAGAAAGATACAATCCTGAACAGCCGGTATAGATTTCCCCCTATGGTTATAGATTTCCCCCTATGGGTTCTTTTAGAAGCAGCATCATGACTGACTTTATTCTTGGCCGATGAAACATCATTATCAATGCAGAATTTTCGGTTCCCACGTTACTCTTCATGAGGCACTTAATAATTGGCTGTTTGGCAGCAGCGCTTACGCGCCTTCAGAAAGCTCCTAAATTGATCCTCTTCGCACTGTGCTGGGACCATTTGACTGGTTCAAATCATTCAAAATAATTAAATTCAAAGTATTTAAGCACAGCCAGGACATCAGGTTCGGCTCTCCATCGGTATGATCTGTCACCCGCGGGAAATGTTCTAGATAATCAGGACAACATCTGGTCCCATCCCAGCTGATCTTTTTGACCTCTCCCAATCTACCGAGCACTTGATCGCTTGCTCTTCGAACGGAAGAACGGAGACCTGTACGAGATGAGTCCCAGGTATCCTGCTAAAATTTTAGGAAACTGATATTCTTCCGAAACTTGATTGCTTTTGCGAATGCAAATTTGGCACAATGGTCGAGCCGAACATGGGAGGAAAACTAAGTGCTGTTTCGGTTCGTTTCTCAAGTGCAAAGCCCACTTCGAGCATAATATTTTTCCTTGAGGCTCTTCATGTGATAAGCGGCTTGCAAGAATACAATCTATTCAAACAATGCTCAGATAATTAGGCTCACGAAAGAATGCGGTTGCCAAGCTTAGCACTGAGCTGATGTTCCTCCTGCCACGGTGGTGATGTCAAAAACATTGTGTTGAGAATTGATTTCAAAGAAGTGGATCGCGCGAGGCAAAAAGAATGCGCAGACATAGATGCACTGTGGACTGTGTTGTAAAACGTGTTTTGAATGACGTCATTACTACGACGATGATGCCGACATTTTTGCAGGCTGCGAAAAAGGAATCGTGGATAATTGCAATAAAACTGGTATGAAAATCAAAGTACGACAACTTTAGGTTTGAATTTTATTGGTTAGTATCACCGCATAACGTTACCAAACTTTATGATATTTGGAATAAAAAACACGTGATACTAAAATCCAATATTCCCGAGTGGACAAATTTGGATGCATTGACCATATAGGGTTAGTCAAAAATCTTATCTTTAATGAACTTTCACCTATGACAGTCTGGAACGAACTTTCGAGGTGACGAATTCCCACGTTCAGTGGCGGTCGGGTCTGTGCGTGACGCGGATCCTGATACACACGTGAGATCAATATGTTTTTTATTCTGAGCAGATCCTGTCGCCGGATTTGTAGGCCATTAATCGAAAATGGTAAGATAAGAGCAAAAAGCTTTTGGCAAGATTTAAGCTGGGCGCATGGTTCCTTGCAGCTGCTTCTATATGTCATCTTAGGATCATTAAACTCGTCCCATAGAGCACAGAAACTCCAGCCAGGATGTTATGATTGGCCTGGTCCAAGGTCTCGATCTGCCTGTGGCCGATTGAAATTGACGAAGTTATTGAGTCGTCTTTGGTGGGTGGTCTTGCAACCATATAAATAACCCGCAACTATCCTGAACAGCCTTTGTTGGAGAATACAAATCGTAACACGGATACTTATGAATTTGATGGACTATGGAAAGCATTCAACAAAATACACCGTTTTGCTACCTCTCATCGAATGTTGACACATGGCTGCCTCGAGGTTTAAATGCAAGTTTGATGACTCCCAAAGCTTCCCGATATGTTTGCTGAGTACTCCAAAGAGTAACGATGGCGTCTTCATCGAATCATTACAAGACTCGACGTCTTTGAATTCGGCATCATCGGATGTTGATTCTCAAATGAATTCACAAGCGACAGTCATTGCCAATTGCTTGGAGGATATGGAAAGGTTTGTCTTCTCTCTTTCGAAATCTAGCCTTCAAATTGCAAAGCATGGAAATATAACACTGGTTTACGTGAATAGCGATATATTTGAGCAAATTGCTTGCAATGCGCCTCTGTATTCCAACACAAATTGCCAACCCTCGTTCAGAGCACCGCGGGTCCCTAGGACCAAGAAGAGCAAGATCCAATTTGCAGACCCGAAGACGACATTGAATAGTAAACAGTCGGTACAAGAGAGAAAAAGGTCTCAAAACAGGATTGCGTACGTATAAGGATATCTGGTAAAGTGAGATTAGATTTTGCTTAATTAACATCTTATACAGACAAAAATCATTCCGTGAGCGTAAGCAGAAATACACGGAGGAACTAGAAGCACGCGCCAGAGATTTAGAGCAAGAGGTTGCTCGCTTACAACAGGAAAATTATTGGTTTCAACAATGTCATGACCAAGCTAAGGACGTTTCCAGTGAAAACAGCGCACCCTGCTTCATATGCAGTCATATATTGAAATTCTGCAGCAGTGGATTACTATGTTCGCATGCGAATGCAGAATAATAAAATGAGACTTGGGACGAGAAAACAAAGTTTAGTGTGATTCGATGACCTTTGACTAAAATGACTTGTCTTTTTCTTTCTGTAACTCCAGAGAAAATAACCTTTCCTTTTTATTCAAATTCCACCCAAGCGTTGTTACTTTTTATTAGCACAGCTTACTTTGATTAGCTGTCAGAAGCGTCCTTCGCAAATTCAAAAAGTGCGCATAGCTTACCTGAAATAAGTCACACGACTCAAAATCGTAATTCTGGAAATCACTGTTGCAGAAAGGTCTTGACCACGACATGCATGAAGGCTTGAGCATTACGAATCATCCGGCGGACTGACAATCCAACTTAAATTCTTCTACCAACCTAGAATATCTCCGAGCAACTTGGGCATCCAAAATTACCATAGAAATATAATGGAATAGTTCCTTGTATTATTGTTTTCATATTGCTGGCTCATAATCACACCGAATTTTTTTTTTTTTGAACAACTTCACGTCTTTCATTATCATATATTTAATATTCGACGACAGTGAATAGATTGCGGTTCTTTTATCATTCTTAAATATAGTTAGTAAAACATTATTTATCCATTGCACCATTGGACGCGTTCAACCTCGGCTGAATTCTCCAGGTAGTCTGTGATTTTATTTTAAAGTATAAGAATTCGATTAGGACAAGAGATAAATGCGGTTGAACTGAATTGTTTCCATGAATTGTTTCCGCACTACCCATCATGAATACTGTGAAACATAGTATATGTAGAGGTGCCTCATAATTTCCCGTAGCTTCGTAAAAATATATACGCGTCACATTTGGAGAGAATACCCAGCAAGTTCAAGTCAAGCAAGTCGTGGATTTGTCTTAAAATTATACAATTATGCGACGGGTTAGCTTCCATTAATCACTGACATATAATTGGTGACACTTATGGCGTGCTGAGTTCATTTATTAAACTGTAGTTTCAAGGCTAATAAAAGAAGTAGTATTTATTGAATCAACTTGTACAGAAGCCATACTAATTTTACCTACAGCTGAATTAGGTCTAAATCTGTCATAATTTTCCTCACAATCTCCTGGTATATACATGACGTATTTGCCAGAGCCGCACTCGTTTCTTTTGCGTTATCAGCAGAGTACTTGGGTTCAATTGACAAGCAGTCCGGAAGAAACCTCTCCGAGAAGTACTTTGACAGCATAAATGAGGGGTTCATCGTAGGGTCGGGATTATTCAAGTAGCGCATGATCCAGTCATGTGGGTTAATTCTCTCAAACTTCTTCCTTGGAATTCTCATCTTGGGTAGAAATTGACGGCCCTAGTGGAATATCTGTTCATATTATGATAGACACGGATAAAGCGAGTTTCATGAGCACAGTCAACATGATAACCCGATATCTCAATGGCAGCTTAAGTCACAGCATCCACAGGTAGCCGTAAGACATCTTATAATCCATGTTTAACTGCCGTGCAATATTGCATCAGAGTTGGAAATTTAGATCTGATCGCAAAATGTCAAACAAGCCCGTTATGCCGATGATCGCGTGGTCATCACTCTGAGCCGCTGGAAATAACATAGATGAGGAAAAATGACACTCTATTCGCATCTCAACCTAATATATTTGACGAACTAGGAAATATTTCTATATGATACCCCAAATGGCCGAGGCGACGTGGTACCGAAAAGGGGTTAGGAAATGATCAAACGTTACATGACCAGCTCATTTCTAGAAATAGTACACGTCAGCGATCCCCATAGCCCTGAAAGACGTGCATGGGCTCGTCGCTAAAGACCTTGGATAGGAGACGAAGTTTTGCTAAATCTAACCATTATGGGTTAGCCACTTCGTCAAGACTGTAAGCACCACGAACTGCTGCAGCGTTACTAAACCAAAGTAGTCTGGCTATTTGGTACAGTCCTATGTCTTTTGTTGGGTATTCATCTAATTATCTTGACAAAAAGACGCCCTGCTATTCAAAATGTTAGCATGTTAAAAGAAAATTGAAGTCCTGACATGTGGAATATCATTATCTTTTTATCATCAAACCATCATCAAACCATCATCCACTACTCTCTTATATGAAATTCAACTGGCGTCATGTTATTGCCGCTCTCTGCGAGAACTGTCAGGGGTTTATATTGAATAAAGAAACATTTCCTGAAAAATGCGCACAATAACCTCATAATAACCTCACCGCAGATTAAAACTCTTTCTGCAGAACATTGGTTGAAATGGACTACCTCTTCACTAGAAATCTGCCCGATGCAAAAGCTCGGAAATGAAGATGATCAGACCTCACAATGTAGCTTTCAAATGGAATACTACGAAAGGAAGCACCTAAATACTCCCTGCATGAATTTCTGAGGCAGTAACCATGAATTGTGTCAACTAGATAGGGTATAATAGCAGCACTTGCAAAGATAATTGAAAGATTACAGGTTTTATACAGCTCTAAAGTAATATTTGGGGTTAACCAATAAATTCAGCCAAGTAGGCTACGTTACACTAAGCTTTTGAGTGAATAGCGTTGCCATAAGGAAATCTTCACCCTGCAAAAGAGCCTACATCGAGAGGTTACAATAAATGTGACGACCTAGTTCTATGTAGATTGCAGAAATGTTATTTTTCTGGCAAATAGCAACAAACAGAGGAATAAGATGATTCCCATGAGTATCCATTACTAGCAACGTCCAGGCATCTCCGAGAGGCTCGGTAGTGTATTAAATAAAGGTTTGGTGAAGCCATAGGATGCCAATTTCTTTCACTAGCGTCGAAGTGCCAGTCCTGTGTAATATCATGAAGTTAGGTTTCTATGGGGTCTTTACCCTAGAACACCGTTCATATTGATACACTTTATTACAATAATCACCCAAGGTTATCTGACTGTAAGAGATTGCGCTTCTTGTAGTAGTCTCTCCGGGTGATGATTTTTGAGGTGCTTGCAACCCCCATTGCTGATCTAGTTTCATCAAACTTGTAAATATCATCATCGATAATACCATATGTAACTACCGTTGAGCAAAAATAGCAGATCACGGTTCTATAACCTTAGGGTCGTGACATAATCCATGTTTATTAATATATCGGCGTAAATGACGTGTTTTCAGGCAATGTCTATGCTGAATAAAGTTGGAAACCAAGTTTTGACAACCATTATATTACGCCTATTACCACGCTCTCTCAGTACAAACTTGGCTATCTGTTCTAGCATAATGTGTTGTAGGGCCTAGTCATGATTATCTATATATAAAATCTATTTCGAAGCAAAGTCTCCTCAGTAGTAGTAAATGAGGCCTTGTTCCTCTGAATTTCTACGAGATGCTTCCCTGGCAGCATTATGCAAGCACCTGCTAGTTTCAAACCTTATAGGCATGCTTGATTTAGCAGCCATGTACATTAAAGCTTAGCGTAGAAAGCCCATGTTGATTGAAACGTCAACTAAGTCATTTCAGATACTTTCGAAACTGCTGAATCTGGTAAGATATCTTTCTCATTGCCTGCGATGAAGGTGATACCAAATCGAAGTTCAGCTTTTTGAGGCTCGGCTGTGATATCAGAAAAATGTAATAACAGAGAAAAAGTCATTTTAACGGGGCGTTTGTCCCCAACCTGCCTAAAATGGAATATTGACATTGCCTAACCCTTTCTTTACCGCATCTCGTTTTTCAATGAGAGCCACCCATTTTTCGACGGCTGGCCAATACGCGAGATCAACATTCAAAATAATCGAAGCTCGTCTCACCCACGTGAAATTCATGATATCGGCAATGGTGTACTTCTCACCCGCAAGGAAGGGACTATTGGCCAATCGAGATTCTAAAACGAATAAAAGCCTCTTAGCCTCACTAGTAAATCTTTCCATACTATATTATTGACCAGCAATGCAGATAGAGTTTGGTTTGATCAAGGGCATTCCTCGGAAATGGTTTGCTTGGCCTGTTTGAAAATAGGTTAGTATACCCTCTTCGCAGACTTACCCTTGCTTCTTCTTGATACTGACATACCTAAAATTGGCCCAATACCACCAACTTGGAACATGATCCATCCAAGTTGCTCGTAATACTTCGGTGTGCCAACATGGTAACTTATGTTCCCTTCAAGATCATATTTGTCCTGTCCGTGAGATACAGCAGAATTGCTCCACTCTCAAAGATTCGGTTTTCATTGTCAACCAATCCCGGAATTCGCCCATTTGGATTGATTTTCAAGAACCACCTGCAAGATTTGAATTGTGTGAGATACGGTCTTTAGAACAAAGAGAGAAAAAGCCTACTCTTTCTTTTGCTCATTGGTGTGTATATTAACCGGTTCATTCTTGTATAGGAGACCAAGCTCTTCGAGTGCAATCGACGCTTTTACTCCGTTGGGAGTAGCCCAACTGTGGAGTACAATTTGCGGTGCCATACTGCAATGGATATGATCTATTCAATTATAGATATCAGTTTTTCGATTGTCACACATCATGGTTGACTCTTCACATAACAAGGTAGGATGGGGATTTCATGGGTATTATTTATGCAAGATAAGCATGACATAACCACAAGGATTCGGCGGGTTTGGACGCGATCGATTAGCTGAGTCTGACGAACCTCCTATGTGTGATGTGTAAGCGATTCTGGGTCGACGAGATAGAACTTCTTGGGCGGCAAGGAGAGATTAGAACTATTTCCGATACATTTTCGTCCTATCAGTCTCTGGCCCTCCAAATCAGGGTATACTCAACATTAACTTATGGAAACGAAATGATATGTTTTGCTGGCCATCACCACTGGCATCTTGTTGAAATTTGATAAATATTAATGAGTAATAACGTGAAGTCCGGTTGCGCGGGTGACCCGGTTGAGCGAGCGACCCCACCAAACTTCGAAAAATCATTAATTTTGAACTACCACTAAAACCATCAAATAACTCAAAATTTTGCTAATAAACACGTGAAGGGCATCCAGGATATGTATGACCTTTTATCCCACAGCCAGAACATGTCACATGCCGCCGAACCGAAGGCATAGAAGGTAAAGTAGGCTCAACAACCGCTCTTGTAGATACCTCCGGCAAATATATATCTTTACCATTATCTTCATCCTCATAAACCACATCATCTTTACCACTCTCTAGACCCCCAAAGATACCTTTCTGGGTAGTAAACTTATGTATGGTCTCTCGTTTTTTTGTCTGTTTCTTGTTGGTAGCCTCTAATTGGGTACAGCGATTCTGGAGAAAAATATGGTGGTGGACCACTTTGATAGTCATATCATAGGTCTTCTGAAGCTCTCTTTTTGTTGGTGAAGAGAGGATTGAAGAAGAAGATTCTAGACCTTTTTTGATCCGAGATTGTGATTTTGTGAATTTTGAGAGAGTCCAGAGAGTATTTGGATCACTATCACTGCCGGAAGAGAGTGGTCGCTGTGAGACAATATCGAGAGGAGGAAGGGAATCCAGGCGCACATTTAGCTTTTCCAAGACTTTATTAGCATCAAATGGTGCTAATCCAGTAGCTGAAAAGCTATTTTGTATAGTAGAAGTCTTAAAAGCACCAATTCTCGCATCAGCGATAAGTTCAAGAAAATCTTCCTTATCAATAGAGTTCACTCCATTCCGCATCAAGGTTGAAACCGCTCCTCCATAAAGCCTCTTCAAAACCGAAAAACAGCCCACATCCAAAGGTTGTAAAAGGCGGGAAGCATGAGGAGGCATACAGATTGCGATAATTTGGTTTTCTTCACAAAGTTGGTCAAATTCGGGGGTCAAATGACTCCCATGACCATCGAGGACCAGTAGGCAATATTTCCCCACTCTTGGCCCAATATTTGGGATAAAAAGATGTTTCAACCACCATAAACCAATTGTATTAGTAGTCCAGCCATTTTCACTCATAGTGAGACGTGCTCCTTCTTGATTTAAAAGAAGATAAGGGCGTAGATGCTCTGGAAACTTTTTTCCCTTGAAAATGAAGAGTGGAGGCATAATACTTCCAGAAGCTCGAATACACTCGATTATGGTTACCCACTCGCGATTTCCGGCTTGTAAAAGAGCTCTTTTCCCGTGGTATTCTGCAGAAGTGATAATCTTTTGTGTTGCGCCGATACCCATAGCAAAACCACTCTCATCAAAGTTAAAGATATCGTCCGAGACAATACCCCACTTTTCAATTGTTTTTTGCACCAAATCAAACCATGGTTTAATGATTCTAGGGTCTTCTGAAAGGGCTCTCTGATAGTCGTATTTGCGAGAGAATCGAGTAGAGAGATTTGGGCGTCGTTTGATAAATTCAGCAGGCCAATGATTACCCACAGTAGAGGGCGTAGTTTTTCGGGCATAAAGTAGCAGATTAGCCATATCTCGCAACATAGGCAAAGTAAGAGCTGCCCCCCTAGAATCCATATCCAGTAGCCATTTTTCAATCGATCCTTCCTCAATTTCGGTGAAAATAAAGCGATTGTGTCGCTTTTCAGTAGCAGATTCACGCCCATTAATCCGTGCCTTCAAAGTTGAGACAGGGATATCAAAGGATCGTGCAGCAGCCGCAGCAGAGGGATATTTACCATCTTTTATAGCTTTTATAGCTAATAAAAGACGACCCTCCTGCTCTATTAGCTTTTTTTTCTTATCGGAGCGCTCAGGGGGCATTCTTGTTATGGTTGAAGAAGACGTATTAATATGGAAGTGGATTTTTGGTGGGGTCGCTCGCTCAACCGGGTCGCCCGCGCAACCGGACTTCACGTTATGGAGAATCATAAAATTAGGTAATCTGCTTTGTTATACTAGTCTTAGTTAGTCAGAAAATCCGCACATAAGAACCATGGTTCGAGGACGGGTAATAATTCAGACAATTACACGATCGAGTACAGACCCTATTAGTCGATAAAATACGTCCGTTTACGTGAGCCGACACGTCGTCTTGTCCGTCACGGATCGATTGGCCCTTATAACCCCGCGGGCGGTGCGCCCCCTGTAGGTCCGTAACAGTGACCTCACTGACCTGGTCGGCCAGGAACTTCGTTGGCTTAAATTTCCCGCCAAGCGATAATTGTGATCCCTAGGGGTGTGCTGCCCAAGCCTAGCGTGATCTACGGTCGCACGAGCGACCCATCAAAAATCCACTTCAATAACACGAAGGACCCGCGAAGAACGGTATGTTGATGACCCACTAGTCCCGATTAGGAGGACAATTGAACATCTTGATGCCTGGAGTCTAAAGCTAATATTTAATAAGCGGTGCTAAACTAACCTACCTAGTTGACTAAGTAGCTACTTCACACCACTGATAATATGGCTAACTATCTTCAGTCGACCTTAGGAAGACTCTTCTAGAAATGCCCTTCAAATACTGCCATTCGACTCAAGAATCCTGGCTCATAGCTTCTGGCAAGACAGCCTCTAACAGCGAAACTTGACTTCTGCACTCCCAAATACGCTTTAACGTCAATCCAGCACTCTTGAGAAGTGTTTTGAATTCCTCTAGAGTTCTCTCAATGCCATTGATACATGCCATCATTGTCAAGTCCCGGCTATGGCTGAAACGCGCGTGGTAACCGTAATTTGCCGGGAGAGGAGCTGGTGCAGAGGTCAAGTCCGGATCGCCCGTGGTAGTGTTCATCACTTGTTCACAGATCAACAAGCGGGAATGTGGGGCCATGCTTTCGCGGATGCGGGACAAGATATTAACGCAGTACTCGTCAGACCAATCGTGGCTATGAATAACTAAGTCAGCTCCATGGTTCTCCACTTGCGTAAGTTTCTATCACATACAGGACATATCGGAGGTAGTAAACGTCGGCTCCCTCGACGGGATTCTTGTTGAAGAAGCTGTGCTCCAAGAATTGGACCCGTCCAGCTTCCAAAGCTGAGGGATTCTCCTTTGGCCAGACACGTTCCAGGCCCTGCTTAACCACTGGACCCCGATCTTGGACCACAAAACGAAGATCGGGGTAGACTTTGCTTAGCTGGAGCGGAAATCCACCAACACCACCACCGACGTCAACGAGCAGAGCCTTGCCTAGTGAGGCCCATGGGAAGTCTACATGACGGAGTGATGAGATTCTGCAATTATACAACAGAATTATTCAACATACCGTAAACATGGGCAGCACCGAACACTCGCCCGCCACCGACCATGGACAGACCCATGATCTCCAGCTCGGGCCTTGAAACCAGGCCGTCCTCTCCTGGCGTCTGTGGCTCCAGGATAAGACTTGGAATACCGGGATAGTGACCACCGGTCTCAATAAGCTTATCTTGTGGGACCCTTTCTTCCACCCATTCCCACCTTGTCTTGGTTGTCCCGATGGCATCCTGCCATGCGGTCTTAGCCACATCATAGGAGGGACCGGTTTTGGGGTCCAGCAGAGTTTTAGGCAGGCGATCCGATGCCGTAAAGCCTTCACTGTTGACCAGTTGGACGTAAGCTCTCAGTGGCTCGTTCGAGATCAATGCCACAGAGATGGTATTGTTCGCGAACTTTTCCACGCCGGTTTGACGGAAGATTCCGATCGAACATAGGTATCGTAAGATACGAGCTAAATCTTTGATGAGTTGCTCGTCTATGATGACCGAGCCAGGGGTACTCACAAAGCTTGCGATGCTCAATCTTAACCTTTTCACTGATCTCTGTGACGGACAGTCCTTGCTGGTCATGAGGGGCCAGGATATCGGGAATCCGCCGCTCGGCAGCAATATACAGCGCACGGGATTCTTGAAATTGGGTCGCAACCTCGAGGATCCGTACACTAGGCTCTGGTACGAGCTCTGCTAATTTTCCCAGGGCAGCCGCAATGGTTCGTTGTGCGTTGAAGAGCTCATAGCTAGGAAGAGCTTGCGTCACTGTCGAGCTATCAGAGGATTCAGAAAGGCTGTTAGAAGCCTCTGCTTCCTTGGCCCACTCAGATACGACAGTCTGAACGGTTTTCGAAATTATGTCGGCAGTTTGGATGAGCTGAACTGCATCGGTGAGGAATTTGAGTTTACGTTCCATCTTGACGATTTCGAATCAGACTCTTTGGCTTTCACAAGTAATTCCGCGTACTAGACATCTGAAGGAAAGTCTTTTACTTACCTTGATATATGGAGAAAGTTTCAAAATTTCCGATTGATCTACAGCGATTCGGGGTGGCCTGAAGGCGAGACCGCGGTCTCACTCTCCTAAAGCCGAAAGGACCGACTCCCGCACTAGGCCATTTGTGCCGACTAATGTCCGCATGCTTACCCATGTGCATCCCATTCAATTTTCACTTGAGGTGATAGTAGGACATCTGAGCCGATGTATAATTTCGCGAAACTGAACTTCGCTGCTTTGCACCGGTAAATGACTAGTCTCATGCATGTAACAGGACAGCTTGCGACAACGGTGGTAGAAATATATCATCGGAGTTCGGGGAGTTTCATGTACATACAAACCTGGTGTCTTAACCAGACTGCCTAGGTATGAGTAGGTTGACTACCGCACATATTAGAAATAGACCAAGGTTCCTTATCTTCAAGATTTTACGGCATAGCTTAATAGTATTTTGTAAGTTAAAGGACATCAATTAACGCCTGTAGGATCAGGCACTACTACTGTATTAGGATGGCGGTAGAAGCTGGCAATATGGCATGTTTACACCCCACACAGAGATCTTAATAGAGTGTGGATACTCGATTCTTGAGTATCTTCATTATTGAGCCTGTGAATTGCTCTCTCAAATTCAAAGTTCTTCCTTTTAAATAGAGTAAGCTGTGGATTGGGTCACCCAAATGATTAAAATAGATTGGGCAATGAGGACTAAGAGATCCCTTCCACGGTAAACCACCTCTTCTCGCCTCTCCGAACCTCAAAAGCAACTCGCCCATCTTCAGCCAATTTGGCCAAGACCTCACCAGTGAAGGGCTCCAGGGCCATTTTACGCACTTGCTCGTCCAAGTCATTTCCATACATCGCGGACACTAACTGAGGCACTGTCAAGCTGCCCTTGCCCCGCCCCTGATTCCCTTGCTCTTGCCTCTTGATCCGGGTCAGCGTTTGCACCACGCGCGCCTCACGCTTTGCTTTCTGATCAAGCTCGCCATTGATCTTTGCTGGAAGATCTCGGATAACATCGCCATGAGCAGGGTACCCGATTTCACGACCATGCGATCCCATTACCCGGAGTGATGTCATCCAGGTACCAAGAAGCTCGACCGCACTGGTTCCATGACCGAGCACGTTATCCCCCGTGAACATGGCATTCTCTTCCTCCAAAATAAAACACATGTGGTCATGCGAATGGCCCGGGGTGTGAACTGCGCGGATGGTGGCACCCTCAACTTCAAACACCTGGCCATCCGAGATGGCTTGCTGGTCTCGACCCGGGCTGTGCTTGTAAATCGTTCGCGAAAGATGAGGATAGAGGCGGATCAAATCCGGAACACCACCAGTGTGATCACCATGCCAATGTGTGAGTAGCACGTGAGAGAGAGTGATAGACATATCCTGGAGTGTGGCAGCGATGAGATCGGCCCATTCAGGTATACCTTGCCCACTATCGATGATCAGCCTTGACCGACCCGTGCCGACAATATATGTGTTTGTGCCTTGCAAGGTAAACTACCGATGCATGTTAGATTTTGTGGCCTCTTCACTCAGAATAAGAAAGCTGGTCACTCTACCTTGCCAGCATTTTGGCCTAGCACGCGGAGCACCCGAGGGCTGATTTGCTCAACATCTTCTAATTTAGGAAGCGTGTCTTGCTGAGTATCAAGGTATTGATCAAATGCACAAATGTTGAGTGCTTTGTTGATTTGGCGATAGCCCCCGCGCTTCATTGTCAAGACCCAACTGGGAAAGCTGCTAGAGAGATTGACGAACAAGGACAATGCAGACAAGGGGCCAATTAGTGGAATCTTTCTCAAGCCAGTATGTCTTATCGAACTACCGCGATCATTTCCTGAGCTTGATTATGCCGCTCGGACTATTTCTAAATTCACCGTCGTCGAACAACTGCATACATGCCGAGGTGACTTGGCCCGAGTGCCATGATTACAGCGATGATTCGGAGGGCCTAATACCGTACTCGGTATAGATGAATGTCATGGGTAATTTTAGACGTCTCTTTATCTATTACCTCACCTTGATAATCTGAAACGCATCTGGTGATTCCAACAATCTAGCCACATGCCTCTTGAAGATTCGCAACCATGAACTTGACTCCTTCTAGCAGCTCCAAGGAGGACTTCAGCAGACTGAAGCTTGTTTACTTCAGCAATGAGTTCCCTCCTGATGCTCTTCCAAACCTCGTCCGCCAAATACATCTTCACAGTAAAGATCGACGCCATCACATTCTTGCTCGGTTTCTAGAAGATGCCACACTTGCGATCCGTGACGAAGTCCGTCAATTACCACCGGGCCTGCGGAGCTTGGTACCATCTTTTGAGTCTGTCTTGAATTTCGTCGAATACCCTGATCTTCGGACTGGTCCTTTGGGTGCGTCGATCGACGGAGTGCTCCTATGTGCCACGGAACTGGCAACATTCATCGGGTATGTCATCTTCCTCCCGCCAGTGAAACATTTTATGGGTCCTCATTAACGCCAATACTAGCTATTACGAAACCTTCCCAGAAAACCATGACTTTGATTCATCTCATGCATATCTGGCAGGTCTGGGTATCGGTCTTCTAGCTACGGCAGCGGTTTCTCTTTCTTCAACGCTGGCTGATATTCCAATTGCCGGCGCGGAAGTAGTCCGTCTCGCTTTCCGTCTTGGCGTTCTTGTCGATGATGTGTCACACAACCTGCAAGCTCGTGATTTAGCAAACAATGGTCAGCCTGATAGCTGGGCCTATGTCTTGCCAAATGTAGCCCCAGGTGAGGTCCAGCAGGAGCTGGACGCGATCCATGCTAAAGCGGTTAGTGAAAAGTCGCTTTCAGTTTCTCCATGGATTTTTACTTATTGTTCTCGATACACAGCAAACTCCCGAGGCTGGCAAAGTGTTTGTCAGCGCCTATAGTCAATCCTCTGTTACCGTGAGCGGGCCACCCTCAAGGCTGAAGGCGCTTTTTCGGACTGCCGACTTTTTCAGAGACCGCTAGTTCGTGGCATTGCCCGTATTTGGCGGGTTGTGCCACGCCAACCACATCTACAATGAGACGCACGTGGAAAGTGTAGTGCAGACAAAATCTATCGATGGCTTGAATGTCAGACTAGTCCCCAGAATACCAGTCTTATCGACTAGCAGCGGCAATCCATTCCCGGCCAACACCGCAGCAGAACTGTTCGAACAGATAATTTATGAAATTCTCACTCAGGCCATCCAGTGGGATAATGTGGTCAGCGGTGTCATTCAGCAGGCAAACATGCTCATCATATCCGAGTGCCAAGTACTGGCCATTCGAAATTCACTGCCAATCCATGATCTCATTACTGCCGTGGAATCCGAAATTAATGGATTGAAAATGACAACTGACGATCTGTTGGCATGGATCTCACAGACTCATGAGGAAGAGACCCCCCGGGGAACGGCTCAGTCTAAGATTGCAATCGTGGGAATGTCATGTCGGCTGCCTGGAGAAGCCACAGATACCGAGAAGTTTTGGGAACTCCTTGAGAAAGGCCTTGATGTTCATCGGAAAATCCCACCAGATCGTTTTGATGTTGATTCCCACTGTGACCCTACAGGAAAACGTCCAAACACGAGTCACACCCCGTATGGCTGTTTCATCGAGGAACCAGGTCTCTTCGATGCCCCATTTTTCAACATGTCTCCTCGTGAGGCTCAGCAAACCGATCCGATGCAGAGGCTGGCCTTGGTGACCGCGTATGAAGCACTGGAGCGAGCTGGATACGTTGCCGACCGCACACCCGCGACAAATAAACACCGCATTGGTACATTCTATGGCCAGGCCAGTGATGACTACCGTGAGGTAAATACAGCACAGGATGTCAGCACCTATTTTATCACCGGTGGTTGTCGGGCGTTTGGACCCGGGCGGATCAACTATTTTTTCAAATTTTGGGGACCTAGCTATAGCATCGACACTGCCTGCTCATCCAGTCTGGCAACTATTGAGGTAAATGGAGCGAATTGTTTTTGTTTAAACCATGAGTGAAGACCAATGCTTACACCGTTAGGCTGCTTGCACGTCGCTCTGGAATGGCGCTACTGATACTGCAGTGGTTGGTGGTGTCAACGTGTTGACAAACTCCGATGCTTTCGCTGGTCTGAGCCATGGCCACTTTCTATCCAAGACCCCGAACGCTTGCAAAACATGGGATAGCGAGGCAGATGGATACTGTCGTGCAGATGGGGTGGTATCTTTAGTGATGAAGCGACTGGAAGATGCGGAAGCTGACAATGATAACATTTTGGGTGTCATCCTAGGGGCAGCAACCAACCACTCGGCGGACGCCATATCTATCACCCACCCACACGCTGGCGCACAGAGCTACCTTCTCCGAAAGCTACTGCGCGACGCGGGCGTCGATCCATTTGATGTCAATTATGTGGAACTGCACGGCACTGGTACGCAGGCTGGGGATTTTGAAGAGATGAGATCAGTGTCGGATGTGTTTGCTCCAGCTGCGAGAAAAAGAAGCTCCAAAAATCCCCTGTTTGTTGGTGCAGTCAAAGCAAATGTTGGTCATGGGGAGGCAGTCGCTGGAGCGACGGCGTTATTGAAAGTTCTTCTCATGCTCCAGAAGGGTGCGATTCCTCCCCATGTAGGCATCAAGAACCAGATCAACCCTCTACTCCCCAAAGACTTGGAAAAGCGCAATCTACACATTCCATACGAGTACCAGACGTGGGTTCGCACTGACGGCCGAAGACGTATCGCTGTAGTCAACAACTTCAGCGCTGCTGGTGGCAATACATCCCTTGCAATCGAAGAGGCCCCGCTCCGAGAGACCACTGATGTTGACCCACGTCAATCACACTTGATCTCTATATCTGCCAAAAGCAAAATATCGCTAAAGGGAAACCTGGAACGGTTCATTTCATACTTGGATGCCAATACGGACGTGTCACTGTCCCATCTCTCTTACACGACTATGGCCCGGCGTCATCATCACAACCATAGACTGGCCGTGGCTGTCTCAGATATTGAACAATTGAAGACGCAAACCAAATCGTGGTTAAATTCTGTCGATTCTCACAAGCCTATTCCGCCGACAGGACCTCCCCCGTTGGCCTTCGCCTTTACTGGCCAGGGAGCATCATACAAATCCATGAAGCTAGATCTTTTTCGTGATGTGCCGTATTTTCGCTCCCAGATCTTGGACCTCAATTCGATCGCCAAGACCCAGGGTTTCCCTACTTTTATCCCTGCTCTTGATGGGAGCCACCCGAAGGATCATGCTCATTCGCCAGTAATTACGCAGCTCGCTTTGGTCGCCACGGAGATCGCCCTGGCTAGGTACTGGGCATCGCTCGGCGTGAAGCCTGAAGTGGTGGTTGGTCACAGTCTTGGAGAGTTTGCAGCATTGCATGTTGCCGGTGTCCTATCCGCTAGCGATGCGCTGTACCTCGCGGGCGAGCGCGCCAGGCTACTTGAACATAAATGTAAGATCGGCAGCCATAAGATGTTGGCAGTGCGGGCATCTGTTGAGCAAATCGCCCAGAGTGCTGGCGATCGCCCATACGAGATCGCCTGTATCAACGGTCCAGAGGAGACCGTTTTGAGCGGGACCAGTGGTGAAATTGATGCGCTTTCCGAAATTTTTAAAGCGGATGGGTACAGAAGTATTAGCCTAGATGTTGCGTTTGCATTCCACTCCGCCCAAACAGATCCCATTCTGGATGAATACGAGGAGATCGCACACAGAGGTGTGGTTTTCCACGCCCCGAACTTGCCGATCATTTCACCGCTCCTTAGAAAGGTTATCTTTGATGACAAGACGGTGAATGCAAACTACCTGCGCCGAGCCACTCGTGAGACGGTTAGCTTCAGTGCCGCCATTAAGAGCGCTCAGAAAATCTCCACGATTGATGATACGACTGTGTGGATCGAGATTGGGCCACATCCGGTGTCCATCAGTTTCGTGAAATCCACTCTCTCGGCCACGGGTGCATTAGTCCCGTCACTGCGCCGAGATGAGGATGCTTGGGTGACATTGACGCGCAGTCTTGGAATACTTCATGGCGTGGGTGTTGATATCGACTACAATGAGTTTCATCGCCCATTTGAGCAAGCTTTACGACTCTTGGATCTGCCTACATACAGCTGGAATAACAAGATTTACTGGATCCAATACAACGGGGACTGGGCTTTGACAAAGGGAAACCCGGAATTTGAGACCAGGAACAGCAATGTCGTGGCTGGAACTGTGGCCTCTGGCCCGCGAACATCGACTGTTCAGCAAATAATCGAGGAGAAGTTCGAGGGATCAGCTGGAAGAGTAGTCATGCAGTCGGATCTGATGCAAGCAGACTTCCTCGCAGCGGCCCATGGACACAAAATGAATGGATTTGGGGTAGTCACCTCGGTACGTTGTATCTGAAAATAATTATTGATTTCGGCCTAATCTTCGTCCAGTCCATCCATGCAGATATCGGATTCAGCCTCGGTGAATACGTGTTCAAGAGACTGAACCCAAAGGTCAAGATACCTGGGATAAACATTACGAATCTCGAAGTGTTGAAAGGATTAGTCGCGCAAAAGAATACAAGTCAGCCTCAGCTTCTCCAGGTATCTGCTACTACCGCAGACATCAACACCGGAATCCTAGATCTTGAATGGCGCAATGCCTTCCCCGATGGTACCGTGGATGACCCATTTGCGTTTGCGAGAATTCACTATAACGACCCAACGGAATGGCTATCCTCATGGCGACCAGCTCTTCATCTCATTCAAGGCCGTATTCAAACCCTGGAGCGTCTAGCAGAGCAGGGAATTGCGAACAGGTTTTCTCACCGCATGGCTTATAATCTCTTTGCAAGCAATCTGGTTACCTATGCCGACAAATATCGTGGGATGCAGTCTGTCGTGTTGCATGAACTTGAAGCTTTTGCGGATGTTAAGCTCACTACCGAAAAAGGAGGTTTATGGGCAGTTCCCCCCTACTTCATCGACAGCGTGGCGCACTTAGCAGGCTTCGTCATGAACGTATCTGACGCCGTTGACACTCAAGCTAACTTCTGCGTGACACCCGGATGGCAATCGATGCGCTTTGCAAAGCCCCTTGTGGCTGGGGCTCACTACCGCTCCTACGTCAAGATGATTCCCACCGTCGAAGACCCTGGCATCTTTCTTGGTGATGTTTACGTGCTCCATGATGATGTTATTATTGGGGTGGTCGGGGGAATCAAGTTCCGCCTCTATCCTCGCCTGCTTTTGAACCGATTCTTCTCGGCTGCTGATGTCAGTCAGCCGACGCAAGGCCATACTGCAACTGCTGCGCCAGCAGTCAAGCAAAACCCAATAGTCACGGTATCTCCAGTCTCTGTACCTGCACCTGTATCTGCTGCTTTACCAGTGCCAAATCCTGCACCATCTGCTGCTCAAAGCCAGACGCGAAATGAGGCCGCTCTAGACGATTCCAGCACTGCAGCTAAAGCCCTTGCACTGGTGGCGCGCGAAGCCGGTATGGATCGTGAAGACCTCACCGAGGAATCCAATTTTGCCAGTCTTGGTGTAGATAGTTTGATGAGCTTGGTTATTGCCGAGAAGTTCCGAGAGGAGCTTGGAGTCACAGTTACGGGGAGTCTGTTCCTAGAATATCCGACAGTGGGAGATTTGAAGAGCTGGTTGCTAGAGTACTACAGCTAAGGTGACTTGGAGGGCAATTGTGGTTTTTTTTTGGCTTGTCTACGCTGAATATAGATTGTATGGAGCTTGAGAAGAACCTTCGAAATTGAGGGGCCTTGCGTTTGTCTTGCAACATGAAGTCTACGTATGTGTAGAATATGGATAGGTCAGAAAATAGGGATTGGAGATATCAGAGCGGGTACGGTGTCCTGACTAGCAAAAATAGACCCTCAGTAGCTGACACCCAATTTCCACGATTTCTGTATGGGCAATTAAATGCTGATTTGATCCACTGAGTTTGCTTCGAATGGTAATTGATCGATTTGCAAAGTTTCGGAAATCATGGAAAGGGAATTATTCGCGCTCAATACTTCAGTAAAAGCGCACTTAGGCTGACATGGAGTTGGGCAGCCAAGCGAATTTTATTTGAATTACAGACTATTGTTATCTTACAAATAGCCCAGACTAAGATACTGTACATGTGTATGCCTGGTTGCGTTGCATCTATGTTGATATGGCGAATGATCTGTCACAAGGTATTTAGCATTCGAATCCCATCCATGCTTGACAGTTTGAAAGCTCAATCCCTTACACTTTGGATATAGTCACAGTCACTGGCACCATGAACAGTATCACGCAGCTGGAGATATATGCGAATGAGCTTGCTTGTGCAGCCCGGAGTATTGTCGCACACTGCCAGAATGCAGACATCGTCTCTTCCGGACCTCAATTCAGCATCCATGAAGATGCCCCGGAACAAATTCACCAAAACCGGCGAAAGATATTAGCCAACGTTGCTAAAATACAAGTGCTGCTGGGAGATTCAGAGGACTTTTTGCAAAGAATGGCCATGGAGATCCAGATGCTCGCTAACGTTCAGTGGCTGAGCAGTCTGCAGGTTCTGATCTGTCTACCCCTCGGAGGTACCCTCGCTATCAAAGATCTAGCTCAACTATCCGGAGTCCAAGAGACAGAGCTTGCCCGCGTGCTGCGCCTGACAGCTTCTCGCGGCTTCCTGCAGGAGCCACAACCGGGCCACATTATGCACACACGCTTGTCGAGCCGATTCGTCTCCCATCGTCGCTTTCGAGATGCCACTACATTCCTCGCCGATTGCGTCACACCTAGTGCCTTGCGCATGAAGTCCACGGTGCAGCATTCCACGACCGTGGGCATTCCACGTGAGAGTGGATACCAATTGGCCTTTTCGACCTCTGTCCCTTTCGCTAAGGCCTGCAGTCTGGCCCCCAGGTTGCAACGTCAGTGGACCGCTTTCCTCCAGTATACAGAAAATTTTGATAAAAGAATCACCGAGGTTCTCACTCGCCTAGACTGGGGTAATTTAGGCGACACCTGCATCGTCGAGGTAACTATATCTGCACTACCATTTCTTACTCCCCTCTTCCCCCACGCGGTGTCGAATTTTGAAGGAATGTGTTGTGATTATCTACGCTTACTTGCATCAGAAGGCTTACGTCTTGGCAATAAAACACACAGACCGGAGCCCAATCCACCGAAACCGCTCGACTCCTATCAGAGCTATACCCCGCTCTGCAGATCCTTGTCCAAATTGAAGCAAGCAATTCGATTTCAGCCCGCGAACCGGCGCCTCAACTGGAGATCCCAGAATTGGAGGCCTACAACACCCGGATAACTGTCCAGACACGAGTCCTTGGCACTCCCCAACCAGTCGTAGATGCAGCCGCCTATATATTGCATCTTCCTTCTTCTGCCTGCGGCTCATCACGACCAATTGTTCTAAATGATTTACAAGCTTACTGTGCAATCCTATCAGGTTGTCGCCACACCATGCTGATCGTCACGGCCCGCATGCTGCCGCCACCGGGTACGGTGGACCGCGAGATCGAGGCCCTAGCGCGGATGCGCGATCTGACCTTGTTTCAGCTAGGGGTGGACCGAGACCCTGAAGTCGCCGAAGTAGTGGATTTAGTGGGTTCGGTCGGTGATTCTCAAGGCCGACTGGTGGTGGTGGATCGACTGAAAGCACGCAATCACGTCACTGTGGCGCTGGCCATAAAGTACCAAGGATGGTCTGAGCTTGATGCAGTCCTTCTGGAGTCTGGCCTATTATAGTGGTGATGCGGATCTACCCGGTGATTTTTCGGGTCAACCAAGGGGCTACAGCAGATTGGAAATACTTCTTTTCAACCCGGTTTGGTCTGGATGGGTCTCCCGGTTACGCTACGGCCCTTCTTTGTTAGGGATATGTATAGAGAATATGCAGTGGCTTCGGCAAAGGCTGAAGAGTGGGAATCTTATTTGTGGGAAAATAAAAACTGATTCTATTTTTTTCATCCCCATATGTCTCCATGTTGCCCGCTAGACCGAGGCCAATCTATTTACTTCCGCAGTTGTGGACAGGGGTATTCATCAGGGTCCATACACCTATCATTACTAGGAATGAAATAAATTAAAAACGCATTCCGGAGGCGAAAGTCGCCTAAAATAGAATGCCGGCGAGTTTCCAGTTTAATAATTTCCATAAACGTAAATTATTCCTTGAACTGAGATGACCATTTACCTAAAATGAAAAATATTACACAAAGATCATGATTTTGTACAATCGGAATCATATAGATTTACAGTTTTCTATTGTAAAATTGTAAAATTTAGAAAAGTCAATTTGAACATGCAGCGCCAGGCAATTAATTAGAAGGGAGCCTTAGAAGAGCAAAACTCCAAGTGCTGGCAAGTACAACTCAAAAGAGGACCTCATGCAAGGTAATCTATTGGTGAACTAGTGGCTAAAGGCTCATGCATCGTTGGCTCCACAACATGAAGTTTTGCTTGGAGTAGTAGTAATTTCAACTGGCCAAGCGTTTTGGTTCTTCTGTAATCTCCATATGCCTCATCATGTCAGGCGTCCAGGGCTTTCGATCGCCCATGCCAACGCAGGGTCTACCCTGATCCTAGGAACGCGTCTTCCTCCATCAAAACGACCTAGCACTTTCAGGCCACCGAGAAAGGAGCGATCGTTCGTAAGACAATCTCGACCACGAGGCCCAAGGCTGATGGTTCTAGATTATGTACATAGTCCCTTGCTTAGGGCGCCCCCAAGACCCACGGAAGTCGGAAGGGTACCAGAACCAAAGTCCCAATATCCTGCACACCACTATATGCAACCCCTCCTTTAGGTGCTCGATGATGAAAACCCTCTACATGGTGTCCGCATTTGATTCGCCGTTTTCTGTGCCAAAGCGCTCGGTCCTGCAACCTCAAATCCTTCCCTAAACACTGCTATCGCTCAAGAGGAAGAATTGAGGCTGGCCTCCATGGCTGTCTCTTAGAAAACCTGCGAAGGGTGACCCAACGAGCTTTTGTCAGCGTAATGCCTTCAACCTCGACAGATGACAGTCCTAAGCTCTGAGGGAGCTGTCAGGCTTGTGCGGTATCGAAAGTTCGATGCTCGAAAGAAAAGCCAACTTGTGCACGATGTCTGCGGCGAAGCACCGTCTGCGAGTATTTCATCACTAAGCGGCCCGGTCGGAAACAACAAGAAAAGGCATCAGCGCCTGTGCCCACGAGTATCACTCCACCCTTGCTGCCAGAGTTAGACCGCCCTGCGACGAGTATGCTGCTAGATCAGCACCCGCTGCCCGTGCAGGATGATATAACTCCTAGCGATTCTGATACATTCTCAAACCTCTTTGATGGTACCGAAAACTCATTATCCTCGGCTATTACAACATGGAGCTCAGAATTTGATGACTACCTTGCACCATTTTCGGGTCTTGAATCGGTCGCCCTTGATTTTCTGGACGCGGGACCACTTGGTCCCACCGTGGGCCATCAAATGAATAGCAGTAGCAGCAGTGCCTCTGGATCCGGCAGCGCTGTACCCCCCGAAGATACCATCTCTCTCTTTGGACGACCAGTCCCCGCTCCCAATCCACCAGTCCTATACTCCACAGACGCAGGGAATCGGGACCGACAGAAATCATCATCGTTGCAATCACCCTGCTCCTGCCTCCCACGTGCATTAGACCTCCTGAAGCGGCTGGCCGCAGCAGACCAGGCCCCGGGACAGACAAACAAATCTCATTCCAAAGGGCCGGCCCAGTCTCTTGATATAACTATCACGACCAATCAGCAGATCATGGACACCCTAGGGATAATTCTTCAATGCTCTTGCTCGCAAGATAGCTACCTGCTTGCGACGGTCTCGTTGGTTATATTCAAGTGCTTCGATCTATACGCTGCTGCTGCTGCCAACGAGCGCCTTGCTCAGGCTCAACGACCTCCACCCGCATCAATTAGGATCGATGGCAATTTAATAGAGAATGATGAATTGGATTCTCGCATGGCAGCGGCCCAGAGAGTCCTGGGGGAGCTGCACCGCGTGCAGCAATGTATAGCACGGCTTTCGCCAAAGTTACAGGCGTGCGGGGACACTGCATCAGCGCTTTCAGAAGGTTTACTAGGTCACTTGGAGCCGGAATTACGGAGACGACTTGGGACGTTATCTATGGGCTTGATTCAGACTTTGCGAGCGGAGTGACTGTCCAAGAATCTGTATTTAGAAGTGTGTATAGAGGTTACATATATTCAGAGATAGATTGTGCAAACCACAGCTACGAAGAAATGAGATTATCAATAAACGACCCACGAAGATCATTCTACCTGCCATAGAAACATAATTTCAATCAATGAAACATGACAAGAATCATGAACTTAAAAAAGGAGACAAAAAAGAATCAACATTAGCCTTGCGGGTTTACAGCTTCCGACCTTCTTCAATAACCTTTCTCACCGGCTCCCGACTCATCATACGATCCAACCAATCCTTCACAAAAGGAAAGTTATTCACATCATACCCATCCTCCTCCTGAATAAACTTAGTCACCGTAATCTGCCAACTAGCCCAAGCTAAATCAGCGAAGGAAACCCTGCCCCCAACCAACCACTGACCCCCCTCACCAACCTCTTGCTTACTCAAAAAATCATTAACAACCCCTGATACTCGATTAATCTCCTTCACATAACGCTCAAGTGCACTGGGTACCCTCTCAGGATGGAACTTCTTAAACCAGCATGCCTGGCCATAGTATGGACCTTGGCCGGAGGCCTGGAAGAAGAGCCATTGTCGTGCGAGCTGGGCTTCCTTGGAGCCGGGCTCGAAGCTAATCTTGCGAGACGTGTCGTATCGCTCCACCAGGTATTCGACGATAGCGCCGGATTCCCAAAGGGTGAGGTCGGTGTTTGGATCGTAGATTGCTGGAAGTCTACCGTTGGGGTTAACGGAGAGGTATTCTGGGGATTTGACATCTGCCAGAGTGATGGGTTGGAATTCGTGAGGAATGTTGAGTTCTTCAAGGATGATGGCTACTCTGGGTGGGTTGGGACCACCTTTTCCCCAGAGTTTGATTGGAAGGATGTTCGATGACATTGTAGAGTTGTGGAATTATGCCAAAGACGTTCTGAATTGAATGGAACGATTTCAAGGAAACGGTCTACTTGGAATTCTATATAAGGTGATATATTGCGTGACATTACAAAGCATTATTAATGTTAGCATGTTACGGACGATCGGGTTTTAGAGTGACCGAAAGAAACAGGGATTATTCGTTGACAAAGAACACGCCACGATGGCGGGGAAAAAGATCTTGAAATATCTCAGAAATTTATCCGATCTAGGCCGGTCCAGTGGAAGGCAAATAAGGATGCAGAAAAGGCAAGTAGTGTCTAATAAAACCCATTGCAATACACATAGGGCCACCACGGGGAAACTTGGCAGGTCCATTGACCGACAAAACCCCTACATTCCGCATATCCCACTTCCCATCGGGATCATCCACCGCCTCTATCATCCCTGCAGCCAGGTCCGCATAGGACAAAGGGCTACGCTCCTCCGTCAAACTCAACGCATGCCCATGCACTACATCCACCGACAGCCCTCCAGGTTTGATGAAGATGGTCGAGAACCATTCTTGTTGCGCGCGGAGAAGATCCTCGGTCACCCGAAGATCATGGTAGACATGCGATGCCGATCGTAGCAAGATCCATCGGACCCAGGGCGGGGTATGTTGGGAAAGTTGATCGTCGATCGTGTTGGATGATAGAAGCACGAGTTTCGGGATAATGACATCACTTGATTCGGCGCGTAGGGTTTCAAGTGCTTGAATTACCCCGAGGGCTGTATCTTGTCCCATGCGACAACCGGGGATATTGTCGTTGGTGGAGACCACGAGGAAGACTGCCCGAGCGCCACGGAGGCAGTCGGTGAGGAGGGCGACATTGTGAATGCTACCTTCGAAGATCTGCACTTTTTTGCTTTCGGCAAGCTCGGGAATCAGGCCTAATAGCTTGGGTTTGTTTCGGCAGTAGGCGTGGATTTGGGCGGGTGACTGGAGGAGTTGATGGATCAACGCAGTACCACAGTTCCCTGTCGCTCCAAGAACTGCATAAGCCATTTTTACTTTCTTTTTTGCAATTCTCTGCTCTTATTGATCAATATCCTGATCTATTGTCATTTTCTGCAAAACATACAGGTGATCTTAACTGGTCACTTAATTCTGAATTGCCCCGAATGTCGGGTCGGGTGATTTCATTCTTAGCTCATTCTACTGAATTATGCCGAGCTTATACCCCGACATGACTACAGGACTTTGTCAATGTTCCGCGTCGCGAGAATCAAAGCAACAGGCCAATATCCATCAAGCCGATGTCCTTGTCGGACCAAATCCTCCACTTCCTTCCAGAGCGGTGCAAAAGTCTCAGGATCCCGAGCAGCATGAGGAAATGACCGAAAATGCTCCTGGAAAGTCTCCAGACTCAACTCAAATCGCCATTCCTCATCTCGTTCATCCACCAAAACATCATTCGGCCCAGTAAAGTCGGGATCCGTCACATCTCCCCGATTCTCAGGTGGCAGGATCCCCGTCAACCCCCCTCTATCCATGTTCAAGAAGATGCGTCGTACACCAGGCTGGAACCCCTCATCCAGGGGTGCCACATTGTAACGATCCTGGCTACGAGCCATGACGTTGATCGTGTCCCTGCGGTTCTCAGCGGTCTTCAACAAAAGTCGCCCACCCTCTGTCATGATACGATCCCATACATTCTGGACCCGATCGTCGCGGAACCGCGCAGCTCCAAAGGTTGCAGCGGCGAACGTACCGCCGGGCTTTAGTTGAGCTGCGATGGTCTTCATGGCTGCTGTTTGGTCCGCCCAGTGAATGGCGTTCAGAGCTATGACCAAATCCACCGACCCGTCCGTGATATCTCTGATCTCCTCCATCTTTCCCTCGCGGTAGGTGTATCCGTCCATGCCCAATCTCTTTTCGGCCTGTTGTATGTTCCCGGGGACGACATCCGAGACGATAACATGTTGAAATTGAGATCGCAGGAGGCGCGAGTAGACTCCGTTTCCAGCGCCAACGTCGTGAACCACGCCAAATTGACCGTGATGCTGCCTATGATAATCGTAGATACGTTGGAATAGACTGGGTGGGGGCTGTGGACGGCCTTTGCTGTAGTTTTGCCAGAACGCAGCGTCCTGTGCAAAGATTTCATTGTTGGTGTCCACTGTCATTTTGTCTCAATCGGCGCTGTAGAAGAGCAGGGACCTGCAAGGTCATTTTCAAATTTGATGATTGTATTCATAACAAAACTCATCAGGCAGAAACCAAGTAATCGCCCAATTGCCTCGGTGGACCAAATGTCCCGGGTCGACGATATACCCCGAATATGAAACCGATTTACAAAGTCGGGCAAAACGGCCGACCGGGACATTTTTGGAGTATAGAGCTACGCATGATCCGAGAAAGAAAAATAGATACGAAACGTGGTAATTTGGTCTTGCGGAGTGGTATGGAAGAAGAAATGATCGAAGAGAGGGGAAAAAGGATAAGTCTCTAACCCCGAGCTGGTGTCCAATTTAGTTAAGAGTGGAATTGGCCGACACCCGATCCTCTTCACCGAATTCTATTCCATAGGCCTTTCCATCCTATCACAGCCCCCGCCAATGGAGAAAGCGAGCGTACTACATGCAACCACTGCCACCGAACACACAGTCCTCGCACTTCCTCCAGAGCTGCTTCTGACGAACCGTACAATGCAAATAATGCATTATTAGTGGGGGCCATGAAAATCCACGTAAATGGTACCATGGTAACAGTTGTTGCAGCTGCGAGAGCGTAGTTTGACCATGATAACCCTACGGCTCGCTTTTGGCTGGCCACAGAAATATATAGAGCACATGTGCCGATTGAGAGAGCTGGCATGATCTTATGACCGTAGTCATATAGAGACATGAATTGGTTGAGCAGTTGACTGGGTTGAGTGCTGGTGTCTAGCAGGACTGGGATTGTGATGATGGAGAGGGACATCATTGCGCCTGCATTTCAGTCAATTTCAAGATTGCTTGGTGTTTTGCGACTGAGTTGGAATGGTATATGCACCTGAGAGAAAGGAGCCGGAGGTGACTGCAGCGGCCTCGATGCCAAGTTGACTGTGAATTTGTGCCATGGTTCGGGTTTGATAGATAGAAGAGGAATTCAAAGCAATTTCGATGAATTTAATGAAGGAAGAATAGAGTTATTGAGCGTCTATTGGTCGCACTTTTAATATTTCCTTTACTACTCGAGTCGGGTTTCTTTGTGGTCAAGGGCCAAATCTTGGAAAGTGGGTCGTCTCTTTATTCAAGTAGATCCTGAAGTACTCTAGCGAATTACGGTTGGAGCTGCCGGGGAATGCTTTCGTCCCGAAAATTGTTATGATCGACCGAAACCGAGGAACATTTATGACCCTGAAGCACCCGGTATTTCTGCCTCTTTCTGAGATCGAAAGATTTTCAATACGTTTCCTCGACATCGATTCAATCTCTACAAATCAAGATGGCCAGTCCATCAACTCCACCAAGCAAATACCTTTGCCTCACTATTTGCGGCTACCGCAAGCCTGGCATGAGCGAAGAGGACTACCGGCACTACATGACAAAAGTTTCGGCTCCCATGACCAAAGACCTGATGGTCAAGTACGGGATCAAGCGATGGACCATGATTCACAACCCTACCCAAACACGGGAACTTATGAGTCAGCTATTTGATTCGCAGATGGTTAATTTGGCCGACTACGACTGCTTTAGTCAGGTGGTGTTTGAGAGTATTGAAGACTATAAACGCATGAAGCAAGATCCATGGTATAAGGAGAAGTTATTTGGAGATCATGAGAACTTTGCCGATACCAAGCGGAGCTCGTGAGTTGATATGCAGTGACTCCATTTGATGCGCAACTAATACCAACCACTAGTATGACTATTGGGTGGATTGAGGATTTTATCCGAGATGGTGTGGCCGTGAATGGGGCGGAGGATAAAGAATCGCCTTGTGTTATCTTGTAAGATTCAGCGGATATATAATATTGCACAGATCAATGCAAAGGAAAAATGAAAGCCCGGGTACAAGGATTTAATCAGCCCCGACATAAGGAGTCAAAGAGGAGCCCCTCGGGTTCGGTGTGAGGGAGCGAGGCACGTGGCCCCCTGGTCGGCGTAGATAGCCCCCTAGCCCGAAGCTTCATTTCCGAGATGGTCATAAAACGAAACGGGATTTTCCAGTAGCCAAAATGTGAACTTCAAACGGTAGTGGAAAATGTTTTTCAAGAATTGGCTGGTCATTGCGCTCTCTGGTTTGGTGGCGGCCGAAGATTGTGTTAATGCACCAGATAGCCGAAACTGTTGGCGAGATGGTTTTGACATCAATACGGATTATACCGATCCGGCGAATGTGCCATCTGGAAAACTTGTTGAGGTAAGTTTGAGTTTCACGAATTAATGGTAATTAGATGCTTAATGGTTCTTGATGCTATGTAGTACGACCTCACTGTGGCACAGCAGATCATCACACCCGACGGGTACGAGAGACTCGGGACAGTTTTTAATGGTACCGAAAGCACATAGAAGAAATTCACACCAATGAGACTGATCAAAATTTAGGTCAATACCCTGGTCCGACAATTGAAGCAGATTGGGGAGACACGCTTCGTACGTCGGGCTCTTTCCGGGGTTTAAGTTCTGGACTAACAGCCGTATTTGCCTTAGGAATCACCGTCAGGAATAATTTGACCAATAATGACAATGGAACTGCTGTGCATTGGCATGGTATACGTCTATTTGAGACGAATTGGCTCGATGGTGTGCCTGGTGTCACGCAATGCCCGATTTCGAGTAAGATTCTTTGATCCCATCACACTACCGGTATTGATTGTTCTGCAGCCTGGTGAAGCTCAAGTCTATGAATTCAAGCCAACCCAATATGGAACATCGTGGTATCACTCTCACTTTAGCTTGCAGTGTAGGTCAATGGTAAATTTGTTACTTTGCATTTCACTGACGGAATCTGATAGATTCAAATGGCTTGCACGGTAGGGAGTCCTGTACACCACAGCCTCATGTTTTTGAACTAAAAGCATCATAGGGCCTATTCATATCCATGGTCCGACCAGTGCTAATTGGGACATCGACTTGGGTCCATGGACCATCACAGATTGGTATCACGACGATGCCTTCACTTTGAATTGGATATCTCTGGCTGGTCAATTGGCTCCTTTCCCCAAGTCGTCGCTGCTCAATGGCAAAGGTGTATACGAGTGCGACCCCGAAAGCGACAGTCGCTGCACAGGAAAACAAGACTACTTCGAGCAGATCCTCCAGAGCGGCACACGATACAAGGTTGGGCTGATCAATACCGCCACGCTATTGACCTACTCGTTCTGGATCGACGGACACAACTTTACAGTCATAGCTTCAGACTTTGTTCCGATTGAACCATACAAAACCAGCAAATTGAATATAGGCATGGGACAACGATATGACATAATCATAGAAGCGAATGCCGACTTTGTCAACGGCTCCAACTTCTGGATTCACGCCGAATATTGCGCCGAAGCTGGAGTTATCGACAACACCAAAGTCGGCATCATCCGCTACAATGCGAACAATACTGCAGAGCCTTATACTCCAGCACCTACCGACGACTACAAGTGCGCCGATATCCTTCCCAGTAACCTTGTCCCAGTCGTATCCAAGAGTGTCGGTCCTAAGGCAAATGACTTGGATATCAAAGACTATCTCACTGTCGGAGAAGTTAACAAGCTCCCTTCCCCCTGGATTCTCGACCCCCGTGTGCATCTCTGGACAATCAAAACAACCCCACTCTATATCGACTGGGAAGTGCCCAGCATTGTAAAATTAACTGCGGGCGACGACAGTACGATCAATACCCTATTTCCAGCGCAGACCGTTCCCATCGAACTCGAATTTGAAACCGGTGAATGGGTCTATTTTGTCATAACGGCCAACTACTCCGTCGAAGATGTCGTCACACCACGCAATCTGACACCCTCGGTACACCCGATTCACTTACATGGGCATGACTTTGCTATCCTGGCACAAGGACACGGGGAATTCACAGATGACGTGGAGCCGAATTTGGTCAATCCACCGCGTCGGGATGTTATTAATGTCGATATTAATGGATGGGCGTGGATTGCATTCCAGATTGATAACCCTGGAGCCTGGTTGATGCACTGCCATTTACAATTCCATTCATCAGAGGGTATGGGTTTGCAATTTATTGAACAACGGTCGAAGATTAGGGGGCTGGCGGAGAGAGCGGATGTTTTGGGAGAACTCTCGGATCGATGCGAATCGTGGTCTGACTGGTATCAGTCGAAGAACATTCCTGATAATTCGATTCAGGAGGACTCGGGGATCTAGAATTTCTTTGTCCGTGTGGATCTTTCAAATTCGTGTACATGAGGCTAGCTAGATTAGACCTAAAAACTCTCGGATTACTGGGATTTGCCGAATCGGGTTATTTAATGTAATGTTAATGTGGATAATTGGTCCTATCGACGGATCCCGCATGGATGGCATCCTTTTTCTGGCCGTACCTCCCACAGGGTGACATAGTGCCGTGGTTCCATTGGCACGGTTAATAGTCGGCTGAATGGGCTTGCTGCAACTTTGTATTCCCCGAGGTCTACTCCAGTAATGCAGGTGAAAATGTAAGGCGGGGCAACTCGCTATACTCTCGCTGTACTATAAGATGGAATCGAACCTCCCCTCTCAGCTCCGAATCCACTCCTACAAAATAAACAAGGGAACATCGACTGTAGATATTGATACTGACTCAATAACATGGCAACATCCTCGCGAATACTCATTACAACCGATCACCCAGGCAAAATCGCACAAGTGAACAAAAGTCCATCGGGCTCAGCTGAAACAGCCAACCACCTGCTCCAAAGAAACCACGACGAAAACCACATCTTCTGGCGTGCTGTCGCAGGACACAATCATGTCGCACACTCCGTGCTCACGACCCTCGCCCTAGGCGGTGGTCCCGCGGAACTGCAGCGTGCCTTCGATGACGGAGTCGATATTCAGCAACCAATCCCCACCACCAATGCCGAAATCGTTGAACAACTCAGCAACGAAAATGTATTTCGCGCACACGTAGGGAAGCTGGATCAGTATGGGAATTTCCTCGCTTTCTTCAGCAAGCAAATTGAAGCACATGGGTACCGCACTATTATTCAGGAATATTGTTTCAGTGGCCCTGGAATTGGAGAGACGATGTTCGCACAGCTGTTCGAGGGCTTGTACCACCCTGTCATTCATCTTGCGCTGGGAGTCGAGTTTCAGCAGCCCGCTATAGTGGCTGAGGCGCTTGCTCAGGCGGCATCGCATGATTCGATGGGGTTTGAGACGTATTTCAAGCGGGTTGAGGAGCTCGCGCGCGAGGCACCTGCGGCAAGCATAGGTTCTCGACCACTGGTAGAGCTGTTTCGGGATATATCGACCACTCCGATGCTTCGCGATGTATCACGGGGATTCGATGATGGACCTGCAAGAGTGCGCGAGGGTGTCTTGGGACGAGTGAGGGAGGAGATGGCTATATCAGCAGCACAGTTCAGAGTCGAGCAGTATGATTCTGAGACTGTGCAGCGGCGGCTTGCGGAATCTTTCAGTGTTGCGGCGTATGTAGCGGGTGCTGCACAGCAACCGGGGAAACCTCGCAAGGTCGATTTTTTCCATTTGCACACCATTACTGCGGCGCTGGCTGTGTCTGCTTTGGTGCAGCAGGATTGGATTCCTGTTGCCGTGAAAGCTCGCTTGGTGGAATGGAAGACTCGCACGGATCTGGTATGGTATGCCGCTAGTGGTGCAGTTGAGCTGCGTCTTCAAGATTTATTGGAATATTCACCCGGTCCTAGTGCTGGGATGGACTGGGCAGCACTTTATACCGCTGTGACAGCCGTACATGATGATGGGCATTTGGCTAAGTTTTTGCGGGGGTTGAAGCATGGCGAGGAGGTTTCGAGGCCTTTTGAGGATGCCGACGAAAATGATAGCTTTCCTATTCGGGGGGATACCTGGTTGAGAATTGCACAACTGGCGTATGATAGTACTGTTGACCGGCCGATTGAGCGGAAGTGGATTTGGGGTATAGGGCTTGAAGAGAACTGGGGCCTTGTGTTGGCGACAGAATTATAGATTTTGGATTCTTATTGAAATTTTCCTTTCCATCCTTTAAACCAGTCAAATTGAGCGAAGTCACAGACCAGTACCTTCGCGCCGCAGCTGAAGCTGAATGTTCCCTATGCAATTAGTAATTTTGTTTGAGTTTTGCACAGGACTCCGTTTTGTGAACAGTAGTAAATATCCCATCGGCATCGCAATGGCCTCGGCCGCTCATAAAATCTATCTGAGAACACTGCTTCTCCGTGTACATGCACGATTCGGCGATTGAGAAGTGCCTCGGCGTCCCCTTATTTAGACAGATAAATCACCATGGATCCGTACCGTTTCGCTCCACTCAGCCAGACGATCTTTTTGATCTGTTCGACCTCATTTTCCTCTTGAAAGTCTGTGTGAAGTCCTCCCGTTGCGCCCCCGAAGTTTCGTAGACACTTTCTTTCTTCACATCGTTTAATTTCAAGGGAAACCACTGCTCGCCCTGCAACGTAGCTCCCGGCACGGAGTTCAGCCAGTGAGTGGCTCGGCGTAGCTGTGCCGCGCTTTCTTCCGAATCAACAAAGACCTTGATCGTAGTTCGGGATTCGGCTTGACTCCGACAATCTCAACGTTCGATGCAGTCGTTTCCTCTTTCAGTGCGGCCCGGACCTTCTCGCGCGTTCGTGTGGGGTCGTCGACTAATGCTTTGGTTTCCTCGTTCGCCGATCGCAAGTCCAGGACGACAGCCGGAAGACCAAGACTCGAGCGCACCATCCGGGTGTTGGACGACACCACCGATAACTGGGACACAATCGATGCCCAGCTTCGTCCGGTGCTCGGGCTGGTCACCGCGGTGCGGAGCGACTGGAGCTCCGCACGCAGCTCTTCGTAGTGACCGTGACAGGCGCATATCGCCCGGTCGGTTGTCATTAGACTTTAGCATGGGCCGGCCCATTGGGCCGGACCCCTGCCCACGGCCCATTGCTGCCTGATTCTGCCTGATTTTTGGACATAAACTGCTGAGTCACCTGAAATTAATTCTTTTATTTACCCCTGTTTTCGTTAAAACACATACCACCTACCCTATTATCTATCTTCTCTATTGTATTTTTATGAAATATCTCTGTTTATAGACAGTTAATATATATCTTTACTAGTATAATAGCTATTTTTAATAGATAAGGGTAGGGTATATAGTATATTATAGAGTAGTAGTTAATAACCCTGCTAAGGTATGAAGATATATATTTCGTATCTACATTACCCTCACCATGTTTCTGGTTATACCATCTTTAGTACTAAATTTACCCCATAAGTGCGTTTTTGAACTATTTTGAAGTAGAATCCAATGAATTAGACCCTCTAATATCTATATTCTTTATTCAATTGATAAAAAATAGCTAGAAATAGTATCAAAGTTCGGATGAAAGGTTCGAATTGTTAGTGTCACGGGCCAGTGCCCGGTATAAGGTCACGTGCACCACGTGACCATAACAACCTAACACACAGAACACCTACTTAATAATTCTCTCTTTAAGCTTTTTGTACACAGTTCGTGGCCTAGCTCAATTGAACATAAATTCTGCTTCAGCCCTTCACATCGAACCTTTCATCCGAACTTTTATACTATTTCTAGCTATTTTTTATCAATTAAATAAAGAATATAGATAATAGGGGGTCTAATTCATTAGATTCTACTTTGAAATAGTTCAAAAACGCATTTTTAGGGTAAATTTAGTACTAAAGATGGTATAACCAGAAACATAGTAAGGGTATACATATACGAAATATATATCTTCATACCTTAGCAGGGTTATTAACCACTACTCTATAATATACCCTATACCCTTCCCTTATCTATTAAAAATAGCAATTATACTAATAAAGATATATATAATCTATCCATAAACAGGGATATTTTATAAAAATACAATAGAGAAGATAGATAATAGGGTAGGTAGTATATATTTTAACGAAAACAGGGGTAAATAACAAAATTAATTTCGAATAAGTCATCAGATTATGCAAGAAAAATCAGGCAGAAACTAGCAAAATCAGGCCCCCACGGGCTTTTTTAGGCCCGTGGGCATGCCCGTCATAGACATGGACAAAGGCCCCCTGTCTATGGTGGACATGGACAAGGGGTCTCTGTCCATGGACAGGCCCGTGATTAGTCTGTGCCATAACCCGCAAATGGGTAGGTAAAGTCAACCCGCAACCCGAACCCGCAAAACCCATGGGTTGGTCAGGTCAACCCGCAACCCGCCCCATGCGGGTTGCGGGTTCGGGTGCGGGTTACCCACGCTAGCCCATCTTTGCATAAATTTCTAACGCTATACCTAAATAGGATGGATAAATTTGATTATTCATGAAATTAATTACTGTTATTTACACATGTTTCTGTCACGCTTTTGAATTTCTCGTTATTCAATCATTAGTATCATGAATTTAAAAGGATTTAGGTTGTATATCAAAACTTTAAGTCTGGTAATAAGATTGCCTTTAGGATTTAATGTATTTAAGGTAGGTTGTGGTTATTTAAAAGAGTTTAGGTAGGAAATGGTTATTTGGGGTGGAAATATATATATTTCATGTAGAGCTCTTCAAGTGTATCTTCTAGGAGATTTATGGACCTTCTCTCCCCTACCTAAATCAGCTTAATTTCAACTTTTTTAATATCAAATGTATGACTGATTTCTATAGAAATCAGCAGTACTTTTATATACTCTCTCTATCTTAGACTCTGTCGTTCAGTGGCAGACTTTATCAGCCATTTCTACAGCAATTAGTAATACTTTCATAGCCTGAAAAATCAGGAGATCAACGATTTCTATAGAAATCATTAACCCCTAAGGCCTTCAGTAACCCATAAATTCAATGGGTTTTTATGGGTTTTTATGGGTTTCTTATGGGTTTCTTGTGGGTTTCTGCGGGTTTCTTATGGGTTTCTGCGGGTTATTGCGGGTTACTTGCGGGTTACTTGCGGGTTTCTTGCGGGTTTCTTGCGGGTTACCTGATAACCCATAAATTCTATCCAATAGGAACCATGCTTTATTATAAGTCAAGTTGTGATAGATCAACATACTCAGTTTTTCACTATACAGCATGGTCAACCCCCCTCTTTATTATTAAATTCCCTTATTTACAGCATTGAAAATTCCACGTAAGTGCCTACTGCTCTCATATTCTTCTAAACCATCTACTACCCCTCTTTACTTTCTATATGTCTCAACTCCAATACTCTGATGCTGATGGCTTCTCATCATCTATCTACGATGGTGATATAGATAATCTTCCTTATTTTCCACCAGAGGACTCACATCTTTTATATACACCCGAACTCTCAGTCAGCCAGCAGACAACCAATTCCTTTGATCAAGAGTTTATTCGACCATCCGCCCCTCTCACGATCCCTTCCTCTCTAAAACGCGTTGGCCCAGATCGTCGAAAGGGCTACATTCTCTATGAAAGCATGACACATAGTGATTGGGTAGAATGGTGGCTTCAGACCGACTTTGGGAAACAAAGTAGGGTACGATGGGACTCAAACCACTTTTCTGAAGTTTGGACCCAGTTCGATCAGGTAGCAAATGCCGCTGATGGTGCACCAAAGGTAATGTGCAGACGTTGCGGGCAAATCCTTGAGCACCCTCAATCTCCATGCGCTGGAACGAGTATGCGCCATGGAACTTCGACAATGAACAAGCATTTAAAGGGTATTAATTGTCGCAATTATACTAAGAATAAGACGCAAGCATCTGGTATTACCCAGTTTATACAAACAGCTGTAAGTATAAATATTCATCTATTCTTCTATTTTTCCAACTTTCTCTTCGATCATTAAGAGACGTGTTTTTGTGCACAAAAACATATCGTTAATTACTATTCACGCTCAACGCTTAACTTTCAACGCTATAGAGCAGAAACCCTTTAACCAATCACAAATTTACACAAGATGCATGGGAACAGAAGCTTCTTACTTTCCTTACGGTCGCACGGCTTCCATTCCGACTAGTCGAGCACCCTGAATTTCATAGCCTTATCAGAATGGCCCAAACTGCCCCAACATGCCCTGAGATCCCGTCACAAAAACGTATTAGAAACCGGCTACACACTACAGTGAAAGAGAGACAAGAAGATTTACTCCGAAGGCTACCTGCTGGGTCTAAGATATCAATTGCGCTTGATTGCTGGACATCTCCATTCTCACAGGCGTTCATGGCTATCAGTGGCTATTTTATTGATGAGGACTGGCAGTATCGTGAGATCCTTCTTGGATTCGAACCACTTTATGGAACACACTCTGGTGCAAATCTGAGTGTAGTACTCCTGGAGATCCTTCAGCGACATAAAATTGAGGATCGAGTTCTTGCAGTTGTCACTGATAATGCATCAAACAATAAGACCTTAGTCGACACCCTTCAGCAATCTATGTCAGATGATATTACCCTGATTCGGGTCCCCTGTATCGCGCATGTTATTCAACTCAGTCTAAATGAGCTTCTTGGTTCTATGAAGGCGGACCCTATGAATGAGACAACCGAAGCACGGTGGACTGAGCAGCGGTCCCAGTCAGCTCGCATGAATGCAAAGCACCATAGACGAGAAATTGTGAGAACGTTAAATAAGGTAAGTGATATCAAATCTATGAAATATTACTATTACTTATAAAATTCTCCAGATTCGCAGTCTTGCTATCTATATTAACGCTAGTCCTCAACGCCGGGAAGCATTCTATAAACTTCAACCTGAATCTGTCAAACTTACGCCTATTCAAGATGTCAAAACACGTTGGAACTCTACATTCCTCATGCTTCGCCGTGCAAAGCGCCTCCAATCTATCTTTAACCCTTTTTGTGAGGAATACGATCGGACAGACTTGATTTTGGATGATGAGGAGTGGCGGCAGATTGAATATCTCCTTTGGATCACACAGCCATTCTTTGAGTTCACTAATGAACTTTCGAAGACAAAAGACGTTACAGCCCATCATATCTTCAAGATTTATAACAAACTGTTTGAACATCTCGAGCTATCGATTTCCCAACTCCAAAGAAAGAAGGCTACTTGGAAAAAGAAGATGCTTGAAGCGCTTCAGGCTGGCCTCCAGAAGCTTCGAGTCTATTACTCTGAAACAGATAATATCCGAGGTGACCTTTATGAAATTGGCACTATCTTAGCGCCAGAGAATAAGCTCCAGTTTTTCATGACTGACGACTGGTCTGATGAATGGCGCCAAAGATATCGACAAAGCTTTAAGGATTACTTTATCCCCTACCAAAGCCGTCTTACTAGTCAACATGATTCTATTCCCTCCCAGTCATCTACTAGGGTAGGATCACGTCTAGATATGATGCTTAAAGGGAAAAGGCAACAGGCAATACCACGTGATGAAGTTACGCAATATCTTGATAGTGGTAAGTTTTATCTGTCTTATACTTAAATATTATTAATCTCTTTAGATATTATTGAAGTTACCCCTCTTACGTTTTGGAGAGAGAATCAGTACCGATTTCCAGCACTTGCAAATCTCGCTCGGGATGTCCTTTCAGTTCCAGCATCTGGTGCTGGTGTTGAACAACTGTTCAATACTGCTCGTGATATTTGCCACTACCGCAGAGGGAGACTAAATGCCACAACTATCCAAGAATTAATGATGTTCCTCTGCACTTCAAGGTTTGATATGCAAGAAGAGCAGTTCAAGTTCTTAAAGGAGTTCTTCTCTCATGATGAGATTGAAGCAGTAAATGAAGAAAGAGATGATTCAACTGATCAATTTGATATTGATCCAATCAGTGATGATGAGGAAGAGGATACACAAGGGCAAGAGGAGACTCAAAGGTCTAAGTCACCTGAAGACCACAGTGAGCATGATTCGCCTGATTTACCTATGATAGAAGGGGTAGATACTCAAAAACGCACATCAGGGAGAGTGCGTAAGCGTGTTAGACGTGAAGATAGTGATTTCCTATATGATTAGCTGTTTATTTAATATATTCACTTTATATTCTATCTACTTGAGTGATTCATAAATCAAGATTTCATGAATTAAGATTATATTGCGAAAACTACAAAGCTGTACTAGGCTGTACTAGGAATACTCAAAAATACTCAAAAATACTACATAATTTATGCAGAGAGAGCTATTTCTATGTTTGTCCTGTTTGACGACCCGTTGGGTAACCCATAAACCCGCGCGGGTTTCCCAACGGAACCCGCAACCCGCATGCGGGTTAGACAGACCGACCCAAAACCCGACCCATAGGGAGGATGGGGCGGGTTCGGGTGCGGGTTTCTGCGGGTTACGGCACAGCCTACCCGTGATAAAGCCTAATTATGGACGATTCACATCCCCTACTAATACTAGTTAACGGAGAACTTAAATACGAAGTGGAAGAGATAATAGACGTAAGACGTAAGAAAATCGGTCGAGGATACCGTGATAAAGCCCTAATGAAATGGACAGGTTGGGCAGAATAAACCTGGCAGAGGCTCGACGACGTACGAGATTGCTCCGCATTAGATGCCTTTGAAAGACGATTCGGCCCCGTTTCGACCCTATTACAGGCCCGCAAACAACCGAATACGACTATAATACACACGAGGAGGACCGCCCTAAAGGGGGGGTACTGTCACGGGCCAGTGCCCGGTATAAGGTCACGTGCACCACGTGACCATAACAACCTAATACGCAGAACACCTACTTAATAATTCTCTCTTTAAGCTTTTTATACATAGTTCGTGGCCTAGCTCAATTGAACATAAATTCTGCTTCAGCCCTTTATACTACCCTAACGACTTTTGAATTATTCCCCTACCCTATCTACTATAAAATAAGCTATCAAATTCGGAATATAGAACATTTAGATACTAACTTAGAACTTCCTAAATTTTTAGCGAAATCATATGAGTGGATCAGAATGCAGTCTGGTGCTGAAAATATTTGCAGTCTGCTATGACCTACTTTTTTTTACTATGGGAAAAAACGCCAAGACTGTTGCAGTCCAGTAGACTGCAGTCACTCCCATAGGATAGGTTATACCGTAGAGTCACCGAACTATCGGCGTTATAAATAACTCCGTAGAGCAATGATGGAGGTCGAGCAGCTTAAGATACATCAATTTTCGAATCTTCCTAGGGGACCTTGATAATCCGGAAAATCCTCTCACCTTGTTCTAATTTACTTCTGTGGGATTACTTCTGTGGGATTGAGGGTAGAGCATAAGAACGATACATAGATGGACATTGGCAGATGTTAGACTGGTTTACAGGAGATCAACGGCACTAGTTCACGACTTTTCTACTTATAAGATCTTACTCATAAGACCCTTGGAAAGCTCATTTCCATCGTCATGTAGTATTTCATTAGAGGGCATGGTCCAAAGCTGGCGCCATATTTTGTCGCTCAATTACATCACCCATATGAGAGCATTGAAAATGCCACTTGAGGCATGAGATATTGTTTCTATCACACGATCACAACCTTCCCAATCTCAGACATGCGGAGAAGTTGATATTGCACATCTATTTGTCAAATATGCCATCGCCTACTTATATCATCAATTTTTATCTGTGGCAACCAAAATCGCATCCTCTTGCTACATTCTCACAGTCACATATGGCGGGGCTCACGGAGCTGCTGTTTGCCTGTATCATTTTGTTGAACCATGCCTCTGAAGTTCATTAGAAATATCCTTGAATAGCTTAACTTTTTACTTACTTTGATCGTGATAGGGCCACCTTGTAGGACTAGGCGAATACCGTAAATGCATCGGGGTAAATTGGTCGATCCATTGATGGAACGACATTCCAGCAGTTTCAGCATCAAAAATAGCATTGTCGCTAGGCTCAATCAAGCCGTCCGTCCTTTGAATAGAGATCTGACAGGTACGGTCCGCGACCTTCGTCATGGAGAATCTCTGCAGCGATAGGTTTTCGCCGAAAAAGTTCCAAACAGACTTCCAAAGACTATCCTCATGATCAGGAGGAGGGATGTAGGGGGGCGAAGAAGGAGTGTAATGTTGTCCGGGTAGTGGTTGTCCAGCTGGTTGGGCATAATACGGAGTTGAGCCTGAAGGGCATGCTATCGAGGTTCGGGTGAAAGCTGTTGAGGTCGGATTGTAGGGCGACGTTGTAGTGTAGGCAGGCAAAGCTGGAGTGTATGCAGAGGACGTTGGAGTGTAGGCAGGGGACGTCGGAGTGTAGGTAGGGGACGTTGGAGTGTAGGCTGTTGAGGTTGAGGTCGCAGAAGGCGGGATTGAATTGGGAAAAAGCCATTCTGGGGTTGGCGAAAACCAAAGTGATGAACAGTCCGGCAATAATGATGGTGAGATACCTTCCATGATCACCTCAAAAAGCGTGAAAACAGTGAGAGTTTCCTTGGCTTTCATGAGAAATGATTTCAAATCCTCGGAATTAATCCAAGTCTTGTGGAGATGGAGCTCTTTGAGGCGATTAAAATGAATTTTGCTAGCAAGCTCTCCAAAGTAATAGTCTTGCGAGATAGTAAGTCTTTCTAGGCGGGGAGCAACATAGATAAGCATAGTGACCCAAGTCGGTGTATCCATAATATGAGCTGGTTTTGTGGTTCTGAAAGCTGTGCAAACATGGAGGTCCTCTAGATAATCCAAAGTGGATTGAACAGAGCGAAATTGCTCTTCTGTGAGAAGTATTTCTGGGCCAATGCAACCACAGTAATCAGGATTACAAGTCTGTAACTTCCTGATCTTCCGGTTTGTCCCGTTTAGTGCCTGCAAGAGCCTCGACGCAGCTAGAGAGTTAACCTTGCCCATTGGGCTTCCGCTACCATGAAGCGGCCAAAGGTTCTTCCTCCCGAATCGGAAGTCGATTTGATTGATAAGGCGGCGCCAGCCAAGGAATCGAACTCTTTCTTGTCGTGGGTCGAGCAAAAAGCTCGTGGAATAATGTGCAAGTCCGATCGTGTCAAGGTTGTCGAAGTTTTCTAAGCACCCGCGTAGGCGCGTGCTAAAAGTCTCCGACTCCAGAAGGCTTGAGTTGTCCGCAACCAAGGCTTTGTATGTTGAAAAACGAGCCTTGAGTTCGTCGCCAGATACCGGCTGACAACTCTTCGATGACACGGCAAATTCGGAAATACCATATTCGCTTGCCGCATGGGAGCCATCAAACACGGAGGGGATTATCCACAACTCGTGAATTCGTTCCCGGATACCATCTGTTTTGGCAAGGGCTTCCAATTCCCCAAGGCTATCGCTTGTCACGATGAAGTGAATTCTTTTAAAAAAGCGACCAGTGAATCCCGCGAGTGATGATTTGTACAGTGCGCGACATGATAATCTGAGTTCTTGCCACTCAGAGAGCTGTAGATGGCTACAGACCTTAGACATCAATTCGACTGGCAGGGCCGTGATGGACATTTTGACTGGAATATTTGCCTCGGAGACAAGAAGTTCTAGCGAAGCGCTCAGCTGGAGGTTGAGGACTGTATAGAACCTAAGAGTCCAGGGTGCAAGACTGCTTGTCAAAAGAGAGAAAAGTTGGATGAGAGAATGTTGGAAATATTAAGACCCCGAATTAGTGCGGTGAATACGCCCCACTCCTACTCCCTAATGGACCGGGGATCCACCTCGATGAAGTGCGAACCTTGAATTGCGCCATGCCTGTTCAAGCTAGGTCAAATAAATCCCTGGATTTGGCGCTGAATAGCATATGCGGTGTTTAGGGGCCAAGAGTAAATATCATCATGCGTGTACGGAGTAAACAGTTGGACCCAGTATCTCTCGACGATCCCATTGGAGGACCAATTGCACCCGAACCCCCCCATCCTCTCGTCCTGGAGATGTAGCAGAGATTATCATTATTGTCCATGAATTATTTCTTCTTCTAGCATACAAATGGCATGACCTCCGATCCCCGCGCTAACTATCAGTCCTCGAAGTTTGCAAATACTTTATTTTGATATTGTCGGACTTTTACGACGATTTCACTATGGCTTGGAACTATCTGTTTGGCAATTTTATCTATAAGGTTAGTTTGAAGATCCGGGATAATGTCTTAGGACTGTTAAAACGGGCTTTTTGCAGGAGAAGATGTAGAGGATTTCTGACTTACTATCTAAATACAGGTCAACAGCCTACTATTAGTCAATCAATGCTAAATCATGTTCACTAGCGTTTAAGCGACGTTGGACATGAAGGAACTTGAAGGATCTAGCGAGGAAATGGAGGTTTTTGTGATGATTCGGTCGATCAGTCAGTAGTACAGCAGCATTTACTCCTACTACATGAAGAGCCTTATGGAGATGCTGTCTTGACATAAGAGCTCTGGCGTGGTTATGTATGTCGAGTCTTGGACAACCTTCTTGATCAGATATCTTATGAAGCCTTTCCATATTATTGGTGGTTATGTGTTGCGACGAATAAATAGGAGGTCATCTGATTCATGTTGTTCTAATTTAGAGGAGGATTCGTCAAACCCTCTTCTCCGATGTTGCGGTTTTCTTCCTGATCTGCACAAGCTTTATATCATATAACTAGTAACCTATTCCCTGTACCGCATGCAGATTATATCCATGGCTATGGGCAACGAGATCGGCCCAATTGTCAACCGTCTCTTTCATGACATCCGTCCCTACGATAGTCAGTACAAAGTTGAACATCGAATGGATAAGGAAGCGATGCATACCCCACATGAAATCTTGCCAGCTAGGATCGGCCCAAAGATCAGGATTCTTGTCCGATCCCCGAATTGCTTCGTCTCTCTTTCGCTGCTCCTCTCCGTCAGGTAAATGCAGCGCTTTCCTCGTCACCGCGGCACTCTTCTGTATGCGCTCTGCACGCTCCTTTCGTACTATCTGGTAGGCTTCCAGCGCCGTTGGAACGGAATCAGTCAGAGACAGAGCGCACATCAGCACACCCGCATCTTCAATTGCCTGTGCAGCTCCCTGGGCCACATATGGAAGCATTGGATGACACGCATCGCCCATCAACGCAACCTTGTTTTCAATCCAGGAAGGTAGAGGCAAGTGTGAGTTCAAAGTCCACTCCATCACATCATCTTCCTTGACGTAACTCAGCAAACTCTTTACCAAGTCATTCCAGTTGCGGTAGAAGGAGAGCATCTCCTGCTTATCGCCCTTGTTGGTCCAACTCTCTTCATTTGGGTCACCTGGTTTCTGGGGGTGTAGCAAGACCATATTGTAGACGGTGTTGTTTTTGATGGGGTACGCCATGATGTGTCCTCCAGGTCCCATCCAGCGCATGCCGACATCATCGTTCAAAAGATTCAGCGCGCGCTCATCTCCTTGCATCTGGTCCTTCGATATCATAATGCGGTATGCAGCATCACCGGTAGGTTGGCAGGTATCGGAAATTCCATGATGGGATGCCATTTGGTGGCGAAGATCTGATTTGATACCATCTGCGGCAATGACCACGTCGCCAGAAACCCATTCTCCTGATTCTAGCTGTACCTTCGCTTCAAAGTCATCGACTGCTCGGACTACTCGCGAGCTTGTGCGGAGCTCGATGCCTGCGTCCTGAACTCCGTCGAGAAGGATGCGCTGAAGATCCCCTCGGTGGATGACTGTCAAAGGGGCTTTGTATTTCTCGCCAACCTGCATATGTTGTTAGATGATGTCACTTTTTTCAAGAGAGATATGCAAACCTGGGGCATCAGGGGGGCTGTTCCAAGTTCCTCGTTGTTTGCATAACGTCGCAAAGAATTCTTTTCTAACGCGTTCGCCTTCTCCAAGACTCGTTCCAAGAGGCCAATGCGTCCTAGTATGCGTGCAGCGTTCGGAGCGACTTGGATCCCAGCACCGACTTCTGCAATCTCATGAACTCGCTCTAGGACGACGACTTCGTGTCCAGCCTTGTGCAATCCTAGCGCTGCGGTGAGTCCAGCAATGCCAGCTCCAACAATGATCACTTTGAAGGAGTGCTTGGCTTTGAAAGACCAACCAAAGTCGTCTTGATAACATTCCATTTTGTTATTTGGTACTTCTCGAATGTAGCAACATTTGGAACAAACAGTCGGTGTCTCATCATTTTTATACCCGGTGTGATGTCATTTTGGTGACGAAATAACATCCAAAAGCTTGCTGGTGGCCATAAGCAACCGCGTAATTCGGTTCCTCATCACGGTGTTACCTTCATTCGAATGTGAAGAAGCAACCGACAAATATGCCACAGACTACCGGAAACGGCGGCAATGAGTGGGTCCGCATGACGCTTGCTTACTGGATGATGTCAACAATTCTCGGCAAGTTTGACGGGACTTGAGAAAGCTCAAATTTGATTCCTGCTGTACGTCTATTTTGGCTTCGGCAAGGTTTTACGGTATGACATTCTGAAGCAGGGTCGGGTGCATTAGTGGAACCGTGGAAATTCCCGAGTGCCCCAAGAACCTCACTATCTGGCTTTGCGTCTTGGCCAAGATACCCACCTCACTAGAACACTGAACCATCTCTCTAGAGCCTTCCAGCAAGTAGAACCGAACAGAATAAAGCGATCTCGTGGTACTTATTTTATGCAGTGAGGATAGTTTGCACATTTTGTTAAACCATCATTATGAATTAGGCCTTCACATTCGCATGAAGATAAAAAGGAAACCTAAAAAGCAGGGAACACCTCTACCAAGGCAAGGAAATTTAAAACCCCACATATCGCAAGGACCATTCTTGGCTGCCTGAGTTCTTTTCGAAATTTTAGAGACGTGCGCGATTCGGACATACTAGCAAAAATATGTGCATTAGCTGAACAAGAATGGTTCGATCTATCTTTCATACCTAGATAAGGGTTTATCGATATCCCAGTACCATGCTTTATAAACATTTAGTTGTTTACTAGGCTTAGTTAGTATAGTAATTCAATTTTGCTCCGAATCGTCATCTCCGCAAACATACAATGCGCTATCAGTGTCATTTCTGTTAGGCTGCGTCCATAGAAGTGGAAGGGGCTGAACACGTACAAGCTGTTCGTACTCAATAATACAATGGGAAGGGAGATAGGCTATTGCGTCTGCAAATCTGCTCTTTTAACTCAATTTGTTGGGCTGTTTCATCATTTGGCTAGCGTCGATAATCTACAGTTTGCCCTAAAGCCGACCTTACGCAGGAGCGCACCCTATATAAAAAGTATCGATTTTTGGATCCTTATAACCACTATTTTATGATCGGGTAATGGGCGTGAAGTTGGACCAAAAGACGTCGATGGTCCTAGATTAAAATTTGCTAAACTTTGATCGGAATCCCATTTAAAACCTACCAGGATGCACAAATGGTCTCTCGTAGTCAACGAAAACCCAGTCTACTGAGATGAACTGCATCCCACTTACCCCCATGGATAGCACTCCCAGCTGTATAGACTATACGATCGCCTCGCCCACTGTGCGGGAAACATACTGATGGATCACCTTGGTATCCCTGGTGGCGTAAAACCCTCTGTGAAACCGCGTGACTAATGCCGCCGATCCATCTTCAATGAATAAGTGTCGCGGTCCCCCGGCGGCCGCTTTCGATGCCGATTATACTTAGCAACTCGGGCCCATGTGGTGACAGACTACAGCCATTCTCTCCTTGAAATCGAGGATGATGATGATGATGATGATGATGATGATGATGATGATGATGATTATATTCTATCAACCTGATGCTCCCTAGCTGGGGTCGAGTGGTAATGCAGGCTTTTCGTCCATCCGAGGTAAGAACATAATTCACGCCGGTAAATCCCACAAACAGTAATCAATGACTATGTATAAAGGAAATAGGTATCGCACTATCCAAAAAAAATGAAGCCAAAATGAGGCCGAAATGAAGCCGAAAATGCTAAAAGTCTTGAACAAATATGCAATTTGCTTTGATATCACCGACACCCTTCTATAGGTCTCGTTCTATATTTATTAACTCCCTTCTTCCCTGCTAGTAGTAGTTGATCTCACTTCGATCACTTATGATGCTGTATGTCCTCGCTGTTATTATGGTCGAAATCTTAGTTATCGCCTACTTTGTTATTTAATATATAGTCTCTTTATCCCTTACCTACTTTGGTCATTCCCGATATATTGGTCTAGTCTCTTCCTCGGTATTAATATCATATCAGCAAAACTACCTAAGAAGACCAGTTAATAATATAAGCTCGGTAATGTAGTGAATTGACTATGGGTAAGATATGATTACCTTATAATTTAATAAGTTCTATAGGTCTGTCCAAATACAGCTACTCAATCTCGTAGCTAATACAATGAACCTCACATCCGTTACGTGTAGAATACCTAGACTATAGAAGATTTTTAGCATGATACGATGAGAATGCCATGTGAAGAGTAGTGGCTGAGATGAATGAAGATCTTGAAAAATATTTTTTTTTGCTACGAGCTGTTTCAGAACTGATCATCTCCAAATCGGGTCCATTACTCAAGAATAAAGCGACACCGAGACATCACATCACTAAACTGTAGTGACAGGAAATTCATAGTCAACTCGGTAGACTGGACAGGATGATCTTCGACGGCTTAACCACTTATCGACACAGACAACGTGAATTATATGAGCACAATCAAGTCCACGATCATCATCTTCATCTTCCAATTTCTCTAAGCATATGGCACACGAGTCGTCTGAAGTTGTTATACTTACACTAGACGTCATGGATGTCAAGATCATAAAGGATCGACAGTAGCTGCCTGCTTTGTCCAGAGTAGCAGCTGTCTCCAAATCTCTAATCTTCCGGTCCTTCTTAGAAATAGGCTGAAAGGCTGCGCTTGGACAGCAAGGCAAGGGGGAATTTGGGTTCAAGCCGGTGGCTGGGACTTTCAAAACTACAGATTGATCTGGATTAAATCTACTTCAGTCGTTAGCAAGACCTTTGAATGTCCCAGGATAACGTGTTGACAAGTAGGCAAAGGTGAATCCACACCTTTTCTCGGAATGAGTGATCTTCCAGATCTTGTATGTGGTGACTGGTACATTTTTGTTCAGACCATCTATTGTTGACACGTACCGTTTATGCACCTTATATAAGTCAGACTGAATCTGATCAAGGGCCAGTACAGCATCCGATCGAAGTTGCTGCCTTGAACTTCCTCGATTACGGGACCAAAAGTTGACACCTATGGTAACACTGTTCGGATATAATTGAGCCTTTGTGATTAAAATCGAAGTTTCAATTTAAATATTGACCTTAGACCTAGGACTAATGAAACACACAACTGGGATCAGAAATGGAGGAGGATAAGCGGAGACTTGAGTGTCACCCGTTCATCTTGGCGGCATTGCTTTCTTTTAAGTTGCAACAAGCAGCAGGAATTTTTCTCATCTCAGATTTTGCTCTCCGGTTAGGCGAAAGTAAAAAGAGATGTGTCTGCTGATTTTCCCTTAAGGGAAATTTCGTCACCTGACTCAACTCACGGGATTTTTCTGAACCATTCCGTAGAACATGTCAGTGTGCTATAGCTGATTGACAATTATAGTCTCGTGGATCCATTGCTACAATACTTTAGTTACTAGTGATGAGGATTGGCCGTATGGATGCTTATCAGTGCAGGGAACAACACCTAGAGATCTCACTGTTTGTAAATACGGGAAGCGGCTGCTGTCCCTCAATGTATATATATTTTCCACATTTCACACCAACTGAAGCACGAGCTGGCTCTCTCTAGCAGAACTATGATCATCAGCTCCAAATTAATTTATTTGTGATCCTGAACAGCTAACGACCCACCCCCCTTAGCTTTGCAAGAAAAATCCCTGGATCCTTTCTAGATGCAAAGTTACCAGGCAATGCGTGCAGTAATTCCCTTTGGCCAAAGTCGCACCGACAGCTTACGAAGTTCATCCATTAGGAGAATTCCCAATGCAAGGGTAATAGGCAAGAACCAAAACTCGAGAGGCGCTGAGCCAGTTCCAAAGATCTGCTGAAGACCGGGCTCCTCCCTAACAAATATCGCAATGGATAGACTGACAACCATGCTTGCAATAAGCCACGGGTTGCGGCGCTGCTTGCGAAACGGATCCGCCTGTAGAATGGAAAGTCTCTTGTTACGGACGCTGAGAATGTTTCCCCACTGCATTATGAGAAGGGCAATGAAGTAAACACTCTGGCCAACAATGTTGAATTGGGTCAACTCAGTCTCGGTGTAGCCATAGAATCCATCCGCGTACTTCTCGAAGGCGAAGAAAAGCGCACCGGCGGGAATACCAGCATGTTTCCAATAATAATAGAAAAACAAAGCATGGGCGCAGATAGTTTCCAGGACACTAATGAAAAGATAGCTTTGAATGTAGACCTTCAAATTGATCAAATGGTCTTTTTTGTGATTGCGGGGTGGCAGATCAAGCAAGTCAAACTCCTGCTGTTCCATGATCAAGGACAGCGAGCAGAGCAGATCGGTGAAAACACAGATGATGATCATCAGGAAGGACGACAGGGGGAGAGGGACACCAAAGAAAACATTGAGAAGCACTGGCCAAATCTCGGACCACGAACCCGCAGGAAGAAGATAGCTGATAACCTTCTGAAGATTTTGGAACAGCAGACGGCCGAGGCGGATTGCTTCAATGATTGAGTCGAATTTATCCATCAAAATCAAATCCGCAGCTTCAAGAGCCACATCACTGCCAGTGACCACAGCCACACCAACGTCAGCAGCGCGCATTGCTGGCGCATCATTCACACCGTCTCCAGTCACCGCAACGACATTATCGCGTGCCCGGAACTCGTTAACGATGCGAAGCTTCTGGTCTGGCATAGTGCGGCCAAAGACAATTTCTTCGTATTGACAAACTAAATCCCAATCCTTGTTTGTGAGCTGTGAGATGGAAGGGCCTTCAAGAAGCAGGCTGGTCTGTGACCATCTCGAATCAGACTCTGATGACGACTGGGAAGCGGAAGAATCATCAAAGCTCCGCCTTTGTACGATGGTTTCAAAGGTATCAGGCTCCGCTGTGCCACTGAAAATACCAATTTCACGAGCAATAGCGGCCCCAGTAAGACCAAGATCTCCCGTAACCATGAAGAAACGCGCCCCGGCGCGACGACAAGATGCCACGGTTGTAGCCGCCTCCGGGCGAGGGGGATCAATGATCCCAAACATGCCAATCAGAGTGAGATCAGCGATTCCTGAACCCTGAATCTCATCACCGAAAGCATTTGTTCCAAAAGGATGAGTGGGGATGTAGGAGCGCTGGCAGAGGAGAATAACCCGCTGAGCTTTACGAGACATTTGTTCTTGAGCTGCAGCCAGCTGTTGTTTGGCTTCATTGTCGAGTGTCCGGACAGAATTGGTCACGCAGGACCAATAAGAATTGCAATACGGCAACAAAATATCTGACGCACCCTTCATTAGGAGAAGATAACTGTTGTTTGCTAGCTCAGATGCCTCAGTCTTGTGTAGGGTGAGCATCCATTTATTCTTGGAATTGAACGGAATGGTGAAGACCCGCTGGTATTTTTCGTTCAACTTCTTGACGGCGCCTTTCTGTGCCTCTTCAACAAACTTGAGCACAGCACCATCGGTGGGGTTGCCGAGGACTTTTCTCTCCGAAACGGGATAATTGATAGTCGCAGCATCGAAAGTAGCGTCATTGCACAGAGCTGCAGCTTTCTGAAGATCCATAAGAGGCTTCAAGCTTCCTTCCTTGGCAGCTGAAATAGCCTCCTCAGCCGATATGACTTTGTCTACAAATGTAGCTGTCACGACACTCATTCTGTTTTGGGTCAGAGTACCCGTCTTATCGGAGCAAATTACATTTACACATCCAAGAGTTTCCACCGTGGAAAGACCTTTTGGGAGGATATTGTTGTTCTTCATGCGTGTCGCCACGAGCATGAGAGTGAGGGCAACTCCCACAGGCATGCCCTCGGGGATAAATGCCACGACGCAACCCATAACGTCATCAAGCATGTCAACCACAATCATATACTGGAAATGTTTAACCCGAAGCCAGCCAGCCCAGGTGAGGAGGATCAGGAGAGCCAGAAAAGCCGTCAAAATAACAATGATTCTGACGAATCGAGTGATCTCGCGTTGAATAAGGGTTGGCTGCTCTTTGACCAAAGTAGACGACACTGTGATATGTCCCATCACCGTCTTGTGTCCGGTCAGGACCACAATTCCCGTGGCACTTCCATTGGTAACCATAGTCCCCATCAAGGCAACATTGCGGGTCTCTAAGAAATTTTTGTCTGTCATCTCGATGGCACCGTCGACGTCTTCGGACTCTCCAGTTAACATAGAACGGTCAAAACGGGTATCTCCAGATGTAGCGAGAAGGCGAAGATCCGCTGGTACCTTGTTTCCCACGCTGATCTTGACAATATCTCCCACAACCACGTCGGCAGCGGAGATCCTCGTAGTCTCGCCAGATCGAACCACCATTGCATCAGTCGGAACCAAGTCCAGAATAGACTTCATGGTGCGAGTAGTTGACCAATCCTGAAATGCCGAGAATGAGGCCTGCAAGAAGATCACAATCAAGACCAGTATAGCAAGGCCCAGGTTGTATGGTGCGGGGTCGGGATCGCCAAGAGGGCGCCAGCAGATAAAGAAGATAATCACGCCAATCCAGAGAATCGAGCAGAATCCACCGAAGACATACTTCAGCATTTTCTTAAGGTAGTTTGGTCGAACGTGTGGAAGTTCATGTTTGCCATTGCAAGCCAGAAGGGAAGCGGCTTCCGCGGAAGAAAGTCCATCGACAGTGCTGTTGAAGTGTTGAAGAAGGGAATCAACGTTCTGGTGATGAAACTGAAGACTATCGAAATATCGCGAATCATCAGGCGTCTCGCCCTCTTGCTTTTGCCATCTTTCAGGTCCACCTCGAATTTCTCACGAGTCTCGGATTCGGCAATTTGGAAACTCATCCGACGAAACTCGATTGGAATGCTCGAAACGGATTGAGTACGGCTGCGAGAACGTGAGCGTGAGATGGATCGGCGGTGCTTGGATCCTCTCCTTCCACGCCGCTCATCGGGCCCGAAGGAGACGGTCCGCTGCTGCATGCTGACACCATACTGCTCCGGCTGGGGTGGGCTCTTTGCATTCCTTACGGGGTCGTTTTCAAGCTGGGTACTTGACTTATCTTTATGCATACCCGGAGAGAAGTATAGAAGGGATGGCCGGAAGGAGAAGCCAAATGACTAAAATGACTACTATGGCGGCCAGAAGAAATCTGTTAGTAGAAATGACACTGGAGAAAGAAGATGAAAGCAGACTATTGAACGCTGTTTCCATGGTGCAGTGGCCATGCTTATAGACCCAGGTCTGTCTCTCCTATTACGAATAGAAACTCGATGCGGAAGCTTATTCTTTTCTACGGGGACAGCAATTTACGTAAATCTTATAAAAGCAAATGTGTAAAAAAGGTCAAGTATACGGAGTTCGATGGTGTTTTCATCTCATAGACATTGTTAGGATAGGACAAAAAAAACCCCCCAAGAAAAAGAAATCCATCAATACGGGATGGAGTGTGGAGAAAAGAAACAAAAACATTACAACATCTGAGAATTTTGTTCCAGAGAAAGGGCTGATTCGTCCACCCGATCAGAAGGCCTAAGAAAGGGTCACTAGCTGGGTTGGGCTTGGGACGCGTGATGAGGGATTTATTTTCGCCACAAAGTCACCAATTCATACTTTTATATTGTTCCAACCAAACTTCGAAACGTCTTCTTGGTGTTCAAGCCAAGCTTTTGCCATGCGGTAATGGCGCGTGGGGTTGGGATTCGCCGAAAGAAATCCCTCAGTTTAGCACGTCGATTAGGCAAGAAAAGATTGTCGCGAGCTTTTTTCCTTGTCGAATCATCACTGTTGTCTAGACGAGGGCCATCAAGCGCCACAGAAAATAAGGACATCTAAAGAGGAAGGCGTATGAAATTCGATCTTAATTGTAATGTCGCAGCGCAGAATACCGGTACGTAATAGTATCAAGGGAAACAATTGACATGTTTGACTTAAGAGAAATCGAGTTTCTGAGTACCGTTCAATTAGCGGGGTGATAGATTCAATGCTAAAAATCGATATTTTGAGAGGTTATAGTGGTATTCGCCTCCGTACCCTACTAGGCGCATTTACCTCATGTCTGGTTTCTGATCCTTTTTGATCTATCCGTTTGCCCTGACCGCCTTCGCGCACCCTTCTCTTGTCGCTAAATCAAAAAACTCTAGGACTTTGATAGTCTAGTAGACTAAAGTCACTCCTATGGGATAGAAAGAATATTGAAAAAGTGATTAATTTATAAGAAAATGACCAATATGAGATAATTAATATACTGGGGGAAACAACCCGGTGTGTAAATATTCAATTTACTGATCACGAAATGGGCACATAATTTTCTATCTTCTCGGGTGAGAAATGAACTCTCGAAAACATGCACTTCACCCATTCCCACGTTTCCTTAATTTGATTTCACTGGCTTATTTCCTCGCCCAATTTGAGGCCAATGATGTCTTCTCTTCCTCAACTTCCCTTTCCTGACACCATGCGTTATGACCTCCCATCGCTCTAGGATCAGGTTAACATATTCTTCGCTTATGTGCGCCGTAGCTCTCGAGCCTTGGTTGAGAAGCTCTATCTCAAGAGCGGTAAGCTTTCGCGTAGACAGAGCTCTAGTCAGTTCCACATCCACCCCCTTCAGAGGATATGTGATGATTGCAGTCAAGCCTGCATATTTTTAGAGTTGTTGGAAACCAAATCCATGATTGCTATCTCAAGAATCACTTACCGGATAAACTTTTCGTGATGCAAGAGGCTATTCCAAATCCTATCCCCGGGAGAATGTTAAATTTGCTCCGGTTATCGGCAGATTCTCCAGGGAACAGTATTAGGCTGGAAAATCCATTGTAGACACCAAAGACAAGTTCCTAAGATGGTATTAGATCTCCGAATTGTGAGTATAGATTGTAATTTACCTTGCTTCCTGCTGTGAGCCCGGTTGGTATGCCCTCAACAGTCTCGGGCAACTCTACATGGTGGTCACCCCAGAGTTTCGGCGCATTGTGCAAACCTTGAGTAAATGCGAAGGCAATATCAATGGGAGCTCGAACGACATTGACGGAGGCTTCTCCGATTCCCTTCATGCTAGAGGCGAAGGCAGATCGCTTGCCCGAGTGTACAGACCTCTTTTGAAAGATTGATCGCAAGAGCTCTTGAGTTGACGCACCAAAGTGACTGAGGCCTCCGCCGATCTCTGATGCTGAATCAATGAAAGCAAAAGCCATTCCCGAAAATGGATCTCGAGGCCCGATGTTCAAATCATATTTCAGCGGTCGAAGTCTAGAAATATACTTAATTTGGGTAGCCATGATGACTTCCACTGATGGTATACATACAGCTCGATTTTGTCGGTACTGAGCAAACCTCTGTTAACTAGAATCGGCACAGCAGCAGAGCCGATCTGAATGTCTGTTCCTCGAATCTTCCAAGCCGCTGGGAGCGAGTTTACGATTCCACAACTCAGGTTTGAAGGCTCAAGTTGATGGTGGAACGAAGTGACTCCAGCATCGACGCCGCTCTCACTACGAATTTGCTCCCCGAGTTCTTTTGCTCTCTGCTTGATATTTGGCTCAAGGGCGGTGCCGATAGCCGCAGCAAGATCGGCCGCATTGAGCGTTTTGAACGGAATAGGCTTAGGGCCTGCCCCTATTCTCTCGATCATTTCCCCCCAGAATGGCTGATCGCCAAAGAAGGGGACGATAATTGAAGGCTTTCCACAAGCCAAAGCTGCAGCCGTTGTACCGGCGCCACCGTGGTGTACCACGCAAGAAACCTTTTCGAAAATCCAGTCATGTGGACAGCTTCCTATAAAATGAACGTTGGAAGGAACCACCAAGTCTTCACTGCCCAATTCGCCCCATCCTTGTGAAATAATAGCCCGTACCCCGGCCAGTTTTACTGCTTCCAACAATATTAAAGTAAGTTTCTTGGGGTCATCCACAATTATGGAGCCAAATCCGATGTAAATCGGTGGCGGCCCATCGAGAAATCTCTCTAACTCAGGAGGAGGAGTGTATGGAGATAACGTGGGCAAAAAGTAAAATCCCGAAATGCATATGTGCGAAGCCCAATCTTCAGGTCTTCTTATCAGAGTTGGCGACCTAGAGGGTAGTAACATGAATATTAAATCACCATGTAGACTGAAAGCGCTACTCACCAGCAGTAGGTGTACGGTATACGGAGTTGAGATAAGATTGTTGGTCCAGAAGATCTATCCAGAGGCTTGAGTCCCAGTGTTTTGCATCTGAACGAGTTGATTACGTCTCCCAAGCCCTCCCACGTTAGTATTTCAACGAATATGTATGATAGGTAATTCATCACGCTTCCTTTTGAAGAAGAAGCATGTAAGTTTGCCAATGGATGAGGGAAAGAATGGGTGGGCGACCAAGGCATCCTGCTTTGTATCAGCATTGTCAAGTCTATTTGATATAACGACGCAACCCTTACGTGAACATGATATGCAAAGGTACGCCTAGCTTCTCTGCACAGTGTATATGCGCAAATGATGGCGGATTGGCTATAATCGCATTGGCAAAGAAAGGCTTCGAGTCCTCGTCTGTGCTCTGGAAGCAAGCTCGCCAGCAACCATCAAGGATTTCTCGTATATCTGCTCGGTTTTTTTGAATATCTCCACTTCGAAGACTGTTCATGCTGGGCATTAAGCCGGGGTTTTTTACCATATACGCCATTAGCCTTTTTGGATCGCCGCCAATATTGAAGAATTCCAAGCCGTGGGTCTCGATAAATTCTTTGAATGTTCCATGAGTCGCGATTCGAATGCGGTGTCCGGCTCGGGCAAGAGCGAGTCCAAGGGCAACAAAAGGCTGTATGTCTCCACGAGAACCAACAACTTGGATCACTATGTTGAGTGAAGGGGGCGCGTGGCATTCTTGAATTTTTGTTTTCGTATCGCGTGTCTTGTAAGCTGGGCGCCGCCAACGAGGTGAAGTAGTCATCATCTCGGGCTTCTCAACCTTAATATTCAGCCTTCCATTATCTGGACATCGATTAGTTTGTTCAAGTACCGTTTCTCCTTCAACAAGGGAAATTAGATAATGAAACTCATACCGGTGATGGTAGTCTTAGCTCCTCCACAATCGACATCGTGGTTCGTGATATTGAACATTTTGTAACGACTAGTTACTTTGACGATTTATGCTCGTGGTATTTCGAGGTGTAAACTTTCTTCTGGAAGTCCAGTCACACTGCATACTGTTACATTTTATCAAAGATTTAGTGACATTTCCTCTTCTATATGGAGATAGCGATGTGCAATTGTCAACGAAAAATGATGTCAAGAGAAATCAGAACCTTGGCATCATCAAAACAACCAAACGAAGAAGAGGCCATTCAAATCGATGATTTCCAAACGCCAGTAACTCAACAGTACCCAGTGTCCAATCGCGATGATGTCTTTTCGCTGAGCGTGATGTCATTCGTAAATGTGGAATAGAATATGACTTCCTAGGCCAATCCGTGATATTCATTCATTTCTTTCTTCAGAAAGTGACCTATGGAATCGACCGATGGCAAATGGTGCTGGAGTGGTTGATTACCAAATGATCCAAAATGGAGCTGTCTAGATTTGATACAAAGTTTCAGCCTTTACAGTCAACTTGGGCGCACGCAATACAAACGCATCTGGGTTCATTTGAACAGATTTCTTGGTGAGAAAAAGGATTTTAACAGGATCGTTGAAAGATATATTTCAAAGTATGTCTAGAGAATAATTGAAGAATCAAGTGTGGAAGCCCTTTTAGATTGTTCTCTCGGTCGGGCTGGAATCTTTTTGCATCAAGCACGGAGCCCGAGAAACCTTAATTTTGAGGCTGGAGGCAAAATGGGCCCGGCCCCATGATGGGGCACCATTTAGATGGTCTAAAGAATGGTTTACCTTTCATAGACTTTGCAGAAAATTTGGTTTTATAATGGTAAGATACCCTATGTAGGTCTTTTTCCTTTACCTTCGGTGGAATGCTTAAGATACTGCTTTCTTGGTATGTCTCACTTTACGGACAACCAAGAAGTGGATGTTAACATGTTTGGAGAAAAAATGGAATATGGAATATGGTTGAAGAAAAGCCTAGGAAAACCCAGGTGCGATACGCAATACGGAGGATGATACAATCTCCGCTTTTCTCCCACGTTTGATTGTACTGGCAAGTTCAAATGTAGAGCAGAAACTGCCGAATTACGAAGCATATGGAATCAATTTGAATTTTCACATCACTACTCAATGAAGATCGTCGAAGAGATCGTATACATCATACCTAGTCATTCAAAACAGGTCCGCATTTTCACTGAGGGGCCGTAATCCTTCCCAAGTCTTTCCCTTTGTCAAACTCTCCATCGGTCCCTTGTGGTTGATTAGAGGGCTGGCACCTGGTCGCCACAATCTCCGGCCGTGCACCGAGCCCAACAAAAAGTCTTGATATTGTTCAGTGCTGTTCGGCTCCCCCTTTGCCGTCATAGCCTTCGAGCAGGCACTGGACGTCTTTGCCGGCATTGTTGTTTGTCGCAGCCCCAATACCCAAAAATGGGTAATTTTGCCTTGCCCCCGACATGAAAGGCAATGTCTTATACTTGCTCATTAACATTTCATCGTAGACGCTACATACAGAGGAGAAATCAATGATGTCGCTATGGACAGGTCAGTGTCTGGAAATATCATGAAAGCCAACGGGGTCTTACTTAGCTAGAATTTTCACAGACGGCTTGAATGCGACCCATCGATCATCGATGCCAGGATAACGGCTCGAAAGCACAGCATAATGCTGACCATTTTAAACCATCCCTGAGCACAGGTATTGTCCCAGCGCTCCAATTAGACCCACCAACCAATATGTTCTATCGTGTCGGGAAAGGAGCACGAAAGTCGACCGGCTCAACAGCAACAGGCACTTCAGGGAACGAATGCCAATCAATCGACTTCAACCTAGATGCGGCTACGATCTGGAATGGATATTCGTCGAGGGATACAATTTTCGAGTTTTTGCAAAGTCCAGTCAAGGATTCCCCACGTTCCTGTATTTTTGCTTACGACAGGTCCTAGGTGATGTCTAGTCCCAGTCGTCTCTAGACGAGGTTTGTGGCTCAAGAGGGTCGTAAAGCTCTCTCTCTCTGAACAAAGGGAAGAATTAAGTCCAGTATACGGCATAAGAGGCTCTCCGCAGTTGATAAATCAATCAAGGTGTATCCATCCTCAGGAATAATCGACTGAATGATCCGCGCCAAAGATTCGTCATGGAAAAAATTACCTGTTACGTCCTTAGTTGGGTCGCTTGTCAGAAATTAATCGCGTATTAGTTGTAGCTGAAGAAAGCGACTTTCTAGGCTCTTCGCTTGCGTCGAGAACGACGACTGTTCCGCCCATTTAGACATTAGTGGTTATAGTATCAGCCCCTAGGGCATGGTCTAGAATTAGTCACAGTCTGTCCTGTGAAGATCCGTCATTCAGCACTGGCAGCAACCAGACATCAGCTCCGAGAAACCTGCACCCTGCTAGCCTGGTGGGTGAAAGTAGTGACGGGGTGCCCAACACTTGAATCATTGAATGATTAAGATGCATGAAATGTGCATATTTGCCGGACGCGATCCTGATCAGCCTGTAAAGTCGAAGCTGATACCTCAACACTTAGAGTCTCTTCACTGTCAGAAGTGCGCGTGGAGGCCAGCATCTTTGCGCAAGGAGGCTGCTCGCGATGGAGAACTGGCTGCTATCCAACCCCACCTCAACGACCGGGTCTTCGGTCGGAATTTTCTTCAAAATTGGCCGTTTTGCTGATTTACACCGCGTAACATGTTCCGAGTCGAGCTTCAACCGCGTAATAAGTTCCGTGCCTTGGTCAAATGCAACTTCCAGCTCAACCGATCAGGGCGCCCAAATTCGCAACCTCCTTTTCCCACATGTGAGCGGCTTCAAATCTGAGCACGGCGTCAGTAATTATGCGGGCATCATCTTTGCTAGCCTTGCTCATATCAAGGAACTGCAGGCAAATTTGTGGAAGCACGAATGGCAAAGTCCTGCCTAGTCTGATCATCATGCTAGACCGTGGATTGTCAGCTGGATATCCTCTTTTAATCCGAGTTATAGATTCAGAACGACAAATTATCTTCTTCAAAGCATTGATTGTCTCAGTCATCTGCGTCTAAACGCGATGTCGCTCTTATGACTTTCCAGAAGCTATGTGTAGGAACCATGTGTCTAGCTGTGCAGATTCTTGGAAAACCAAGAAAAAGTACTCCCTGGCGTTGGTGGGCCGGACAGAGAGGCTCCTAGGATCCATTTGCAATAAGCTGTCTTCATCATAGACATGGAGTAGTCTGTACCTTGTTCTCGTCTCGCACGCCCCTATCGGGACTTGGCCGAACGAAATGTCTCATACAAGAAAAAGTCTCTCTATGAAAGAGAAGAATAAGAATTTATGTAACCCTTAAATGAATCACCTTCTTAGACCTGATGAACAGCTGACCCTGTTCTTAGTTTTTGAAACGCGGTGGCAAGTGTCGATCCTAATTTAGGTAAAGCTTTCCCGCTGATTTGAATGGCTTGCCAAGGCTTCTTCCACTGAATGATCACATGCAATTACATGGTCGTTAAGCAACTCGCAAAGGTAATGAAGCCGTACATACGATGAATCACTGCTTCATATCTCAATAACCAAGAGTCATATCGTCAGGATTCCCAGTTTTGAGGTTCGAACAGATTACGAAGGTATTAGTGCAGTCTTGAAATTTATTACGATTGGCGATCTGGAAGAATGTATTTATGTTTAAATGACTAAAGTATCTCAAGTAGATGAATTATATTATCCACAGCAAGGGTATGACCTCATGAAACTATCGGCTGCCATACGGTGTTAAGTGGGTGGCACGATGACTAACGTATTTCACAAGCGGGCGCCGCGCACAGCCGAGCGCCGCACCCCAAAACACTTTTGATAATCCCATATATCAACAAGTACTTCCATAATCATTTTAGACTATCTTTCGATAAAATTCGATAATGATTTATGGTAACATACATCAAGTTTAAATGAATCATTCTCTCATACCACTACGATACTAAAAACTGTTTCGTTCAACTCGAGAAATATATCATGGTCCCCAGATGATCGAAAATTTCAAATCTCATTTGTATGATCAGATATCATATATAGATAACTACATGTAATATGCCAGGAAAAGTTCCCATAAACCACTGTTTTTAAGGAAATGAGATATAATTTATCGCATTTACTATGGTGTTTTGGGGTGCGGCGCTCGCCTGTGCAGGGCGCCCGCTTGTGAAATACGTTGATTAAACATGCATCTGGCTTAGTCACGAGCATCCACGAAGTCAACCAAATATCGAAGCGAGCATAGTACGGAGGCGAATAGGGGCCAATTTATCAAAACCCCTAGAAACCAGGCAGAAATAGTAGGAATGGCAGAAAACGTAACAAAACTAGAATTCTAGCGAACATTAATTTACTTATCTACAGTAATAAGGCCAATATTAGTGTACTATTAGTCAAATTTTACTAGGTACTACAGTAAAAGCGGTGAGATGGTCCCTATTCGCCCCTGTAGTACACCCTTTGAGGTCTCAATAGCCTCATACCCTATTAGCTATATAGCTTGAGTATTGACCTAGGTAAGCTGAGGGGTGGAGATGATAGGGTTAGGCGTGATTGCGGCGACCGCGGGGGTGGTAGTGGTGGTGGAATTTGAAGAATAAAAGTGGTTTGTGTGGAAGATACTGATGGGAAAATGTATTATTTAGTATGCGAAATCAAACAGAAATTCATTATCATATTTTGCAAACGCAGAGTTCGTTACCCGAGACTAAAATTTGTCACCCGCCCGAGACATTAGATTATCAACTACTTTCCGTTGTAACACCCTCTACTGCACCTAAACTCCGCCAATCATACCCAACTAAAATCAAGTCGTCTCTAAGCGTAATTAGGATCATATGCACCCCATGGGTGGCCAGGGCATGGTGAATAGCTTCGTGAGTAGCTCCGCTCTTAGAAAGGGTCTATATCTCCTCTCGGTGGGCAGTAAGGTTAATATGTGGGCGCGGCATGTGGGCAAAAGGGTGCAGGTGTAAGGTGTAAGGTGTAAGGTGTAAAAGATGGAGATGGGTGGAAATTAAGTGGGTGGATATCAGATGGTAGAATTTATGGGTTTCTAGTACAGTACAGTACAAAAGTGGTAAAAGCGGTGAATAATAGTCATGTGATAAGAGGTAACGTGATCCACGGTCGCCCGAGCGACACGGCCGCGCGAGCGACCCCATCGAAAATCCACTTCAAAAATAATACATACTTTTTAACCACAACAAAAATGCCACCCCAACGCTCTGAGAAAAAAACAAAATTGATAGAGCAAGAAGGTCGCCTTTTATTAGCTATAAAAGCTATAAAAGATGGTAAATATCCCTCTGCTGCAGCTGCTGCACGATCTTTTGAGATACCTGTCTCAACTTTGAAGGCCCGGATCAATGGGCGCGAATCTGCTGCTGAAAAGAGGGCATCTGGTCACATATTCACCCAAATTGAGGAGCAATCGATAGAGAATTGGCTACTTGATATGGACTCAAGAGGTGCAGCTCTTACTTTGCCTATGTTGCGAGATATGGCCAATCTTTTACTTAGTGCAAAGAAAAACACACCATCTACCACTGGTATCAATTGGCCTTCTCAATTCATCAAACGACACCCGAATCTCTCTACTCGACTCTCTCGTAAATACGACTATCAGAGAGCACTCTCAGAAGACCCCCGGATCATTAAGCCATGGTTTGATTTAGTTCAAAAGACTATTGAAAAGTGGGGTATTGTTTCAGACGATATCTTCAACTTTGATAAGAGTGGTTTTGCTATGGGTATCGGCGTAACACAAAAAATTATCACTTCTACAGAATACCACAGGAAAAGAGCTCTTTTACAGGCTGGAAATCGTGAATAGGTAACCACAATTGAGTGTATTCGAGCTTCTGGAAGTGTTATGCCTCCACTCTTCATTTTCAAGGGAAAAATGTTTCCAGAGCATCTACGCCCCTTTCTCCTTTTGAATCAAAAAGGAGCACGTCTCACTATGAGTGAAAATGGCTGGACTACCAATACAATTGGTTTATGGTGGTTGAAACACCTTTTTATTCCAAATATTGGGACAAGAGTGGGAAAATATTGCCTACTGGTCCTCGATGGCCATGGGAGTCATTTGACCCCCGAATTTGACCAACTTTGCGAAGAAAACCAAATTATCGCAATCTGCATGCCTCCTCATGCCTCTCACCTTTTACAACCTTTAGATGTGGGCTGTTTTTCGGTTTTGAAGAGGCTTTATGGAGGAGCGGTTTCAACCTTGATGCGGAATGGAGTGAACTCTATTGATAAGGAGGATTTCCTTGAAATAATCGCAGATGCGAGAATTGGTGCTTTTAAGACCTCTACTATACAAAATAGCTTTTCAGCTACTGGATTAGCACCATTCGATACTAATAAAGTCTTGGAAAAGCTAAATGTGCGCCTGGATTCTCTTCCTCCTTTCGAGATCATCTCTCAAAGACCACTCTCTTCCGGTAGTGATAGTGATCCAAATACTCTTTGGACTCTCTCAAAATTCACAAAATCGCAATCTCGGATCAAAAAAGGTCTAGAATCTTCTTCTTCAATCCTTTCTTCACCAACAAAAAGGGAGATTGAGAAGACCTACAACATGACTATCAAAGTGGTCCACCACCATATTTTTCTCCAGAATCGCTGCGCCCAGCTAGAGGCTACCAATAAGAAACAGACCAAAAAAAGAGAGACAATACCAAAATTTACTACCCAGAAAGGCATCTTTGGGGGTCTAGAGGGTGGTGAAGATGATGTGGTCTACAAGGATGAAGATGTAAGTAAAGATATATATTTACCAGAGGTATCTACAAATGCGGTTGTTGAGCCTACCTTACCTTCTATGCCTATAATTCGGCGGCAAATGACATGTTCTGGGTGCGGGATAAAAGGGCATACATATACTTACTGCCCTACTCGCTTTAGATAACAAAATTTATGTCGTTTTTGTGGTTTTAATAGTCATTGAAAATTGGTGATTTTTGAAAAGTTGGTGGGGTCGCTCGCGCGGCCGTGTCGCTCGGGCGACCGTGGATCACGTTATTTCTCTGAACACGTAATCAGGGTCGAACAGCATGTACCAATGGTATGGGTCACGTCTGTGTACTTGTCTGGTATTCTCTAGTCTCCACCACAGCAATTTAACATGTGGTACGCTGACTAATAAAGTTGATTACATGATCCATTGTTCCGACAGTATTGATAAATTGGCCCCTATTCGCCCCCGTAGCCATGGTAGTACTCAATGCGGCAAAAGTTGATGATTCATGTTCGCCAAGATTATACTACGACTTCAAGCTTCAAGCATCTCAACTTTCTGGGCTCACCATCAAGCTTAGTACCTCATTAAATTGTTCTTTATTTTATTTTCCTTACTAAAAGGTTTCAATCTATTTATTTTTGCAAGATGTCTCGCCTCAGACACAACGGAACATCTCATTGAGCCTTTTTCAATATGGCTGGCTTCCCTTCGACTATGGTGGATTCCGCGGATCCAACGCCATGGTTGCGAACGACAAATCAAGTGCTGGTTGGGTTAGGACTGAGTTTGAGCACCAGCTGCCTCATGATGCGAATTTACACGAAGACCTTCATAATGAAGAGTTTCTGGTGGGATGATGGTAGGAAACCTCCTTTTGACCGGCACCTCAACTGCTTTGAACGTAAAATTGACACAATATTCATACTCAGTGTTTATTATCACTGCCTGGGTGAATATCATATCTCAATTCCAATTTAGTGAACTAAATGACTTACCTGTCTGGACCAGAAAAGATATTTGCCATTGGTGTTCAAGTAACACTCCTCTGTAAGTATGGCTTTGTTAAAGTGTGCCTTTTTATTGAAAGGACCTGCCTCACTGGGATTGTTTAAGATGGATTTAGCAATGCTGGGGTCGGGATACACATTACAGAGCTGTCCGCATCGGCTTTAGGGAACTTACAAAAGGTACTGTATTTATGTGGGAGAATCTGCTCCCCGGTTTCAAATGTTCCCACAGCTAATATCCAAACCTGAAATTTACTCGACACAGGTCGTTCTCGCTGCCGCGATTGTCTATATACCTTGTCTCGCCTTTGCAAAGCTCGCCTTGCTTATGTTGTACTATAGGCTCCTGAACTCAGTCCGAACCTGGGTATATACGCTCTATTTTGTCGGTTTTGTAATTATTGGATACACCATAGCACTAACTCTAGCGCTTATCTTTGCATGCCACCCTCTCGCGAAAAATTGGAGTCCTTCCATTTTAGGAGGGTCTTGCATTAACCGACCAGGGTTATATCTTGCAACAGCTGCCACGAATACTGCCAGCGATATTGCATTGATTCTGATTCCCATGAGAGTTGTATGGAAGCTAAGAATGCGTTTTGCGGAGAAGCTGGGGGCGATTTTCGTATTTGGTATCGGTTGCCTGTGAGAAATCCCGTTACTACCTTTTGCCAAGCCCTGGGAATTATCTCAAGTGCTGTGACCATTGCTTACTGCTTACCCTTATTTGCTAACAAAACCTTCAAGAACCACTGTCACGAGCATCTTGCGACTGGCAACCATATGGCCACTAGTGACGTCAAATGATCTCTCGTACAAAGTTGCTCTTGCCTCTACATTGGTGTAAGCTCGAAATTGTTCCAATCCTCTCTTTTTGCCCTACCTTACTAAACTCAATAAATTTACAGAAATATCGAGGCCAACTTTATCATCTTATGTGGCTCTCTACCATATTTCCGCCAGTTGATTCGCCATTACGCGCCTAGGTGGTTTCCTAACTCGAGGACGCCCAGAAATATCCCCAGCTCCTCTAGTTCCATACCGAAAAGAAGCGTGCGAAACCCTAGGATAAACTCGACTCAGGAAGATTTTGAGATTTACGGAAATCAGCGTTTTATGCATGGGGCCGTGAGTGAGGGCGAGAGTGAATCACAACCAGCTTGATTCAACATACTATCAAATTTTTGAAAAGGAAAATTTTCGGCAATCTTCTCTTATACTTCATATTGGCAAAGTATCACGATCGGGGAATAAAAGAAGGAATCAAACTCAACCCGTATCGAACCATCCAAGTATGGCATTACGCATTACATAAGACTCCGACATGCACGAGTGAACTAATAGAACAGGCCGTCGTCAACGGGTGGGTATGGTTAGACGTGAAAAATCAAAACGGCCTGCGGCTCCAACATTTGAAGAAAAGCGGGGTCTTATATATGTCGCTGATTTCCGTCGGTATCTGTTTGCTGCATGGTCGAAAAACCATTCATTGGCAGTGTGACATCTTCGCTCTATTGATCACTTGGGTTCTTCAACGACCCGACAGATACAGGAAGCTATTCAGCTAAAGTATGTGTTCTTGATACACGTTCTCCTTCGCAAAATTTCTTGGCATAAATTGATGTGAACGAGTGCTTTCAGGGTATCGTGGGCGGGTACTTGTGTCACTTAGAAGTCGATGATAGGCGCCTAGTTAGGATCTTTATAGCTGGGCATGACACTAACTTCGATTTCTTGTAATGTAAAATCTCTTGGGTCGGAATTAAGCCCTCCACTAAAATATGGATATAATATAAACTAAAGATCATCGAGTGACTGGCTGATTCAAATAACTAATTACTCCGTTCATAGTCGAATTATATTGGTTTAACCCCCTAGTTTAATTCATCCTCTTTAGTTCGGTAGCCTAGTTTGACTTTCCAACCATGGATCACGGCCTTGGCGTTTCCGCCCCTCTGTCTTAACATCCGGCGCTTTTGACTTTGGAATCTAGACAGAGTATTGTTTGGGTAGTCTTCTGCCAAGAACAGTAATCAAGACCTAGGGACCAAGATACTATCTCCTACGGCACGCTCTACCACATAATCTCCACCAACGTATACCTCTCCCATAACTTCATTACGCTGCTTCAGCCACTGATCTCGATATGATGCTGGCAATGGCTCGAGTTAAACTTCGTATCTGCGCATGGGCGTGAAAATGATTTCAGGAGACAAGCATCCCAATGGGTATTCACTAGATAGTCCAAACTTCCAAGTTATGTTTGCTGTATCTCGCCACTCCTGAGCATATTAGACTCATCTCTATTTAAACCGACCAGATTTTCTCAAGCCAATGAATCATCAATGGTAAAGTAAATCAAAGCTAGACGAGCTAAAGCTGAAACTTCCGACCTTATGATGTTCCAGTAAAACTATTTAAAAGTTCAAGAATTCACCGATTTCCATCCCCTTCTAACTCACGTTTCGTAAACTACAACAGATCAAAGAAACACATCGACTTCTACTACGCTACTCTTCAATATGCATGTGAAAAATCTCTTTGCTGCCTTTACCCTCGCTGGCATGGCCGCTGCTTATCCGGCTGAGGACTTTGAATCTACATCAGATCTCGAAGAAAGAGGTGCTACTTGCCCGAAAGGTCAGAGTTGGTGCTGCAAACAGGTTCTTGGGGGACTTGCACAAGGCTACTACAGCTCAAACGGCGGCAAATGTACCAAGGGCACATCCTTCCGAATGCTGTATGCATGGCCAATGGGTCGTACGTTTTAAATTTTCCTGCTTTTGCGAAAGTAAAATTAACTTCTTAAAAAGTAGAATCAAAAGGACGGCACTCAAGTCCTTTGTACCTGAACAAAAGGGAAACCCTATACCCCCCTCGGTCGTTATATGTAGCAAGGGACCTTTTAAATTCTCGTAATAATCAAACCCCGCGGCTTTACTGGTGGATGGTGAAAATCAAATTACCTTGGAAGGATGAATCGATTGTCAATTCCTTTCGGTTTGTGATTTCATAATAACAAAGGTAAAAAAACCTTTAAATGATATTCGCTTGATGTCTAAGCACGTATACTTGTACCCACACTTTTATATCAGATCGCACCATGGATGACGCGGGCCGCAAAGGCATGTGATTTCCATACAAATAATATATACCTTTAAAGGCCCCGAAGCCACTCGAGAGTGATGACAGTCTCACGTCAATTGCCGGTCGTCAGTCTGAACTCCGTTTCCGCTCTTGATGGGAATTACATCAGCAGTCTCGTCGTGCTTTATCTACCGACCAGTTGAGGCAGTATCACGCTTGCTAGCACGGATGCGATGGGAGACTCAGTGCTCACCCGGACTATATCGGTACTGAGACAGATCGTGCCGCGATGGGCACGGGTATGCGGCTTGCCCTACGTTCATGGAGACTGATGTTGCACAGGAGGTTGTCGACAGCGAGACTCCGCCACCTGATATTGAGCTATTGAATAGCGAAAACATTGATTCAGACCTGGACCGGCGGATGCGGACTGTCTGGGGTAACTTTTCCAAGAATTTTGGCACGGCTACGATGGGTACGATGGTTGACACCCAGTACTGAGTGAATGGCGTCCAGAATCTTCGCGTCCGCGATGCTAGTGCGCTGCTTGTGGCATTGGCGGGTCATTATCAGGCGCCGATGTATGCTTTTGGAAAGCGGTAGCAGATATGCTAATTGGATAGTAGAGACAAATTTGTTCTGTATGTCAGTGATTTCTGTATATCAGTGACTTCTGCCTGGTCATGATAGGCATCTGGAAAATCCATTTGTCGACAGCTACATTCTAAGTCGGCCAGGTGAAGAAAGATGCTATATCGTATTGTGAGAATGAACAAAAAGTTCAGAGTTGTTGATCAGAGAGGGGAGAAGGAGGAAGAGAGAGAGAGATCTAGCTCAGACACACCCGCTGGAACAAACAGAGGGGTTCACCTGACCTAACACTCCAATAGTATTGTACAGCAAAATCCAACCATTCCTCGAAGAATTTCCAAGTTTATGGTATGAAAGAGGATTTTATTATTTCCAAGGTTTTCTACAACACCACACCTACGCCTACTTACACTTCTTCTAATCCATAGTTACAGCTGGAAACCAAGAAAATGCCAACTTGGAGCCGTACAGAACTCTCACAGGCTAGTTCTTGCCCAATTGCGATTTATTGAAATGATTTAATGTTATAAATGAAGAAGCCCACCGCTTTCAATCCCATACATAATTGACAGTCCCCAAGCAAAACACTCGCTGACTGGCTGGGAGCCAGAGAGATCTTAGATAATCCCCTTCTTTTGCCTTTCGCTGAATGAGATGTGACATGGTTGGTTCCTTTGCGTCTGCTGACAGCGATCGGCTGTTAGAAAGCCTCCGCCTAAGACGCCGGGCTGCGTTCAGAGTGCTCTGCCACAAGATCCATCAGTCTAGAGGCAATGTCGACCGCAAATCCATTATCATTAATGTCTCGATCATGCGATATCACTCTGATGTCGCTGCCCTTTAAGCCGGAATCCAGAACGGTGGCGAGGGCTGCATCTGCTTCGGGATCTGAAAATGGCAATCCTGCCGTCGCCATGCTACTCACCCCGCTGGGAAGCCACACCTCAACCATTCTTGGATCCCGAGAAAAACGTTTCAACTTGTCGAGCATGAAGTCCCCAATTTTTCGGCACTCCTCTGCAGAAGTCCTCATTAGTGTCACACTAGGATTGTGGACCTGCAAGTTGCGATCCCGATACTGGCTTGGCACGGTGTCAAGCGGCCCAAAATTGACCATGTCAGTAGCTCCAACGGAGATGATATTAGGGATACCCTTCCGTAATGTGGCTTCAAGGCGGCTGTTATCACAACTCATGGTTCCACCAGCGATGAGATCACAAATTTCGGTAGTTGTGATATCTAAGATCGCATCAAGATGGCCTTCTTCAACCAGGCGTTCCATGGCCTTGCCACCATGACCAGTCGCGTGGAACACATAGACTTCCACATTGTACTTCTCTTCCAGATAACACCGGATGGTATCCACGCATGGAGTTGTCACACCAAACATAGTGATACCAATCCGCTTCTTCTCAGCCGATCGGGTTCCATTGTCAACGGCCCGGTTGAGGTTCAGTCGGTGTTGGTATGCCGATGCCATACCAAACATTGCAGCAGCGCCATTCTCGAGTACATCGCATAACAGTCGATTGGTGCCTGCAATATCCACCACCGAGTACATGAGAGTGATATCGCATTCACCTACCACAGGCCCTGTGTTCCCAGACGCGACCGTGCTGACGATCAATTTCGGGAGTCCAATCGGTACGGCCGTTTTCATCACCGCGGATATTAGACTAGTTCCTCCACTACCCCCTGCACCGATGATACCATGGATCTCATGTTTTTGCAATAAGTCCTCGACGCAACGAATAACGCAGGTGATCAGAAAGTTGATAGCTTCACCGCGGGGTAAATCTAATAGCCCTCTGTTGTCGTCTGGTGCATACTTCTCCACTAATTCGGTATGGCCGATAGTGATAGCATTGTCGGTGATTGGTTGACGGCCGCAATCAATCAAAGTGATTTCAAGAGGTGTGGAAAAGCGAGAGGCGGTTTCTTTCAACTTGGTGTAGATAAATGATACCTCTTCACGTTTGGTATCTAGAGTACCCAGGAGGATGATGTGTGGCATTTTGGGGTGTAGGAAGGTTTGCTGCAAGCACCCATACTAAACCAATCTTGATTATTTACAGAGGTTAATAGCAATTTGCCAATTTGCCGTCAGAAGAATGCGTCCAATCAGCCATTCAGCCAGAATTGTAATGTCGCGGTATGTGACATCACATGCCCTGTTATCACCGCCTTCTCCGCACCTTTGGAATTTTCCGCTCTCCGCTCTCCGCTCTCCGTCCCCCGCCCTCTCCATTCTTGTCCGCCGTTTTACTCACTTTGTTCTCTATGGGGATTACGATCCACTGGCACTAGCGATACTTCCAATGTAGGCATCAATATGTCAGCCCAAAAAGCACGTCATAGGCTTCCGGTATCTTGTGAGCCATGCCGCGTTCGGAAAATCCGCTGTACCCGGGATACTCCACCATGCGCCACTTGTGTTCGGCGTCGGATTCCACTGGAGCAGTGCGTCTATACAACAAGTAGACAGCCAAGAGTGTCCTCACAAACACAGTTGCAGTCGCGACAACAACAGGCAAGGCCAGAAATCCCGAGGTCTCTCGAGGCCCCCTTGCAATCCAGGCAGGATAGCACTGGACAGTCCAATGCAGATCTCTTAGCGCGAATCGAAAATCTGGAGCAATTGTTACACGCGAAGAATCAACTCCATAACATTAATTCCCCGCAGGCCACCGTTCCCGGTATCCACCTAGATGAAGAAGTTTCATGGAGATCACCACCTCCCACGGCCTCTGCAGGCATACTTATTCCGTCCACTTCAGGACACGTGCGCTTTCTTCCAGCCACTTCCAGCTGGCGCATTATTCAACGAGGGTCCCAAGATGGCACTTTTCCGAACCAGGAGAGTGCTGTCACTGACACTCCCAGTGGCCCCTACCCCTTCGGCGAGCACGACACCGAAAATCAGCCCAATCTCTTAGCCAAGCTTCCCCCGGCAGAGTATTGTGATCAACTGAAAGACATTTATTTTCGATCGTTTGCGCCAGTAAGTCTTTTTACTTCTACTACGACATGCTAGCTGCTGAAAAGTTGCAAACTAGCTCTTCCCCGTTTTACACGGTCCTACGTTTCACAGCCAATACAGTGAATTTTCTGAAAATCCTCATCAAACATCACTATCATGGCTTGCTCTCTTATTCACTATCCTGGGCACTGCTGTCCTTGCCCTTGAGCATGACAACCATCTACTCAAATCTCTGAGCCGAAAAGCCACCCCATGGGACCGTATCACCGAGATCACAGAGAAATATTATACCGCTGCGATGAGATGTCTTGAGGCAGATCGTTATCTTTGGCGACACAACATCTCCACGCTGCAAGCTCTCCTTATCCTCATATATGGCATTCATCATAGTCATGGGCAAACGTGGTCTCTCTTGGGGCTCGTCTATCACTTGGCCCTCTCAATCGGCTGCCATGTTGATCCGGCAACATTTCGCTTGGATATCGTCGAAGCTGAGGAGCGTCGTCGCGCTTGGTTAGCGTTGACAACTCTGCTTTGCAACCAAAATCTCACAATGACTGGATTTGATATATACCCGTCAGTGTTCTCCTCACGGGTTCTCCCCCCGGCCGAGGTCTACGATGAGAGTATCGTCCGTGGACAGCCATTGCCAATCCAACGGTCGCCAGGCAGCACACCTGTCTCATACTTGGTACGGAAATCGCATCTTTTCCGCATATCCTCGGAAATTTCCAACCCGATCCTTGTAACCCAACCGGGGAATTCTCCCGCTCTTCATCGTTTAGATGGCGCCATACAAATGGAATTGAATTCCTTGGAACAAAGCTATGCCTCCATGATTGAGTTAAATCTTTCAGTGGTCCACACCAATCTGCTGCTGAGCTTCACTCACCATCTCGTTTTACTTCTTCATAGTGCTACTTTGGGTGACTTACATTCCAATCTCTCCCAGCATCAATGGTCGAAGCAACGCTGTGTTGAAAGCGCACAGCGAGTGTTGGAACTTCATGCCGATTTCCACAGACTACCCCAGTTCACACCTTTTCAATGGTATATTCGTGGTCGAGGCTCTTTCCATGCCTTCCATGCCGCTTTTCTCCTGGTTCTCATAGTTTCTATACATCCTGAAGAACCTTGCTTTCTAAAAGTCTTGCGGCTACTTCATGAATGCCATGCTAGACTGGAGGCATCGAGGCCTCAAAGTCAGTTATGTACCCGGACTGCAAACATTCTGGGCCATATATTGTAAGTCCAGTATTTCAATGGCATCTCTCTCGTGCGTTCAAGGCTGATGCGATGCAATAGAGCGAGCCGATTTGTTAATACATTAGAAAGGGTATCAGCTGGGCTCGACGGTGAAGGAATCATGGCTGTATCGCAGAATGACTCCAATGTCGAAACGAACCCCGGGAATGGTGGAAATGGCCAAGATTCACTCTTCTCCGACGGTATCGACTTTCCCAATCTCGTCCGTCATCTCGATCCTCAGCAATGGACCAACCCGGTCAATATGGATTGGGACCAATGGGATCCGATAATCGCATCATTAGGAACTGCGCCTTGAATCCTCGGATATCCTATACCTCCACAAAACACAGCTACCGGCCTTTCCTGATTCTCTTCGGCATTCCAGCAGTATTCTTCATGGCTATCGAATACGAAATCAGATAATATGTATAGTATTTCTTTGATATAATCCATAATAGAAAGATTTATTGTAACTTAGATGATTCATGGATTGTATTTTGAGTGATAATGTCAAGAACGGTCAATGCACTCGTGTACAGTCTGATCATGGTTTGATACTTTATTAAGTACATATCTTTCACCGGTCCTTCTATTCGTTTAATCTACTATTTCAGACCAGATCGTCTTGATATTATATATCACATCAGACCAGGCCTAGGTAATATAATGACGCGTGGTGCTGCTTGGTTGTTTGTTTGTTGACAAGACGGAAGACATTGCATATCCGGCTACATGGTGTCTACTCGGGAAATCAGAATTAGCTTGCAGGATACCTCTTTCTCTTTCTCTTTTTCCTCATGAGCCTAGCCTTAGTTGTTCCGTTGAATGCACTCTTTTCCTTCAGAATCGCCTTAGTCAATCACTAATCAAAACGTATCTAAGTCGTCAAGATACATTTGTGCAGCGTAACGCACAAGATTAAGAATAGAAAACAATGCTGCCTAAAACTTTCAGACGGGTCCTAGTACGAAGTGTTCCAACTCGGCTATAGCTCATACGAAGTTCAAAAAGCAATGTTTCAATTCTTCCTAAAGGAAAAGGCTACCGTTCGAAGCCATGTGTTGTCCGACCCAAAGCATCATTCAATGGCTGTTATTCATTGGAAATGTGGGAATCGCCAGTGGTGTTACTTCGGAGAGAAACGCGGCGGTACCAGCCCAATCTGTCGAGAAGACAATTGATAGTTAGTGATTCAGCTCGGTAGCCTGCAAAGCCGGAAAGGGCAGAAGCACTGGGTTAGAGACGTACAGCTGCAGAATGCTACTACAAATCCGACCGAGTTCCCAGCAACGAGCACGTGGTCATTGTTCAACATATACCCAGTTGCGAGTAACAAAAGCTCAATGTCCAGAAACACGAGTGTGAAAAACAGGATCCACGAGCTACGAATAGCCCCGAGGGTATAGATGACGCTCAGAATAAACCAAGCCCAACAGTACATTCCCACGGCGGCATAGAATGTCGATTGTATATTGCCGCTGGCATCGGTGTATGCTGTATATTAGGTCAGCACCACATAATTAACCCATCAAAATGGCTGTATCGTTCCATACCCGCTTGGATACCCGTACCAGGTAGAAATACTGGGGAAATAATACATCAGTCTTTGTCGGCCGGAATGAGAGGAAAATCATGTACTCATGGCAAAACTAAGGTTAAATGCTCCATAAGATGGGAAAACTGTGGCGCCAAACTAGAAGCAATTAAAGTCAGAACTGATCTCAGATGGGGGGGTTTTCTGGGTATGATGCACTGTATTTCCGTTGATGAATTCCATGATTCCGGAAAGAAATTGACAGACACCGCCAAAGCATAGCAGTACTCCAATCGCCATGTTGGTTTTTTCGATGCTTCGGGTATGGATTCCGAGCATCGAAAGTAGGAATATACCAGTTGCGAAGGAGAGGAGCCCCAAAGGAGAAGGATTCGCTAAGACACGGCGCGCGGTGGGACAAGAGAGTGCAGGGCGATCTGAGACCTGGTGATTCTCTATATAATCACTGCTCGGGCACGCCTCAATTTTGTCGGCGTTCATGTATGGCTCAGACATTCTGAAATCCTACTATGAAGTCAAGATTGATGAAAGAACTAGGGATGTAGAAATTAAGCAAATTCTGGCCACACAAAATATAAGTATTGAGCACATGAGCGCTTCCCCACAGATAATTTTAGATTGCAGTAATAATTTACCCCACAAAACAACTAGTAGCTAAGTTTACCGATAGTTTGTGCTGTATTTGCCGTTTGCTGTGCATCATTCAGGTTTATCTCCGCGTCATGTATCCGCTGTCTCCACTTTTGCCCCTACCTCCGCTATGCGCTCTCCGCTCGCCGCTCTCTGCGCTCCCTAACTCCGTCATCCTACAACTCGGACATAATCCCACCGCATCCTTAATTTTTGCCACGACTGCGACCATTAATAAATCAGACTATACATAACTGCATTCTCACCACTATAGTGTCCCTATACCAATCTCTGTTGTCTCTAGACTTCAAGCCTAAATTTTTGAATTTCAGTCACAATATGACGTCAACATCCTCCCACAGCGAGATAATCGCCCGCCTACGTCGTCAAATTGAAGCTGGGAAGCCTATCATTGGAGCTGGAGCTGGTACGTATCCGCTCAGGTCCTTTTTGACCCTTTTTTACTCATGCATATCTTGCAGGTATCGGTCTCTCTGCAAAATCAGTCGAGGCTGGTGGAGGTGACCTTGTCATCATTTACAACAGCGGTCGCTTCCGAATGGCTGGCTGCGGAAGTCTTGCAGGCTTGATGCCATACAGCAATGCCAATGAAGTGGTTGTCGAAATGGCTGCGGAGGTCATTCCCATTGTTCGGGATATCCCTGTGATCGCAGGTGTCTGTGGCACCGATCCATTCAAGCACATGCCCAGATTCTTGACACAATTGAAGGATCTGGGCTTCGCCGGTGTTCAAAATTTCCCCACTGTGGGACTTATCGATGGTCAATTTCGGGCCAACCTAGAGGAAACCGGTATGGGGTATGACAAGGAAGTTGAGATGATCCAACATGCGGCAAAGTTGGGCCTTCTGACTACCCCTTACGTTTTCAACGTGCAAGAAGCCGAAGCCATGACGAAGGCCGGCGCAGACATTCTTGTTGCACACATGGGTCTGACAACTTCCGGATTGATTGGAGCGAAGACCGGAAAGACACTGGAGCAATGTGTTACAGACATCCAGAATATTCGGGATGCAGCTGTGCGATTGAATAAAGACATCATTGTTCTCTGTCACGGTGGGCCAATCGCTGCTCCAGAAGATGCGAAGTTTGTGCTGGACCGGGTACAGGGTTTGCATGGCTTTTATGGAGCTAGTTCTATGGAGCGACTTCCTGTGGAAGTGGCTATCAAGGATACAACGGCCGAGTTCAAAAATATCCCTCTGCGAAATTGATGTACACTTAAAAAAGATCTAGACATGCTATATACATACATTATTATCGTTTTTCAACTCTCACTGCCAACTAAAGACTGGATAACGGCAGGGCTGTTCGGGACAAGAAATGCGCTTGTAACGAAATCTCCTTCGTAACTGCCCGATATCATGTTCTAGGAATAAGGAGCCGCAGAAATATTCATTTAAGTACGGCAACGCCCAGGTAGTTCAACTTAGCTATGGTACGCACTCCTGTTGGAGCTTTACATACTCCAGGTATCCAGACTGAATATTAGGCTCAGTGCTTGTGGGGATAATCCCTTCGGGGGCGTTTGCCTAAGGCATCTACACGAACACTTTTTTCCCTGCACAACAGATCAGGTATCGACGTACGATATTAGTAAAGTGAACTCTCTTCGACTTTCCAATGTTCCACCAGATCAAAAGCGACAGACGGGAAGAATAATTTATTCGACACCTATAGTTCCATCTCGCTCTGATAGCTCTATAGACTCTTCTCGCACGCTTAAATGTACAGTCTTCATAATATGTAACCCTTGAATACCCTCGGATGATTCAATGATTGGGTCTTCTTCTCGCTCCCAGCCTTTTACTCCTCGCTGTATTCTCACACTACGAGAGAGCCTGCGAGACGGCGCATCCTTAGACGCGGCAATTCTCGACCGAGAATCAGACTGGGAAGTGCCTTTTGATTCAGACTTCGACGGCCCCCGATAGGTATATGATATGCCAATATCGTCCTCATAGACTGCGACGAAGGATTTGAGGAAGGCTGTCAAGAGGCAGGTAACACTTAGCCCGACGTATACCTCCGTCGAGACTGTGGCAAAGGACCCAAGGAGAGTTGGATCTTTCGAGGAGAGCTGGGCCAGGATGAAGTGTAGCCGAACTGCCGCCATAGGGATGAGTCTATCGTAACATGATGGTATCAGCAAAGGAATCCCTAGTTAATCTTCTGGTAGAGTAACCCACAAAATTCGACTCTCGAGAGCGCAAAACACCACGATCTTTTTCTTTGTCGAAATCCTGACTTGATTAATTGCAAGTGCGGCATACACAAGAAGTAAAATCTCGGTGGAAATGTCGAGGGCTGTGATGACTTCCCAACGGGGGCGCTGTAGCCTGATCAGTGCTTATACTAATCTGCGATAGGGACAAGTCATACCAATCCACCGCATTGAGCAACACTGATTTCAGACCAGGGATTCGAAGAACACCTAATTCCCAACAAAAGCATGGAGATTATCGTCCAAGCGACCATGATCAGAAGAATGACATGGGAAAGCCGACGTTGTATCTGGGAGAATAGGCCCTCATAGAACATGCAGGTTGTCATCTTTGAAAGACCGAGCACAATAATGGAGAAGATATCGGCAGCATATACTATCTTCACGATGTTAATCACCTTGAAAATTTGAAGTTTCCCCACAACAAGTTACCTTCAACATTTGCTCTTTGCTCGTGGCCTCGATGCTATCGATCGGAGTTCCCCACCCGTAGTGGACCTGGCAAAACACGATGATAATCTGGACAATTGCTGCAAGCTAGAAGTCTGTTAGTTCAGAAACAACCAGCTCAAGTATTGTCATTTTACAATGGAGTGCAGAGTACTGTACCACGAGAGCTCCAAATGTATAATCATCTCGTTGCAGGCTATTCCTATGGTACGAAGAGAAGGTGCGTGCTGCGAGAGAGAACAAAACCAGAGACAAGCTGGTTGCAGTGATGACTACAATCAGTCCGCTATGGTCATGGTCATTATTCGTTGTAAGAGGAGGGCTCACACCCGAAGGCCATGTCATCGAAGTGGCAGACATGACAAGCTAGGAACCGTGTGAACATCAACGGTAGGAAAATAAATCGGAACCAGAAAATTTTCACATTTGAAGCATCAGAGGGAGGGTTCAAGGCGTTTTCAAATGTTGAATCGGGAAGAAAACACAGATCGTCAAATGGTAAGATCTTCGAGCCGAGTGGTCAAAAACAATCCCCCGGCGATCAACCTTGATTCGGCACGCTGTAGAACTGCATTATTTATTAAGCCAATGTTAGTTGTGGGTGTTCCTAGTGCGCCACAATAAAACAACATGACCGGATGTTCATGGGAAGTGAGCTGAAAGTACTCCGTACATGTAGAGAACCAACCAGATTGCAGAGATTGCAGAGAGTGCAGGGATTGCAGGGATTGCAACCCTTGCCGACCCATGTCAAGGCTGGAGTTAACAAAAGGAGTAAAGGCCGTCAATTAAAAATTAAGTTCCTTATATTAAATGGCGTTGCCTTCAATTCCTTTTCCAGACAGCTTCCAGGTTAGCTTTTAGTCTGCCAACCAATATTCACTTTTGGGGATATGACTATTTATCTACGGAATACGTATGACGAAACAATTGACTAAAAGAAGATTTTGGATGCACGGTTCAGTGTAGAAAGTAGACAATATGGGTTACAAGTGGAAAGGACTTGTCTACCCTCCCGCTCCTGTGCTAATCGGTCCAATCAGGGGGTCATTAACGGGCCGGGCCAGAGTAAAGCCAATGAACATGTTGGCCACCTGTGGAGAACATCGACCCACGGGATTTGACGACCCCATAATAATGTCTTGGCAGTTCTTTTGTACTTTGTTCCAGTTCTGCTTAAACAACCAGCTTTGTTACATTGTGGCCGTCCGTTCCCCACTTAGTAAAGAGACGAACAATTTGGACCATGCAAATCTGGCCTAGTGCCGTAAAAACACGCGCTTTTGGATACCAAAGCCGCTCTAGGCCCTGATAAGAAGATCGAATTATGTTATGATTTTCAAGCTAAACACGCGGCCAATTTAATAGTAATTAGCCGAAATGGAAGCTTTCGAATACTTCGCCTGTTTTTCCCGTTCCCCTCGGTGGGGCAGGACCGGGCAGCATGGAGCACGGGGTACAGAGTTAGTGATCCATTGTTTCACGGGTATTCCGGCCTTTCTATCCAAGTAGAATTTTAATACTCTACTTCGCCCCTTGATCCCTGTGAAATTAATTCCATCGTCGCTCTTTTCGGATTCGTATTCATCGAAATCATGGAAACCTCAACCAAAGCGACCGCTTTGGAGACGCTGGACATGGGGATAGATTACAGGAATTCAGAGGCCTCCCAAAAAGGTGCGACTGCACTGGACGACGACGAAATGCATCGCATGGGAAAGATTCAAGAGTTCAAGGTTCGTCCACTCGATTTTGCGTGTATCACATCCATAGCTAATGTTCTGCAACTTGAATTAGAGAAACATGCGACCTCTTGCGGCATTGAGCTTCGCATCAGTCTTGCAAGCTACTTGGGAATATTTGATCATGTGAGTTCAATTGCAAATAAGGGGGAAAAAAAGCCTCTCCGACCGAAAGAGGTACAGAACAAACTCACTAATTCCTTGCAGCTCGAACTACCAGGGATTGGAGAATGGAGGCCTGGCAGGCATGTTCTGGTCATACATTTGGACCTTTATCGGATTCGGATTCATCATTGCGTCTTTGTCAGAAATGGCTTCAATGGCACCTACCGATGGAGGCCAATACCATTGGGTATCGGAATTTTCCTCGCCTCGTCACCAGAAGTTCCTCAGCTACATCACTGGCTGGATGTCTGTACTGGCATGGCAAGCCGGAACAGCTTCTGGATCATTCCTTACCGGCACCATCATCCAAGGATTGATCAGTGTTCGTAACCCGGATTACGATCCTCAAGGCTGGCAAGGCACTCTACTTGTGTTCGCAATGGTTCTGGTGACGTATATTTTCAATGTCTATGCGTCAGACCTGATGCCAATTATGAGTAATCTTTTGATGATTCTTCATGTCCTTTGCTGGGCAGTGATTTTGATCGTCCTGTGGGCTATGTCGCCTCACCGAACCGCCGAGGCCGTTTTTGTCTCGGATTGGGAAAATCTAGGAGGTCTACCTACAATGGGACTGAGTGTGATGGTTGGACAAATTTCAGCTATCTATGGATGTCTTAGTAAGTGTTACCTTACTCGTATGGAGATACTTCTATGGAAAAGACACTAACTAGCCCTCAGGCTCCGATGCTTGTGCGCATATGTCGGAAGAAATTAAAGACGCGGGCCGGAACGTACCACGGGCTATGGCCTGGGGATATTTCATAAATGGAATCATGGCTGCCATCTTGCTGATTGCCTACCTCTTCGCCACCCCTTCTGTCGAAGATTCCATTAACGACGTTACAGGCTTCCCATTCCTCTACGTGTTCAAGCAAGCTACCAACACCGCAGGAGTTAACGGATTAACAGCTATCATCTTGATACCTGTCATTTTCAGCAACATAATGTTCAACGCCTCCACCTCCCGCCAGACATGGGCTTTTGCTCGTGACAATGGTCTTCCTTGCTCTCGATGGATCGCCAAAATCGACCCCAAGCGGAAAATTCCCGTTAATGCTATCGCCCTCTCTTGCATCATCAGCTGCCTGCTTTCTCTGATCAACATCGGCTCTGACACTGCATTCAACGCCATCATCTCTGTTAACACCGCGGCTTTGATGTACACTTACGTGATGTCAATCACATGTGTGATCTGGCGAAAGATTTGGCATCCCGATACCCTACCTGCTCGTCGGTGGGATATGGGGCGGAATTTGGGGTTGGCTGTGAACATCATTGGCCTCTGTTACTCCATTTTCGCGATGTTTTGGTCATTCTGGCCAGGCGAGCTACCGGTCACTGCTGAAAACTTCAACTGGAGTGTCGTGATCTTTGGCTCGGTTTTCATACTTAGCCTCTTCATGTATTTCATTAAGGGAAGAAAAGACTATTTTGGGCCAGCTTTGGATGTCAAGCACGAGGACTAGACCGACGTATGGCTAGCCTATGTTTTGACCTGGGTCGTTTATTTTATATGTACTGGCTTCTACCCATGGATCTACCAAAATTTTTAATATCTATGAGATCGTCCCATCCGGTGTTAGTGGGGCACACATTAATCATTTTAAAATTTTAATCAAGTCATAGATAATTGTAGTGCTCTCGGTGGGGGAATAAGGGGTTATTCTCGTAGCCTGTAACATGGCAAGTAGTTTCTAGTGGGAAAAGTCCATTCAAGTAAGTTCTCAGGCCAAGGCAAAGTGAAGGAGAGTAAAAGTTCTCCTTCACGCTAGTCCCGATTCAGCCATCAAGCAGTGTACGGAGGTCAGTAGCGGCCATGCGGTCAGATCCCCAAAACCAGGCCAAAATGGTACCGAAAACGGTTATTTACAAGGGAGCAAACGACTGTGCATATGTTACATAGTCCCTCAACCTTACATATGTCGGTTCCCGCCTAGTCTATATTAACTAGTAAGTAGATCTTCAAACTTCTAAAGTTCTAACAGATCTGGTCAGCGTTATCCTATCCCTATAGTCATAAATAGTATCATAGATATCTTTAAGAGTATATAGGTCCGCTTAAGAAGGGACTCGATTCCCCCTGGTGGGAGATTAATCTATGGGTCAGGCAGTCAAGTTTGAAATGAGCCTAGGTAAGTATTAGTACTGGATAATACTGAAACTATGGATATTTTGGTATAATACAGTACAAAAATAATGATCTGACCACATGGCCGCTACTGGCTTCCGTAGCAGTGCTATATCCTGCATGGGCAATGCCTCCTCTTTGAATATTCAAGGGTCTTAGAAGACTTCTCCAAATTATCCATTTTTAACAGGAATCGTGGGCTTTCAGGCAAAAAGACCAATCCAATAAGCAGTATATTGATAAGAGGGATCTGCAGCGACACGGGGATGTGCCACTGTAAGGCTGAACCAGGCGTTATGTGCTTTGATACACCATAATTGATCCAGAAACCTACAAGAGCGCCAAGCTGGATCATGATTTCGAAGAACCCGATACATCGACCACGAAACGCAGCAGGGGCAATCTCTAATACGTAGAGCGAGGCGACCATGGTCAGTGGTCCCAATCCAAGACCAGTCAGCAAACGCCCTGCATAGAGTGCATTGAGGTTACCAATGAGCTCAATTGCACTTCCAATAAGAAGTATGCAGGCGGGTATGATTAAGGTAAGGCGACGACCGAGAACCTCTGCGCAGGGCAGAGAGAGTAGACATGCAAAGAGACATCCGACCTGAAAGGTGATGACAATATTGCTAGACAGGTTGATTTCCGTTGTAAATTTACCAAGCAGACCAAATTGAGATTTGAATGAAGGCAAATCGAGAGTTCCGCCGATGAATGCATTGTCATAGCTGTCACTTCTACGTTAAATGTGTATTTGCTAAAGACAAGCTGTAACGGAAAGGCCAGCTCACCCAAACAAGAACCCACAGAAGCCTGCCGAAATGCAGGCAGAATATAGTCTCCAATTGTAGACTTCATTAGGCGTATTCCCATCGTCCTTGAGCTTCCAAATCATTTTATGGTGCTGAGACGATTCCTAGGATTTAGACATAAATGAGAGGACAGAAGGATAAGCCGGCTTTCCAGGAGGATTTGAGTTGAAGTATAAAGTTCCACAGCCTGGAGAAGGAAGCATGGAATTTTTGTGTGCGGAGTATAAAGAAAGAAAGGATCAAAGAAAAGGGAGGGGTGGAGATAACCCCCACTGTCCAACACTGGAAGTCTCCAGGGGATGCACATGCTCCAACAACCTTACAGGTGTTGGACGGACGGATACCAATTGGGTACCCAGAGTCTCAATTCGTGGGGGCTTACAGTCTCTCCCAAACCCCTTCATTCTCTGCTTCGTGCTTCAGTTTTCCATGGTATGGGTCACCTCAAGCACTTATCATTGACGATGACCAAGTTCAAAAGTCCAGAATTATCTGCCCGTCCGCAATTTCAACTTATTCCGAATTATTGAAAAAGCCAACTCGGAGTACGCACGTGCTAAAAGCGTGGGGGTTACTTCGATAGATGAGGATTGTAGGCTGCAAAGGGTGACATTTAGAGCTATATACCCCCACGCTGAGGAAATAACCTAGTAATTTTACTCTTTTGTTGCTAGCTCTTTGACATCTTTGCAAGGCGAGTGGTTTGTTACCCCGCAATAACGCTCCACTTCCCCACGTTCGATCTGTGGAAGTGGCCGGGTGGACCATAAAACCTTACCTTGGAATCAGCCACGGAAATGGATTCGTCCACCACTTTACCGGGGTACTTGTTTTCGAGAGAGAGAAACGTAAATACTTGACTTAGGAAGTGACTACTTGTTTACTGCTCTTATAATGGATAGGAGTGAATCATCATCACTCACAAAGAGATACCCTGCCAGCTATCGAAAATATCCAGCTACATTCAATTTTCGCTTTCTCACTCGCTATATATTCATCATGATCAACTGATTTCACCTTATTTGGGGGCAATTCGGGTAGCGCCGACCACGGGGACAGAGCAGAAGACTTTCAATTGATGAAAACTCCATTTAACGAAGCTATTCAGAAACCGCATGGGTGGTCTACGATAGAGTCGGAGGTAACAGTACATAATGGAAATGAAAGTAAGTAAACCCCAATTCAGAATATCATAAATAGAGGGCTCATGTCTAGCTCAAACCGAGCATCCCAGCAGCTTTGGAAACAAAGAAGTCCTTCCCCTTGATTTTAGAAACCAGAAATCCCCAAGGTTTCCATCCAAACATTTGGCCCGTGCCTTTACTTTCTCCGATAGGCACAATCATCATCAAAGAGCCCTTTGAAGAATAGGTAGTAAACTTTCCCTGACCAAGGATTGCGGCTTTAAGATTAGTAACAACCACCGGGACTTGCTCTGTCACTTTGATTGCCGTGCGCAGTGGTTGCGTGGTGATGTCCCCGAGTGCATATATTGAGTCATCATCCGACCCTCCTGGGACACGCAACTTGTCGTCCACCTTGACCCAGCCATCGGCCGAGAGAAAGGCCTGAGGGAGGAACTGGTTGTTTGGGACCACCCCAATAGTAGAGATATAGACGTCTGCTTCAAGCTGCTCGCCGCTGTTTAGATTGATCACCCACTGGGTTTTGTTGCCAGAATTTTTGCGCGCAGCATTAACTACCTTGCGGGCTGTAAGCACCTTGACGCCCATTTTTGCAAGGACCTGCTCCGCCATAAGACTACCTCCTTCCTTCAAAATAGGCAAGACATGTTTTGTCGCGGAAATGAGAGTGATCGAAGCCTCTGGTTTTTTTTTGAAAGCCTCAGCAAGCTCGCCCGCAAATTCAACACCAACCGGACCTGCCCCGCCAACGACAATACTCGTCGCCTTGGAGATGACATTTTGGATCGAGCGAATGGAGGTCTCCACATCACCATCATCATTCAAAGACTTGAAAGGGGCCGGCTCTCCCTGCAGCGAGGAAGCGGTCGTGCTACCAGACGCAATCACAAGATAATCGTAGGAAAGAGCCGATTGTAGCGACGAAATGTTCACTGACTTCAAGGTGGTATCGATGCCGGTTACTTTTCCTTTGATGAACTGAAATGACTCCTTAGAGTAGCGTTCAAATGAGCTCTCGATAGAGAGAAGGTATTGAGTCGGCTGAAAGAATTCGGGTTTGGCTAATATTCGTGGTGCCGCAATATTGAAGTAGTGCTTCTCCGAGGGATTGATCAGGACAACCTTGATCTTATCAGAGTTCGTTTTAAGAAGTCCATTTGCAACTCCAAGTCCAGCATGAGAGGCGCCGACAATCAAAACGTTTTTTCTAGCCATCATGAGAAAAGTTCCGTATGGTGTTGTGGAGGGTTGATCGGAGAACAGTCCCAAAAGGATTAAAGGAGTTGTAATGAAGAAGATCAGCCACCTCTGTTGAACAGAATATAAAGAGAGAGAAATCACGGCAAGATAATGCGCGGCGAATCGAAATACATTGTAAAAACTATCAACTAGAAATGGATTTCAAATTTGCTAATTATTGATTGATTGGTAACGAGTCCATTTATAATCGTCTTGTAGGTCGGCGGTCATTTTCGGCCGCTCAGACCGCACACAAGTCAGTCATGAATTACTGTATTTCATTGGTCATCTTAGCTTATATCAGCATATATCACATGACTTTCCTCCTTTCTAACTCTGCCTCATACGGACATACTCGTGCGTGTCTTCTGAATGTGAAATGAACTTAGAAATTTTCACTGGATTGATAGTTTATTATGACTATATACCAGGGTAGTTTATATTCAGAAAACCGTCAAATTGAACTTTATATATGTTATTACTACAACCAGATAGACCCTATTTCTATTCTTTCGGCACTTCGCCAAGTGCATCACAACCTCCGATTAAAACGCGCCCAAGAGAATATGCTGTCTTCCTCCCTGTATGTTTCTTTTCGGACTATAACATCTCCAGGTACCGTTCTAAAGAATTGACGTGATTGGTTAGATATCCCTAAATTGCTGGTGAGTGGACCCAGTCGTCAAGATATTTAACTTACTTGCCAACATCCATCGTGCACTGATGGCTCGAAGTGATTTGATGAATATAGAATCTTCTCGGTCTTCAATGGCAGAGAATTCCGCCTCGGGAATCAACTTTTGTCCTAAAGCTGCGTAGTATATAGCGCTGATCACAGATGGCGGTATTGAATCGAGAGAAAGGCTGAAGTTCAGCGTGACTTCTCCTAGGTCATTGCATATCACTGTCATGGCATGGCATAACACCTGGACCTTCAAACGGTAGGGGTCATCTTCAAACATTACGCCGCACTTCTCGCGCAGATGGAGTGAAAGCATCAATGCAGCCCTGTATATTGATCAAAGTTGAGTTGAGAAATTCATTGCGGATGGAAAAGGAGATAAACCGACCCAATGCTTGTGGCAAAGCCTCCAGTAAGACGATTGCACAAAGAATTCCCATGTTGCTTTTGCGTCTGTATCAAATATCCTTCCAGATCATTGTAAATTCTGGATGCCTTCTCTAGTCGCATCGTATTATCCGAATGGTTCTCACGGATCAAATCTTGAACTTGTCCAAGAATTCTAGCCGCATTTGCCTCACACCTGTAATACCATACACTACCGCTGCCACAATCTGACAAAGGGAGTGAATCAGTGGTATGAAGGGTATCATCCCATGGTTGGTATTGTTGTGGAAGGTTCTTTTCCGGGGCTGGGTTCTCTACCGCAGGCGGTCTCAGGGTTGACAGTGATTCCATATTGATATATCTGAACGTGTAGGGGTTAGCAATGGATTGCACACATAATAAACGTGAAATGGTGGAGGATGATGACCTATCTAACGCAACGATAGCCCACCATGTGCAATTCCTCTCCTCATCTACCCTCTGATTTTCTCCTGTCATAATTGAAGGGGTGTGTGAAGCTTGATGGAGTCCAAGTAGGTACGCTAGCGTCGCGCATGATCCAATGGTGACGTATGACATATCCGTTGCTCCTTGGGCGTATTCGTAGAGAGCAATCAGAATCCCGGCTTGCACCATTTCTATCGAAGGGCAGGACAGCGACAGAAACAGGGAGAACTGATATTTTGTAGTCAGGTATAAATGGGTTTCGGTAGGCGACAATCCATCATCGCTCTCGAATGGATTAGAAATAAGAAGTAGCATAGAAAAAATCAAAAGGGTGGAAGCGGCATTGGGATCACCATTCTGGATTATCGGGAATGTATCCAAGACCCGCCTTTCGGAAACGATAGGCAGCCAGCCATGGATTGTCCGAAAGAACTTATGACTTATTTGGACCAGTGATAAATTTCTCTCTTCAACAAAGCGCATCAAATCCATCGTGCAAAGAAAAGCACGGTACGATGGCTTGAGAAAAACGGGCTTGATTTGCCAATTTTGCATCTCGGAGCTTTTGGCTGATTCATTCCTAGCATGATCAATCCCAAACGGAATAGGCTCATTCTTTTCTGTATTTTCCGAATTTTCATTTTGAAAAAGTTTCGTTTCGATCTTATCAAGACGACGAAGTATTTCGTCAAGCTTATTTTCCAAGCTAGAGCTCAGACCGGAGGTCGACTCATTATACTTGCAGTCCAAGGAGAGTCTAGAATTCTCTATCAGTGAGTGTCAAGGTTTTTCAACTGCCAGATCAGTCCTTGGGAATGACAAAAAAGATAATATCATTACCTAGAGCATCGACTGCAGCTTGGTAGCGCTTTATCGCATTTCTTCTTGCTTCCTTTGCATCGGATGCAGCTTTTTCTAGTTGGATGTTTCTCAGCATCCGATAGTGATCCAGAGACCATCATGATGACCTGGCTTAACAGAGAAGCACCCTTTTGATGGTTTTACAAAAAATACTGTTCCGTTTCTGATTGGCGTATGCTTCCGGGTTCAGACTTTGTGTCAGCTGCTTATAGAAGCTATGACAATTCTTTCAAACTTGTACCCTTCTTACCCAGCTAAAATATGACAAAAAGGCAGTTCCAAAATGTAGACACATGTGCTCGGATTGATCCAGATAGTCATGGAGTTGCATTAATTTAGCGAGGTCACGTGGTGACTATCCTTAGTAAGTGAGTAGTTCATACCGCTTCCCCGCGGTCTTAGAGCATCTAACTGCCAAATTAATCGATCTGGTTCCACCGCGCCCTGCAGATTTAAACGCCTCCTGGGTTCAAATACTTTGCTACAAAAAATGACATCGTCTACCCTATATTTAATTTCTTCAGAAAGGAAACACCTTAGGGGGCGCTGATCCCAACCTGCGAGTAAGACGAGAAAGACACATCCAAAGCCTGACAGTCAGGTCAGGTTTCCTGATCAATCACAATGCATTGGTTCTGCAGGTGCTGTTGGACACGTTGGAATTTTTGCAGCGGCAAAGAAATGATGAACTACGTTTCCGGCGCGGCCACTGCGCACCTTCCTTACCGGGAGCACACCCCTGACCGCCAGAAGTAATTCGGACAGATGGCTCATGTCAACGTCTTGGGAGGATAATCTCATCGTTTCTCAATCAAATGGGACCGGATAGTGAACAAAAATAGAGTGATTCCCAGTCGATGTCGCAGTTCACCCAACCTCCGGCTCTAGCAAACCTGCCGAGTAAACACAGCTTCTTCTCAGCCGGCCGATGCAGCTTTTATGGAACATATCGCCAAGCCTGTCACTTACGCTCAGAGGAGGTGCGTAATCATACATATATGCCCTTGTCCTAGACGATACCCATAATTTTGTGATGGATACCTCCCATCTAGTCATTCAGCGAGTGGAACAGAAGATGAACTTGCGCGGACGGCAGCCAGTGTGTCTATGGCCGAACGCGAGCGAGGCCACTTCTTCAAGAATAACCAGGTGGTGCCTGGATTGGTTCCGACCTGCATTCTACCATGCCCCAGGTTTCAAGGAGCAGCCGGAATCGATCGTCTTCCAGGAGATGTATCCCTACCTCGTAACTCTTGAGCAAATTATGCCCTGGACGGACAAGCCAGGCCTGTACGCTCTTTCATGGCCCCCAAGGTGGTATCTGGCTGGCACCGATGCGTTATAACTGTCGGCACCCTGAGTTGTTGACCATTAGCTGTATTGTGTTTTATCAAATAGGGTGAGTGCCCTGCCACTGAGCTGTATGAACAACTGGTTTTACTCTTGCGACCGGTCATATGGTTACTGTGGCATCTTCATCCACATTATATGAATTTGATTGTTAGGCCCTAGCTGTAGCTAAATATGTGTTCATGGTGGCCGGTGCTCATTCTGAGTGATATGACGGGGCCATCCTCTTGTTTCGAGGCGCGTTGTGCCAGGAGGAATGAGAGTTTAGAAGCAGAGGATGAAAATAAAGAGGTAGAATATACAACATACGACTCTGAATTGATACAATCTTTTCTTTCTATTTCCCGCTTCAATCTTGGAGACTCATATTTTGTTGTTGAGATTCAACAAGCTGCGAAATCATATAGTAGAGCGTCGTCCATAAATAAGCAAACGAGTTTTGCCAACGGCAACTGATGTGTAGTGACCGACTGTAGTAAGCAAAGTTTTGACCGTAAAGGATTCCTCACATCAATACTTCAACTATGGCTGGACCAGCCACGATATTATCATCACTCACGCCGCTCATACTGTTCGTCAAGACAACATAGCTCTGACCCTCGACACCTCCAGGAATAGTGACAATGAACTGACTGTTACCGAGGGACTTCAGAGATGCATAGACAGGCCCAGTGACCGTGATAAATGCCGCTGACAGATTGCTGGTATTGAAACCACCGGTACCAGCCACCAAAGTCGCTGTGGATCCGTTCATCACATTCCCACTAGGGACCATTGTTAGAGAGGGGAAAGCCTTCACTGGAAGCTGCGGGTTGCTCGAAGGACATGAAGTAATGAAAGGTGAGGCAACGGTGTAAACTTCATTAAAATTAAGTGGACTATCGAAAGGCTGCGCATAAGGAACCTGGCCGAGTGCTGCGCGAAGATAGGCATTGTGGCGGGCCTCTACAGTGAGGATACTCCCTGCCGCGGTAAGGTATGTTTCATTGGCGATTGAAGCTGCCGCTCCAAGGTAAGCACTGACTCCGACGCCTAGCCAGAAATAATTAGAATCTGCAAGCAACTAAAGCTGTAATCGACTTAGAACTTGTGAATAAATACCTTCTAATACATTCGCAAGCGAAATGAAACTTTTTGGGTCGGTCGCTGGGAATGAGTAGCTGCACTGTGCAACCGCCGGGAAACCAGCAGCTAAGGAGAGATCATCAGCACGTTCTTAGAATTATTCAAATACTTCTATTGACATACCATTCAGTGCGCTTGTGAGGAACTCCACATGAGTCTGCTCATCGGAGGCAACCTCTTGCAAATTTGCATAGAAGGGGCCTGGAAACCCAGCATTCAAAAAGGCCTCATGAGAGTAGTTTTGCAGGCCCTGTTGATAGAAAGTAGCTTCAAGATGTTCAAGTGTCAACGCATAGTTGAGAATAGCCGCTATTCATTACCTCCGCTTAGTATCGAACAAAAGCTCCTCTCGCAATATTGAGATGATATCTTTTCGATAAGAAGACCTACCGTCATTAATTGCACGTTTTCTATGAATTGCTCCTCCATGGACAGTACCAATAGCAGCTCCAAGGATTGCACAAATGCTAGGCTTCATAGTAGATGAAGTATGTCTTGCCAGAAAGGTTGGGGTAATGAGAATCACAAACACGAGATAAAAAATCTTGACCGAATGATAACATCAACCTGGCTGAGCCTGGGCGCAAAGACCAAATTTATAACCACCCAAGTTTCACTAACATCTTGCTGTCGTCAAATCACTCTAGAGCAATCCATTTAGGTCAGTTGATAACTTTTGAGAACTACTTTGCCCGGAAATAGGAGATTCGTGGACCAACTCGCAGGTTCTCTACAGATTTATACTTCATTTTCACGTCATCACTCTTGCCAATGCAAAGGATAAAATAATTATACCTCATATAATGAAGACAAACTTTCGAACAGGTGATCACATTCGAGTTACCAAGGATGTTTTTCGTAGGTAGAAAAGCAAGTTCTGGATGAAATCCATCACTGAATTGGAATATATTATTGTGAATCTAAGAGGGGGAAAGTGTAAAGCAAGAGTTTATAAGTAGAATACTGGTCTCCTCAGGCTGCATTAGGAGAAGAACTTTCTAATTGGATTATTAGAAAAAAAAACCTGGTTTAGATTTGAGCAAACTTTACATTGCTACAATTGTAATATTTGGTCGTTTAGCAATTAACTTCGGCGATACGATCAACAGAGCGAGAGCGAGAGCGGTGGGATCTTGGGTCATATGACACCCCTGGTAAAATGTACTGTGGATTTGCCTTGCATCTAAAGATATCCAATTGCTAGACCTGACACAGATATCATTTCCAAGGTACTTGTCACAGACCAAGCCATTCTGGTCTCAACACTACTTAGTGGCTTGTTTGTTGGCAAGGAATGAGCGCAGTTGCCTCTAGGTACCGGATGAGGACTCGTGCAATGCTACCAAAGTGAATTCCTGTCTCTTGTCTTTCTTTCCTTCCTAGATTCGACCCTTTCGTGGAATGGACTCTTGTTCTCAAACTTGACTTCCGTTACCATCCTGCTTGAAAAACGACCTCACAAATTCCATAGATTAGGTCGGACGTGGGAAATAAAATTTGAATTTTATACTGGACAAATTGACAGGGATTCTGTATGGGCGTTGATGATTTTCTCGACATGTGTGGATAAGTAGGCAAAGCAAGGCTATCATTTCAGCGGCCCAAAAGGGGTTATTTACGCACGTCCCTGATGACTGGTAGAACGGCAATCTCTCCACGTTACCACTAAATTGATCTTTTACACCTTAACCCATATGCAGCAACATACCCACGGCTCTGAATTCAGTGCCTCCCTACAATATCCTAGAATACCAAAATCTCAAGTGTTTGGTTTCGCTACATATCTTGTAGTACACTGTAGATGAAAGGGTAGGTGCTGGAGTAGATACTGGAGTAGATAACCCAGGTAGCCTCAAGTGTACCTATTCCGGTAGGCTATAGGGAACATGATTTGGTTAGTCAACTCGAAGATATGGGTATATATAATAGTAATTTGGGGGTTACGTGGAGCAATTTCCGATAGAACTTTGTAATTTGCGCAAATCGGGCCAATATAGACCTGCGTTCATGAGTAATTTATATTTCCAATCTGTTCGGAGCTAGCGGTCTTTGGTCATTATACTTCGTTGGTAGACTTAGTTTAGTAACACATTGCAAAGGAAGAAGAGTATAGCCGAAAACCAATAAGCATAATAAAAGGTAGAATCGATTAAGGAAATGAGAGAAGATAGATGGGGTTGAAAAGAACGTGTGAAAATGAAACCTTGCAAGTCCAGAAAAATGTTTCAGTTCATAGTCGGCAACACAAGGTCTATATTCAGGAGACTCCAGTGGAAGACACATCGAAAGAGATCAAGAGTTTTCTAGATGAAGCGGATGATACAGCGCTCCTAATCCGTGCCAGAGGCAACATGGACCTCAACCGAGCCCGCGGTGTTATCTTGCTTGATGTAAACCAGGTCCAGAACGCCATCACCGTTCCAGTCGTACATCAACCAAGTTCCATTATCCTCAACGCTGAAAGTGGTAGGCACACTCTGAATAATGGTCTGATAACCCGACGCGGCCGAAGCAACATTCACTTCGACATAGCCAGAGGCCGTGTTGATGTTCTGGATGTAAAACAGATCATAGGATCCATCCATATCCCAATCAGCCAGGAGCCAGGTACCGTCGTTGCCAATGGAGAAGCTCGACACGGTTTGACTAGTCAGTGTGGAGTATGTAGCAGCTCCCGATGCGACGTTGACCTCAACGTAGTTAGAAGCCGTGTTGCTGTTTTGGATGTAAACAAGGTCAAGCTTGCCGTCTCCATCAACATCGATCATTTGCCAGCGACCGTTGATCTGCACATCGAACACCGTCTGAGTATTTTCAAGGAGATAAGATTGGAAGTTCGATGCACCAGAAGCGACGCTGATCTCCACTTTGCCGGAGGGAGTGTTTCGGTTCTGGATGTAGATCAAATCCAGGGTTCCATCGTTATCATAATCAGCCAGCGACCACACTCCGTCGTTTTGCAGGGTGAATACGGAGGTTTCATCGGAGACAATGTCGTAATATCCGTAATCGGATGGAGTCAGTTGGACCTCGACGTTGCCAGAGCTTGTTCCGATGGTTTGGATATAGGCGAGAGCAGGTGAGGTATAATCCTCGTCACCATAACCATAACCATAGCCGTAGTCGTCGTTTTCCGTGTAGGGCACCATCAGCCAGGTACCATATTCGGCGGGCGCTGGGAAGATGGTGCCTGTCTCCTGCATACGGTTTTGGTATACAGAGGCTGTGGCAGATCGAACATGCCACGCCGTTTGGCACAAGGCGAAAAGATAGGTCCGACTATGCATTGTGCAAGATGAAGAAAAGAATGGGTTAAAGGAGTGACTGTCTTGCCGAGACACAGCAGACGGATGGGAAAAGAGCGTCGAGGATGTAGGATGAACGATTTATCGAGGATTGACTTTTTCTTTACATCATCAAAACCAGTCTAGTTGACTCTCCGCTGGGGGGATGGTTCTTGGAACAGCCTTTCTTGCCGTTTCCCGTCAAAGCTCTCGTGGGCCAGTCGGTTCTCATTACCCGATCAATTCTGTCTTCACAGGAGAGTAGGTGGCGTAAGTGGAGAAACAATAGTGCTCAGCTCGCCTAGAAGCGCCGTAGAAAGAAGCATAATTCACTGTTTACCCTTCCACCAAGTTATCAACCTCTTCTAATATTCCTCGCTGCTAGTGGAGGGGAAATATACGAGGAAATATACAGACTTACCAGAACCTCAGTATCTTTCAAAATCAAGCACCGGTAATTCATAGATGATCTTTGCAATCAAAAGAACAATTCCTTGAGTATCTAACAAATGAAACTAAGTCCCCAAATCAAGCGTCCCGGAAAAAGCCGAAAATAGAGGGAGATAAAGGTCCCACGTTTGAAAGTGGGGAAGTCCACGAGCAAGAAAACCTCTACGAAATACGGAGTACGGATGATTCGAATAACTTTTCACTTCGTAAAAGTTTTCTCTCCCACCATATTGGAAAGAACTTGTTTTTTTTTTTTTTCTTTCTTTCTTTCGATCATTTTGGGCTAGCAGTCGGCTCTGGGGCTTAGACTTCGGTTAAGCGTCAGATAGTTGGAATCAAGCAGCGAATGATAGCGCCCCACCAGAACCGTAAGGCAGCGCCCCGCCCACGCTAACCAAGTTCTTTCAGGTACCAGGAACAGGAACAGGAGCAGGAAAGTTAAAAGTGGGATGAGCTCCAGAAATACGAAGGGAATTAAGCTCCAAGGGCCAAGTGTGGCAGTCTTGGAGTTTCCGATGTCATCAAGATTGATCAGTCATGAGTTTTGATATGGTTTGCAAGTTGCACGCCATGTATCACCTCATAATCAGGAGCCACTGAGGCAGGGTCTCCGATCGGAAAAGGCGTTCACAAAGACCCTGCATCAGGACCCTCGCCCCCTGGACCCTTGTAAGGGTATTCCGAGGGTTTTTTGATTGTGATCCTGTCGGGTGATTTTCCCATTGACAGCACACGCTCACTAGTAGTGGAGTCCCTAATTTACACTATGACTGGTCAATCCTGGTTCTCTTTCTCCACTCAACAACGTTAATCGGTCATAATAGAACGTGGCGTCGATCGGACTGGCCGAGAGTCCGGTCCTCGGCCATTTTCTCTTGTTTTGAAAATTCCTGACCCTTATGGTGGAGACCATTTCGGCAGATTGACTTGTTTACATCTTTCGTAGTCGCTATCATGAGGCGCTTGCACTATTCAGCCACAGAATGTCCAAAAGATATCCTCAGCACCTTGTTATCCATGAGAAAAAGAAATAGCACAAAATAGAAATTTCCCTCTCTAGGTTAGCCCATAGAAAATGGACCAAAAAAAGTCCGAATCATTGGAGCCGGTGGAAATGACCGCCCACAAGATCCCTCTTTTAAAAGAACCATAGAATCGTGAAGTATTCCGAGAAACGTTTCTAATTCCTATTGTTGTTTTCCCCGTCCTTCACGAGAGGTCTGCCTCTCATTACATTCTTTCATTACGTACACTTTTCCCGCATAGCTGCCCGTTATGCGGGTTACACGCTCTTTTTTGGCCAGCACTTTGCTGCTAGCAAGTGTCTCAGCCACTGCTCTGGACGCTCGTGCTCAGGGTACTGGTGACGATGATTCCAAAATCACCACCGTGACCAAGACCAATTGGCATACTGTGTCTGCGTGCCCCCGCACTACCGCTCTTTTGTCCTCTCCTACCTCCGGTCTTGTGGAATCCAACCCGGGACAGTCTGGCGATTTTGTCAACAAATCTGGCAGTGAATCGGGCTCTGGCTCTAAGTCGGGCTCTGGCTCTGAGTCAAGCTCTGGCAGTGAATCGAGCTCTGGCTCTGAGTCGAGCTCTGGATCGAGCTCGGGCTCGGGCTCAGGAAAGCAGTTTACTACTTCGACTGTCTATGCCACTAATATCCATACTGTCACTGCTTGTCCTTCTACTGTAAAGGATTGCCCAGCCTCGGAAAAGACCACTTACTTGACCACCGAAACTGTCATTGATTATACCACTGTCTGTCCCATCACGGAGTCCGCCACCCGAACCGGTGCTGGTGCTGGTGCTGGGAGTGTCTCCGATACTGGTGGAGCCGGGTCTACCCAGACCATCACTGGCGCTGGGGGTGAAGAATATACTACTTCTACCGCCTATACTACCAGTGTGCACACTGTGACCGCTTGTCCATCTTCCGTCACCGACTGCCCGGCGTCTCAGAAAACAACATATGTGACTACGGATACGATCATCGACTACACAACTATCTGCCCCATCACTGCCACTGCCACTTCTACTAGCTCCAGCGTTGGCCCTACCTCAACTGGTTCTGGCTCTGGTTCTGGCTCTGGCAGTGGTTCTGGCTCTGGTTCTGGTTCTAGCTCTGGCTCTGGCTCTGGATCTGGTTCTGAGTCTGGCTCTGGCTCTGGTTCTAGCTCTGGTTCTAGCTCTGGCTCTGGCTCTGGTTCTGGTTCTGGCAGTGGTTCTGGCTCTGGTTCTGGATCTGGTTCTGACTCTGGCTCTGGATCTGGTTCTGGTTCTGGCAGTGGTTCTGGCTCTGGTTCTGGATCTGGTTCTGACTCTGGCTCTGGATCTGGTTCTGAGTCTGGCTCTGGCTCTGGTTCTAGCTCTGGTTCTAGCTCTGACTCTGGCTCTGGATCTGGTTCTGAGTCTGGCTCTGGCTCTGGTTCTAGCTCTGGTTCTAGCTCTGGCTCTGGCTCTGGATCTGGTTCTGAGTCTGGCTCTGGCTCTGGTTCTAGCTCTGGTTCTAGCTCTGGTTCTAGCTCTGGCTCTGGCTCTGGCTCTGGCAGTATTACTCACTCCAAGTCACCTCAGCCTTCTTCAACTCCTTTGCAGACCTCTTCAGGCAAATCCAGCTCGCCTTCTCATAGCTCTGGGTCTGGAAACGGCAATGGCAAGGGCTCTAGCTCTGGCGGTACCACTGACTCTAAGTCACCTCGACCTTCCTCAACTCCCCTACGAACCTCTGCTTCAAGCACACGCAGCTCGCCTTCTCATGGCTCTGGTTCTAGCGCAGGCGTTTCAAGAAGTGCCACTCAGTCTAAGTCACCACAACCTTCGTCGACTCCCCTTCAGGCGTCTACTTCTGGTGCGCTTATCTCCCCATCTCGCTCTATCAAGCCTACAAGCTCCACTCCTGCCATCAAAACTAGTGCATCTGCATCGCCTTCTGCGACTATTGAACCCTTGGCCTTGTATGTTGAGCCCACTCAGTCAAAACGGAAACGTCAGACATACAACACCGCTGTTTTGATCGGTGGGGGTTCACTCACAGCCAGCTGTGCGAATGCAGATCGTTTCTATCTCACTGGGGGACATCTCTATGATGGAAATCTGCTGGTTTCTGCGGTCAGAAATGCATCCAGTGCATCATTTGTGGGAAGCAGTCACCCAGGCCCTGTTCGAGGCACTTTCTCTATTGTAGATAACATCCTCTCCTGGTCAAATCCCGGGTTCACCAATGGTGAAGCCTCGTTCTGCGTCTCTGGAAACACTGTCCTAGCTGTTTTCAGCGGAGATCTGCCCACCGGATGTGCCCCTGTTACTATTGCTGCCGTCAGTTACTGTAAGCATCTGTTTGTCGCAAGAGAAAATTGGAAAACGAAAACTAACAACTTCTAGCCCAGCTGTGTTCCGGAGGCAGTGCGTCGACCAGTCTGAGCCCTATCAGCTCACCTACGCCCTCTTCCACCGCCCTTCCTAAGTGCTCTGCCAAGTCTGACCCAGAGCTTAGCACCAAGGTCCTACCCGCTCTTGATCCCAGCGTCGATGGATCCTCCCTCCTCAACCTGTCTCCCTCGATGTATGCTACTCTCTACTATGCCAGCCCCAGCGGTTCCACCATTCTCCAGGTCACCTATAATATGCTCTATCCCCAAGTGACCCTGGAGAATTCGTACAAGATCGCCACCGTGATCTGCTCCGGCAACGATTTGACGGTCACGGTAACCACTGCTGCCGCTTTCAACATTGTCAGCCAGTGGCCCACAAAGAACTTCATCCTCATCACCAACTCCGGCAGCTGCAACTCAGCCTCACAGAGGGGTGTCTACATGGTCAACTCATACAGAACTGACGAATCCAGCCTCACGATTACACTTGGTGTCACCACTAAGGTCTGGGCCGATGTATCAGACACCATGGAGGTCGCCTATGGTAGCGGGCGCGTGAATTCCACCAGCGTGTCGTACACTCCCTCGTGCACGGCATCTTATGCTGCAGCCAGCAGCACTCCGTCTGCAAGCTCTGGTTCCGTCAGCTATGAAAACCTGACACCCGAGGAGAAAAAAATTGTCGCCTACCTGACACAGAACAATACATACGATGACAATGGTAACATTGCAGTCACTGTGCCCGCTATCATCGCCAATGCTACAACCTCCATTTATAACCCCGACTCCAACTCCACACAGCAAGCAGCACTTGAAGATGCTCTGCAAAACGCGGGTCTCCCATCTGCAGATACAATGTGGAACAAGACTGCTAGCGATCTCGCGGGTCACTGTTCTAACGGGGCCTACGTTCCCGCGACAACTGTCTACACCAAACGTGCACCAAAGTCACCCCGGTCCCATCCCACTAGCCCGCTTAGCCGTCATCATCGGTCTATGCTTGTCAAGCGCTCTGGACTCAATGACGAGTCGTGGTGGAAAGACCTTTGGGACTTCGAGTGCAGCGATCTTGTGGGGGACATTCTTGATGCCTTGGACGAGGAGCTGGGGGCTATGGCAGAGCTTATCTGCGACATGAGGGAACTATACGATGATGTCTCGGAGGCCTACGCCAATCGTAACGCTATTGAGTGTACCTGGACGGGTTGCTATCTCGATGTAGTGGTTGCAACCTATTGGAACTTCACCTATACCGCGAGCGTGGGAGCCTCGCTCCCAGCACAGCCACTGGAGTACTCTTCAGTTGGTACTCTGAGCTGCGTGGACTGCGGTATAACTATCTCCAATCTTGAATTCGTGGGAAGTGTCATGATTGCCACCTCGACAGGTAAGGTCATGAGCGCCTTTATGACGCCTTCCATGAGCTGGACTGCAAACCTTGTCATGGGTCTCGAAACTACGGACGCTTGGTCCGGAGAGTGGACGTATAATTTCGACACCATCAATTTCGATAAGCCCATATCAGTCCCTGGAGAGTTTACTATCACTCCGTCTGTAATGTACAGTCTGGGAGTTCAATGGTCTACTACTGCTGCTGTTGATTTCACCGCGGGCGCTTCAATCAGCGTGAATGATGGCACGCTCAACCTGGACTTAGCCAACAATGTTGCATCCGAAGCTGCCAATTGGTCTCCGACGGTGGATTATACTTACCCTGTCTTCTCTAGCTCTGCAGACGTGTCGTTCTTGCCCATCTTGAGAACATCGTTCGCTATCGCAGTGGTCGTCGAAAACGCAAACTATGGTCAGCAGCCCGTGTATATCAACTCTGACACAGCCATTGGGTTCAATGCTGCCCTCGTTGTTGACGATGGGGAATACTGTGATGCTGGTCAGCTCGAGATGACTTCCTACTCTAATACAAACAATGAGCTCCTCTTCACCGGTGGCTCCACCACTGTTCTCTCTCAGTCTGGGGATGTGTCGGGTCAGACCAAGTGCTTCAATGTACCCAACGAAATCCCTACTACCGACGAGGTCAACTCGCTTCGCAGCGTTGGTGGTGCCTTCTGTACCTCATACCTCGGCTACGTGGCTCCCACCTCCGTGGCATACGGTGTTACAACACGAACCGGACTCTCGACTGCGCAGACCACCGTGCCAACGGTTATCTTGACCACTTCCACTGTCTACGAGTACCCCACCGTCACCAGTGTGTTCACGCAGACAACCACGGTCGATTCTACCTCTTATGTAACTGTCTCCGGCTCCCAATCTCTCGGTGATTCGTACATGAAGAAACGAGCCCTTGCAACCGACTCCCCTATCAAGAAGCGCTCCGCCTCTCATGGCAATAAGAATGCCGCTCCTCAGCCCACCAAGGCTGCTTCAATCGCCAAGCGTATTGTCTCCGAGCCGGCTATGATTTCGACCTGGGACTCAAGCAAGATTTCCCTCGCCTGTTCCCAGGTCGCCACTGGCACGACTACAACAACTTTCTACACTTCTACCGCTACTGCCTACTCCGGCACCGTCACAAATACTGTCTACAGCACTATTGACGCTCTCGGACGTCTTCAAACTGAGACATTCTCTCGGGTCGTGATCTCCCAAACTGCCACCACCGTCACCGGCGCTCAGGTGGCTACAGCCACCACTGCAGCCAGCTGCCCTCTCCAAACCCAGGTTTCCTGTTTTACTATCACTGCTACTGGTCCCGATCATATCGAAGGTAAGCAGCTCTACCTGTCCAGCAACAACTCCGCCCCCGTCTGGGGTGGCTGGGGCGCCGGGTACGAGATTGGTACCTTCTACCTGACATGCGCGGGTGATTTGGTCTCGCTCCCCTCCATGAATGTCCTTGTTTCTGCGGAAGATATGTGGGTGGAGTTTGACAGCTTCTCGTCTGCAACCTCCAAGCAAAGCTGTTCGAAGGATACTTCATCTGGTATTCTCAGCTGCGGGAGTGGATGGTATGCCACCACACCTGTGGCGCTCCGCTATACCGATTTTCGTGCATACAGTGGAGATTGGCAGCCTGTTTGGAATGATGGAACGAATGAGGATACTTTGACGCCTGTTGTGTTGACTTATACTACTGTGGATTGCCCCTGTCAGTATTAGAGGATGACTATTTGTCTCTTCTTTCACTCTTTTAAATTTTTCTTTTTCTCTCCTTGAGAGGCCTTCAATCCTGTATAATTTCATGAAATTTCTTTCATCAGATTTCAATACCATTATAATTGATACCAAAATTGTCGACCGCCCTGATTCATTCTCATACATATGTACAGTAACCATATCAAGCCCATCGTGCCATAATCAACACCCAACACAACTATCAGAACGCTTCCCAGATACCTGGCCATTAAGCCCTACCCCTACCTTCTGCAGCATTTCACCACCAATGTGTGCATATATCAATATCGAGTTCTTTGTGCAGCCGGATCGTCAACATTGAATAATTGAAGACCACACATGTGTACACTTCAAATTTCGCTCTCCCACATCAGTTATTATATTCTTCCCCAGCCGTAGAACAATTCAAAGTGCAACAAACTAAATGTAAAATATTCTCGTAGCTTATTCATTAACATGGAATGAATGCATGTCTTACCCTTCAAATATCAAGCCAATTTGAAATCCAGATCCTCTCTCAAATTTGACCTGAACCACACGCGTTTAACAGATCGAAGAACATTGATTGTATGAGAATATGCAAAGCCACCGGCTATCCACAATCAAGACCCGTGTTGGAAACCTTCAGTCAACTAATTGTTACAAGGTGATGGTAACTTCCCATTTCTGTCAGAGCTGCCGGCGGTTTGTTGTATAGCATCCTTAGCTTAGCCAACTCATACATAAGCACGACCCGGCAAACGAGTACTGAACATGCAAACCGACCAAGCACATATATTCCGTCGTGGGCTGAAATGAACAGCATACTGGAGAAAACCAGCGTCCCCAAGATGACATTAAAAGTTGTCATCACAGCCAAAATCAAGTTCCATATTCAAGTGTATATATTCAACTATTTCACTGTGAATTTTGGCGGCGGGTTCTCTTGCGAGTATCCACTGAAGAACCTTTTTAGCTCACTTGGTAGATCAACCGTTGAAGCCACATTCTTTTGACTCGTCAAGCCAGCTATCCCGCAGATTTGAGAGAGAAAGCCCACCAGGGCTTGCCACTGCCGATATCATCCTCTCCACGCTTTCGCAGATGCAAACCAAGTGCGGCCCATGAATGGGCAACGGGACCGAAGAAGGACCAAGCATTTATGAAATAAGGGTAGCCTGGCGCGAATGATAGTGTTGTATTGAATCCAAGCTCAAGGCTGAGCTCTGCAATATTTGCGACAGCTGCCAGCACGAGAACATATTCAATGATAGAGATCAATGCCTCGAGGTGATATGAGTAAATCTTGGGTGGCAGCTCATCACTACGAACCTTGAGAATTTCAAGTGGGTCGCGGTACTCCAGCGGTCGCATTGGAACGACAGCGGGGGAGCCAGCTGCCAGAGTGATTGCAAGGATTGGACGTTTTCCTACAACTGCGAGCAGGGAGGTTTCATCAACGTTGGATCCAAGTACTGCCGGGATACTTGGAGCGAGTCCTAGCAGGACATTTGCACTAGCCATATCACTTTTGATAAACTCCGGGCAAGTGTCCAGCATACAATTGACTAATGGTACGGCTAGGTTCTCGATAACTTCATGCCCAGAACCAAGCCAACGAACCAGTATTTGTTGTTTATGCGATCAGCTTCGTAGTAGTTATATTGAGATGAGCAATTTTGCTTGATTATCCGACTGAAGATGGAGCCATACTCGGCGTACCAATCTTGGAACTGGGCCCTGGCAAAGGCAGGAGGTGGAAGGAGAGCGAGGAGGAGTATTTTGAGAGGCGTTCGGTTCATTGATGTCATATTTGAGACTCGAAACTGATTTTTGCCTAAACAACAGATAATCCAGTTAAGTTAAAAAAAAGTTTACGATCAATCCGATTTAAATAGTAGAATAGTAGACGGGGAACTCTGCCCTGGGAAGCACCCTCGATACTATGTATAGATGTCCGTGTACCATACAAATGGTAATGAGAGTGTCGGAACTCATCGTGTCTGTGGTTAAGAATTTGGAATAGTCTAAGTCTTCGCCAATACCGATCTGCTTCTGTGGAGGGTGAAATTTCCCATTGGTCAGTTGTCCAGCCCGTCAGCGTGTGCAAAGGTCAGCAACGAAGTAGCGCTTAATCGGTATAGTCTATGTCCTCAAAATGAAAAACGGCATGAACATGCTTTATCTGGGTCCTATCGAGGGTCTAGGTGTCAATATATTTCGAATCCATTGGTTGTTTTAATATATCTTGCATGAATGCCGCCCGTATTCCCTCTTCCGTTGGATGTCGATGCGGCGGAAATGGGCGTCGCTCCATAAGTTCCAGGCATGTTTCGGCAAAAATTGACAGATTAGCTGTATCGGAGGTACTTGACCCAGAAGACTGCCTAGTCTAGAGTCGCCCTGTGATTTTTTTATTTGTCGCTTCTCAGGCCATGAATTTCCATTTCTGTAGTCCCTCCTGCCTCTAAGAATGCTGGTCATATCATCAAGCACCGGTCTGGTACCAAATAACCCACACGGGCAAGAGTAGAATCATTTCATAATCGAAGCAATCTGAAACCTCTTTTCAGCAAGTATTCACTCGCATCTGACGTGGTTTCTCAGCCCGTGAGAGTATGACAGCATGCATCACCGTGTCCGTCCTGGGTCTCGGGTCTGACTGGTCAGGCGATCGCTCCGAAACAAATTCCGCAGCATGGGCGCATCAAACATGATGGGACAGGCGAGCAAAAGGTATCTGTGGAGATAAGTTGGTTCGTGAACGTATACCAGGAATGGCCTGGCGAAGGAAGAAAGGGGAATGAGGAGTAACGTTGAGTGGCGCTCATCTTTAATCCCGCAACATTCAATATTCTCGGGTCTACCATTGACTTGCATGGACTCAAATCAATTCCATGGGCGAGCCTTAGACTATTTACATCTCTACTTGTAACATTCAATTGTTCCAACTGGGCTTGTCCTTAGAATGATTTGACATGATGACTGCCTATCCGTTATCGGTTGCCTAAGTAGCAGTAGAGTCTCTTGCCAAAGTTATCAGAGATGCGAATAGAATATATCAATTCTATGACTTCAAGTTCAACAGAGCGATTAAAGTAGATCTAGTCATTTGACCTAGACAAGGGTTGCTTACGGGTATTGGTTGAACGCTCGGTCGGGAATTTCATCAGCTTAGATAACAACTCCCCTCACAACGTAAAAGCATCGTTAGCCTAGGAAAGGGGGATAATGATCAAGGCAAGGCCGGTCAGACCGAAAATAGGGGTCAAAAGTAAAAGGTTCAGCAAGGGAGAATTCAATTCTCCTCCAACCTTGCCTTCAAGGTTAAAAGTGGAACCCATTCCTTGCATATTTGTTCCTAGTCTGGGCTGCGGCTGATTCAAATGTTTCCTTGTTCCGGTCAGGTTAATTATATGTATTCTCATTATTTATCATATGTATTTCATGTTTAACACATGTATTTATGTCCAGTTCATGTTGGGTTAGATTATATTTATACACCCCACGTTTACATTGAGAGGCCAAAAGACATACTGATGCGGTGGATTTTTTTCCATCAGCAAGGTCTTGATGAGACCTGTACAAAGGGCTAGTCCTGTTATTAATCCTCACAGCGATCCTGGTTTGCATCCTGGATCTTTTCAACTTTAATCTTGCATGGGATTGTTAATCCTTTCCTGTCTTTATATTGTTCTTTCTCCCCATTTTCGCTGTGTCCGACATTTGAAAATTATAAGCTTGCTTTACTGTTCTTTACACTATAATGTCTACGCCCTTTGATAAAACAGAGCCTCCTAAAGAGACTCATCCCGCATTGGACAAACATGTTTCCGACACAGATACTCAGTCTCAACACAATGGCACTTCCAAACCCTCCAGCGAAAAGGAGAGCACACTGGTGGATGAACCTATAAGAGATACCACGGCCCCTGATGATACAAACAAAGAAGCCACAACTGTTGACCCGTCCAGGGAGCCGGTGGCGAACGAAGACTCCCAGAAGGAATTGATCCCACCACATGATTCGGAGCAAGAGGCCTCCAACCCGGACGAAAAGAGCGAGAATGATAGCCCTGAGAAGGACACAGCGGAAATTGAATACCCATCAGCCTGGAGGCTTGTACTCATTACTATTGCCCTGTGTCTCTGTGTGTTTTGCGTCGCCCTGGTGAGTCCCTAGTCTGATGCTAGCCCAGCATCGCTGACCGCGTCCTCTAGGATAACACCATCATCGCAACGGCCATCCCCAAGATTACCGACCAGTTTAATTCGCTCGACGACGTGGGTTGGTATGGCAGTGCGTATCTGTTGACCACCTGCTCCGTGACGCTGCTGTTCGGGAAACTGTACACCTTCTACCCCATCAAGTGGATTTACTTGATTGCGCTCTCTATCTTTGAGGTGGGATCTTTGGTATGTGGTGTCACCCCGAACTCAGTGGGTTTGATCTGTGGTCGCGCTATCGCGGGTTTGGGGGCGGCAGGCTTGTTTTCCGGTTCCATCTTGATTATTAGCCAAAGTGTCCCGCTGGATAAAAGGCCTGTATATACAGGATTGGTGGGTGCAATGTTTGGAATTGCGAATGTCGCTGGTCCATTGTACGTGGTTTTCTCTCCTAACTTCAAAATCCAAGCTAATGATTTCGCAGGATGGGGGGCGCTTTTACAGACAGACTCACCTGGCGTTGGTGCTTTTATATCAATCTGCCGATCGGTGCCGTAACATTCTTCTTTATTCTTTGCTTCTTCCAATCTGCCAAGGCCATCAAACAGAAGACCGGGTGGAAACAGCAGTTGGGTGAGATGGATCTGCTTGGCTCCCTTTTCTTCCTACCTGCCATCATCTGCTTGCTGCTAGCGCTGCAGTGGGGTGGCACAAAGTATGCTTGGAAAGACGGCCGCATCATTGCGCTTTTTGTTGTCTTCGGTGTGTTGGGTCTGGCGTTCATGTGGCTTCAATACCGGGGTCAGGACCGTGCCACCGTGCCTCCTCGCTTGATGAAGAATCGTAACGTATGGGGAGCCGCCTGGTATTCCATGGCGCTTGGTGGATGCTACTTCGTCCTTGTCTATTACGTGGGTCTTCCGTTCCTTCTAGACGACTCTTGTGCTAATATGAAGTTTCCAGCTTCCAATCTGGTTTCAGGCGATCAAGGGCGCATCAGCCATAAAGTCCGGAATCATGAATCTGCCCATGATTATCGCAGTTGTGGTGGTATCGATTCTATCTGGTGGTCTCGTCACAGCATGTGGCTACTATACCCCCTTCATGATCTTCTCGGCCATTATTATCACCATTGCAGCTGGTCTCCTGTCGACCCTAGACGTCAATTCGGGCCACCCGAAGTGGATTGGTTATCAAGCCCTTTTCGGTATCGGCCTCGGACTGGGCATGCAGCAACCCATGATTGTCGCTCAAACGGCCCTCAAAGCGGAAGACGTACCAAGCGGAACCGCGATCATGATGTTCACGCAAACGCTGGGAGGGTCGATCTTCCTCTCAGTGGCGCAGAACATCTTCCAGAACCAGCTCTTCCATAACTTGGCCGTTGATGCCCCCGGCGCGAATGCCACAGAACTGGTATCGGGTGGCGCGACTCTCTTGCGCTCCGCTGTATCTGGGCCTCTTCTCCATCGTGTCTTAGTGGCGTATAATGAAGCCATCACCCAGACGTTTTATGTCTCTGTGGCAATGGGTGCACTTTCCCTAATCGGCCCTATTTTCATTGAATGGCTATCAGTGAAAGATAAAAAAATTGAGACGGCTGCGGTGTAGACGAAAAAAGCTTATGATTTTGGAGTTCTTTCTTTGCATCGTTGCTTTTTTTCTTGTGCATATTCTTGAATCATTTAGCAGAACCCTTAGAAGGTAATAATATTGTGTGGTATATGCTTCCTTTCAAAGTGAAATATTGTACTCAGGGTTTACCAACTATTGATTAACTCAATGCTATCTACCTATGAAGTCTGGTTGTGTTCTTAGGGTGTACATAAGTATATAAATTTTATCATTTTCAAAATTTCCTTATAAGAATAACCTCCAAAAATATGACACTTGATGACAAAAATCCGACCCTGGCAAGACTCGAACTTGCAATCTCCCGCTTAGGAGGCGGACACCTTAACCATTAGGCTACAGGGCCGTAATTCCGAAGTTATCCCAGAATTTGAAATATGTTTGATTTGGATAAATATTTTATAGTTTGTAGGTCATTAGATCGAATCATTACTCTACAATATTATCAAGAAGATATTTACATTTATATCAGCATATCAGAATATTCAACATTCTCTACAAGATAGAAATCCAACATAATCATCTGATGATGTAAGTCCACAAATTCAGACCGAGGATATCCGCCCCGTCACCGCTCTCCCGCCACACCTCAATCTCGTGATCGCGAAGCTTTGCATCATCTCGGACAGACATGCTGGCACCCAGAGTTCGAAGAGTTCGACCCTCCAGGCAGGTCTTCGGAGATGGCCCCCGCTTGGTGACTCCGAAAAGCTGCAATCACAATTGGTCCAAACAACCATCCAACGATGTTGCCCGCGACGCGGTTGCGCAGCTAGCCTCAACCCCTCGTCGATCCTTGACACTGGCTGATTTGCTTCGGTGAGCATGACTTCAATTATTATGCTGTTGTTAGGACAAACTGACCGGGGTTTTGATCTTCCAGTCATGGCCGCCCCCCATTATCCAAAGAGGCACTGCTCGCCTCGGCCAATTTCACCCTCTCCCTTCTGCCAGCGCGACTGGCTTCACGCATTCAAGCGTTGCGAAATCTGCCCTTCATCATCGTCTCAAACCCCCATATGTCCCAGATTTACCACAACTATCTGCATTCGCTCTCCACGCTCCTGCCATACCAGCAACGGAAAATCACCACCTTTGAGGAGGAAAAGCAATTTGGGGAGGTGTTGGCTGATCTAGTTCAGACACACACAAATACCATCCCAATTTTGGCACGCGGGTTTCTGGAATCCAGGAAGTACATCAACCCTGAAGATGTGACTCGATTCTTGGATACCCATCTGCGCGCACGGATTGGCACCCGTTTGATCGCAGAGCAGCATCTTGCTTTACATTTAACATCACAGCCAGTCATCGATGAACTTTCGAAAACACCCCATGAGTCGTCTTCCCGAAACACGAGTCCGTCAAACTACATCGGAGTCATTGATACGGCATTACAACCAGCTCAAATCATTCGGTCGTGTGAGGATTTTGTCAGCGAGATCTGCGAATTGAAATATGGAGTTCGCCCACGTCTGGAAATTGGGGGTGAACCTGAAGCTTCATTTGCCCATATCCCTGTTCACGTGGAGTACATTATCACTGAGCTACTGAAAAATGCCTTCCGGGCGACTATCGAGTCGGGCAACGAACGAGAACCTATCGAGGTGACCATCGCCGCTGCACCCGATGTCCCTGGGAATGGGCGCCCGGTTCAAGAGGACACCGATGGCAGTTTCCAACTGGACTCCGCAGAAAATGAAGCGATTGACCACGCGAGCCCGTCATCGCAAAGTATCACGATCCGGATTCGCGACCGCGGCGGTGGCATTCCACCGGAAGTTTTGCCACACATTTGGTCCTACAGCTTCACCACGTTTTCCGACATGGACCATGACGGTGAAGGCAGCGGCAATCTCAGGGCACTGGACACGATCGCTAGTTCAGGCGGTCATATCAGCAGTATTGCGGGTCTCGGTTATGGTCTGCCACTCAGTCGAGCCTACGCGGAATATTTTGGGGGTAGTATTGCCATACAAAGTCTTTGGGGATGGGGTACAGATGTCTATCTAACTCTGCAGGGAGTTGGGAAGATTGACTGAAGCCCTGAACTATCGTGCTGGCACTATTAACGAAGCTTATGGGTGCCCTGGTGGTAACCATATTCGTCTTGAAAGGCCAGGTTCGCGAAGTCCATGATTTGCCATCCAAATCCCTCATACAAGTAATAATTGTCCCATTTTCTACCTGGATCACTCAATTTTCCAAGTTTACCATGGTGGTGTGCTATGGTATCCATTTTGACTGTACTCGAATCGACATACAGAAATCCATGGTGAGTCATAGTACTAGGACTATGACTGTTGGTGTTTCGGGACGAGTCCCTTACCTCTTGAACGCTATCTCAGATCATCAAATCAGTATTTCACGCAATACGCCAAATGGCCACAAGACCAGAGAAGTGACGTGGAATCCTTGGAATAGGCAGAAGGCAACCTGGGAAGGGTATGGACTAAACAGTAGAATCCGCTGCTCTCTACCTAGTACTCCAGTCTCAGCCTGGAAAGATGACCTTGGGGGTGTGCAGGGATATGCAATGCATCTTTGCCTTAATTAAGTAGTATGCTATATACCTAATACTTAAACTTACGCATGCTTGTGGTCCAGAGGTCTCGTAATTTCTCAAGAACATTTCCAGTAGGCATATCATTATACCCACTGGGTGAGAAATCAGACAATTTTGAATCAAAGCAGTCAATCTAAACTTGTGTACTTCCGCTTATCCTAGGAGATGGATACATGACCAACGCTGTGCGATTCCTCATTGAGAGAAGTTCCTCAAGGACTTTTCATTTCGGCGTCATCGATATCTGAAATAGGATATCCCTTTCTAGGTAGGCAATACAAAGGCAATAGACTTTAACTATCTTCCGCTACATTTGCCTCATCTTCTGACCCATACTCAACTGCGCCAAGAATCTCCTTCTCGGACTTCCCATCTTGCTTACGGGATGACTCGGCAGGGGTGGCGGCCAGCTTAGCAGCTTCGATACCACCGGATGTGACATAGAGATAATACTCCATGGGGAAATGGTCGATATGGTTGAAGAAGATATTGAAACTGCAGTTGGCCGTCAGAATATGTCTCAAGGTTATGGGAATAGTGCAACTTACGCAGAAGTTTGTTCTTCCTCGCGGAAAATCCGGTCATAGATCTCCCGCTGTTTAAACTCCTCCATTTCCGCGGTGAATTTCTCAAATCCTACAGGCTCGCGGCCTAGCCCACTTGCCTTGGCATTGTAGGTTTCAAAGATAGGACGTTCGAGTAACAATCCCAGACCCGGGGCCTTGGGAATGGCGATCCGTTCCGGGCCATATGTCTCCGAAATACGACTGGGTTTGCAGCCACTGCGAACAATAAGAGCAGCCATAGCAACCATTTTCCGGATTTGGTGCATCATGAAGCTCTGACCGTGCACTTTCAAGCTGAGCCACTCGGTGCCGTTGATCACAATCGGGGTCGGGTTGGCCTTGAAGGACTTGATATGACGCTGGGCAGACGCATCCTTGAAGGTCTTCTGGATGGTGTAGTTGTGGAACCTCTTGGTTCCTTCATATTGGTCTAAACATTCCTGTAGACGAGCGATACGGGATGCAGGGACACGATAAGCCCGTTTGGCGGTAATGTATGCTGCTTTGATCGACTTGATAGTATCGATGATCAGTCGTTGGCGGGGATCCATAATGAATTCCGGAGCCTCGCTCGCATCCGTATCGGGTTTCTGTGTGTCAGCGGCTGGCTGCGTCACGGGTTCCTCAGCCTTGACCTCTGCTGTACTCTCGTCCCGCATAGGCGATGCCTCTTCTTCGTCATTGACGAAGAGGGATTTCATCACAATATTTCGTACGTCTTCGGGTATCTTTTCCAGGATGGGCTGGATATATTCTTGATCAACCTTTTTCCAGTATCCCATGACCTCCTCCTGTCTAGCATTGAGTTCATCTAGATCACCCGCCTGCTCGGCCAATTCGACAATCTTTTTCCCGAGATGAGTACTGGGGTGCGGCGGCAGGAGACAGTGGGTGGGCATCAGGTATTCGTAGACACGAGAATCACACATCTGATAGCAGCTGAAGCTGCTCGTGGCGAGCTCATAACCCCAGACTCGGATCTGCGGGCTGAGGTTGTCATTGATCTTCTGAACAATATTCGGATCCTCCACAATCATCTTTAGAGACACCACATTACCAGCGGCATGGACGCCCTTGTCTGTCCGCGCGCATCGCACGAAGGAGGATTTCTTGGGGTCTGCCGCATTCGCCTTGGAAATCGCACGGGCGGCAACAAGTGCGGAGAACAGGTCGCCCTCGATGGTTTTCTGGTGCTCGTTCAGCTGCATGCCATAGTAGCCCGTTCCCGAGTAGCCCAGCATGAGCGCGACTTTCTTCTTGGGGCGTCGTTCTTCATTCGCGATCTCCTCCTTGGAAAACTCCGTGGCATAGATCGGGGCCTGTACCACCTCGCCGTTTTCGATCTTGCGCCGCTTTGCCTCGGCTTGCTGCTCCAGACGTTCTCGTTTATCTATCGCTTGCCGGCTTGCTTAGTTAGCTGTATTCTCGCGGGAATTACTTAGAATCCTGTCAAAATACCTCCATTCATTCCGGCCCATATCGCGGTTCTTACGCCTTCTACCAGCTCCTTCTCCTGCGCCTTTGTTGTCGGCCATGGTACGCGATTGAAGATTTCAGCCGGCGTGGGACGATCAAGCTTGGTCCAGAAAGACCGTGAGATGGGTTGATCGAGGAATTGGGCTTTGGAAATGATAGCCCGGGGGATTGGAGTTCTGAGGAGATGTCCAGTCAAACGGCGCTGCCAAAGGGTAAAGGCGGGCATGAACTCGGAAATGTTAAGATCAACTAAATGTACATCTTGCGGCGCGGCCGCGGGAGTTTTTTTCTCCAATGCGGGAGAGCTAGTCCGTTTGTGGTATTATTTCATGCCTCAGGCAAACAAGACAAGGTTGGTTAGTCATTCGATATAAAGTATGGTCATCTTCGCGAATGATCAAAGGTACATGATACAAGGCAGCTTGAGGCAGCATGACTTCCAAGGTTGATGTTGAGTCCCGAACAGCGGGGATGACGTGGTCTTTCAAAGTATGTGGATAAGTAACAAGCGGTGTCATAATACGAGTCACCTGTTTCTTTAGTTGTAATGACTTTCCATTACACACAGTCAGGTAAGCCCCTAGATGCACGGGTCATTGCAAGATTATATACGTTGCCCCATTCGTTGTCCTGATCCTGCATCGTTATTATCCTTGTCCAGTAGATATGTATCCATTCTTTGGCATGAAGATGACCATGGTATGGTTCCATTGATTTGGCACATCTGCAAATCTTGCACATGTGTTACCCCTCCTGTGCTATTCTTTGCTAAATATCTTTTGGTGGCAATATCATTGAGGAGTCGTTTACTGTTTTTTAGTCAACATTGAGATCCTGCCAAAATTTTGCGAGATAGTGACAAGAATACGACAGATTATTGCATTATCGATCGACATATAAGAATAACATGATCAATATAATTTCTTATATCTACCTAAAACCACCCAACCAACATTGAAGAATGTCATATAGAGCTTTTGCTTAGGCCTGAGAGGGCCTTCTGAGGGCTCCAGATACAAGTTACCCAGACCAGCTGGTCCGAGATCCCTGACGGAATTTTGTCATCAAGCTCCAGGGATCACCTCAAAGTATCTCCATTGGTTGATATCAAATTCATAGGCATATATATCAATGTAAATTGGCTTAAATGGGGTACTTCTGTTGAATTATGTACATAAATCTCAACTCATCATCTCGTCACGTCGTCAAGCTTTTCCGTCATGTTGAAATTTGCAGAAAACAAACCAAGGCTACTGCGATCTAGGAAAAAATCGAACCAGGTGATTTGACCATTTATGGCTCGCCCCAGATCTCATCCGCGACCTGGCGGACCAGGCACAGCTTGTTCTTCTGGTCCTCGAAAGAAAGAGGGTACCCACTCTCGTGAGTACTGAAACCACACTGGGGACTAACACAAACGCGCTTGAGCGCCTCTTCACGGGTTTCGCCGCTACCAGCTGCAACAAAATCAACGGCCTGGTAGATACGCTCCTTGATGGCATCCTTGTTCTCCAGCTCACGGAGCTTGGTGCTGATCACACCAACGACGACGTTCTTGTTTTTGGGAAGGAACTTGAGGGGCTCGAAACCACCAGCCCGCTCAGTGTCGTATTCAAGATAGAATGTGTTGACATTGAGGTTCTCAAACAACTTTTTGGCGATGATATCATACGATCCCTCGGCGAAGTGGCGACCGCCGATGAAGTTTCCGCGACACAGGTGAATTCCCGTGTGCATGTCCGCGGGGATTTCGCTGACGCAGTCATTGTAGAGTTGGATGTAGGCATCAAGCAAGTCTTCGACCGTACCAATGTTGTCCTTATCCTCTTCCCATCCTTGGCGGAACGCTTTGGAGCAGAAGTATGCCATGCCCGGGTCATCCCACTGCACATTGCGCAAGCCGGCATTATACAAAGCCTGCAACTCGGCCTTATAAACCTGAGCTACGCCCTGGAAGTATTCACGGTCATTTGCATAGGCTTCAGGGGTGTAGGCCTTGCCTTGTTTGTAGCGCATGTGGAACCAGGCAGGTGTGATCATAGTCAACTTGATGTTGCTCCACTCAGTCTCTGGCAGAGCTTGCTGCACTAGCTTCAGCTCATGCAGATTCGACACGGACCGTTCCGGGCTCCAGAATAGCTTAGATCCGGCAATGACCGAATCACCAGGCATAACCTTGCGGTCTTTCTCAATAAGACTCACGACATCTGGGTGATACAGACGGAACATTGAGGCATCGGCATCTTGCAAGCGGATGGTTCCTCCAAACTCATCAAATGTGAGTCCCCAAAACCTGGTGCGGTTATATTCGCCTGATGTGACTGCTTTCAGGCCTAGATCAGTCTGCATCTTCACAACATCTGCGACAGCCTGGCGTTCGACAGCAGGCAGACCAGCTTCCTCTTCGGATATACCGGTGTCACGAATCTTTGCCCGCACTTCAAGAAGATTATCCGGGCGCAGCAATGATCCCATGTGCTCTGCACGGAAGGGAGGAGCGCTGTGGAGCTTAACCATGTTGTTAGGCTGAAAGAAGATCGGTTCGAACGGAATTGTTCGGTTACTCAGGAAGGCAGAGCTTCCAAATCCCAGTATCCCACAAATAATTGGATGAACAAACAAGAAAGAAATTTGTTTGAGAAAGAGAGAGCAATGCAGCGAATGTGGAGCTAAATGAAAATGTGGGGCTGGTGGGGCTCTGCTGGCTCGTGGGGCCACTCGAATTACGACAGAAGGACTGTGATAGAACTTCTCATTGGCTCTTGGTTAACATAGAAATGGTGATTCGTAGGTAAGCCCACTCACCTGGGCAACTGCGCAGTTTGAGGTAAGGTAATAAGGACGATCATAAAAGTCCAACATCGTGGTAATGCGAAGTCTATAGTGCGGCAATGCATGTGGGGCCAGAACATGTGGGTAAAATCATCTACAAAACATAGGAAGATCCAGTTGGACTTGGAAAGGTCATGAATTTCGCTCGAAATATGAGCAAGGATGCAACACCCACCATTCTAATTCAAATATGCAGTCTCCTTTTATGCGAGCATTGGAATGGGCCCACCGGGAGAATCGGCAAGTCGGGCTGTAAGAACCTCTACACCATCTTCCGTCACAAGTAGAGTGTGCTCGAACTGAGCCGATAAAGATCCGTCAGCCGTAGTGCTGGTCCAGTCATCAGGCCAGGTACGATCCCGATGTGTGCCGATGTTGATCATGGGCTCGATTGTGAAGCACATGCCGGGCTTCGCGGTGCCGACGGCCTTGTTCTTGCCGTAGTGAGGCACGTTGGGCGCGCAGTGGAAAAGCTGGTTGATACCGTGGCCACAGTAGGCTTTGACAACACTACAGTTTCGAGACTTGGCGAGCTTCTCAATCACATTTCCTGGGTCCCGGAACAGCATGCCAGGCTTGACCAAATCAATAGACTGGTCTAGACATTCACGGGCAGTCTCCACCACTCGAACCGCATCGGGGTTGGCGCGGGCCTTGTCTCCCACGTAGTATGTCTCATTGATATCGCCATGGAATCCCTTGTGATACAGGGTAACATCGATGTTGACGATGTCTCCATCCTCCAGAGGCCGTTGGTCGGGGATACCGTGACAGATGGTCTCGTTGACTGAAGTGCACACGGACTTGGGGAAGTGCATATAGTTGAGTGGTGAAGGGTAAGACTAAGGTCATATTAGCACACGTAGTCATGTTCCATTCTCATTGACAGGTTTTCTCACGTCGCGCTCAACACAAGCCTTGTGGACCACCTCATCGATATAGTCAGTCGTCACGCCGGGTTTCAGTGCACGAGCTGCAATATCCAAGACCTCACGGGCCAGGCGGCAAACTTTGCGCATTCCCTCCTGCTCTTCCTTGTTCAAAATCTTGATGCTGTGTTGGCCGAACAGCTTCTGCTCCGATCGAGGAATGCCATCTCGTGCGTAATCGGGGTATGGGATGGACTTGGGAACGGTCCGGGTGGCCGAGAGCGGGTATAGGGGGCGCAAAGGACCGGCGAAGTTGAAGGTTGGAAATGGGTTGTAGTGGCCGGTAGCTGGATCAGGTTCAGAAACTACCTTAGGAGGAAATAGGTTGGTGAGGAAATTACTCTTCTTATGAATAGTCTTGTGTTCACTCTGGTCGGGCGCAAATGTCAGTATTGGAGTCTTCTAATAAAAATACGGCGCCCAACATGCGACTCATACCCAACTCCGCTTGAAACAGTCTTGTCCGCAGAAGTAGCTGTCGGTGCCCATCTTCAGACAGGTGGGACATTGGAGGGAGCCTGCATTATTGGCGCAGTCCACTCCGCTACATTTCCGGGCGACGGTGGCCATTGTGTAGAGACAAGAACAAGGTCACCAAAGGGCTGTGAAGGAAGATGATTATAACCTGGAATCCCGAAATCCAAATCCAAGAAATCGCAGAAATTCCATCTGTGGAGGAAGACGCTAGTCTGGATTAGGGGAGGATTAGTCCGTTTTGTGAGTATAATGTCTTAAAAGATTTGAACTTTCATCAAATGGTTCCATAACTCAGTTGGTTAGAGTGTGGTGCTAATAACGCCAAAGTCGAGGGTTCGACCCCCTCTGGAACCATTTTTTTTTACTGTTTATTTTTTGCTTCCTAATTTGAAGCACCTCTAATCCACTTATCAACATTTGATATTTGATTGCGTATACTCAGGCGAATTTCAGAATTCCAATTACGGTCAAAAATTAACCAACATTGATCAGCTAACTGGCATTTTTTAATATTTTAACTTACCGTTCCGTGCATAAAGATTGATTGCATGATTGGACGTCAAAATATATTTCCAGCATCATGCGAAATATTTTGATTTAGATTCCTCCTAAGTCCTCATCAAATTGAGTCGAAAAAAGGCGCAGAAGATCGCTATCACATCAAAAACTTTATTCATGCTTCTTCTAATATTTGCTACAGGTATTTCATCTCCAAGGTGGGCGGACGGTGCCAATTGACAGTTACAGTGGAATATTTGCTCTGTTTGCATTCAATTCGGTTATTCGCGGCGATGTTGTTCCCCGCAAATCCTCAATGTAATGAAGACATGGAAGGCTTTTTTTTCTTTTATAACATGGATCTGAAGCTATTAAGACTTTCCACAATATATTCTCTTCTTAATTTGGCTGTCTTGCTGGCTTCCCATCAGATATGGCGCCCTTAAGATCTTCACGGGCTCTGATCCCTCCTGTCTTCCGTCGCTACTATTCGGGTGCCCCATCGCCCGCAGCCAAGCTAAACTTGCCAATCGACTACAAGTCCACTCCACTGCTTCACCATACACCTTCTTCATTATCTGGAGTCGCCGACTTTCCCGCTGCAGCAACAAGTAAACGTCTAAACTTGTTCCAGGCCATCAACTCCGCGCTTCGGACTGCATTATCTACTTCCGACAAGGTCCTACTTTTTGGGGAAGATGTTGCATTTGGGGGAGTGTTTCGTTGCTCAATGGACCTGCAAACCGAGTTTGGCGCGGATCGAGTATTCAACACCCCTTTGACCGAACAAGGTATTGCAGGGTTTGCTATTGGTGCTGCCGCGGAAGGGATGAAACCTGTGGCAGAGATCCAATTCGCTGATTATGTCTTCCCTGCGTTCGATCAAATTGTCAACGAAGCTGCCAAGTTTCGATACAGGGAGGGAGGAACGGGCGGCAACGTGGGAGGCTTGGTGATTCGCATGCCATGTGGCGCTGTCGGACATGGTGCATTGTACGCTTCACTTATCCAAGACCGCCTTCTTGTGAACTAACAAGTTCGGTCGAATAGGTATCACTCGCAATCCCCCGAGTCTCTGTTTTCCCACATCCCCGGCGTACGTGTGGTTGTGCCCCGATCCCCTTCCCAGGCCAAGGGGTTACTCTTATCGTCTATCTTCGAAAACAACGACCCCGTGATTTTCATGGAACCAAAGATCCTCTACCGAGCAGCAGTCGAACATGTACCCAATGAGTACTACACAATTCCCTTGAGCAAAGCGGAAGTCATCAAACCTGGCAAAGATCTGACAATTATCTCCTACGGTCAACCATTATATTTGTGCTCAGCTGCCATATCCGCTCTTGAGAAAAGCATGCCGGGTGTTAAGGTGGAGCTGATTGACCTCCGTACAATTTACCCATGGGATCGTCAAACTGTCTTGGAGAGCGTACGTAAGACAGGGAGGGCTATTGTGGTTCACGAAAGCATGATAAACTATGGCGTTGGTGCCGAGGTCGCAGCTACAATACAAGAGGGCGCATTCCTTCGTTTGGAGGCTCCAGTCAAGCGAGTAGCTGGATGGAGTACCCATACAGGGCTGACCTATGAACAGTTCATTTTACCGGACGTCGCAAGTAAGTGAATCATTGCTCTTGTAATGAAATTGTCATCTAACAACCGTGTCTTTACAATAGGAATTTACGATGCTATGAAACAAACACTGGAATACTAGCCTCAGCCAAAGGTTGACTCCAAATTTAACACAAGAGCATATAAAACTTGGAATTTCTAAGCTTGATAAAATAGAAATCATTCCCCAAGGGCCACCAATCAGATCAGGTCATGACCCAAACATTTAGCTAGAAAAAGACCAAATTAATCATATTTTGTCCGTATCCTTCCACTAAATCCTGGCATAGAAACACCTTACACACAGGGGACAGAATTCAAAGACGCGATCATGAAAGTATCATGAAACCTTTGTCAATCGACAAGGAGACTTTACTGATGCACTAAAACATACTGCTACACGTTCTTTGAAGCGAAGTCCAAGGGATTGATTGACATTGCAGAATTTCTTTGTTTGGTAGCATCTTGAGATTTACAGGGCTGTTTTGATTCTGACGCTTTTGAGACATGGTCACCATTAAAAAACCCCTAGCGATCCATATAATATATCAGCCGTTGCCATAATCGTGATAGATCAAAGTTGGCATCTTCACCTGATTCAATAAAACGGAGTTTATAGTCAACAACAAGAATCGACTTGAAAGTACTTTCCATCTAATATGACGTCTCCATCCTCAACTAATGATGTTTTATGCCAACCTGAATCAACCCCGGAGAGCACGCTGTCCGAAGGCTCTCTGGGTAGCTATGCTGACATGAAGGACGCCATGGAATATGAATTCGAATGCGATTTCGACCACATGACATCAGAATTTGCCAAAGAAGTCGAAGAGATCAAGTCCAACCTCATGGAATCACTGAACCAGAGAGAGAAGATCATGGAAACAGTCTTTTCCATGCATTTACCTGTGGTGCCGTCCAGTTTTGAGACGCGATTTGTTGAACTCGGAATTGGTCTGGCGCTTGAGAACGTGATGGATTGCCTTCATCAGAAACTACTCCCTCTGGCCAAGAAAGAAGCCAAACGAGCCCTCCACCTCGCTGAGCACCAGGGCGACGAAATCAATATCGCCAGATGTTACTACTGGATGGGTCGAATTGAGTTATACCAACGCAATATATCCTCAGCCTACAAATTTTTCATGACTGCGCGACCCTGTGTCATGGATGACAAGCACCCAGAAGGCCGAAGCTTGGGATACTATTTGAGCCTTTTCAACCCCGGAGCCGGTGGAACTATATCTCATCCCAATCATGATGCGTTCGAGGCTACTCTCATCAAGGGAGATATGGACCAGTCGGGTGATAATCAATCAAGGAAGCGCAAACAGGATGCCCAAACTTCGGAGCTCGTTTTACGACCTTTCAACATGGTTGGTCACACAAAACTGGGTTCAGTGACTATGAAGAGCCCCCAATACCCTACCAGTCGACCCGTGGTATGGATAACACAAATAACCGAGGATGCTCTCCATTCGGACAGCCCAATGGTCATCATACTGAAAGACGAAGCCAACGCAGATGGAATGGACTGGTTGGCTACTGCAAATTCTGGCCCACGTCTTTCGCAAATCAAATTTACCTTTCGTTGCTATCCCAGAGGTTTGGCACCACGCACACGTCCTACAGAGATATTTGCGGAACAACCAGGGGAGAATCTCCTTTCTGCCGAGGAATGGCAAGCATTACATCAACATGCTAAGAACAAGAAAGTCACACTCGCCTATCTGGCAGATGAAAGACGGAGAAACCTTGAACTAACCAAAAAAACGATCCAGCTTGGTATGGGTAGCAATGGCAGGAGTTGAAATGAATGAATCGGATGTAGCTCAAGTGCTACCTGAGCTGCAGCGAGGATCATGGGACATAAAGAGGTCAATATGAATTTAAGAAACAATTATATGAGAAGTATCGAGGACGATTAAACATAATTCTATAGAGGTTGGAACTTGAAATTGGAAATTAGAAATTTCGTAGAACGTTGAAGATAGTCAACTGGGTACCCCTGGGTGAAATCCACGTCTATATCAAGCTGTTCCCTCATCAAGCAGCAGTATGCGATGCTACTCCAACCCCGCGTTTACAAGGACTCAATGATTTATCGGATCGCAAGCATCGTATTTCCTTTTCCGTCGATGATATGCAGCGCTATACCGGATTAAGTAAAGGGATCCGAGTCTCTATCAACGGGCTTTTTATCTAATCGAGTTGCGTTCAAGGGATCCGAGATCAGATCGGAGTATGTGGTAGGACAAACTTCGCTGCATAAATACTTGATGGTAACCCCAGGGAGCTATTCAGTCAATATCAAGTGTGTGAATCAGTGATCAGAAAAGTTCAGTTGGTTCTCGACTGCTGAAGATTGACAACTTTGTTCCCCCCCGCAGATAACGGAACTAAGATCCCCCACCATTATGGTTCTCGACAGGCTTCAACAGTTGACTCACCATGTCAACGCGACAGCCCCTCCACCTCATCCCTTTGACCCTCTCTCAACTGCAGAGATTGACACGACGGTCGCCATCATCCGCAAGGAACATGGCTCGCTCAAATTCAATGCGGTCACATTGTATGAGCCCCGCAAGGCTCAGATGATGGCTTGGCTGGCAGATCCGAAGAATACCCCTCGCCCAATTCGTGCAGCTGATGTGGTTGCTATTGCACCCGGTGGCAAGATTTACGATGGTGTGGTAGATCTGGATCAACAAAAGATCCTGGAGTGGAAGCACACCCCGAATGTTCAGCCTTTAATTACCATGGAGGACCTGCAAGAAGTTGAGCATATTGCGCGCAAGGATCCAAAGGTCATAGAACAGTGTGGAATTATTGGTATTCCCCCAGAGGATATGCATAAAGTCTACTGTGATCGTGAGTTGCGTTGACCGGTCCCGTTGGTGAAATCAAAATTCTAATTATTATCATAGCCTGGACCATTGGGTATGACAAAAGATTTGGCACTGAAGTCCGACTTCAACAAGCCCTCATGTACTACCGTCCTCATGTAGATGATTCTCAGTACACATATCCGCTGGATTTCTGCCCTATATTCAACGCAGAGACTAAGCAGATCATCCACATTGATGTCCCCACAGTACGGAGACCGGTCAATAAAGCACTCCCGAACAACTATCTCCCTGAGGCAATTGAAAAAGAAGGTGGCTTCCGCACCGACATCAAGCCAATTCACATCACCCAGCCCGAGGGTGTCTCATTCCAGGTGAAGGACCGTATCATCGAGTGGCAGAATTGGAACATCCATGTCGGCTTCAACTACCGTGAGGGTATTGTCCTGAACAACATCACATTCAATGACAAGGGCAACGTGCGCCCAGTCTTTTACCGACTTTCATTGGCGGAGATGGTGGTTCCTTACGGTAACCCGGAGCATCCGCATCAGCGAAAGCATGCTTTTGATCTAGGCGAGTACGGTGGTGGTTACATGACGAACAGTCTGTCACTTGGATGTGACTGCAAGGGGGCCATTCATTACATGGATGCTGCGTTTGTCAATGCCGCTGGCGCCTCGACAATTATCAAAAATGCCATTTGTATTCACGAGGAAGATGCCGGCATTCTTTTCAAGCACACTGATTTCCGTGACGAGTCAATGGTCGTGACTCGTGGTCGCAAGCTGATTGTCTCGCATATATTCACTGCTGCAAACTACGAATACTGTGTATACTGGATCTTCCATCAAGATGGCACCGTTCAGCTGGAGATCAAGCTGACCGGTATCTTGAACACTTACTCCATGAACCCGGGCGAGGATACCAAAGGCTGGGGCACTGAAGTCTATCCGGGCGTGAACGCTCACAACCACCAGCACCTGTTTTGTTTACGTATTGACCCCAACATTGATGGGCCCGACAACACGGTTTTCCAGGTTGACGCCGTTCGTGGCCCTGGAGAGCTCGGCAGTGCCGAGAACAAGTACGGCAATTCATTCTACGCCAAGAAGACTAAATTTACCACCCCCGTTGAATCCATGTCTGACTATGATGGGTCTACCTCACGCACCTGGGATATGGCCAACACCAACAAGCTCAACCCGTATAGCAAGAAGCCGGTCAGCTATAAACTTGTCAGCCGTGATGTTCCACCACTTCTTCCCAAGTATGGGAGCCTGGTCTGGAAAAGAGCAGGATTTGCACGTCACGCAGTTCATGTAACAAAATGTAAGTTCATGTGTTATCCCTTGTGATGTCTGCAATGCTAATAGCTTTACAGACTCCGATGACGAAATTCATCCAGCTGGTCGGCACGTTCCTCAAACCTCTGGTGAGCCTTCACAGGGCTTGCCAGCTTGGATCGAGGCTGCTGGGCCAGAGTGCTCAATCGATAACACGGATGTTGTCTTGTGGCACACCTTTGGTCTTACGCATTTCCCGGCACCCGAAGATTATCCTATCATGCCTGCAGAGCCAATGACCTTACTCCTGCGCCCGCGTAACTTCTTTGACCGCAATCCTGTATTGGATGTTCCACCTAGCTATGCGCGCTCACCGTCACAGGTGGCAACAGGCGCGAATAGTTGCTCTTGCAAAAAGAATGACGGATCCAGTGTGCTGGTTTAGGGTAGTAACAATTAGGATGTCAGGCGTTGATCTACAATATTTGATACTGAATGTCTTACTATATGACGAGTTTTATGATTTTATTTACTTGATAATTATCTTCAAATTTTCCGTGCTTTGGTTCTATGTAGGTCTCATGTGGCTGTTTGGCAGGTACGACGTGTTTCATTATGTATTGATTTATAATGTCTGGATTGCTGGAAGTGGAAATGTTTTTCTTTACGGATTTATGAAATGACCGTTGCTCTAGAATATCATTGTGACTGCAAATGGTACTGCAAGTGCTAGCATGCAGGGGCAACTTAACAAGTACGTAACTTTTGCAATTAGTGTGGAATTGCCATCCATGGATGCGATATGGCTTCTCCAATATTATTTGGCTTCTCCACATAGCCCTGACACTTCAAGCTAAGACATTGGCCAATCCTGGCTGCTTTTTCAAATGCTAGCTCGAGTGCTAAGAATTGACAGAAATCACGATAATTACTCACCTTTTGACCAATTGGAAATGTTTTTAATTTAGTTCATTTCGTAGTTATCTCTGTTACGTGGGTCCAAATGACGTTAGTCAGCAGATAACGCGATAAAGTGCGGAGAAGAGCATCATCGCTCCTCGTTCCCTCTCTCTTCCCACATCATTGCGAAGATGAAGGAGAAAACTATGGCGTCTTCGGAGACGACACCTCTGCTGTCAGTTTATGTAGCACCGCAACGGTATCGCTACCCTCATCATGCGATTCGTCGGACTTGTACATTCCTGCTCCTCGCGCTATTAGTGATCGCTGGGACTCTGTTCTTGATTCCATCTGCGATCCTGCCACGAGACCACGGCTCGATTTGGTCCTATATGCCATGGTCTCATCCACTCCCATATGAATCGTGGCCACATGGTAACGGACTTTCTTTCGATCAACTGCAGGAAGTCCTACTTGAGACTCCGTCGGCAGCCAAGGCCCGGGAGTGGAGTTCCTACTATACCGCTGGGCCCCACCTGGCTGGTAAGAATCTCAGCCAAGCTCTCTGGACCATGGAAAAATGGAAGGAGTTTGGCGTGGAGGATACCAGCCTTGCTACATATGAAATATATCTGAATTACCCCATGGATCATCGGCTGGCTCTGCTGAAGAAGTCAGATAATCAGACCGAGGTGACCTTTGAGGCCACTTTGGAGGAAGATGTGCTAGAGGAAGATCCTACCTCCAGCCTCCCTGATCGAGTTCCCGTGTTTCACGGATACTCGGCCAGTGGTAATGTCACCGCCCAATTTGTGTATGCCAACTTCGGCACATACAAGGACTTTGAAGACCTCGTGAACGCCAATATCACCCTGGAAGGCAAGATTGCGCTTGTCAAGTATGGTGGCATCTTCCGTGGTCTCAAGGTCAAACGCGCACAGGAGCTCGGAATGGTCGGTGTAGTCATCTACAGCGACCCACAGGAAGACGGTGAAATCACTGAAGCGAACGGTTATGAAGCGTACCCTAACGGACCGGCCCGGAATCCCAGTGCTATCCAGAGGGGCAGCACGCAGTTTTTGAGTATGCACTTGCCGCTGGACCTCGTGATGACCAGTTTGTTGATCTACCATTGAACAGGTATTCTCCCCGGAGACCCAACCACCCCGGGTTACGCGTCCAAACCAGGCGTGGAGAGACAAGACCCACACAACTCTATCCCCTCAATTCCATCCCTGCCCATCTCCTACAAGGAGGCCTTGCCCTTTTTGAAAGCTTTGAATGGCCATGGTCCCAAGGCTGCGGATTTCAACAAATATTGGCAAGGCGGTGGTCTGTCACACAAGGGCGTTGAATACAATATCGGACCTTCTCCCGAGGATGTCGTCATCAACCTGAACAACGAGCAGGAATACGTGACGACTCCATTGTGGAATGTTATTGGCGTGATCAAGGGAAGCATTCCCGATGAAGTCATCATTTTGGGTAATCACCGTGATGCATGGATTGCTGGAGGTGCAGGTGACCCCAACAGCGGGTCCGCAGCATTGAACGAGGTAATTCGCAGCTTCGGCGAAGCTCTCAAGGCTGGATGGAAACCACTGCGAACAATTGTGTTCGCAAGCTGGGACGGCGAAGAGTATGGCCTGCTCGGGTCCACCGAGTGGGTTGAAGACAATCTCCCCTGGCTTTCTAAGGCTAATGTTGCCTACCTGAATGTGGATGTTGCTGCTGCAGGCACCGAGTTTGGCCCTGGAGCGGCTCCTCTGTTGAATCAAGTGATTTATGAAGTGACTGGCCTGGTGCAGTCCCCTAACCAAACCGTGCCCGGCCAAACTGTCCGCGATGTCTGGAACGGGAAGATTGCCACGATGGGCAGTGGCAGTGATTTCACCGCATTCCAAGACTTTGCAGGTATTGCTAGTCTGAACTTTGGGTTCGGCCCCGCGGCGAATGACCCTGTTTACCACTACCACTCCAATTACGATAGCTTTGCATGGATGGAGAAGTATGGTGACGCGGATTGGAAGTACCACGTCGCGTGCACCAAGTTGTGGGCCCTGGCAGCAGCACGGCTTATTGACTCTCCTGTGATTGCATTCAGTGCGAATGACTATGCCAAGGGCCTACACTCGTATCTTCGCAGTATTGAGCCGGTCGCAGCGAAACTGGTTCACGGGTCGCGTTTCAAGTTCGCTCCTTTAGACGTTGCGATTGCGGAGTTCCAATTGGCTGCGGAGAAGTTTGATGCTTACGCTGCTGCCCTGACCGAAAAACTTGGGGAACATGTCCCGTGGTATCATTGGTGGAAGAAAGTTAGGCTTTACTTCCAAATTCGCATAGTCAATGACAAGTACAAAGGCTTGGAGCGTGCTTTCCTCTACCAGCCTGGTCTTGATGGCCGTGATTGGTTCAAGCATGTTGTCTTTGCCCCTGGTATGTGGACAGGCTATTCAGGTGCCACTTATCCTGGTATTGTGGAAAGCCTCGAGGCTCAGGACGTGGCGAATGCTGAGGTAAGTCTTTAATAACCAAGAGATTTTTGACGCCCTTGCTAATCAATGTACCAGAAATGGAGTAAAATTATTCAAGGTCGGATTCATGCGGCAACGAAGCTGCTGATTTGAGTATTTGCTCATGTTTGACTGCTGAATGGATTATAAGGCTCGGCACATTCGTCTCTGATCTTTTGAATAGTCGGTGAATACACTGAAGCAATTTGTGTGTTCTCAACCCCTATGACCATAATGTAAGTCGCAGTAATTAGTCATGCAGCTTCTGGGGCACATCGTGTCAAAATGGATTACCTGTTAGCAAACCCTCCTAGTATTCCTACTAGGCTATATGGTGCGAGGTAACTTGAGTTAGCGTGGTTACGTAAATCGATGGTATCCAAGAGCCAGCATACCAGAGGAGTAGTTAGGCGAGCAATCTTACTGATTCAGATCCAATCCCGATATTCCCGCAGTGGTGCATTGGTGCTCATTTCATGCAGACCTGTAGTGAAGTGCCATCGATTTTTATCTCACTTTTTAGGGCAATAGTCTCGCTGTAGCACCCCTCAGTACTCATTCAGGGAGTAGATATGCCATCGCTATACCCTAATATCCATCATATCATCAACCGCCTCGTTCTCCTCTATCTCCTGCCGGATCTTCTTATTCCTTGCCTCCAACTCGCCGCGCATTCTGTTGATCGCTGCGGAGTCACTTTCAGCAGCCGCCTTCTTCGCCCTTTTTGCCTCCCGGAGACGATGATTTCTGCGCACCCACTCCCCCACAGGTGTTTTTATTCTCCGCAACCCCTTCTTCATCATGATGGCCTCTCTTTTTCGGCTGTTGGCTAATGATGGTATTGCTGGCTGTGGTGGTGGGACTGTGGTGGCTAGAGACGACGTATCTCCCCATAGTAGATCTGCCAGATTTTGCATTTTGGCAAGCTCGGAGTATTTTGCTTGACTCGCAGCAATTTATTTTAGCCCGCAGCTAGAATGAACCAGCTTAGTCTGGAAACACTTATTCTCGACGTGAAAATACATACGCTATTTCTGGCCATTTTTAGACCAAGCAGCCAAAATCCTTCATCTCTTTTGGAGTCGTAGCTGAGAAATAGAAGCGATAAGATTTCAGGAAGGATAGAGAAGGAAGAGAAAGAGAGAAAGAGAAAGATAGAGAATATAGAACGAAGAGAGGGGGAGAGAGAGAGAGAGATCTACCTAAAGATATACGCGCTGACAAACGGAGAGGGTCAGCTGACCGTATACTCCAATAATCCCTTTTGGCATTCTCAGCCGTAGGTTGGCAGTATTGGTCGGATTCATGACCGGGCTGCTTGCAGTGCTGGCAAATCTACATTGATCTCGCATTAGCATCGAAAATTCCACTGTAAAGCCATTGATTTGTGCCTCATTTCATCCATGGCTATCCATTTCCCAGTGTAGATGCAAACCATATCCTAATATACTATAGTAAACTAGAGTAATCGGATGGATTTAATATAGGGAGGGTGAAGAGGCAGGACAGCCACAGATGAGTAGGAGTGATGAAATGATGGCTGAAGTTGGAATGAAATGATGGCTGAAGTTGGAATGAAATGATGTTTTGACTCACCAATTTTTGACGGCTTGCCATCTTGAATAGCTGGGTTCTGAAAATGAAAGGGGAGTGGATAGAGGGTCAAGATTCTAAAGTCTCGATTTATATACTCCTATACTCCTATACTCCTATACTCCTATTACTTGGGTACACCGCAGACTTTTTGGACATAAAATCGAAACCTCCACCAGACTTTTCCTCTTTTCCCTTTCTCCTTCCACTTCAATTTCCTGCTCTTCTCTTTTCTTCTCTTCTTTCTTATATCTCTTTCTTTTCTATTCCGCTAATCATGAATTTGGGGAGACATTTAGCCATTTGATTAATAGGTACGAAAGAAGGTAGAATTCTGGATAAGTAGCCGAGTAGGAGACTAAGTAGGGGACTGAGTAAGAGATATAGCAAGAGGTGTGATCTAACACTCGGAAAGCCTCTAGTGCAATATAATTGACGTAGTGGGTATCTTGTCACTTTCGTCGCGGTATTGAGATCCTCTGTCGTGATGAACGGAAGAAGCTTTTCACAAGGGACCTGTAGATTGTTTTCCCCTCTACGGTATCACTGGCAAATCCAAAGATCGTTAGGAGAATCAGGGTCAAGAAGAAGATGACCGCAAAGCTGGCCCAGTAATCCACTTTTGAATAACCTCCCTTAACCCCCTGCAGCTCAGTGGAGAAGTAGGCCGTCATGAGACTGACAGGCAAGAACAACATGGTTGCTTTGGCCAATAGAATGGTGATCCGCGTGAGTTTCTCCACAGCTTGTGAGTCTTTCAAAGCTATCAAGTTAAAGTTCTTAAGCTGATTAGCATGATCTCTGTCCGACGGAGTAGGAAACTCACTAAGAATGTCAAGGATTCCTTCTCCAGTAGACAGGATTCGATCTCGCTCAAGCAGTAAAGATTAATACGGTCGACGAGTCTTTCGAATCTTGCCACCGCAGCCGAGCTCAGGATCACTCCTACCGGCTTGTCCTTGGCTTCTGGAGAGCTGCCGATGCTGACCACACTTCCCTGTCGCATGTCGGCGAACTCGATGTCTCCAACTGTGGCGCCAAACGCTAATGGCGGTGGATGGGCCGACCGGGCCTCATCACGAAGCAGGCGCTGGTGCTGCAGGATTCGTCGCATTATCAGTTCGTAGCTCTGGTACAGCCGCTTTAGAACCGCCAGCCGTCGACCCAGCCAGTGCAGCTCATCAACCAGCTCCACAACCGGGCGTTCTAGCATTTGGCTTCTCAATCGTTCCAGGGCGACGCCGTATTGGTGCTCTCGTTTGGCAATCAGACCGTAACTGGAGACCCAATCATCAAATATATAATAGTAGAGCAAACTCGGACCGTCTTCCTGTTTGATGTCTGCTTGATCCAGCCCAACATCATTGAAATGCCGAACTCGGATAGTCACGAGTGAATCACTTTCTGACATGCTCAAGCGTTGCTTCGAAACCCCTGAGACGATGAAGCGGACGTTTCGTCGCACTATGTCCAGCAATTTGATCTGCTCCGCCTGCAACGCTCCCTTCTGCCGAGGGAATGGATTTTCCTGCATGGAGATGATTGTGCCGTCGTCACAAAGGACCAGCCAGTTCCAGAGTCGTTTGCCATCGGGCAAGTCTTTTCCATTTTCATTTGTTTCTTTGGGCACACCAGGGGTCACAAACAACGTATTATAGCCAATGCAGGTATCTAGAGCGACGTCAGACCATGTCCTTATATTCCTTGGAATGTAGACCTACATCGCGGACCGTGGTCGACGGAGGAAAAATGCCAGATCTGGTTGGTAACTTGCGAAAAGGTCAAGTGCTTGAAGGATGAGGTATCGTGGAGGCCCTCATGCTCGCGTAGATTCAAGTTCTTCAACGCAAGTGCATTCTCCAAATCATTGAATTCATGATCTAAGTCAACATCGCGCGTCCGCGACCGTCGCTTATTTGGTGCTGTGGCTGTTTGGACTGGTGAACAGACCGGCGCGGACATCAAGCCTTGTAATCGTTCCGAGAGACCGTACAAAGACATGATTACCTTGATGGTCTCGGTTTGTTCCTCTGGAGCCCATAGGTGACTATCCACACTGGTCAGTATCTCATCAGGTTCCGTCATCATCTCCTCTCTCTTACATCCATCGTGTGCCAAAACATTTAGATCGCTCCCGAGATAATTAGCTTCGTCCTGTGGTCGTATCTCTTCACATACCGGTTGACTCAACAATGCTTTAAAGTCCACAGAGACTAGATCAGTCGCACAGTATGCATCTTCATTTCCAAAGTCCAGGACAAAGTTTTGTGTCTCTGATTTCTCCAACAAATGCATATAAGTTCGGAAGTTGGTGTTATCATCGATGTCTTTGAACTTATCCCGAAGAGATCCTTGAGCGCCCGTCAGACCATCGTAGTACTGTTCAGGATTCAAAGAGTCACGGAAGAATTCGGCCATGACAGAAATGAGAATGCAAATGAAAATGAAAATGAAAATGATGATCAACAATTCAATGTCTCTGCTCAGGAATAAATAGGACTTCAAGCCACGCGAATGACCGCGCAGGTCACGCTTAAGCGCCCGGCATCAGCTGCAGCTTTCAACTCCGCATGTGCCGTGTTTGAAACCAAAAAAAGTCATCATAATATGGAGGTATCAGTGGATAATACACGTAGATCATTTATGGATGATCTCCATATTTGGTCATTTGTATAGATCGGATAATCGATAATCATCTGGTCCGTCATCCCGATCAGGTCAAGCTTTCCGCGGTGACGTCGTTCGCATCTTCCAACTTTCCTCCACCTTCCCACTTTCCCTTCCCACTGCCTTCCCTTGAACCCTTTACCTAAGGTTCATGGTTCATTATGGCGACAGCAAGTGAGGAAAATGCACAGGTTTATAACCTTAAAGTGGACTTTGTCATTCAATACAGCTTTGGAGATGTCGGTGAGTGAGCAAGCTTGGCAGAAATGAAGCCCTTCTGATCCTTTTACCTCAGACCAATCAGAGGCGATTGAGCAGCTCCAGAAGCTGCTAAAGACCCTTGCTGAGGTCGGTCTGCAAACTGAGGTCCGACAAGGTGATGAATCCTCGTTGCTCGTCTTTGTGCGAGCTTCCAAAAAACAGCTGAAGCGGGCGGTGTACCGATCGCGGTGAGTGCTTGCTTCCTCTCAACGCTTTCTTGCTTGTTTCATTCATACAAAAGGTCGCGGGAGCATTTGGACTAATACGATTTCAGCGTCCGTGACTGGCTTTACGGAATTCGCCATGCCGAGCCTGAACCCGCCGATACGATCGATGCCCACACTGAGACGGAGGCCGAGCGACTGCGGGTGATCAACCACATGATAACGCTCCCCACCCAGGAAGGAGGTGCCGGTATCACCCCGCAACATGGGGAATGGAAGAACGTCATGGCCGTCTTCCCGCTGCACGACGTGGAAACAAATAGTCGATGGATGCGCGAGTGGAGCAAGAAGACCTTCCTCTCTGAAGAGGACTTGGACCAGATCCGCGATAAATTTGGAGAAAGCGTAAGGGAAATACTATGTCCTAATGGGATTGTGCGCTGACATCAGGACCAGGTCGGCTTTTACTTCTCCTTCCTCCAGTCCTATTTTCGCTTCCTCATCTTCCCCGCGGTATTCGGTTTCGGGTGCTGGTTTCTCTTGGGCGGGTTCTCGATCATCTACGCCGTCGTCAATTCCCTGTGGTGCATCATCTTTGTCGAGTATTGGAAGCGCCAGGAGGTTGATTTGTGCTGTCGTTGGCAGACGAAAGGGGTCTCAGCTGTCCAGACCAAGCGGCGTCAGTTCAAGCCAGAGAAAGAGGTGCGCGATGAGAGCACCGGCGAAGTACGAGGGGTATTCCCAGCGACCAAACGTATGCAAAGGCAGTTGCTCCAGATTCCCTTTGCATTGCTTGCCGCAACCGCCTTGGGAGCCATCATTGCGACTTGCTTCGCGATCGAGATTTTCATCTCGGAGCTGTATAACGGCCCTTTGAAGACCTACCTGGTATGTTCCTGGCGATGCCCTTCTTTATGTTCCACCTTTGACCTGGCCAGGTTTTCATTCCAACGATTCTCGTCTCCGCGCTGGTGCCGACCATGAGTGCTGTTCTAGTGTCTATTGCCACGAAGCTCAATGACTACGAAAACCATGAGACTAATGATGCATATGATGTTGCACTAACACGAAAGGTCTTCGTTCTTAATTTTATGACATCGTACCTGCCGGTGATCTTGACGGCCTTCGTGTATGTGCCCTTTGCCAGCCGCATTGTCCCTTACCTGGATGTCTTTCGCTTGACCGTCCGGCCCTTTGTGTCGAAAGAGCATTTGAACGCCAAGAGATCGCATTTCCAAATTGACCCGGCCCGCCTTCGAAATCAAGTGATCTATTTCACCGTGACCGCCCAGATTGTTGGCTTTGCCATGGAGACTATTGTCCCCTATATCAAGCAGCATGCCTTCCGAAAGTACAAGGCCTTTAACAAGAAGCGCAATGGCAAGGCAGAGCGCAACGGAGAGAAGGAATCACCCGAGAGGCCGGTCCCAGTGGTTTTTGACGACCCCACGGAAGAAGCGCAGTTTCTCACCCGGGTTCGCAACGAGGTTGAGCTGCCGGAATACGACGTCACCGACGACCTGCGTGAAATGTGCATTCAGTTCGGTTACTTGGCACTCTTCTCCCCCGTGTGGCCTCTGGTCCCCGTATCATTCTTTGCTAACAACTGGGTGGAACTCCGATCGGACTTTTTCAAGATCTGTAATGAGTTCCGCCGACCGACACCGCTCCGGTCCGATACTATTGGACCTTGGCTCGACACCCTCGGGTTTCTCTCTTGGACTGGCAGCATCACGAGTGCTGCTCTAGTCTACATGTTCAGTGGGAATGCGCAGCAAGGTCCCAACGGGGAGCCCACAGATATCAAAGGATGGGCACTGCTTCTTTCTATCTTTTTCTCGGAACATCTCTACCTGGCTATTCAATTTGTCGTTCAAGCCTCCATGACCAAGCTTGAGCCACCAAATGCTCGCAAGGAACGTGCCGAGCGATATCTCATGCGCAAGCGATATCTTGAAACGACCCTGCGCGCACAGAATGATGACGAAGTACCTGCAACCGTTACTTCTGATGTGCCGGGACTGTCACGCGCTGCCCTTGAGGAGGAGGCTCGACAAGCATCTTTGCAGGAAACAGACCCTGCTGAGCGCTTCTGGATGCGGCAGCGAGGCTGGATGGAGTCTGTCCAGGTCGGGACAGGAATCATTCAAGCCCAGACCACGGTAAACACCAAGAAGCAGCAATAAGCAGCCCCAAAGGCATCTTTGGTCCAGAGGGAACCCCATACATGGTGTCATGATTCGCCTGGCGGCGCTCTTCAGATGATGGTGGTGGCCAACATTAGTGAACTTCTATTGGGACCTTTTCCAGTAGAGTGGCTCTTTTCGACTATCCTTAAGTATAGAGAGATATGCGTTGTTATTACAAGGTGGCTGGGTGTTGTAATTATCAATCTTGGCCTGTAGAACTCACGAAGTTATTATTAGTTGGCTTCGGCTGGGATGTCTTCACTTTGTACATGACGAGCCTATCCGACTGAATGCAAAGTGGTCACCACTACGGATGTTGATAAACTCCATTGAGTGTTCAAATAATCCATTATGACGAGGCCCATCATCACATCTCTATTTCATGGCAACTTCCTATCCATTGCCCGTCAGAAACAATTAGATTGAGCAAATTCGGATTTACCTGAAAAGAAGGTAGCTGAAACGACTACGATTTGTCACCAACGCCATCCTTTCGAGGATATGGACTCTTTTCATTGGTCGATTTTCCCGCTGCATAACCTGGGGATATCTCTGGGGTGGGCATATGTGGGTGGACCTTGTACGGAGAACGCCGGTGCCCGCATTTCCCCGCGGGGAAAACAAGTTGGAACCCTGGAGTCCGAGGTAACAATTCCATGGCTCCAAGCCTGGCCTTGCCTAAACAGCTTCAAGTCATCCACTTTCACTTTTAATCCATGGATCGAGAGGAAGGATGGGTGACAGAGCCATGTATTGATGGATGGATACCTTTGCTGGGTATTGAATTACAACGTCTTAAGGGTTTCGGCTAGTAGAAAGCTAAACCAACTATGCCAGTCCGGGAGGTTTAGGAAATATTACGTTTAGAAATTTGATGAATCCCGAATTTGGCTCACTTTGCTGTGCACTGACTACTTCCCCTTGGCCTAACAGAAAAGCCTTTTTTCCCCAACATGTGTATGCATCTTTTAATACTAGATGAAAAGCGTCTAAACTGGAATATAAAACTCACCTAGGCAATCCCACGGCCCCAAGCCATCCTACACTGCCACTAATCGGCATTGGGATTCTGGCATGGCAGAAAGCATCAGCTCACTTCCCTGCTGTTAGTAGTTTCGTCGGGCTTGCGACCGGAATTCTCCGTGAATGTGTCATATGCCATTTGGATTCATCATCGTGCGTTTCTAGGACGCCTTTTTAGCTAATAAATTCCCGTATTGACCTAGCCTGTTCATGAGGCCTTCACGGGCCTCCCCGAGTTAGGCATGAGTATATTAGTATATGAGGAGCGGATGCTAAGTCTTTTGCTTCTAAGGACCAACATATGAAGACTTCTTAAAACTTTCTCATTCTTCTCCTAGTCTACACACCAAAGCCTTTCTCGAGATTGCCTGATCCTAAATATAACGCATGGAGCATCAGACCATCCTCGTCAGGGACGTTGAGAAGCCGACCTTCAACACCGAAGTGAATGGTTCTCGGGGTGATGGATACCAAAGCCCAATATTGGTAGTCCCCCAATCCGACCATGGACAGTCCCTTCTCCCACAGTACAACCAACCAGACCTCAACTTGCCATCGAGGCAGGAGCGAGCAAAAACATTCAATGACGTTCGGAAGTCTGTCAATCCAGCTCCCCTGGGTTTATGTGCATTTGCACTCACATCGTTCGTCTCAAACTCTACAAATGTTTACGTAACAAATGTGCCATCGACGGGCATAACCATGGCACTGCCACTTGTGTATGGCGGTATTGTTCAGCTAATTGCCGGAATTTGGTAAGTAGACAGTCATCTATTGCTTTCCCAGTATGCCATGTTGATGAATATAGGGAGATGGCGATCGGAAATACATTTGGAGCCACATCATTTTCCTCTTACGGTGCCTACTGGATCACCTTTGGTATCATGTCAATGATTGAAGGTAGAAACTCAGGAACAAGTGATACTTGTGACGCGGAAACACTGATGGGGGTGTTTATGATGGTATGTTGCCCCTTCTCAAACCAATTCATGTAAATATTGGAACTAACTCACAATTAGGCATGGTTTGTTTTTACGCTGATGCTTCTATGCTGCACACTAAAAAGTCATCTCGCTATGTTCCTGTTGTTCTTTTTTCTGGACATGAATTATCTCCTTCTCGGCATTGCTCACTTGAAATGCCACTCTGATGGCCAGGTTCTCGCATCCGTCCAAAAAGTCGGGGGAATATTTGGTTTGCTAGCTGCAGTTACGGCGTGGTGGAATGCCTTTGCTGGAGTGCTAGATAATAGCAATTCCTTTTTCACGATACCCCTGGGTCATTTTCCGTGGTCGACTGCAGCTCGAGTTCATCGAACCAAAGTCAAAGCTGTGTGAGCTGAACTATTGACGATAAAACCTCAATTTGATTCCAATTTTGCTAAAAGCGGGTTCAATAATCTACCTGAATGTCCCTTTATATGTACTAGCGCATCAATAATTCATACGTATCCGAAACCAATGCAACACACTCGAAGAAACACAATCCATACACACCTACTGGGTGTAGACGCAGCCCTTGGAGGAAGTCGACTCCACGCGAGCCGCGATGCCAACACAGTCGGAGTTGCCGGCGGGATTGGCGACGCCAGCCGAAACCCAGATAGACCAAGCACCATCAATACTATTAGGGCAAGCGATGAGGTCATTACCAGCAAATTGGAGGTGACCATTCTTGGTTGCCCAGCCTCTGCGCTCAGAGTTTTTGGGTGCAGGCTGAGCGCCAGTGGTATATCCGATCTTACCCTGGCCTATTGTTTGATCAATAATTAGAAAACTTAATCCAAGCATGATGATCAGAGCTTACCCATTCCAGAGCGATCCACGTAGATCTCCTGGGGAGTAGCGGACTGATCATAGAGATACAGAGCTCCGTCGTTCAAGTAGAAGGTAGCATCTTTTTCGCCGGCATTGGCACAGCTGGCATTCTGAGACGGAAGACCAGCAAAGATACTGCTCTTAGCGGCATTGAAGGCGGAATACTGCACAAGAGAGCCAGAGTGAATGGCGACAACACCGAAAGTGCCAGACTGGGTGCTGGGGAGAGCAGTGGCAGTGGCAGCAAGAGAAGCAGCGAACACGACGTTCTTGATCTGCATGATGAAAGACTCGCGGTAAATGAGAAGGAGAGAGAGAGAGTTGATTTGCTTTGATGTGTTGATCTTTTCAGATTTCAAGGTCATAGGGGCCTCTTTAATACTTTTTCGGGTTGGTGAGATCGTCATTAACTTACACAGGGTAGACAACCTTAGATTGTGGAAATCTTAGACACAATCATCAGTTTGCGCTGCCATTGTCTCACCTAGTAGACTACGAAGGAAGCCTTTCATGAATTATCCGCAAGTAATAGACTCCGCTATAGCTATTCTTAGAAGCAACGTTGATTGTCTCCATCTCTCCACCGATTTACATAGTCTCAAGTTTGAGATACAGGATACCCAAGAAGATCAGTCTACATCTATTACTAGTTTTTATAGTATCCATAACTACGCATACTAATTTCCCACTCCGTAATTCCTCGATACCCAGTCTCACTCTCTTTCCATTGAAGCTCCCAGTGGCGATTTCATCGGTGCAACTTCGGCGAGTCCAAGACCTTGAATGCCAAGAATCACTCCACATGTTTCTCCGAGCCCACTAAAGGAGAGTATTGCGCGTGCAAGTATGTGGAGCAATGGGTCTTCATAGACTCCGACGGACATTTTGCCAAGTTCTTTTGGACTTGACCGTTCTACTGGCATGTGGTTTATTATTCTTAATCAGCTTTGACAGGGACATCGTTCAAAGCCCATACCTATTAAGTTCGATGCAACAACCAATATCTGCTGAGAGCACTATGGAGCACTCAGCGAATTTACGGAGGAAAGAGAAGATCAGGAAACCCGAGCTACTCCCATTTGGACGATGAACATCGAGCCAATCAATAAGCGTATCCAATGATGCCTGGATAATAAGGCCTAATAAACAATATCTCAATGCTCGCGGGCTATTAGAAAGCTCATGCACATGCCTACCATGACACCTTGAAATTTATTTAAGAATATTGCCAGTGACAGAGTCAGAGTGAAAGATCTTGGGTGGATCATCCCGCGTAGATTATCCCACGTAACGCCTGATAAGCTCCACTGGTACTGTCCCCCGCCTACTTGGGAAAGCCTTGATTATGATAGAGGGGTCAGAGATATAATGCTCCTCATGGAACGTTTCATATCAGCGTTGAATATATTTCAAGTTGTTAATCTACCATGTATACTGACATGGAAGTGTATCACAAAGTTCCCGAAGGTTATCGAATCTTTGGATGCTTCACCCTTCCTGCCTATCGAAGTCCCATCATTCAGTGCGTGATCATCGCGATTGTTCACCTTTTAGTTGTGGGGATGTTTAATGTTCTCTCTGCTCTGGGTGGAGGAGGTCAAGTTGACCCTACAACCAGCAACAATGCCAACACAATCTTATATAGTTTGTTTTGTGTGTTTGCGTTGGTATCGGGCTCGGTGTGCAACTTTCTAGGGCCCAGAATCACTCTCGCAACGGGTGGCATTGGATATTCCCTTCTCTCAGCATCATACTGGAGCTACAACAACAAGAAGAACCAGGCCTTTGTTTACTTTGGGGGTGCCATGTGCGGAATAGCAGCTGCCTTCCTCTGGTGAGTTGATCTAGATTCAATCTCAACTTCCTATTCTTACCCTTTTTTAGGACCGCCGAGGGCTCACTTATCATGTCACTTCCCTTGGAGAAAGATAAGGGCAAATACGTGGGAATATTCTACGGCGTGTCATTCTTTGGGACTGTAGTGGGGGCCATTATACCCACAGTCGAAAATTGGGGTATCACCACAGCCGGAAGTGTGAACGACAGCACTTACATTGCCCTGTTTGTCCTAATGCTGATGGGCAGTGTGGTCGCATGCTTCGTGTCTGACCCTTCCAAGGTCATTCGGAATGATGGTTCTCGGGTTGTGATTCCTAGCCAGACCACATTTGTCCAGGAGCTGAAAAACGTCATTTTGGCTATCAAAAGAGAGCCATGGATTGTTTTATATTTCCCCTACAGCTTTGCTGGCTTATGGTACATTCCGTATCAGTCGAATGATTACAATTCGTATTTCTTTAACCTCCGAACTCGTGCATTTGGCAGTGTCTGGTTCGACTTTGGCCAATTTGTCATGGCGGTGATTCTCGGACTTTTGCTCGACTTTACAAGACTAGGTGGTCGACGTCGACGTGCCTTTATTGGATGGGGCCTCATGTTTGTGTTGATCAACGCAGTCTTTATTGGAGGTGTATTTCCTGCTCGTGATTCTCACCGAGGACATCCTCCAGCACATCTCCTAGATGTGTACGATTCAAAAGCAGTGGGCTATATTTTCCTCTATACCTTCTATGGGGCCGTTGACGGAGCGTGGCAGACATTTGCCTGGTGGATTATGGGCGCACTCTCGAACGATCCACTAGTGTTATCTATCTACTCGGCTTTCTACAAAGTCTTCGGTGCGATGGCAGCTGCCATTGTGTTCAGTATGGATGCCCGCAAGGTTAGCTACCAGGCCATGTTCGGAAGCTATTGGGGTCTGCTATCAGGTTCTATGGTTTTTGTATTAGTTTTGATCTATAAGCGCGTTCAAGACACACTTGCACCTGTGGTTGGAAGTATGAGGGAATTGAAAGAAGAGGCGGGTGAAAGCATTTAGATGCACGTAATATAAGCTTCAGATTCGGCAAGTTCTCCACGTACCCACTGAATTCCTCTTGTACACCCTAACCCAAATACAGAAACATACGCGTGGCCCCGAATTCAGTGCCTACCTATAATACAAGTGCTCGGTTTCGCTACTCATTTTAAGATCTATGTATGTGTTCGATACTCTACTCATACAGTACACCGTAGCTGAGAGGGTTGGTACTGTAGTAGGTACCGGAGTAGATACAGGAATAGGTACACTTGAGGCTACCTGGACAGGCTATAGGGAACATGATTTAGTTATTTAACTCGAAGTCATGGGTATGTTCGATATAAGTATGTTCTTGATCGGGGTAGACAGGGTGTATAAGAGTAGTTAGGGGGGTACGTGGAGCAATTACCATCAATTCCTGCCCCGCAATTATCGCTGTATCCATACTTATCTTAGATCTCCCAGGCTAATATCAGCCCCACCCGTTACGTGGGATGTTCTACACGGATCGATTTCAGACAAGGGTCTTATCTGCTAGCCCCCAGCGAATGCTTCCTTTCCCAACATTACCGTTGATTATGGTGGTAAGCTATCGGGGCTTATTGTAGTCTAAGAGGATTATTGCGAGGGAAGTCCTACATATAAATGAGTGAATGATATATGTGCCTCCTGGAGTAGCTCCCAGCGACAGCCTATGAGACATTATTTGACCGCTCCAAGTAATTCACGAGTCTGCTGTGACGCAACACTAATATCCTCGTCATTTCGAATGAACATCAGCATTTAAACAAGGTATTCCTCAGCGGTATATGGAATATCTTGATTTTGACAAAGAGTTCTCATTCCTTCCATAAAACCATACGCCCACAGGATGAGTGCGGCATGATAAAGTGATCAAGGTTGAAGAGAGAGGTTTTCCTGGGACGCACGGTATTGTTTTCCAGTAAAGAGAGTTTCCTGGATCAGCAGTAAACAGTGATAAATCGCGCCTTTCTAGCCTCTTGCCTTTCACTTCAAGCTTGTACTCTCGCCGTTGCTCCAACTAGATCGGCTTCCGAGAACATGTTCCCAAGAAGTGATGGAGTATCAACCAAGACGTGCATGTCCGTTATGTCAGGATAAATGGCTACATAAGCTATTCAATGAAGTGGCTTCGAAGCCTCCAGCGCCAAAGAGGAGCTCCGTGAAACGAGGCAAAATGACCATGTGTCTATTGCTTTCTCCAAGTTGTCCTTCCAAGTATCAACGGTAGCCTGTCGGGGACGATCTGGCAAGGCGCCTCCGGCACCTAGAGTAACAGAATCTCTGACCTTCAAGTGATGTGTCACACTGAACAGGCCATGGAGTGGGACAAGTCGGCCGTAAGCCGTGCATTGGGATGCGAGCGATAAATCTCTTTAACACGGGAAAAAAGCCGGGAGATTCCGGCGCCTTTCTGATCATCCGGTCCCATTCAATGACGTCGCTGCACTCCCATAGATAATCCTGACAGAGGAGCAGGAGACGGACGTCTTGGAAAAGCGGAGATTCGAAGTCATGATTCTTATCGCGGGTCACGATTATGGTCGCGGTTCGCTGCTACAGCCAAATCCTGCACGAAGCCAGAAGGCTTAGTCGTAAAACAATTACATGTAATGAATCTCAATGCTATATATACAGCCAGCTGGTGGTTCGACCAGAACTGGACATCTATCGTCACAATGCAATGCAATCTCTCTACCGTGTCCTGCACCGTAAGAGATTCTCTACCCGAGAGGAAATCACTGTATACTGTGATCAACACAAAGCAAGTCACCAATCATCACTGATAGATGGGCGACCCGTCGCCACTTATGTAGATGGGGATCCGCAGGTGAAGACACCGCGAACGGTACCGTCATCGTAGTTTTTGATCTGAACACGGATTAATTAATATCGAAGCGAAATGATTGGTCCAGAGACGGAAAAACTTACAATATCATAGATACTCGAGTACGTTCCAGCACCCAAGATCAAAATACCAATGAGGAAAATTCCACCGTTGATGATTGCCAGCAACAGGTTGTCACGGTCGCGCCAGCTGCCCTTCTTGATGAGCATGAACCACATCATCGCAGGAAGGTAGAAGGTGAAGCCGGAGATGAAAAGTGCGGAGGAGATAGATAGCAGATCATCAAAGAATGGAATAACCTCGGCAATGATGAAAGCGATGACTGTGGCGGCGGTAATGGTAATCAACCAAGTAATCCAGCCCATCTTAGTGTTGATAAACCGGATGGGGGAGTTGGCAAAAATGCGACCATGGATCAAACGACCGCAGACGACGGTGTTGATAGATCCACTAATGAAGATTACAGGCAGGGCCACTCCATAAGCCACACGCCCAAGCAGATGTCCAGCAGAGGTCAAGGCAGGAGAAGAGACATCCTGGCCAACGAAGGCGTAGACCAGAGCACCGGTCAGGGTGTACACGATGATCTCGGTAATTCCCAGGGCCCAGATAGATTTTTTGAAATCGCGCGGGGTGTGCATCTCATCCATGAAGGAGAACTGGCACATAGCGAAGCTGTATGCAAAGACGATGTTCGAAATAGCAATAAATGCCTCGGCAAACTTGAGGTCCTCCTTGGGCCAGGCAGACCAGTTCACAGCCGACAAGCCACCCGAGTTGGTAGCCTCGACTCCAGTGCCAATGATAGTAATGCCGATCGCAATAATGATGGAGGCGAAGTCAACGTAACCGAGGATGGCCATTTCGGTGAAACTAGGCGGAATGGCCAACAACAGCAAGATGATCGCAGACACCACGGCAAAAATCACGGAGCAGATTGAGGATTGTGTGATGTTCTGCCAGGCGATGGTACCCGTGAGGCAGTGGGAGCCCGTGAGGAAAATCAACTGGAGAGCCAGCATGAAGTTGATGATCTCATAGCCAAAGCGGCCCCACCCGGCGCCGAACCGACCACCCATTAGGCGACCAGCGTCAGCATAGTTGGCAACCTCGGGGAAGAGCAATTTGACCTGCCCGACGATATAACTGGTATAGATGGCAATCAGGCCGACTCCCACGCAGCAAATCACACCCGCGACCATACCCAGCTTGGCGAAGGTGGAGGGAATTGACAGACTACCCAGCGCGATGGCCTCGACGATGAGCACCACGGTGAGACGCTTCCAACCCAAGCGACTGAACTTCTTAATACCATGATCGTAGATATCCCGCTCTGCATCGGTCATCTCCCCCAGCATGGCACCCTCGAATGGTGGTGGAGAGACGTATGCCTTCTCACTCTCATTCTCCAGAGACTTTCCAGATCCATGACCGGTGGAGTCGTCTTCGAAGCCCATGGTGACCGATGGGATGTTGTGTGAGAGAGAAAAATGGGATAGAGAAGTAAGATCAGTGGTGACGAGGATGGCGCAGGGTATAAGAAGGAAAGACCGGCCCCATCGCTGGATCCGGCGTTATCAGAGGCAAAAGAAAGTTATTTCGTTGACTAACATCTCCCACATCTTGACTTGGGGCCTCCAACACGTGGAGTACGACGCTGCTCCACTCATCTGATCGGCCATCCAACGATATTGCCGCTTGCAGCTTGGATCGGCCCACCACCATCCCATCCAGGCAGGTCAACCTGTGCCCCAATACGCCCAACGCCGATTAGACGATAAGAAGGTTTGAGTCGTTAGGTAACAGAAATGCAACACTGGTTCCCCAGAAAATGGAAATGGACCGGTGTCAGGCTCGATGGATCCCATCCTTCTCCACGATTGCGGGGGGAAGGTGGAAAACCAAATGACGATTTCAGACTTGGAAAGCTGGCAAGGGGAAAAAGTAAAGAAAATGAAGCATCAAAAAAACAAGATTCTATGGAACAGCTAAGGGGCGCCACAAGCGATCATCACGGCAGCCATCCGAAGAAAATCCAATCAGGCTGAATGCATTCATGACAAAGCTAGACGTCACGTGATGACAGGGGTCCCGCTTCTCCTAATCAGCACCACAATCCCTCGTTTATTCCTCCTCCTCTACCTTCAATACTTTGTGTTCAATTTTTGGCTTGGCTGCTTTTACTTTTCTGGTTCAAATCGCGCATCCGCGGCGAAGGGGGAAATTAGCTGGGGAAAACGCCACTAACCTTAGTCTACCGCAGTAGCGGGATCAGCAAAGCCGCTACGGCTAAAACTGCCCTAGAACGCACGAAGATTTGGGGTAACTTTGGAATGGCCTAGATAGAATTTGGGGTAGGATAAACTAAATCTTATGCAGTCTATGTCGAGATTCCTCCATGCAGCAGCATCAATGGGGCGCATTAAAGATCGGGGTTGTGTAGGCCACGCTCATTCCTGCCCTCTCTGCGTTCCGACCACTCCCATCTCCAATTCGAGTAATGGAAGTTGCCAAGCAGTGTCCTAGTTGATGCGCCGCTCGTAATCGGGCTTGAATTAAGGCCAAGTGTACTCCCTGTCCTCGAAACCTAGGAATGGTGCTGTCCAGGTAAAAATGCGCGACGGTACCGTCAGGGGTGTCCATGGTTGCCATCACCGCTGTCCCTGCAAGTTGGCCATTCGCCTCAGCAAAAAACAACATATCCTTTCTTTGAATCGCGAGCGCTGCAAGGGCTCCGAGAAGATCTCGGGAACGACCATTATCTTGGAATCCTGCGATAGATGCCTCGATGAATTCCTCCGTTTCATGCGGTTCGGCCAGTCGCACCACAATATCACATGTGGAGACAGCCCCCATCCTTTCCCGAATATTACACCAGTAGGTACTGAGAACTGCCCTTTCGGTATACCCCCGAGAAAGTAAGAGCTTGGGAGATGATGCAAATGCGCTCAGGTAGCGAAGATCGACTCCAGCTCCATCAGATCCTCCTCCTGAAGTGGACCATCACTTCCACATCCAACGGCCCGATTAAGCTTCCCTTCGAAGACGTGCAAGGTTAGAATCCCAATTCCGCCCTTGGAGGGCTGCCAAATCTGGATATTTTGTTCGGTGTAGATTTGGGCGCATGCTTCTGCTTGCTTGCGGATATGTATTGCTTCCACCTCCTCGCATATACGGACAATATGTGCATCGACAAACATTCGCGAGGCTGCCATCGTATGCAGGTCAATCAAACGGTGTTGCGGTGAGAACTTTCACTTTTCAAGGTTACAGAGATTCGCACTTGACATTGGAGGTTGGATTCGAATGAGAATCCATAGCAGATTACACGCCAATGTGAGTCACAGTGTTTATGGAGTCACATGATGTGGCATCACATATTGAAACATCTTGACATTTCTCATCCTCTAAAAGATTGCATTTGCTTATCATCAGGGGCTTATTCTTATCATCGCTATCTTATCATGGGTCCACCAAGTGGAACTACTCCAATTCTCTTAGACATTGAGTGATCGATCGTGCGACATATTCCACATTGCCAGCATTCAGTCCGCCGATAGAGATTCGGGAGTTGTCCGCCATGTAGATATGGTGTTGTTCTGATCAAAATTAATATCCATCTGCAGGGAATTGAAGACAACTCACTTACCTCGCAACTTCAGAACCGCCTTCTGCGATTACCAGGAATCCGAACATTCCGGACTGTTGAATTAAATGGTCCCAAGACCCAGGGGCCCCTGAAGACATGAGCAACCGACCGAAAAGTGCTGCAGGAAAGGCGTAACAAAGGAAACCAGCTTCTCATACAATTCCACTCTCATGGAGCGAATCCGGTAACTCATGGTCATCATGTCTTGAAACCACATGTGTCTCAACTCATCATTTTCCAGTAATTGACTTGCAATCCTCGCACCAAAAGCAGGGGTGTTTGAAATTTCAGATCGCTCCAACATCTCCAACATGGACTGAGTATTCACCGCGACCTGCTTATCATTGGCGCTCACTAAAACACAACCTACTCGCTCGCCTTACAAGCCATGTTAGCATCAGGTTATGGTAGAGTAGTTTTGAGATCGGACTCACCATAAAGACCCATGTTTTTCGCAAAGGACACACACACACCAGCTTCCATCTTCATTTCACCGATAAATAGCCGAATGGGAAATGCGTCCTCGGCGAAATTCCCCGAATTGAACCCCAGGTACGCAGGATCAAAGAGTGGAAATAGCTGTCGTGCTTTCATGAGATCTGCGATCTCGCGCCACTGCTCCTTACTGGGATCGCAGCCCGTCGGATTATGTGCGCAGGCGTGAAGGATTTCCACCGAGTTCGGCTCTGCCTGTCGCAACGTTGAGTAGTAGGACTCGACATCCAAGTTCTTCGTGTCGTGATTGTAGTACTTGAAACTCTCACATGGAAAGCCGAGAGACTGAAAGATCTGGTGGTGATTAGACCAAGTTGGTTCGGAAATTAAATCTTGGGTGATTTGGTGTGACAAGCTCTCAACAGCAGTCCAGCTAGATGTAAGGCACCTGTATCAGAGAGACTCTGGCAGGTTGCAATCTATTCGCCCAATTGATCGGTTAGTCCCATGGAAACAAAGAATGAATGGTTATCTGGTTTCATACTGTACTTGCTTGTTCCTTGAAGAGGTCTCCTAATATAATCTTGGCGGTTTCTTCTCGAAAGCTTTGGAACCCCAAGATCGGCAGATATTCATGTTGCAAGCCCTGGGCGAGAAGACTTTCACGAGCTTTGTTCACGGATGGAAGCACCCATGGATTCCCCTCTTCATCACGGTAGGTTCCTTGTCCGAGGTTCACTTATTGTGGGAATGGATCTGCTTGGTATTGTGCTGTTAACGCGAAAATCGCCTCAGGTGGGATAAATTGTGCTTGGTCGAAGAAAGATTGACGATTAGAAGTTTCTGTTTCCTGAGATCCCATTATCAAATATTATGAGAAGCTATTTTTGGGGTACCAGAAGAAATCATTTTTTCTATCTATCGCATGCCGTGAGGGGCAACACGAAATTAGAAGCGAGATCGTGGAGATAGCTCGGTGTGGAAGGCCGACGACGGGAAATCGTACATTCAACTCCAAGTGGGTTGATACATGATCCTAATGGCTATATTTCAACGTCGGATGGTAAAGCCGAAGACGTGGGCTTCGAACCCACTCAACTGACTTGATACTCGGGACCCCGAGCCGAAATGACGCAGTACCTATCTAGCGCGGGGAAATTTTTGAGTAATAAATAATTGAAAGTCGCCTTGTCCATTTGCTAAAAACATTACCAAGATTCATTTTTCACCATGGGCTCTCACACCGTCTCAACTCAACCCCACGTCCCCCCGGCTGGTGTGTGGTGCCCTGCTGTCACCTTCTTCGATGGGACAGACTGCTTGGATCTGGAGGCACAATCACAGTACTTCGCCTACCTATCGCAGACTGGACTGGCAGGTCTCGTTATCCTCGGCACAAACTCCGAAGCATTCCTCCTCACGCGCGAAGAACGATCCCAGCTTATTTCCACTGCACGCGCCGCAGTCGGAGCCGACTTTCCCTTGATGGCCGGTGTAGGTGCTCATTCCACCAAGCAAGTGTTGGAGCTGGCCCAGGATGCGGCGATCGCTGGAGCCAACTACCTTCTTGTGCTTCCCCCGGCATACTTTGGCAAGGCCACCAACATGAATGTGGTCAAACGGTTCTTCTCCGAGATCGCAGCCAAGGCCCCTCTTCCAGTGGTCATGTACAATTTCCCAGGTGTGTGCAACGGTGTGGATATGGATTCGGAGACGATCGCGGCGGTAGTGCGTGAATCGGCTGCCGCTAACGCCGGTCGATCGAATGTGGTGGGCGTGAAGCTCACCTGTGGATCAGTTGGAAAAATAACCCGGCTGGCCGGGTATTTCTCTCCTGAAGAGTTTGCGACCTTTGGCGGACAATCTGACTTCCTTATTGGTGGACTCGCTGCTGGTAGCGTTGGGTGCATCGCCGCGTTTGCCAATGTATTCCCGAAGACTACGGCGCGGATATATGCGTTATACCATAACGGTCAACTCGAGGAAGCTACTAAGCTTCAAAGGCAAGCTGCTCTTGCTGAAAGCGCTATCAAGAGTGGAATTGCATCTACCAAATACGCTGTCTCTTGTTACTCTGCGTCAGCGGCAGGTATAGCGGGCGCTGAGGCTAAGCTTGTGCCCCGTCATCCGTATGAGCCAGTAGGTGAGGCAGTGAAGAAGTCCGTAATCAGTGTCATGGCAGAGGTTGCAAACATCGAACAAAGCTTGTAATGGAATCAAATGTGAAATTTACCCCTCTATCACTTACTCCGCGGACTTCTTCAACATACTCGAAACCCCTGGCCCTCGACTTTTTCTCCCCTTCCGAGGGCAACTTCTTTTCTCCTTTCTTTTCTTTCTACTCCGCTATGTTTAAAAGACCCTTTGAATATTTAGCGAATTCGGTAGGAAAGAAGGTAGGGTACCAGGTTGGCACACAACTAGGCACTTTAGTAGGTTAGTCTCTGATGTAAGGAATATTGACTTGAATATGATAGGTGGTAATTGAGACAGTAAGGCAAATCCAACATATCATTCGAGGCCGCTAGATACATACAGTCTTATATTATAAGTAATTGTAATTGCAACTTCATCTAGGTAGTCGCAGCTTCCTTCATTCATAAAATTTCTTTTTCTTCCACACCTCTTCTCTTTCGCCCCCTTCACCATCCTTACCACCAGCCTCTCTCTACTACCCTCACTATTCATCTCTTCTTATACAAATCTTCATCGAGGAAATCAAACTTTTTCAGTATTCAATATTGAAGTAAAAGCACCACTGAATAACATGATTTAAGACCTAGTCACCATTTCTACCCCTTCAGCAGCATCACCGGTGACTCCATCATCCGCGATCTCAAGCCACATCCCAACCAAGATCCCAATACCGAAAACAGAAGCAGTACGATCTGCCTACAATGAAGGCCGATATCCGATATCCAGAGAGTGGTAGATGCGCGATGCAACATCTACGCCATAATTTGGCGTTATTATTATGGGAGTCGGATGATACGGATGCAAAGATGATGTTTCATTCCTATCAACATTGCTTACGGATGAATTTGGAATATGATCGACTCTATGCTGTTGACTCAAATCCGATAGGACCCCAGCCTGGACAGCACGCAAGTGAGATTCACAAGCTACTTGCAATTAATAACACTCCAACCACTACCACGAAGAAAATGCTGTTCATTGTTTACTATGTTGGACATGCAATACAGCATTCCTTTAAGGAGCTTGTGTTTCACTCTGGTGGTCTGAAAGATCTGCCACGGAGGGATATTCGGTATGAGCTGTTCCATAACCATTCAGCGCTGAAACTTGTCGACGCTCTTGCGATTTTGGATTGTTGCTATGCGGGGACGGCGAGATCTGGATCAACAAGCTAAATAAAGATTCTAGCCGCCTAGGCCCTTCTGAACATGCCCGATCCCGAGCTGCGGGCGCATCATCGATCATTAGTCTCGTGGCAGCTCTCTGATCACTTCGCAGGCAAGACATGTCCATAATCGCCATTTCCGCCATCTGGGCAGAAATCGAACGACAGAAGCCAAGTACAAGCACCCTAACATCACGTTTGACTGTCTTGGGTGGGTTATACCAAATCGCCCTACCCTTCATGAAGGGTATGGTTATGTCACCCACCTGTCGCATGAAAGCACTGTCCGCGACAGGCATATCCCACTGAGCCTGACTATGGATGGACACTGTCAGCATTCAATATCCCGGTGGATGACTGTTTGGCTTGTATCAAAAAAATCTTCTCCGATTGGTGGAGAATATGTATGATCTGTCAGCAAACTAGCGTCAAGTGGCTTGGGAACGATCAATCAGAAAGGTGAAAACTAGCGCCTGTTTATGCGGAAAATATGGCCTATGCAGTCTATGACACCCGTGGACCAAGTGTGCATTGCAATGGCTTGCGCGTTAATCAGAATAAGCGCTACCGGCTGTGTGAATAGCCGGTTTACCGTCAAGTGCTATGGGTTAAGCCTCACCAAATCTGCGATGTATTGAAAGGTTATAGTCTAAAAAAATCCCCTTTAATGGCTGCTTTAAGCATTCATAACCAAGTCAAAATCCTAAAAGCCTTATTTGTTGATCGTAAGTCAAAATTCAACTGCAGAACAAGACTAATGCATGACAAGGATAATCCCGACGACTCGGTCATGCATGGCAAGGACCGTTTATGACAAGGATTGGATTTTATTCCCCTCTTTGGATTCGAGTGGAACTGGACATTAATAATAACCGAGGTTCTTCCGGATTTCGCTGTTCTACAAACTCCATGGAAAAATCTACTTTGATTTTGAAGAGCCTCGGCAAGTGGGAATAACCCGAACAGCAAATCTTATCAGGAAGCCGATAAAAAGAAGAATTCTAGTTCGGGCCGATTGATTGGACCGAGACTCGGTGATCTCCGAATTTCTATAAAATCTTTCCTCTTTAACCAATCGCCATTTTTTATTCGATCCACTATGGATCTATTAACCCGTAGCTTGATCCACTATGAAAATATCACTGGCCCTAAAGTAGTAAGTTCTCCGCTCTAGTTGAGTAATCCTAGTCTAAAAGAACTGTTTCACCTCGGCTTAAATTATGGCCTGGCTCAAGGCTTATGGGGGGTTTTTTCGCTTTTCTTTCTTCTTTATTGTAACCTAATTTCTCGGCAGAGTTTGGATTTTCCTCCTCAACATCGAACTCTATATAGAAGCCGATCATTTTGGTTCAATATATCCCGGACCCCACCTGCTTCGGTACATACACTCAAACTGCTTCTACTATGGCAACAGAGGCACCTCCCGTTGAGGGCAAGGCCTCATTGAACCTACCAAACTCGGTTCCTTTCTGGCGACTCGTCACTCAGCCTGGAGTGGTTACCCAACAGGTGGTGGACCATATCTATGAAGGATCAGGGACGGAAGATGATCCATTTGTGGTAAATTGGATGCCCAAGGACTTTCGAAACCCGCTTCAACTAAGCAATCCAATGAAATGGTCAATCACTATGGTCGCCGCCATGGAGACCCTGGTTGTTGCCTTGGTCTCATCCGCCTACACTGGTGGTATTGTGCAAATTGAGGAACAGTTCATGACAACCACCGAGATTGCAACATTAGGTGTTTCCCTCTATGTGCTAGGCTTTGCTTTGGGTCCATTACTCTGGGCTCCAATGAGTGAGATGTTTGGTCGCCAGGCTGTCTTCATCACTACATACTGTGGCTTGACCATCTTCTGTGCCGCCACAACAGGTGCAAAGAACATCCAGTCTCTCATCGTCTTTCGTTTCCTAGCTGGAGCATTCGGCTCATCCCCCTTCACCAACTCTGGTGGTGTGATTGCGGATATGTTTGCTGCTCGAGAGCGTGGCTTGGCACTATCTGCATTTGCATTAGCTCCTTTCCTCGGCCCGGTCATCGGTCCTATCATTGGTGGATTTTTGGGTATGGAGGCCGGATGGAAATGGGTCATGGGCCTATTGACCATTCTGTGTGGTGTGATGTGGTTCCTCGGCGCGGCCCTCAAGCCCGAGACATACGCCCCAGTGCTTCTCCGTCAACGTGCAATCACTCTCTCTAAGCTGACTGGCCAAGTTTATCTCAGCAAGCTCGACATTGATCAAGGACGGCCAGACCTAAAAGAGTCTCTCAAGATCTCGCTCTCCCGTCCCTTTGTTCTGCTCTTCAAAGAGCCCATCGTTCTTATTCTGTCCATCTATCTCGCTATCATCTACGGAACACTTTACATGCTCTTCGGCGCATACCCGATCGTTTACGAAATCCACCGAGGATGGAACCAGGGTGTCTCCAGTCTGGCGTTCCTAGGAGTTATGGTGGGCATGCTATGTGCAATCGCCTACTCAATCCCCGAGAATAACCGCTATGGACGCCTCTTGGAGAAGAACGGGGGCTATTGCCCACCTGAGGCTCGTCTCCCCGCATGCATGGTCGCCTCCATTGCCTTGCCCGTCGGTCTTTTCTGGTTCGCGTGGACCGACTCCCCCTCAATCCACTGGATGGCCAGTATCGCTGCAGGTGTGCCCTTCGGATTCGGCATGGTCCTCGTTTTCTTATGTGTGTTCAACTACCTGATCGACGCCTACACGATCTTCGCTGCCTCCGTTCTCGCCGCCAACTCCCTATTGCGTTCGCTGTTCGGCTTTGCCTTCCCTCTCTTCACCACCTACATGTTCAACAACCTTGGTATCCACTGGGCTGCCAGTATCCCAGCCTTCCTCGCCCTGGCATGTGTGCCCTTCCCTTTCATTCTCTACAAGAAGGGTCTTGCCATCCGCAAACACTGCAAATACTCTGCGCAATCCGAGGCATTCGTTCAAAATTATATCAAAACCATGGCCCACGCTCAGGCAGCTGCAGGCGACATGGAAGAATCCGTGACTCGCGTCCCAACTGCAACTGAAGTCGACGAGACCCTCCAATCCGCTGCTCACAAAGAGGGCGATGCCGAGATTCATTCTCTCAGTCGCGCCTTATCTCACACTTCTACTACTCGCATGTCAACGGAAATGCACCGGGTTCCCACTTATGAGGCGAACCCATACGATATCGACCGCATCCACACCCGTGAATCATTCAAATAGACCTTTCCTTTGGCGCTTGTCTTGAGAACTCAGTTTTGATCATCTCCTATATCCAATGCATGTCAGGAGTTCCTATGTCGGGTTTGCATATAGATTATCTTAGTTATTTTAATGTTAATAATGTCAAACATTTCAGAGCAATGTACACCCAATTCCAGTGGTATTCAAGGTTAGTCTAGGCTTCTCATTGCATGGAATTGAGCAGTCTACAAGTGTTCAAGTATGGTTCAACTACTTAGGTATTTATAGCGGCGCGTTCCTCTATTACACAATTCACGAACAAGCTTATAATCACACATGAAAATAGGACCTATGAATTACCTGATTCGCGTGACTGCCTAACTGACGATCCTCAAAACAGTTACTGGAGATAGAGTGACAAAAAGAGTATAAATGTATTGTATTCAATCTACATTTCGTGATTTATGAAAAATTTATTGTGATATCGATATATCGCAACCTTGGAATCCGTGCACACACAATATTGGGAGAACTTCCAGAGCTCAAAGCCAACTCAAGAATAGAATAAAATAAAAAAAGGGTATCAGAACCTCGACGTGTTGTGAATATTCAATGCACACCATTGGCGATCCCATTAGCGTGTCCGTTAGCGCACCCATTGGAGAGGCTGTTCTTGCGACCATCGACGCCGTTGATCTTGGCAAGGGGAACACCTGGAGGGATACCATCAACAGAGATATTACTCATTTTCCGGGGAACAGCCGTCCAAACAGAACCATCGTCCAGTAACTCTTGTCCAGCGGCGAGAGATTTGGATGGCTCTACACCCAACCATTGAGCCTCGAGCCGCTCGATGTTCTGCTCAATCTCCCAGGCGCGTCCACCTTCGATGAACATGGATTCACCATTGAGAGATAAATCAGCCAGCATACCCGCGGCAACATAGGAGACGTCGCGTGGGGTATTAGTTGGGAGGCTAGCTTCCTTCCACTGATGCTTGATCTTTTTAATACTGTCGGTCTCGGTCATCCATGGGCAGATGGTGTTGATTCGGATGTTGTGCTTGTATGGAGATGAGATGTAGCTGCGCAGTGAGCGCATAAGACCTACTACGCCGTGCTTGGATGCCTGGTAAACGAACAGAGAGGGGCTCTGCTTGAACCCGGAGGAGCATGAAAAGAGAACGATGGATCGATCGGCGCCGGGGCCACGATTATGGCGCAGGTAGACCGAGGCGATACGGGCCACGTACATGGATCCAATGAGGTTGACATCCAGCACTTTGTGGGTCGGAGTCTTGGGTCTTTAGTCTTTTTTTTTTGCACTTCGCCCTACGAATGAAAGCACTTACCTGGCGGACTGTCTGCAGAGTTAATCCGAAATCGAACCAATTACCGATTTCTATAATTCCCGCTGCAGAGACGACATGGTCAATGCGCTTGTAGGTATTGAAGGCCAAATCGAATAAGCCGAGCACTGATTGGTAGTTGGTGACATCAGTCGACTGGAAGATCGCCCGTGGGGTCTGGCCTGGCTCCTCCGTGGGAAATTGGGCAAGAGCCTTTCTCAGTAAGCGCTCGCCTTCAATGTTGTCGAGGTCACCAAAGCAAACATTGGCACCACTTTCCAAACATTGAAATACGAGACTCGCGCCGATCCCGTTAGCGCCACCTGTTGAAGTTAAGATTGTGTGAGCTGGCTGGGGATAAAATGATTCCCACATACCGGTGATAAGAATGATCTTATCCGAAAGGGATTGGGCGGAAACCTGGGGAATGTACTGCGACATCTGGGCGGGGTGAGTGGATTCGGAAAGCTGGAAAGGTTGTGGGTCAGATCGAGATACAATGTATATTTATTGGAATTATAATCAAAATTCTAGAATCGCGACAATGAATTGATCGGGGTCGTTAGGGTGGTGAATGGCACACTTATATAGATGTGAATATGATCCCTTTCCGGCAAGAAATGTCTCACGGGGCTATTGGATATTCAGAACCGGTTAGGATGATGACGAAATGGCGGCATCATATCATGGGCCGCGCCGCGTCCACCATCCAGCCTCGTCCGTGAGACGACGCGTTTGGGAAGGGACAGTGGGTCGAGTCTAGGGAAGTCTATGTAATGTATCCGAAGAGCTTCAAGATCGAATCAGCGTGAAAGGTAGGTAGCCCGACACAGAACGATAAGAACCCTGGTTACTCCATAACCGATGCGGGGAACGGGCGAATGACGATGATCTGCAGGTAGAGTTGAACGCTCTAAGTGGACCGTGCATGAGGGCGCGCCACAGGCACATCTATTTAGGTTTGGTCCAGTGCCGCTGCCGCTGGCCCAGATTGAATTCCCTAATGCAGTTTGTAAGGGAATGCGGAAGTCGCAGCGGTTTTCATTGGTTGGATTGATTTGGCTTCACATCCTTTGGGTGTATTCGGATTGCTGTCCTCCGCTCATTGTGGTAATGTTCCATTGCAACGCTCGAGCACACAGGAGGCTAATACTGCGTATGGGAAATTTTGGCAGTACTATGTTATTGAGGTTAAAATTATATGTTGGTTGGAAATGATAAAACTGTGTTTTCCTGGGTCCCCAGTGGCTATTGATCAACAATACTCCCTTGTATCAACCAAATCACGCTTGTGGTCAGGTCAAAGTTGTTCCAAAGTGGAGAAGTGCAGAGGGAATAGATTTTAGAACTGTGCAGGGAAAATTAAGCAGATTGTGAAAACCAATACAAAGAACATTGCCAATGAAGATCATTTCCCCAAGGGAATCATACATGGATCGGCCATGATCCAGCCCGCCAAAAGATGCCGTCCCTGTAGAGGGGAAGAAAAAAGATCCAAACCATCTATCCAAGCTTTCAAAAACACAACTCGTCCCCTAAATATCAGTACAAACCGCAACTCGGACAATGGTATATACAGAACGGAAAAGATCCGAGTCTACTGTTCTAGCGACGGGAGACACAGCAAAGAATTCCGGACTTGCCAAGGAACCAAACAGATCCGATGAACCGGAAGAGCGACAAGCCTGCGGTGGTCCACAGAACGAACGAGAAGTAACCGGCTGTCCGCGTCGTCGACGTGTTCTGATCAAATAGTGGGTCAGTGGGATGGAAAATCTGGGGGATGCGTAGAAACATACGGTTAGACAGAAACGATCGACACCGGTCGCGGTGATGAGAAGCACCACAATCAAGTTGCTGAAGATCCAGATAAGAACGAGGTTGGTTCGGAAGGCCTTGTACGAGTCATCCATGCTCTTCTCGTTCTCCTCTTCCGGTGGAACGAACGGCGCCAGCGCACGCTTGACAGTGGCCTCGAATTGGCTATCAATATCGGCCTGCGGTTTGTCAACTTCTTCGATGAAGTTGGACTTGTCGTCCTCTTTCTCCTTCTTGGTTTGCGCCACGGGCAGCGCCTCGCTCTTATCAGATCCCTTGGTACCCCAGGAGACGTCGTGCCAGTTACAGAAGGCGTAAACCATGAGGATGTTAATCGAGCACGTCATTCCAGTGAAGTAGGCCCAAGAGGATGTGAACATGTGGTAGGGATCCATGTACAAGAAACTGGCAACAAAGTAGACACCGTATGTCGAGACCAAGGCAATCAGGACAATACCGGCACCGGAAGAGCTGAAGAAGGTTTTGAGGAAGGTGCCAACACCTTGGCTCGTATCGAAATCAAGGGTGCCTCCCATGAAGGCATTGGCAACCAGATAGAACGAGTTTACCATAATGTACGTTTGAACCAGGGAGAAGTACATGAAGGAGAGGGTGTAGAAAAGGGTAGAACTATGAAGGTTAACATGAGGTTGTCCAAAGGATACTTGAGAATCTTACCCTTTAGGCCGATTACCAAGCGCCAAAATGAACTGGAGCATTAGGAAGAAAACATAGCCGTATTTCAAGAAATTGTTCACGATAGGCGAAGCTTCATTACCAAATGGCCATCCCTTGTGCTTATTCGAATCACTCGGCGTACCGACAAGATCCAGAATAACAGATGTAGTCAACCAAAATGAAGCTATCCACGTGGTAATTAGCGAAGTTCGAGTTAGGTGATAGGTGGGCCTTACCGAGAGAGAACCAGGTCATGATGAGACCCACAACTTGGTAGAGAAACTGAATGTGAAGGAAGAACAAGCGGAGAATGTTATGTCCACTCTTGTAGATACGAGTGAAATGCATGATAGCATACAGACTGGCGGCAAAGGAACCGTTTAACCAACGACGTCTCTGACCGATGAATTCAGCAACACCCTCCGGCACATCAGTCTCACCCTTAGAGGCCTTGACATAGGTCAGATGCCACTTAAATCCGGCCTTGGCGACAAGTTCGAAACACAGAATACGATCCTCAGCAAGGAACATGTTCTTTTTGAAGATGTTCATGCCTTCGATACCCTTCTTTCCAAGCTGTTTTGAAAGGGTATGATCACCATGGAAGTACTGTTCGAGGGGACGACCCATGATGGCGCGATAACGGTAAGCGGAGAAGGCACCGGGCAACACAGTGACGTATCCAAAGGAGCTCTCGAGCGGTTTATCAAGAATATTGGAGATCTTGTACTCGAAATTCTGTGCCGCGACCAAAGGATTTATCAAATTCCGCCAGCCCTTACCTAACATGGCGTGAATTTCACCACAGGAACCACCCAGATTCTTGTCATTGTAAAACGACTCCCATAGAGCGAGAAGTGACTTCTTACCAGGCTTGGTACCGGCATCAAGGAGAATCACTACCTCAGGGTTGAGGATACGACAAAAGCCGTTGAACAGCCAACGATGGGAGTTAATCTTCTTGCTGTTCTTTTGCTTCAGGCAGAAAATCATCTGGACTGGGGGAAGGTTGGTTGATTCGTTACCCTGGGGACGGATCAATTGCTGGTTCGCAGTGACCGAGAGTTGAGTGGTATATTCGAACTAAAGAGGATTAGCACCGCATCTAATTTGAGATGATTGGGTACAACTCACGATGTGGGCAATTGTTTCACGTCCGTCCACGGACCGCTTCATGATGCCATCCTGGTAGATACCAACCGTGGCCAGCAAATCTAGGGTGTTCTTGTCGCAAGGATCGATACCGTCAAACACCAAGGTGACAACAATTTTCTGCCAGGCCGGGCCACCCTTGTTCCAGAATTCCGACTTCTTCAACGTCACAATTTCACGGATATTTTGCATAACACCATGCAGTGTGCGGGCTGTGAGGACCTTGTCTTCGTTGTAGTAGGTGATGGCAATCAGCAGCTCCGTGTGTCGGTTGTACATGGCAGGTCGCAGATTGTATCCGTTTCGCAGCGTGAACTCGTCGGGATCGCAGGTGGCAGCGGTGTCTGTCTCTCGATTAGTCTCCATTGAGGGAAAAGGGGTTGATCGCACTCACATCGGAGATGTGAGAACTCCTCGGGGAATCCCTCCTCAGATTCCCGGTACTCCTTCTGGATGGCATTTTGAATCGCACTGGGCACTGGGTAGTCCACGCTCAGCACGGAGCCCTGCACCAGCTTGATCTTTCGAGTGGCATAACGGCGCAGACCGCCACCAGGAGCCTGGCGTTGTTGCCATGCCTCTGACGGCGTCTCGGACATGGGGGATTGAACGGCCGAGTGGCGGCTGTACCCAGTCGTCGAACCTTCTTGGTATGAACCTTCCTGCTGGTATGCACTTTCCTGCTGGTATGGGCCATCGGGGAAAGCGGTTACGTTGGCGCCCGTATCATGGAGGGTATAGCGTCGGAGGGAGTCAGTCGAGGCATAGGGGTCGTCAAAGGGGGCATTGAAGGGACTCGGCTGGTTGCGGTAGAGGAGGGATTGCTGGCTCTCTGCCTGTTCGTTCTTTTCTTCGTAGCCGTAGCCATGCTACAACCCCGTATCAGCATGAACTCAAGAATCTTCCCCCCTTTTCCCACCTAGGATCGATATTGACTCACATCACGAGGAACATTGTGGTCATATAGGCTACTTTCACTTGCCTGTGGCGAGTGTGGTGAATGGGTGGAATGAGGTGAACGCGGAGAAGTCGGCATATGGGAACCCATGATGTCCAGCTCCCCAGCAATTGAGCTTGCTAAGAGATAAGGATAAGTTGGGAAGCAAACTCAAACCCAAAGTGTCGTACTTTTAGCACGAGGGGGTGTAGGAAAGAAGAAAAATCCCCAAGTATCATGCGCTAAGCACGGAGAACAAAGCCAGATCTCCTGGAATCGCGTAGCCTTATGGAGATCGTTTGGGGCGATCGCAAAAGGGGAATAAGGGGAAAAATAAAAAAATAAAAATAACAATAACAATAAAAATCACAGTTCAATGGAGGGAAAGATGGTCGATCAGAACATGCTAAAGATAGAGAGATTCTGGAAGGGCTGCAAGCATGCAAAGATATTTTTGGCTACAGCAAATTTTGATTGGAGGCGCAGACGACATCGGTCCAAGGGCGATGAGCCTACTCCGTACTCTAGTAGTGGAGAGTTCTCATTCATCGCCTTCCGCCATTTGTTAGTAATTCGTTCATGGCTCCACCGATATGGATCCCTCCAAGACAAAATTCCCCTGGCGCAGTTTCACGCCACACCAGAGTATGGTCCATTGGAAGTCGATTGATCCATTAAATTGATCCAGTATGTACATTGCTAGGGAGTACTGTACCGCGGATGAGACTTGAAACTTGGGTCTTCCAGTTGCGAGTGCACGTAATCTAACTCGTCCAGAATGAGGAAGATGGCGGGGCAACGACGCAACGAAGTCTCATTGGACAAGCTAAGGGACCCTCTCGATCCGCCAATTTTGTTCATCCCTTTTTTTTTTTAAGAATCGGGTCCAGGGTCCTTCGACCACTTTGAACCCTTTCGGCTCTCTATAACAATAGTGAGCGGATCAGATCACCATCTTGTCAAGCACATACGCGCTCACAAGGTGGCGGTGGCGTATGTACAAGTGCTGCAGCTGAAACACAAAATCTTTCAGGGGGGGGGGGGGACCCACTGATCACGTGGTTGGTCTCCCTAGGCAGCCAGGAAATATGGAATGTTATTATACTACGGGCTAAGTACGGAGTAACTCCGTAGAACCTAGTTCTCAATTCTAACCCAGACCAAGTCCACGTTCATACCTAGTACAAAATACAATCGAGAACCTAATGTTACGCACACTTATTGTCCACGCAAACATCACTCTACAACATGCTCTTAGCACTTTGCTATAGTAAAAGCCCAATTGTGCGCCTAATACATATATATTGAGTTCAAACATCAGGAAAATTGGCATTCATGATTTCTCTTCTCTCTTAGAACGCTTCAGCAGACCACTGTCCTCAGCTCCAGCCTAACCCAGCCTTCAACGTTGGGACACTTTGCTACTCCGTAGGCATACCTATATTATCCACATAGGTATTCCGAACTTATGCAGAATAATTACAAATTGCTGAACCCTTTCAAGTAGATTATTCTATTCGATATCACTTCTATGTATATACTTCCATCTTGCACGAAAAGGATCTTGTAAATGTTAGCAATGCCCGGAATCTTTGCATAGACAAAAGTAATATGCTGGGTGATTCACGGGCAGTGAAATCTATCAGCACACGTCAATATCAACCCGCATGTATACAAGGTTGTGGCTATTCCAAGTGGCCACTCGTGTAACACGTCGTGTGCCCCGGCTAAATGCCCCCAATACCAGATGCAGCCACCTTACCAAGCGGCGTTCCTAGCAGTCCCTGGTACTCATCTGTATTGTGCTCCCACAACTGCACACCGGGGTACTCCTCAGTGAACCAGGGGTCCGCATCCTCACCGTACAAGTTCGGCCCAACAAATGCTACTGTTTCGGGGTAAATGATATCGACAACAAAGATATGTTTCAGACCTTGGATATCGAACCTTTTTGCATACACCGCCTGAGCCACTTGTGAAATATGCAGATGGTTGGAAGTCCGTACAATATCCTCAAGGATTATCAAGCCGGGTCCAATGCACCCTTTCCATAGGAAACCTCCGGCCATGGTGGCCGGCCTGGAAATCGTACAGTTGTGGTATAGAGCAATCTCCGTTGGTAGACCTAATTGGGAGATCGGATCTATGCAAGTTGCATCTAGACCATTACCAGTATGACGGACAATGTACCTCCGAGACTCGAGATCTTGATATGTTAGCTCCGATCTGGTGACTTTGCTTAAGACACGGGGATCATCAAGCTCGTTTTGTTTATGACAGCCAGCCTTTTGTAGTTTACCATACTTCCACGTTCTTGTCGAGTCCATGGTGGAATGAGAAGAGGGAATACCCACTTGAATGTTTCAATATCCCAAGCTTTCGAGGTTGATTTCAAGGTTGGATCGTTGAGGCTTAAGGATGAATCATGAAGTCAATTATCGAGGTCGTTGGCCGCTTATATATGTGTTGTGATCGAATCTAGAGCAATGAAAAGGCCTGCTTTCATCATAGAAACAAGAACCAAAGGCATTGTCATTCTTTAATATCAACAAAAAATTGAAAATACATCCAAGACTAGACACTTTCAATAAACCACCAGTTTACACGAATCACATTTGAAAGATCCATATGAACATTGAAAGTTGTGCCTGGTGTGAAATAATCAATATAAAGAGAGTACAGCCTCGAACAAAGATGTCCATTTGTCAATGCCCAGGACATCCCAAGATCCCTGGGACTAATTATTGTTTTAAGCATCAAATGAAATAATATTTAGAAAGCCACACGTGCAAGTCAACGTGACTTGACTCTGTACTTTGTACTTCGTATGCATGCGGGGTATCGGCCCGACAGATAAGCTGGAGATAAGGTGGACCCCGGATAAGCATCGTCTGCCCTAATACTGAATTTTCCTCCTGAAACTCACTCAGAAATGGTTCATGGGAGAAGAATATCGCGGTCGCAAGATCCATCATCCAGGCGGTCAATTGTAGCGTAGGTTGATCCGTTAAACGTCGCAAACGAGAATGCTGACCCATGAAGATGCAATCGATGCCGCAAACGCAAGACGCGGTGTACCGGAACTCCACCTCTCCCTTGCGCAACTTGCGTAGATATGGGCCATGCATGTGTTTATTCAGAAGCTGAAAAGCGTGTATCTATTACAGAAAGGTGAATGAGATCTTACCGCGGTCGAAATAGTTGACTAATCACACTATGTAACTAGTCACTATCGGCATCTGCAGTTGCGAGCTCGAACCCCCGGTTGGTAGAAATCCACTGTAGCATAAGAATCATCTCTGACCCCATGGTATAGCCAACAACCAACAGACCCCATCAAGTTTGCCTTCAAGTGTTCCAGCTATCTCCACAGCCACCCGTTACCCAGAGAGTGACCCACCCATAGAACGGGACGACTGGTGGTATAAAGGAACTGATAATCTCTTCTTGAATCGGTCGGGGGAACATCGTATGTACTGATCTGTCCTTTGGGTTCGGCTATTTCGTTAAAGTATGGAACAGAATTCGTGGGAGCATCCTCAACCACTCATTTCATTTCTCGGGTGGCTGGGGGAGTTCGTCCAAGTTCGACGAACCTGTGGGATACCCACCCACTTTACAACCCTTCATCCCTAAGACGACCTGCAGAAAGTGCTCTTCCACCTTTACCTCCAATTGAATTTGCTAAACGACTCTATTGGGTGCAATACGCCTATATCGGTACCATTTTCTCGCTGATTCAGCCAGTTCAATTCGAGGAAAGGCTTGATCTTGTGTACCACAGACCACCCGACTTCTCTCACCGGGAATCATGCCTGGTGTACTGTCAAACTCTGCTTGTCATTGCATTTGGACTGCTTTATTCCGTCAACCAGTGGTCCGATGATGATGGGCCACCAGGATTCAAATATTTTAAACATGCTTTGCGGTTTTTGCCTGATATCCACGAAGACCCATCAATACTTCATTTGGAAGTATTATGCTACATTGCTTGCTATCTGCAGAGCTTGAATCGCAGAGATGCTGCCTTTCTTTATGTGGGCACCCCTCAATCCGCGCTTGCAATTAGAACTTGACTAACAGTACTAGATCGGACTTGCCTTGCGTATGGCTATATCCCTTGGACTTCACCAAGAGGTATCTCATGAAAATATCAGCGAAGCCGATCGAAATCGGAGAAGACGGGCCTGGTGGTCGGTCTATAGCCTAGACAGGTTACTGTCGGTCAAATCTGGGAACCCAATAACCATTCAAGACCAGGATATCGATATTAAATGGCCATCAACGTCGGTATGTATATCCATTCCTATCTCACAGCGACACACTGATGCTATCTCGTCAGGACACCTCTGATCCATGGCCATCCATTGTCTTGACACATTATACACAACTCTCTCGTATACTAGGGAGGATTGGCGAGGGTGAAATTTCCCCCTCATATGTGAATTGTCTTCTTCTGACCTATGTAAAATTACAGAGATATACCGAAAGAAACCTCGATCGGGCTCAAATCTTATAATGTCGGTGCAAAGCATCACCAATGATCTCTCAGCCTGGCTTCGACAAGCTCCTGATGGTCTCCGCATCAATTTTGCCACTCTTGAAAACCACGTTAATCGCGAGACAGTATCAATCAACTTGCACTTTTATTCATGTGTCAACATGACCGTGCGCCCTCTCGTATTTTACGTCATTCAACGCCGCATTGATGCCGGGTTACTTGGAGGCACCGAAGACTGGAAGGAAGGCCTCGCACCGAACACAGTTGCAGTGATTGAGAACTGCATCACAGCCGCCCGTGCCACAACTGTGATCATGGATGCAGCTGCGAAACATAACCTCCTCGGTACGAAGGCTGACTATCAGTCACAGCACTTTGTCTGTCAGTGTTTATCATCGTACTGACCATTCTACAGCTACATACGGCTACCTTGATGGCGAATATGTATTTTCAGCGGCTCTTCTACTCGTTATGGTAAATGCCGTGTTCCCATACAACGAAGCCAATGCTCGTATGATGGAAATAGCCCTCAATCTACTTCGGGGTATGGCTGATCGAGGAAATACGTATTTATCTTCTCGCCACTCCTTGTTACTGGAACTGCGAGCAGCCATGGAGCCCAATTCCTCTATGAGTGTTACTGGTCACGTCAACTCCCCTGTGGGGGATCTAGATACACCCAGAAATACCCCCCCGAGTCCAGATCCACAGGAGGCCGATGCTCCTGTACCTGCAGAGGTCTGGCAGCATCCACCTGATCTATCTTCACTTCAGGATATCTCTTTCCAATTTGACATAAATGATGATTCTGCGCTATGGGAGGGTGCCTTAGATCGGATCGACATTGATATGGATACGGACTGGATTGAGAATACTCTGAGACGATAGGAATGTCACATGTAGAAATTGAAGCACAACATCTTTCTCTCAAGTACTACGAGAATAAATAAACTAAATATGGTTCAATCAATTATCTTTGAAGTCTAGCATACTCCGTAGAGTCTAGTCCAATACTGTTATCTTGGTCACGGGGGATACATCCGAAGCCCCACTTCCCCTCCTACTATCGGCCCGGTCGGGATCTCGTTCCCGATGCATGATTCCATATCAACTGTCAATGCCCACGATTTGATACCCATTACACTACACCTACATTAATTCACTATGGCCTCTTCCGGGAAAATAACAATTTCAATCGATAGAGGTGGCACGTTCACAGATGTTCACGCCATCGTGCCCGGCCGATCAGACATCATCTTGAAGCTCCTCTCAGTAGACCCCTCACATTATCAAGATGCGCCAACTGAGGGCATTCGCCAAATTCTCGAGCTCACCACAGGAAAGCCACACCCCCGTGGTCAACCCTTGAATCTGGAAGGTATCGGCTGCCTTCGAATGGGCACTACCGTTGCGACCAACGCTCTGTTGGAACGCACGGGCGCGAGGTCTGCCTTGTTTACGACCAAAGGATTCCGAGATCTGCTCAAAATTGGCGACCAATCTCGTCCTGCTATCTTTGATCTGACTATGGCGCGACCTGGAGTCCTACCAGAGAGCGTTGTCGAAGTCAATGAGCGCGTGATCCCTTGTCACCCAAATGCAAGCGCCGACTGCTTTCCTGGTGCTCGAATCGTTGAAGGTATCACCGGGGAGAAGTTCCGAGTGGTACAGGAATTAGACCTAGAGCACGTGCGATCTGAGCTCCAGCGACTCAAGGAGCAAGGATATCAGTCGCTATCGGTGGCGCTTCTGCATTCATTTGCCTACCCAGACCACGAACGCCAGATTGGTGAAATTGCTGAGCAGATGGGCTTCTCCGTGACATTGTCATCCAAGTTACAGCCTATGATAAGAGTAGTGCCTCGAGGCATGTCTGCTGCGGCCGATGCGTACCTCACTCCCGTTATCAAGACCTACATCGACTCCATCTCTTCAAGCTTCGAAGGTGGCTTAGAAAGCCAAGAGGATTGTCAATTTGAGTTTATGCAGTCTGATGGAGGCTTGGTAGACTTCCGAAATTTTAGTGGCCTGAAGGCCATTCTGTCAGGCCCCGCAGCTGGAGTGGTAGGATTTGCCGCGACAAGCTGGGACCCTGTCGAAAAGACCCCAGTGATCGGGTTCGACATGGGTGGCACTTCCACCGATGTATCTCGATTTGATGGTCGCTTGGAGCATGTTTTTGGATCTAAGGTGGCCGGTGTTCTGATCCAATCTCCCCAGCTTGACATCAACACAGTGGCTGCTGGTGGTGGCTCTATCCTTTCCTGGCGTAATGGCCTTTTCTATGTTGGCCCCGAATCGGCCAGTGCACACCCTGGCCCAGCCTGCTACCGAAAAGGTGGACCTTTGACCGTGACTGACGCCAATCTGTTCTTGGGTCGCTTGCTTCCCGAGTACTTTCCTCACATCTTCGGGCCCAATGAAGACCAACCCTTGGACACCGAGATTACAGCACAGAAGTTCCACGAACTCACAGAGAAGGTCAATGTTGAGCGGCGCCAGCTCTCTCAGCCAGAATTTACCCCAGAGGAGATTGCTCTTGGGTTTTTGAATGTGGCCGATGAGTCGATGGCTCGTCCGATTCGTAATCTCACTCAAGCTCGTGGCTTTGAAACTGCTTCGCACCACCTCGCTTGCTTTGGAGGAGCCGGTGGCCAGCATGCCTGCTCAGTTGCTGCTTCGCTGGGCATATCCCGCATTATTATTCACAAGTATTCTTCAGTGCTTTCGGCATATGGCTTGGCCCTTGCTGAAGTAGTCAAGGAATCACAGGAGCCAGTGTCCTCTGACTACATTTCAGCACAATCGACACTCCTTGATCGTCTTGACAGCATATCATCTGCTTCGACGGAGGAAATGCAAGCCCAAGGATTTTCCGCCAGTCAAGTGCGACACGAACAGTACCTTAACATGCGATACGAAGGTTCTGATACCAGTCTGATGATTCTGCGACCAGAAGACTCGACAGACTTCCTAGGCCAATTCAGGCAACGCCACCGTCGCGAATTTAACTTCAACTCCGAGCGACCGGTTCTTGTTGACGATATCCGTGTTCGCACTATCGCCTCAGCCAAGGTTCGCACAGAGCGTAGCCCACTGTTGCAACTGAAGGATGCTAGCATGAAGGATGTTTCAATTCCCCCAGCCTGCACCACTGCGGCCTACTTTGACGGCAACTCGACGCGGATTAATACACCGGTGTATTTGCTTGACCAATTAGAGAAACACAGTCGCATCACTGGTCCTGCGGTCATTATTGACCAGACACAAACAATTGTCGTTGCTCCCAACGCTGTTGCGAATCTCTTGGAAACTTGCATTGTCATTGACTTGCAAGACAAGGAAACTTCTCAGCCGGAACAGGCTGCATCGGAAATCGACCCCATCCGTCTCACCATTTTTGGACATCGGTTCATGTCCATCGCTGAACAAATGGGTCGGACGCTGCAGAAGACCTCGGTATCCACCAACATTAAAGAACGATTGGATTTCTCATGCGCCTTGTTTTCTCCCGACGGAGGACTTGTTGCCAATGCCCCTCACGTTCCTGTACACCTAGGATCAATGCAATTTGCCGTGCGCTACCAGCATGAGAAGTGGCTGGGCAATTTGAAAGATGGCGATGTGCTTGTAGCTAATCACCCCAGCTGCGGCGGGACTCACCTCCCGGACATTACTGTAAGAATCTTTTACCGCCACATCGAATCATACTAATATTGTACAGGTCATTACACCGGTATTTGATCGCCCAGGCGGCACCGAAATAATGTTTTATGTCGCCTCCCGCGGGCATCATGCCGATATTGGCGGTATTCTACCTGGGTCGATGCCACCGAAGTCTACTGAGCTTTGGCAGGAGGGTGCCGCCATCGAAGGCGACAAAATCGTCAGCAACGGCGTTCTGGATGAGGCACGTCTCATTGAACTGCTAGTTACGGGGCCCTCACATTACCCCGGTTGTTCCGGTGCACGATGCATCAGTGACAATCTTTCCGACCTCAAGGCTCAGATTGCAGCGAACAACCGTGGAATAACATTGATTCAGGGTCTCTTTGCCGAATATGGAGTGGAAACCGTGCAGAAGTACATGTATGCTATTCAGGCAACGGCTGAGACGGCCGTGCGGAATCTGCTCAAGGAATTGTATCAGAAGTTCGGCGGACAGCCGCTAGAAGCAGTGGATTACATGGATGATGGCACCCCAATCAGACTCAAGGTTACCATCAATGGATCCGATGGATCTGCCGTGTTTGACTTTGCAGGAACCGGTGCCCAGGTTGACGGCAACTGGAACGCACCCATTTCCATCACACACTCGGCCATCATCTATTGTCTGCGATGCATGATCAATGCGGAAATTCCGCTGAATCAAGGATGCTTGGCGCCAATTGACATCCAAGTGCCGTCGCCCAGCCTTTTGTCGCCCGGCAAGACCGCAGCTGTCGTAGGCGGCAACGTGCTCACGTCTCAACGGATTACAGACGTTGTCTTCAAAGCCTTCTCAGCCTGTGCGGCGTCCCAAGGCTGTTGCAATAACCTGACCTTCGGAAGCGATGCCAAGCTCGACGACAATGGTGCAGTGATCACTCCCGGATTCGGATACTATGAAACGATTGCCGGTGGCAGTGGAGCTGGACCGACTTGGAAAGGCGAATCGGGCGTTCAAGTTCACATGACCAACACGCGAATTACTGATCCAGAAATTCTGGAGAAACGGTATCCAACTATGCTTCGCCAGTTCACACTACGAGAGGGGTCAGGTGGTCGGGGTAAGAATCCCGGTGGTGAGGGCGTGGTTCGTGATATCGAGTTCCTTGCTCCCATGCAGTGCTCTATTTTGTCGGAGCGACGTGTTTACCAGCCATATGGGTTAGAAGGTGGCGAGGACGCCCAGTCTGGTCTCAATCAATGGATTACACGGGATGCTGAAACTGGCAAAGAACGCCAAGTTGATATTGGTGGCAAGAATACAGTCGCGGTGAACACGCATGACAGAGTGGTTATTATGACGGCTGGTGGTGGTGGATGGGGTGCTGTCTAGAATGCAGCTTCAGTGATATACATGTATACAGCTAGAGGATGACTATTTCCAATAAACCGCGGTGAGATTCCAGGATCTCATTGTTTACCTTGACAGCACTGAAATATCAAAGCTTTTAAAGTTAAGGTTGGCTGTGTCACGTCATTGTCCAGCCCTCTCCTACTCGGGTACTCTTGAGTGGCCAATCCTGACCAATTGGGTTAGTGTCTTAAGAGTACTGTATTTAGATAGAGTACTTTAGTCATCCGATCTACCCAGGATTCTACCCGCGATCAGCTGTGCTTTTGTACTCCGTAAAGATCCTTGGGATTCTTAAAGTTTCAGCTTTATGTTTAGGAACTTATCAAGTAAAAGTGTTTGAATTTCGGTAGAGCTCGGCTTATCTGATAAAGCTTGATCGGATCGACAAGGAACCACTCAATTTGCATGATCCACACATGTGCATGACGTTTTCCAATTCATTTTCAAATAGTCCGTAATTACTTTTCATAAGTGAGGGGCAACTCGTCTCTTACGTGGCGTGAGCGTAACTGCAACGCCTACCGACCCGTCCTTCTCACCGCCTACAGCTGCTCAATTTCACCCCCAAATGTATTGAGATTTCTGATTATTTATAGCACTATCATAGATGACAAATAGGTCATTGGATTTATAAGAAAGATCAGTAGGACTTCCCTCATCCATGGTTGGTGCTAGTAGTAGATATAAGTTGAAATCTCATTGGCAGTATAGCATGTGATAAGCCCCCCCCCATCTCCACATTTCCTAAGGTTTTTCGTTCTTTCATCAGCGCGAAGGCGCTTTTCAACAATGTTTTCAGTTATGCTCTGATTCTCAGGTTTTGGGTTAGCTGTGGTTGCTACTCTTTGCCAACCTATTAAAACCTCCCTCTTTCACTCATCTTCCTATTGCCAAAAAACAGCCTTGGGGCTGGAACCTACATATTGCTTAGCCAGCGATCATGGGGAAAATGGCACCTATCGTCTTTATTGTCAGGTTTGTCACTCCAGTCTATTCTATACCTTCAGCGCTGACCTCACCTTGCTAGACATGGCGCACGTCTCGACGCTGCCGACAAGGACTGGCATTTGACTTCCCCCACTCCCTACGACCCCCCGCTCTGCTACGGTGGTTGGAATCAGGCTCGGGCTTTGGGTGTGCGGATTGCAAGCCTCTTACAAGCACCTGAGTTTATAGGGACAAAGCCCGAGGAAGACGTCGACCAATCATTCTCCCCAGATGTTTTGACCAGTCCGCAGCCCGCAACTTCGGGTACACCCAACCGGTACAATGTGATAATCCATACCTCCCCCTACCTCCGATGCCTCCAGACCTCCATTGCCATCAGCACAGGTCTGAACCAGTCCCACCACACCGAAGACTCTGATGATTCCCCTGCAGATGTGGCGCGCCCAGACCTGCGGCCTTTGGTGCGCGTTGACGCGTTTTTGGGAGAATGGCTGTCTCCGGACTACTTTGCCCAAATCACACCCCCACCAAGCTCAGATCGGATGGTCGCTCTAGCGAAGGCAGAACTGCTACGTCGGGGTGAAATGCTCCCTTCGGTGCGGGAAGGGACTAGAGCATTGTCAGGCCATTTCCCAGGTGGCTGGGGAAGCCAGTCTCATCCGTCATCCCCGAATGAGGACCACAGCCAGCCTTCGAAGTCAGAAGGATCGACCGAAGGATATATTCACCGCCAACGTGCGAGTACCTGCGACATACCTGGTCCCGCCTTGGGCCGCCTGGACATCAACCGACCCACCAAGTCTAATTCCTCTTATGTGGCTCCGACCCCTGGCTATGCGGTTTCCCCCGCAGATCGCATCCCCTCTGGCTACGTCACCCATGCGCGGGACGCTTGTACCAAGATCGACTACCAGTGGGATAGCATGCGGACGCCCTATTGGGGCGCGGGCGGGGAGTACGGAGAAGAATGGAGCTCCATGCAAGAACGGGTCAGCGATAGTTTTCAACAGATGATGGATTGGTATCAACAGCCGGAGTCTAGTGTAACTCGATCCAGGTCTGCAACTAATGATGCGTTGCGCCAAGATCGCTCTGCCCAAACCGTTCTCATTATCGTCACTCACGGTGCGGGCTGCAATGCTTTGATCAACTCCTTGGCTGGTCACCCCGTTATTTTGGACATTGGTACCTCCTCAGTAACGTTGGCCGTGCCACGTAACCGTTTACCAGTCACCACCCCCGACTCCGCTCAGACAAGCAAATCTTTTGAACTGGCCGATCGGACGATCTCACACGAGTATACCTTACAGCTGGTGGCATCCACCGACCACCTACGACCAGGCACCAATCCCTCCCAACTAACCTCGCTCGCATCCCTCTCCGATCCCCAACCGCCACCACAAACCTTCCGCAACCGCCTCGGCTCTCGGACCCAGCCCCTTCAGGCACCGTTTCCTCTTGGTCCTATCTCAGGATCCGCGATGAGTCCTCAAGGATGGGCTTTTGCTTCGCGTCCCTCAACGTCGGATGTTCCTCGTAAATCTGGACTCTGGGGCACCACTTCGCCCATTGAGAATGCAGACGATGCGGATGACTTTGTTCCTAATTTCGGGGATCAACGGCCGGTGAGCCATGACTCTCCTCTTCCTGATGTACCCTTGGACCGAACTGGATGGACCAAAGAATTGCCGAAGCGAACTCTCTCCCAGCGGGGTCTATGGGGGAGTGCGCCGTCCCTGGAGGATCGCGATACAGCATCAAGACGACGATGGACGTTGGCGGAACAGAAGCTATGATCTAACGACCTTTGATTTCAAGGATACCTCTTTTGCATGGCGTCCGGTTTTAATGTTTTATGTACATAGTCTACTCCATAAAAATGCAAATCACCCAATCATGGTGACACCCAGACTACTTGACTGCCCCACCCAATCAACCTGACTAGTAGCTATTAAACCCCCTCTATCTCCATTATCGTTGCTTTGTTTCCTTCCTTTGACCGCTTCTTCTCTTTAACTTATTTTATCTTCTGTCATCATGTCGTCCATACACACTGACGGTCTTACCATAGTGCATTCCTCACATAACGACACTCCTGATCTACGTCTTATCCATTACAATGATGTTTATCACGTTGAGTATGGAATCGCCAACTAACCCCCTATATATGTGTCGTGCTAAATACTAAATTATTCCAAAGATCGGGATCGGCGGAACCAATTGGCGGGGTCGCTCGTTTCCAATCCCTGATGAACTATTACCGCGAAGATCCGCGGTTTACGGGCCAGTCGGATATCCTCACTCTCTTCTCGGGCGATGCATTTAACCCGAGTCTGGAGAGCTCCGTGACCAAGGGCAGGCATATGGTTCCGTTCCTCAACAATATTGGCACTGACGTGGCATGCGTGGGTGTGCGTATGACCTGTATCACCGGTTCCAACTTGTGCTGAAAACGGCTAACACGATCAGAATCATGATCTGGACTTTGGAGTAGCCCAGTTCCGTCATCTCGCAAGCCAATGCCACTTCCCCTGGCTTTTGGCCAACGTGTTGGACCCTGCTCTTGGAGACGGGGTTCCGATCGCCAATTGTGGGGCGACGTGCATGCTGACCTCGTCGAATGGCATCAAGATTGGTGTGATTGGCCTGGGTGAAAGAGAGTGGTGAGATCAAGCCCCCTGCGTGTCTTCATACTCTTCATGCTGACCCCTCTTAGGCTAGGAACAATCAACTCATTGCCCCCAAACCTTATCTACAAATCTGCCACCCAGACAGCCAAGGAGCTAGCACCACAACTCCGTGAACAAGGTGCAGAGATCATAGTCATTGTTTCTCACCAGCGTGAACCGAATGACAACAAATTAGCTACCAATCTACCTACAGGATTGGTTGATATCATCCTCGGAGGTCACGATCATTATTATGCACATGCCGTAATCAATGGCACCCATGTGCTGCGTTCTGGGACCGACTTTAAACAGTTGAGTTACATTGAAGCCTTCCGAAAGCCTAATGGTTCCCCGGGCTGGGATTTTAATATCACAAGGCGGGATGTCGTGCGATCTATTCCCGAGGCTCCGGCGACAGTCGCATTGGTTGATCGCCTAACGGCAAGTCTCAAGGCCAAGGTAGAGAAACCGATTGGGTATACCGTCACTTCGCTGGATGCTCGGTTCTCTACAGTGCGGCAACACGAATCAAATCTGGGCAATTTTGTTTGCGATTTAATGCGATCCTACCACTCGGCAGATGTTGCTTTGATGGCCGGTGGCACCATTAGAGGCGACCAAATCTACGCGCCGGGTGTCATACGCCTCAAGGACATTCTGAACTGTTTTCCGTTTGAAGACCCGGTGGTTCTTTTGCGAGTCAGCGGCCAGGCCTTGATGGAAGCTCTCGAAAATGGAGTTAGCACACTTCCTGCATTGGAAGGACGCTTCACCCAAGTGTCAAATATTTGCTTCGGATTTAAGTTGTCTCTTCCGCCGGGATCGCGCATCACATTCGCTAGGGTTGGGGGTAATCCGATTGAACCCGAGCGTCAGTACACCCTGGCAACGCGTGGGTACATGGCACGTGGAAAGGACGGGTTTTCCTCCTTAGTCCAGGCCGAGGAGTTAATCTGTGAAGAAAACGGAGTTTTGATCAGCACAATCTTGCGCCAGTACTTCTTGAGCTTGAAAGTTCTCAGCCGATGGAGGAATTTCAGTGAGAGTCTTCACCGGCACTGGGACTCCGTTCATCGCGATGCCTATAGAGAAGGCTGGATGAAGCCTCCTTCAGCTGCTGTGTCACCAGTATCAGAGAAGGCACCTAGCAATCGCTTGAACTCCCGACCAACTCTGTCAAGAACGGGCAAAGAGGCGCATTACTACGGACGCTTTCCACAGAAGGAATTGCAAAATACTGCCCAGGAGAGCGGTACCAACAGCGATGCCATGGACTCTGATTCAGACGAGGACCCTGATGTTCTTCCCTCCCCGGTCACCAATTACGTGACGCATCCAGCCTCATCCGCCGAGGACGAAGATCGTCGTCTCCTGCTGGCGCGCTGGGTAGTTGCCCGATGGACCCGGAAGGCCGGTGTGCGCTCGGCACTGAGTGAAATTGAGATTGAGACTCCTACATGGACATCTGGTATCTCGCCACGGGTCGAGGGTCGCATTGTTGAAGAATAAGGACAGTTTCTGATGGATCTATATGTTTTTTTTCGGTTTCATCATCTTTGGATCCAAGCAAAATTGGCACGACCTTTGATAATCTACGTCATCAATAGATATAAAATTCCTAGTCAAAATTAGAATCTCAATGATGAATGTACTAGTAACTTCATGAGGCTGCAGATGTAATATTCTTTCCTAGATACAAAGAGCATGTTTCGCATGGGGCCCGACTGACGTCATCCGTTCAAACCGGCAACTTGAATTCAATACAAAAATACATGATCTCTGTCTTTTCCCCTTTCACCATACGCAGTAATGGAGCGTCCAGGTGTGTCAAACCCTATCTTCATGTTCGATCTTCATGTTGATGAAAAATTTGCTAATTCAAAGTATAGTGGAAGAGATATCGACGGTTATCCGTCTTCTTACCCAGTCTATCCCCTCGTTGCAAGAAAAGGCCATCGAGCGATTCTTCACTAGCGATGCCTCATTCTATCATCCATTCTGTTTTGTTCCCAGCTTCGAAGGGAGTCGATGGTACGTGCTAAAAATCTTCCAATGGTACAAAATCATGTCGCCCCGGATTGAAATTGAAATACATTCCATTGGTGAGTCGGATCGTGCTCGCTCCTATCATATTATACTGAGTATTTGCAGCATTCGATGAGAAACAACTCAAACTCTACATTAATATGTCACAAATCTTCTCTATCTGGATTGTGCCATTCCATGTCGCACCGGTAACTCTTACAACGGTTCTTGATCTGACCACTGAGACTCGAAGTGATCAGGATCAGCCGTTGTATTACATCAAGAAGCAGGAAGATCTTTATCAGACCTCGGAGTTTATCAAATTCTTGTTACCGCACGTGGGGCACGCCCTGGCCTCGGCATGGCAACTGTTCGCAACGTGCTTCTGCATTCTCGGCGTTTTTGCTCTATTCCCAATGCTGTGGCTTGAGGAGAATGGTTACCTGCCTGGTCGAATTGCACAGGGTAATTTAGCTTACAGCATTGATCGCAAAGTTGAGGAGATTAAACAGAAGTGAATTTATGTTAGGATGCCTATCACATGCTTGCACAATTTTCAAGTCCGACATCCAGCAGATAACCAACTTTTACAAATATTATGTATTCCCTTGATAAAATCATACTGCTCTTAGGAAGACATGCTGCTAACTTCATAAGACCTCGACATATAATTCTAGTTGCAGTATGTATGAAAGACTGTAAGCTTGTACGCTAATCATGACTGCTATTCTCGAGGCTCTCTAGTTTAAACATATTTCCATAGCTCATTATCACAAATTGTGACTCCCTAAACTTATTCCTTCTTGTGTTGCTTCTGCAATTCCTCACGGAACCGTTCCTCTTGCTCCACAACCATCATTGGCAACGCACGCCCAATGCCGAACAGAACAAACAGAGCCCATTTCCATCTGAATGGGTTGACTGCTAGCACAAAAACGTACCAATAGATGAGTTCAGCATAGGTGAAAAAGTCAAAAGCGTTCGTAGGGGCAAATTGTTTCATGAACCGGGTAAAGTCGATCCAGGTCTTCATCTGTTGCTCGGTAGGTCGTGTGAGTGGATCAAACATGAACATCAGGAAAAAGCGGGTGTAGATGCCGATATGCATATTGCCGACAGTGCCGATTGCGTTGACGTATGTGCTATTGGTGGCGACGATAGACAGGTACTGAGGCTCAGGGGGAAACACCTGTAGGTACCAATTTGGTGGTCCAAACTGTTCGTCCTCAAGAATGGCGTCAGGTAGAAAATTGAGCGATGGACGCTTGAAACCAGTAGCCATCACAATAATATCACCCTCCACCAACCGCTCCTTGCCAGGGCCTCCTTTAGGAACCCCTTTAGCTCGGTGGTTAAACACGACACCGTTCTCCTCGGTTGAGACAATATCACCTCGTAACCAGTGGGCCTTGCCTGTGCGGATCTGCTCAAACAGCTCCGAGTTGGCCATAGGGGTCTGGGTGAAAATTCCCTCATCGGTCGGAGCGATATCTTGGAGGTCGCGATAGAAAAATTTGCGCAGGAGCCATTCCGGAATCCATGAGAGCGGTGTTTCTTGACCGAAAATGTTGCATGCAAGCAATGACTGGACCAACATGTTTCGAGGGATAATCCATTTATCAGATCGCGAGAGCACGTCGATCTCAGCTGCACCTGATTTGACGGCAAATTCAAGGGCCTCGATCGCACTGGCTCCACCACCGACGATCAGAACCTTTTTTCCCTTGGCATTCTTGCCGTCAAGGTTGGAGGAATGGCAGATCTGACCTTTGAACTTTTCTTGATCAGGAAGGGTCGGCATTTGCGGATCTCCACATACACCTACGGCCGTGACAATGCCGTCGAATACACCGTACTTCTCTTCGTCGTCATTGATGATCCATTGGCCTTTCTTGTTCTGCTTCACGGAGGTGACGCGCGTGTCAAACACCGTCCGTCGCTCAAGATCATATCTCTTCCACAAAGCAATAATCTGCTCTTTGATCTGGGCTTGGCTTGGATAGGTGGTATCGTACTGGACTGACGGGTGGAAGCGATACATAAGGCTGTTGATCTGGAGCGCAGAAGTCGAATTGACCCTACTCCAAATACCGCCTAGACCTTTCTCTTTGCTTCGAGACTCAAGGATTAATACATCACAGCCATGTCCAACACAATGGGCGGCCGAGGATATGCCAGTCAATCCAGCACCTATCACAGCAACTCTCTTTCCGGGTTTATTCGGATTTGTTGCATTCGGAGGAGGTGGAACAGGTGCAAAGATATATCTCAGTACCCATTGGAAAATCAAATAGAGCCAAGTGAAGCCCTCAACAAATGGATGGCGGATGATAGCCGGGATGGAGGATTTTGCGGGCGCCATATCGATTGTGAGTGAAGAGAGAATGAAGAGAATCAAAAGATTCTTGCAAATCAGTACAGAGTATTTACTATAGTATTCTAGAATCTAGAATGACGTGGTAAGTGGAGTAAACATACTGACACATGCTAACACATGTTAAAGCTGGTTCTTGTGGCTTATTCCTTCCAAGGTTGTGTTGTGGTGCTAATGACATCATCAATATATTCACCAGTTGACTAATTCACTATACGGAACAGAATTAAATTCCCTTCACGCCAGAACATGAAGCAGTTATTGAGACCCACAACCCTGAAAAATCCCACAAAATGACTCTCCTAGACACGGCTCATACTTTGACCATTGCTCATAGCTTGTATCTCAGCATTTTATTCTCTCGGTCCGTCAGATCGGAAAACGCGTTGTTGAGATCCTCGTGTTCCATAATCACACCCTCAAAATCTTTGTCTCTGGCTTTATTCTCCCGCGAGTACAAGTAGTATAGCAACGAAAACACAAGGATGTTGATCGAAAATGCCGCCAAGCATGTCGCAATACCAGTATGGAAGTACGGTGCCTCGCGAGTCAAGAAGACCTGAGGAGAGATGATATTGGACACACAGTTTGAGCTGAAGAAAAGGGCACCAGTGAAGACCTTCTTTGTGTAGCCTGCCACATTACTAGCAAGCAATGAATACATGATACCTGCCGCCACGGCCACAAAAGGTACGATGTAAACGGCGCCGAGGTGGGCGTGCTTAGCATTGAAGGGAAGGCTAAAAAGCATTGCAGTCGAGATGATCCCTGGAATGTAGCAGAGAATGATGAATAAGATTCGTTTGCCCTCACCCCACTTGGTGGAGAGAGTGAAGCTGATGGTGACCATGGCCACACCCATAATAACGGATGGTGGGATATTCAACAACACTGCTTGGTAGGTGCTGTAGCCAAAACCCTTGATGATGATACCCATGAAAGTTGTCTGCAATGCGTTTGTCATGTTGTGGGCGAAGATTGCGAAAACCAGCAGCCAGATCCTGACATCTAAGAGAGCCTCCATGATTTGTTCCCTCTTCAGGTGGGTGTTCTTGACGCCAGTTCTGTTAGAGCTCATGCGGTGAACCACGATGTAGCGTTCGCGCTCGGTCAAGAATCCTGCTGTCATAGGGGAGTCGGGCAATAGCCACCAGAGGCTAATTCCAAAAAGCACGGTGACACAACCGAAGATAATGAACATCCACTGGTATGCAAACATGCCATCAACATTGATGTGCGCAATACCCCAAAATATCAGGCCCGATGGAGCACCAATAAAGCCATTGGCACTGTACCAAAGACCGACCAGGGCTGGCTGTTCCTCTCGCTTCCACCACGCCGAGGTGATTAGGACAAATCCAGGATTCAGGCAGGATTCAAAGACGCCGAGGAAGAACCGAGCCGCCGCCAGTGAATGAAAGTTGGTTGCGGAACCAGTCGCCGCCAATGTGATACCTATAAATAATTTTAGTCGAGATTAAATACTTAAGTATCAGTGATGTTTAACGAACCCCATAGCACAAAGTTAACCACCAGGACCTTCCCGATTGGCCAGCGTTGCATAATGAGATTGGCTGGGTACTGGGCGATCAGGTAGCCAATGTAGAAAATGGTGACCAGCAGGCTAAATTCTTGTCCCACCAGATGCGCTTGGGTCTCAATCCCGTAGGTCCCAGCACTGGATAGAGTCTAAACCATCAGTATATCGCATTGTAGTCCATCTCAGAAAGACACATACATTTTTGTCCACAAATTGGATACCATTGATCACGAGCATGATTGTGACCATTCTCATGTCTACCTTTCGCATCACGCGACGTTCATCCTCCTTGGTATATTCCTGAGCATGAGTTTGAAGAAATCCAAGGGCAATGTCTCCATCTTCAGGATTTGATTTGGAGCCTGGTTGCTCCGTTGAGACAAACTCAAGCTCAATGGGAGTATCCTTGCCCGAACCCATTTTTCTTTTGGCAAAGAAGGGTGATTTGGTTTGAGATTCTTGCTGGTGACGTGGTAGAACAGTATTGATTTCGCCTTATCTTTATACATACATGAGCGGGTAAACCCTCAATCTTCCCCGATTTTGGCTAGACGACCCCGCAAAGCGGTGATTCTGTGGCTGGGGTAAGCCATTTACCAGAAATGATAAGCATTTTGCGGCGCATTCATTATGGGAAGTATATGGAAATTTAAGCGAGTAAGTGGATTTGCCGTAGATAGGGGCCGGCACTTGACCCCACGGGGTAATCATGTGGAGGGGGGAGGGGACTTTGGGGGGTTCAAACCAAATGATTCTGAATCAATTTGATGGAAAGACGGCACGGAGACTTCCGGTTTTGACTTGCACAAACTCTTTTTATCCATGCAACATAATTCTCCTCCAACCAATCCCTGGCGATTAGAAAGAACATAAGTCAGAGTATTTGTCTTGGCGTGGCATAAGCCTGGATTAAATGCGCTGGTGTAACATTCACTACCGGAGACTCAGCATACGGCGGAAGATCGTTCTGCCCTTTGAGGCCTAAAGGAAAGTGGTATATAAGACTAAATGTACAGGTACTAGTATGTCTCAGATACAACCTTCTTGCCAACCTTTCAGTCCCTTACACGATGAAAACCATCCGACACACTGCTCCTTCACTTAATGCCGAGCTCATTGGCGAGCTCGACGGTGAGAATTCATGTGACTTGGCTGTCTTTCGAGGTATTTCGTTCGCTTCCGTGGACAAGAGATGGACACACAGTCAAACCCGCCATTCGCTGGAATCCCCCTATGATGCCACCCAATTCGGACCGCGTTGCTCGCAGGGAAATGGAATGGTCTTGGTCACCGGTGGTGTCAATGATCCTGCTCCAGGTGATAATGAGTTTAAATGCTTGAACCTCAACATCTGTACTCCTCGAGAATCGCTCCCAGCTCAGGGCAAAGATACACCTCTGCTTCCTGTCATGGTGTGGATACATGGGTACGTTCTCTCATTCAGCTACGGATAAATTTACAGACTTGATCTGCAATACTGACAAGAAATAGAGGTGGCTTCGCGTACGGCGCAAATTCAGTTGCCCGGTATCGCGCACAGGTCTTCACCTCACACGCAAAGCGATCGGGTACACCTGTCCTCGTCGTGCAGGTCAATTACCGACTTGGGGTGTTAGGTTTTGCATCTTCGGACGATCTCGCTCAGGAGACCACGGGGCAAGAGGCCCCCTGTCGCTCTGGGAACTACGGATTTGTTGACCAGCGGAATGCACTGGAGTGGGTGAACAAGCATATCGCCGACTTCGGCGGAGACCCTTCGAATATCACCGCTTTTGGCGTCAGTGCTGGCAGCGCCAGCATCCACTTCCACATCTTGAGCCGCGATCCACTGTTCGACCGCGCCATTATGATGAGCGGCTCAGGTCCCGTGCTTGGCCCATTGCCTCAACAACTTCATGAGCAAGGCTGGCAAAATATGGTTAGCGAGTGCGGTCTCCTCGAAGTGAAGTCATCTGCTGAGCGGCTGTCACGCCTACGTGCTATGAAGCCAGAGGAGCTGATCGAGAAGTTTTCCAAGTCCCCGCTGGGACCTGTCGGTGACGGTAACCTCCTGCCCGAGACATGGACCTTCACCGATGAGGTCCCTGAAACGCGGTGTAAGAAGATAATGCTAGGCGATACAAACATTGAAGCACTCGTCCTCGACCATTTGCCGGAAAATATTTCACAAAACCAGTTTGCAGAGCTACTTGCTGGTACTTTCACAAACGACGAGGTTGAGGAGCTCCGCTCTAAATTCGGGTTCAGCAAAGACCCTCAGACATTCGAGGAATACCGCGACGCAGTGCGTCTTCTCTTCAGTGCAGCCATGTTCCACTACCCCAATATTGGGATTGCCCGTGCTGCGCTTAATACGCCCTCTAAGGGCCAAGATGTATATCTTTATCATTTTGAGGAGGTTTCCCCATTTCCTGGAGCAACACACGGCCTCTCCTATCACGGTCTATGTGCTTTGCTCATCTACCTGAATCAATTAGATGATTCCCCTGAGCCAACAAGAGTTACCTCTTTAGAAGCTGCTTCCCTCTTTACAGCTTTCGCAAATGGAAAGGAACCCTGGGAACCCTTTGGTGAGGCTGAGAGGTTTTTCCGCTTTGGACCGGATGGAGTTAGTGGCTTGCAATATTTTGAGTCTGATGAGACCAGAACTTACGAGCATATCGAGTGGATGGCTGCTCACTGGGAGAAGATTCTACTTTTTGTACGTCGTCTTCTTTACTAGTATGACCTCTGTTCTACTTACAACCGGACCCACTTATCTCGAGGTCCACGTGGGCCACCCGCATTCCCCACTTTCCTCTCAACATGTACCACATGATTGGCTAGACGATTAAGTACTCGGTGTGATGGAATGTTTCCTGTTTTGCCAAAATATCGTTGTCTGTGCCACACGTATCTTCAACAAATATGTTGTTTTATGATCCAGAAAGGTTGTGACTAAGCTTTTGTCGGGGATACTTGATGAAGATGATTCATACATAACATTGGAGTAAATTCAAGTGTTGTTTATCTATATCTTTCTTGTACGTGAATTTGGATGATTCAAAACTATTAAATTCAACCTGGAGCTCAATACAAAACAAACCTAAACTATCTGCCGTATGCTGACAGAGCTTTCTTCCATTAGACCATAGGTAATATTTAATCGCCGGTCTATTCTTTTTGCTCTAACAAACAACTAAGAATTCCTCAGGTGCGGTTTGTGGAACGTTATTGGTCTAGTTCCTATTTCCTCGGGATGTGTGAACGTGACAGCTGATCCAGCTATCTGCTCCAAAGAAAAGTCTACCTCAATCATGAAAACAAAAGCCAGTAGAATTAAGCTGTTGACAACTTGCCTTCGTGGTGGATTTGACGAGCTTCTCTGCGGCATCCGTGGCACGAGCGTTGATGTGGAAAATACGTGGCTCTGGCTCATCCCACCTCGGTATTTTTCTTTGCAAAGACTCGTTGTCTTCATGCTGTCTCTTTGTTCCCCCACTCTGACGGACCTCCCCAATCGAGGGTAGCAGTGATGGTAGACCGGAAAGTCTCCTTCAAGCAATCAGGCATCTGTTCGGTCTCATCTTGGAGAATAGGGTATGCCTCCAATGCCTTCTCAACACTCTGGCGCTTCGTGCGATTATTGAGCCCTATTAAAAGCTCAGGGTATGTGGATCGGTACAATGGCTTCGCCAAAGTGGCCACCAAGTTGGTTTGAGACGCATTCGCAATCTTCTCGCGAAAGTGAGTGAATCCAAAGGGTTTTATTTCATTATGGTCTGTGTTCCTTCACGTTATCAATCCAGTTGATGGAATGGATGGATCACCCCTTAACTTAACTAAGTGGGCACTTATAGATAGTCATCTGTTTTTCAACCAGTAATGTCCTAGATCTCTTGAATTCGTCCAGGTAGGCGATAATAGGGTGGATTAGTCAGAGAGTTATACAAGTAGTGAAAAGAGGGACTGTTGATCGAGTAAAGAGATCCAATCTCTGGGCTGTATATTGCATATACCTGGGTGTCATCTTGCGATTCCTTGAATCGCATCAATCAAGCTCAGCCAATTCTATCTGGGTTGATGTACAAATAAGATATCAAGATCCACGACCCTGTCCTCCAAGCAGGGCACGATCTAATGTACTGGAAGAAAGGAAGTCAAAGAGAGGGAAGCAAACAGGGCGAGTGGTAACAAAGAAATGGGGAAATATCAAGATGAATCGAATCGTAGAGGCGTAAACAGGCATTTAACCAAACAAAGGTCGGAGACAGCCATCAGGTTTGAGAAGCTTTGCCGTTGAAGAACCAGCTACTTCTCTTGGTTTCTTGTGAAATCTTGTCGGTATTCACAGCCTCAGAGCCACCTGTTCCTCTAAGAGGCTTTGCGATCCTGCCAAAGCTAAAACTCCCATTGCTGTCCATGACGGGAAGGCCGCGTGTAGAACCTTGCTTGGCAGCCTCTAGGCGCTCTTTCACGGCAGTGAGCTGGGCTTCGAATCTATGTAGAGTTTAGTATAGGTAGCCTGCGCAAGTCCCAAACGTAGACGATATACATACCGGTGATTGGCTTGAGTCAGCTTCTCCTGGCTCTCCTGGAGGAGACCCTCTAGACTGGCAATACGCTCGTTTCGTGCAATCAACTTCCTCTCTGCAATGGCCACTTCCTTCTTCAGGCTGCTGTTCTGCTCCACGAGTTGGCGTTGAACGTGGGTCAGCTGCTCTAGGTTGCGCTCCAAGAATGCCATCTTTTTCTGTTGAGCTCGATTGTTGGATGATCGCAGGACATTGTTGTATTGTTCGCGGGCGTCATCCAGAGAAATTTCCAGCTCCACCACACGCTCGCAGCGGTTCTGGAGGTCACGCATCAGAGACTTCTTCATGGCATCGAATTCGGCAATCTGCTGCTGTAAGGTCTTGCTGGCGTTGCCGTTGGTGGAGGTTCGAGACTGTGTGTCCACAAGCGATTGTCGCATCTTGGTCAATTCCTCATCTCTGCGAGTGATTTCACTGCGAAGTTCGGCCGCCGCCGTGGTCTCAGCCTCCTTGCGACTCATGAAGGACTTTTCCACCCTCTCCCGAATCTCTTCTATGTCACCCTCGCCCAAGTTCCGGGTCAGGATGTCTTCATATTCTTGTTGAACTTCGTTCAGCTTCTTCTCCAGCTCCACCCGGCGGCTGTCCTGCAGCTCGCTGAAGTCGCCTCGGTCATTCATCGTCAACTCGGCCTGTCGGATTAATCCTTGGATCTCTAACAGACTGGCCCGAACCTCAATAATGTCATCGGGTGCAATAGTCTCTCCCACCGCGCTAACCTCGTGGAGCGAGTCAACGCGCTGAATCAGATACTGTAACTTGCGCTCATTTTCTGAGAACACCTCACCACCCAGATCAAAGCCAGCCATCATCTTTGCCATCTTCTCTGCCTTCTTCTTCTCCTTCTCGTCAAGCGCAGCGGTGGTCTCCTTGGCCCGCATGCGAACGTCCAGAAGCTGCTGCTTCACCTCATCCAACTCACTTGTGAGTTCGGAGTTGGCCTCTCGGAGGCCATCCATGGTGATTGCCGCTTCCTTCCCCTCGTAAGAAATCTTCTCTAGCTGCATACGTAGCTCATTCACTTCGGTGTTTAAGCGATCGTTGTCCTTGCCTGAGCGCCCGGCGTTCTCTTTCATGGATTTCAGCTCCTCTCGAGCTTCACGGAGACCACGTTCAACATTGACAATATGGGTCTCCTTTTCAGCGATTTGATCCTGCAATTCATTTTCACGACGAAGGAACTCCTCTCGCTCGTCCTTCTCCAACACCAGGCTGGGGGTGCTTGAGCGGTCTCCAAAGCGAGAATCCGGGCGTGGGGTCTCAGCACGGGCAGTCTCCTGCAAGCGCGATGGAGTAGCTGGCCTAGGGGCGCGTGCCTCTGCCCTAGCAGCACTAACAACGTCATTGCCACGAGCGGGAGTCCATCGATCCTTGGGAACACTTTCACCCCCACGCCATACGTTGATCTCGGTCTCCAGTGCAGAAATGTAGCTCTCAAATGTAGTCATCTGTGTCTGGGCTTTGCGTAGAAGCTGCTTCATTTCAGCCGGGCTCAGTTCCGCATTAACCTTGGCAGTGTTCTTAATGGCCTTGGCTCGTACACCAAACCGCAAGGTTGAGATTGTTTCCGCATCATTGTAACTACTTGGCGAACAATTGATGATCAGGGTGGTCCGGGAGTTACCACCCAGCGACTCCTGTAGGATTCGAGTGAGTTTCGAGTCACGGTATGGAATGTGAGTTGATTTGCCATCCGTCAGAGCATTAATGACCATTCCGAGAGCACTCAAACTCTTGTTGATCTTCTTGGCCTCTTCCAGCGTCTGTCCACTCGCTCCAGTCTTGCCGACCTTCTCACTACCAGCCAAATCAACCAAGAAGAGCTGGCCACTCTTTGCGGATCCAGTTTCGATATTCTTCTGGCTCACAGTGATGACGAAAATAGAGTGCGAACGAGAGGACTCCTGGTTCATGTTGGTGGCTGCCACGGCTCGAGAATTTCCACCGCGGCGCATCACTTCGTAGACCTCTTGCACACTTGACACATAGACTTCCAACAGGCCTTTGACGTAGACTCCGCGGGACTTCTCCTCGTGCACAGGCAAATTGTCGTTCTGCGGCACGAGCAGATCACGAATGCGCTCCATATAGATTTCCATGTAGCTGACCCGGACGGTGTATTCAATATTGCTCGGACTGGTCAAAATACTGGCAAAGATTTGCTCGACGATACGTGGAATTATACCCTTTCCCTCCTCGTCATCAATGTCGGAACCCATCATCGTATACGACTTTCCGGCACCTGTCTGACCATACGCGAAAACCGTTCCGTTGTATCCATTCAGAATATCGTCCACAGTGGGCCGGATCGAGAAGTCGAAGACGTCAACTTGCGCCGAGCCCATCGGAAAGACACGATCGAAGGTGAAGGAGGCCGTGCCCTCTCGCGACTATTCACCGTTAGCATGTCTGCGTCGCACCGCGTTCAGACTCGGGCTCACATTAATAGCACATGATTCGTCATTCTCAAACTCGACAATCGGTGTACCGCCAGAGCTTAGCTCTACTTTATTCTGGGGACGGAAACGGGCGACCACTAGATACGTCGAGGGTTAGCTGTAGTCTGGTCCGACGCTCGTGTTGTGCGTACCCTTAATGGTGTTCGACCCTGCGGACCTATTGAAGGAGTCAGTAAGGATTTGAAGCACTGTTTAGATCCAAAGGGAGCACTGACGCCATGTTTGCAGATTATTGAACCTCCCACGGAAAGGAATAAGGCCCCTAAGAGGGGCAGGCCGAGCTCGAGGGGTTTTGAGGTTGTGTCACGGGGTTTTCTGGAGGGTCCAGGGTCAGGGGTTCTCCACTAGCGCGCAGGCGTCAGAAACGCAAGATTGAGAGAAAAACGCAAAGAAATGCAACACACAGAGAACCCAGCACCGGTTCGGGGAGGTGAAAACGGATGTCGGGTAGATTCCAATGTTGTTGTCAACAATCGCCCGTAGTGGGTGTTCTTGGCAGACCGCCCCGACGAGCACGCGGATCAACGGCTTCATGCAAAAGTATAAAAAGCATACTTCGAACATATCTACGGGAAACACTCAATTAGATGGTCCTTTTGAACGAGTCAGTAATTAATTGACTGATTCTTCAGCTACATATACAATTCTTTCATCATATGTAAAGAAAACATGCTCATGCAATAAAAGGCTATGGAATGGGGAGCATGACCGATGCACCAGGAAAACAATCAGAAAAGGAGATTCCCTAAGACAAAAAAAAAAAAAAAGAACCAGGCGCCTAAACCCCATGCTGTACAGATCAAACAGCCCGATTTAAGACGGGATTCGACGTCGGTGTATTCATCCCCGGACTTGTTTCAACCCTAAATGACCGGGAGAAACAGTTGGACATAATTGCCGGGACCGAGAATGGAAAAGAGAATGTGAAAGTCGTTCAATCATCCCAGCTCTTCTCGACGGTCTCCCGGACACGTTTAATGTATTCTTTGCGGTTGTCCTTGTAGAGGTTCGAGGCTTCGACATTGGCTGGGGAAGAGGTGTTGGGGTCATTAAGCAAACTATTAAACCACCGGAGTTAGGAACTATGTTGAATGAAAGCACACTATCAGCCAGTAGACTTACCTCTGGATACTTGTCAAAATGGCCGCCACGTCATATGTTGGACTCCAGCGGTTCTGGAGAATGTCCAGGCAGAGTTCACCAGTACCATAAACATTAGGGTGAAACATTTGACTGATGAACTTGACACCAGGAGGCTTGTTGGGGTATTGTTCCTCAAAGTTCATCACCAGGCGGAAAGTGCCATCTTCGAATGGCGTGTCTGCAGGGCCTATAATGACGGCATTCCTATCGAACTATCAGTGCACTGAGCCCAGGAATTGGGCTAATTTATCCATACCAGGTCATAACATTGTCAGCTACCGGCGAGGCCGAGACACCCGCGGGGGGATCCGTTTGCATGCGCTGAGGGGTCATGTTAGCGGGGCAAACAAGCTGGCGAGGATCATGGAGGGGAAAGAGCAAAAGGATGAAAAGCAAAATGCAGTGATGATTGATGGACGTTGTCAAAGACTCGATAGGTGCCAAAATTGATGAGTTGACATAAGGTCTCGATTCATCCATCGTTCATTGACACCCCACTGGTCCGGTGACGCGTTGGTTGTACGTACCTTGAAGTCTCGCATAAGACGACGGCGAGCTGATGTCGACATGATTGATATGAAAGGCTGGGTGATGAAAATGAGTCCACAAAAGTCGTCAGTGTTGTAGAAGATGGTAAAGGAAGCTAGACCGTTGAAGGACTATGAGTTTCTTTGCGAGAGCACGAGGAGGGGAACGATTCGGAGGAACTATTCATATGGGGAAACATTCCATATCGGACATAGCTGGTTTATCCGTGATCTACCATTATGTCATATCATGTGATCTCAAACAACCTCGGTGCAGGCGGTTAAAGGCGGTTGCGGGAACGGGTGCATTCCGTGTACTTGGGGTCAAGGGTTGGTAATCGCCGACTTCTTCTTTTCACGGTTTGCCGTCTAAGCAGACTCATCTTTACTCTTGAACATAATTACATCCATTCGGCCCATCAGAAAATATAAAACAACCATGAGCATCACAACTGGGCTTTCTATTCGCCTTTCCAGGCGAGCTGTCCCCGCATTCCGCAGCCAGAGGCAGTTCAGCTCCGCACGCTCGATGCTGAAGGAGATTCAGGATGCCTACATTATTAGTGCGTCTCGAACCCCGACAGCCAAGGTAGGTGGACTAGGAATGTGATTCTCAAGGAGCTAGATGGCTGATTATATTCTTATTAGTTCAATGGTTCGTTCGCTTCCGTCACAGCGCCTGAGCTAGGTGCTGTCGCCATCAAATCTGCTCTGAGCAAGTCCAAAGTTCCCGTGGAGAAGATCACCGATATATACATGGGAAACGTCTTGCAGGGATCGGTCGGTCAGGCCCCCGCTCGCCAGGCGTCCATCTTTGCCGGCCTTCCCTCTACCGTTGAGGCAACGACAATCAACAAAGTGTGCGCATCGGGCCTAAAAGCAGTGGCTCTCGCAGCTCAAAACATTCAACTCGGTTTAGCAGAGGCACAAGTGGCTGGTGGCATGGAAAACATGACCCGAGTACCGTACTACATGCCTCGTTCCAGTCAGCTGCCCCCCTTCGGTGAAATCAAACTGGAGGATGGTCTGATCAAGGATGGCCTTTGGGACGTGTACAACCAATTCCACATGGGTATCTGCGCGGAGAAGACTGCCAAGAAATATGAAGTCTCGCGAGAAGACCAGGACGAGTATGCCATTCGCTCCTATGAACGGGCTCAGCAGGCCTGGAAAGAGAACCGTTTTGCAGACGAGATTTCCCCCGTCACAGTCAAGAGCAAGAAGGGCGAGACTATTATTGAACGGGATGAGGGTTATGAGAGCCTCCGTACGGACAAGTTGAAGTCTCTGAAGCCCGCATTCCTACGGGATGGAACTGGTACCGTGACTGCAGGCAACGCTTCTACTATGAATGATGGTGCATCTGCTTTGGTTCTGGTCAACAAGGACTTGGCTCGGGAGTTTGGCGCTGGTGGACGAGTGCTGGCTCGCATTGTTTCCACTGCCGATGCTGCCATCGACCCGGTAGACTTTCCAGTGGCTCCGGCCAAGGCTGTTCCGATCGCTCTTGAGCGTGCTGGCATTACTAAGGACCAGGTGGCCGTATGGGAATTCAATGAGGCTTTTGCCGCTGTCATTAAGGCCAACGAGAAGGTAAGTCTATGCGCTTTATGTTGAAATAGAAATTGCAAGCTGATCTATTGTTTGCTCAGATTCTTGGTCTGGAGGATGCTAAGGTCAACATGCTGGGTGGTGCTATCTCTCTGGGTCATGCTCTTGGCAGCTCTGGATCTCGGATCTTGGTAACTCTGCTCCACCAGCTCCAACCTGGTGAATATGGTGTGGCTGCCATCTGCAACGGTGGCGGCGCGGCTTCTGCTATGGTCGTGCAGAGGCTGGAACGTGTGGATTAAATGGTATGTTATGTGAACATGCAAATGATACCCTCACACCTCCACACTTCCAGTATGCCTTTAACCTGGGAAAGGTTTTGTAAATACATACTTCCAACATTTTTTTGGAGATTATTTTGCCAATTTTACGGTGCAACAATTTGTACCCAATTGTTTCCGAGTCAATTGAAAATTTTGCTTGTCATAATCACACTTTGCCATAAGCTTCGGTTATGCTATTACCAGTCGCGTGCTTGGATGTCTATTTGATTATTTCTTTGAAGTTTGTGTAACTTCAACTAATCTGAAATTCAAGTTGAACCCGGAATGGAGCTAGTCCCGATCGGGTAGCTATAAGCAATCGCGTCCTGTGAATCGTTTTCTCTTCTTTTACTTCTTCCTAGAGAGAATGAGCTGCTGAAAACAAAACAAATATAACTTCGGATTCATAAGCACAGGTTTTTAACCTACTCGCCATGTCCAGCTCGGTGGAGCTTCCTCTTTTCCCATCCTGTCTAGGGGCCCTTGACTGGTCGCCAGATGGAGAGCTTGCCGTGGCCGCGGGCGACCAAGTTCATATCATGGTGGGATCAATCCAATTATTTGAGAAATAGCACAGCTAATTATTAAATAGACATGGAGTCCTGCTAAGTATAGTTCAGAGCAAGGAGATCAAAGTGGCTGGCAAACTACCCGCATTCCAAAGGTCAGTGTCTTCACGGTTGCAGAGTGGGGCATGGTTTACCCACAAAACCGAGATGACTTCTCTGTCGCCGTGGAGCAATCAGCAAGTTCTGTAATAGGTCTTTCATGGTCGCCGCCAGGTCTAGCTCGATACCGACGGAGTGTCCTGGCCATCTGGACCTCCAACCTGATTCTCTCAATATGGGAGCCGGTTGGAATCAACGGTCAATGGGCTCGAGTCAGCATCGTGAATCATGCTCTCCATCCAAGCCCCGGGAATTCCCAAGAACTTCATGGCATTGACCTTCGAAGATCAAACATTCGTTCTTTCCACTGGTGCTCACCTCTTCAAGTGCCGGCCGATGGACCAGAATCGGCAACAGCACCTGAATCTCGCTGGGGCGTCCAACTGCTCGCCGTAGCAAATGATGTCAATGAGGTGGCTCTACTTCGGGTGCATCGGCCAACTGGGCTGCAAGCTTCATCTGATGCATACACAATCACCAAGTTGGCCGTCTTCCCCCTTGATGGAGCTGAGAAGCAGTTTCCAATGGCTTGCTCCGGATCGCTTCTGCAGAGTGCACTTCAGTCCAAAGCGCGTGTTACATCAGTCAAGTCTGGACCATGGCTTAGCTTGCCAACATCAGCAAATGGACCTGCACACTCCGCAAGGACAGTGGTTGCGGCTGTTTATGGAACAGAACTGCGGATTCTGCAGGCCACTGTTGCATTAGGGGAGTCAGATCCAGAGTTAGAGGTTACGCCTCGGTACGAAGCTATGGTGGAGGTCAAAGCACATCCTTTGCTCGCATCAAACAGCTGGAGTCATCGGATGACGGGTCCCCTGGAATGGTTACATATGGTACGTCAAGAGTGTCACAGTAAGCATACCCTAGCTAACGAGGATCAATTGCAGAGGGAGTCCAAAACGATCGTTCTTGCAGTCGGGATAATTGGTGGCGTTCTCACAGTATCCTTTCCCCGATCTGTTGCAGATGGCAGTGAAATGAATGCTGCCGGAATAAAGACCCAAGAATGGCCTTGCTCATCTTTTCCTACTCCAGAAGGCGAGCCATTCTCTCGAGATCTAGAGCCTGTTTCGAGTAAGAAGTTATTTTCTAATCGTCTTAACACCAACTAATTTCTCTAGGCTTCCTCATCACATCAGCAAAACATGGTACATGCGCCCTTCAAATAGGCACTTTGGGTGGCTTGGGAGCTAGCATGACCCTCGATCAATCCGGCGCTCTTGAGTTGCGAGTTCCATTTTGGATGAAAGTGCTCGAAGATTTTCGAGAGGACTACGACTTAGGCCGCGACCTGGGAGGAAATACCGCCGCTCGTGTATGGGGCTTGTCAGCATATCGTGGTCTTACTGCGGCTCTCTTCACCAGGCACCCGACGGACATGGTTGAATACCGTGTTGCCTCTAGCGAGAGATCAATGATCATATTCACGAACGAGAATACCAAAGAGGCCCCCGATTTCCACACCCTATTCACACCCCATTCGGCACAGAGTGACCCGGAATTCGCTCGCGACCAACGCGAAAAGGCCATTTCGTTGGTGCTTGCTAGCAGTGAACAGGATATGGGATCAAATACGGAAGACCACAGGCTTTTCTACGCTACAGCATGCTCCGCTATCGTGGATCAGCAGAGTGAGTATATTCGCACGCAAGCTCGAAAATGTCTAGAGCGACTGGCAAATAGCACTGGGGCGGATTTGAGCGAGGAGATCTCCAAATGTAGCCTTAAGTCCTCCACGATCTCTGCCAAATCAATTGATGAGCAAAAGAAGCCTGGTGGGCATATTTTTGAATACTGTGAGATCTGCGATGCAGGCCTTGCATGGGATTCTGTGGGGGAAGCACAGTGTGCAAATGGGCACCTCTTCGGTAAGTTGTGCACCGAGCAGACTTGATTCTCGCTAACTTGTGTTTCTAGTACGTTGCGGACTTAGCTTCATGGCGATACAAGAGCCTGGCATATCCAAGTATTGTACGATTTGCCGAACAGAGTATCTTGATGAAGACCTTCTTGCTCGCGTGCGTCATGGTCAGATTGGCCAAAAGTTCATGCAGCTTTTTGAGGCATTCGATACCTGTATCTACTGTGACACAAAGTTCCAGGCTAGCGTTTAGTGTCAGCAGTCTACGAACTGGTAGTTAGAGCAGGGATGGAAGTGCTTGACGATGAACTGGTTGGTGTTGGTGTTCAGCACGACTTTTATTGATGGGTTGCATCTCCGGCTCTGCTAGTTTAAACCAAGCAGCTTACCTGCGATGGGATTCCATTCATCTTCCCATCGCCGCACACTCTCTTTTTGAGCACCCACGCGAAGGGCTTCGAGCTTTTTGTCGTCGCCGAACAGCATGGTCAATTGTTCTGCCAGCTCATTTGCGCTGCCGAAACCCATTCCATTCACACCCTCAGTTACTAGCTCCGGCCATGCCTCAAAGCGGCTCCAACCAACCACCGGGAGGCCAGCACCAAACATGTCGACGACCTTCATCGGCAAATCTACTCCGCTACTGCTGGTGTGCAGACTCACCCCTAGCGACGCAGAGGCCAGCAGCTTTGCATAGTCTGACACGCTCAGCCATGCAGTACGAATCCTGACCCTTTTAAGTTGACCCGCGGCTTCGAGGGTCGCGATCTTCTTCATATACATGTCTTTTTGTGGTCCTTTGCCGGTAATTATGGCAAGGATCTCGGGCAGATCGGGCTTCGAGGTGGCGAGCTTCGAGTATTGCAACAATGCTTCAATGAGGATTGAAAAGTCCTCATCTGGCGTCCAGGATGTCGAGCTGACCAGAACCCGTAACCTGGTGGCTTCTATCGATGAGCACACCTTCTTCGTTTCTGGCAGACTTGCAAGAAACTTGATACGCCCCTCAGCATCTGGAATTGGGCTGAAATGGCTCGCGGGGCGGTCATGCAATGGCAAGATGGGAGCCTGCAGATGGAAATCCCGCTTGAGAACCGAGCGCATTGCATCAGTTACGCAAAAATGAGCGGACGCCGATCTGCAAAAGAACTTCTCGTACCAGAGAGATACTTTAACGAGCGGGTGGTTGGGACCGAGTTTCAAAGCTAGAATGGAATATCCGAAATTATGCCAATCGATGACAAGTCTTGTTTGACGCAGGAAGCAGGATAGGGAAGCGATGGCAAGGCTGGGGATGGAGGGTGGATTCTACTCTGGTTAGCATTAGACTCCTGTTTATATATATGTATCCTACCTGCACCAGCAACCACTGCGCTGGTGGGGCGGTATATGCCAGACAACGCCATAGGCATACAATCTGAAACAACACCTTCAAGGGCCCATAAATTGTGAATAGCAGTTTGTTGCTTGTTTGTAGGATGGCTGGATGTGGGCGAATAGGGACAATGGAGATATTCGGGTGGGAGATCAAGTCGGGGTGAGGATCGGACTCTGAATGGATTAATACTTGAGCTGACAGCTTTCCTTTTTCTCTTACCTGTGTATCCAATAATGACCACCTGTCCACCATTCCTAGCAATGCTAAGGGCATGGTATTGCATACGTGGACTTCGACCAATGTCTCCTAGCACGAGGATCTGCACAATTGTCTTCCGTGTACTTTCGGAGTCGGAAGTGGGTGGACGAGGATCATATTGTGATGGGAGAACTAGGATCAATAGTGTTACCAAGCTGGACACGCAGAACGCAACATTGATCAGGGTATCAATCATGACGAAAGGATATCTCCATCAAAAGTTCAAAGGCTCATGAGCTCCAAGATTCAAGATCAATATGGTGCGATAAGGGACATCACGTGGTTTTTCTCCCAAGGTTAATGAAGAGTCTAATACGTGGTCGTCCACTGGAGTGGAGTAGTTCGACTCCTGCAATTCCCCACCCCTGGAGCTACGACGCGCAATGTTGGCTTTGCAAGCCTGTCTTCCAATTTGAGCTTTGAAGCCCCGGATTCTGGCGAGCGGCACATCCCCCTTCTAGTCGCCGCGATCTCCTATTTGGCTACATTCCATCGAATTAAACAATGTCGACGGGGCCGTCGCCATCGTCAGATGCGGACCTTGCTCCTTTACCCGCATCCAATGGTCACACCCATAGCCATAGTCGCAGTCGCGGCCACACTCGCTCCCGCTATGCACAACCACCGCCTCTCGTCCTGGGAGTCAATGTGAACGGATCGCAAGCGCCAGAGACTACAAATCCTGTCAACGGAGGCCATTCTCACGGTCACGCCTCTCAACATTCGCACTCCCACAAGCACTCACATTCTCACTCATCCCACGATCATCATGGCCATACCCATGCGCATAGCCACTCGCATGCCCACAACCACAGCGTGGCTTCAATCCACGACTTTTCGCATTCGCATTCACACAACCTGAGCTCGGTATCAGAGGCGCACACAGAGAGTAGCCCTGAGAGACTGTGAGTCGCTGGGATCATAACAGATCTCAAGGAACATAAATTAACTTCTTGATAGACATGAAATATTCGCCGGTTCCTTGATCGCTTTACCCTGGGTTGCACTATCCTGGTACCCTCACACATGCGCAGAAGCTTGCCAAGCGCCAAGCGCTACAGGGAAGACTCCTCCGTTCGGAGGAATTGGACATGCTGGGCAGACGGCGGGCATTCTGACTGCATTCACGCTTCTGGCTTTTGGATGTGGCCAGATCATGCGTAAACATCAAACAGGAAGCCCTATTTCCTCAACCAAGTTCCCCACACCCAATACAAAGACCGCCCAAGCTGCATTTTTGCAGGTATGCTCGATCGGACTTCCGATTTACGCGTCGCTTAAAGTAGGAGGATTCATCGTTGCATTTGCGTTGCTTCTGGCAACAGCATCCGGGGTCCCGAACTTGGTGCAGACCGACCTACGTGGCTCGAGCACAGAGAAATATAGTCGAAAGGGTTTTACCATTGCTCTGCTGGCCAGTGTGATTGTGTTGGGCTTTTTCGGCTTGAATCAGCCCTGGGACTCTTCCCCGTTCATGGGGTATCTAGCGCTTCTAACCTCTGTTTTTGTGCTTTCCCCACCTCTTCCCTCCCTTCGTCATCAAGGACCTATTCCAGAGCCTGGTCTGGTTGCGGAATCGATTTCCAAAGCCAAATCGGCAGGTACCCGATCGGCCGTCACGGTCACGACCGATGCGCCTCTGGCGCTAGTTTCAGGAGCCTCTCTCCTTGCTCTGGGGATGATCATTTCCCGAGGACTGCCCTTTCCATTATCAGACCTGCTCTACATTTTAATCCCGGCTGGACTGTTGGCGATCTCCTTGGAGGTTTCATTCCCAACTGGTCTTCGTTCTGCGAAGAAGCAGGGACTGGCCGTATGTACCGGAGCTGCCGCTATTCTCTGCTCCCCTCACATCCGGGATGAGAAGCTGCTAGTTTACACCGTACATTGCATCTTGGCTGTTGCCTCATTCTTTGCTTCAAGAATGGATGATAGCCACCTCCGCTCGGACGATCATTTGCATAACCATTCGCACAATCACACGCACAACCACTCTTCTACCCCCGAGTCTACTACTCGGATCACGAAATGGGTCATCCATCGTAGTGAACCATATCCCTTGCTTTATAGCATTGTGAAAGAGAAGGATTCCCGCAGCATTTTCTACTTCATGTGGTAAGTTTGCCGAAATGCACTGTAGCCATGATACTGACGTTCAAAGTCTGAATTTTGCATTCATGCTCGTCCAACTCTCCTATGGCTTTGTGACGGGGTCTCTTGGCCTTCTCAGTGACAGTATCCATATGTTTTTTGACTGTCTCGCTCTGGTCGTAGGACTCTGTGCTGCAGTCATGAGCAAATGGCCACCCAACGCCCGCTTCCCATATGGTTACGGAAAGGTCGATACCTTGTCCGGGTTTGCCAATGGAATTTTCCTCATGTAAGTTCTACTGCTCACTGAGTCTCCGTGAAATTCTAACAACCACCAGGATTATAAGCGTGGAGATTATTTATGAGGCGGTAGAGCGTTTGTCCTCGGGTAGTGAAATGAATCGCCTCGGCGAATTGTTGGCAGTTAGCTTTGCTGGCTTGCTCGTCAACTTGGTCGGTATTTTCAGCTTCGAACATGGTCATCACCACGGCCATGACCATGGCCACGATCACGGCAATGAGAACATGCACGGTATCTTCTTGCACATTCTTGCTGATACGCTTGGCTCCGTGGCTGTGGTCATTTCCACCATACTTGTACATTATTCAGGCTGGGCGGGATATGATCCTCTCGCCTCGTGCTTCATTGCCATCCTGATCTTTGCCTCGGCTGTCCCACTGGTCAGCAGTACGGCTAAATCCTTGCTTCTAGCATTGCCAGCGGATACGGAGTATAACGTTCGTGAAACCCTAGCGGGTGTCAGCACCTTGCGGGGAGTTGTTGGATATACTGTGCCTAAATTTTGGCTTGATGATACGGGTTCGTCTGACCACGCCCACGACCACGCACACGGTCACGACCACACCGATCATTGCCACAGCCATGATCACGGCCATCATGATCACGGCCATCACGATCACGGACACGATCACAACCATGATCATGACCATAGCCATAGCCATGAGCCGAATGCTCAAAATGTGTTTGGCGTCATTCACGTCATTGCCTCTCGCGGCTCGGATCTCGAAGATGTCCGACAGAGAACGGTGGACTATCTCAAAGACAAACACGTGGATATTGTGGTCCAGGTGGAGCGAGATGGAGAAGGTCGCTGTTGGTGTGGCGGAGGAAACAAGGGTTTCTAAATTCTCGACTTACCCATGGATCCGATCCTTATAAGGATATCATATTGTACAGCGTTGAGATCGATACTTGTTCTACAATTTCCAAAACAATATACATAACTCACCTTTTGCCTCTTATGGTTAGCTATAAAAATCCAAACCGAGCCTCTGTATGAAAGTTCCATGTTAACCAAGGAATCTCTAATCCCGGATTCGCCGATAACAATTCCCTTGTGGGTCCAGTGCAAGCGAACTGCACGAGAACGAAAACGAAAACGACAAAAGAACGATTAAGATCCAAATTCACCAATCACATCAGTGTACACAGCCCATTTATATTAATACTCCACCTAAGCGGGCCCCTTCAGTGCCTTGGCTAGGACCTCCACGCTGACAAGACAAAATAGAAAGCATGGGGGTTTCGCCCTTTTCATCCTGGGGATTCCCCACGAATACAATCATCACTGGCGCAGCGCTTTTCTTTGAATCCGCTCAGACCAGATCGTAATGAGCTACTCCACTTGTCATCACGTTTCGCCAGAGTGTCCCGTCTCCCTGACGACATACGGGTACACTCCGAATCTAGGCGGAAACATCTTCTTCACAGCATTCTTCGGTATCCTCGGCGCTGCACAAGTAGGACTGGGCGTCTACTACCGAACATGGACATTCATGATTGCACTGGGCATCGGCGCCTTAATGGAGATGGCAGGATACATCGGACGAGTGTTGATGCATTACAATCCCTGGGATGAAGGCGCATTTAAACTGCAAATCGTGTGTTTGGTTCTGGCGCCGACGTTCATCGCTGCGGGCGTGTACCTTACCCTTAAGCATATTGTGCTGAATCTGGGACCGGAGCATTCGATCCTGAAGCCACGGCTATTCACTTGGATCTTTATCAGTTGTGATATTGGGTCTTTGATTCTGCAAGCTGCTGGTGGAGGTGTTGCAGCGGCGGCGGGGAACGACAACCAGTTGTTGCTGAAGGCTGGTGATGATATTATTATTGCTGGTATCGCATTCCAGGTGGTTACTATGTCCGTGTGTGGGCTTTTCGCCCTTCATTTCTTCTGGAACGTTGCAAAGAAGGGCAATGGTCTGGCTGGGGAGAAGACTTTGGATAGTAATTTGGGCACCGCTGCTCCTGTCATTTCTCCCAATCAAATGCGGTTAATCATCGCTGCTGAGGTCTTTGCTTACTTCACTGTCTTGATCCGGTGTATCTATCGGTAAGTGTGTTTTAGATGCAAGCTAGGATCGTTGGCTAATACTTTATAGTATCCCGGAGATGGCTGGTGGTTGGGGCAGCGCCTTGATGCAAAAGGAAAACGAGTTCTTGCTCTTGGATGGAATGTAAGTGTCTCTATCTCTTTTTGAAAGCGAGTTGCTAATTGTCTTAGGATGATTGCTCTGGCCACATTAACCTTCACTCTGGTCCATCCAGGAGTGTACATCCCCTCGATGCGCACTAAGAGCAAAAAATGAGTCCTTACCCATCTGCAATTCATTTTCCATTGTTCTTTCTCCTATATCGCATAGAGCACAAAGCATATCAGGCATGAGCTTGCCGTCGCATCGTCTAGCATAATAGAATAACGAATCTAAATCTATCACACGTTAGTCTACGTAATAAAACTTGGAGAATGATAGGAGATGAGACCTTATTATATTTCCATAGATAGACCCGAACGCGAGTCAGTAAATCACAAAACTCCAGTAACCAAATTGTGCAAAGAAAACGGTGACAGCCCAGAATGAGTGCTATTGCACTTATAAGATTCGCCCTCGCTCTCTCTATCATGCAATGGAGAGCACCGAGCAGGAAGCCCCAGGTAGAACATAGTCCCGGGGATAATGAAGAAAATGACCATCCAGATGCACCAAAAATAACAAACTCCGCTTCCATTTACTCCTCCAGACTGTCCCGGACGCACCGGCGCACACGCTTCTTGAACTCAGCGGGGTCCTCTCGCCAGAGCCGGGCGGCTTCCACGTTGGCAGGGCTCTCATCGTTGGGGCTTGACAGCATAGAGATCACTGATAGCAGGATAGTCTCGGGGGTCTGGACAGGCGACCAGCGCTCGGCGGCAGATTCGTAGCCGTACTTGTCCTCCTCTGGGGGGTGCAGGATAGAGATGCAAACTTCACCATTGGGGTAGACTAACGAAGGAACAAATTAGCAAGACAATCCTCAAGGTATAGAGTCCTGGTATGCCCTCATCTCCCAGCCTCGGGTTCCCGAGGATCCCCATATCGGATGTGGCTATTTCGGAAGTGGCGACTTACTGTTTGGATGGAAGAGCGACGACTCGAACTTCATCTTTGGGGGCATATGAGGGTATTCAATGGGGAAGGTAAGGCGAGCGCGAAAGAAACCACCTAAATCAAGATATTAGCCTCTTGCTGTTCCTAAATCTAGACCTTAGGCGACAAGTCCGATCATGCTCGTCGATAACTCCAGCTAGACAACTGCTCATGCAATCACGGAAACTGGGAAATGCGCACCTCCATATAACTTGACATCGTCTGAGATCATCAGCATGACCTCCCATTCGAAGATGTTGCTGTCGACCAGACCACAGCTGATCCCAGGAATGTCCTTGTCAGACTGCATCTGCTGCAGCTGACGGGCTAGCATGCGACCGGCGGGGGAGGTCGCCATCTTGAGTATTTGAAGCGAAGAGATTCAAATTATGAGAATCGACAGTGGCGGTGGAATAGCAAATCAAGATTAGGTGAGGGGGAGGGCAGTAAAGACGGTGTACACCGCTTTTACTTTTAGTGGCGGATAGATTCTACATTTACATTAGGAATAGATCATAAACGAAACATAATTTTCGATCAATGAATAAATAGAGGTCTTAGAAAACATAGACCATGCAGAGGTGAAGAGCTTGCAGGAATCAATGGTGCCACATAATGTCACAGGTGGTATTTTAATTCCACCCAGGTAACAGGTTACAAATTCATTTATCCAATGACGGGCTTCTCGGGAGATCCATTGCCAGGACCATTGGGCTTCATGATGAAAAGCTGCCCACCGAGAACAAGGGCGGCAAACACCCACACAGCCATTTCCATGGCAAAGGTCTTGAGAACCACCTTGGCAAAGCGAACCCGGCCAGCCCAGTCAAAGCTTTTCCAGGCCTCCAGCAAGCCGATCTTGCCACTGCCGCCAACAATCGCTGGTTGCACCTTGCCACCAAAAGAGCGATCGAATGGAACAATAGTCTCCTGGTCCTCGGGAAGCATGGATGCCGCAACACGGATAAAGATCACGCGAGCGGGGAGAAGGACGACGAAGGACAAGATAGCAGGGATGGCAGCCACAGCCATCCACCGGCACATATCAGTGAGGCTGTTGTCGTTTCCGGGGGTGATGTTGAATGCACCGACTAACTGGGCGATAGACATGGGCAAGAAGAAAAAGGCAGCTGTCAACAACTCCATCAACAGGGCTGCAGGCGCAATCTTGAGCCAGGCACGATAGCTGGGAATACGCTGGTAAAAGCGCTTCGGGGAGGGCTCCGTGATGACGATGTGGACCCAGGCCATCTGCCAGGTAGATAGAAGAACGCCGACAAAGGGCTGCACGAAGAACTGGCCGATGAAGGAGCTAGATGAAACGGGAATGATGGCGGAGAGGATTCCCCGGGCCATGCTCCAGGCCAAGTACATGCTCAAGCCACGGAAACGCGACCAGAAACCGGCACGGTTCCGCAGGTGCTTCACGGTAGTACGCAGCTTGCTAGTGATGGGCTTGGGAGAGGGGACTGCAGCGGGTTCAGGGTCGTTAGGATCGTATGGCTTGGCGATATCATCGTTGTTGTTGTCGATGCGAACGTAGATATCCGGGTTGGAATCTTCTATCGCGGCCAGCGTTGAGACAACCAATCCGTAGGTGTATTCGATAGCCCCGGCCATCAACGCAAGGATCAGGGCTGATAAGATAAATAGAGCAACCAGGCCACCGGGGGTCTGCTCATCTTCGGGCTTATGCTTAAGCGCTTGCAGGTGACCTGAGGCAAGCTCGGCACTGCGGCGCATCAAATGCGCGGTGACTGCGGACATGATGAACTTTGGAATATGGAAGAAAAGTGGGAGAAAGGGAAGAAATCAGGTCATAAATAAGAGGGGATGCGGCTGACGGCTGACCAGGCTGCGACCGGGTAGGTAGGCAACAACAGGGTCTGACCCACAGTCTGGATTTATTACGAAGCATACACACAGCAGCATGTGTTTAATACTCCATGCTAATATCTTAAAGACTTCTGTTTGATTTTATTCTACTCCGTACTATGCAATCTTTTCCAACCAAAAAAAAGGATTCAAACGTGACTGGAAAACTCTTCCCTTTGACCAGTTTAAATATAGATCCCCCTTAAGTCCATCGGCGTTTGCACCCCGACAGTGCCGATTTGCCCAGGGAATATCCCAACAGGGTCAGGGTTCAGTACACTAGTGGCCCGTTCAACCAATCCAGGGGCGCATTTGTTTGCAACGTCACGAGGAGGATCAAGCCGTAGGGCCAATGGACCACAATCTGAGGCTCAAAGTGGGGTCCAAACAAACGAGTGCATCTGAATGAAAAGACACACCAATTGTTGATTAGTCAACACTGTTGTCAACATCACGTGCTGATTTATCACGTGCATGACGGATAGATGATTCAGCGTACACGTGACTAGATTCCATAAACAGGGTGTGCGCCTTTTTAGCCTACTGTAGCGGGATAATCATGTTATTTTACCCTACACCTGAGTTGCGACAAACTAGTGGACATGCAACATTGCTTGAGGTATGGTGAAATGATATATGCATTCCAAGGTTTCCACCTTTTTGATGACATTGATCGAGTTGTTGACAATGATTAAATTTTTTTTTTCAAGTAAGCGCCTGAATTGCAGTTACATACGAGCTTAAGCAACACTCAAGTGCTCTCATTTAACGATCAACACCACATTCAAGAGTTGACCATTCGTTTGATAATCTTCAAATTACATGACACATCAGTTGATAGGCCCAGATTATATTGTTCCCGTTTTACGGGGAAATACATTGATACAGGTACGTACTGTACGTCCAGGAATATGTAGTAGGTATGTATATGTGTCTGCCTAGTACCCAATAAATACCAGTAACCTTGGAAGCTCTGCGCCATGTAAACTTTGGAACTTTAAAATCGTCTCGGAGCAATCCGAGTCGGACAGAGTTAATTGCCCAATTGCCGAGATTATGCATATAAGCTCGTCGGCTTAAATATCCCATTTCTCTGCCCAAACGCGGGTCAGAACGGGGACTCCCAACATTGGCGAATTGTACTTAAACCTTTTACAACCCCTCAATTAATGCACGTGGCATTCAAATGTTGGATGTCGCCTTACTGGAGACCAAAAACGGATGGTAATGAGGGATTTGCATGATTTTCATCCGAGCCGTAATCGACGTGTAATATGCACCCCGCAACTCTACGGGTGTCAGGTGCTCATGGATCAATACAGCGTAATGTACCAGGTACCTGGGCTTGGATGATATTACACCTCAAGTGCTATATGCACCCTGCATGATTGCATGATCTGCGCCGTTGATTATGTATCACAACATATTATTGCTGTGCAACCGAGACCCGAAAGCTACTATACCTACTAAGTACAGAGCAACAAGTCTACCGTAACTTGCAGGCCCCATGTCGTATGACACTGTTGTACAAGATCGACGAATATTACCCGTGAGGCGTTCTATTAACTTTCAAATGTTCCGTTGCTTCCAGTGGATGGAACAACTTACGTTCTCATCTGCCATAAAGATTTCGGATGGGCCCGGTGGGGTCGCTGTCCACCAACCATAACGTTGGAAAGCGGGAAAAAAAAGTTTTCTGGTTGACTCCATTCAGTCTAGATCTCTTCAGACTAAAAAAATTGACCGACGCAGGGGTCGAACCTGCAATCTCTTGATTCGTAGTCAAGCGCCTTGCCATTGGGCCAGCCGGCCTTGTTGAGATGTGATCGAGATAACGCAATATGGACCACCGGAATAATTTATGGGATAATGAAATAGCATTTGGTTACGTGAGCCTCGTTGGAGGTGTGCAGTACATCGTAGCGTACACGGTCTATGGACAGAACAAAAGAAAAGGTTGCTATGCGTAGACGCCATAATCATGGAAAAGAAAAACAAACCCCGTGCGCCTGAAATGCTGTTTGCTGGTTTTCATACACTAGACCTTGGACTCAGTCATGTAGATCTCCGGTAACAGACCGGCCTTCTCTGACGCAATGCCATCCTCCACGTCGGCTGTCTGTGAGCAGCGGCGTTGGTGGGCCTTGCGCAATCCTAGCCGGTAGGACACGGACATGACAACGTGTCCGATAAGGAAGCCGACTAAACAAGCGAGCAACCCAGCTGTGGCGCCAAGGACTGCGGGGAGGATCACGGGGCGCATGAGGCGCATAAAGGTGTGATCGTGGGTCTTGCCGTGCGGGCGGCGGTGGGTTCGGTGAGAGTAAGACGAAGGCGCAAAGTAAGGAGAGAAGATGTATCCAACAGTCGACTCCACAGCGCTGCTGGGTTTGGGGCTGGCAACATCGGCTTGCGATTGCTGAATAGTTGGTTTGGTTGATGCGGACTCGATTTTCGAAGGGTCAGTCTCAGCCGCCTTGTGACCATTGTCCTTGTGTTTAAACAATGCACCCATTTCCGTCTTCCAGAATTTCATCTTCCACTCTCGTTCCCCCGGAACGTCCGAGCGGATCTTTCCAGGTTCGATGCGGATTTTGGTGATGCGAGGATTTCCATCCGGGTGATCCAGCAAATCGAGTACAACGGTGTTGGCCGTGACCGGGTCGCCATGTTGGTCCAAAAAATCTACCTGGACCCTGACAATACCATGAGGGGCACCCACTTCATGGCTATTTAAGGGTCGGACTTCCAGAGAGTAGTAATAAGTTTCAAAGTCGAGACGCGTCTTTTGCGTGCTTTCATATCGGGGCGCATGGACCTGCATTGACATGGAAGGCGGGAAGACTCGGTCTCCGTTGGCAAACAATGAACCATCTTGCATGGACCATTCCACAGACTGCGTATGTTAGATACCGCGTTCGAGTTTGAGTGGTGCTCAACTAACCAGGTATGATTCGATAGAGGGTACAGGTTCTGAGGCCGGGTGGTAGTTCAAGTGGATCTCGTGTGATGAGGCGAGGGGGATCGACGTAGCGATCGCACCGACCAGACCCAGTACAGACCACGGCAAACGCATGTTGGATGTTGGGAGTAAAATGAGGAATGAGAAGGAAAGGGAGAAAGAGGGGTTTAAGGACAAAAGGTGAAGGGAGCAATTAAGCCGACCCGAACAAGGCTCTTAAAGTCAACCCCAAAGGCTCGGAAGCTAGACTCAACTTGGGTTTAATTACTGTAAATAATATGGATGCCTGCACACCACAGACCTCGGTATCGGTAAAATACTGAGAAATACTGACAAATACCGAGCTAGTGAATCCTAAGCTTTTCATCCCGAGATGAACTTGATTTGATTGGTTCAAAGTGGAAATAAGGGGGGCCAAAGGGTCTTAAGGCGTAATTTATCCTAACTCTTGCATCTACAATGGTCATAATTGGATCATTCGAATTATTCATTTGGGGGCTATTTTATTCCTTAGATTTTCACAGCAACAACCAGATTCGGCCCCCTTTCCCCATGCCCTGGAAATTGATCGGCACAATTGTTAACCCAGTCAAACCGAAAAAAACTAATCTTAGACATGGATCCACTTAAGGTGTCTCACAATTGTAGATGATCGCTTTGTCACGGGATATCCTGGACAGGAAATACTAAAGGTACCAACCCAAGTGCTAGTAGGTACAGTTGAAATGTTCTTTGATGAAGCCTACATCCTTGAAACAATTGGCATGGGTGAATAGAAGCGATGATACATATGTATCCATATTGCATGTACTGTATATAAGCTATACAATGAAGCTATATTCTATTCTTGGCGAGTGGATCCAGTGGGACTGATACATCCTGGTCCATGCTCGATCAATGTAACTACGTGCAGAGTTTTTCTAGCCTTGTAGCCTAGAGTGAAATTGTCGCTACCTAGTCATATTTTTACGTTAGGTAAATCATTTGAAGCCACGCGATACCCGATGAACGGCTTTGTCCGATGGTTCGAACCTTGAAAGTTTCATTCAGCCTTAGCCACAAGTCTCAAATTAAATTATGGTAGCATTTGAATCACTAGTAGTCGATCCGCCGCAGCCACACCCCACTATACAGTCCGATTATTCGACAGGACCAAGCATCAGTAATACGGCGCAGTCTGCCAGAATCGACAGCGGAAATTATCGGATACGTCGGGAATAGGCTGGATACTGCCGGTGCCAATGTCCAAGAGCGCATTCTTTGAGCCATATCGTGGGAATTCTGGCCCCACAGGTGATTTGGGCACACCAAACTGTGCGAAGCTGGTGAAATAGTCCTGCATGGCAATTGCGACAGTGGCGTTTTGGACGTCTAGGATCGACAAACCACCGTCAAGGCCAGCCTTGTCCGGGTTGTAAAAGGTGTATAGCGTGTCTTGGCCGTGGAGCGAGGGTGGGACGCTGAATTCGTATGCAAAGGTCTGGTTTTGATACGCCCAGTTGAGGTACTCCGTGTTGCATTCGAAAATAGATTCTGAGATGATGAATGCGTAGCGCTCAAGGGGACTTTTGTAGTCATAGGACCCGTTATATATCGGTGGGTATAGCACCTGAGTCACGTAATCGGTGACATTCTGCTTGATGAAAGGATAATATAACTTCAGCAGTGTTGGGAGGACGGTGCTGTTGACACTTTCGGGTGGAGTGAACTCGAGTCCCTCGGCCGTGTTGTGTCCAGTCATAACAGTCAGGTCATGGTCAAATCTGCCTTCCATAAGAAGCTGCCCAGGTAAGGCAGGGACGAACGTGCCATCTACAATTGGGGTGTAAGTGAAATCACCCCACTTGGATTTAGTGGCGATCTGGTATGCATTAGCGTCCATCAATTTCTCTGATGGAAGTTGCCGTGCTTCATCAATCGTGCTGACATTCAAAATTTCGAGAAATGTTTGCAGAATCTCCTCGGGCTGCTGATTATCAGGCATGGGTACCCAGCCTGGACTCTGCACAATCGCCTGCTGAAATCGAGACGGTCCCCCCTTGCCGCCATATGCAGTGATTTGATGCACGATGGAGCCTGCACCGGCTGACTCGCCGATAAGAGTGACTCGCTCAGGATCTCCACCAAACAAGTGAATGTTCTTGTATACCCATTCCAAAGCAAAGCGCTGATCATGAAGTCCCGCATTGGCAGTTCCGTTTGCCATAAGAGTGTCACCTCCCAACCAACCAAAGGCACCCAGCTAACCCTGTTAGTGAAATTCATATCACTGTCGCCCATGACTTACACGATAATTTATCGCAACATAGACAACCCCCTCACCAACAATCATGCTCCGATTGATCAGCCCCGAAGGATCCTCCTGCGTTTTATCGCCTTCCGCGTACCCTCCACCATAGATCCAGACCAAGACCGGCGCCAAGGACTCCTTGGAGATCGAGCGATTCCCATGTGACCGATCGAAAATCTTCTTGGGAACAAGCACATCGAGAAACAGACAATCCTCCGTCACGCGCGGGTCATACGGCCGTGGTACATACGGGTAAGAAGAAATATTCGACGACTGATTGAACGGTGTCCCTTCGAATACACTCAAAAGGAACGCCGGCATGATATCCGAAGACCAGATAGGCTTGGCTTGGGGACAAACCCGGCCGACCGAACCATTCTGAACCTGAGAACGATTCTGTTCCGGTAATTCAGGAGCGCGAAATCGCAAATCCCCTACTGGCGGAGCCGCATAGCGGATATTGGTGAAGTTGTACAAGCCTTTGGTGCTCTGAAACCTTATTAGCCGTTTAATCAAGCTTGGAATGTGAGGTATGCTGACATTGAATGAAATCGCTTGGTGTAGTTCATAGCCGAGATCAACGATAGGAAGCCCCGATGCAGAGCAGGCTACCACAAAGAAAAGAAGTAAAACAATCATCTCACAAAACTCGATTATTGAGAAATTTCAGAGCCACTCGACTTGTGTACTGGGGAACAATGCTATTCTTCGCTTTCGGCTCGGGGCGGGGGGATGGAAGGTACCTTATCTGTCCCAGGAACGATCGACGGGAAGAACCCAAAACTTCTGTAGAAAGCATCGAAATCAGGTATTCATGACGTTACATGGGCATAATGGCTATGTCTAGGTGGTAGTTTGAATGAGCGGTCAAATCTTGCCTTTTACTGCATCCGGCGTTGACCAATAGAACACTGCACCCGCGATAGCCGATCGATGCATAAACTCTCAGAAGTATGATCATCCTGGATTTCCGAGATATATAGGATAATCTGCAGCTTGAATACCTAGGTAGACGTACAGATGGCAGGGCATGAAATATTTGTGAGCCCTTTGGCCTTGGGCCAGTGCATAGTTCCCTCGAATCACCGATCCTCAACCTCTCGGATTTTGTAATCAATCATTTCGTTCGATACGACGTCATGTTCATTCTGCAACTTGTTGGCAGTTTCCACCCCGGCAGCTGGAACTCGGTACTCAAAGCGCTTCCCTGGAGCCGGGACTGAGCCATCAGGGAGGGCATACGGGAATGGAAGATACTCGGGCAGCAGTCCAAGCTGAACAAGCACGGTCGCCTGGTCCCATGCGATGTGTTCATGATAGAGCCTATCACCACGAATATTGACTACCGAGGTGAAGGGGATACGGAGTGGTTTTCCAGTTGGTGGGATTCCAGGGACACTGAGAACGTTAGTCGAAATATTGGCTTTGGCGTACATAACTTACAGCCAGTCAATCTGCTTCACGTGGGTGAGACAGAAGATGAATTCATCCACGATGCGATCGGTACCAATAGTGCGGCTAATTAGTTCGATCGCGGTATCATCCGGGTTGTTATAAATAAAATGGTAAAGGTAAAAATTGCTCAGACTAGCGCGGCCAATTCCACCGGTCATCTAATATTGATTAATACCAGTCTGTTATGAATGTGATGTAGACTCACGGTAGGAATATGGTTCACATATGGCTCTTGCACCATAGTGGCCATGGTCTTTTCAACCGAACGATCGCCAAACTCGTAGTAGGTGTGCTCATCCCAGATCTTTTCCAGATCAAAATTAGGGCCCCCAAGGAACTTTTTGAGAAATACAAGGCTGCGCGTGTGGGCAACGCCTGCTGTCGATATCTTGAAGTCCGGATGACCCGGGACAATGAAGCCGGACGAGATGGTGTCCGGATAGAAATAAGATTTCTGATGGTCATCCTTGACATCATTCTCGGGGGTTTGCAAATGCAGGAGATGTTTTGTTTCATCCATTTCCCAGGTATCAAAACAAACCGCAGCCATCACAGTGTCGGCGAAAGCTCGCAAATCAGGAATGGTGGCATAGTCTCGTTTAGAACCATATACTAAAGTCACGTTAACATAAGGCAGATATTTGGAGACGTATATGAAGCTCACCTATCAACCCGAAATCGTTATCTGTGGAAGTGCACTCCGGTAGGTCTGATAAATGTTGTCTCAAGCTCGCGATAGTCTCGGCATTATTGCTATTCGCATTAAGTGTTATCTGGCCCACTGCAAATCCTTCTTCAGCCCACTTCTGGAGTGGTGCAGGATCCAGAGTCTGGTTTTGCTCTTGACAGTCCGCAAAGGCTGCAGGTCGGACAATAAACAGTCCCGGGCCACTTCCATGACGAGTGAGTGGGGGCTGGATGGTGATATAGGGGCCAAAGGGGATTGGTCTAGCTGACAGTCCAGATAATGTTGTCATGTTGATCACAAAACCCATGGGATTTAGTATCGTCGAGTATTCAAGCTGCTGAGGTGCGGGGTAAAATATTAGTAAACCAATTGAGATATTACTAACTTAAAGGAAACAGCATTGATCATGAATAATTACCTGCAATTCCCGTGAATAACAAAGCAGACCTTTAGTCCGACACATCCTACACGTGACTCTGCTTCTCGTCCTACCATTACACTGATCCGAACATTTGAAGCCCGCATTCCAGCGCAGAAGTCGTCAAATCGTATCTCGCAACATCAAAAAAACCAGTTCCAACGACCACACATCATTATAGGCATCTTGGACCTGTAGCCTTCGGGACTAATTCTCTCAAGCTGTCAAGTTCAGTCGAAAGAAGAAATTTTCGTGAATTAATGAAGCGGTGGCTTGTGACGATATATCCCCCCATAGTGGGGATACCGGATTCTGCATTCTGGCGAATGCGGAGGTTCTTGGCTTCACTCGCGGCAGCATCATCTTTAGCCTGTAACACTTAGTATTCTCGACGTGAAAACACATACGCTATCTCTAGCAATTTGTATTCTAAGCAGCCAAAACGCTTCATCTCGTTCCGCATTTTCAGCCACGCGTTGGCGGCATTGGCCAGACTCGGGGCCAGGCCGCTTACAATGCTGAAAAATCTGCATTGATCTCGCATTAGCATTGTAGAGGTGATTAGAAGCGATTGATAATGGCTCGATAGGGATGGAGTATAAGGAGTTGATAATGCAAAAAATGTAGATGATTTTTGAACTCACAACGATTTGTGATTACGGTCGATAGCTGGATGCTGTTCTTACCTTGGGAAGAGACTTGACTAATGCATGAAAAACGAAGGTGAATGTTAGGATACCAGTTAGGAGACTCGGGAGGTAACTCAGTAAGTGGTATAGGAGGGAAATTCTCAGTCTAGGCTAAATCTCGCGGATGACCATTCTGCATTATGAAGCCCGCCATATTATTTAAGCCAAAATTTGAACCAATCTCGCTATATAGCCAATCCTACATCTTGTGAACCCAAGACTTTGCAGTCCACCCTCGGAACTTCTTCCCATACAAGTAACATGGGATCGCGCAGAGACACCACAGAGTACACAAGCTCATGTTCAGCATGATAGGCTTCACAAATCCACTGTCTGACACCCATGTCGTGATAAACTTACTGAATCCATAACCCCACAGATTCTTATTAACTGTGATTGCGACAAAGATGGAACCAGCAACAGGCTTGTAACTATCGACGGCATACGTGCTGACGATGGCTGGTAGGGCAGCAACTTGAAGCCCAGCCGCGGTGTACCCGATGATGACAATGATCTATAATGTTAGAGTGCGAATTCAAGAGGTCAGAGCAAAACTTACCCGCCAATCCCATTTGTACTGGTAGCCAAAAGCCACGACAAAGTTCCCGATAATCATAATTGCCACGTAGATCGCCATTGCTGGGAGTCGCATCTCCGGCTCTCGGATTCCCTTGTTCTTTCGCGTGGCTCGCATCGATATCCAGTCTGAAAAAGGCCCATTGGTAGAAAGGCCAATCACAGCCCCAACGAGAATTGCAAAATTAAAGAAACCGATCGTTTGACTGCTGAAGTTGTACGGAGGCTCAGCAAATGCTTGACTCTGTGTAAGATTCAACGTCAGGAAGCAACTGGCGGACCAGGAAACGACAAAAGCAGACAGCTCGACAATTGGAAACGCCAATAGCTTCCATGGAAGCCAGAAGCTGATAAGAATATCCTTCCAACTGGCGCCCTCAGCTTGCCAAAGGTGGAATTGCTTTTTGGAAGGATGGCCCTTGTGCAAGTATGGATCTTGTGAGTGATCACCCTCTTCGACTTCTGTGGGATCTCCCTCCACATTCTCTTTTTGTGTGAATTCGACGGGTTTGTCAGAACTGGCCGAGGATGGGGGCTGTTCTGCATGGATAACTTCGTCGGGATGAACGCGGTGCCACTTGGTCTCCGGGAAAACGAAGATCAGCAGGAGGAGTGAAAGGCCTAACAAGCCGACGTTGAGCCAGAAGAAGCTGCGCCAACCAATGTGGTCTGCCATGGAGCCTGCGATGATTGGACCGATCATCAAAGAACCAAAGTAGAAGGTGAAGTATAACGTATTGTAGGCACCACGCTCGTGAAGAAACATGATGTCTGCAATGACCTGCGGCTGAAGTGTCTATTGGAAGATTAGAATAGCCTTGGAATATATGAAAATAAGATCTCACCTCAGCAGGACCAGCGCCTATACCATTCAAAACACACGCGCCCATATAACTCCCATAGGTAGGTGCCACAGCACGCCAGACATTACTGGCCAGACAGATCAGAGTCGAGAAAATAAGGACAGGGCGTCGACCGAAGCATGTAGAAATAGGAACCCTAGGATCATCAGTGGTATCCAGCATGTAAAGTACACGTTGATCTTACCAGATAAAATTGCTGAATCCCAGTACAAGGATGCAAACTCCAGTAAACTGGACAATGTCGGCCAAACTCCTATCAAAGCTCGCTTCCATCTGAGGCATCATTGGTGCAAGGGCTAAAGGCCCCAATCCCTGACAGAATGTTGTCAATGTTGCGATGGCCATCGTGGACATCTTCCAAAATCTGCTCCAGTTCTATATATGTGATATTAGAGACCCAACACCCATTATTACAGGAAAGACTTACAAGAGGATCATGAATATCAGGCGAGGGCTGTGGCACCAATACGCGACTGGATTTAGACGAAGACTTGACGAAATGGTGTGAGCCAACCTAGAGAGTCATCCATGCTGTGATTAGCAATTAATCCGTTTAAAAGGCATGCTGCAGGGCTTCAAGATTCTTCTCACATCAGCCATAATCTCAGTACCGGGAAGAATTTTGGTTCCAAGCTCCTCCTCTATCTGGTGGAGAACCTGGGTAACCCATTAGCTGAATTTTTTATGAAATAAAATGATAAACAGGATAACTCACGACTTCATCATAGTTCATCTCCATGATGGGCAAAATCTGCCGTAGCTTGGCATAAACTGTAGAGTCCGAGTAATCTAGGATATGCGGGCGTAAAGCTGGTCTTATGTCTCCACAAGGAGTAAACAGGATAAAGCGCGGAATTAGATATTCTTCCAATTGCCGAGCTACAAGATCAACGGAATAGGGGAAGTGAACCTTAGAAAGAGGGGACAAGGACATAAGACCCGACTGGTTAATGGCGTTGCTTACCTTCTTCTTTGAAATCTACTAGATCAACTAAGATTGGTCCATTCCTTATAGAGTTTAACGGCAAGTCTTAGATGAAAGAATCCTGATGGCACGAAGGTTGTTTCGGGCTCCACATTCGTACTTTTCGTATTCCCCCCCGGATTTCCCCCGCACTCGCTATAGACAACTGCGGTATGAATTGTTTTAACTTCTGTCGCTTACCCTTGCCACAAAATATCGGTATTTCAGAACGGCATTTGGCCGCCATCAAAAGCTCGAGATGATTTGATTCACTAAGCATGCTATCTGGTACTAAAAAGGGGTTCGATATATTGGTAGATCACTTCAAAGCTTATTGGCAATAATGTGATGGTAGTTTAAGGGCCTATTTTACGTACCCGCGATACCCACACTTGATTCAGGGTTTCAATGTTATCGTGTACGACTGATTTTGAAGCATGAAATTTCCCTTAATCCTTCAAATGCTCCATGGCGGGGCGACCTCGGGAGATTATTATGACTTGGCGGTGTTCTGCTAACACGGAGAAAATTCCGCCTCTATACTTTTTTGGCTGGAGGTAATGACGCGTTCAATGTCGATTCCACAAACCCTGGAGTTTCTGAGCCACAGATTTAGTCGCCCAGCCAAGGTCTGCCTCCAAACCACCTAAGAGATCAATGATGATTCGATGCTCCTCCGAGCCCTCTAGACATTGTCCCACGGCAAATAACAGCGGAGTCATGTACACGCGAACTTCTCCCCGAGGCCGTCCCAGCGCGATCCCAAATACATCTCGACTCCGATACTCCACCTCCTTTGTAACCTCCCGATACCCCTGCAAGCGATCGAACGCCGTACTCGGCGCGCTCAATACATCCGGTGGTCGATTCAACAATAGCGCGATCCGCCCGAAATGATAGTGTTGCATTGCAGCTGCACAGGTCGGGAGGCTATAAAATACTTCGGGGAAGGGTAATTGAGGGCCATTAGGCGATTTTGCCGGGTCTCTGGGATTCTCGATCCGTACACAAGGACGAAAGGTCTCCGGGACACCGTCGAACCAAACTTGTAACTCGAAAGAAAGATCCAGCCAGCAATTCGTGTCGGAGTAAGATTGCTGATCGGCCTCTGTTGAATCTTTGGGTGAAGTAGAGGGACTTTCAGTCCACTGAGCAATCTGTGACTCTTTTGACCGAGCCAGAAAATTGACGACCTTGGAGATAAGCCATGATAGACCATTTGCTGCCTGATCTTCTTGACTCATATGGCTGGAGCCCATTTGGAATTTATGTTGGTCGTCAATGGATATTCCTGCAGCTCGCCATAGAGGGAGATTGGCGGGGCTGAGATGGGTCGCTGATCTGATGAAATATGACCCTAGGTAATCCTGTCGAGCGAAGTTCCAGAAAGAAGCGCGCAGCCCGTGAGAGAAAAAGGGTGAACCTGTCAAATTCAGATGCAGAAGAGACTCGTACAACGGACGGATACCCGCAAGATGCCTACATCATGTCAGTAACTTTTCAGAAGCACACTCATTGAATCTTACTTGTGCCACTCTTCACCGTTCGAGTCTAGAAGCCTGTATAATGTCAAAATAGTGACAGTCGCAAGCATCTCCTCGGCCATCCGCAGAAGGCTTCCGTCGCTTCTTGTTTGTGCCCGCTCTTTTGTCAGACGTGAGTTAAGCCACCGACCGACCGTCTCGATTGGCGATTCCAGCACGGCCGAGGTAGAGACAGCCATATAGCCACCCGAACAATTATTGTTCAGGGCTGATGCCGTCATATAATAATAATTGGCAGCTTTGAGAAACCAATCAACATGAGCTGTATTCGGATACAGCTCGGTAGTAGCGGGACTGGTGAACATGCCGTTCCCAGCAGATGACTTTGCACCCTTTACTCGCCCTAGTTGCTTGGCTGCCAATGCGGCGATGGCATATTTGAGTGATGGGCTGTTGATGGATCGGATAGGCACATAGACGGAAAAGAACTTTCCAGAATCGGATAAGTCAAGCCTAGATGAAATCAGCATACGAAGAGCAATTGATCATATGGATAATCACCATGGTCCTATGACCTCTGCATAATGGCGGGTGAGAAATGCAATCTCATGCTCAGTGCCCGTCGAGAATTCAGAAAAGATATCTTGGAATTCTTCCTGTTCGCTCCGCTGAGAGGGCGTCTCTGCAGAAATCACTCGCTGATAATCACCTGAAATTGGATCTGTGAGATCCATGGAGATCTTCGGCGACACCGAGCTGTGAACACTGGTCGACCTAGTTTCCCCCCCCGGGGATGAAACCGGTAGGAGGTTGAGCTGCTGATAAAGTGGAAGGAAGCGAATTCTGAGCACTTGTCGCACTTGATTGCCTTGATGGACCGGGTTCGCCTGTCACTTGATCATCTCTTGGCTCCAACCTTGCTTTTTCCAGCTGAGACTTAGTATTGCCATCTTCCCTTGAGCTGAAGGCTTGATCTTGCGCCTCTGGCTGATTTTGAATTTGTGTTGATTGAGTTGCGCCCTGACCCTGTTCAAATATCAGACCTCGCTCTCTCTCATAGTAGAAAGAATTCGGCGTACTCTACTAGAATCTCCGACGCTTCCGTGTGCAGCGTGGACTTCTTGATAAGGAGCGTACCGGCGTCTCACCGTCGCTCCTTGATCAATGAATTTGCGAGTTTGAACATAGCCAGGACACTCCACACCAGCAGTGGTGCAGCGCTGACATTGCGGACGAGTCTCGTCACACTGTGATCGTCAGTTGGTGGCGATCTGTTTTCCGACATTGGTACGAACCTTCAAATGTCTTTTTTTACACCGCTCGCACGCCTTATTCGAGGGAACACCGGGCATGATATGATATTTTCACCGGGCGCATGCAGTCACTAGGCGCCAAGGACTCTCCTGGTTGATAACATTCAAGATGATGGCAGCTGCTGACATCCCATGTAATGAGTTGACGCAACGAAGTCGTGAAGATAGCTAACCGTGGACCGGCAGTTATCAAGGGATCTGAAACGTATCAAATTCGGCGATAATTCGGCATTTGCTCGGAATGTTTGATCTCAGTTCCCAGTGTTCTATGCAGCAGATAGTTGGGATAAAAGAGCAAGATTGCAGAAAAACCGAATAAATCCATTTTGATAGATAATAGCTAATGTTATTGTCTTGAATCAGAGTGATAGGCTTGTTTCATGTTATTGTGTTGAATCAGAGTGATACGCCTGTTTCAAACTTCAATGCGCTCCCTAGTAGTCAGTCATCTGATGTCCCTGGGAGACGTTCTTGATAAACCTCGTTAAGATATGTTTGAACACACAAGAATATGGAGATGAGGAATCTTAGCGATTTCAATCGTATTAAGTCTCTTACGAGCGAGTGGAATTCCGGTCCTTTCTTGTTCTGTGAGGATACAACCCGAACATTGCTATTTGTTCGCCCTCAAGCACTTGATATTAACGTAACCTAAAGGTTACATAGTGACGAGGACCGAGTGATTGCATATGCACTCGCTACAGTTTGACGAATCTCCTCACTTCTGGTCCGCTCACGACCCCCGCATCCCGGAGTTGTTCCATTCGCTAATCCTGCCCGAGTCAACAAGGATCGGCACTTCGCCAGGAACCCGGGGACACTGTGGTACCGAGTCATTCTTATTCCAGTACAAATAACGCAAATCATGCGGTCACAGCCGCCTCGTGATGCTGCTTTGTGCTTTATTGTGGGGAAGCAATTAAACAGACTGCCGACCGATTATACTAAGGTCGCACCAGCACTTGAGCTCGTCCGACCGGTGCGAACTCCCAATGTGACATTCCCTCGCTTTGACGGCCTAGCCCATTGGGTTGGATATGTGAGTCCCTAATATGGGGAATCAGTATGCCGATCGATATGTGGAATGCTTCCCCGCAAGCTGGGTAAATAAGGGAGCTTGACCCGGCGAGGGGGGCGTGGGTTTAAATTTGGACGAAGCTGTCGCGTCAGAACTCAACAAGCCTCGCAGGTTGGATTGTTTTCACGGGGCTCATTATGCTGTCGCGAATCTCCCGCCCCCGCGTGGACATGCTCAGTGTTGTTGCAGCACTTCTTTATGCTTCGGCCGCTATAGCTTCACAACATGCTGCCGTCGGTAGCTTTGACGTTCTTGATTATGTCAATCCCTTCATTGGAACCGCGAATGGAGGTATGGAAGATATAGATATTGCTGGTGGCTATGTTGACGTAAACTACAGGACACGTTTTCGCCGGCGCAACACTGCCGTTTGGTGAGTCAATAAATGTCGAGTAGCCGGACAGAGCTGATAAGAACAGGCATGGCCAAAGCTGTCGCGGATACAGTGGGCGAGAATCAAGCTGGTTTTGCATACGACGACTCGACCGTCACAGGCTTCTCGCACATGCACGACTCGGGCACAGGTGGTGTATGTATAGCTCAGAACTCTATCCAGGTATAAACAGAAGTTGACAATCGCAGTCACCATCCATGGGAAATTTCCCTATATTTGCCCAGCCTGCCTGTCCCCACGACGACATAAACCAATGTGTCTGGCAGCAAACCGACCGAGGAGTGGCCTGGCTGGAAAATAACCACTCTCCTGTTGCCCGTCCCGGATATTTTGGCATCTCATTGGAGAACGGTGTCCATGCAGAAATGACAACGACCAATCGTTCAGCTTTGTATAGATTCACCTTTGACAACTCATCCAGTACCTCTCTGAGCCCTGTGATTCTGGTGGATTTGATGGATCTACCGCAGTCACGGACCAATGGAACCGCCGTTGTAGATCAGTCAACCGGACGGCTCAGTGGAAACGGCACGTTCAATCCCAGCTTTGGTATTGGAAGCTATGATCTCCATTTTTGCGTTGATTTCAAGGGGGCCGAGCTCCGTGACACAGGTGTATGGACTAATAACCGCGCAAACTTCACCCAAAAGACTGTGACCATGCTAGCTGATGGGAACAATACCCCGGACACTCTATCAGGTGGTACATTTGCCCGGTTCCACGCACCACAAAACAATACCATCTTGGCTCGGGTCGGTGTAAGCTTCCTGAGCGTGAATCAAGCTTGCGATAACGCGGAGAAGGAACAGCCTGATTTCGACTTTGATGGAACACGGGCAGTAGCAGAAGATGCGTGGAGGAAGAAGCTGAAAGCCGTTTCTATCGATGCGGAAGGGGTCTCGAAGGATTTTCAAACCATTTTCTGGAGCGGAGCTTATAGGGCTTTTATCTCCCCGCAGGACTATACAGGTGAAAATCCTCTCTGGAAGAGTGACGAGCCTTACTACGACAGCTATTACTGGTGAGCACTTTGAAGCATGATGAAAGGAATTACCGCTCTGATGATTTCAACAGCATTTGGGACTCTTATCGCAGCATTCATCCACTCTTGACCCTTGTGGATCCCGTGTCGCAGTCCCTCATGATGCGCAGTCTTGTCGACATCTATCGACATGAAGGCTACTTACCTGACTGTCGCATGTCTCTGTGCAAGGGATTAACCCAGGGAGGCTCCAATGCAGATGTAGTCATGGCAGATGCCTACCTGAAAAAGGTCCCCGGCATAGACTGGGATACTGCTTATGAAGCTGTGGTAAAAGACGCCGAAGTGGAGCCTCAGAACTGGAACGTGGAGGGACGCGGTGGGTTACACAGCTGGAAGAGTCTTGGGTACATTCCATTCGACGACTACGATCCATACGGAGTGGGCACGCACACTCGCAGCGTCTCACGAACAGTGGAGTACGGATATAACGACTTTTGCATTGCAGAGATGGCCAAGGGAATGGGACATTTGGCCGACCACGATAAATACATTACGCGCTCTGGAAACTGGAACAATTTGTTCAAAGCGGATCAAAAGTCCAGCATCAATGGAGTTGACACTGGCTTCACTGGCTTCCTGCAGCCTCGATATACGAACGGTACTTGGCGCTACCAGGACCCCATTCTGTGCAGCCCTCTTCTGGACTTTGATGGCTGCTACCTCAACCCTACCGGTCATGAGACATACGAAGGAAGCGCTTGGCTGTATACCTTGTACGTTCTATCCCTAGTTGAAGTTCCCAATCACTGACGAATTTCCAGTTATGCTCCCCATGACATGGGAGCATTAGTCCAGGCGCTTGGTGGAATGAAAAAATTCACTTCTCGATTAGAATACTTCCACAAATCTGGACTGCTGTACGTGGGCGACGAGCAGGCCTTCCTTCCTATCTTCCAGTTCCATTATTCGGGACGCCCCGCTCTGTCGGCAAAGTACAGCCACTCCTACATTCCATCTCAATTTAACACCACTGTTGAAGGTATTGCCGGCAATGACGATAGTGGAGCCATGGGGTCATTTGTCGTCTTGAGTATGATGGGTCTTTGGCCAGTACCAGGTCAAGATGTCTACCTCATCACTCCGCCATACTTCAAAGAGGTCAACGTTACGAACGGCATTACAGGTAATGTTGCGACGGTCCGGAACGTGAACTTTGATCCAAGCTACGCATCAATTAATATTCAGAGTGTCAAATGGAATGGCAAGCCCTGGACGAAGAACTGGATTACCCATGACTTCTTTACGGATGGTGGAGTTCTTGAACTGGAGCTGGGTGCGGTGGAAAGTGATTGGGGAACCAAGATTGAAGACTTGCCTCCTAGTCTCTCAGACTATCACACCTAAGGATTTATACCTTCTTCATAACATGATTATCGTTACATCAATGAAAATATGTCAATTTCTCCAAGTCCTCTATGCACAGGCTGTTTCTGACCAGATAACTAGTGCAGCCTTTCTCCACTTTCGTCAAAGCGAACAACGTCCCCAGTAAGCAAGGCATGCTGAAGACCCTGTGCAATCTTCATAACCGTAATTCCAGTCTCAAGCTTTACAGGCACAGGAGTATCCTTCAAAATGCACTCGACAAACTCATTAGCCTCAAGCGCAAACGCATCCTGGAATCGCTGCCAGTACTCCGGCTGGACCTCATGACGCATGCCGAGCTTATCAGCCAAGACCACGTTATTCTCCCTGGGAATAACATTCACCATTAATTTTCCCTCAGTACCAGTGATCTCGGTACAGACATCGTGGCCGTGTGCCTGCGTACGAGAGCAGTAGAAGTAGGCAATTTTCCCACCCCAGAACTCCACAACTCCAACGGCGTTATCCACGTCTGAAAGCTCCCTCAGCTCTGGATGGTGCTGGAGAGTACCTACTGCCCAACAGGCTTTGGGAACTGGGTTGTTCAGGTACCAAAGAGATAGATCGATGTCATGAATGGCACAGTCGACAAAGATACCGCCATTGCGAGCTGCATATCGAACGAAAAAGCCGGTATCGTCGCGGAGATCACAGGTGTTGGATCGAACCATAAATGAATTTCCGATGGCTTTTTTTTGGTAGATCTTTTCGCCTGCATCGCGGTAGGAGGCATCGAATCGACGAGAGAAGCCTGCCATGACCTTAAGGTGAGGGGTTTTGTTGGCTGCATCCACTACCGATTGTGCCTTCCAACTGGTTAGCGTTAAATCCCATACTATTGCAGTTTCATCAAATACCTCGGCAATATCAGTGCTCAATGGCTTCTCGCAGAGTACATGGATGTTTTTTGCAATAGCAGCCAGCGATTGGCTACTGTGGACATCGGTGCTGTTTGGGAAATAAGTCTCACTGGGGTAGGAGAGCATTTGAATGGCACCTACATACCTGGTGGAAATCCAGACGGCCTGAAGACCTGGCTGTTCCAACATCTCATCGTAGTTGTGGTATACCTTGATTCCGAATTCTCGATATTCGAGGTTTTCCGTGGCCCATTTGATCTCACTAGGGTCGGTTGTGCACACCGCCACGACCTGGCTTTTGGGAACTCGGTAGAGCAGAGTATGGACATGGCGCTTTCCCTAGGATATATGAGCTTCCAAAAAATACAGTTTGATTATAGGCTTTGATTACCATACGGCCAAGACCGACAACGGCAATTTGAAGTCGTTGCATCGCTCTGAATTCAATAATTGAAGGATTTAATGATATAACTGAGATTGATTGAAGATTCTGTCGACAGTTGTATTTGAAGTGATTTTATTGATTTGAAAGGCTCTAAGTTGAAAGTATGCAAGATATTCATGATCTTTATAGTTGCAGATTCAGAACAATGGAGCCATGAAGGATGAATCCCCGCCGGGTCCTGCCATTTCAGGATTGTAGAGATGACCAGTTTGATATGAGTTCATGGATTCAAATGACTTCAAATTTTACCTGATGGTTGTAAACTCCAGTGATACCATTCCAAAACTTTCCTTTTCCAGTAAAAGCCGGCCATTGTTGTGATGATCCATGCGGGGGTTCCTACTCAAACAGGATAATCCCATGCGGGGTAGATCCCCACTCCTTATTTAGGAAGGTGTCGCCGGTCACTTCATTAATTGTTGATTCTCCAGAGTTATCAATTGCATCCATGGATTGTTTATTAACTGCAGTTGACGTGACAAGCAGTGCTATGTCGAACAAGGCCCCATGCTTGAACTGCAGAGGTAAGGATAGTCTGTTCCAATCTTGACTTGACTAATTTTTGTAACTAGAAAGTCATCAAAAATGTACGTGCTGAGGACAAGTCACAAGACGGGTCTGCTCATACTTTGCCGCAGGTGATAAGCAAAGACCAGTTTGCCGACGATGTGAGACCAAAGGACTCGACTGTCGACCTGTGCAAAGAAAGGCCGTCTTCCGGCACGGTTCAACCGCAAATTTAGAAGAGAATTTTACACAAAGCCAAACATGGGTTGACAGTAAGCCCAGAACCTGGAGACAGCCAAAATGTCCCTCCATCTCGAGTCAATCCCCGAGGGTCAACGCGTGGGAGAATGGCGAACGTATGACTTCGTCACCTCTCAGTGGATTTACAACTGATCAGAGGAATTCCGCTGCAAACCCGGTGGGTTCATCCACGCAGAATGGTAGCAACATTAGCAGCATCAATCATGCCGGAATCATACCATTCAATTTGGACCTTCCAGCACAATCCGTTCAGAGTTCTCCAATTTCTATTATCCCTTCCCCACTGTCTTCACTTACTAGCAACGCCGATCCGAATCTCTATCCAGACTCGTATGGTGATCACACTGCAAAAAGAAGACGTATATCAGATAATGATTCCTTATCTCCGTCTTTGTCTGATTACTCTCATGCCAGCTCATTTGGAACCATACAGGAATCCTGTCTGATGAGGTATTTCATCGAAGAACTCTCTCCCTGGGTAAGACTGAGTGCTCTTGCTATCGTTCGTAGACTAATTTTATCAGTTTGATCATTGTGATGACCGTCGACATTTTCAACTGGAGGTGCCTCGCCGTGCCCGTCACTGTCCTACTCTTCGGAACGCGATTTGTGCAGTGGCCGCACGTCATTTATGCCGTCTTCCAAAATACAAGACTTCTCATGGCATTGTATACTGTGGCCAATCACTTCCAAACTTGAAGAATTCAAGTGCCCTCGAGTACATGTTGAAGTGCATTCCAGATCTCATTCAATTCCCCAAGACACAAGATCCTACCCATCAAGAGAACATCATGGCAGCCACTGTGATACTACGCCAGTACGAAGAGATGGATGAAGAAATGGACGAAGGCGATATTAATGGAAATTACCAGGTTGATGGAAGAGTCAATTTTCTGGCGATCACACAAACCATCATAGACTCTATGATTGCGTCCCCTCTCGACCAGTCTCTGGCGAAGGCGGCATATTGGATCACTGTGCGACAAGAGATCTACTACGCCTTGACAAGAGAGACTGTTCCGCACCTACGCTTTGATTCGGATCTTTGGCAAAGCACCGCTGTGGCCAATCATATGATTCTATTTGCGGGGGAGGTTGCCACTTGGCGCTGGGGGCAGCAGTTACGAGAGGATTGGGGTAAGGCTTATTGATTTCCCGTGTAAACCTGGCTAACACAAAGCAGCGCAGCTCAAGTTAAAAGAGCAGCAGCTTGTGCATGATTCAATCGGAGAACTTGAGCCAATCCTTGAGCTTAAAGCGGACCGAACGAAAGGAGAAATATTCCCTACCACCTGGTACAGCTTTGACATCCAGGTTACGGCAATCCAACACTTTAGACTTGCCCAGATGATCTTGACAGGAGAAAATCCTCACCTTGAGTTAGTCCGATATTTTAGCTAGTCAGAAGCATGCTAACTGACCAGAAACGCAACTCGTGCTATACATCGAAAGACAGAGGCTCAGGTTCGATCAATCGTGTTAGATATATGTGGAATCGCCATGAACCATCCTCGAGTACAGCCTGCGCTCGTCAATGCAGTGATTGCGACCACTTTATATGGCGAATACTTTACGGACCCGGTGGAACGAGATGCCTTGGTAGGCATCATCAATAAAACCAAAGATATACATGCCTGGCCGATGAGGAAGCCCTACCAAACAGTCCAGCGACGATGGGAATTGATGGATAGCGCAGAAATATAGACTGGGCATATTTCAACTCAAAGCAATCTAACTCTTAGTTTGGATATCTCCCGACCCCGCCAGTTGCTTCCTCGGCGCCTTGCCCCCCTTCTGCATTGGTGACCTCCTTCGAGTTTCACCTCTAAACACTGCGTCATCATCCGCTATTTCTGTCAATTCGCCAACTGACATCACGGCAACCGAGACTCAAACAGCTTGGGGCGTTCACAAACTCTGCCGTTACACGCACGGTCTCAAGGGTAAATGCCGTATTATCCTGCCCTGTCTCTTCAATCTGCACCAACATTATTGTTCCGTCTTTTGTCGTTGTCTCATCGGCAAGAAGGAACACGCTCATTTCAATAGAGGTTCCCTTCACATTTCCAAGTGAGAACTGAGCGACATCCAAAGGACTCCATCCTATGAATGGCGATGTGAATGGAACTTCGATCGGGGGGAGGGTCACCGAGTTCTGGGTATATTGATGGAGTGAATCCCTGGTGTTCTCTTTAACAAGAACAAGCGCTGGTATAGAGTCTAGCTTATCGCCTTCATGGTATGCCGTATCAAGAATAGATGATAGAATCTAGTTCGGTGAGCATGGAGTATCTTGAGTCAGTCGGTCGATATCTGGCGTACTTGAGATGAAACATCATGAATAGCGATGATGCTTATGGGCGTTTTTTGTAAATAATATATCGTCAATTGTGCCTAGGTAAATTGGAATGAGTAGAAAGACAGTATAAATACTTCAAATCCGGTATATTATGGCTATCACGTGGGTCTTCGCCCCCAATTATGTGGGTGAATCGGGGCAAATAGACAGAAGGTTGAGAAACTTGGAGACATGTGAGGGAAGTACTCATACAGCATCACTGGAATGCAATCCTTTGAGTTGTGATTTTCTTGATGCTGAGGGTCAATGAATTTGTGTGAATATAGGTAGAAGTCGAAGTGAAATTCTGGTCAATTGAGGCCCCATAAATACAAGTTTTCCCATGCCAACTCCAGCGATGATCGTTGTCTCGCAGTAAAAGAAAGGATATCAGTAATGGTTCAGGTGCTCTACCGCTTCCAACTATCGATCTTCTTGCGGCGCTTGTCAAAGATCTCGCCCATTCCCACGCCATCATCACGCTGTCCGTCTTCGTTCTTTCGCTTCCGGCTCTTGTCCAGGGCTCCGCTGCTCTTACTCTTACGGGTAAGGCGCTCAATGCGATCAGCTCCCTCTGTAAGGCCCTTCCACTCGTCTCCGCCATACGTCTGCCGATCACGGCCACGTCGCTTGATTTCTTCCTTCCTGGTCTCCTTTGGTAGACGAACAAAGTTGGTTTCTTCGTAGCGTGCTCGCTCGGCCTCGTACTCGCGGTCCTTCTTGGTCTTAGTCTCTCGGCCACCGGCGAGAATGGTGCTACCGATACTGGGCTCGGCCATGGGCGCGGAAGACATCTCGGCATTGACGAATTCGTCAATAACATTAGACCGGCGGGGTCGGCGATCCTCGCGCTCACGACGCTCGGTTGTGGGGAGGGAGGTGGGCATGATCTTGGGTGGGCGGTAAATGCCATCACTGGGCTCTTCGCGCTTGGCGGCTCTAGCTTGGGGCTTGGCCTCGATCTTGGCTTTCGTAAATGCGGCGACGTTGGGACGATAAGCCATTTCATCCATGTCATCTTCGTCGCTATCGTCCTCGCTGCCATCCGATGATACCTCGTCACCTGAATCCATGACCTTGCTGGGCTTGGCAACCTTCTTCGCCTTGGCAGGTCGCTCGGTCCGCTCTGAATCCTCCGCCGCCTTCACCACCTTATCAACCTGGTACTTCAACCGTCCTTCCAACGGGCGTACACCTCGGTCAAGGAATACCCGCAGCTCAACCAGCTTCTTCACGGCGTCATCTCGGAGCGAATCATTTGTAGAATTTTCCGAATCGTCTGAGTTTTGTTGGGAAGATTGTCGCAGTTGAAAAATAATCAGGAAGACGAGATTATGGAGGTAGGAGAGGAGAATTTCGCTTTTGGTGTCGAGGAGTGAGATACCATCCTGCGGAGGCTCAATCGAGACGTTGGAGGACGCGTCTTTGCGTGGTGCAGGGAGGGATGAAGCGGCGCCATTCAAGCATGATGTGAGGCTCTCAAGGAGGGTTGCCAGCTTTGAGCGCGACTGCGCGATCTCTGAAGCCATGGTGGGTGTCTAATTCGACTTGTTGATCCGCGGAAATTTTTTAATTTTCGATTTTCGGTCTTATCACCACGTGACCAAGCCAGGGCCTTGTCACGTGCAGGCAACACGACGATCGTCATCGGCATTCTGTCCTGTTCTCAGCCTCGTCTTGTCAAATTAGCAGGTGGTGGTGATTTCTTCTGGCCTCAATCGCACTCTTGTGGAATCTTGGGCTCTAATCCCAAGGTTGATCGACTAACACCTCACTGGTAAAACGAAGCCTCACAATACATGCTGATCTGAGGACCACCTAACCTCCAAGATGCGGTTCACCGATCGGAACTCTCTTATTGCCTCAATATTCCTTGCAATCCCTTCCTTTTCGTCGGCCTTTTACCTCCCCGGTGTCGCCCCGTCCTCCTACGATCAGGGTCAAAGCGTCCCTCTCTTTGTCAATCATTTGACCCCCGGCCTTTCACTAGATGATCAACTCCACTCCGTCTTTGCATACGACTATTACCACCCGGCCTTTCACTTCTGCCGACCGGAAGATGGCGTAAAGGATGTGAGGGAATCCCTGGGTAGTATCTTATTCGGTGATCGTATCCAAACCTCTCCACTGGACTTACACATGGCCCAAGATGAGGAATGTAAAGCCATCTGTGGAGAGGTCAAGTTTGATGCTCGCAGTGCCAAATTTGTCAACCGCCGCATCTCCCAGGGATATAACATCAACTGGCTCGTGGATGGACTGCCCGGAGCGCAGCTGAATATGGACGAAAACACCCAAACCCAATTCTACAGTCCCGGTTTCGCTTTGGGTGACTTGGACGAAAATGGACAAGCTGTGCTGAACAACCACTTCAACATCCTAATCGACTACCACCGCGTCGGATATGGTGGCAAGGACAAGCTCCGTGTGGTGGGCGTCCTCGTTCAGCCCGAGTCTCGTGCCGATTCTCGGCTCCTGGATGACGGGACCGCCCAATGCGGCACAAAGGGAACCTTTGTTACTTTGAACGAAGATGGAGAGGCTGAAACTCCGGTCACCTGGACTTACAGTGTCCAATGGAAGGAATCATCTACAGCATGGGCTACCCGTTGGGACAAATATCTTCATGTTTACGACCCGAAGATTCATTGGTTCTCTCTCATCAACTCTGCCGTCTTTGTTGTTTTCTTGGTAGGTATGGTCAGCATGATTCTTGTTCGGGCTCTAAAAAAGGATATCGCCCGTTACAACCGATTGGATTCGTTCAACCTGGAAGATCTGGACGGCACCTCTGCTGCTGTCGAAGATGGAATCCAGGAGGACTCGGGGTGGAAGTTGGTCCACGGTGACGTCTTCCGATGCCCCAAGTCCCCTCTCTTGCTTAGTGTACTGCTGGGCAATGGCGCTCAGCTCTTTATGATGACCGGGGTGACCGTCGGTATGTAATAACCCGGACTAGTTGGTGGACCTGTATACTAATTCCTACAGCATTCGCACTTCTCGGCCTCCTCTCCCCGGCCAACCGTGGTTTCCTGGCTACTGCCATTCTCTTAATCTCTGCCCTTTTCGGTTCCATCGGTGGCTACGTGTCGGCGCGTGTCTACAAAGCCTTTGGCGGTGAGGCCTGGAAGCGCAACATCATCATGACTCCCTTGTTGATTCCTGGTTTTGTCTTTTGCATTTTCTTCTTCCTCAATTTGTTCGTGTGGGCCAAGGGTTCTAGCGGTGCTGTGCCATTCGGCACAATGCTGGCCCTGGTCCTCATATGGTTTGTCATCAGCGTTCCGTTGAGTGTTGCCGGTAGTTGGCTTGGATTCAGACAAAAGGTAAGGCCCTTGACCAACCACTACCTATGTGATGCTAATCTATTCTAGGCTATCGAGGGCCCAACCAAAACTAACCAGATTCCCCGTCAAGTGCCTCCAATGGTTGGTAGCCTTCGAACCACTCCATCTATTCTCCTAACGGGTATTTTGCCCTTTGGTGCTATCTTTGTTGAACTCTATTTCATCATGACCTCGCTCTGGACCAACAAGATCTATTACATGTTCGGATTCCTGTTTCTGTGCTATGGTCTGATGATCATCACGTCCGCAGCCACCACCGTTCTACTGGTCTACTTCTTGCTGTGCGCCGAGAACTACCGGTGGCACTGGCGCGCCTTCGCCGGCGCTGGTATGGCAGGTGGATATGTGTTCCTGAACGCGCTTGTCTTCTGGGCGACCCGAGTAAGCTTTGGTGGCTTGACCGGAGCTGTGCTTTATGTGGGCTATTCGGCCTTGATTGGTTTCCTTGTCTTCATTCTAACCGGTTTGTTCCCCTGGATTTGGATCCTTTCATCTACCCTAACTGACTCTTCCAGGCTCTATTGGTTTCTTCGCCAGTTGGGCATTTGTGCAACGCATCTACGGGTCCATCAAGGTGGATTAGTGCGGCAATCATTTAGCCATTTGCGGGCTCTTAAAACCTACCCCTTTGCCGTTCGTCTCATGTTGATTTAACGGAAGCATTATTTGCGGAGATAGAGTCTTTGGTTTGATTTCTCGGGAGATATCCCTCATAATGATTGGGAAGGGGTACTTGTATATATAGTTAGGCAGCGGATTTCCTTTCCCAGTGCTCATCCCTTGCCTCAGCCGACTGAGTAGAACGCCCCTGGGAGCTGATTAGATCAGTGAACCTTGCATAAGCTCAGAGACTGATTACAGTCACTAAAGCGAAAGACAGGGTCCCAGGGATGTAGCCGGTCCACATTCTAGTAGGCTGAGAGAATGCAATCTTCGTAACATGAAACATGAACCATGACCCCTGGAATGCCAAAAGTGTTATGAAAGAGACTTGAACTGTCCAAAGTCGTTCTTCACTGACACAAGATTTACCGTCAAAATTGAGCGTCCATCTTTCGAGGTCACGATGTATTTCTCGATCATTGCAGCTTTTGGAATCCTCTCTCTAACAACAGCTAGCAAGCCTGAGGTGAGCCTCAGAATACCAAGGCAGGATATTAGACACGCTAACGCACAAACAGAATGAGCTACTTATGAGCGCTGCTGTTCTGTTTGGGAGTCATACATCAAAGTATACGTTTGAATCAAATGCGTGTCAAGCATTAGAAAAACATTATAAGCTGAATTGGCTGACTTTGACACCTGGAGATGATTATTACCGATGTTCTTTCTATAAGTATGTATCCATTTTGATTTCTACTCCCAAATTAGTGTCTTAACATTGATTAGGTCATCCGATTGCAGTGGAAAAGTGTCGAACTATTTCCTCAACTCTCCTGGTTCTGGGTCACCAAAGAAACAAGTACACTTGGATCATATCAAGCCTCAAGGCAACAGTGTCATTTGTGAAACTCTACAGTGAAGTGTCTTCATTTCTCTCGTCATTATGTGACATCTTCGCTCTCTTACTGTATGAAACTGGGTAGTTTGAATCATCCGCTATCATTACTTAGCTCATATCACGCGGAAGTTCGGAAGAATAGCTTCTTCGCTTGGTATATCCAATGAAATCCAATAAACATGTTATCTTTGGTGCTCCACCGCCTTTTAATCAGGTACAAAGTATGATAGTAACTAACCAACCTGTTCGGACTCCGTACTGTTCGTCCGTATCCCCGAGGTTCACTCTATGCACTCACTGTACATCAAAATTGCGTGGAGTTTGACGGACAAGGTCCAATTCACACAATGTAAGCGATATTTAGTCCTTCTACTTTATATCTCAAATAGACAGGAAAATCGAAATGACTAGAAGTGCCAAGTGGAGCCGAGTGCCAGAACGACGTAGTTGTGGTCGTGTCATGCCAAGCCCCATGGGGTCTGGACTCCTCCGAGGTCGCCACTTTGCTTCTTTCCCTTTATTTTTCTGGATCTTTTCCTCTATACAGTGCAACTGAATTCTGATATCCTTGCTTTTGTATTTCCCCTGCTTAATCCGTCCGGATTGCATTGCGTGCCGTCTTCCAACCTCCCGCCAGCACAGCCACACTTCCCCCCTCGTTCTACCCCGCGTCTTCTATTCACTTTCTTTTCTCAAAGCCACCGTTCGCCCCTGCCGATCTTCATTCGACTTGCATGCGCTGAAACCGACCACTTGATACCGCTCACAGTTTTGGATCTGTGTGTTTGATCATGGGTAAATCGTAGGTAGCGATACGCCCAGGGCCCCAGCGCGTGAGACCGGAAGTGTATGGAAAGTCCGCCTCTTGAGGCGAATGATTCCAAGATCACTGTGTGCTCGATTTTCTATGGCGCATTCCCGCGGCTAACGGTGGTGCCACAGACAATCAAAGCTGTCGCCCACTCAGCTCGATGAGCTGCAACAAGCAACCCACTTCGATAAGAAGGAGTTACAGCAATGGTACAAAGGTATGGAAGAGCATGGATAGCATTCCGGAGTAGGGCGAAGAGGTTGCTAAAGCTGTATTTAATAGGCTTCCTCAAGGACTGCCCTTCAGGCACATTGACCAAAGAGGAGTTCCAGAAGATTTACCGACAATTCTTCCCATTCGGTGATCCGTCATCCTTCGCAAATTATGTCTTCCGGGTGTTTGATTCGGACAACAGCGGAATGATCGATTTCAAAGAGTTCATTTGCGCGCTCTCGGTCACCTCCCGCGGAAAGATGGAGGACAAGCTTGATTGGGCTTTCCAACTATACGATATTGATGGTGATGGCAAGATCACATACGACGAGATGCTAGCCATTGTTGAGGCGATCTATAAGATGGTCGGCTCCATGGTGAAATTACCCGAGGATGAAGATACACCGGAGAAGCGTGTGCGGAAGATCTTCCGCATGATGGACAAAGACGAGAATGGCAGCTTGGATCTTTTGGAATTCAAGGAAGGAAGTCGTCTTGATCCCAGCATAAGTAGTGCTTTGAGCCTCTATGATGGTCTTGTTTAAAGCTGGAATTGGCGAATCGGACCGGCGAGAGGCGATCATCTGTGAATCCGGCGCAATTGTCTATTAATTGGGGGATCTTTGTATTTTTTTTTGGTCTCTAACGTACTTACTTTGCATAGTTGATTTGCGCCTGAAATCTTATTAGATGCTTATTCGGAAAGTCAAAAGTACATAACACCAGACGATCCACACCTATACATGAGAATCCTTTGCTTTCCTGTATAAGTGGATCTTCCCATTTGGGTTAAGCTTCACCTCTTATCACTTGAGCACAGTAATTCTGGACATGTTCGATATCCTCAGCCCCCAATCTTTATTTAAAAATGTAGTAGCCTGCTGCGTTGGAGGTTGAGTGAGAAGGAGAATAGGTAGGAGACTGGGTATTCAAATGATAAATAGGACATCTGGAGGCATTGAAACATTATTTGTTTCAGGCGCATAAAATGCATGCTTCCCTCTAGTAAAAAGTAGATAACGAACCCCGCAGAATCTCGCAGCAAAGGGACCAATGATAATCAAGTCAATAACAAGTTGTACGTAAGAAGGGCGTGAGATGATCTAATTTATGGGAAAAGAATAGCAAGAATAGCCAAGGGAAGTGGGGTGATTTCCCGAATCCTACTTATACTGTTTACAACCTGAGCAACTCCAGCTTCCTCACCACTCGCTACCTCCAGCCATGGCCACAACCGAAGTTGAGCGAGCAGCCAGCCTCCTAGATGCACAAGACAAGGCCGCCCAACTCTTCATTGAGATCGAACGCGACCTTATCCGCCCCGGCGTCAGCGAGAAGACACTCAATGACGAGATCTACAAACTCGGTTTCGACCGCTATGGCATCAAAACCCACTGGCACAAGCGAGTCATCCGCAGCGGACCTAACACTCTGAGTCCCTTCTCCGACAACCCTCCAGACCGCGTCATCCAATCCGACGACATCCTAGTCGTAGATCTAGGACCCGTCTTTGAAGCCTGGGAGGCAGATTTCGGGCGAACCTACGTTCTCGGCAATGACCCTCATAAAATCAAGCTGCGCGATTCACTGCAGCCCATCTGGAATATTGTCAAGGCGAAATATGACGAGAATCCGGATATGTCGGGAGACGAACTGTACGATATTGCGTGTGGAATTGCGGGGGAACATGGATTTGATTTCGGAGCTGATATTGCGGGGCATCTGGTCGGCTCTTTTCCCCATGAGCGGATTCCAAAGGATCGGACTACGCTCTACATTACTAAGGGTAATAATGAGACTATGAACAAGCCAGGGAAGGACGGATATAAACGGCACTGGATTTTGGAGATTCACCTTCGGAATACTGCGCTTGGATTTGGGGGGTTCACTGAACAGCTGTTGACAATTTAGGCGTGGCTAAAACTACACAATTGAAGTAGATATGATCTATCAATCATAATATCATCACTCTGATCATTACTCTAGGGACCTACTAATTTCACTCCCCTTCCTGGAACGAAGTGACTTGTATTTATTCTGCCGCGTCTTCGATGCTATATACGTGCATTTTCCTCTACCTACTTAAGTCTGTGGAGATACATGAGTTCAAACTACTATATATGATAATATAATAAATTAAATATTACGTATTTATTTTAATCACTTCTTAACGCTAATCAATCTAATCTTATTCCCTCTTTATCTACTTCCTTTAGTATTACGAGGAAGATTTAATAGAAGACTTAGGGCCTAGGTATTAGACCTTACCTCCTACTATATCTACTACTTAGTAGTCTCCTACTTAGTATCCTATCCAGTAGTCTACCTTTTTTCATACCGTATTAATCTAATAGTCGAAGGTCTCCCCAAATTCATAAATAGCGGAATAGAAAAGAAAGAGAGAGAAAAGAGAAGAGGACAAAAAAGAAGTAGGAGAAGGGAAACATATATCTAAAAAGTCTGCGATGTACCTAAGTGATAGAGGGGTAGACTAGCGCAAAAAAATAAGTCAATTAATTTTGGGGCGGGAAGTGAAGTTAGTAAAAACAGGATTATTATTGTTCTCTATACTCCGTACTCTGTACTCCGTACGAAGTACTCAATGTTGTGTCTCGGGCGGTGAGTTACATAACAAACGCTAGACCTATTATAGATTGAACTCGTTCTGCCGCGGACTCTCCGCAGCTTCAAGTGCATTTGGACTTGACTTGCTTCAAAGTCTAGTCCCAAAGGACTACTTCAATACCCCTCGCTATGTCTGGGCTGTCCTTCAATTAACTGCGCGACCCGACTTCGAATCCGACATTTTACCTCTCCCTGCGCAGATCACTAGTGTGAAGCTACTCTCCGCGCCTCAGAATGGCACCTCCCACTCCAATCCTCGACCAATTCATCGGCAGCGTGTCCGAGCTGGTCCAAGAACGTGATGGTCGAAAACTGCAGGATTTCCTCCAAATAGAACCCCCACTGTCAGACATATACCAACGCATGATTGAGGAACTACGTCAACGATATCCACCCGGCCCCCAGAGCGATACCGAGCTGCAACAACGATGTGAGATTTTGGTTCCACGGACCAAGGGAAGCTCTTCATGGTCTGCATTCCCAACATTTATGCGATTGTACTTTTCTTTCTTGCGCGATGTCAATGTTGAAAACCTACTCGACACCTACAACCTCCTCCGGGCCCTGTTGAAGTAAGTCGCCTTAAAGCAACAAGCTCAGAAAAATGAAAGCTGACAGCTCTTAGTCAATGTGTCCTGGCTCTCGGCGATAGCCAAAATGGAGTCATCGTTCTCCCTACCGTTCTCTACCTGTCGAAAGTCTTGGCCAAATTAGCCATGGGACTGGACCGCCAACCAGAGCTGATCGCACACATTTTACGCATGGAAGGCGGTGCGAACCGGGAAGAAAATATTGAGAAAGTGACATTGGTCGAACAGTCAGCAAACGTGGTGCGAGAAGCTTTCATCAAATGTTTGACCGATCGCAGTGGCACTCCAGGTCCCAATGGGAAGCCGGAGGGCAAACGCGTCGGCATCTACTTGATGGCAAACCTTTGCTTAAAGCTTCTTTTCAAGGTTGGTTGTATAGCTTCCTTCAATGGATTGCGCTGACTCGTACCAGTGTGGGAAGCTGCGTAATGCAGAACAAATGTTTGCCAGCATCACCGCTCAATCTCCTCCCTTGATCCATTTCCCAGCGTCGCAGCGCGTCACCTACCTCTATTACCTGGGTCGATATCTTTTCTCAAATAACCTCTTTCATCCGGCCCAAATCGCCTTACAGGCTGCTTACGACCAATGCCACCGCCAAGCCCTCAGTCAACGAAACTTGATTCTGACATATCTCATACCCTGCAACATCATTATGGGACGATTCCCCTCCAAGGCTCTTCTTCAGCGACCAGAGGCGAAAGGATTAGCAGACCAATTTGCGCCACTTTGTCGTCTGATCGTCCGCGGCGACTATCTGGCATTCCGACAGCACCTTTCGTTCGACTCACCTACTGGACAATGGTTTGCACGAAAAGGCATTCTTCTCGCACTCCGCAATCGTTGTGAGATCCTGGTTTGGCGTTCATTCTGTCGCAAGGTATTCATACATGGTGGGTTTCATGGGGATTCGCAAGCGCAGGCGCAGCGTGGTCCTCCACCGTTTCTATACCTTCAGAAATTGCTTGTTGCTACAAAATGGCTTCAATCACGATCCAATCCATCCAATGGTGCGACCAAACCCCCACTTTCTTATGGGTCACAGACTATCTTCGAACCGATGGACCCAGATTATGTGGGACTTGACAACCAGGGTATCATCACTACTAGCGGGGACTCCCAGCTGATGGAGAAATATGGCGACTATCTGGCTCCAAGCGGTTGCTTTGACGAAGGAGGTTATTGGAATGAAAATGTGCCTGGTCATCTGATTGATGGCACTCCAAATCCCGACTACGGGGAATATGAACTGGATCCGTATGCCGATGATGAGATAGAAGAAGTACAGCCGGCTCTGCTCATGGGGGAGATCGAGTCCATCCTTGCTTCATTACTTACGCAGGGATTGATGCATGGTTACTTGACCCATCGGAACCCTCGTTTCGCTATTCCCGGCTCTCGACTGCGGGGTGCCTTGCCGACTGGGTTCCCTAATGTCTGGGAAATTATCTCCTCCCGGGAGAAAGAAGACAATAGTGTTCCCGGATGGGTCAAGCCGCCTCAAATGTCTTCGTTTGGTGCGCCAGCTCTAGCTGCAGCAGGTGGAGCAGGCCGTGTGGTCAATCTATCGGGTGCCCGACCTGTTGGAGTGCAATAAGATCAATCTTGAACGTTTATGTGATTACTTTGATGATACCTTTACAAATACCCAAAGACAACTATGACTGCTATATTCCAATTTTCGGTTATAAACTATTATTTCTGAGACTTTGTACCATCACTTCCTTTTCTGCTACCGTCACTCACCTTTCTCCAAATTGGGAAACTGACGAAATGTCAAAAGTTCCACCCGGTCATCGTACAAATAGCAACCCGTGACTACTTCAAAATATCTCCTACTCAGTCTCCTACTTAGTATTCTACTTAGTATCCTATCAAGAATTCTACCTTCTTTCATATCGCATTAATCTAACAGTCAAAGGTCTCCTAAATTGATAAATACCGATATAGGAGGAAGAAAGAGAAAAAAGAAAAGAGAAGAAAAATGAAGTGGAAGGAGAAGGGGAAGAAGCAAAAATCGATGGAGGCTTCGAACGTATTTCCAAAAAGTCTGCAGTCTACCCAAGTAATAGAGAGGTAGATAGAGAGTGGTGGTGATACCCTCCCTTATGTTAAGCCCCATATTCTAGATTAGATTAGGGTTGGGTAGGTAGACTAGAAGATCTAAGGTTGGAAGGCGCCGGCGAAGGTGGTGTGGACTTGATGTATTGGAGAAATGAAAGTCATTTTACGGATTTTTTAGGGGAGTGACGGTACAAAGTCTCATATCTCTGAACTGCGAGACCACTAAGTTAACCTCCTCCGAAGCTGACATTTACAACTTGGCTCTCACACTATCTGGTCGCCACATCTCACTCAACAGTCGAGTGGCATTCACCATGTCGGGATGGAGCTGTTCCAGCGAGGAAACACCGAGCATCTTCATACAAATTTCCAGCTCCTCTTGGAGAATTACGTCTGATAGTCACAGCAATCATTCGATTGTAGTCAAACTTACTTTCGGTGCATTTTTCTAATCCCCTCACCACCATATGCCGCAAGACCATCAGGGTTGATTTAGTGACCCCTGCATGAACGCCTGCCGTTTTTAGTTCAAGCCCTCTCTTTGCTCACGAACTTCTTAGGCTACAAAAGTTTGCAGACAATTCGTGGCTTATTCAATTTGGGGTCCATATCTTTGGGGCCAGAATTGGGGCAAATTCTATCTCGAGTCCATGAGATTCACTGCTTCAATCTCAATCTCTCATTGGGCTATTCAGCATGTCGAGACCCTGGCTCATTTGAGGGGCCATATCACGGCCTGGTTTCAGTTTTGATCACTGCTATTCTCGGATCCTTTGACACAGGATTAAGGGTCCTGGGGGCCATGAACCAATTCGAAAATTACTACATTTGGTTTCAAAAAGCTGTTGCTACCCTTCCTGGGCGTTTTAGTCTCATCGAAGACCTTGCTGTATACAGTCCCAAGGGTATTAAAGCGCGTCTGACCTCTGATATGTTTCGTTCGAATAGGTTCATCTTCAGCTTCAATTTACTGCATTCAATTGTCTAACCAAACATTGCTAATTAGCTCATATCTTCAATTATCAATATTCACCATGCAGTTCAAGCTCACCTTCATCACGGCTCTCTTCGCTGCTTCTGCTATTGCCGCCCCTGCTCCCTCCAGCCAGGCCAGCTGCTCCCAGTCTGTGGTCGCCGCTCTCAATGGCGCAACCAAGCAGGTTTCTGATCTCAACTCGAACCTCTCTGGAGCCATCACCGCCGTCTCACTCGTTTCAGTAAGAAACAACCTTCACAACCTGGAATATTCGATTGAAATCTAACACTCCAGGCCATCATTACCGGATTCGCCGACAATCTCTCCACTCTCCTTAACGGCATTGTTCTCCCTTGCGATTTTACCCTGAGTGCTCAGGACCAGCAGGATATTTGTGACGCTGCTACATCGGTAACAGTATCTGCTCTGTAACAAGAAGAACAATCAGCTAACGGATTAATAGTTCATCAACACCGACAAGGCTCTTGTTTCGACTCTCAGTAGCAAGGCCAGCCTCCTCTCTGGCAACATCCTCAGCATCAATGCTCACGCTGCCATCAGCAATCTCGAGACCGCAACCACCGTAAGTTTACATACGCCTGTCCGTTTGGGGAATATGCTGACCAGTCCCAGAACTACCTGCGCCCGGTTGTTAGCAACATGCCCATCTGTGGGGGTTCCGTGCAGTCCGAGCTTAAGGTGCTGGAGTCTGACATCAACAGCGTGGTTGCCGCTTTCTAGTTTCTATGCTGGTGGCTGGCATAAGTGGCTTTTGAGCTATGCACTACTGGAGAGGATTTTGACATGAGTGAATTGCATTTTGTGGGACTAGGACTATGGATATTAGGTTGCGTGAATAGCGTTCGTTGCTTTGAAATTTGACTTAAATTGGTTCACAATTTGGATAAACTTCTCTTGTAGATATTGACTTCATTGACTTGAGAAGAGCACGACAAAGTGTCAAGTCTGCATTTGGTGGTAAAATGGCAAGGTAAGACAAGGACAAAAGATTGGTGAATTACCGGTTGACTAAATTTGAAGGCTTGTGGTAATGGGTGGAAGAACATAATATTGACGAGTAACAAACACGCTCGGGATATCTCTATGTACAAAAAATAACAAAGGCTTGGGACAAAATCAAGGAGGGCTGGGCTTAGCACAAAACAAACAAACAATGCAGACAGTAAACAAAGTGTTACCCGAACTCAAGGCATACAACAACAAAGTCATCGTGAACAAAGTTATGGGGTTTCGTGGCCTGGTGCAGCTCGTCGGCCCCATCCACTGAAGAAGCCACCGCCAGCATTGTTCGAGGCACTTGGAGTCTTAATCGGCTCAGTCGGGGCTTTGCTGATGCTATTCCTGTTCGAAGCACGCCCCATGAAAGAGTGCCGGTTCTCGAGCTTTGCACCGGGATGGGCGGCAGGAGCACTGATCATCTTGCGTAAAGATTCCAGTTTGCACTTTGCCTCTTCGAGTTCCTGCCTAGCCACAGCTTCTGCGGTCTTTGAGGCAACAAGTTCCAAGAGTAACGCTTCTTCAGGGGCAGGTTTGTTGTTTTCAGTAGACAGGACTTTTTGAAGGCCTAGGCTGCTGGAGCGTTTGTTGTAAACGGGGCTCTTCTGAGAGTTACTGCGGGCCAGCTTCAACTCCCGAAGCCCTCGAGGGGAAGCCTTCTCGCTCGTATCAGAGGCTGGAGAGACAATCTCCGGTGGTGTTCGTGGCTCGGATGCATTCGTATTGATGGTGCGTAGCTCTTGATTCTTCCGTTCTAGGCGCTGTCGATCCCGGTAACCATCTTGGATTCGGCCTCGAGCCTCACGGAGCTGGTCCTTGAGGATTGTGTTCTCTTTCTCATAGTCATCCATGCGTCGAGAGAGGTCCATGCAACGACTAGCCTCCACCTCGTGCATTTTTTTCCACCGATTCATGTCATCCTGGAGTTGCTGTTTTGTCTGAGGGATTGATGTGTGCTTGGGTTCGTTCGAGTATCGGGCTTGAGCTTTGGAGACAAGCTCGGTGGGTCGTAGCTCATCGGTGAGCCCCTGTAGGTGATTGAGCATCTCCTTAGCAATGGCGTGGTCCTCCTCACGCTCTTCACGTTCTTTTTGCAACTCCAGGATCAGGTCCGCATGTTGATGTTGCAGATCACCCAATGCCATCAAGAGGTCTTCAATCTGGGTGTGGAGATCACGATCCTTTTGGTTGACGGACATGTTGGATTTGACTCGAGATTTGTGACCATCAAGCATTGTACCAGCGGATAATTCAGTTGGGGCTGTGCTAGCATCAGAGTTGCTTTCGACCGAGTTGAGTGTTGATGTTAGGCTTTGTTTTGATGTGGAACGTCGAATTGTGCTGGGTGGGCGTGACTGGCTGGTGTTAGGGTTCAGCGATTTAACGGAGTTGTGATTGTTTGAGCCCGCCCAGAGACGTCCCAGAAAGCCGGATGCTGTAGCCTGCATCTGTGGAAATGAGATGCCTGTTGGGACACCTTGTGATTGATTGTAACTGGCTTCCAGCGCCTGCAGGCTCTCTTTGGTGACGAGGGACGTTAGTGATACAAAATCATTAACAAGGTCATCCGCATTGAAGGCGTATCTAAAATGGTGGTTAATTTGTTATCTAATCGAATGTTTACCCAGTGAACTTACGTGTCCCAAACACTCCGCGATAGAAGGAATTGCATCACATCCTCAAACTCGGCACACGCCAATATTCTCTTCTCGTTTCGCTGCATCAGAGAAAGAGCAACGCGCATCAGGGTCTCACAAGCCCCCTCGAGGAAAATGACATCATAGATTCGAAGAAGCATGGGCAACGGACACGCCACTGCAAAGAACGACAGAAACCATTGCGATACATAGACCGGTTCAACATTCAGCGACTCCAGGTGCTCGAACAAGACTGGTCGGTGTCTAGCCAAAAGGTTCTGGAATTGGTAAACATGAAGGTGAAGACCTGACAAATCTGGGAGGTAGCACTGTCGGAGGTTATAGTGATCCATCAGACGAACAAGCACGCAAAATGCTTCTGCGTCCGACATGTGCATGAGCAATGGGCCAACCACGAATCCAAGGCCTTGGCAGTAGCCGATCTGGGCATCGTACAGGCTGAAGCATCTCAACACCCGGGCCAACATCTGCTGGCCCTCGCCATTGGGATCCCGAAACATCTCCACATTAGGAAAGCTGCGACCGATATCCTTTCCTATCAGGCCATCATATGGACTACTTTCCCCCGAGAGCCGTTGGAACTCGTTCAAAAGACTCGGATCGCGAGCCCCAGCCAGACTTGGCCACACCACCCCTCTCAGTGGCGGAGGCACACCTCCCTGGATCTTGTTCGAGGTTAAGGTCGGTAAGCGCTGGGCGGTCTGCGGGTAATCTGCGACTAGTGCCGCCCAAAATTCCAGCTCGGTCATCGGTGGAGGGGGAAGTTGCGAGTATCGTAGCTCTGCCCGAGCTGGATCACGGATCAACCGCTTGATTTGGTGCAGTGACTGGGAGCGTGATTGGCGATGATGCGTCTGAATTTTCGGGGATTTTGCTAAGCCAGCTTTGGGGTCTGTTGCCAAAGCATTGTTCTCCTGTTCCAGCCGAGCTAGTAGTAGCGCAGTGGAGTCATCAGAGCCCTCCCCGCGCGGCTCCTGTTCCTCTGTTTTGTCCAGGTTCACCCAGTCCACCTCGTGGTCCATATCTTCCTCCACATGTCTAGGTTCTGCGGAAGTCGGGGTCGAAGGGTCTGTGGGGCGTTGGCTAGCCTGTGCGGTGTCCCGTAGCATGGGACCGAATGAGTCGGCGACATTTCGGTTGGCGTCCGACTGGTGGGACATCGCCACCGGTGTGGGAGGAATCTCGAGTGTGCGCCAATCTGGTTGGGTGTGTTCGGAACTGGATTGGATGTCGGACAGCGAAACGGTCACCATCGAATCGTGATTGAGAGCATGCCCATGGGGCGAGATAGGCGTTGTAGGAGTGGAGTCGGCCATGGTGGCAATTGGATCAGAACCTCGAATATCGTACAGGTTCACCGGAAGCGATCAGGAGAGTCTGGTGGCAGGGTGATAGCTAGATGGTAAAGATAATTCTCGTGATATGCAAGACCAGCTTCATTTCTGTTCGGGGGGAAGTGAGTTTTCGGTAGGAAGTGAAATAAACTGAAGCAGATCAGAACGTACCTCGAGGTGAACCAGCACCATATAGCACAATAATTATGTACAAGAAAGTGGCAGGACTGGGGCGGAAGAAAAAGGGAGGTTCAGGAGGGAAGTAAACCCATTTTACTAGCCTTCCCCTTTTTTAACTCTTTCCCCCCCTCAAAGGTCTCGCCCCCCCGCCGATCTCATACACCGACTGTCTGATGGTTGTTGCATCTTGTCAAGTCCCTTTAATCATCAAATACTCTGATATCTTGGTACACTTGTGGCGCTTCTCCCCCCTCACGTCAATTCCAGTTTTACAACCATAACAAATACAATATTCACGCGTCCGCGTTTCTCCCCCGATCGTAGTACCATGGATCTCCTCGATCCGTGGATCCCCCACCATTATGGGGCTCTGGAATGTTGGCTTGCCACCTGTGACGATATTCTCAATGAAGTTAACCCCCAACCTCCTTTAGGTTATGAAAGACAATCCGACTTCTCTGGATCTGAGCACTTTCCCTGCAGGTCATAATATTTGAGGGGGCTGCAGTGTAATTTTGATACATTGTCTTATGTATTGTAATATATTCTGTCTTTTCATTGGTCAAAAGCTCTACCCACGCTCTGTGAGTGGATCACCAGCATGGACCTTGTTTGAAATTTCAATACCGTCCCTGGCAGAGTTGTTTCACCTTAACTGGTTAGACATGACACGGTATTATGCACATATATAGATAGTGGGGCCTTTCCTATCTGGGAAGTCGCCGCTTTATAAGGACGCTCTGGCTCACCAGTAGATATCAGAATGGGCTCAGACTCAGTGTTGTTCTTCGGTCAAGTGTACTATATATATGTGACCAATCCGCACTGATCTGTGAAGCCATGTATTTTGTGATGGTTAGTGCGTTGACGATTTTTGAGCTGCACTCTTGCCCCTAAGATATTTTGTCATTCAAATGTTTCTGCCAGGCGTAAAGAAGATGGTTAAGACCATTCAATTGAAATGTTAGGATAACGTAGTATTATCAAATTTTTTGGCTTTTTTTTAAAAAAAAATACATCCTGTACTTATGAGTCTTGAATATATGTCCACATCATGTGAGCTCACTCATGATCTCATTCAACATTGAAATTCTTTCATTTACTAAGCTGCTTCTCTAGCTAGCACTCGATTAAGGTTTATATTTTTACATAGAGCAAATGTACTTCTTCATCAGACGCGATAATATAACAAGGAAAAACTCCGTCTACAATGAGAAAAGACTGGATACATCCCCGGGTCAACCCACATAGGGAGGAAAACAGCATCTGAAATGATGTGAAGATAAAAAGCTTCAGATTTCGATAAAGACATAAAGATCAAGCAAATACCCTAATAGGCACTAAGTCTCTGGCTGGAGTAATTTGACGGACTCGCGAGTTTTTGGAGGAAGCTGGCTACTCTTCTGATTTCACAGCAGACCTAAACAGCATATTCAAACATTATAGAATTGTTCCTAGGTGTTCATCTCCTAGCCGCATGTATGATATGGTTACATGATTCATTCACTAGGAAGAAGAGATGGAACAGGAGGAACTAATAGAGCCGAGTAAGCTAGGTAAGGTGGCTATGCCTGTACATGATTCGGACTTAAGCGTCCGACCGAGCTATTTAACTAGCCTCTGCAAATTAGCAGGATTACCCAAGTCGACATCTGAATTTAGCATATAGATATAACCCTCTTCAAATTATATTATGCCGTACTAGTCTATACACTATCGCTTCTTCCCGACACAAGCTTTCAATAAGAGAAATTAATAGTTTCTTGATTCTAATAATCCGAAAGGCAATTGTATACACATTTCAGCCACAATATTGCACAATGAACATGATCTAGACGTAAAAGAGCGCGAAAGCAGCACCGAGTAGAGCCATGGCACCCTTAGGAGCGCTCAACTGAGACGACGCAGCACCAGAAGATGAACTGGCGGAAGAAGTGGAAGACGTGGTCGTTGAGGAAGAGGTGGAAGAGGAAGAGGTGGTCGAGTCTGTGATATAGATAAGTGTATTAGTAAAATCGTCTTGTAATTGTGTCTGGAGTTGTATCATGCCTGAGGAAGTCAAAGAACTAGTCAAAGACGTGGGCGTTGCAGACGCTGAGGATATAAGGGTGGAGGTGACCAAGGTAGAAGTGGTCACACTGGTCGTGGAAGAAGAAGAATAAGACGAAGAAGAAGAAGAAGAATTGGGGGAGGCGGTGGTAGTGGGGGTGGAAGAAGAGGTGGAAGAAGAGGTGGAAGAAGAGGTGGAAGAAGAGGTGGAAGAAGAGGTGGTCAGGGTGGTGGTACCGTCATCCGAAGCGCCCTTTTCGACAGTGAAAATGTCACTGACGGCGAGTTCGCCAGCAGAATCGATTATCTCGATCTCATAGTCATCTCTAAGCCAGGACAAAGTGTTATTAGTGTTTTTCTTTTCTGTTCATCCAGCTCTATCTTCTACATACCCGTTGGAAACGCTAGGGTCAGGCTGGGTCGTGTATTCGCCGTCGGAGGTTTTGACGTTATCCGCCAATTTGATCTGGTAGGAGCCATCTTGAGTTCGAAGGATGATACTGATCACCGAAGGATCACTAGAAACGCTAGTGAATTTGATGGTTTTGGCAGTGGAGAAATCCCACACCGTGCCTGATGATGGAGTGGTGATGGTGATTGCGAAAGCCGATGAGAGGAGGCTCAGGGCGGTGATAGTGAATGAGTAACGCATTTTGAATGATGAGATTAAGGAATTACCAGAGTGTGTTGAGAAGAATGTCCCACTGTCCCGTAGGAAAAGACTATACTTATACATTATTTGGTCGATAGACCGGCAACCAAATGAAAGATCTGTATACAGAAATCGATAACTTTCAGCCGAAGCCGAGTGCATTGAGAATACGAGATCCATACCTTGCATAGGAGCCGAATATGATCTCTAACATAAGCGGAGCCTCTTGTGGAGAGACTAAAGGCCATTCTGTTGTCCACGTAGGATAACTAGCAGGAACACCCCTGCTGCTGCCCTGCATCAGCGACCCGCCCTGTTGTGTTGGGTCCGAAATCAGAATTGCACCTTATCTTTCCAATCAATAGACACATTGTGATCTGCGACCCTTGCTGATGAAGAGTTGATTTTACAACCAATGGCTACGATCATGTCAGCGCTAGGTTAGCGGTGAGAAGCAGTACATCCGAAGTATACTGACAAGGCTCGGAAATCGAGGTTATCATAATGAGAAATCTGTTGTCACGATATTGTATTTTTACTTACACCCGTGAATCAATACCGGTTATGACTGGTAACATTCACCAATGAGCGGGTAGAGTATGTATGCCGTCTTATCGTGTTGTGCCCAATGATTAGAAGCGACTGTCGGAATTCTGCTCCAAGTATGAATTTGCTAGTGACTCAAGAACTGTCTTCCTCCTATCGTCCTTTTTGATGCACAAGATGTAACATAAAAGCAATAGAATTAAGTGTATGGAGTATCTCGTCTATAGTAAAATCACTGGAGAAACCATCGAAAACAAACGCAGCGTACAGGAAACAGGATCAAAACACAAGTAATGGCAGTCTAGACTCTACAGAATTAGATGGAGATGTAGGACAAAGCCAATGCGGCCGTGAAGATCAATGTTCTCGTCTCCCACAACAAGCCTAACAAAGAAATCCCAGCGCCGGTGGAAGTCTTTGTTGACGAGGCTGTCGATGATTGACCAATGGCGTGATTTCCACAAATATTAGTGCTGCGGTTCAGGCTTTCAGTAGGATAGTACACCCGAGGCCCTCCATCCGAGCTGAGGTCCACATGGATATTTCCGCTTTGATCAGTCAAGTATGTTTTGCAGGAAAAGATCTCAGTCACATTTTGTACAGATGAAAATCCCGTGCCGTCGGAGCCAAGCGTGATTTTAGTGGTGGCTTTGGCGGCTGGCTTGGCTCCCAGGTTGGACACCACACTCACAACCTGGTTACCGGTAAATCCCTTGCGCATGGCCAAAATGTTTGTTGAGTTGTAGATTGGTAATGAGAGGTACGACAAATAGTCACTCCCCAACTTCGGGGCCACCGTGGACTTTTCTCCGTCGCCGCTCGCATATGATCGTATACGATTCAACGACTGGACCAGCAAAGGTAGGGAGGTCGAGTTCATTGAGTATTTGGTAAGCCATAGGGCCTCCCGGTTGACAGGGTTGAACCCACCTGACAGGTGCTGTTCTTCCCCGTAGTAGACTGTGTTGTTCTGATTAGTGTCTTTGGCTTTCGTTTCCATTTTTGAGGCCGCAACATACGAATAGGGATACCGTCAGCGAGCATACTGGTTGTGAGAATGTTGCGAGCCAGCTAATCAGGAGTGACAAAGTCAATACGTGCCGACAAAATTTCGACATTCAACTTACCGATATGTCTGACGTATAAGAGCCGAAGCGAGGGACATCCTGATTCGATGTGAACACTCCCAACGAAGTAACGTCCTTGCAATGTGTCTTTATGTAGTCGATAGACTGTATGATTGTGTTCAGGTCCCCATTCGTCGTGTTGAAGGCATCTGAGAGGATATAATACCTAAAAATTGTCAATAAGCCCTTTGTTCATTTTGATGAGCTACTCACAACGGATAATTTAGAAGCCCGCTTATCTTGGGCTGCAGAGAACAGTAACCGGATGCGTCTTTTGTGGCTCCTTCGCCCATAGTGAACACGCCCGCTGAATTGCCGAAATTGGTGAAGAAGGCGGGGGCGATATTCAAGACACTGTCGATTCGCAAACCATCAACTACAAAAGATGATTGTCATTAAGTCTGTTAGAGAGATAGAAAACGTAGAGACATACCGGAGTAGTTCGAAATCAGCTGCGAAACCCAGGTGCCCAGCATCTGCTGAACATCCTGATCCTCATTTCGCAGATCTGGAAGCGATACAGTGTTGTCTCCCATCCAGCACTGATGAAGACTTAGCAATGCTCTCATAACCACCGATGACAGACTTACATCCAGAACACAGGTTTCATTTGCGGGATCCTCAGAAAGTAGCTTGTAATCGTGAAAATACTTCTGATCATTGAATGGATTGAACGTGCTGTAGTCGACAGTGGAGGCATTTCCGGCCCAGGCCATGTCACCAACGACAATGTCCAGCATCAAGTACTTATTTTGATGTCAGTTTCGTGAGTTGACATGGCAGCCGGAGACTTACCATGCCACGGGCGTGCAACGCTGCGGATAACGTTTGAAGGTCATCGGAAGTGCCAAAATGGGGATTGATCGAGTACAGGTCGTTTGGCCAATATCCATGGTATGCTATCATTCATCAATCGTCCACCTAGTTCTCAATTTGTTGAGAGTCGAGATGACCATACCTGAGAGATCTGCGGTTCGTTCTGGCTCCTGGCTTTGCACTGGAGAGATCCAAACTGCATCGAACCCGAGTTCCTGAATATAATCCAGCTTGTTTATGATGCCCTGCAAACTTCCACCACAATACTTCCCCAGTCCTGCATTACAGGAAGCAGTAGTTGAGTTATCGGATCGAGCGAAGCGATCGGTGACCACCTGGTAGATTGACCGCCCAATCCATTGATCTCGTGAAGCTGCATGAGCAATACGAGATGTTAAAAGTCCGAGAATCAAAACCTTCCACCCCATTGTCGGTGGCATTTGCATGACAGGTCGAAGTAGGAGCAAATGACGTATGAAGTCAGACACAGGAAAAGAATTGAGGGCACTTGACTTAATTGCCACATATATGCTTCATGAAACATTCCATGTTTGAAATAATTCAAATGATTTACAGTTACAGATGTGTATTACATTGTATTTGTAATACATACCTGTATAATGATCTGTCGTCATTGGATGTATTGATTCCCCTTCGGCCCGATCGGCAGCCCGCGACCCAACTCGTCCCCAACCCCAACCGATTATCGATGGCTTCCAAAGACGGGCCGTTGTGGGTTTACTAGCGACTCGGCTCCGCTAGCCTAGTTGACGATCATTGTATGATCGGGTCCACATGGAGTCAAATATGACAGCTGGACTTTGTTCCATGTCGGTCTGGAAAGCATTAGTGGGTTGAGATAAGGAAAAGCTCGGCCTTCCCGGACTATTTGATGGTTTGACAGCAAAATATTCACAACTTCAGCCAAGCCAAGCCAAGTACAAAGTGCATAAATTGCCGACTATCAACTCACGCCTTACCTCAGCCCTAGCAGGAACGGAATGGCCGTGGGCAAAAGCAAAAATCAATACGAAACAGGAACGATATGCACCAACAAGCCACAGCGTTATCATCGTATCTATCCACTTCCCAACGTTTCTTATAGGTCTAACCTCTATCAGGTATGACGTGTCCTATCTTCTTTGAGGCGGGATACCCGATCTAGCATAATTTACACTTTTGGGATCGATGATCCTCTTCCGGAATGACTCGTCTTGGAAGACTTGTGGATTTATCCGAAGGTTCTATACGGATGCACGTCAGATTGCTCCATTTTATGAGACATGAAATGATTCGACTTGGGCCTGGAACCTGATCTAGATACCCGAACATATGCATGTACCAAATATCCCTCCGTATATGTCGGCTTGAGATCCATCATCCAAAATTAGAACCAATCGCTTATCGTGATAGAGATACTTGTGGATTGAGGCTGTACAGCAGGGCTGGCTCGGGTCTTCGGCAGTTACTAGTAACGCCTGATTCTTGCGTCTATGCTGATTTACGAAACAATGATTGGTGCGGTCCATTTGCTCGCGTTCAGAATCAATTATTGCATTAGCCTGGGCAGCTCCACATGGATGTGCAGGGTGTTCATTACCTTTCACATGCTTCTCTTGCGCATCTGCGCTCTATCAATTGTTCAGAATATCTGTTTCTCTGAGTTGTTCCTTTCTTCCTGGTATGCACTCTGTGGTTGTCTTTTTACAGTCGAGGCTTGAACAGCGTGTTCTGTGAATGCCACCATAGTGGCATCTACTGTGCGGAATGAAGTTACTCACTTCCATTACTCGTCACCTTGCCATTGTTGCAATATCGATACGTATTGCAAAATCCCTGCCATATCTTCCAGAGGAAGCAGATTGGAATCTCAATCAAAATCAGACTGCGACACATCCCCTCGACTATTCCGGTCGGTGGGATGGCCACACATACAACCCCTCACCAGAGAACTGGCGATTCCCCTTTTACACCATATTCCTAGACAGATTTGTAAACGGTGATCCGAGTAACGATAACGCAAATGGCACACAGTGGGAACATATCTTGACATCCAACGAGTTCCGCCATGGTGGCGACGTTCTTGGGTTGGTTGATACATTTGATTATCTTCAGGGGATGGGGATCAAGGTGCGTTTGTTGTTTCGTGAAGACTGGATGTGAAGAATATATTAACCATATGCAGGGCGTTTACCTCGCTGGAACACCGTATATCAACTTCCCCTGGGCTGCGGATGGATACTCCCCGCTTGACCTGACTCTGCTGGACCATCACTTTGGTACGATCGAGGACTGGCGCACGATGATATCCGAGGCGCATCGAAGGGGGATTTATGTTCTTTTTGATAATACTTTTGCAACGTATGTGAGATTCCAGTCACTTGCGCGACCTTCGATGTTCCCTGCTGATTATCGATAGAATGGGCGATCTTATAGGTTTCCAGGGTTTTTTGAACAAGTCCGCGCCGATCAATCCCGACGAGTACGATTATGTATGGAAGTACGACCGTCGGTATTGGGACTTTCAGCCTGGAAATGAAGTTGAGAGTGAGTGTCCGTGGGATATTCCCCGTTTCTGGGATGATGACGGTAATGGGTTGATATCCACAACCCTTGGTCCTCAATGTCGATATAGTGAATTTGATCAGGTAAGATTAACTTCTTTCAATATTGAGCATGACTGACCTCTACAGTATGGAGAAGTTGCCGCCTTTGGAAACTACACAGAATGGGAAGGGCAGATAGCCAAATTCGCATTTGTGCAGGATCGTCTACGCGCATGGCGGCCGGATGTGCTGGCCAAAATCAAACACTTTTCGTGTCTAACTATCACCATGCTTGATATCGACGGATTCCGCGTTGACAAGGCTCTACAAGTTACCCTTGACTCTCTTGGGGAATGGTCCGAATATATGCGGGATTGCGCCAAGGAGGTGGGAAAGGACAACTTCTATATTCCTGGAGAGATCGTGGCAGGAAACTCTTTTGGCTCGCTTTACATCGGTCGCGGTCAACAGACAAATCAAACCAAATCCAATACGACGGAAGCTTTCATGATGACGAATAAGACAGATAAGTCAGATGAGGATCTGTTTTTGAGACCTGCGGAGAGGTCCGCGTTGGACGGGGCGGCGTTCCACTACACGTTATATCGTGGTCTGAGTCGGTTTCTCGGGTAAGTTTTCCCTCCTCCAAATTTCCGGCTTACTCAAGCTAAGATCACCTCGTTTAGCCTAGACGGTGTCTACACTGCCGAAGGCGACCCGCCTGTCAACTTTGTGGAGACCTGGAATGGTCTTGTGGAGACCAATGATATGGTCAACACAAACACTGGCAAGTTCGATCCTCGTCACCTGTTTGGTGTCACAAATCAGGATGTCTTCAGGTGGCCAGGGATCAAAAACGGGACTCAAAAACAGAATTTGGGTCTGTACGTCGCTTCGCTGCTCATGCCTGGAATCCCCATCCTCTCCTGGGGTGAGGAACAGGATTTCTATGTGCTGGACAACCAGGCTGACAACTATGTCTTCGGTCGTGGACCTATGACATCCGCTCAGGCATGGCAGATGCACGGATGTTACAAGCTGGGGTCATCCAAATACGCTAATTTCCCGCTCGATCGCTCTCTCACCGGATGTGAAGATGATTCCGTCAGTCTTGATCACCGCGATCCATCTCACCCAGTGCGAGGCCTCATCAAGATGATGTTTGAGATGCGTCAAAACTACCCCGTCCTGAATGATGGCTGGTACTTACAGCAACTTTCAAATCAGACGTTCGACATCTACCTTCCAGGCAGTAATGGGACAGCAACCGAGACTGGGATGTGGAGTGTCATGAGATCACGCTATGCGAATGCGCAAAATTTTGATGGCCAAGGCCAGGGGAATCAGAGTGTCTGGTTGTTGTATTCTAATGACAACAAAACAGTCGAACACCAGTTCAACTGCAGCAGCAAGGAAGCTTTGATCTCGCCATTCCCCACGGGAACAACAGTCAAAAACCTTTTTCCACCGTTCGAGGAATTGACCCTGACCAAAAGCTCGATTAGGCTTGGGTATGATCACCGTTCTGAATTTGATTCCTGTTACTGACAATGAGTAGACTTGAAGGGTCTGACGTTCCCAACGGTTGTTATCCCAATCTTACTATGCCTGCCTGGGGATTCAAAGCTTTTGTTCCGAAGGATAAATTTGTGCAGCCTTCCCCATATATAACAAGCTTCTCCCCAGGACACGATGCTCGACTTGTTCCCCAGGGTACAAGTGGGGATGTGATACGAATTGGGTTCAACTTCTCGCAGGAGATGGACTGCGGAGACATCACCAACTCACTGACGATCACATCCAAAGCGCTTGACAACGAGATCCCGCAGCTTGACACGACGTCAGTCTCTTGTAGCCCCATTGAAGAGACTGATGTTGTGACATGGCCTGGTGCATTCACTAGCGTCTTCAGCTACGAAATAGATTTGAGCAATGTCTTTCCAGGAGTTCACAGAGTCACGCTTAGCAACGTGACTACAGCAGATGGAAACCAGTCCACAGGAGTGAGTATATTCCTAGCTATACAGCTTGAGAAAGTCAGAATACTAATTGAGTCGGACAGTCCGTCGACCACTTTCTCTTCCGTATCGGACAGACAAATAATCCGATGGTCTGGCCACAGTTGGCCAACTACAGTAGAACGCTACTGTTCGACAACCCATTGTCTGAGACTGAGCCGTTATCAGTCAGCCCACAGGCCCCCGGTGCAGACATGTGGCGATACTCGCTGGATTTCGGAGCTACATTCTCTGCCTGGGAGACATACACCGGCTTCAACACAACGATCCCCGGAAAAAGCTGGAGTGGCACTCCGAAACAAGCCTGGGAAGGCGAACATATCCTTGCCCAATACTGGAGCAAATTGACCGGGAGCAGTGCTCATTGGCAGCATGGAGACACGCAGTGGGCATACAATCCCCCGCGTCGATTCCCAAACCTCTTCATCGAAGGCGAGTTCAACCAGTTCGGATATGACGCTGGCTATGCCAACGAAATGGCCCTTAGCAACACAACTGGTCTGTGGGAAATCCACTTCATGGGCGAGTGGCCCGTGCAGATTGCATTCAACGCCTGGGGCTTGAACGAAGACGGCCTGCCCGATCAAACACAGGTATTTGGGGACATCGATGGAGACAACGTTCTGGATCAAGTCCCTCCAGTCACGCTGCTGAGCAATGTATTCAACGTCACCATCCCACCCCCTTCGCCCTATCTTGCCTTCAAGCTGTCGGTGAATGACGGCGATCTTAAGGTATTCGCTACACCCACAGGATCCAGATGGGTACAGTTGGCCATATTTATTGTGCTGGCGATTGTGCCTGTCACTACCGCTGCCGGTGCGGTGTATATTTACCTCAAGGCATTTTACCAGGTCAAATTTAACCAAATCGGTGTCACCGAGAAAAGATCAAGCTTCGCCCCGCTGGTGAGCGCCTTTCAAAGGGTGACCCATCGATCTCATGACATGGGATCCAATACTGGACTTGCTCTTACCAATGTGGGCCTGTTCCCGTCTGAGAGTGGAGGCGCCGTCGGTGCTGCGAGAAAGACCCACCGACGAACCGTGCTCATCGCAACGATGGAATACGATATTGAAGATTGGGCCATTAAAATCAAAATCGGTGGCCTCGGTGTGATGGCCCAATTGGTGGGGAAACATCTGACCCAGCATGATCTTATATGGGTGGTCCCTTGTGTTGGAGGCGTTGACTACCCCAAGGACGATCCTCGTGAGCCGATGGTGATCACCGTTCTTGGGAATAACTACCAAGTGGATGTCCAGTATCATCGGCTGCAAAATATCACGTACGTCTTATTAGACGCGCCTGTGTTCCGAGCTCAGTCCAAATCAGAGCCGTACCCTGCCCGGATGGATGACCTGAATTCGGCTATATTCTATTCTAGCTGGAATCAGTGTATTGCTGAAGCTATCAGGAGATTTCCGGCTATCGACATCTATCACATCAATGATTACCATGGCGCCGCTGCCCCTCTTTATCTTTTACCTCGCACGATTCCATGCTGCTTGTCTCTGCATAATGCTGAATTCCAAGGACTCTGGCCAATGAAAACCCAAAAGCAGAATCAAGAGGTCTGCAGTGTCTATAATCTTGACCATGCAGTGGTGAAGAAATATATACAATTCGGCGAAGTGTTTAACCTTCTTCATGGAGCTGCCAACTATCTGAAAATTCACCAAAACGGATTTGGCGCTGTCGGTGTCTCCAAGAAATATGGCAAGAGATCGTATGCCAGATATCCTATCTTCTGGGGTCTCAAGAACATTGAAGCGCTGCCGAACCCCGATCCATCTGACATAGCTGAGAGGGATGACAACGCAAACAATAATCTCGAAGACGTTGTCATCGATGTCGAATTTGAAGCCAGTCGTGCCGCACTCAAGAGACAAGCGCAAGAATGGGCAGGGCTCAAAGTTGACCCAGAGGCCCAGTTGTTTGTGTTTGTGGGTCGTTGGTCGATGCAAAAGGGCGTTGATCTGATTGCAGATATCTTTCCTTCCATTTTAGACTCTCACCCAGAGGTCCAGTTGATGTGCATTGGTCCAGTCATTGATCTCTATGGAAGGTTTGCCGCGTTGAAACTGAAGCGACTGACAGAGCTCTACCCTGGACGGGTCTATTCCAAACCAGAATTCACTGCTCTACCGCCCTTCATTTTCAGTGGCGCTGAATTCGCCTTGATTCCTTCGCGTGATGAACCGTTCGGTCTGGTAGCCGTGGAATTCGGACGGAAAGGAGCGTTGGGCGTGGGATCACGGTAAGACTGACGTGGCTTGAGTCTACCACCAGTGCTAACATATGTTTCTTTAGTGTGGGTGGTCTTGGGCAGATGCCAGGATGGTGGTTCACAATGTGAGTTTCCTTTCCTAGCTATATGCTGAGATATGCTTCGACTAACCCATTCTAGTGAGTCTATGACAACCAAACATCTTATCCAACAGTTCAAGATGGCCATCAACGACGCTCTGAAATCGTCCCAGGAGACACGAGCGCTCATGCGTGCACGATCCAGCAAGCAGCGCTTCCCTGTCGCACAATGGGTTGAGGATCTGGATATCCTACAGGCCACCTCAATCGAAAAGCACGCCAAGTACTCTAAACGCCAATATCGCAGTTCATGGAGGATTTCTAGTGGTAGCACCCTTGTCCCAGAAAGCCCTCGCAAAGTCTCGCCGGCAAGCTCAAGCGACAGCCGTGAACAGAGCCGATCACGCAGCTCCACCGGGTCTGTTACGCCGAACAGGCCGATTGCGTCTGACATGAGACTGTCTGTACCTCGACCAGGGTTTGACCACGTTCTCTCACGGACAAATTCTTCTTCCAATCTAAACTTGTCCGAGAACGAGCCCGATTCTGACACTGATCGACGACGCAGAGCCTTCTTTTCTGACCCTCTCCCAGATTCGCGAATTGTTTACTCTGCGGCAAGCGATGGCGAAGATCTCGAGCCCATTCCTGGGGCCATCCAAGAGGATGGCAGTATTCGTCCATCGCCACTTGGAACACCACTAGGAACGCCTAATTTTTATTTTGCTCGATCTGGTGCCAGCACACCAGTCACTGCCCGACCAGAAGACCCTCTGGCGGGCCGAAGAGACGCGAGGGCATCCATGATGAGTCTGGTCAGCGTTGATGATATAGTAAAGGAGAAACAAGACTACAACCTCCAGAAAGTTGATCCATTTTTCACGGATGCAAACAATGAGTATGCGGATAAGTTTGAGAAGAAACTTGCGGATCTTAATGGCAAGAACTCCCAAGACCAGCTCTGCATTGAAGAATTTCTCGAGAAGAGCCAAAAAGACTGGTTCAATCGATACCGCGATTTCAAACTTGGCAAGTCCCCCATGCCATCTCCTGCTCCCTCTGTCTTTCGCATCAAAGTCCGTGAAACCGGTCGAGAAGAGAGCCCGCCAATTATTGGTCCGGGTCCAGACCCAAATACCGAGCAATTTCTTCTCCCAAGTTACTATGTACCCCCCACGGGTTTGAAGCGTTTCATGTTGATGAAGCTGGGTGATTGGCCCGTGTACTCCATCTTCCTCGCTGTTGTGAGTTGGAATCCTAGCAAAAATATTCGTTGCAGAGGTTGACAGCATTCTTTTAGGGACAAATCCTCGCCCTCAACTCGTACCAGATCACACTTCTGAACGGTGAGATTGGAGAGACGGCTGAAAAACTATACATTTTGGCATCCATCTATCTTGTCTCCTCGATTATATGGTGGATGGTATTCCGTCTCGTACCTTCAGTCTATGTGTTGGCGATTCCTTTCTTTGTAAGTTCACATTCTCCTATCTTTCTAACGGGGTTACAAGCTAACTACCCGCAGATATACGGGTTTGCCTTTCTATTTGTCGGTCTTGCCGCCATCCACAACAGCGCAAGTCGAACATGGCTACAAAATGTGGGAACTGGCTTGTATTCGTTTGCATCTTCGAGTGGTTCGATTTTCTTCGCCCTCAATTTCGGAGATGAAGGTATGCAACAATCCTTTCAATTATTATGGAAGTTATCTGACTTTCTTGTTCAGGTGGAGCGCCTCTGAAGTCTTGGATCTACAGGGCCACCGTCATCCAGGGCACGCAGCAGCTGTTCATCAGTTTCCTTTGGTATTGGGGTAGCTGGATGGCAGCTCTCAATAAAACAGGTAGCACGCAATTCAACCTTGCCATAACCAATCCAGGCGCTTTACTCGGGATCGGACTCGGACTTGCCTCTCTTCTGTGGATGTTGGGGGCCCTGGTCTTCTTTGGACTTCCTTCATACTATAGACAAACGCCAGGTCAAGTGCCAACATTCTACCTATCGCTCTTTCGCCGTCGCATGATTCTTGTATGTCTCCTCCGGTTCTCCTTCCAACGAGTTTCTATTCTGACGCAGCATTTTGCAGTGGTTTTTCTACATGGTGTTTATATCAAACTACTGGCTGTCGGCACCTTACGGACGAAACTGGCTCTATCTGTGGTCCAGCAAGCATGCACACGCGTGGCAAATTGTGCTCCTTGTCATTTTCTTTTTCGTCGTTGTCTGGGCGGCAGCTCTCTGGGTCTTTCACGTCTTTTCCAAGAGACACGCCTGGTTCATCCCGATCTTTGCCGTCGGTCTTGGTGCTCCTCGATGGGCCCAGATACTGTGGTCAACCTCCAACATAGCCGCCTACATTCCCTGGGCTGGTGGTCCCTTGGCCGGAGCTATCCTTGGTAGAGCACTATGGCTCTGGTTAGGAGTTTTGGATTCCCTTCAGGGTGTCGGTGAGTTTTCTCTCGCAGCAAATCGAACGCAATATAAACTGATTCACGCCAATACAGGGTTTGGAATGATCCTCCTCCATACAATGACCCGATTCCATGTCACTTTCACACTTCTAGCTGCGCAGGTGGTTGGTTCTATTGCAACTATCCTCGCCCGCGCAACAGCACCAGATAAGTTAGGCCCTGGTGATGTTTTCCCTGATTTCTCTGCTGGTGTCGCAGCTGGCTTGGGAAAGGCAGACTTCTGGCTCTGTCTGCTCTTCATGCTATCCATCAACGTGCTCTGCATCTTCTTCTACCGCAAGGAACAACTCGCGAAGCCTTGATCGCTGTTCCAACCTTGAACAGCGTTTTCTTATTTTTTACATCCACTTAACACTGTGTGGCGTTTTTCTGATTGAATTATTAATTATAATGTAGTGCTTTGCATTTCATGGGGCGCGATAGACTTGAGGGTGGTTGCCCTATGTCTTGGATTTGTATATAGTGTATAGAAGGACTGCTAGTTTATAGTTTCTATAGGTACAAATTTAATTTTCGTGTCCATTCGACTCTGAATAGGCCGTGATACTTTCAATCTCAAATCACATTAATTAGTCTCTTTTTCAAATGTTAAAGCCGTTTTCCATTCGATTGAGTTGTCTGTCAAGCGTGGCGCGTAAGAATGTTGAATGATCAGCCTACGCCAACATAGGACGGGCGCAAATCCTGAATTGTACACCCCAATAGTTAGTTGAACATCTTGCCAGAAATGCTGCCGGTTATCTGGGGGGCTCAGGCAGCCCACAGGTGTAACGTCTACCCGTGCCACCTACAGCTATGTACTCGGACACGGACACATACACCTACGAGTATACCGTTTTAGTCAGAATGTCTAAAACGCCTTCCAAATAATGTTATTCGTGTGGGAAACTACAATAGAGTACATTGTAAATCTGACTAGCGGTGTAATATGACTAAGCGAATATGTATAGTTGTAACTTACTAGTCAATTGACTGACTATTTATTAAATACTATTAATAACCAATTATTTAACTATTACAAAGTACTGCATGTGAGAGATTAGACCATCAGACAACTTTCTCTTCTACGAGCTACTCCTACCTCTGCCTTATTCATCTTCCACCTGACTGCCCACTGCATACCCAGTGGACGAACCCCTTGGTTCCTAACTACAATGCATATGACACGTCGGAAGGACCCTTACTTTTTGATACCCAGTTTATTAGGTACTATCCTTTTTGAATTACAATTACCACACTACTTCAAATGTGGTTAGTGTGCTCAGCTGCTTGAGGTCTAACTTATGCGGGCCGATCGTGTTGATCAGACCCTTGCTCCCAATCTCGGCTCTCACTCGTTTTAGGCCTAGTCAGGGGAACTGATTGTTGAAGTCCGAGCCCTCAAGTGCTCTTATAAGTAACAAAGAGTATAATATCGTGTTTTCCCCTCTTTTCTTTTCAAATCGAATCTGCTCAAGTTGTTATTCTTGCCACTCTTTTCAAGTAATACACAACTCATACATTCTTTTATTCCATTCCCTTCAGACCATTCTTTTACTTCATTTTTTTCGTGCATTTACCAGTTTCTAAATTTCATCTAATGCATCCCTCCTTATTCTCGTTCGTCTTGGCCCTCTGCCTTTGCACACGCTGGGTGGTCGCTGCTGTGTCCTCGAGTGAAATTGCCAACTCTCTCAATGAACTAGCACAGCAAGGATTCGCTGCGAAGGCACTCGTATTGGAAATCAATTCCACTGCGGACGCTGGTCCGATTGCGGTAAGCGGGGATTTCTTAAGGTCCATCGATAATAGCTCATAACAAAATTCAGGATATCTACTCTAAGATGGACGCGATGGTCGCTGTGGTTCTAACAGATGTACAATTTATGACGAATACGCCGATCATTGCCGAATCAGATGAGCAGGAGGTCTATGAGGGATACTCAAATGTAGGTTTATTACACAAAAACTAATTCAATCACGGTGCTTTCTACTTACTGTGCTAGTTCGTACAATCTATCTTCGAACTCATGGACGCCTTTTCGAGCAGCGCAGCCAAGCTGAAATCCATCGACCAAACGACCAAGAGTAGAGTTCCCTCAGAAGTTCGCATCTTGCAAAGCGCCGTTGATGTGAGTTCTTTGATCAAATTTTTGCAACGGCCTGAACAGATTGCCGATAAGATGCTGACACCTTACAAGGCCTATTTCTACAACATCATTGGTCTTTTCCCAGCTGACAGCTCGTACAACGCCCAGGCCAATAACCAGAAAGCCCAGGTGGATACGCATTGCTTCCAGGCTGTATGGGCATTTGATCGCGGTTATAGCCATGGTCTTCAGGCTATTTATCAAGGGCGCAGCCGCAGCCCCCTTCACTCTCGACGGATGAAGCGAGGTTCCGTCTGATTTTAGGCTAAATCTGTCTCTGAATATAGATTAACAACTCATCCAATTGGTGTTTTTGAGATATTCCTAGATATTTCAGAGCCGAAATCAAATGTTGGATATCTTCCTCAGCTATTAACAGCTGGTATCATTGATGCGAGCCCGAGTTGAATAGTGGCATATCCGCAAAATAGTCAAACCAAAGAAATATGGTCCTACCGTCAATTTGATCCTCCCCAGTGGGAATGAGTATACCACCATACTATGCCATACAGAGAAACTTTAGAATAGCTAAGGGGATAACGGTCAACATTTCTTAGATCAGACTATTTCGTATGGTGCAGTCTATTGAGGTGACTTGCTGACTGAGCTGCGAGTCATCCAGCTTACATGACTAAAGATCAGGTGATACCCAGGGGGTGCTCAGTTTTACTCTGCGAGTGGAAAGCGGCAAGGGGTGAACACCAAAACGGAATACATGTTTAGTGTACTTCACTTAAATGAGGGGCTGAAAATCCAAAGATCTAACAAATTCCTGAATGGTCAAGGACATCTTATCCAACCTTCTAAGTTCCAGCTTTCCCCTTTCTAAAGTGGATCGGCCCATGTGGTCCTAGTTAGCGCTCTGAAAAGCGTGAAACCGTTTTCCTCTTTCAGCATGGCTATATTACTTAGAGTTGCTATTTTATGAGCTGGCATATATAGACTAAGGTTTGCCACCATAAGCTAGACCCAGAATGACATGATTTTGGTATTCTTCTTTAGGCTACGTGAGGGCAATGATAACTCTCATCAATCTGTTAATTTCGCCCTGGGCCCTTCCTGTAAGTGTTCTGGGGGCGGGGTTTCTAAGACTCAATGTGGTCTTCCACTAAATCATATTTGGTGAGGCAGGAATTTCAGACAATCAGTATCGGTATTATTATGTGCCCATCCAGGCTCAAGTGTGTTGTCAACATTTGACCTAGCGCTCTCAAGTCCACGTTATTCACTCTACGACTTAGATTATGTACCTAGGGAGTCATGATATACAACTTGCATAGGAATAATATAACACTTATAAAATCACTTCTCTACTCATCTCTTTATTCATGCATATTGAAGTGTAGCATATATGAAACTCGGGTTTCAAATGCATTATACCGTATCTAAGTCGATTCTTAGCGAATAACCACCGGGGCAGAAATATTTGCTGTGTTTATACATACACTGTCTAGAGATAAAGCAACAGACAAGCTGGACCGCTCTTTAGCTGCTGGGTATACATGATTGCTGGCATGACGCAATCCCTAGCTTACAGCAAAACTATAATTTGACTCGGATAATTATCTCTTAATGATCACTACTGAGATTAACAGACCCATGTCCTATATGACATTCACTTCATACATACATATTGATCGGTGTAGTAAGAGAAGCAGCGGTCTCAGTCGTTTGCCCCTCAGTCACGTTACTGACCGTGACTTTTGCTTTTCGTTTGTTTAGATCTTACCGCATTAGGTAGCAAATCCTAGGCGGTGAAGATCAGCGATACACCGCCCGATGTTTTGGTAGGCGCGTCCCAAGGTTTCACTTTTTGCGATCAACGCATTCCCCTCTTCTTTCATTTGTTCTTTGTTAGGAACATGCTGGGCTAGGTTCTCTCAGCGCCTAGCTATCTTCCTTTCAGTTCCACTGATATCTACACTCGTTTTCATCGCGGCTTAAAGCCCGATTGTTCTTTTTCTTTCACCTGAAACCCCCAAAATCCTTCACTATGGATGATTCCATAATGGACGACTCGGTTTTCGATATCGACAGCGATGGAGGTAGCTCTGATTTTGTCCCAGAGGTTGCGCCGGCAAGTTTTCCACAAAATTTGGACTCCTGAGCCCCTTCTAATCCATTCTGCTACAGAAGCCCAAGGCCGCCCCGAAGAAGGCGCCTGCTAAAGCTGCGTCCAAGAAAACAACCCAGACTACACTAAAGAAGCCCGCTGCCAAGGCTGCACCCAAGAAGAAGGCCAAGGCCGACAGCGAGGATGAAGTGTCTGATGTCAGAATGTCCGATGACGATTCACTCTCCCACACCCCTCCTAAGGCGAAGAAGGCTGCTGCTCCGAAGAGAGCGGCCTCAAAGCCACTTGCAGACGTCGAGAATGAGTCTTTTGGAGGAGATGCCCCCTCCGATTCCAAGAAAGGTGCGGCATCAGAGAAGTACCAGAAGGTGAGTTGACCTACAGACGCGACGTATCCAATGCTTGTTTGCTAATAAAAATCTCATTAGCTTACACAACTTGAACACATTATCAAACGTCCCGACACATACATCGGCTCGATCGAGGCCACTACACAGAGTATGTGGGTTTACAACTCCACAACGGATTTGATGGAGCACCGTCCTGTTACTTTTGTCCCGGGTCTGTACAAGATTTTCGATGAGATCATGGTCAATGCCGCCGACAACAAACATAATGACAAGAACATGAATGAGATTCGAGTGACCATCAACCGTGAGGAGGGTGAGATCAGCGTGTGGAACAACGGTCGTGGTATCCCGATTGAGATCCACGCCAAGGAAGGAATCTATGTCCCAGAACTTATTTTCGGCCATCTTCTCACCTCGTCCAACTATGATGATACCCAAGAGAAGGTTACTGGTGGTCGTAACGGATTCGGTGCCAAGCTTTGTAATGTATTTTCCAACGAGTTCATTCTTGAAACTCAGGATTCGCGCCAGAAAAAGAAGTACAAGCAGGTTTGGACATCGAACATGTCCAAGGTGGGCGCAGCGAAGATTTCCGACGCCAAGGGTGACGATTACACCAAGGTTACGTTCAAGCCCGACTTTGCCAGGTTTGGCATGACCGGAATCGACGATGACTTTGAGGCTTTGGTGAAGCGCCGTGTCTATGATTTGGCGGGTACATCGGGCGTTACTCTCAAGCTCAATGGCACCCGCATTCCCATTCGGAATTTCAAGCAGTACATGCAGATGTATACCAAGGCCATTCGACTGGAACGTGGTGATGATGGCCCGCCCGCCAAGGATGAGATTATCACCTGTTCTCCCGACCCACGGTGGGAGATTGGCTTTGCTGTCTCGGATGGTGATCACCAACAGGTATCATTTGTCAACTCCATTGCTACCACATCTGGTGGATCTCATGTGAACTACATCACCGACCAGATCTGTAACAAATTGGCAGAAGCAGTCAAGAAGAAGAACAAGACCGGTGCCACACTGAAGACTGCTCAGATTAAGAGCCACATCTTTATCTTCGTAAATGCTCAGATTGTCAACCCGGCCTTCACTTCTCAGACCAAGGAGCAATTGACTACCAAGCCTAGCCAGTTCGGCAGCAAGTGTGTCATCGAGGAAGACTTCTTTAAGAAGGTCCTCAAAACAGAGGTCATGACAAACATTCTGCATTTTGCCGCTCAAAAAGCAGATCAAATCCTGAAGAAGGGTGACAGTGGTCGTCGGTCTCGCATGACCAATCCTAAGCTAGTAGAGGCCAACAAGGCGGGTACCAAAGATGGCCACCACTGCACACTAATTTTGACGGAAGGTGACTCGGCCAAGGGTTTGGCAATGGCCGGACGCGCTGTCGTTGGGCCTGATCTTTTCGGTGTCTTCCCCCTCCGCGGAAAGCTGCTGAATGTTCGCGATGCTACTTTTGACCAGATTTCCAAGAACGCGGAAATTCAAAACATCAAGAACTTCATTGGATTACAGCATAAGAAAGAATACACCGACACAAAGGGTCTTCGTTACGGCCATCTGATGATCATGACCGATCAGGATCACGACGGTAGCCACATCAAGGGACTGCTCATCAACTTCCTCCAGGCACAATTCCCTAGTTTGCTCAAGATCCCTGAGTTCCTTATCGAGTTCATTACCCCTATCATCAAGGTCTGGAAGGGTGACCCAAAGAATCCCACCAAGGCGAAGTCCTTCTTCACCATGCCTGAATATGAAGCCTGGCTGGAGACTCACAAAGGCGAGCGTGGTTGGGAACACAAGTACTACAAGGGTCTGGGTACCAGTTCTACCGACGATGCCCAAATCTATTTCCGAGACCTTGATCGTCACTTGAAGGAATTTCACACCATGCAGGAAGGCGAAGAAAAGCTCATTGACCTGGCATTCTCAAAGAAGAAGGCAGACGAGCGAAAGGAATGGCTACGCCAGTACAAGCCTGGTACCTTCCTGGATCACTCCATGTCGAAGATCAGTTACACGGACTTCATCAACAAGGAGCTCATTCTTTTCAGTATGGCGGATAACCAGCGTTCGATTCCTTCCGTGGTCGATGGTTTGAAGCCTGGTCAGCGTAAGGTTCTGTACGCCTGTTTCCGCAAGAATCTGAAGAAGGATATGAAGGTCGTGGAACTGGCGGGTCTTGTTTCCGGAATGACTGCCTACCAGCACGGTGAAACCTCGCTCCAGCAAACTATCGTCGGTCTGGCTCAGACATTCGTTGGCTCAAACAACATCAACTGTCTCGAGCCTAGTGGAAACTTTGGTAGTCGACTCCAAGGTGGTAGCGATTGTGCCAGTGCGCGTTACATTTACACCCGACTGTCGCCTTTCGCGCGCAGGGTTTTCAACCAAGCTGACGATCCTCTGCTGACATACAATCTGGATGATGGCAAGAAGATTGAGCCTGAGGTCTACATGCCTGTCGTTCCCATGGTCTTGGTCAACGGCGCCGATGGTATTGGAACCGGTTGGAGTTCGTCCATCCCTAACTACAACCCAGAGGATATTGTGAGAAATCTCAGGGCCTTGATGGATGGAAAGCCTACTGAGCCGATGAAGCCCTGGTTCCGCGGCTTTACCGGTGAGGTTGTGGACTTGGGCGGAGATCGTTTCAAATTCAGCGGAATTATCAAGGAGACCGGAGATAAGGAAGTTGAAATCACCGAATTGCCTATTCGCACCTGGACCCAGGACTTCAAGGACAAGCTGGAGGAGATAATCAAGGCTGAGAAGGTGCCTTCCTTCATCAAGGATTACAAGGATTACAACACCCACAGCAAGGTCCATTTCATCATTCAGCTGGATGAGAAGAACCTGAAGAGCGCGCTGTCGGATGGCCTTGAAGAGAAGTTCAAACTTACCAAGACCATGGGTACCACCAACATGGTCGCATTCGATCCGGAAGGCCGCATCACCAAGTATGCCACCGTTGATGACATCCTCAAGGAGTTCTACCATGTGCGTCTCAAGTACTATGAGAAGCGTAAGCAGTACATGCTATCAGAGCTTCAGCGGGAGTTGGAGAAGCTCAGCAATCAAGCCCGCTTCGTGCAGATGATCATCGATGGAAAGCTGGTCATCTCCAAGAAGAAGAAGGCAATCCTTATCACTGAGTTGAAGGAGAAGGGTTTCAAACCCTTCCCTAAGGTGATTGATGCTGCCAAGATGGGCGAGGAAGAAGAAGTTGTGGAGGAGGGTGAGGAATCCGAAGATGCTGAGGTAGAAACACTGTCAAGCGCCTATGATTACCTGCTTGGTATGGCCCTTTGGTCACTGACCCAGGAGCGTGTTGAAAAGCTCCGCCGCCAGATTGGCGACCGTGAGACTGAAATCGATACCTTGATCAAGCTCTCCAAGGAGGACATCTGGCGGAAGGATCTGGATGACTTCATTGCCGAGTGGCGCTTCCAGCTCGAAGACGAAGAGCGCCGTGCTCGCAAGGCATTGGGCCAGGGCCGTCGTGCTTCTTCGAAGCTTATGACCGGCGGAGGTCGTGCTACTGCCGCACGTAAGCGTAAGGCTGCCAATGGCGATGACCCGGATGATGAAGACTTTGGGGGACCAAAGACCAAGAAGGCTGCGGCAGCCAAGAAGAAAAAGGAAACGGTGCCCAAGACGAACACTCTCACCAATTTTCTCAACCAACCGAGCAAGCCTAGTGCCTCATCGGGTGACGGAACTGCCGACTCGGACGATGACTTCGACTTTGTCGAGGAAGTGATCCCCAAGAAGAGCCGCGGTGCATCAGCAAAGGCCAAGCCCACTCCTCAACCCAAGGAGGAAGATGTAGACGTCGATATGGACCTTGACGAGGCCCCAGCAACCACTACTCCGCCCGCTGACGATATTTTCAACATTGACAGCGAGCCCGAGGAGCCCGCTCCGAAGCCAAAGCCCGCCGCAAAGCCAAAGCCTGCAGCAAAGCGAGCTGCCAAGCCCAAGCCAAAGGCAGAAGACTCAGACGATGACTTCCTTGAGATTGCAAATGAGTCCCCCAAACAGACCGCACAATCTAGCCGTGTCCGCAAGCCCGTGAAGTATGATGCTCTTAGCGACTCTGACAGTGACAATGGAGATGACCTTCTTGGAGATGTCAGCCAAATGGTGAAGGGCATTGGTGGCGGCGATTCAGATTCTCGAAAACTCTTTTCAGAGCGCTCCCGTGCGGGAAGTAGCGCTAGCATGATGTCTCCTCCTAAGCAATCCAAGAATTACGACTTAGATGCTGATTTAGATGATGACCTTGAGACAGACTACAGCAAGCTTCTGCCTGCTAAGTCACCCCGGCGTTCGTTGCTAGTGACGAAGCCTAAGGAGGTTTCTCGCATTGAAGATGAGGATGAAGAGGAAGACGAGGAGGAGGAACCTGTCAAGCCTGCCGGAAGGGCCAAGGCGGCACCCAAACCCAAGGCTGCCCCGAAGGCCGCAGCAAAGGCTGCTCCCAAGCCTAAAGCTGCGCCCAAACCCAAGGCTGCCCCCAAGCCCAAGGCAGCAACCAAAGCTAAGTCTGCTCCAGTAGCCTTGTCCCCGGCGGCCAAGGCTTACGCAGCAAAGCAAGCTAAGGCGAAGAAGCAAGCCGAGGATGATTACTCCGAGGATGACATTGATGCCATGGCCAACGACATCTTGGACTCACCCGCCGGCAAAGTTGACATCTCGGATGATGATGTTGATGAGCCTCCCGCTCGTCGTGCCGCCGCCAGTCGTCCTTCCCGTCGCACCGCAACACAAGCCAAGAAGAGTTATGTCATCGATGTCGATAGCGATGAGGATGATGGTTCAGCTGATGATTTCGAGGAGGATGACAGCGAGTAGATTTGTTTCTTTTTGGGCGTCGAGGAGCACCGTTAGGGACTGACAAGTTTGATTCTACCCATTTTTTATGGTGACAAGGCAGAGCCGGCCATTGTATTGCCAAATGCGAATTTATTATTATCGTTTATTTCAAGTTTCCTGCATTGTTCCCTTCTCTCTAAGTGCTTTTATCACGCGACTGTGCCCAACAAGGCCCTCTCCCTAATCTAGACTTCTCAATCTCATGAATGTAATCATCTTAAAAGGCAGTATTCTCACCAAGTCCGATAATTAGCATAATTTTACACTGTCACTTCACATAGATATAATGATACATAATGACATTGGTAATAGTTAAGCCAGAATACAAACATAGCTGCATAACAAGTAAACAAAACATAAAAAGACAAGTAAGAAATAAATAAAATAAAACCGGTTTTTGTCTCAAGCCCCGAACTCCAGTTGACCTAGAGAAGGCATGAAAGTAGAAATCACAGAGATCGACGACGCTTCTTTTCGCGTTGAGCAGAAGTCGGCTCGTCGTCACTATCCTTCTGGTTCAGCCTCACCATGTGTAAACGAAGCAAAGCACGTGCGGCCCGAACCTCACACCCAACGCGACTATTAGCCATAGAATTTCGATCAGGGCGCTTGACTCCAGCAGCACGTTTAATGATCTTTCTGCGTCGATGTACTCTCTTCGAAGCCTGGTACTCCTCGTTCTCGTCATCACCGTCGTCGGACTCAAATTCCTCATCTTCATCGGTGTCAGCAAGAGAGTTGTCCAAGCTCGACTCCCATTCGCAATCGGTCAGCTCATCAACAGTGGTATCTCCGGTGACATTGGAGGTCTTCTGGCGTTGTTTGTTCCAGTATTGACTTTCGATCCGCGAACCAAGATCCACGAGCATACTCGCAGTTGTAGGTTCAGGCGTACGCACAAATGTATGGTGCGTGCGTCGCTTTCGGTAGCCAATCAGGCCTTCTGAGGAAGGGGCACTGGAGCGAGGAATATTATCCCATTTTCTGGGGGCATTCACAGGCGTGAAGTTGTTGACTGTGCTGCCGGGCGAGTGGCAATAGGAAGGCTCCGAAGATGAGTCACGGGTACTGCTGACACTGTCTGCGTAATTGTGGCGAGCCACCTTCGCGTGCGCCTGGCGATATGGGATGTAGTCCACGGTAGATACATTTAGGTTGGTTGAACCTGAACCTGAACCTGGGCTCTGGGTAACATCGGACGACGATTCTTGGTCCTTTTCGAGCTGACGGTAGTTCATTGCTGTTTGGGTCGCATTGAAAATAATAGAGCTATCGAGTTTGATATTTGGAAAGTCTCGTGCTTTCCCACTTACAGTTGGGGTGCAGATCGATGGGAAATCGGTCCCGAAGAGTGGCGTCAAGACGTGGCGGATGTCCCAGCAGAAGGTAGCTGCTACTGCCCGTGCTGCCTCATAAGGCATCCAGTATCCTGAATCTTGGTAAGCAGTTGCTCTTGAGTGGGTTCATTTTGGATGGAGTTGTACCTTGAGCGGCGAGGGCGCCTCCGGTGATACTGTGAGAAATACCTCGTAGGCCATCATTGTAGGCCATAAGTTTTCCGGGAGCAGTCTGAAAGGCAGTCTGTTAAAATCTTTCACTAAGGGAAAGGTTTAGATTACCTTTGTGTATCCAGTGCACTTGAAAAGATGAGTGATGCGGACAAGTCCAATATTGTAGTCCCACATTACCATCCACTTGACATCGTCACCAGGCTTCTGGAATACGTAGTGGAAAGCTAGAAGGTATTCAGTATATGCGACTCAAATCGGTCAGAGTTTTTAAAGGCAGACGTACTGTTGAAACTGTCACGTCCTGTCTTCTCATGGAAGTCTTTCTTCTGACTGTTGTATGGAATGTGTCGAGGATAATCGGCAATATTTCCCAGAGGGTAGAGTCTGAATTCACGGTGAATTTGTAGGAGTGCTTCATCGCGTTCCTCGCAGGGAGGATAGCGAACTTCACCCTGGGGCTTGCCAGGTCTAAAAATAGCACCGTCCTTTGGAGTCTTGGTCTTTTTCTCGCGGGCTGGCTCTGGCACCAAATGCAAGCGGGTTGAGGGACTCTGAGATAGTACCGCAGTCGAAGGGGGTGAGTGGCTCTGAGATGTCAGCGTAGGCGAGCCAGCTGAGTAGCTCTGAGACGGCTCAGGGCCTCGGTAATGGTAGGTCCACGTTCCCTGAAGCGGTTGCTCATCGGTACCCTGAGGCGGTTTCTTGGGGACTGGGTCTTCAGGCACCGGATTCAGCAGGTCCTTGATAGAAGACATGAATATTGGATTCAATGTGAAATGGAAGGAAGAGAAATATTCGAGAAGATGGGGATACTGGGAAGGAATGCAGACAAGATCGAGGAGATAGACGAGTTAAGTGAAAGAGTAGAATAAAAGGCGTTTATCAGAGAATCTTAGCGAAGCAAAACAAGACACAAGGCGTCTCTCAATGGAAGAATCCACGATCAGAGACACTGACAGTTTGATGTGAGATCATCCCCCACTCTTTGTTTTCCTGGGTTTGTTCCACGCCTTTCTAAGGGTGAGTACAGTTATTTGCTTGATAACAGGATATTTGCTTTCTTTGAAGTATTTTCGACAAAAAAAAAGAAGAAAACGCGAGGGAAAGGGACGTGGAAATGGCAATTGGTGAGTTTATGATGTTTCTATACCCCGACGACCCTCGGGATCAGGGAAATGCACTGTTGATCGTTGCCTAACAGATTTCAAGCATCACGAGGAGCTTCAAAGTCGGACGAGTTCCCATTGGCCTGTTTGTCTCTCGAGCTATGATGTTTCCTGTGAAGACCTTCGACTCTGGACTGACTGACATGCAGTGTAGATGCTGCTCATGGATTCCGTGATGCCCCTGTGGATGAAACCCGTGTCTTTGAGCTTCGAGGCCTGGTTTCACCGTCATGGATGTGGGTACCCAATACCTGGAAAACCGCCCAAAGGGCCTGCTTATGGGGTATTTTGACGCCTGTTTGGTTGCCATGTGGATATCTTGTGGCGGTGATGAAATGGAAGCACTGAGTTTTATCACCGCTTCTCTTCATACCTCAACATGCATTCAAACAGGCTGTTGCGGCCGTCTGCGCCATGCTTAGGTCAAAGACCTGGGTAAAACGACTATACCCATTCCAAAACGACCTCCCATACTGGGAGTACAAAATGCAACCCTCGCACCCGCTTTGTCCCGATACTTCAGCAAAGAGGCTTCATCGAAAGGATGGGAAAGGGATTGACGCCCCATGTCAGAGCGTTGGCCTCGGCGCCAGTAGAAATGGCGGCCAAGGTGCTGCAGTGACCGGAGATTTTGGGTGATCATCCGAGAACCAATCACATCCAGATTCACCTCCAAGTGGCTTGATGATATGGGTATCAAAGAGGCCTGAGACCAGCGGATGGCTGCAGGGCAAATCTACTCCTTGTATAACGGCCTGTTGCATGGCTTGTTGGCGAGTCCCTTGGGAATCTGCAACATCTGAGAGTGCGGTGTTATGTACAGAGATAGACTTCTGACTGGATCAGAGATACTGACAGTAGATCATGAAAGACGTGAAATCATCTCACAGAACATCTGTAACTAGATGATCAAGGGGGAGATTGAAAGGGTAAATTCCCGTTTTCGGCTGATGTAAACGAACGACCAGTTTGGGAAGCACGACTAATCACATATATTAGAGACCGCTCTTTCAACTTTTGAACTTTTGAACTATCTATCAACAATGTGGATCTCCGTGCATCCATCGGCTGGGAAGCCTCAGAGAAGCTTCCATGCATACTTCGATGCAGAATGACAGGTCCTGTACACCGACAACGGTTAGACCGAACCCGCTTTGTCTCTCCCTGTGTTAGACTATACCAATAATGACTTACATTCTAGTTCGCTTTCCAAGGTTTTTCCTATTGTATTCACTGCAAGTCGGGACTGAACTCTGAAAGATACAGGGAAACAAGGGGCTCTTCTCCACTGACTGCGCAGGGAATTTTATTGCAACCTAAAGGCCGAGCACAGCATACAACGATGCAAGGGCAGGTACCAGATATATTACACTTACACCTCTTTTAGTTCATGCCGCTAGCAAGTGTGACCATGTTCTGTCTACTTGAGTGCTATTGGCATATTTCTCACAGATCCAATGAGACTGCAGCCCAATACGAGTCTGAGACCAAGCTCAAAACCAAAACAAAACCAAAAGCAGTCAGATCCAAATGTCTCAGACAAGATTGGGTTCAAAAGAGCGGTAAAGCTGATCATCGTGTATGTTTCCGTTAGTTGTTCTTTCCGGCTTCTAGAAAAGGGGTATATCTAGGGATCTCGATTGGGATGTTGCTGTTAGGGCTCAAGCCTATCAAACCTATATCCGAGCCTCGGAAAGTGTGATTCCTTGGTGAATTCCTAGACAAATTGGACCCTGCTTTGTTGGATTTGATCATGGGTATATTTAGTGCCCGACAATTTAGGTCCAACCGAGAATGCGATTGCTCAGGGGGATACCAGAGACCCGACGTTCAATACTTCTTAATTTCCGAGTAATATAAAAGCTGACCTTACATGCACTCAAACTCTATTGGAATCTCATTGAGGATGCCTTGTAGACATGCATATCCGCGGAGTGAACGGAGTATATGCTCAAGATCAGTTGACAGCACTATACCGCCCAGACAGGGCCATAAATCAAGATATGATACTATATCATGTCCCGAGGATCCCTAAACTGGCAATTCTTCAACGGAAGATTAAAATCTTGATGCAACGGTCAACAAGGAAGACGCGCCCCAGCCCGGCCCGAATCATGATGCAGAGAATTGGCGATTAGGGGAGCCTAGACCAAGATGAAACTCAACGGCTGCACTCGCACGAAGTACACATGCGGGAGCGCGAAGTAAGTTGCAGGGCTCAAAACAAGAGCTACCTAATTGGTCGAGGTCGAAGTTCCTGCGCATCAGATCTATGCTGCTGCCCTCCCGGGTTATCAGAGGCACACAGCGCTACCCAGGTGTACTTCAGCTTTTTGGTCCAGTGGGGGCATGCTGTGCTTCTTCCATTATCATGCCACGGATTTTCAAGGAGACACAGCAGAAGAGCTTAATAATTTTACTAGGAATATCCATGACCAACGTGGATCCGAGTCAAGACGTCAAATTCGTAAATCATCTTGCGACAATTACATTACAACATGAACCCGGAAAGAAATAAACAGGGTTGAAGAAGACTGCATACACATGTGAGGGGGTTAAAGATAAATGTAGATAATAAAAAAGGTTAAGGGTGAAGTGAAGAACCATCGGCGAATCATCGTCCGAGCATTCAACATAATTTTTCGTCATCGAGATGAAAGATCAAGGGATTGGGGAGCCGAATATACATTCCAAATGCCTCCCAACAGTAGGAGAGCACCCCACCGCCGATCTTGTGCGTCAAAAACATCCGTTAAGAAGTGAAACTGTTTTCAGATCCTCGTCATAATTGCGGCTGGCTACCGTGCGACTCAAGACCTCTAAAGGAGACTAGTTGGACCTTTAAACAGCCAGAAGAGGCTCCCGCTCCGCGGCCTGCGGGGCGGACTCCACCGACTCCACGACCTGAGAGATCGGCTCAACGATGGGGGCCTCTGGGAAGTCCTCAGTCTGGATGGCAGGCTCGGCAACCGGCTCGGTCTTCACGGGGGTGGGGAGCTTGGTCATTTCGGGAGAGGCGGAGCGGCGGCCAATGTACTCCTGGGCCTTGTGGCTGTAGTCACCAACGTACTGCTTCATCAGGCCAGTGGCGTGCGAGGTGCGCTCGCCAGCCAGATCCTTCAACTGGTTGGTCTGGGCGCTGACAATATCCTGGAGGTTCTTGATCTGCTCGTCGATGATCTCACGGTTGCTGATATACACAAGAGGACCAATGTAGGCGGTAGTCACCCCGATCACAGTCAATCCCCAAACCGGGACGATGCGGATCAGCCAGTAACCAAGGAAAGCAGCGGTGAAAGCCTACGGTCCTGTCAGTTATGTTTTTGTAGTGATTATCTTAAAGCAACGTACTGCAACAGTGTGAACAACATTCTCAGCAAACAAGATACGCTGGAATTCGATCAGGAAAAAGTCCAGCAATTGAGAGAGGTCCTCGAGCACGGCCTCGTGGGTCTCCTTGGGGATTGTGTAGTATCGGCGGGGGCGGAACGAGCTGGCGATGCCCTTCTTGAGAATGACGTGCCCAGCAATCTCAACAGCGGCGGTCACTATCCATAGATTAGTCGCGTGATCTCAAAAAGGTGGGTCACGCGACCAACTCACCTCCCAACGACATGTAAAGAAACTTGAAAGCCCAGCGGAGAAGGGGTAGGTAACGGGCGGCAAAGATGAAACCAGTGATGCTGGCGTAGGAAACGGCTGTCGCGCGCGGTTGTTCCCACTGTTGATCAGAGGGGTTAGTAAAGCCGGAAGGAAAATAGGCCGGTCGATTTCGCATCTAAAGGGCCTCGCAAGACTCACGCTTAAAAGACTGTACAGCAGGGAATGGTAGTCTGCGGCATATTATTAGCTTGGTGAGCTACTTCTGGGGTTTCGGGTGAATTCGTACGGGTCAGAGGCTGGCCATTTTCGGTTGTAGTAGAGGGGGTGACACGAGAGTTCTTTAGCTCTTGCAGCTCTCCAGTGGTCTTGGAAACCTCAGACTTGACGTTATCGACAACCGGGCCTAAAAGAGGGGGCGAAAAAGAAAGCATTAGATCGACCATGTTCTAGAACCTCTAGCACAACGAATGCCACTTACCCTTGGTCAAGATATCTTTGATACCTAATTCGATGGTTCCAGGTCAGACATTATAGCTGGGATGAATAGCAGGAGCGAAGGGTAGGAATACTGCAAAAGAAATCACGAGTCAGCATCTTGCAGCAGTTGGGAGGAGTCGGTTGTCGCAGCTTGACGCTTTCTCTTAAAGGGGAGGGGGTAACATACCTTACTGCCCGAGTTGGGGTAGCTCACATCACCAGAATCAGCCATTGCGGTAATAAGTAGAAGTAGAATTCACCGAGGAAAGAAATCGTTGAAGTTGAAAGTGGAAAGGATGAAGGGAAAGGAAAGATAAGGAAATGAATTGTTTTGGTGTGATGCCTGTGCGTCCCGCCAAGGCAGAAAACCCCAATGATGTCAACTATTTCTATAATCAAGATATTTAGATTTAAAACATCTTTGTATTTCCTATAGAGCATTTAGAAGCTCTAACATGTTGCAGAAAAGGTGATAAAAACCTTATGATTCATCTTAGTGGTTAAATAGGGGGTACAATAGCTAATTCTTCACACGGATGGCCCGGCTATGACTATGACTATAATATGACTATCTCGGTACATAAATTTCCAACCTTTGGATATCAATGAATATGCTTTTAATTAAGGTTCCAACTTCCAAGCTTTTCCTAGTATGACAGTGGACAACCTCAGCCAGACATAGATGAAGAATCACGGTCGGAAGTGGCGCAATAACGTATCCAGTCAGAATCCGGAGTTAAGGACAGAGTCACTACAGGACTATAATATAATATAAATTGTAGGGTTGTCTAGCTGGGTAGGTAGAGTTATAAGTGCTAGGCTTGAGCATTATATGAAGATTATGTACTGATATATTAATAACATTATGAAAACTAGTCACATGAAATACGGAATCTCTGAGGTTGAGCGTGAAAAGGTAGGAATTGAGCCGAAGCATACTATTTTCATATCAAACACATTCATTCTATAAGTATCTTGATTAAATTTGAATAATTCCCATGCATCACTGCTTCAGTTGGTGGATGATATTATTCAATGGAATCTTGTACAATATGTATAAGCACGTGACCTACGCGTTTCCTGATTGGGATGTCTGTTTTGATCCTCGATCCATTCCCGAACCCACACACATACAACAACACACTCGCTGACAACTCCGATCTACTCATTTCGACACCCATGGTCGACAATCAGCAATAACCGTTTTTCCCAAACCCCCTTCCCTTTCGATCGCGCACTTAACTCTTCCCGTCACCCCACCTCGGCGCGTTGTTTACATCATGGCCGCCGCTGGCGCGAGGGCTCAAAAGCCCGTCGGCTCTGCCGCATGGATTGCGGCAGAGAAAGAGAACATGGCGGAACTAGTCGAGCAAGAGATGGAGGAGGTTGAATACCCCGTTCGGCATGAAATGGATTGGCTGAACGAGCATATGGCCGAAATCTTCTCCAAAGGTCAAACGTGAGTTGCGGCCAACTTGTGGGCACCGGGCTTGGCACTAACTCCAGACATAGTAACTTTACCGATGTTTTCAAAACACCAGGAAAGATGAGAGGTAAAACACCTCGCACCGCACGCAAGCGAAATGTGGAGGAAAGTCGAGTGGTGAGCCTATCACACTGGGTCCCCGCAACCGTTGCTAAGCTAACGCATCTCACAAGCCATTGAGCGAGATCTTTTCTTCGACTCCCAAGCAAGTCGAAAATAGGGCAAGCCCGAGCCCTTTCATTCATCGTGTCATCTCAAAATCCACAACGGCAACAACGTCTGCATCTCCCCGCCCCAAGGCTGTAGAGAAAGATGCGCAACCTCACTATCCAACCCTCCCTTCAAACCTCAACTCGTTCCAAACATATAACACAGACTCAGGCTATCATGGAATGGAAGATTTCGACGACGTAGTTTTGCCAGACACAGAGCCAAATACTCAAGTTTCCACACAACCGATGGAAGTGGAAGAGCCGACTGTGTTGAGTCCTCAGGTCGATGTCACGATGAGTCAGCAATTAGCTGAAGATTCCTTCCACTCTGCCCAGGAGAATGTTCGTGCGCGCGGGGAGACTGTTGAGCCGGTCAATGTGGATCCAACTCCCTCGCAGAAACGGACTGCGTCGCCTGCAAAGACGGCTGCTAAGGATTCAGAGCCAGAGCCGGAAATCAACTCAACTCCGACACCCAAGACCCAGGCTAAGGCGAAGGCGAGTCTAGGCAAGCAGAAGCAGGAGGAGAAGCCAGCAGACCCGCAAAAACCCAGCACCCCAGATGATGCCCAAGACGACGTTCAGGATGAGGCCGAAGAGGCGGTGTTGCAGTCATCCCCAGTGAAGCCAGCCGCTACTACGCCGTCCAAGGGGCAAGAAAACCAGGAGCATGAGGATATCGACATGGGTATGGAACATGACGCCAAAGAAGATACAATTCTCGACAACTTCGATGACATTGGCTCTCCCTCCGACAACTCTACTCCCGAACGACTACCGGTCCGAAAGAGCAGTCTCAGTTTTGCGTCTCTTCCAGCACGTGAACCTCTCACTAAGAGCATTGGAGGCTCACGACTTTCCCGTACCAGCCACATTGATCTTCCCAAGCTGAACAATGCCGGTAGACTCAGTTATCTGGGCAGACAGACTGGGAGTCACAAAACTACCCATGTCGCTCTGGATGACAACATTCGCAGTTCTGGTTCTATCGATCTTGATGACGATAAGGATGCAGAACAAGCTAGTAGATTGCACAGCACAAAGTCGACTCAGAGTCTCCATGAAAGAATCAGCATGCTTGGAAAGGCTCCGCCATCACGACCAAAGAAGTCGATTGCGGCACCGGTGGTGGGGCTTGTATCTGCTGGACAGATCGCTTATCCAGAGCTATCCGCTACCAAATCCGAGTCCAGAGTCGAGAATTCTGAGTCTAAGACTCGCATTTCGACTTCTGATGCTGCGCCCGCTGACGAAGACGATTGGATCCCCCAACGACCAAATCTCGAAAAGAGCAAGACCGCGGACGTTATGGAAAATCTTGACACAAATAGATTTCAATCTCCGGGCAAGAGGGATCCAGCCCCCCGTGTAGAGAAGTATTCTGCTGAGCCGGAGCGTCCCAAGTCATCATATTCAATCTTCTCTTCACCTCGTCCCCATGGTCATCAACAAAGCGCTTCTTTATCGCATATGACGCCTGCGGCGTCTACTACCCCCACTGGATCGCCGCGACGATATGATGGACCAATCAGTGCTTCGAAGACTCGATTGCAATCAATCATGAAGAGCGCCAAGGGATTGTTTACAAGCACCGGAAGCTCGGCAAGAATTGAAACATCTTCACCTGAACAACCTCGTATTCAGCCAAAACAACGAGCGAGTGCGGATAAGGGTGAAAAGGAACTAGAACGCCAGTCGCAGCCTCGTCAATTGCCCTATTCCCCACGACAGGAGGGTCGCCGAACTCGCAGTTCCACTGAAAAGGAGCAGAAGCAGCGACAGAAGGACTTGGAGGATCAACAAGCTGAAGAATCCCGCCAGGAGAAAGCCCGGGAACAGGAGCGACAACGCGCTATTCAACTGAAAATAGCACAAGACAAGTCATCCGTTGAGCCGGAAGAGCGCACGAGCACATATAGTCACAAGGCCTCCCAGTCATTACGGCCGCAGAGCCGCGAGCCTGAATCGGCCCAGGAAGTCTCGAGGATTGCCATGCCTCAATCCAAGCAGAATGATCGACGCCCTAAGCCAACTCGCGAGCCCATGCAAAAGCCCAAGCCACAACCTGTGTCTGTTCGTGTTGGTAGCACCCTGTCCCGCGCAATTCCAATGCCCACGGCTTCTACCAATGTTCAGGAAACGAGTGTCCCGGCACCTACACCGAAGCAGGCAACTCTGAAAAAGAAAGCCAGTAACAATTCTCTGCACACTGCTTCATCCAATAGCAGCTTCAAGAGCTCCGTTTCCAGTCAGACACAGGCTCAGCGAAAGGCCCAGCTTGCTAGCGAAAGAAAACGAGAGCAAGAGGAGAGAAAGCGCGAGCAGGAGGAGAGGAAGCGAGAGCAAGAAGAGCGTGAGGCTCGTCGAAAAGAGGAACAGAGGAGGGAACAGGAACGTAAGCGAGCTGTGCAACTCAAGCAGCAGGAGGAAGCACGTCGACAGGCTGAAAGTCGTGCTGAGGCGGACCGAGAGCGCCGAGAGCAGTCTGCTCAGGAGGATTCTCAAAGAGCGGCGAATAAGCAGGCAATTGAGAAGTGGCGAATGGAAAACATGCGGAGACAAGAACCGGGTGTCTCTCGACCTGCTTCGCGTTTGGGCTCTCTTCAACCCTATGGTCGATCTGTCAACACGCCTGCCGCTAACCCTGCTAAGCCGCCCAAGAGAGTCATGGACGAGGACGCAGGTCACAGGCCAGCCGTTAGGAAGCCCAGCAACGTTCATCCTTCTGGCGAGGCTAAGCGGGTCAAGACGGACGATGAACATGGGCAGCCCGTTCGAACAATAGGGCGTCCAGTCCGCCCGCCTAGCACCATTCGCAAGGTATGCATTTTAGTATTTTTCCCCGTCTTGATTTTATACTAATAAGGAATCTGATCAGCCTTCAACTTCATTGTTTGGCCAATCTGGTATGGGTCACCAGGTAGGCTCTTTGAAAATTGGTCAGCCTCAGAGACCCGGACATCCATTGGACATGTCCTCGTTAGCAAATGGCAAGATTCCCTTCGCTGAGCCTAATCGTGCGCCTCCACCATCGGCGCACAAACCCTCCGCTCCTGGCTCTGTCCACCGCAACCCTGCCCAGGCCAAACCCTCCCCCAAATACCCCAGTGGTGACAGTATACACCTTCCCGAGATTGCTACCGACAGCGAGGACGAGGATGACTCGGACTCGGAGATGTTCCCCGTACCCAAGTGGGCGCAGGCCAAAGAGCTGCAAGACCTGCTCGTTGAGCAGGACGGAATGGAGGTAGACTCGATCTTCGGACCGATTGCACCCTTTTCTTTGGAGGAAACTTTCAAGGCCGACAAAAAGATCAAAAAATACCGTGACAGAACCAGCAGTGCAAACTGGTCTGGTCCGGACGGTCTCACTCAGGAGGAGATTCGGAAGGATGTGGCTGAGCGACAAAAATTACGTCGTAATGGTGGCTGGTCTTTCAACATTTGAGGTGACTGTTCCTGGAGTTGTCTAGATATCCTATTGGGTGTAATTTCGAACAGCACTGGCAGTTCAGGCGTTGGTTAATTAAGGGCATTGGGTATTATGTGGAGTTCTAAGGAGTACTGATTTTGGCGTTATGTATTTTTATTATCCAGTCCTATATCTGTTAGACAACAGCAACGAAGAATCAATGGATCCGGTCAAGGGGTCTGCATTATTGACCTGTGGAATCATATATTTTCATATACTGTGAATAAATGGCTCTCCTGTTGCTAGTAGGTACGGAGCACTAACCAGCCTATATATGCATACTTATATCTACTTTAATATAATCAATAAATAGTTGTCTTAACGTGAACCAGCATCATTGGTCTAGTGGTAGAATTCGTCGTTGCCATCGACGAGGCCCGTGTTCGATTCACGGATGATGCATTTCTTTTTGTTGTTCCAAGGGGTATCTTGGCTTCCCCTTAGCAGCGATTTCTGTCTCTTCGCTCTATTCCATTGATTTTTTTAAGAAAAAACCAACCCCCTGTGTCATTGGTGCTAATCAATCTCATTAATTATATCTCATCAATTATACTTTGGCAACGTGGTTGGTTTCTCGTGGCGTGCCAATGATATATATATCCACGTCAACTGCACATGTGTCCAGGTGTGGGTCGCCATATAGCCCAACATAATATGCATGGTATGCCAGCCACATACATATGTATCCTCTAGGGGTAGACAATGTACGTACTTCAAACTGTTGTATATCTCTGAATACAATTTAAAACCTCTGGGTACTAATGCACCCGTGCACCCGTCAACTTGAGTTTGTACATCATGAATTTTTATTTTCTGGCAGCATGTGTGTTTGCCCAGGTGCCCAGGTGTCCAGGCCGCATACAATAACAATAATTTAAATGAGAAAAAAACCGTGCACCTTGGTTGAACCTACCTACCTAGCCTGACCCGGTCGCGCCGTCCATACCGAATATTGTACAAAACTTACTTATATAGTAAGGTATTCATTCCATGTCGGGCTCCATATCACTTCCTCCGCCCTCAAGACCCTCATCCATAGCATCTGGGTTCAAATTCACTGCGTCTGCCGCAACACCCAATTTTTCATTAGGCTTACTATGGGAAACGGTACGCCACCCGGCTGCAACGGAGGGGTCCTTGAGATACTCAGACATGGGGAACTGCAGCCATTATTAGTGATTTTACATGGTGTGCAAAAAAGGGATACTTACGTAGTGATCGTTCTTCTTCATGGTGACAACCCAAGGGACATTATCAAATGTCACTGCACGCAGGCGGAAGTATGTATTGTCGGGGATCTTGCACACCTCTTTGACGAACAGGTCGAGATTGGGAGTCGGGGTGTCATTGACAGCAGTGATGAAGTTGGTCGGCGCAAGACCATAGTGGTAAGCGGGAGAGCCACGACTCTGGGACAATGGTCAGTAACACACAGGATATCCAAGATGAAGAATTGACTTACCCTCGCGCTAACATAAACCTCACTGTGAAGTTTGGAGATCTGTTGTCGAACAGCATGGTGGGGCCTCTGCAGAACAGCACCGCAGAAAACGACAGCCCGATCTGTCTCCAAATCTTCTGTCGGGACCGTGGGGACACGAATACGCATCTCCTGGCCGTTTCGGACAATCAAGGCCTCGAGGACCTCCTTCTCGTACATTACATCCAGCTCCGAAACCCGAGTAATAAGCTGTCCATCCAGAGTGAGAATGATATCTGCCTCTTGGAAGCTATCGGTAGGTGTCAAGTCTGCTGTTGGGCAGTCGACCTTGCGCACCATGAACAGCTGGTGGCGCGAGGGATTGGCCTGCGCAACCTTCTGGATCCATTCTTCGGATACGCCCATGATGCGGGCCTGACTCATCTGAACAACATAGCTCTCCATGTTTAAGATGCGAAGCTTAGGCGTGAGACCCTGCTGAACCTTTGAGGTGACGGGGAGAAGCGACGGTGTGGCGAATCCCAGATGGTACTCGACATCCTTGTGAGAACTGGGGGTTCGTTCGCCCAGGTAGTTCAGCCACAGTGCCTGGACCACGCCATCCTCGCCAATCAAAACACCGTTAGTACACTGGCCACTCAGACCCGTATCCACCGTGATGGCATCCAGATTGATTGCCCGATACCGAGGAGCAGATGCATTAGCTGGGATTGAAACCGTGGTAATATCGGTGACAGCAGTCTTGGCGACTACGATGCGGAAGTTCTGATTGAAACCGACAAAGATGGTATCCTGGCCCTGCTTGATGAATTCGGAACTGAGTCGTGCGCTTTGTACAGGAGCCTGCACCAGACTGGGGTCGTATTGAATAATAGTGTAATTTTGGAGCGGGTGCAGGAAGACAACCTTGGCAATGACGATGACCGAGTCGGCAACGGTGATAGTAATATCACAAAGATCGTAGGGCACAATGGCCCGCGAAACAACAACCAGACCCTTTTCGGCGTCAATCACGAGACCAAAGCCTGTTTTCTTTGCTTGTGGGTAACCGTCAAGTTTCAGAGGCATGGTGCATGAAACACGCACAAAGCTGCGAACAATCTCAGCTGCAGCAGGCTGACTTACGCCATCCAACTGAATGAAGTCTGCCTTGCGTGCAACAGGAGCTTCCGCAGGGATGGCATCTGCAAGATCAGAAAAGTCCCAGAGCCCAGTTTCATCATTACGAACCGCGAGACGCATTTTCGGGTGCCAATGACGGTCGACATAGACGATGCTGGTACCCTTAGTGTGAAGATCCCGAATATGGCGATAAGAGATGACCACCCGAGAGCGATCAGGAATGGTTCTCATCACCGCCACGAATTCATCCAAGTTTCGAGTTGGTCGCTTGTCAACCGAGTCGATGATCCATCCAGACAAAGTATTTTCTAGCTTGAAAGAACCAGCTGCCTCACACACATACACTCCACGGGTGGGAATGGCATAAAGGCGGGCTTGCTGGTAAGATAGATCATGGAAAGTGGCACCAGCAACAGTCACAAACCGATCGGGGGTGATCGCGTGGAGATCACCAACCTGACACTCGACTTCAAGATCCTTGCCTCCTCTTTGAACGAGCAGCTGAACCTTTCCCCCAACACTGGAGTCTAGAATATCATCAAGACGAACAAATTGGGTGAGAAGCTCGCCATTCACCTTCAACAGCACGTCACCTTCCTGCAGCTTTCCATCGCCAGGACCCTCGGGGAGAATAATCTCAGCGGCAAGCATATTGGTCTCCGCAGGAGCAGCCTTACGTACAGCAGCCTCCCACTCGGGGGTTAGGCCAAGACGACGACACTCATCGAACGGCTTGAGAATCCATTGAGTCTGGATGGTGCCCCGAGTGACGGGCCTGCCTTGTTGGATGCATTCCAATGCGCGAAGTGGGCGATCCAGAGGTAGGAAATAATCAGTTGCAGCACCATCTGCTCGACCTCCCGCTTGCAAAGCTACAGCATTTCCGTCGAGGTTGACAACGGGACTTCCCGAACTACCGCCACTGGCAGCCGCTGCAGCTTGAATATAGTTGGTGTTGAAATCACTGTATCCCTCTCCATACTCGGGTGCGTTACGATCCAATCGACTGATAACACCGGAAAGAATACTGAGCTTCTCGCCGGCATCGTTACCAACCACCCGAATCTCCGTACCGACTTGTGCTGCATTGGGTTGAAGCTTGAGCTCGGTGAGCTTCATGTACCGGATGGCCTTGGGGTCAAACTTGAGAATACCAAAATCATGCACAGGATCCCGATAAACAGGGCGAACATCGCACTATCAGGCAACCCATTAGCTTTCTTTTTGCTCTTGCCACCTTTCTTTTCATCCCGTGCCAGCCAAACTTACCTCTTCGTGATTGTCAAAGATGACATATCCCCAGAATGGACCAGCGCATACCACATGTCGGTTGGTCAAAATATATCCCCGCTCCGCATCCACAACAAAGCCGGTAGCTTGACTGCTCATAGAAAGGTCTGTGTCGAAGGAGCAGGTCTGACAGAAGTGAATTGACACCACACTCTTTACAACCGATTCGATAGTGGCCTGCCACTCCGGTGAGTCGGCCTGGGCAGGACCAAGAGCAAGCATGCGTCCCGCATCATCATCCTCCTCCTCGACATCATAGACGGTTCCATTGGCCGGGGTTGAGTCGCCGGGGGTTAGGACCGAGCCTTCAGGCTTGAGGTGTTTTGTAGGTCGATCCGCGTTACCAGAGACAGTACTGCGCTTGCGCTTGACACCAGCATCGCTATTCGAATCCATGGTTTTGGTGGAAAGGGAGGTAGCTCGGCGCGAGAATTGCAGAAGACTGCGAGGAAGTTGGAAGAGCGAAGGAGAGAGGCGACTAGGATTCAAGGAAGGGCCAGTGGGTCGGGAAGGAAAAGAGAAAGTAGTAGGAGCGACACGAACCGGCCAATGCACCACAGCAGAAGCAGTAGCAAAACCTTGGAAGCTCCTGGTCAACAAAGACATTCGCGCAAGATGAAGAGGCGGAGAGGAAAAAGGGAGTAGCTGATTGGTGGGCGCACCCGTTCACACGATCCGATCCCATGCCCGGACCACGCGCCCCATGCGAAGATCTGCATGCTAGATTACATAGTTACATTTTATCTAGTATATGAAGGATTAATGGAGAATGAATAGACCTTACTACTTAAAATGAGTAAAGTCTAGAGTGCTGATCCATTTTCTGTAGAAATATGAGTAGAACCGTCTGTCGGTTCCAATAATTTAGATATCTCGCGCGTTTCGCCTCAAAATTCTCCAGGTGTCAGATATCAGAGTTCCCTGGAAATTCAAAAAATGTTACACTCATAACCGGGGGTATTTCATGCCCTTGATGTACTATAGATCCAAGAAGCGGAAACTCAGGGAGCGCAAAACAGGGCGGGGCGCCTGTTAACGGGAGGCGCCGTGTCCCTCAACTGGTTGGTACTAGTACATGGGAGGTGTGGTAGGTGGAAGGGGGTCGTGGGTTCCCCCATGACGCCTCGTATGACTGGTAGTTCGGGGACGACAAAGATCAATGTAAGAGTAAAGGAGGGGTAGATCCAGAACTCCGAAAAAAGTATCTCGACAGCAGATCCTCCCAGTCATCAGATAACTGACTCTGGCATGGGGGAGGGACTAGGTCCACCATTTCCCTGCATCATAGCGGGACTGAACCGTTGAGGGGTAGGAGCCTGGCCGGATCGGGGAAAGAGCTCGTTTAATTTTTGATATAAGTCATTCAGGACGGGCAAGCTTGGAGGCGGAGTCATCAGTGCCGGCGCCGGGAGCCTTTTTTGTTTGTCCGTTATAGAGGCGAGGTACGACAGGTTGGCCTGTAGTCGTCGCATACAATCAATATACTCCTGGCTCGGCTTTGGGGCGGTCCCGTCAGCATTGAGCGAACCTGCCTTGCCCGCCGTCTGTAGATTCACAATCTCCTCTAATAATGTTGAATTGATGTCAAGGAGTGTCGTCATGCGAATCTTCTCTCGTGCTACCGCCTGTACCTGCGCTTGTAGTTGAGCCGGGGATGGTCCTTGCATCGGCGTCTGGGATTGTTGGGCCTGGCCTGGGACCTGACCCATGTTGGGGGTTCCCGGTTGAGCGGCCCGCGGGGAGTTCATCTGGGGCCGTGACTGGTTGGTCAATAAGTTGTTTGCAGATATGGAGGCCATGTTCTGGGAGAATGTCTGCGCAACGGTAGAGGGAGTATTCGGTGCGGGGTTGGCTTGCGAAAACTGGGCCATGTTTGCGGGGAGGGGAGGTTGGCTAAAGGGCGCAGAGAAATTTTCCATAGGTGCTGCTGTCATATTAGCGGCCAGATCCAACGTCAGTCAGTGTGAAAGAAGTGTCAGGTCGCTACCCGAAACACGCCTTTTGCCCTGCAGATAAACCAGCAAAGCAAACGAATGAGGACACGGGTGACATGATAGCAAGTGTTATCCAATGAGAAGATCCATCAACACTGCAGGCCTCCAGGACAAGCAAGCGCATCTTGGAGGGAGCAATGGAAACGATTAACCTTGGTCTAGGCCTTGGATAGATAATGCGGCTTTTGCTCCTCCGAATCACTAGAGCCAGGTTGACCCCGCAGGGCAAAGGTAACAATTGTACCGCGCTAGTGGTAATCAAAGGGAAGAGGAAAGGAAAGGGTGATATAATATTTTTTTTGAAAAGAAATAAAATAAAAGGGGGTTAGTTGCCCACGTACCGGAAGACTGGGGGAAACGTGAGGGCATCATAGCTCCACCGGGAACACCTGGCTGCATTGGGAGGGAACCAAAGGAATGCTGCTGCTGTCCAGGCTGTGACGGGGCCTTGGACTGTGGGAATTGTTGGGACATCGAGTTTGGGTAGAACGACATCGGATTTGGGCTTTGTGTCGGAACGGGAAAGGCGGCTGGGTTGTAGCCAGTATTGGAATCCATTGTATAATAAGGCGAGCCCATCACGAAGATAGACTATCCGTTAAGAGGGGGCCGGGGAGGGGGCGTCCAAGGGTGGACCGCAGTCAATCCTGTTCGTGGGGATTTCCTTTTTTTTTTTCTTTGACACCAGATAAAGTCCCGGGGAAGTCGATTACGCACGAGCCGCACGGGCAAGACAGAAGGGCTGGACGGGAATCCAGGGATGGGCAGGGGAAATGGGCCGTGTATGGGAGGAAGTGATCTAGACAAGACCAGAAAAATAGAAGAAAGTGATTGGTCCAGGACACAAATACTGTAGCCAGGGGATGGAACACGATCGACCTTGAGAGAGCTGGACTCGGAGCAAGGACAGATTTTGGTGTTGGTCCGGATTCAGAGTGATCAGCCGTGGACGGGCTAATGCAGCGGAGCCTTTTCGGTTGAATTGTGGAGACACGGACCCAATAGGTGGATAAATGGGCCTTTTTGATTGGGATTTACGCTGAATTCTGTGTCCAAATGTAGGTTTTGGTAATTTCCCCAAGACTTCTCCATGAAGTTGGAGAGGCGAGTTTCTTTGAACGTTGGTCACGGGACTCCTGAATGGTACATGGCAGTATGTATTCAAGCGGTGAGATAAGAGGCTGAAAATATAACGTAATCTCGGTCATGGCAATATCCGCCTGACCGCTGTCATGAATCATGGTGGGTCCATATTCAGCCACAGATTCGCTGCGCCACAATAGGGCTCATATGTGGCACAGACATTCCATGGTTCCTAAGAATCCAAGGTTTCTCCGAAATTTGTTTGTCTCATGAGATCAATCACTTTTCCAGTTTATTTTCATATTCTCAATCCATCGTCATTACCTTGATCATCAGCATGATTCATCGGCTTTACCTCGAAAACATCGGCTTTACCTTGAAAACATCGGCTTTACTCCTTGGTACATTGTGCACGAAACAAACTAGGAACTACTAATAAACCAATAGTCTATGATTGGTTGTTTGTACTATTGATTTGGATTGGAACATGACGTATTTCTGGGTACGGCGCTAACGGCGACCCCGGCTGCATCTGATATCAGATTTCCCACCGTTGAGGGATCCAGTATTGGTCCAAACCCATCATTTTTCATTAGCGATACGATCTGCAGTTCGAGGGAGCCCATACCTCGTGACGTGGTCTTCGTTCAGTCCACTTCATACCGCAAGTCATACATCCGGGTGGGGCGCCCACAAGGAGGCTATCTGGAACGGGCGACGTGCATCTCGCTAAGAGGGGCACAATAGATCAAGAAAAGTTATTCCAACGCCACTTATGCACTTTAGAGTGGTCCATTCTTCCCAGTTTCCAGGAAATGCAAGCCGGTGATCTTTGCTTGTACTAGCCAAATGGATAGATTGACAGACCACCTAGGGGGAATGACAGCAGCCCACCTCAGCTAGCCGCTTGAGGGAATCCGTCGGATTTTCATTTCCGCTCAGGCACATCATATTTCTGTGCCCTTTATGGAAGAGCCAAGCTTTGAACTCCACAAGGCAACGGATGGTTTCTGAAGATGCCACTAGGGATTGTGAATGTCTGGGCGTCATTCCTTTCCCTCGCCGTGCGTTACACCGCAGTATAAAGCGACCTGGTACTCGGTACTGCATGCATGAGCCCCCTCCATGCATGTCGAGCGATTTGACAGTAACATGGTTAGCATCGGATCCTACCTACACCACACCGTTCTCAATAACGTCCAACATTACCGCTAAACTACAATTTATGAATTCGAGAAAATACCATGCGATACATCTGAACCTAATCTACAGTTGTATGATAGGCCTGGTCTAATTACAAGATGAACCCTGCCTTGCTTGGCCCCAACTATCGAAGCATGCATCCAAACCTTGCACCAAAAGAACCCATCCCCCGCCTGCACGATGATTTGTCAACCGTGAGATCCATTGGTCCACCGTGTTACATGATTACATGACTTGCATCCGGAGAAATCTGATCTCTGTTCTCCGTTCTCCGTTCCAGCCTAAGATGACGATCCTAAAGTGCGTGGCAGAAAGAGTAACGTTGTAAGCACTAAAGACGGTGACAAGCTTTAAAAAGAGGAATATTGGGGTGGATATCAGGAAAACGTCCGAGCCTGACATTCTAAGTGGATTTCAGCATTTCTTTATCTTGAACAAGGACAGATCCCAAATTCGTAAGTGGACCATCTTTTGTGGCGCTTTGTTCCACCTAAAGAAGAAAGGCTTTGCTCGATTAAGAAGGAGGATGACAGCCCTACCGCTTGTGGTCTACTGTAACAAGATATTTATTCGAGCCTTGGCTCTGAATTACCAAATGCAATGAGGCCCAGGTCCAGGCCAAAGATTAGGGCCGAGCGGGGATCCATTTGCCACCTTGAGACTTGGCCGATGCACTTACGATCAATTATGCATAGTTCGATCTGTACAGTATGAGTGCATGTCAATCCACATTGCATTGACTTTCGGGTATGCTTCAGCTCTCGCGGGGAAAAGTCAGTCCAGATAACAGTTTCTGGATAAGATCATCTTTCGGTGAAGGCATGAATTGATCGACCGACTCAGCCACAAAGTGGCGTAAATAGTATGTCAAAAAAGCATGTCCATCGGTGACGAGAACGTGCATCGGATACAGGTAGAGGCAATGACTAGGTAACATTGGATTTGACAAGGATTCCCTAGTCATGAGAGAGGAATAGAGAAATGGATCGAATATCTCTAGAAAAGATCCCATTTTCCTTCACATATGTGATGATGTGGGCTATTTTCCTATCTCGCGTATTGAGGTGAGTGGGGATAATATACATACCTCGATCAATTTAGGGTCTTTTGTACTGTCGGTCATGTGGTTATGCGTTAAGTCAAATCAGGAAGTCAGCATGTCAATCTCGGAGCTCATACCACCCTTACCGCTCCGATCTATATAACTATGCATCTACTAGCATCGGAAGAAATATTCACGTCAATATTATCTCCGAGAGCCATAGAGCCATCAAGAATGAATTTGATATTCAATTAGCTAAAGTAGGAAATATATGCCGGATTGTACCCTTCAATTATAGGGGTACCGGCATTCAAATCCCGGATGTATTCATATCCCGTATGTTTCAATAATCCCCACTGAACCAAAGTTAAGGTAAGGATGAGCTGAAAGGACATTTCTAGGGCATGTGGGCACGGGTATCGTACGGATCTGATCGTGCAGACGCGGGCCGGAGCAAAAGATAGAAAGCCAAAATACAGCACAAACCGAGGGAAAAGAGGAAAATAATAGAAGAAATCAGAAATTGAGCCACAATTCGTTATGCAAGTCAATTTTGGTTCATTCGTCTACGCCACACCGGCATTTGCGAGATCCTTCTCAGCCCCTACTCCAGCTCATGCAAGATGAATTTAGGTGCCTGACTCGGGATTATGAACCATAGGGTTATGTTCATGCAAAAAGCTTAAAACAGAGATGAACTGATAGTACGGACGTGGCCTTACGTACTTCTGTCACTGATGGCTTGTAAGATCTACATTCCACTCCTGTTCCGAGGTTTGGGATTAGCGGAATCCAGCCACAATTTTGGAAATTTCATCTCATCTTCTTTGACCGTTAGATACTTGTCTGTTTAGACATACATATGTCCCTAGTGTTTTGGTGTTTTAGTGTTGACTTTGTTGTTGTCACCACTTTACTTCTCTCCGGGAGTAACAACTGTGTAGGATGTAGTGGAAAGGAATACTATGATCATCAACGAATTGGTCTGAAGATACATGACAGTGGAGTACTAGTCAAAAGAAAAACCATTAAGCTGCATGGTATTCTGCAGGTCAACGGTAAGGTAAATACAGGGTGAAAAGGTGGATAGTGCGTGGGCTTAGTGGCTCAGTGGCTCGCATTTGGAAAGTCCCGTGCTGGGTCTCTCTCTCTCTCTCTCGCTCTAAAGTCGATTCCTCCAGTCAAGCCTCCCTCGGCCCTGAGCGCCACTGCCCAGGGCTGGAGGATAGTGATCTACTATAAATCTCCGGAGATCTCGAGGTGTCATTTTTCCTGAGAGCTTCAGCGGTCAGTGATCTTGTTCCCTTATACTGGCGTTCCAAACCCACAAAACAATGCTCCCCGGTTATAAACCCTCCTGCTCCTCTCAATCTGTTTGGGGTTCTTTTTCTCCTGCCAATTCTTTAGTGAAACTTGAATTTAACTCACAGGTAATGAGATTGCGGTATATGGTATGCTTGTGACTGATCTGTGATGAGATCTCCTGAGTAGTAGTCAGATTGGGCACCAAATTTGGAACTGACTACCATCCATAGGTAACTCCAACCATGTCCAACCAACAGGATGAGTTGGCTCATCCGCATTTTGCTCTTATCTATATCGATCGAGATGGCAATCTTCGTCATGAAGCCTCGCCGTCCATTGCCAGTAGCCGTGAAGCTATTCTGTCTCCACGAGTCACGGACGCATTTTTGCAGGCCGTAGCTAGGTCTGAGGACCTGGGAACATCACATTCTCCATGTAAGTCACATACCCATAGTCGGCGAGAACCAGGAAAAACTAGAGTATTGACGAAAAGGACAGATGAGGGATCGGGCGCATCAGTCTCACCACCAAGATTGACCGGTGGAGAAGGTCCGCTTCGTGCCCAAGCGAGCCAAGTGCACACTGAATCTTTTCCAGGAAGCATGGAAAGACAGAGACAAGTGATACCTGCACATCAAGGACCGCCGACAGACCCGACCATGTGGCCGGCGCAGCAGCAAGAGCCCTGGCCACCACAGTGGTCCCGAAGCCCACAAAACCAACGAGGGCAGCTATGGACTGAAGAGATCAGCATGGCCAGTCCCCAAAAGGCCCTTATCAATATCCGAGACAAGGACTTTCTCCGTCGATACTATGAGAAGGTTTTCCAAAACCTACAGCAGACGAACTGTCGTGTCCTGGCCAAAGCGTACATCAAGTTGGTAGAGCCACGCAAGCAGGTGAACTATCCATACAATGGACGCAAGATTGTGGATGGCCGGACGCAACAATTGAATCCAGAAGAGACTAAGCCGCCATGGTGGCCGTCAGGGGTGAGCCATCGAGAGCCCGATCACCTTCCTAAGGCTGGTAAGAAAGACTCCCATGGATTCTGGCCACCCTCCACAACATCTAACAAACCCCAAGAACGAATTAGACTTCTTGTTTATTTACTCTGCGAATTGCGCACTAGCTATGGAATCACCGCCCGACGACTGAGAGAGGCAGACCAGCCGATCCGACGTCAAATCACCCCGGTCGAGCGGTTACAGATGATGGACGAAATCTACGAGGTTAGAGAGGAGGAAGAGAAACTTCTGGATGGCAAAACAGGTGAGAGTTTGTCCTCCAGCTGAGAAGAAAGGACAAAGCTGAACCTTAACAGACGGAAAAGCCCTAGTATCCATCGCACGCGCAAACCTTCCTGATCCCGTGAACTCACCAAGCAGCCGGAAGACCACACCGAGTAAAGAGAAAACCATCCAAGAATCTCTACACGCAACCATGACTATCCGAAGTGGCCCAATGCGACCCCCAAACACCTCCCAGACTACGCTTGCAGCGAGCGATGTATCCGCAAACGTGTCTCCAATACCTCTGTCTACCTCGCACAGCCCTATTCAGTACATCAAACCCGAACCTATAAACCGCGTCGATGATATCCAGGCTGCTATGTCTGCACAAGATCTGAAAAGGAAACGTCAGTGCGTTGAGACGGGAGTTTCTCTCCCTACCAGCACTGCACAGAATCCCAGCCCAAGTTCAATGGAATATTTCGCTCCTGTTTACGTGGCAGAGCCTCCTTTTATACCGGAAGCCTACCACAATCTTCAAGGTTTCCCAGCACAAGCTGATTCCACCCCAGCACAACCCCCCCCCGAGTCATTCGGGGAGGACATGGACGCCTCTGCGTTCCCTTACTATTTCCATTATTAGCGGTTTCTTTCTCCTCATTTTACGGATTACGACTCTCTTTTTATCAATCACGCATGGGTACTTTATAAAGTATAATTAGTTCTGATTGGCAGCATTTATTGTGACATCCAGACAATAAGAATATCATTCTCATCCCAGCCAAGTCTCTTGTATTTCCAAGCTCAATAACCTGGAAATTACAGACACTGCGAATACCAATCATTAACATACGTACACTTATAGCCATCAGCACAAGTCGTCCCCCCAGTCCAATTCTCACCGCCACATTGGCCCCATTCCTGCACACCAGTCGAGCTAGACCCAGTACTGGTACTAGTAATAGTAGCAGTTGTCGTGGCACTAAGCGAATAAGTAGCCGTACCAGTCACAGTCCCACCCAAAGCAGTCAAAATCCCCGTATAAGCAGGTTTCTTTACAAACTCCTCATCCCAAGGACATGCAGCACCCTGCCCCGAGAAAGTACTCGGAACCCAAGAGTACTTATCCGTCCAATCCCAAATGGTAATTCCCACACATCCGCTCGTGGCCACACAAGCCGCCACAGTATTCGAATAGTCAGTCTTCTGCTGCGCAAGCAAAGCATCCGTCTCAGGGAGCGTCATCCGGATATCCAGTTCCGTAATCGCGACCTCCACGCCCAGAGCGGTAAATGCAGCCATGTTACTTGCCTGACTACTCTGGCTCGGTGTACTGCCCACAATGAAGTGAGCTTGTAGACCTACACCGTCGATCTTGGCGCCGTAGGACTTGACTAGTTTGACGATGTTCTGTGCGGCTGTAGCCTTGCTACCTGCGTACTCGATGTTGTAGTCATTGTAGTAGAGTTTGACGTTTGGGTCGGCGGCTGCTGCTGTTGCGAATGCGATGGGGATATAGGCTTCGCCTATGTATTGGTAAAATATATTATCGCGGTACGTGCCGTCTTCATTGAGGCCTGGTTTTGTGAGTTTAGTATAAAGAGAGAGAGAGGGAGAGGGGAAATTTCGTACCTTCGTTTACAACATCCCATGCGTAGCATTGGCCTTTGTAGTGCGTGACTACCTTTGTGATGTGGTTTTTCATGGCTGCAAGGAGTGTTGCGTTGGTCCAAGTACCACTTGTCACTATTTCTGATTAGTACTAGTAGCTAATAGTAGAAGCATTTGTAAACACACCCCAACTAGGTAACTGTTCATACCATACAAGATTATGGCATCTCAACTTCTGGCCATTGGCCTCCGCCAGGTCGGCAATCACATCACCATTGGTGAATGTGAAGGTATTCTGGGTTGGCTCGGTTGCATCCCACTGTGATTGGTTAGCAGTCGAGTTGATTCAGAAAGAAGTAACTAAAAACCACCTTTTGAGAATTTCCAGGCGTGATCTGACCAAAATCCTGTGTGTTATTCAATTGTTTCACATAAGCCGTGTCAGTCAGTTCTGGGTTATCAGTTGCTGTCCCAAAGTACACCTTGCCGAGAGCAACAGCCGCAGTATCCAAGCCAGATGACTGGGTACTGCAATGGATTAGTATAGAACTACCCCTGTAGATATTGTGATACGTACAGTGGTAGAATACTGGCAATCAATGCCAATGACCTAAAAGATAGATAAACCATATTGAACTCAAAAGATCTGGACTGTCAAGCTTGACCTTGGAGTGAACAAATGGAACAGAGTAGACATATTTATAACATAGTAACGGTTTCAAGACAGCTATCATACAAGCAGATTATATCCGGACAATTACCCCGTGGCGGAGTAGGCGCGGCTTCCAAAGAGAACGAGGATTCGAACTGATTTTCGGCTACAACCCTAATTTACATGCCATAGAAAATAAAACCTTATCTAATAGTCAAGTTGAAATCATATGAATTCTTCTTTCAATACTTGCCGTCTGGATTGAACAGAAGGTGAGTCCCCGTTTATCGTTCCAAATGTAGGCCAACGTCTCAAGTCGCAGGCGTTGAACTTCAAATTACCATTGACATTTCGTGAATATACCGGTTAAAGTTAGAGATTGTAAATTTCCCCTATTGCATGCGTCGTAGCGCTTTGACGCTCGAGTTCTGCACGGAAGTACAAGGAAGCCAAGTCGGAGAAGACTCCGTCTTCAGGCAAACAGTCCCTGCATGTTCACCCCGCATTTGTTGTAATCCTGAATATGAGCCTAAATTACTTTAAGCACATTACGCATGAAATAGGCTAATATTGACTGTATAGCCTAAGAATCAGTTGGTCTGACGTCTTTTGAATATGTTTGATTTCGTTATAGTGGGACTTTTGGCAGCTAGGGGGTCCACGGGCTCTTTCTATGAAGATAAGGCTTGAGTACAGAACAAGTTGAGAGGGTATCGAGCTTTTTGTGCAGAGAACTGGCTGATTTCCAGACGGGATATCAGGACTATAGCTATAGTCTTTCAAAACCGAGTGTTGCCTAGGGAGCATCATATAGACGCGACAATAGGTCAAGTGTAGGCTTTAGACATGACCAATAAGAATTGAAGGGGTCCTCTCAGACGCGAGACAGGTAGAATTTCTCCTGATTATGTGCGAGCAATACGGCGCTGTAGACAGGCATATTGATAAATGGAAGTCATGGTATGATCTCAACCCGTTTTCCGAGCTTTCATTTCCGCAATGAAAGCCCCAGTTTTGGCAGTCGGCACGATAAAGATGCGAACCATCTCATCCACAACCTCAACCTTTCCACCAGTCAGAATCTGGAACAAGGGAAGCTTCTTACCAGCCTTGATCAGGCCACCAGTGACAGTCTGCATGAAGCACTCAACGCCGGCGACGGTATATTCCTTCTTAGTATCCCACGGGAGAGGGAAGATATAATCCAAGTGGTCCGTAATGCAAGATAGCTCTGAGAAACTCTTAATGAAGTCTGACTGGGCATCCATGGGGTAAAGAAATACGGCAGGGAACTCGATAGAGCTCTCGGGCGAGAGTGGATCAGGAACCAGGCGGATTCTGGCATCTTCCATCTCAGGTGGTTGGTTGGTTTTGCGGGTTCTAATCTCACGGGCACGAAGAGCAGTGCTAAGAACCAGGTTCTGCTTGCGTTCCAGCTCGGCCGCAGCCTTCTTTCGGGCAGCGGCGCGCTCCACTGCAGCCTTGCGCTCGGCAATCTTAGACGCAGCAGTCTGCAAGGCCTTGTTCTCAGAGTCGACGGCGAGGCCGCGGGTTGCGGCATCCTCGGCTTCGGCGATTTTCTCTAGTTTCAACAAGGCCATAGAGGAGCGGTAGTAAGCTTTGACGTTTTTGGGGTTCAGCTTGAGGGTAGTGGCGCAGTCAAGGGTGCAAGAACGGTAGTTTCCTAGTAATTGTGAGCGGTTGCGTATCATGATATTGCGGAGAAAACCAACCTAGTTCCAGGTTGCACAAAGCTCGGTTGATATGCGAGAGCTCCTCCAGTTGACGGAGCAACTTGTTCTCCACTTCACGATCCTCGGGCTCCTCCCATTTATCATCCTTGGCATATATAACCGCAATGGCCTTGGTGTAGAACTCCTTAGCGTCGATCCACCGCTTCTCTTGAACAGCCTCATTGCCTTGATCCTTGAAACTCTGCGCGACATCACCCCGAGTGCCTTCGTTCTGTAAGGCGGTAAGCGCATCCAGCATGGGGTTTTCACCCTCTAAAAACAGTAGTTAGCACAGAATATTATAGAAGATGCAGTCTCACATACTCTCGTCGCCGGCATTCTCGATATCAGTCATGAACAGCGGGGTCTGGTTCATCATAGCCAGCAGCTCATCGTTTGAATGCGACTTGACGGAGGCCATGGCGGGTGGCATATTGGGAGCAGTGGGATCGGTTTGGACTTCTTTCAGGCGCTCCTCGTTGATGGGGAATGGTGTCTCGTTGGAAGCAGCGAATGCGTCAAACCCGGGCTGCGGCAGGTCCCGAGGGACCGCCGGTGCCTCATTGAGGTGGAGGGACTCATCAAAGTCATCTGGAAGCTCTTCGACGCGCGACATTGTGAATGGTTTTGTTCTACAAGTAAGGAAACTTTTTTTTCTTTGATGTCACTTCCGCGGGGAAAGGAGACAAACAGGACAAACGCGAGGGGCGGTACACTTTCCTTTTGGATTCTTTCCATTTCTAAATTGAAAATCATTTGGACCCATTCAGCTCCCAATCGAATCAAATAAATTGAAAAAAAGATCCACAGAAAAATCTCTTAGTCCAGAAATAGAAGGTGTCGACATTGCAGAGGATAACGGATCCACTAGATTCAAATGTTTGTATGGGGCAAACAAGCTCACAGTCTTGCTATCATTTGTTGGAGTCAAACGTACCTAGTCAGTTGAGGAATAGATTTGTGTAAAGCCAGCCCACATATTCTCCTTGAACTACAGTCTAAATGATTCACATACCATTGGGCTTCACATAGTTTAGCTGACCAATAGCTTCATAGACAGAAACAACCCTGAAAGAAATAACATCACTCATGGACGGCATATCCAAATCTACAAATGAGCTCATCCGACCCTCGGAGACAATCCCATCGGGGCTCGCCCGAGAACAATCAACCCCGCACTCATCGGAGGAGAAACCGAGACGCCTATACAATAAAGTACAAAGTATACAAAAGCAAGAATAACACCTACATTGGATATACAGTATACATCTATAACAAAGCTACCAAAATGACTCAAATTTACAAAATCCTAATCCTCCCAGGCGACGGCATCGGTCCTGAAGTAATGACCGAAGCCATCAAAGTGCTCAAAGCCTTCGAAACCCCCCAACACACCTTCCAGCTACGCCAAGAACTGATTGGCGGCTGCAGCATCGACGCAACTGGCAAGTCAGTGACTGAAGAAGTCAAGCAAGCAGCACTCGAGTCCGACGCTGTACTCTTCGCAGCAGTTGGGGGACCGAAATGGGATAACGCACGACGGGGACTCGATGGACCAGAAGGGGGATTGCTGCAGCTTCGGAAGGCAATGGATATTTATGCGAATTTGAGGCCCTGCTCGGCTGATTCGCCGAGTAGTGGTATTGCAAGAGAGTTCAGTCCTTTTCGGCAGGAGGTTATTGAGGGGGTGGATTTTGTGGTTGTAAGAGAGAATTGTGGAGGTGCGTATTTTGGAAAGAAGATTGAGGAGGAGAGTTATGGTATGTTAACCTCGAAACTTTTGAAGAATGTTGCTAATGGTGACAGCAATGGATGAATGGGGATATAGTGAAGCTGAAATCCAGCGCGTGACTCGTTTAGCTGCTGAGATTGCGCAGCGACATGATCCTCCATGGCCGGTAATTTCTCTGGACAAGGCAAATGTTTTGGCGTCATCTCGGTTGTGGAGAAGAGTGGTGGAGAAGACAATGACGACGGATTATCCCAATGTTAAGCTGGTGCACCAGCTCGCTGATTCCGCATCTTTGATAATGGCGACGAATCCCCGAGCTCTGAATGGTGTCATTCTCGCCGATAACACCTTTGGTGATATGCTGTCTGACCAAGCTGGATCAATTGTTGGTACTTTGGGAGTTCTTCCTAGCGCCAGTCTGAATGGTCTGCCGGGTGATAGCATGTTAAAGACACGACCATATGGACTTTATGAGCCTACGCATGGATCAGCACCAACGTAAGTCAATCTTATAAGGATAAGATTCATGATCACTAATGGGGTCAGAATCGCGGGGCAAAATGTTGCTAATCCGGTTGCTATGATACTCTGTGTTGCGTTGATGTTCCGCTATTCGCTGAATCTGATAGATGAAGCTCGAAGATTGGAAGCAGCTGTACGTAAAGTATTGGACTCGGGATTACGAACGCCTGATCTTGGAGGAAAGGCAGGGACAAATGAGGTGGGAGATGCTATTGTAGCTGCATTATAAGGATTTATGCATAAATATAGCAAACAAATGTTGTTTAGACTGCTTATCGAGGTTTTCAGCTCATTTCAACTTTTACATAAAGAAGCTTGACGACAATGAAAACTTTTACGCAAACGACTCATCTGTTTGAGCTTGTCACCTTAGCATAAGACCAAAGTCTGCAGTTTTGCTTTCTTCTCTTTACCCTTCCCTCTGTTACATGTCCCTCCTTTAGGCCATATTCCACGGTATTCCTACACGGTGCTACTACACGGTGTCCTAGGAAGCCAACATTGTCCGCCAGCCGTGTCAGACGCAGTCGAACGACCTCTCACCCAAAGTGACAGCCAGTCCCACAAAATGGCAGGCAACTTCACTTTCGACAATTTGATGGCGGCCACTTTTCTCGCTCATGGGGGCTCAACCCACCAGTCCTTACCTACCCCAGGCTTGATGGTGACACGCCTCCAAGGACTAGGGGACTGGAGCTCAGAAACCAAGAGGACCACCATGGTGTCCATCGCCGATGACATCGCCCAGACCATGATGAAAATCGGAAAACACGTCGCGACCAATGATCTGGAACCTGAACACACAGACCAGTTTTCAGACCTAATTGGTGTCATGTGCGACACGAAGGGGAAGTATATGAAGCGAAAGATACGCCGACTCCGCGAGCAGAAGCATTTTGAACGACACACATACCGAGCTTGTATTATGGAGGCGGGAGATGTGATTTCGCAATACGAGAGAAAAGTGCGTGGGCTGAAGGAGGTGGTTAAGAATTTGAAGGCGGAGCGGATGCTGCTGCTGGGTTTGCTGCAATCCCGGGGAAACGATGAGGGGATTATGGAGAACGGAGGAAAGGAGGAGACTGTACAGGATCAGAAGCAGGAGCAGAATCAGAATCATATCGATCCGACCAAGAATGAGGATTATGACGAGGAGAGAGATGGGGTTTGGGGAGAGGATATGGAGTTTGAAGAGTGATCTTTCCTGGTCATGGTGGTGTATTGGAGTTGGCGTTGGCGTTGATGTCTTAGTACGGATTAGAATTTTTCATAACGAAGTGAGAGCGAAATGGCGCAGACTTGGAAATATCTTGAGCTGATTGAGGGACCAAAATATGATTTTAGTCAAGCCAAAAGATTCACACTGACTAGTATAGATCGGCTTAGGTTCCGAGGCTCTCAACCTCATCGGCTGAACGTGACTTCATATCAATGATTCCGTCCCTTTGACTTTTGTGTCTCCATGTGTCCGAGCTGAGCCGAGAATCGGGATATGAATTATATCCCAATCCCATCCCATGTGCAGCAGTGGCAACTGATTAGCGGGTTATTCATAAACCGAAGACCTCGGCATCTGCTCAGCGCAGGATCCACTTTCTTTTCCCTTCATGTGGTGACTTATCTCCAGAATTCCAGATTTCCTCCACGTCTCCAGATTTTTCTCGTTCTTCTTTTTTCTTCTTAATCCTGTATTCCCTGTATTCCTTGAAGAATCGTTCCTGAACCAATCTTCCCGAAAACTTTGTTCTATACCGACGTCACTCTTATCGGCCGAAAGAATGAGCGCTCCCAATGACTATGAGGCGGTCCGCGCAGACATTGTCGCGCAGTTGAAGAAACCCGATTATGACGATGGAAGCGCAGGTCCGGTGTTTGTGCGACTAGCATGGTGAGTGTATCCAAGTATCTTTTCCTTTGCAACGAAGGATTCTATTACCCCAGACCTCCGCAACGGAGAAAAGGAGCCGACCGATGCCAACCGCGTTGAGCCAACAGCTTGAACCCACAAACTAACCACCAATCTCTCACAGGCACTCCTCGGGTACATATGATCTCGCCACAGACACCGGTGGCTCCAATGGCGCCGGCATGCGATATGAAGCAGAAGGTGGTGACCCATCCAACGCAGGCCTGCAGCACGGTCGGGCCTTCCTAGAACCCGTCAAGGAGAAGCACCCATGGATCACATACTCGGACCTCTGGACATTAGCCGGTGTCGTAGCGATCAAAGAATTAGGTGGACCCGAGATCCCCTGGCAAGGCGGACGGACAGACCTAGTGGATGACTCAAAGGTTCCACCACGAGGTCGCCTACCGGACGGTGCCTTGGGCGCGGAGCACCTGCGCTTCATCTTCAACCGCATGGGCTTCAACGACCAGGAGATTGTAGCGCTGGCCGGTGGACACAACCTCGGTCGATGCCACGGGGACCGTAGCGGATTCGAGGGCCCGTGGGTGACAAATCCGACACGCTTCTCGAACTCGTTCTTCAAGTTGCTGTTACAGCTGGATTGGAAGCCTCGGACGTTGGCGACGGGTATGACGCAGTTTGTGTATGAGGATCCGGAGGCTGAGGAGGGTGAGGAGCCTTTGATGATGCTGCCGACTGATATGGCGCTCAAGACTGATCCTGCTTTCTTGCCGTGGGTGCAGAAGTATGCGGAAGATAAGGATTTGTTCTTTGATCACTTTGCTAAGGTGTTTGCGAAGCTGATTGAGCTGGGTATTCAGCGTGATGCGAAGGGTGCCATCCTCAACACTGATAACGTGATGGGTGGATATGTTTCGGCACCGAAGAAGAGCAACACTCCCACTGGGCCCATCAAGAAGAAGAGTGAACCTCGTGCCCGTCTATAGGGTCTCAAGGTGTTGCCCTTTTTTCCCATTTCTGGTTCCGTTTTTTCCCCTGTTATTTGGTTAATTCCCCTTGATGTTCATAGCTGGTTTTCTCTGTATAGAGCCCGATGTAAATAGATCATAGATATAGAAAGATCTCTTCCACTTGAACAAAAGCAGTAGTCACAAGTTCATAGACTCCAGAGGAGAAAGTAGAATAAAAGAGACAGAAAGCAGAAAGGGGAAAATGGAAACGAGAAAGAGTCCGGGGTAAGGGATGCGGGGAAGTCGCACGGACACTATAACTACAGGTGTCTAATGCCGTCGTTATGATTGGCATAACCAACTCACCAGTCCAAACAGATGTAACATGATCTTTTCCATTATTAAGAGAAGCAAGATATTGCCAAATCAAAACTAAATTTAAATCAACAACATCTAAAATGTACTCCATATACTCCATTTGCTCCCATTTTCTATAACTTCTTTCTCTTAGACGGACCCTGTTCCAAATTATCTGCAAATCGAGCTCTCTTTTCCGGTGATTGTAACATTGCATTCCGGATCGCAGTCTTCCGCATCAAAAGCTCCCCCGATGATGGTTTGGGAACCCAAAGCCTCGGCTCGGGAGGACCTGCCTGCGAAGAGCTGGCATTGGCATATTCCTCAAAGTCATAATCTTCTTCGTCATACACTTCGTCTTCATCTTCCTCCTCCTCCTCCTCTTCCTCTTCCTCCTCCTCTTCCTCCTCCTCCTCTTCTTCTTCCTCTTCTTCTTCTTCTTCTTCTTCCCTATCTTCTGTTGGCTTATGACGAGATGACTTTCTAGGCACGTTGCTCGACTGTCCTGCCTTCACATTTGAGTTTGCAGTCACCCGCGATTTATTTTCGTGTATATCTTTGGACTTTGATCCTGCATTACTAGCATTCTTCAAAGATTTCTTGTTGTCCATACTAGATGAGACTGTGCGTGCTTTGTCCTTGGAAGGCTCGGTGTTTGTTTTCTCACTGGGACGTTTGCCTTTGGTCTTCGGGGCAGGCGTATTTTTGGTTTTATCGCCGACTGCCTTTTCTTTTACTGCCTTCTTAGGCTCGGTGACCTTTTCTCCGTCCTCTGTTCTTTTTCGCAGGCTCCTCCTAGGCTCTGGACTCACACTCAGTATGGCCACACTAACTTCCTGTGATTTGTTGGTCTTTTTCTCAGATCCTTTCATCTCTTTGGATCCTTTCTTGGGAACAATTGTTTGTTTCGTAGGTGCTTTCTCCTTGGCCTTAGGAGGCTCGTTGTACTTTCCAGGATTTGCTTTGTGAGATGGTCTGGGATCAATGCTCGGTTTTGCCCTTGGAATATCCCTACAAAATAGCACAGAAGGGTCTATGGTTCTCACATTGGAGCTTCTCCTCATTCTTTTTGGAGATCTACCAGCGGAGCTCCCACGTCTAGAGCGTACGAGTGCACCAGACCGTGTGCCCCAGTCATCTTGATTTGAGGAAATTTTTGGGCTGGGCCAATGCACATAGTCCATCATCGGGGTCCGTGGCGCGCTGAAAGGTTGACTGTCTTCATCCGCGGCCCGTGGAAGAGCTGGGAAGTTGAATGCCTCGTTATTAGTTGGCAGGCCATGCCACAATTCTCCTGGGGGTCCATTGGGCCACATCTCAGGGTGATCGGCGAGTATGGAGGGCGAGTTAAGCATCGAGTCGAATAAGTTGCCCTGAGCGGGTTGTTTCTCAGCGCTTTTGTTTTGTGGACTCTCTGGAGGCCAAGCATTAAGTAATTCATTTACATCAATCATCTCCAAGTCAGTAGAAGATGCCACCGGCTCTCCGGGGGTGCGTAAGGGCGTCTCTGAGTGCTGCGGCGTACTAACTTCTACTGGCAAAGGGAGTTGGAAGATACTCAGTTCACGGAAGTGATTGGTAGCCACTGGTATCACGCGATCCTCAGGAGGCTGGTTGATATTCATGCCGGATGGATCTTCAGGCACTTGAATGCGTACATGCTCCCACGAGGTGTGATCGTGCAAGACCGATCTCCCCGCGTTCATCAGACCTTCAAAGTGGGTGACGGTATCCATAACATCATCTATCATATCCCATGATGGATTGATGACCCGTTCATAGATACCAATCAAGAAGCCAATATCGGTCCAGTCGTGGGGAACTCGATCCGCCGGGTGTTGAGGTGAGATGCCACCGAAGATGACTCCCCCATTCACCTCGTCATCATACATGCGGATCGCATCGCCAACGTTATGTCCTCGCTCTTGATCGGTCCAGTAGACACGCACATGGCCATTCTTATGGTAAATTCCTCCAAGCCAGCGATACTGTGCTACCTTCTCCACTCCTTCAGCATCGAAATATCGGAAATTGACATCTTCAGTGTGGTTGTGGACGCGGACTCGGGTCCCCATATAATTCGACACAACCAAGCGAGGTGGAAGCTCATCAATTCTCATCTCCAAAACATCGACTCCTGTATCACAGTGAAGGCATGGAGACTTTCGCCTGTCATATAAACAACCCTCGATCAAATTCGTCATCCATATACCCTTGGGGTTGTCGACGTGATCCGCAATGGTGGGACACACACAGTTGGCAGATTTTCCAGTCTCCAAGATCTGCTGATTGTTGCAAGGACAAGCCTGATAAAAGTTCGAGTACTGAAAGTAAAACTGGGCAAAGTTCCTCGTACACTCAGACCAGATAGCCCACGCAGGAGCGGGCTGCCCCATTGTAAGGGAGGGAACTGTAGCACACAGCTTTCTCATGAACAGGTCTCGCATCTTGATATTGGTGCTCATATCAAGAGCTTCCCAGTTGACATTTGTGATCTCGATGAAAGCCTTTTCGAGCTCAGTGATCTCCCCGTATCTCCAGCTTTGGCGGTCGATATTGGTGCATCCGATGTCAAGCAACATACCCACTACGATGATGCAGTCCACCGAGCAGCTATTGCCAGACCAGACTGGACCTCTCCCTCGGTATGGGTAGAGAGTAGTCGAATGGGCATCAAAATAGAGAGATCTCGGGTTAAGTCTGAGATAGGCATGTGCAGAATGAGTCCCAATCTGAACTATTTCCAGGTCTTCGAGGGATGAGGCAGTTGCATGTGGCTCCGCTATCCGTCTCGGGGCATTGGGATCCCGCTGGAGATGATAGTAGGCGTGATCCAGGATAGTTCGCTCAATGGCCTCTTTGAGCCTTAGATTGTTCGGTAGTAAATCTAGAGCCGTACTGGTAGAATTGCGTCCCTCTGGAGGCCGTGCTGCCCCTTTGTTCTGTGATGGACTCGCAGAGCCGAACAAAGTGGTTGGCCTGCTAGAGGGGTGCTTGAATATTAAGGACTCTGGTCTTCCTGTGGGTTGCTTCGGCTGCTTGGTCGCAGGTGCCTTTCCCTCTGGTGACTGTCCTTTGCGCGAAACCACCCCTGGTATCAGGGGCAGCATATATCGCTCAATAATACTATCCGGAAGATCAATAGGTCCATCCATTCCGCGTATCCATGTGGGATCTTCCGGGGTATCAGAATTGGGTATATCTGGATAAAATCGGCTGATAGGACCGACTTCTTTGTCGTAATTCTCCCATCCCATGAGACGGGGCCCAGTATCTCGGCGAAAGTCGAATATTTCCCCGAATTTTTTAGGGCGGTTTCTTTCTGGCATGTGGTAGAAAAGTTTCCACAAAGCCCTCATAATGTCTGGCTTGGTCGGTCTTTTCTTATCTGTCCAGTATATTCCCCAAAAATGTAGTGCAGCGAGAACCTTTGCCATCCTAGAATCGACTGATCTGATATCCCAGACGGTACCAAGTCGCCTGTCAAGAAAAGTCCAATCTGGAGAAGGCGTCTCCAACGCGGTCAAGTCCCAGCACTGATCCGGTTCATCGGGGAGGTTGAGCTGATCCACGTTTTTTGGGAATCGTTGCATGTAATCATTATTGGAGGCCATCGAAGCGTGGTATAAAAAGAGAGTATAATGTTTCAAAAAGAAGGGAAGGATTTCCACGGTCAACGTGATAAAGCTTTAGTTGAGAATACTCATGAATGTTTGAAGACGTGGAATTGTCAAATGCTTTATGTCGGAGGAAAACCACTTAGAAGACTAAGACTATAGCGTAGATGACCTCGAGGTCATGGTTCTAAAATTGGAAATTATCCATTAACTCATCAAAGAAAACCTTAGACTATGGTAAACCTTCGATCGGGACAAAGGATTCGAATCTGTCTATTTCTATTACCTCGATATCTCATAGCCCCTCCATTCAATGTTTTATAGCAGAACCTTGGGAGTTTCTAGCCTAGATATCAGATAATGAGCACTTGAGTGAGTAGAGATACTGATCGTTCCAAGGTAATATGTAGTAACGCAAAGCAGATCATTTTTATGGTCATTGTTATAATATCATGTGGGTTGAGTATCAAAGAGTAACCGTGTGGCTGATGGTCAAGTTGATGAAAGAGGCCTCGGGACCTTAGGGAAGAAAATATACCACGAGGTTGGTAGAAACTCTATTGATAGATCTTGATTGTACAGTACCCGTGGACCTCACCGAGTACATACATCAATTGATCCAAAGTGTCTGCGCCAAACACCACCATTATTATATAGCCCCTGTCTTTGATTGTTGCCCGACTAATTACTCAGTTAAAGTTTTTCAATAATAGAAAACAAAACACAAAAGGAACTCCCTTCGGTCTTTGTTTGGGTGTGAGGGGGTGAGCACACCATCCTATCAGCTCATATATGCTAACTCATTCAGAATGTAATGCTGGTAGAAAAGGATTTATTTAGTACATGAGTCGCGCGATTGTCGATTGTTAACCTGCCATGTCTATATAGGGACTGGACGCTTGATCAATACTGTTAGATACAGGTAGTGTATGCCATTCCTTTTAGCAGTACATTAGGCATGTTACAATACCAGACACATCATGTGATTTCATCCCTGCGACACAAATCACATGACAGAAACTACCTATTCCGGATTAGCGTCAATCAAGCGAGCCCTCACACACTAATTCCCAAATTGGTTAGCGTCCCAATTACCCGATCCCACAACGGACAGCAAAGTCATTCACGACTTTCGAGACTCTGCTTGCCCTCCATCCCTCTAACGACAGCCCCCGCGCCCATCGCCCATCATGTGTACGTTCTATCCCACGAAAGACTCGACCTCCTTCACAAATTCAACATCAAAAAAAGCACCGTCGGAGTTTTCGAGATCGCACGACGAACCCCCAGAAGGAATGACCTGGCTAACATGTCGCTTTTGATACAGCGCTCGTATCCGGCGAGAAGACTAACTTCCAGTACATCCTGCGTCTGCTCAACACCAACGTTGAGGGAAAGCAGAAGATCATGTACGCCTTGACCCAGATCAAGGGTGTCGGTCGCCGCTACTCCAACCTTGTCTGCAAGAAGGCCGATGTCGACCTCAGCAAGCGGTACGTTTCGATACATCCACAACAATCCTGGGAACTGCAATGTCTTTCGCCTCGAATTATTTTTTTGGGATGGAATTGAAGAGGGGGGGACTCGGTATCACTACGACTAGAACGAGCACACAGTGTGCGTCCGCGATTCAAAATTCAACACAACGCCAAGGAATACGGGAAATGATTCGATCGGAAAAGACATTGCAGCAGCCTGGACTGTTTGATACTCAACCCCTAGCAGAAGTGCTGACTTTTTTCTTTTTCTTCACAGTGCTGGTGAGCTCACCACCGAAGAGCTGGAGCGCATTGTCACCATCCTCCAGACTCCTACCCAGTACAAGATCCCCTCCTGGTTCCTCAACAGACAGCGCGACATCACCGATGGCAAGGACCACCAGGTTGTCTCCAACGGTCTTGACTCCAAGCTCCGTGAGGACCTCGAGCGCTTGAAGAAGATCCGCTCCCACCGTGGTCTCCGTCACTACTGGGGCCTGCGTGTCCGTGGTCAGCACACTAAGACCACTGGCCGCCGTGGTCGCACCGTCGGTGTGTCCAAGAAGAAGTAAATCATTCTTGTCGTTTTTCTGGGGGCTTTTGGAGGGATTCCTTTATTGTCGGTGTGTTTCTATGGGCATCCGTGGGATCTTTTTCCCCGCTGGCTGGTGTGATGCCAGTCTTTAAAATTGAAAATGAATCATACCAATATGAAACGAACCGATTGATTTCCTTATACGTATGTTGCATCGCCGGGTGTCCCTCGACCGGGTTTCGTAATGCCTATGGTCTATTACATGTCCTAGACTTGAGAATGGATCAAAAGTCTAAATGTAGCTCTACAGTCCTGCTGTCGCATGAAGCTGTTATTTTCGTTGGCAATCATTCAAATGTTGTCTACCCTGGTTTACTAAGCGTTTAATGTTACAGTTACAATTATAGAAACACTTTTTAACAAACTTCATTGACAACATTTGAATCGTATATACTTGTCATTGGAGCGAGGCGAGCGAGACACTGCAACGATCGATTCTAAAATCCTCCACAATCATTCCATAATGTCCCATTCTATGCGAAGCAAATCCCGAGAATATATAAATGCAGGAGGTATTTAGTAGGGGTTACTTAGAACCACTCACCACCGAGCCAGCGGTTGAAGAACTCCAAGCTGGACTCAGGCTGGTCCATAGGGACCATGTGGCCACCACCGAAGAGGCGCATGAAGGTGAAATTGCCGTGAGACTTCACCTGACCAATCTTCTTGCCCTTGTGCTCTTGGTCCTTGATAACAAGGTCCTCCAGCTCAAGACCGGCATACTCCTTCTGGCCAGGCCACTTCAGAGCCTCGGTCCAGGCCTTGTTGCCGAGCCAGTTGCAGATGAAGTCGGCATCACCGGCGTAGATGAGCACAGGAATCTGCTCGATAAGGCCTGGGACCAGGCGGTGGAAGGGCTTCATCCAGTCACCGTGGAAGAGGAAGTTACGGTTGATGTCGAAGTTGCAGGAGTCGTAACCGTCAACCTCAGCACCCAGAGCCTCGCGAACCTCTTTCTTGTTCAGGTAGTCGCTGACATAGCTCATGCCCTTGTAGCACAGACCGCCGGCCTCGGGGTCGCACTTGGCGCGGACATCGTAGACGTTCTGGCCAGTCTGCTGGTAGGGAGCCAAAAGAGCGTTATTGCAGTAAATAGAGGCAGGTACACAGACCCAGGCGCTCTCACTGTTGTAGCAAGACTCAATCATGGACTGGCAACGAGGCAAGGCGTTGTCCATAGACTGGCAGGCGCTCTCGCTCAGGACAGCCGGGTAACCACCCTCACCGCAGGCCATGGGACGGTAGTACTCGTACTGAGTGAGACCATCAGTCAGGCCGTTACCGATGAGCACGGACTTAAGGTTGATGTTTCGGTTCTTGTGGGCGAGAATCTCGGTAGCAAAGACCGGGATGTAGTGGCCAGCGTAGGACTCGCCAGCAATGTGGAAGTCCTGCTTGGCGTACTCAGGGAATTGTTTGAAGAAGAGGGACATCAGGGCGTAGACATCCTTGCCCGCAGCCACAGTATCGCTGACAGCAGACCCACTGTAGGAGTAGCCAACGTTGACTGGCTGGTCCAAGAAAATCACAGAGGCATTGGAGTTCCAGGAGAACTCATTGTAGACAGTCTTGATACTGGCATTGATAGAGCTAGGTCCAAGCTCCATGAACAGGCCGGTAAGAGAGGAGCAGCCGGGACCGCCGTTCAACCAGAGGACAACGGGGTCATTTACGGGGTCGTTGCGGGACTCAAAGAACCCTGTGCAATGTGAGTTAGATACCACAGAGAATTATTGGAGTGGGTATGAACGTACAGTAGAACAAGTGCTTGTCGTTATCGTTGTCGTCAAGGTAACCGCTGTACTGCTTGACCTTGGGGTCGATGCCAAGGGTGCTGGGATCCACCTTCTTGACGCGGAGATCATAAGCCTCCAGCTTTCCATCCAGCTCGCGGTGCTTGGAGCCATCGGCACCCTCGACCCAGACGCTTTGCACATCGGCACCGCGGACGACAGAGTCCCAGTGGGAGTCAGGACGGCGAGTGTGCTTCTTAGGAAGCGAAAGCATGGGAGTCTGGTCCAAGTTGGGGAAAGCATCAGACACCTCCTTCCACATTTGACGAGCCTCGGCAGAGAGGGTCTTGAATTGGTCCTGGAGCTTCTCGATTGGCTTGGACAAGAAGTCTGTACCCTCCTGGACCAGACCCTGTGACTGCTGCTGCAGGCCACCCATGACCTGCTGCATAGGTGGAACAGCCGCCGAAGCGGCTCCCACCAGCAACGTGGCCGGGAGAAGTCTCATTGTTGATTGCCTTTAATAGCAAATGTAAAGTTGATGGTAATGACAGCTGCTGAAGGGCAGCGGGTAGCTTGGGTCTAGGCGGCTTCTTATCAGTAACGGTTCACAAGATCATGTCTCACAATGGGAGCAGACGGAGGGAATAGAAATAACATACAAATAGAGATATGTTGATAATAGTACGAAAGGAGAGCCGCCGGATGACAGGAGGCTGGTGAGGAGAAAGAGGAGAAGAAGGAGATTGGGGAAGGGGGAACAACCCTGGAGGTGATAAGAGGGAGCACCCTAACCAATCGTCATACACTAAGCCGGTTCCTGCGGGGTCACGAGATTATACCCGTGATTGGTGACTCAGCAGCAGATCTTCACGTTTTCTAATGCGAATAGCTTAGAAACATATGCAAAAACGTCGTCTTTCTTCTCTGCAGGCTTTTTAACTCGGATTTTATACCATTCACACTTTCGCTACTGGCATCTTTCTTCGTCTGCTTTGTTCTGCGTTTTTCAGCCTGTTTTTCGTGGCTTCCCCCACCATGCCGATCAACCAACCCTCCAACCAGATCAAATTCACAAATGTGTCCGTGGTTCGCTTGAAGAAAGGTACTTACAAATTTGTATGGATATTGGAGGATGCTTTGTTGGTAACATTTATTTCTTTTACAGGAAAAAAGCGGTTTGAGCTAGCTTGCTACAAGAACAAACTGCTAGAATACCGATCTGGCGCCGAAAAAGACCTCGACAATGTTCTCCAAGTCCCTACCGTTTTCCTCTCTGTGTCAAAGGCCCAGACAGCCCCAACCGCCGAACTCGCAAAGTCTTTCGGCGCAGGCACACCCCGCGATGAAATCCTGCAAGAAATCCTGCGCAAAGGCGAAGTGCAAGTAGGCGAGCGAGAGCGCAAGGATATTCTTGAGCGAGTGGAAAAGGAGGTTCTGGACATCGTATCTGGGCGACTTGTCGACCCCAATACGAAGCGCGTTTATACATCGGGAATGATTTCGAAGGCTCTGGACCAGCTGACCTCGGCCAGTGGGCAGCAGCAGAGCGCAGACCCGACTGGCGCGGGCGAGGAGCAGCCCAAGAAACCAATGTGGACGGGCGTTTCTTCCAACCGATCAGCAAAGAGTCAGGCACTCGATGCCATGAAAGCGCTCATCGCCTGGCAACCCATTCCCGTGATGCGCGCTCGCATGCGCTTGCGGGTAACTTGTCCCGTATCTATTCTCAAGAAATCTGTCAAGGCTGCACCGGCGGCATCTGGCAAGGAGAAGGAAGCATCCTCGGGTGGATCGAAGTCCAACAAAAAGGGCAAAGGTGGTAAGAAGTCCAAGCGAGGAGATGACTCTGACGACGAAGCTGGTGCATCCGACGCCGAGACTCCCAAGGCACCGGGAACTGTCAAGGACAAGATTTTGGCCTACATTGAGTCGGTGGAATCCCAAGAAGTGGTTGGGGATGAATGGGAAGTGGTTGGATTTGCTGAGCCAGGAGCCTTCAAGGGACTAAACGACCTTGCTGGCACGCGTGTTGAAGTTCTCGATATGAGTGTCGTATCAGAGGATTGATTTGCCTCGGAAACATGCATCTTACACTGCCAAGCATTATGTACATGACGAAACATGCCCAATGACTGATGATCTTGATAGAAAAGCCAATAAAAGTTCTTGAGTTGAATAAGTTTCAATAATGCCAGTCTGGTTCCAAGGTTCATAGAGATTATCTGCACTATGCCATAGAGATTGATTGGTCTAAGATCTCCAGGACTGTGTGGTGCATGCACATACCCATATCTAACCTTCCAGGAGCATCCTAAATGGAAGATTAAAATCTCAATGACAAATAACGGATTTTTACATACTTAAGCTTGAATATGATTTCTACGTCTACATGTACTATGCCTAGTACCTATACCCAATTAGGGACATGTACATGTACTTGAACTCAATAGATATAGCTTGATCGATACAACGAGTAAATATAGCCAAGGTAGAACTGACCCAACTCCAATAACGCTGATTATACCAGGGTATACCAATTGCGAATAGACAGAATTGGACAAACACTTCCAAGGTTGAGAATCTCCACAGCTCTGAGCAACCGAGAATATAATGTCTCCCCAGTAAGCGCACAACCCCTCATTCTTCCCTGAACAGGAAACAGCCATCAACCACCTGGGCATCAACCATCTAACCCAAGGCCAATGGCATCACAACCCGTCACCAACAAAACAACACTTTTGCCAGGTCCGAGTTCTCTCGCTAGCTCAATGGCTGTGCCAACTGCGTGACTCGAGTCCAGTCCAGCCAGGATCCCCTCGTGGTATCGTATTGTTTTGAACCCGTCCAGGGCATCCGCATTTGTAGCGGTCTTAATTTCAACACGGCCGCATTCCTTCCAATGAGCCACCTCAGGCCCCACAGTCGAGAGATTGAGGTCTGGCGAAATCGAGAGCGAGTCGAGGATCTGCCCATCGCAAGTCTGAAGCATCAAGGTTCGCGCCCCTTGGAGCACGCCAACCTCTCCCTCGGTTAGAGCGGCCGCTCCGGCAGCTTCCACCCCAACCAATCTGACCGCAGGGTTCCGAAGGAAAGGTCTGAACATCCCAACAGCACCGCTCCCACTACCAACGGCGGTGACGACAGCATCCGGCTGGCGACCGGCCGCCTCGTGCATCTGGGCCGCAACCTCCTCGCCTAGAAGAGCCTGGAATGTGCGCATGAGGGTCGGCAGGGGATTAGGCCCCACTGGACCTCCCATCAGGTAATACGCAGACTCATGGTTGCAGACCGAATAGCGGAGCGCTTCTGTGATTGCTGCGCGCAGGGAACCCATTCCTGAAGGGGTTCGTGCGGTCAGGACCTTGGCTCCTAGCATCTTCATCTCAAGGACATCCTCGTTCTGGGCGAGGATGTCAGCTGCTCCCATGACAATGACGCAGCGCAGTCCCAGGCGCGCGCACATTGCCGCGGTGAAATTGCCATGTTTGGCTGCTGCACAGTCGGTGACAATCTCTGTGAAGCCCATGCGGCGGGCCAGCAAGAGCTGACCGATGATATTGCGTGTTTTGTGACTCCCGTATTCATTCCGGTCCTCTCTCTTTAGCCATATGGTGGCGCCACCAACCCAGCTGCTGAGCTTGCTTGCGATCTGCAGTGGAGTGGGTTCGGTCCGCTGGTACGTGGCGTACTCGGACCAAAAAGAAGGGTCCGAGACAGTGGCCTCGAAGAATGAGGTCAGATTGTTGAGGAAGTCTATGAGGGATTCTGGAACGAACCGGCCCCCAAATGGGCCGTATCCATCAAATGTGATTGGCGGTGGTCCTAGTGTGCCATCTGTCTGCAGAATCGAGACATACGGTGTGCCGCTAAACAGAGATGGTATAATGGAAGCACTGGCAGGCAACTTGGCAAGCGCTTCGGGTGATGAGGAAAGGCTCTCACTGGTTGCAGAGCTGGCGGTAACATGGGACTCTGCATCGGAAACAAAGGATGAAGAACAGGTGCTGATATCGGTTGCAGGAGGTCGCCGAGATATACTGTTCTCTCGAGAAAGTGTCTTCTGTAGGACTTGACGAGTAACGCGAGCATAGTAGCTTGCCTTGCTAATTGATCTCAGACGAGGTATGCGTACATCGTCAGAATCAGCTTCAGAGCTGTGGCGGGAAGAAAAGCAAAGAAAGCGCAATGTCCCAAACATTGCTAGGCCAGAACCCTGAATGCAGAGTCAGTACTTGGTACTAGAGAGTAATGAAAGATGCATATAGAGAGACAGAGACAATTTTCTGCTGTCGGTTGTGGGCTGAAAGATGCGAAGCAAGTATAAGAATATCACGGAGGCGATTCCCACGTGGATAGATAGACGGTGAACAAAGTCATACAACAGGTTGCAGATAGAAAGCTGACGGGCTCGTGCCTCGTTTAAATACTGTGTTACCATGGGATTCTTGGGCATTTTCAGCATTCATCATCATTATCGTGGCTCCTAATCTCCGCGTCCTAAGCCTCTGGCAAGCCTCCGACTCGGCAATAATGGCCTCTTCTTGAACCAATGGCCATATCCCCCCTCATTTGGGCTCAAGTTGGGTGTTCATTCTACCTGATTTGTTTGGATTTGGAGGTAGCTGTTGTTAGTACCCATGCATGGCCACTTGATCCAATCCCAAAGCAGAAGATGATCCGCAGGAAGGGCAGCGCTTGCCCTGTCTCCGCTCTGACAGAGCTATGCCAGAGAGCAACTATCAATCAATTTTTAGTGTAGCTATGCTTAGAATCAATGATTAGTGTTTTATTATGGATCTACCTGTTTTTTAAGGAATTAAGAAATCTCCGGGAACACCGACGTGTGTAGCATGATAAGTACAATTTTTGGTCTTCGTGCGTCTTTCATACATACGCTTGACAGCCACAATGGCTTTAAAGAACTAAATTGGAATAGAAATATGCGACTATGGATTGCCCTGCATCTCCACTGTGGTTCAATTTCTTCTAATCAATAATTTCACCGTAGAGTCAAGCAAAGATATGGCAAATCTCAAGGCATCCATTATGTCAGCGTATTGAACGATAATATCATTATTGCTGGGTATATCAGGTTGTCGAGTTTGAGAACAACCAGGATAAATGTTCAGCAGAATCATGAAGTAATACTCTAAGTATCAAGCTTATCATTCTCCCCTGAAAATCTTACCTTGACTCATCGGAGCGTCACCTTTCTGGTCACAACGCAGGTCAAATGACCATACATCGAGCACGACGTTTTGATCATCTTCTTACTCCTCCCGATAGATCTCGTCATTCAGCTCGCCCTAACATGCAGTTCGGCGTCTGTGTGCAGTACCCAATCAACTACACGTGGCTCAACGAGGCCATCAATCACAAAGAAAGAAAATGAATGTCAAACTACATATATCTGAACCGGGATATTGAACGCCGATCCAGCAGCCAAGACCATTATGGTTCTGATTATGCATTGGTTTCAGGTGTTGGGGATACTTAGCTGCAAGGAATTTGTTACTAGTTTTGCAGCAACAGCGGGGAAATAAAAGTCATTGTTGGTGTCTCCCGTGTCAACAGGCGTTAACCGGATGAGGCAGGAGAATCTAACGAGAATCTAGCATACTAATTAATCAGCTTGCTAAATATATATCAATGATTCTGTAGAGTGACTATGGACAAACAACAAGATCTTCGCTTTGTACTGTACACTTTCTCAAAGCTGGGCATCTGTGATTTTCAGGATAATCGAGGATATGATATTGTTTTCCGCTACACCATGCATAGAGAAAGTGAAAGGACCTAGAGTATCAATACCCCCGACACGTCCCCGATGCCAAAAACTTCGAACCCCTGCACTACACGTCACAGTGAAAGTACCGGACAACAAACCATGAACGAAACAGGGATCCTTGCACGGTAGCACCGGGGAGCGGAGAATTTGCACCAGCAGTTGGTAGATGCGGCCAAGTGCACAATCACGCATAGGGGTGAGATGAGGGAAATGAGCTGACGAGCTCAAGATAAATAGCTGACCATCCCATCCTCTTGGATCTCGTTCGTATACCTCACATGATCAGGCCTCCTTCCGCTTAGGCTGTGATCTCATGGGATTATTTGAAATTCAGATCCCTCAATATGGATGTGCGTGCTGCTAACGCATTGTCGAATCTCATTGGTGCCCTTGTTGCGGATCTGAAATTTGTTGTTTGGCTCTCTTATAAGATTGTGAGCAAACTTGTCAAAAGTATATCGTTGCTATTGCAGTCGTTTGAATAGTGAGTACATGTGATTGATTCTGTATTGTCTTCTCTGACAAGTCCACTCAATCTAGAGCGATGCCTCTACTTTTATCATTCCGTCCGAAATGTGAAGTTACACGCCACCACCGCATTATGCTTTCCAGATTTTCAGCAAGGGGATTAGAAGGGGATAAGACACACAAATACTACTGGACAGGACTTGAGGAACATTTGAAGATTGTACTTAAATTGTTACCATGATTTATCGCAAAACAGCCCACGTGCCCTTTGCCACGGGTATCTGGACCAGATTACAGATATTGTAACCCTGCCACATTGAAGTAGTATCCTAGATATTAACCGAACATCGCCACCTCACAAAGTTATCTAAACTTAAAAGTCCTATCGTCATTTCATTTAACTTAAATTCATTTGACAGCTTAAAATGAAAAGACAAGGATACAAGGCTGATCAGGAAGGATCATTACCTCCTTTGTGCGATGCGGGGACTTAGCGAGGCACCAGTGTGAGCTAGAGGCTTGGCTAGCGGGGTTGACAGGGACCAAAATCAGGCTTCTAGAATAACTTAATCTGCTTATTCGAAGTATAGAAGTGAACGATTTAATGATTTATAATTTATATTTGAGAGACATATAGTATATCTAGTCTAACTATATTCTATCGCAGCGATGTATCGCGCAAAATAAAAACTCCGAACGGGTATACGCTCCAAAATGCAATGCAAGGGGACAAGAAACAAAAGATAAGAATGACAGGGAGCAGGAGCTATTGTCCTGGCCCTGATCATCGGGCAAGGAATCACCAGTCTCACTGAGACTGGTACCGATGTAATAGTGTGTATTGCGATCGGCCTGATTCGTGCAAAGGTCGTGGATGGGCGTCCATTCAATTCGGTCTGATAAGTCGTATTTCGTGGAGAACGATCCGAAGCAAGATGGCAAGCTAGGACGATCACGGAAGAAGAGAAGGCTCTCCGGGAGGGTAGCAATAAAAAAAGATAAGGTTGTACAAGATCACGCGCAGAGCTGCACGGCAGCGAGGGCGCGAGTAAGCTCCTCAGGAGCGAAAGGTAATTGTTTGCCACGAGGCGACTTCGGGGCTGGTGACATGGCGCGCACAATAGGCGAGGTGTACCGGATTGAGTCCTTCCACTGGGCAATGGGGTCCTCTGGAATTTCGTAAACCGAGACTTCCGGGAGGAGGGTGAGCAGGGAGCCGTTGGACCCATTGTAGCTGTCGGAGTTGGAGTTGACGACAGTGGAAGATTCTGAGCCATGGAAAGCGCGAGGCATATCAGTCGAGATGGGGGACACCGGAGATTGTTCAGCATCCGAGGATGACATGATTGGGACACCATCGGCATCGGGGGAAACGTCTTCGGTGCCATCAGAGTCGAATGGAGAAACGCCAGTTGTGTCGAAGGGAGAGATGGTCATGTCGAGGGAACGTCGACGCTCCGACATGGCACTATCAAACGAGAAGCCGGAGAATTGACGTAAAACGGCTTTATCGGCTGGACCCTTGAATTTGGAAGGCGGCACTTCATTTCGTCGATAGTATTCAACTTTGGGTTTTCCGTTCAGTTGACTGGTGCTTTTAGACGAACGATGGAAGATCGCCTTGACTCTCTCACGAATGGCCATAGTGGCAAGTAGCCTCACGGGTGGAGGGACGTAGTACGGGAACGGTCCAGGAAGTGTATGACCATTCTCTGCACGAAAGTAAATGGAGGGGAGATGGGGTTGAATTAAAATGAGAAGAAGAAGTCCAGAAGAGTCGGATGGGGTAAGATAAGGAAATCATGGATTCCGGACCACATCCGGCACTACGGAGTACTGAGTCCGGGCATTGCAGAACCAGTGTTACTCCAGTTGTCCCATACAAAATGTTCCGGATTTAATTGGTTTGATGCAATCCACTCGATTGTCTGTGCGAGACTCACCGGGGACTGGGGCGATAATTGTGTGTCTACCAGTAGAAAATTGCCCCAGTGGGCCCCAGCATCGGGCTAATGCGGAGGGGCAAAATAGATATGACCAACAGTTACGATAAGTCATGATTAATCTCGAATACAACCCTGAGTCTGAATTGTCTGGACCAGGTAGGTATATCTAAGTTCTTATTGTACCTGAAATTTGAAAAGTTTACAACTGCAGCCAAGGCTTCCAGAAGACAGGTAATCACGAAACGCCTTGCATCATGAGACGTCAGAATGCATATCATTGGTTTTGTCTGGAAGGAGTGTCGTGCACCCCGTATCCGTTGATCTGATTGAGCCGGAAAAACGTAGTTTGAAAGGCAAAAACCCGGTTTTGGGGCGTTCTGGGTTGACGCTGTGGATCCTCGCTAAACACGGCACATTTGTGCCGAACAAACAGTTAAATTCTAGGTCATATAGCACAATATGTAGGCTTATTTCATATCAAGGCCGGCTGGCCCAATGGCAAGGCGCTTGACTACGAATCAAGAGATTGCAGGTTCGACCCCTGCGTCGGTCAATTCTTTTTGTTTTTGTCATTTGCTCACTCCGTATCTGGAATTGTATTTGAGCACTTGTAGTGCTAATATATATTTTGGTCTTTTTGCTACCCAAACACTATCACCCAAACAACTAGAACGTTCAAATGTTGATCATCCTAATGACATCAGTGGGTAATGATTTGAACATTTGAATAGACTGCTATATCCACATCGTGGGTCCAGGCTGTGCATTTGATCCTTGGATGCTTTAATTAAGAACCAGTTGAAGTATTTTTGTTTTATTTTTATCTTTGTGTTTATTATTCAGACGTTCCAGCCAATGATGTCATTTGTCCCAGCCCATCTCAGGAATGTTTCTAATGAAGAGCATACCAGAGGCATACGCAAAAGAAACTAATCTAATGTGTCAGGGGTGTCAAGGTGTCAAGGTGTAAGGAAGTTCCAAGGAGTCTCCTGTACACCCTAGACTGGTTAACGGTTTTAACGGGGAGCCTCAGCCCTTATCCCTGCGCCCTCGGGTAATCCCTAGGCCCACTGCAGGCGGAAGTATGAAAGGGAGGCATGCGATTGCTTGCAGGCCCTTTGACACAAGTCACAGTAGATCAAGTCAAAGATGCCGATATCTTGTATGAAAGCGGCCTGAGAATGTATACAATGACTCAAGTGCTGGGTTTGTCGCACAAAAACCAATGACAAAGAGCGACCTATTTCCAAAAGCAAATTAATCCAAAATCTCAAAGAAGCCAGACCATAAAAGAAGTCCACGTAATACTGCGATCTCGACTTCCTCATCAATTTCCTAGGGGATCCGTGGTTCCAGCATACCGGGATCATCCCTTGGCCGACCCGCACAAGTCCTTTTCTCATCTTCCAACGTTTCTTTTCAACAAACCTTCCAATCTTGCATACCTGCTGTCAGCTATCGCGATCATTCAATCAATTCGTTTCTCAATCAACTCTCAAAGTCAGACCTCCACCGCATTCGCATTGTGTCGTCATACCACCGTGGCAATATTAACCGTTCATCGCAGAACCTATCAACCGTTGCGAACATGGCTAAGAAAGGTGGCAAGAAGGGAAAGAAGGGTGGCGCTAAGGCCACTACTGCTGCTGTCATCGACAAGGCCGCCGAAAATGTCAAGGATGTTGTGTAAGTCGGTGGAAGAATTTTTGAGTGGTCGCGTGTGCGGGATCTTTGCGCAGGGCTGACGACATTTTTCTTAGAAACCCCACCGAAGAGACCACCAAGGATGAGCCCAAGACCGAGTCCGTCGACCAGACACAAGCGCCTGTCGAGTCGCAGGAAAGTGCTGCGCCGGAAAGTGCTGCGCCTGTGACTGAGTCCGAGGCTGAGACCGAGACCGAGAAGAAGGTCGAGGAGGCCAAGGAGACTGTGAAGGAGCCCGAGACCGCTGCGCCCGATACCGCTGCGCCAGTGACAGCTGCGCCCGAGACACTTGTGCCCGAGACACTTGCGCCAGTGACAGTTGCGCCGGTGACAGAGACCAAGGACGAGAGTGCAGTTCAAGCTGCCGTGGACAAGGTACAGGCCTCCAAGGCCGGCCATGTCAGCGCCCTGGATGACGGAGAGGACCAGGCCAACAGTAAGACCTAAGTGAATTAGTTTCGCAACCGCCCTGTACTGACCATCTCGCAGACGTTCTTCCAGAGAGCAGCGTCAAGGAAACCAGCCTCGGCGCAGATACCTACCCCTCTACCACCGAGACCGCCGCTGAAGAGTCCAACACTTCCACCGCCGCGATCGCGCCCTCCTCCATCGCTGAGCGTCCCAAGACCGCCGAGTCGGCCAAGGCCCCTGCCCCCGTCACAGCCGCCGAGCCCGTGACAGTCCCATCCGAGACCACTGATGTCGCACACGTCAAGCGCCCGTACGAGAAGCCCATCTTCTCAAACGACGAGGTGAAGCCGCCCAAGATGCCCCGCACGGAAGAGGAGCAGGCAGCTGCCGCCGATAAAAGCGCTTTGGGCGCTGGCCCTGCTGCAACCGCTGCGACCGCTCCAGAGCCCGTGCCAGTCTCCTCGGCTCCCAAGAAGGCCGAGACCGAGACCAGCAAGGCGAACCCCGACGCGGTCGCGGCCGCCAACGCTGCCATCAACTCCAAGGCCGATAAGAGCACTGCTGAGTCCGAGGTTAAGAAGCCCGAGGCTGCCATGAAGCGTGGCCAAGAGCACGGGGCCCCTACTGAGACCGCACAGGAAGCTGGTGAGACCAAGGCCGACGAAGCTAGAATTTCCGAGCAGACAGAGCACGCTGCCGAGAGGAAGAAGGGCGGATTCTGGGCGCGGTTGAAGCGGATGTTCAAGTGATTTTCTTTCTCTTGCTGGTACTCCGTAAACATGTAAGATATGCGTGACGCGTAACGTGCTGCAGTCGAGCCAGGAAAGGAAGGGCTGGGGTGTTGTTTTTGTCTTGTTTTGATGATACCGATTTTATATATCTTATTGCTTATTGAAAATTTCCTCTCCGAGTGATTTGCTCCCCCTTTTGTTCAATGTTGCCAGTACTTCACCGCTACTTTGGTCGGAAGGCCTGGGTGGCCTGGGTGGCCTGGGCTTGGTGGCGGTAGTTTCTAGCTTAGTGCATATGTGGGTTTGCATGAACAGCGATGATCACTCGTCATTGCTCTGCTTTATGGAGATTTGGGTCTTGAGTGGTGGGGCTATGACGAGTTGGCTGGGGGACAAAGACTGCATCGTCATGGATCTGGTCCCTCGATATCGTGCACTAGTACCCCACAACATTACGGAGTACGGATTATTCCATGACCCTGAAGATCCACGTATTGTACCCCCTGAAATACCCTTCTACACTCTGTCTAACCCGATCAGGAACATGTAACTATGAACCTTGGAAGTCCCTGTACCAAATCATGTTTTCTGTAGCCCACATAGACAGCCTCCAGTATACCCTTTGAAAGTTTCCCACAGCGTCAAGTGTATTATCTACTCCAGTACCTACCATAGCATATTCCTGTATATGGATCAGTGCGTACAAGAGTAATTTCGGGATACGTGGAGCATTTGCCTGGACATGACTGTCAATGGCTTTATCCATCTAGTGTGCCAAGCTTCAGCGTTCCTGAATCATTTACATGTAACATCGACTTCGTAGGAGATCGATCCTATTGTGCATTTTGGAGACTAAACATTGAACTATTTGAACCTAAAAGTAGTACTACTAATAACGCGCAAGTGTGAATAATAAATCCGATTCAAACTTCTCCTGATGCATTAAATAACTTCTCTATCTCCAACCAGTCCATATGATCCACTCCCGTCAACGGCAAGATTGGATTATGAAAGCTTGAGTGAATCCTCTCCGCTTCACCTGTCAGGTCCAGTCCCCAATCTCCCTCTATTTCGAAAATAGCATCCGAGGCTCCAGACTGCCAAGGTTCAAGTAGTCTGCTCTCATCCAAATGAACCTGATTGGTATGATTCGAAGGGGCAGAGGATGATAGAGAGTCTTTTCTCATATCCTGTCTTATGACATGATTTTGCGCTTGATCATTCAACGGATTCACCGAGGGAGTTTGTGCCCTGGCCCCAAAAACATAGTTTGGCCAGACGTGAGAACATGACTGTGCGATGTCTTGCAATCTTTGTTCAGCCGCTGAATTCCCTGATCGAGAGAGGAATTGGAGAATGTGAAAAGCTTGATCAAGAGCTTGTGGCGGTTGGTCTTGGGAGTTGTCTATAACGCCTGCCATTACTAGGACAAAGGCCGCAGAGAAGGTTGCATCCAAATCAAAGAATCCATAGCGGGCTGTAGGAGTCAACCAAACAGTGAATGTATTATAGTGAAACTCGGGACTAGGAAGACTCACGAATGATCCGCTGTTGCTGAAGCCTGTATAGGATCGCGAGGCTTCGGATTGAAGCCTCGTGGCAGGTATCGCAGAGTCGGGCTAATATCTCCGGAGCTTGCCCCGGTGGTAAGGGCTCTTGCTGTCTCTGAACTTCTAAACGGACCCTCCTTAGTAGAATAGGCCGAGTGCAAAGTATAATGGCCTGGAAAAGCATCAAAGACAGAGACGACCCTGTGCGTGTCACTTTCCCCAATGGTCGATTGAAGTCTAAGGTTAAAGATGGAGGGAAAGATTGGCCTATATCGTTAAGTTCCTGGAGAATAGTCTGGACTTTCCTTACCAACTCCAGTTGAGTGATGGAAGAATTGCCATATAAAGCTGGGGAAATTAGCGACACCACCATGAATCAGCCGAAAAACTCACAAGACATAATCTCATCTGTGATGCGCGCTATACGCACATTGATCGTAATAGCAACGGGCGACAGGAGGCCCACAACATGTCGAGGGTATCCTGCTTTTAATTGTCTCTCATCGGCCCCTGCAGCAAGCCCGAGACCCGACGACAGACGTCTAATCCGTCAGAAAGAACACGAAATGAGTAACGGGAAGAGATACCTATCCAGCATATATACAGTCCACCACAATCTCACCCGATGGGCAGCTTGCGAGGGTAGACAGCTCTGTTCATTCTCCGGGAGATTACAACCGAGGGCAATCGCTAATCTGAGAGCAAGACCGATCTACCGGAGTTAGTAAAGAAGCCGACCAGAAGGAGAACAAACATACATAAAGGTACGCATCATGCTTTCGATCACACCACTGAAGATAAGTAGCAACCAGTGTCAATATTTCCACAGCAATCACCCCTTGCCCTCCCAGATTATGCAGCGGAGGAAGGCGTTTCAGCGCTTGTGAGAAAAGGCCTGATCCCGGTGCCTGAGATGTGGGCTCTTCAACATCCATCAACTTGGCCATTGCCATGACGAGTAGATACTCCGTATACCACATTGTCTGCTTCTGTTTCTCTCGGGTCTCCGAAATTTGGAAAAGCAACCCCATCTGATCAGAGAATAAGCGTGAGTCGAAGAAGTGCTGGCTCACTCCTAGATAGTATAGGAATTGATCAAGTAAATGTCGAGACTCCTCCATTGATGGGATTGAAAGGTCATCAACATCAACAAGTCCACGGACTGATTTCCACTGACCACCCGATCCACCTAAACCGCGGGAATTGTGATACAGCTCACCCAAGGGGGGCGTATATGGTTTTGATCTGTGGAGTAGAAATTTAACTTGAGTTTCAAATGCCGGACCTGATGCCAAGTCGGTTGCTATATGCAATTAGCTGATATACAACCCACAGGTGGGTCTTACATACCTGGGCTAATTCCATCAGCGCCATCATCGTATGTGTTCAGTGGCTGGTCTCGTAGATAGCTGCCCGGGGTGGCAGGGTTGGCAGGTGTTGTGGACTGCCATAACCTGCTCGGAAGGCGATCCTGTCGAGCTGGCGAGGATAATAATGAGCCTGCAAAGCTCTTAGCACACAATTAAGAAAACCAAGAAAATGTCCAACACACTTTCAGGCCGAGATGCAAGCTGCTGCTCATAATTTTGAATTCTGTCTAAAAGCTCTTTTACCTGACTTGATAGCGGTCAGTATTGGCCACGATCAACTTTCGAGCACGCACGCTTCGGAGTATTTCCTTCGGCCAGTTGTACCGAAGACGCATTCCAGATTATGTTTAATACATGCACGACAGGGCCGCTCCCCAGTACATTTCACCTTGCGTCGTCGGCAAGTCTCGCATCTAAACCGAGGTTACCACACATTCTTCTCCTCTCAGACACAGAATATATATACGCATTTGCTGATCGAGAGTTTTGGGGCGCCATGCTGTACTCTCATGATTTCGGCTCGATGAGTTGTGTCGGGACTCGGGAGGTTAAGCCGAGGTGGAGGAAAGAGGGAATTGGAGACGTTGATTGGTCAGCTTGAGGTGAACCTTATCAAACGCCACAATTTGCCGATTGATAGCTTCCCCTCATTAGTTATTATATTACATTAACCAGAATTCAGGTTTGATCTATCGAACAGATGCATTTTGACAAGAGACCTTCTAGCTGACTCCGAGCCCGTGTATCACGCATCAACATAACAGTATCACTATCAAATATGATGAACAAAAACAACAAGCCATGGCTGCCTCAGACAGCAGCTCCAGAAATCGTCTTTTACAATGCCAACATCGTTGATGTTGAAGCCGGAGAAATCATTCCAAATGCTACAGTTCATATGAACAACGGTCGTATCGTTGGTGTGGCTACAGATGCAGAGCCACCCACCGGGCCACATGCCGTGGATTTGAACGGGCAGTACATCTGCCCGGGCTTGATAGATTGCCACGTGCATCTCTCTGCGACACCCGGTTCATCATCTCTAAAGGAAATTTTCTCCGCAAGCCCCAACAGCATCGCATACCGCACGGCATTTGTGGCACGTGAAATGCTTCTCCGAGGATTCACCACAGCCCGTGACACAGGTGGTGCTGATTATGCCCTCCGCGAAGCAATAGCGGAAGGCTTGATCATGGGCCCACGACTCTTCATAGCGGGTAAAGCCCTTTCACAAACCGGTGGACATGGAGACTTCCGAGCGAATTACCAGGGAGACGAGTTCAAATGTTGTGGTGGACACTCGGTCTATCTAGCCCGGGTTTGCAATGGTGTCTCCGAGTGCCTGAATGCCGCTCGCGATGAGCTCAGACAGGGAGCAGACTTTATCAAGATCATGTGTGGAGGTGGTGTGGCATCGCCGTCTGATGCCCTTGATATGGTCCAGTTCACTGCAGAGGAAATTCAGGCCATTACAACAACTGCCAGGCAGTCTAAAACATATGTTACAGCCCACGCATACAGCGTGGAGGCTATTCGTCATGCAGTCGATAATGGAGTTCGAGGAATCGAGCATGGGAATTTCATTGATGAGGAGACCGCGGCCTATTGCGCAAAGTTGGGCGTGGTCTTTACTCCGACTTTGGTCACCTACCATGGCATGTCTCGACCTCCATTCGATAAGTTTTTGGACGATGTCAGCCAGGTCAAGAATCGTCAAGTGTTAGCTTCCGGCTTAGATGCTTTGCTCATTCTGCAGAAGGTTGGAGCGACGATCTGCTATGGATCAGACCTTTTAGCTGGCTTGCACCCTCTTCAAAACCAAGAGTTCTCGATCAGATCTGGCGTGTTAAGTGCAAAGGATATTTTGCAGTCGGCTACTATCAATGCCGCACGATATTTGGGGATGGAGGATCAACTCGGAAGCATCAAGAAAGGAAGTATTGCCGATATGCTCATACTGACATCTAATCCACTTGAAGATATCACTATTTTGGATCACATAAAAGAAAACCTGGTAGCTATTTTGAAAGATGGACGTGTTGTTTCTACAAGATCAACCTGGCTTTCGGTTGATCCTTTATATGACCCTTGCCACATCCAAGCTCAGTGAACGCCTACTCACATAGAGATACAAATCGAAACAAGTCATACTTCCTCGTTTATTCACACCATTTATCACATCAAGTCCTCGTCATAGAGGGAATATTTGTGGGTCTTCAGAAAAGGGGAGCCAAAATTCGGTATCGACATGAAATCCCCAAATCCAATTGGAATGTTCATGTCTAAAATGGTCTACAGTGAGATAGGCGGATTTGGAGGGTACTCTGTTTCCTTTTTCATTTGTTTTACTTCATAGTAGATCTCTCTCTCTCTCACTCTTTCTCAGATTTAAGCACAAAATAGATCCTGCGTCTCTTCAACAATCGCCAAAAGCGTCGACGCCAAACTCTGAGCAATTTTCCAATGACTGACACGTCGCAACAAGTCAATGATCCTAAACATCGACCCCATCGCCAGCTTAGTAGGCTGTAGTCCACAAGTCTGCTCCAAAAACGTTCCAATACCATCAATACCCTGTAACTTAAATTCGTCGAACTGCAAGTTGTCTTCCGCGAATATTGTAATTGGGTCCTGATCTCCACCAAAACACATAAAGGATGACCAAACAAGGCCGGAATAATATAGACACATCGGGACATGAAATCCCGGCTCTGCGCCAGTGGGGAGGGACTCGAAGTTCTTTTGAATGAGCATCGCATGTAGTAGACACCGCTTTGCGTTGATGGAGCGGACCCAGGTCCGGGCGTAGGGAAGGTGGGCCTGTGAGACATGGTGACCTTCTCGACCCAAGGCGCATTCTAGGGAGTTGAAATTCGTATTGAGAGTCATGAAGATAGAATGCCAGAGAGCCATATGGCTGAACCAGCTGGACTTTCCGGTCATGGTGGGTTGGTACTTGGTGTACCATTTTTTGAGCAGAAGGTGGCATCTGGATGTTCGTGATGATGAAGAATCGAGCTCATTACATTGTTCTCTTTCTTTGCAGGCTATGGTGCTGATACATTCTAGCATGCCGCATAGCTCGAAGTCTCCCGGTGGAGTGGTGACTTGGGAGGTAGAGTTGTGGGGTGAGTTCTGGGTTGAGGATGAATCGGGGTTTTCAGCGCTTGAGCTTATCATTAGGGATTTCCAGTGATTTGCACTGGGTGCTGTGAAGAGTTCATTTGATGAGAGCTGAGGAATGCAATCAGGCGAGTGGCGTAGAATAGGATCGTGGTTGTGTAGTTTTGCCAGCCACGCGTCGTGAGTGTGAAGACCAAAGGCGATCCTATGAATTCGCTTAGTTTATTGGTCCCGGTTAACAGGGAGTTGATTATACCTCTTCTTGATCTCTTCTTGAATCCAAGACCTCCACATGTCCTCTAGAGCCTCCCCAGTGACATCGAGAGGATTGTGTTCTAAGCGTGGTGAGTTGAAAAGCTTCGCTTTTCGTGCCCACTGTGACTGTGTAAGCATCATTGGATTCAGTGTTAGTGAAAAACTTACTGCAATCATGGCGCCGTGAAATATATCAATTCCAGTAAGATCCCTTGGTCTCTGCAAAAAAGAGTCAAAACCCATAATACACCATATCTATATATCAAGAATTCACGAACCCCTAGCAGAAGACCAACTGTCTGCCCCAACATAGACGCTTGAAGAGCAATCAGAGATGAGCTCCCTGACCTTGTCATATATGTGTCCCACTAGGCTGGTCAGAAAGTCAATTGCATAGCTTCAGCGCTGGGACTCACAGAGGAAAGAGTAGCTTTGTTCAGCCTTTCATACATGCTGATGCCATGTGATACTGCACTCTGTGAACCCACTATCAGACTCCCTGCAGAGCATATAGAAAGAAGAAGAATCGAATTGTGTATTCCGGGCCGAAAGGTAGGTATATGCACTATGGGGAATAAAGGGTGAAATTTGGAAAAGTATGCCTGAAGGCACAGATTCTTCAAAGAGATTAGCACAGGAAGACAAGTGCTGAAAGAGGAGAGATACCAAGAAAGGGGTAGATGGAAGAATACCATGCTGGACTCGTGGCTGGAGACCCTCTGCCAGTCGTTTTCGACAGGACTCATCAATAAAACTGTTCTCCGAGGGCCCGACTGGAGTCATTTGACCAGAATGACATATTTCGGAAAAAGTGTGCCATTTTTCCTTAATCGTATCTGAGGGCTGTTTAGCTGAATCCGAAGCAATTGCAGGTGATAACTGCGAATGTTGAACAGTGCCCATTTCAAGCACGCCATTCATCGTCGAATAGCTTGATGTGGCGCAAAGCAAGGAAAGATTGACAGCATCCAGATCAAAGTTGTCTCCAGTGAGTAAAGCACCCCATTCACTATTGTCAACATGATCCCATATCGGGGGCGGAGGGCACTGAGACTTCCAAACGTCCCCGTCCATAGGAAAAAATGAGGCCAAGGGGCTCACATGACTAGCATAGATGGTCTCTCCACACACATTAGGGGTTCTTCTATCAACTGATGAGCTACCTGGAGGGGACATGAGAGTCGTTATATCGCCCTCAGTTGAACCGGAGCCCCCCATCGGAATTGATGGATGGGTCTCGAAGTCTTCCACGGACATCCGGTCTATTCCGGAAGAGTCGATATCCTCATGCATGGCATGAGATCGTGCATGTCGTAAGAGAGTATCCCTGGAAATAATCAATTGATGAGCCCCATGCGAAGCCGGGAGCTTACTGTCGAACAAAGGCCTTCTGACAGACGGAACAGTGAAAGGGTTTTTCTTTGCTATGAGTTCTCACATGGCGAGCCAGATGCTCAGCCTTTTTGAATTGATGTCCACAGAATTCGCAAATCCTTTCCTCCTTAGAAGTTTTTCGGCGGCGGAGTTTGCTGCCATACTGCTTGGGGGTGTTTTGAAACATGCTACAGGGTGGGAGGATGAAGCGGGAAAGATCAATTAAATTATTACCCCGGATCTTCCCCGCTCACCGGTAGAAAGCTTGAATGACACAGCTCCAATCAACTGTTTGAAATCAATCGGAATGAAACATTGAAATTGAATATTTAAATCCTATGCTCCATGCAACTGGAAATAGAAATGTGGGATCTATCTTTAATATCCGCGAAACTCAAATGATTCGATTCTTTAGTTGCCGCAATCCCCTCAATCTCCACCTCCACAACATCCTCGTTCTTCAAGAAGTCTTTACGGAGGAACCCAAGTCCAGATGGAGTGCCCGTCATGATAAGTGTTTCTTTCCGAAGAGCTGTTCCACGGGAGAGATGGCTGATGATCTATCGCATCGTAAAGATCATGTCTCCCGTGCTGGTCTCTTGCTTCACCACACCATTGACTTTAGTCCTCAATCGCAACAACTAGAGATCTGGAATCTACTTTGCGGATATAATAGTGCGGCCAACTGGCGCAAACTCGTCAAAAGACTTTGCGTAACAGAATTGGCACCAGCAGCTGCATTTGTAGATTAGAATCGTGTCATTGAAGGGGTAGACCCACTTACATTCGCCTCTGTAGAATGTTTTTCTATCATTCAATACTATGCAGATAATAACAGGCGTGGATTCGATCGGGTACAAGAGCTGTGGATTTGATAAATTAGCTTCAATATTCTTGTACCGACAACCTTGAATATCAACATACCGAATCCACATTATAAACTTCATCTGTTGCTCCTCTGTTGCCTGAAGGCTCGTAAATGGGCTTCCTTCAAACTTATGAACAGTGTATTTCCCAGCGGCGTTAATCAGCTCTCCATAGTAGGGTTGAGCGCCAACGGCAAAACGCACGAGCTTCTTGAAATTAGCCAGAATGAACGACTGTAGAAAAACAATTCATATCAGCAACTTTGACTTGGAAGTTGTAACCTGTTAATTGGTGGGGAAGTCCACCGAACATGCCACGAATGTGGGATCAATCATCAATCTTCACATGCAAGGTGAACTCTCCGCCCCTCACCTGGAGTCGGACATGTTCGTAAAAAGGAAAAATATAGTATCCAGGATCAATTTTATCATCAAAATTATATCTTGTTACCTCGAAATGTCCTCACAGATAGTCCAACCCAATCATGGCGCATCCGTACCTGATGTGGTTGCTGTCGGTAAGCCGAACGAGTCTCAGGCCGAATGGTTGGAGAAGCAACAGATCAACACGAAAGACCGTGTCAACTTGAAGAAATTGTCTAATATGCGGTATCAGCATCCCAACCTTGATGAACAAGGATACATGCTTAGTAGCTTTCCCCATGACTTTGGCGACATCAAAATCGAACTTGTCCAGATTTTGGAATGCAAATTGCCAACAAGACTGAAAACAAGGCTAGCTTTGAAGGATATGGACCTGATCAATACGTATTCTATGCGCGTAAAGGACCGAAGAAGTTCCTGGGCGGTAATTTTGAGGCCCAGAGCAAAGAGGACTTTGACAGGTGAGATATCTTCTACTTCTACGTTTAATGCAAAATCTAAGTCTCAGAGTAGAGCAGCAGGCCTTTACACTGCAATCACAGTAGAAACAACGACCCATGCACCCGATGGTGGATGTTTGGTGACCATTATCGACCCAGAAGGGTTCCCTGCGAATGTTTCTTCCCCTGCTAACGTACATTGCCCATGCCGAGCTTGCAGCTTGCAAATAGCACTTTTTTCCCGTCTCTCCTTCACAACGACCAATATTAAGTCTTTCTGTTCTGCTTCTTTTCAATAGGACGAGTTTCACCAGAGCCTCAAACAAAAGGTATCTCTACGTCCAATGCGGGTGCATCCCGCTCAGGTGTGGGGAATTTCTACCGTCACTCCCCTTAAAGTTTAGTGAAATGACTTTCATTTTTCCAATACGTCAAGTTCACACCACCTTCGCCGCCGCCTTTCGACTTAAAATTATCTAGTCTGCCCACTTACCTCATTACTTATGTATACCTCACGATAGGGCTTAATGTTAGGGTATCACTACTACTCTCTATAGTCTACTAATATCTTATAGCGAATCATCTACACAGATTTTCGAATCCTCACACGTAAAAAAAAGTCTTCAAGATATCTTCAAACGTATCTTTTATAGAATTCCTTTATAAGTATAACTCTAATCTTAACCAGAAAAGTAACCCTAAAATCCCGAACAAGACTACTCTAGATCCCAGAGTTCCTCAAAGCGACCTCGATATTCTTGATGTGACTACCCCGGACCCTGGATTGCTATACCGGATCCCAAAGTTACCTAGAAGTATCCCAATCTTCGATATAGGTAACTCGGGAGGACAGTAAAGTTGATTTAGACGCAGTAAAAACGATCAAATCGCGTCAAACAACAGTTTTCAAGCGTTGATGATTATGATTATTTAAGTAGCTTATATAGAAGCTTCTTTGCGGAGTTTGTAGAAATAATGATATGGGTCAAAACAAAGTAGTTTGCCAGTGGGAACAAAAGTGGCAGAAAAATATTTCTGCCGATGCCCGGGTGGAAACTTTGACATTTCCTAATTTTCCTAATTTGGGGAAAGGGGAGTGGCGGAAGCAGTGGGAAGATTTTCAGCAATCATCGGTCCACATGAGCAAGTTTCAGTCGGAATGTAATCGCCATCACAAGCGTAACAATACTGAACTCTCGAATTCTCGCGGCAACAAAAGATATCAGGTCCCCAATTTGTTATACAATATTCTATGAGATCCGTGTCGCAAGAAACGCAATCGTCTAGTACCGGGGTCTATCCGTATTATAAAGAAATTAGCCGCTGCATTTGAGTTATCAAGCATTTATGCTGCACTTGAACTTACGCATATAGGCCAAGTAGCAGGTGGAGAGGGCGTAGTAGTAGTAGCAGTAGTAGTAGAGGGCCCTGGAGTAATTGTAGAAGAAGTGGTAGAAGTAGTGCAGGTAGTGGACCAGGTGCCATCTGGTCCACTGGGGGTAGACATCGCAACACTGGCGAGAAGTCCACAGATTGGTAAGGCGAAGCGCATCCTGGTGTGGGAGAAGTTGGTTTAATAAGGCTTGATAACTGTAAAGTAGTAGTATGAGATAGATCTATTGAGAAAGAAAATAAGAAAGTATCCTTCTATTTATTTAGTCTTAAGAATACATAATTATGATACATTCGGTTGATAATGGTGGAGATACTATAATTCTGATTAAACAACCGTTTGCAGTTATAAGACGAGTGCTTTATAAGGTCATATTGTAAAAAAGTTAAATTAGCCTTTTTTATGACTTCTGTTTTAAAGTTTCAATTAGCCTTTTTTTATGACTTCAGCTTTTAAGTTTAAAATGTATCGAGTGCTTATAGCTATCGTTCAAAATTAAACGCTAAGAATCTATGATGAATTAATAGTTCTAGAATTTTTATTCGGCCGATTTAAATAGGTCCTTACAGATAATTTGCTCTAGACGCAGGTCCACAGCGATGAAAACAAGTTTATAATGGCCTAGAATACTGTCGAAGAGGTAGACCTAGGCCACACTGGCTTAAGGGCGCCTCCGGAGGAGTCCGCGCCGCGTTCGCCCACATCGATATCGGTGAGACTCTTGTGGATCACCATTCGATCTTCATGAGCACCAACCCCAAGTGCGCACATGTCCACCACTGCTCTTTTAAAGTCAATGACTACTATGATACCCAGCAACAGGGACATTAATGGCTGGCTTAGAAAGGATACTCATCTATGTGGGAAGTCGGTCGCCACGTTCTTGGGTCGCAGATTTACGACTATTGCTGGGATACTACGGGAATTATGGTTGAGCATTACGCTGATGGAGATTTGGTGAATGACCAGATTCAATTAGGTTATGTACAAGCTGGGAACGAGTCTCTATTGTGGCCGTATGGAGACCAGAGGTTCCTGCTGAGTTTATGGCGTAAATAATTTGATTTGAACTTTTCACTTTACAAAAGACTGAGAAACAGATTACTTGTCAACGTAAGACGTAAAGTAAATATAGAAAGGGGTTTTTTTTGCAGGAATATAGCGCACAACTACATATGGATACTGACAGAAAGAGCCATCAAAAGCAACCCAAACACTCCGTCCAGACCTTGGTATTCTCCTTCTTTCAGCTCCTTGGCAGCTAAACACTATTTCAGAAAACTTCAATCCAGCAATTTAATTACACTTAGATTTTTGAACACAAGTTCGTAATTCTTCGTATGGATCAGAAATGCTTATCGCACACTGTTCTGCGACTGGGTTACCCCTGGTGCTACGATGAATCGATGGGGGTGAGAGCCTTTGATTACGAAAGCTCCAGTTCCACACTGGAAATTGCAAAACATTTGCCAAAGAGTAAGGGGCTTGTGGCCCTTGCGTGATTGCCGAAAGCAATCAGTAGTAGGTACTCCTTATAATATACTGTTCCTATTACACAGGTTCTGGTGGAGCTTATTGTCCTATTTCTCGATACACTCGTATGCCGGCGTTCAAGTTTCTCATGGCTATTTTCTTGGTGAACCACAAAACAGAGATTAATAGAAAGGAAAGAAAACAACGCTGATCTATGGACCTGGGAGAGCAAGGGTCACATGATAGAGCACAACATGCATCAAAGATCCCACATGCACCATGTGGAAACTTCGCCTTAAGGTCGAAGTAAATTAAGTGTTTACTCGTACACGCGTTGGCCCCGCATTCTGACCTTCACCGCCGAGGTAAATCATGTTACTTGCGACAACAGTGGGCCAAAGCCAAATAGTTTGTATTTTACCTCTGAGTTACTTTGACGAGAGATTCAGGTTTTCAGTATGACGGATCAGGTAGAGTCTACAGAGGTTTTGATTGTTGGATGCGGCCCTACAGGGGCAATGATGTCCGGCTATCTGGGCCAACTCGGAGTATCCAACATCGTGATCGAGAAAGAGTCAGACATCAACACAGATCCTCGTGGAATTGCTCTCGATGATGACGGAATTCGATTGGTTCAGGGTCTCGGGCTGTACGAACATATCTTCACTGAGATCGGAAGCAGTGAGAACACATCCAGTCTGCCCAGGTATGTATGAAAGAGTTAGCTCACGAATATCGATAGCCGTATCAAAAGTCCGATTTGTAAGTGGGAACCATCACAATCTAAACGCGAACCCATTTCTCGTTTTTGATACAGGCTCGGTGAGTTCCAAATCTTAGGAACCCCAGTTTCTGCCACAGTGCGACTAAAAATTTAAGATCGAGGGACATACGAGCCATGTTGGCGTTCTTAGTCATAAGCAACCAACACTCGAAAAGTATCTACGAACGGCGGTCGATAAAGCAGAAACCAGCGAATTGAGAAACAACTGCACTTTGACGTCGATATCAGAAGATGCAGACTGGGTGTACGCGACATACAACGAATCCAGCACGCAGAGAAAAATCCGAGCCAAGTTCCTAGCCGCAGCAGATGGGAAGACCGGCTTCACTCGTAAGAACTATCTAGAGCCCAAAGGTATCCGACTAGACTGGGCTGGGCAGTATGTACAAGCTGATATGGAGAAGAAAGTGACTTACCAGAGAGTAGGACCAAATATCAGGAGACTTGGGTTGCGCTGAACTGGAAAATGTCTCTACCCTCGGAGAAGACGCATCCCGATTTTCCCCTGTGGAATTTAGGGTACACACCTCAGCAGGTCTATGATCTTTTTTTCCCGGAAGATTTTCGTTTCCTGTGTAATCCAGAACGACCAGCTGTGTGTGGTCGATTTGGTCGGCCCGAGGACCGGCTTTGGAGATTCGAATTTGTCGTTTCGCGCGACGAAGATGGTATGGAATTGGCAAAGCCTGCAAGGATTCGCCAGCTCGTGCATCCTTATTTGAAACACGAAGGAAGTCGTTACGGGTTAGTAACTCTCCTTTTCTGAGTAGCCAAATTACTAAAATCCAAATACAGACTGAAAGAGGATGTTTCATTTCCTGAAGACTGTATTGAAGTCCTCCGCTGTCGACCGTTTAATTTTTCCGCGAGAAGCTGCAATAAGTGGGCACTTGGCCGTGTCATTCTATGCGGCGATGCAGCCCATGTCTTCCCACCATGTATGTTATTCTCCCCAAGTCAGAGATACAAACTAACCATGAATTAGTCGGAGGACAAGGAATAGCATCTGGGTTTCGAGATGCTATCTCCATTGCGTGGCGTCTCGCCATAGCATGCTCACCAGGGTCCAAGGACCATGCCCGTCTTTTCGAAGGCTGGTACCTAGAAAGAAAGCAGCAACTCGATGAATCACTCGCGAAAACCGTCAAAAATGGCGATATGGTCAACGGGAAAAATCCGATTCAAATCTTCCTCCGCGATTGGGGGTTATGGGCACTCCAGCTACTTCCCTTTTGGAAACATTGGATCGAACGAGGTCCTCGCAGTGATGGTCCTACTCGGTATAGGCACTACCCAGGTATGCCTATGCATTTCATGCCAGATCTTGGGGGAGGGGAGTACTTCCCACAGACGTTTTGTATTGGATTCCAGCAGGATGCAGTTGTACAATTCACCGACGATGTCATTTTTGGGGGTAAGACGAAAATGTTTCAAATTGTGGTTCTACTAAGCGATCCACATGAGCTGGATGCGGCAATTTGTGAATTGGACGGGATAGATCGATTCAGTAATCTGCTGTCACAGGATGAAGCTACGTTCTTTGTCTCCCGCAGCCAGTGCGCCAGAATGGATCAATCCGAGCACCGGTTATTTCGGACAGCAACCGGTGATGAGTTTGGACAATCTTCTTTGTGTGCCTGTCGCCCCCATCCTCATGGCTATGATGAAACGCTCATTTGGAAGAGTGTTTCATCCAAACGATATGTTATTTTGAGATATGATCGATTTGTTTTTGCGCTTTGTAACACAAGGGCCGAGTTGGAGAAGGCAGCCACGCAAATGACCCAGATATTCTGAAGCGGCAAAACATACATCATAGGTTCTCCTTGCAATCATCTTCTCTATGTCTCCCAACAGTGGCGGTAAATAGCGGCTTTGAGGTATATTTTGGATTTGGGCAGCAGATTTGTGAGCTTTACTCGCTGTATGAGTATGTAATACCGTAGTATTGCTCAGACTTGATTAAAATCATAAGACGCTCAGCACGATCTTGTTACTACTATATCGCTATAATTCCCTAGATATATGCCTCTTAGTATTATTTAGGTATATACACATATTGGTACCATAAATAGACACCCAGGCAGGTACTCAAGCAGATAAACTAAGTAGGCATAACCTTAAAGTTCTTTCTTTGGATGAGTTCCAGACGCAGAAATTAGACAGCCTTGGTGCCTGATATTTTTTCTAGCCCCATTAGTTAGGCTCTTAGTTCTCAAAGTCACGACCCAGGATAAATCTTCCATACTTTCGTACTTTTGTTCATGTACTTTTATCCTACGGGATATACGATGAATTCCACCGCCTTCTATTTTTCATTGGCCCCCATTATCATATGCAAAATTTTTTTATTGATTTCGAAGATTGATTCATGCTTCAATATTCGCATTCGCCATAATTTTTATACTATACCGACGTCCCTGGTCTAATGATTTGACTTTTAATATCATCATTTGAACAATAGGCAAATATGCCCTCTCCATTGAGCAGCGGAGCTGACGAAGACCAACAACTTTTACTACTACCGATACAAGAGCCGACATTTCAAAGCAAAGAAGAGACCGAAACGCCCGGCGATACCTAGAAGAGGGAACTAATCTCTGAACGAGCCACGCAGGCGACTCCAGAGCAAGAACAAAATGAGAGCGAAACCCCGCAAAATCTACAAAATGCACCAATAGACCATGAAAATGGTTCAGTCAAATCCGTTGCACCAACAGAAACAACCCCGGGAACTGATATATCACCATCGTGGTGGCAGCACCCATTTCCATACCTCAAGGAAGATGGAAAGAAACAGTACAGCTGGCTCAATTTCGGTCGAAAAATGAAAGAGGGCGAGGAGGAATGAATTACGGCAGTCCTCCTTCGAGCAAAGTGTGCCACTGCCATTCTAGGCATCAACTTGATTCTAGTAATGGTGGCAGGCATTATTGCGTCTGAGGGAAAAGCCAAATTTATCGCGGGTGCCTACTTGGATGCACTTTCTCCAGCTCCTTACCAAGGAGACTGTTCCACATCCAGTCACTTATCTACAGCAATCCACCTTATAATCAGCATCCTGAGTACAGGACTACTGATGTGCAGTAACTTCACGATGCAGTGTCTTAGCGCCCCATCACGGGAAGAAGTTGATGCTGCTCATTCTAGGGGAAGATGGCTTGAGGTCGGGACTTCTGGTGGGATTCGAAATTTTCAGATCATGGATTGGAAACGCAGAATTCTTTGGTTTTTGCTTTTGATAACCAGTACTCCTATCCATTTAATGTAAGTTTCAATATACCCTGTTCGGCCCGACATATTTGTCTCTATACTGATTCGTATTGCTATTCTTATACTGTAGTTGCAACTCGGCCATCTTTGCCTCTATCTTCACACAAGACTATGGAGTCATTGTTGTTTCAAACAACTACTCCGAAAATGACTCCTTAGTTAATGATATCCTCCCAGAAGATGCATTTCGGGATTTTGTTGGATATAATGCATCCGATATACACAACGCTATGTTCAACGGCAGCCTCGAAACTCTGACGGCAATACAATGTGCAGAACGATATGCAGTGGACTTCAATACTGCTGGGGGCACTGTGGTCGCCTACATGGTCGCTGACCAGAACAATAGTTCCCTAGTCAGCAATGGAAGCTTAAGAGCTTTGAATGCTGGATACGGGGGGAAAGTTTGGATGGATATGTGAACCCACTGGGTATTGCGGAGATTATTTTCCAGAGGGCAACTCATTGAGCTGGGATTTTGTCATTCAGACGACCTTTTGGGTGTATCCCAATCGAACATTCACTCTCCCTAATATCGAGGGGCAATATCAAACATTTGATAGTGCCACGTTGGATTATTCTCTAAGCCAGGCGTTGAATATAGAGGTCCCGCAACAGACCATTGGTGATTGGGTCCTTGATACATTGACCTTTTTTAAATAAATTATCCAACACAATCCCAATGATCAAGAACTAAGATCCTATATGAAAGACAATTCCACAAACATCTGGAAGAATATCACCTGGCCTGGAGATGTGGCTTTCAATACGGTCGGGCCCACTGATAACGGCACCCTCATATCGACGATGTCGGCAGCAGCCTCCCTTGCAATGCCGTGGAACGTGTCGGTTTCACACTGCCAGAGCCAGGCACCGACTCCGAGATGTCAGCTAAGATTCAACATTGTGATCTCTCTCATTGTGCTGATCTGTAATGGAACCAAGGTGGCATGTATGTTTCTTGCCGCGCGAAGCACGCGCAAAAATATCTTTTTGACTATAGGCGATGCCTTGTCCTCCTTCCTGAGCAAGCCTGACTTGACAACAAAAGGAAGATGTCTTATGTATTCGCTAACCGGAGGCCGTCAACTATGGACACATACCCTGTGTCGTCTAGAGAATTGGATAAGTTCTCATTCTCTGGGAAAGGAACTTGAATTTTCCAATGAGGCAGCCATGCCAATGACTTCGGCATTAGATGATACTCGAAGGATGGTTCCTTTATCGGCCCATATAAAGCTGATGCCGAAGAGGAAAAGGTGGTTCGAAGCCGCGACAGGTTTCCAGTGGATGATCGTGTCAATCTAGTAAGTTTATTCTTCTTCTTAGAGTCCCATCTTCGGCGGCAGGACAATCTCTAATATCCATTATCTTTCACATGGTTAGATAATAAGCCAGCGTTGTAGTTTCGCGACAATTCTAATTATCAGTCCGTATCTCACGGCGATGGGGTTTAACAAGGGTATTGATTCCATCAAGTTCGGGACGTTTGACGCGGAGTTGATATTCCCAACAATCGGTAAAAACTTCTACAAACTGGTCCTCCTCTCAATTCACCTCAAATGGTCTTGACTGTTCTCTATTTCTTCGTCAATGGACTTTTCACATCCATGCAAACCGCCGCAGAATACAATGATTACGCCACGGAGAGAAAACCACTTCGTGTCTCTTGGCCAAAGGGCGAACAACGATCGACATATCGTCTCAGTCTACCAATTCGATATAGTGGTGCACTGATGATCCTTTCGACTTTGCTCCATTGGCTTCTAACCGAGTCCTTTTTTTTGGTGCTGATTAATGATTTCGACGTTCATGGCCAGTTGAACCTTGAATATAGTCAAATGACAGTCGCCTATTCCGTGATCCCAATGACCGCTGTATGCTCGATTATAGCAGCATGTCTGGCGGGGCTGTTGCTTATATCTTTGAGGCGGTTCAAGTCAAGCATGCCGCTGTTGACCACTAATTGCAGTGCTGGCTTAAGTGCCGCATGTCATCCACCGGTGGATGATACGGATGCTGCTCTTCAATCGGTCCAATGGGGGGAGATACCGGGATCTGAATATGCAGATCAAGATGATGTTGATGAAAGAGGTGCTGATATGTATACGAGGAATGCACATTGCTCGTTTTCTTCGAAGGAGGTCCATGTACCTAGCAGAACAGTTTTGTATTATTGATGTTCAAAATGTGATGTTTGGGAACAAAGGCTTCACCAGATCTTGAGCAATCACTTATTCCACAACGCATTTCACGTCCTTGACTTCGATGAAATTCGCCTCTTCTGGTTTGAGCCATTGTTACTTGCTTTCCAGAACATGACTTAGAATTAGAATCACCACAGGATTCGTTTTTCAACTTAATTATAGGTGAGTGGAGGAGTGGATACATGAGCGTTCGTGGCCCTATATTGTGCCAATTGGCCACGTCGCTGTCATCGTCCTCCGCATGATAGTCTGCGCCGAGAAATACAGCTATGGCGTGGAGGCTTCAAGGAAGTGAAATCTTAGAGAGGATTTGCTATCGCAGGTAAAGTTGTTTTTGAAGCTCCACGTAGCGATTTAAATATTAGCATGCGCGTGGTGATCATTGATCGCGATGGAGAAGGCGGCCAGTCAATCTAGCAGCTACCAGTAGAAGAAATATTTTTTTGCCGTATTGGTCTGAATAAATCCGTGGTCTGCTTCGTTCGGGATGATGGGACCGCCCAGGCGTCAGTCGTGGGCGGCCCATGGGTACTCAGTATGCACTTTAGTAGATAGTACTCTGATGTACAGAGTATTCACTTGAATATGATACGCGGGGATCAAAATGGTAAGCCAAATCGAGAATACATCCTCCAGACTTTTGAGGCCGCTATTTACGGGCACACCAGACTACCCAGACTCATTGCTCATGTCTCGTAGATCCCACATAGTTAGAGGGCGGGGCTTATCTTCCCGAATCGCTTTTACCCCGACTTCCAAGCTTGGCATTGGGCCGAGGTAGTAAGCTGCAACCTCGCTGGGATGTTGATAAATCCACATCTCCCCTTTCTTTATTTTAAGCTTATGTTGTCTATAATCAACTTTTCCCAATAGTCAAACCTTAACAATGTCAGTGTCCATCCCACGGAAACTATGGGAGCACCCAAACCCCGATTCAACAACCATGGGCCGGTTCCGGCGAGAGCTGGAACAGTCAACCGGACAGCGATTTAATGTAAGACTCCAGTTATCAGCCGAAACAACTGAATATCTAACGTGCAATGAAATTGATAAGGGATTCTATGATATGTACCTGCATTCCATTCAAAACCGCACGGAGTTCTGGGCCTTTTGCTGGAAGTATTTCCAGATTATTCATGAAGGAACCTACACGCGGATCGTGGATGAGTCCGCGCGTATGGACAGCATTCCAGAGTGGTTCGCTGGTGTCAAGCTCAATTTTGCCGAAAATATGCTCTTCTCCAGCAATGGGAACACAATCGGAAAAGAAGACCACAAGGTTGCAGTCACCGAGGTGCGAGAGGGTGCTAATAAAGATGCCGTTCATTTGACCTGGGGAGAATTGCGAAAGAAATCTGGAGTTTTGATCCAAGCGATGAAGGCTAATGGGGTCGTGCGTGGCGATCGAATCGCGGTTTGTTCGGCGAACAGTATCGACACATTGCTGGTTTTCGTTGCGACCACGGCTCTCGGAGCAATTTTTTCATCTAGCTCTACTGATATGGGTGTCAAGGGGGTTTTGGATAGACTGTTGCAGATTAAGCCGCGATTTCTGTTCATGGATGACTATGCCGTTTATAACGGGAAGACGATTGACCTTCGGGACAAGATGAAGGACATTGTTCAAGGCATGGGTTCTGTGTCGGAGTTCCAGGGAGTGGTTTCTCAACCACGATTCCCCGAAAAGCCAGCGGATATACGCTCCATTCCGAGAGCTTGTACTCTGGCAGAATACCTGGAAAAAGCAGCTGGAAACGATAGTCTTGAATTTGAGCGCATTCCCTTTCGGGATCCGTTTCTGGTGGTTTACTCATCTGGCACAACAGGACAACCAAAGTGCATAGTCCATTCGGTTGGTGGTGTTCTAATAAACGCCCACAAAGAGGGCGGCTTGCATATGGAACTTGCATCGGATAGCGTTGTGCTACAGTATACGACAACTGGGTGGATCATGTATCTCACTGCGATGCAAACGCTCCTGTTCGGCAGTCGAGCCGTACTCTACGATGGCAGTCCCTTTGTGCCGGATGCTAGAGCATTAGTGGATTTAGCAGCTCAAGAAAGGTGAGTTCATATCAAAGCCGATCGAACATGGAGCTAATTCACCAGGGTCACACATTTGGGCATCTCCCCACGCTGGTTACAGGAGCTGGAGCGAGCCCAGCTCAAGCCCCGTGAACTAGTAGATCTCAGCTCCCTTCGCGTGGTGACCAGTACCGGCATGGTGCTACGAGATGCATTGTTCGAGTGGTTCTACGATCATGGATTCCCATCGCATGTTCGCTTGAATAATATTTCAGGAGGCACAGACATCGCCGGTTGTTTCGGCTGTGGAAATCCTCTTGTGCCGGTATACGTTGGAGGGTGTGCAGGTTTCAGCTTAGGAGTGCCAGTGGAGGTATACGATTCGACCATCGAAGGAGACGGCGTGAGGGGGATACCAGCAATCGATGGAGAGCCAGGCGACTTGGTGGCCACAGCTCCATTCCCTAATATGCCTACACAGTTCTGGGGAGATCAAAGCGGCAAAAAGTATCACGACGCTTATTTTGGGAGGTTTAATAACGTCTGGACCCACGGCGATTTCGTATCGATCCACCAAGTCACCAAGCAACTTATCTTCCACGGCCGCTCTGACGGGGTCCTCAACCCATCTGGAGTTCGATTTGGCTCTGCGGAGATTTATAGAGTGATTGAAGGCTTTTTTTCAAACGAGATCGTCGATTCCATCTGTGTGGGACAGCGGCGACCAACCGACAGCGATGAACGGGTGATGCTCTTCCTGCTAATGAAGCCCGGGGTTCCCTTCACAACCGACTTGGTGAATCGAGTTAAAAAGGCGATCCGAACCGAGCTCAGCGCGCGCCATGTGCCAGCTTTTGTTTTCGAGACTCCCGAGATCCCGGTAAGTTTCTCTTTTTGTCAACTCGGAACAAAGGCGGGACTGACCGAGTCAGACCACGGTCAACCTAAAGAAAGTGGAGCTACCAGTGAAGCAAATCGTCTCAGGCAAGCGGATTCAAGCCTCTGGGACCCTCCTCAATCCGGGAAGCTTGGATTATTACTATCGATTCGCCGAACGCCAAAGCAAGCTATAGCCGAGTAAGCTAGCCAGCGCATCCGTATTTATTTTGGATCAACACCGCCACTTACTCAACCTTGGGTGCAGCTATGGAGACCCACATGGATGGAGACGTGGCGCCAATTATTGACAATCGCGAGGATAGTGAGGGGTAGATCGGATGTATCGGGACGAAGCTGGCAACAGTGCCAAGCTTTTATTCAAAGCTTGGTAGAATAACAATGTAAAATGATCAAATCAGATGTTCGAGTGCGTAGTCATGGTCGTTCATTGGATCATTATGCGCTGATCCAAATAGATGAAACAAATCCAAAGGTGAGAAAAAAAAGGGAAGAATAATGGGAGTAGAGGGAGAGCTGAGAGCTGAGAGGTAAGACTCACAGGTACGTCACTGGATCCCGTCCCCGCCCAAACCAAATAAAGTAAGCTTCCGAATTTCTTGCTTCTCCTCACTTCTTCATCTTCACATATTTCAAAATTTTCAGTCAAAATGGTTCATCTAGCTACTGTGAGCAAGGACAATGAGGTCCGTCAGCCCCGTGCAGCCTTCGATACCATCGAAGCCCTGAATGACAATGTCTACGGATCGTCATTCAGCGTGGATCACATGTCCCAGCATGAGATGCCTGAGCATGAGATGCCTCGTCAGGTCGCTGCTCGCTTGATCAAGGATGAGCTGAGCCTGGATGGTAACCCCAAGCTCAAGTAGGTTTCCTTTGTTTTAATTGACGAGCTACTGCTAATCTACTACAAGCTTGGCCTCTTTCGTGACCACCTACATGGTATGATGAACCTAGTGACTTTAAATTGGTAAACAAAGAAACTGGCTAACGGATCCGTCGTATAGGAAGAGGAAATTGAGGAGATCATGACCGACTCCTTCAGCAAGAACTTCATCGATTACGAGGAGTACCCCCACTCCGCAGAGATCCAGAACCGCTGTGTCAACATGATCGCCCGTCTGTACAACTGCCCCACTGACCCTAAGGGTGATAATGCCATGGGTACCTCTACAATTGGCTCCTCCGAGGCGATCATGCTGGGCACGCTCGCTATGAAGAAGCGCTGGCAGAACAAGCGCAAGGCTGAGGGCAAGGACTACTCCCGGCCCAACATTGTCATGAGCAGTGCTGTTCAGGTTTGCTGGGAGAAGGCTGCTCGGGTAAGATTGAATGACGTCTGGGCTATTGTACGAGAGACCGTGAACTGACTTGACGATAGTACTTCGATGTCGAGGAGAAGTACGTCTACTGTACCAAAGACCGCTACGTTATCGACCCCAAGGCCGCCGTTGACTTGGTGGACGAGAACACCATTGGTATCTGTGCCATCATCGGAACTACCTACACCGGTGAGTACGAGGATGTCAAGGGCATCAACGACCTTCTCGTGGAGCGTGGCATTGACTGCCCCATCCACGTCGATGCTGCCAGCGGTGGCTTCGTCGCTCCCTTCGTCGTTCCGGAGCTGGAGTGGGACTTCCGTCTGGAGAAGGTTATCTCCATCAACGTCTCGGGTCACAAGTACGGCCTGGTCTACCCCGGTGTCGGTTGGGTCATCTGGCGCTCTCCCGAGTACCTGCCCAAGGAGCTTGTGTTCAACATCAACTACCTCGGTGCCGACCAGGCCAGTTTCACCCTGAACTTCTCCAAGGGAGCTGCTCAGGTCATTGGACAATACTACCAGCTGATTCGTCTGGGCAAGCACGGTTTCCGTGCCATCATGAACAACCTGACCCGGATTGCCGACTACATGAGCAGCGAGTTGCAAAAGATGGGCATGATCATAATGAGCCAGGGTAAGGGCACTGGTCTGCCCTTGGTGGCATTCCGTCTGCCTGAGAACAAGGATCGCGTATATGACGAGTTCGCTATTGCCCATCAGCTCCGTGAGCGTGGCTGGATCGTTCCCGCCTATACCATGGCTCCTCACAGTGAGAAGTTGAAGCTCATGCGCGTTGTCGTCCGCGAGGACTTCAGCATGAACCGCTGCGACAGCCTCTTGATTGATATTAAGTTGGCTATCCAGACCCTTGAGGACATGGATCAGGCCATGATGAGCAAGTACAAGGCGTAAGTTCCGAATTGGTTCTCTCTCTTATCTCTACCTCACTAACACCCCTCTAGACACATGGTGAGCCACCGTGCTCACCCGCGCCACAAGAAGACTCACCAGGCTTACCATGATGAGAAGCACTCGCTTCAGGGTAAGGACGGCAAATCACACATTGTGTGCTAAGTTTTCCAGTCGTCTGAATTTTGGTATCTTTTCTACTGCAAATGTTTCAATTTGACTGTGACTGCTGGGATCAATTCAGTTTGTTCCGCAGTACAAAGGAATTTTCCGGCCCTGGAGGTTGTCGCTCACCACTGCATGTATTTTAACAAGAAATATCTACTGCCGATGAGTACCTTGGAAATCCGTAAGGAAACCTAGAATGTAAACAGATTCGTATCATTCGAATGATAAATCTCGCGATAAGACTATAGTGGGTCTCCGATAACGCTAAACCATATTAGGCCGGAGACATAATTTTGATGCGCAACATAATTCAAAGCAAACATTCAGACTCATGTTCATCCCCAATTCCAGCGATAATCGAACACGCTTGAAGCACAGTGAATATTACCATAACCACAACATCAAAAATACCGACCCAAAAGCCAGACAATCACCAGCAAATGGATCCCTCAATACCAGGTCTCGACTTGGCCTCCTTTCACCCAGAAACCATGCAAGCCTGGATTTACACCACCACAACAGGCGGGCTAGAAAAAAACCTCCACCTAGACGCATCCGCTCGCGTCCCACCCGCTCCCCGCGGCAACGAAGTCATAGTGAAAGTCCTCACAGCATCTCTAAACCCAGCAGATTACAAAGTGCCGGAACTAGGATTTCTCGTTCGCATGATGCTGATAGGCACGCCCGCAACGCCAGGTATGGATTTCTGCGGACGTATAGTCAGTACCGGACCACTTGCGAATCATCTTAAAGAGGGGACGCTTGTGTACGGGTTTGCGGGACGGCCGGTGCAGTTCGGGTCGTTGGCGGAGTATATGGCCGTTGGTGCTGATAAGATCTGTGTTGTTCCTGATGGTGTCAAGATTGATGAAGCTGCAGCTGTTGGTGCTACGGGGCTGACGGCTTATCAGAGTTTGGCGCATGTTATGGCTGGGGACAAAGTGTTGATAAATGGGGGATCTGGGGGGTGTGGAGTATTTGGTATTCAGATTGCGAAGGCGATGGGGTGTCATGTTACGACTACTTGCTCGACGAGGAATATGGAGTTGTGTTTGAGGCTTGGGGCGGATGCGGTGATTGATTATACGGCTGAGAAGGATTTAATTGGGAAGCTTGCAGGGAATATGTTTGATCATGTGGTTGATAATGTTGGACTTCCGTCTGATATGTACTACCAGTGTCATCGATTTTTGAAGGAAGAGGGGACTTTTGTGCAGATTGGGGCTGTGTCGATGATGACCTTTGTTAGTCGGATGTGTTGGCCGGCTTTTCTTGGTGGTGGGCAGAGAAAGTACATGCCTATTACGACGGAGACTGATCTGAAGCGGCTAGGGCAGCTGGGGGAGTGGATTGCGGAGGGGACGATCAAGGTTCAGCTGGATAGTGTGTTTGATTTTGGTGATGCAATTAAGGCATTTGAGAAGCTTCGATTGGGACGAGCGAGGGGGAAGATTGTGGTACATGTCAGTGATCCAGATGCGAGGAACATGGAGTCATTTGGAATCGGACTTTGATATGCATGAAGAAATAAACTTGATATGACTTGCCTATCCTTGAAAACCAGAAAGTACTACATATCCCTTACATGTACTCTAGATCTTCGGATTATTTCGATCTAAGGCAACTCGAATGTTTGTTTGTTGATGGCATGATCATGGTACATCTGGTCACTCTTTCGGCCCCCTACCTAACATTTGAACTTCATGCTGCTTTCTTTGTTCATTTCTATCTTCATTCCACCCCCTTGGCGCCTTTGACGGCGTTTATATATAGAAAGTTCTCTTCCCCGCCAATCATTTCCCGCCGATCCCTCTCCACCTGCCCTTTCTTCCCACCCCCTCATTGCGAAGAGGGTCATCGTGTTTTGCCATCAGATCAAGGATGCCCCTATTCAAGAAATCCAAGGCGCCCGCAAATCAGTCTGCTAGTCGTTTTCCCGCTCGCTCTGTTGAGCATCTGGTTAACCCCACGGCTCCACCGGACAGCTACGTGGACCACAGTTCAGATCACCGGACCTACGAGGATTCCTCTAAATCACAATCAACCCAACCCGACATAACTCAACCATCATTACGCCGTGCCCAGTCTCTACGTCAAAACCAACAACTACCAAAGCAAAAGCCACGCGCCCTTATCCCGGAAGACTCCCAACGTCGCATAGGCCTGTTTGGGCGGCCAAACTCCGGCCTTATTGATCGCAATTCCTCCTCCATCAAAGGGATCAGACAGGTCTCACAACCCCTCTCCCAGCCAAGCTCACCACGACACGCCGAACACCAGAACATCTACAAAGACGAATCACCAACAGATCCGCCCACTTACGAACCGCGGTCGACATCTCTAGCGTACCAACATCAACACCTTCAACACTCCCAGCGATCCCTCCACCAATCCCACCCCTCCGTCGGTAGCGATATCCAGGAGTGGTCGCAGCAGCCCGTGGAATCACAACAGGGTCAGCTACTCATTCCCCCAGGGCTCGAACGCTCCGGCACCGACCCCACGCTGGTCCAGCAGTACGGCCGACCGTCACCAACCGAGCGCACCCCGGATTCTCCTCGCTACCTCCCCGAACACGGCCATCGGGGCTCGACGTTGTCTCGCCCAGAGCACGATCTGGTATTAAATACTTCCCGGCCCCCTTCCCGACAGACTTACGAGTCTCTCTCCCCAAGTCGTCACCAGAACCCTGACGCCATGCAACAGGCCTCCGCGCAGGCGACACCAGGCCAGACCGATCGATCGGGGCAAGAGCGTAGAGGGAGTACCGCCCAGAATATGCCGGCGGAAATTAGCCGGAACACCCCATCTGGGCCACGACGAGATGATCTAGAGAACTTGGATGTTCGGGCATTAATTCAAAAGCATGATGAACTACGTAATTTTCCCGTCATCGAGTTTCGGAAGGTTACTAACAGATTGCAGAGAGCAAATATTCCAAGGTCAAGCGTTACTATTTTGAGAAAGAGGCACAGGTGCAGCATCTCCAGAACACGGTCGCACACCAACGAATGGCCGTTTCTCGTACGGTGCTCGATGATAATGAATATACAAACCGATTCCAGCGACTCGACGGGGCCATCAAGGACCTGGCGTTTTCCGTTCGCAAGGACTGGCGGGTCGTTCCCCAATGGCTGCATGGGCTGGTAACGGACGACGCGGTGACGGTGGGAACAAAGGAAATGATGGCGCTGGGACGTGCAGTCGTTAGTCGCTGGTTGATGAAGGAGGTATTTGAACAGCACTTCCATCCGGGGCTGGAACCTGGTCTGAGTATGCAATTGAAGAAGATCGAGATGAATCTCCGTCGACAGCAGATGCGACCAGTGACCGACGAGGACCGTGAAAACGCCATTGCCAAACTCTCCAACTGGCGTCGCACCACCTTCGACGGACTTGGTGATCTACTGGCAGACTCCACCGCCCAAGACCACCGTGCTGAGCTGATCGAGCATTTAACCGTGGAGCTGGCCACCTTTCTCAGCACACAGCTGCAAGACCAGGCGCTTCCAGGACTGGAGGCCGGTGTGCGAATGATCATCGAAAACACAATCAACATCATCGAAAAGATCCCATTGGAAGCCCGTGATGTCTGCGTTGAGTACTTCCCACCCAACATCACCTTCCACGACAACTACATGAAAGTGGAAGGTCAACTACCACCACTCACGCAACAACCCCCTCCCCCAGCAGACCAAGAAGTGGACGACGACGGCGACTCCTCGCCCGCCTCAACCTCCACCGGAACTAATGCCGACGGAACATGCCCGGCCCCACGCGAACCTAGAAGACGATCCGTCTTCGGCGCCTTAATGGGCCGTCGACCCGCCAACGACCCACCCTCTCGCCCAGCGGGAGACAAGGCAGAACAAGCCGAGCCCTCGCGCATCCGCTTCGCCTCATTCCTCACCGTCGAAGTACGCGGCAAGGGACCCGCTACAGTCCTGATTAAAGCCCCCGTATGGCTGATCGAGTAATGCAGCGAGTTACGTACATGACCGAGCGTTGTATATAATTACAAATGCCAGTGGCATTGATGACCATGATTGATGCATGATATCCCATCGAGTTTCGTTTTGGCGGTTGTTTGATCTGGGCATGAAGTCTCTTTTAAATTTAGCCTCATTTTGCCTCTTGATCCGGATTTTTTGCCGGCAATTTTCCATAACATAGGGATGATCTGAATAGAGGATTTCTAGACAAAGTTCAGTGTTATGACATGTTCTCTAGCGTACAAGAAAGAGACAAACCCCTAGCTTCGTCTTCAGCTTGTAAACTACTAGTAACGAATTATTTAAAAGCCAGGACCCCGCTCAATATTGGATAGCCTGTTTCGCTATTGAAGTTGTATAGTACTATTGATATGCCAAGTAGATTGTGGGTCAAGCTGCACATTGGAAGTTGCGGTGTCCTAGCAGGAATGACATCACCAATACGCTGCTACTGGATAGTGATACTAGATCGAGCATCGACTACGGATCATCCCGTTGACTGTATACTTTGTGAACTTAATCCTCACGGGATTGTACTACTTGAATAGGTACTCTGTGCACACTTGACAGAATAATATCAGCAAGATCCAAATGCTCTACCCAGATACCAACGTAGTACAGTACTTGTTCTACATCAAGTCCTTATCTTCTTGATCCTATTCACAATTTTGATTCACTGCCTTGCCAGGTCAAGATACTACTTACAGGAATTCCATAGTTCTTACCACGGTACAACATTCAAATATCGAAACCTTGTTATAGATCAAAAAATCATTATAAAAATCATATATTCAAATTTCCAGTCTGGTCGTATCTACCCAAGGCACCAACATTATGAATACCAGACACAAACCCAGGATAAAAACAATATATACACGTGCCAGAACCAAACCTACAGGCTTTTAAACAAGCGACAGCAGATGCAAATTGTCCAGAGAATCAGATGAATTGACAGAAACGAAAATAGTTCCCGGGTATAGCGCCTCGCTGATGAAATGAAAACAAACTCCCCAAATAAAGGCCAAGTAGATCAGAGAAATTTCAGATGCTGAAGGGCAGATGGAAAAAATCGCAAATCGCACGCAAATCGCAAATACAATCGCAAATCAATCGCAATCATGCTGGGATGGAAAGTATGTTCAAAGCCAGTTCAAACGGTAAGACCATTCTCGTTGGCTGCCTGTTGCAGAACGCGTGGCCAGCGCGAGATAAGCTCGACGTCATCCAGGATACCCTTACCCTGGTTACGCACATATTGAGTTTTAGGGTCGACACGATGTTCCCAGTCCCAACTCTGAATCTTGCCCTGGACCAAAGCGGAGTAGACCAGACGGCGACGGCGCTGCGAAGTCAGGACATCCTGGCGGACCTTCTCCAGGTCCCAGCGTGTGTGGATTTCTTCGTGGAAGTAGGCCAGTAGGGTAGCGGGGTCGGAGGTTTCTGGTAGAGCCTGGAACTTGGCTGGGCTGGGGGTGCGTGGGGGTGTCGGGGTGGGGAAGGGGTAGGCGTTGGCGTTTCCAGCTCGCTGAGGGATGGGGGACACGCGAGGAGTCTCGCCTGGAGTTGGCAGGGGTGCTGGCACGGCTAGGGGGTTGTTGGATTTAACTGGGAGGGCGCGGGTGATCGAGGGGATGGGTAGACCAGCAGCCAGGTTGATCTTCTCCTCCGGATCGGCGGCCACATCGAAAAGCATGGGCGCGTCGATGGTGGAATAGATGAACTTCCAGCGGCCACGACGGATCATGATCAGAGGAGCCTGGGTGCCTTCACCCATGTACTCGCCATACACGGTGTCGGTACGAGGGCCCTCGCCGCCAGTCAAGTATGGCATCAGGGAAACACCGTCAAGGGGCAATTCCTTGATAAGAGGTGCACCGACTAAATCGGCGAATGTAGGGAGCAGGTCCATGGTCGACACGTTCTGCGGGATGCGCTTGGGCTCGAACAGCTTTGGGGCGTAGAACAGCATTGGTACGCGGGCCGAATTTTCGAACCAAGTCATCTTGTACCATAGACCGCGCTCGCCAAGCATGTCACCGTGGTCACCAGTGAAACAGATAATAGTGTTCTCATCCAGCCCAGTGTTCTCCAGAACCTTCAGCAGTTTGCCAATCTGGGTGTCAACGTATGTGCAGGCAGCATAGTAGGAGCGGCGAGCGGCGCGAATGCGGTCGTCCGGCATCTTCTTGCCCCAAAGGTCAATACACTTCAGCACACGCTGGGAGTGGGCATCCTGCTGCTCGTCGGGGATGGCCCCGTTCTTAGGAAGGGGAATTTCGACATCCTCGTACAAGTCCCAGAACTCCTTGGTCATGGCATATGGGTCGTGGGGGTGTGTCATTGACACCGTCAGACAGAAGGGCTGGTCAGTGCGCTGGCGCACGTGGTCATACAAGTACTGCTGCGACTTGTAGATCACCTCCTCGTCAAAGTCCAATTGGTTTGTGCGCACGACCGGGCCAGCGTCCATCACGGAAGCCATGTTGTGGTAGTAGTCCTGGCGGATTTCCTGGGAATTGTTAGTCTGCACTCTAACCACCACGATAATTTTACAATCACTCACCGGCTCATCCCAGTTGACAGACCAGCCGTAATCACCAGGGTAGATATCGCTTGTCAGACGCTGCTCATAACCGTGCAGCTGGTCCGGGCCACAAAAGTGCATCTTTCCAGCCAGGGCCGTGTGGTAACCCTCTCGTCGCAAGTAGTGGGCGTAAGTCGGGGTATCCGCTGGCAGATCGGCAGCATTGTCGTAGGCACCAATCCTCGAGGGCAGCTGGCCGCTAACCATAACGTAGCGAGACGGGGCGCACAGCGGTGAATTACAGTAGGCCGAGTCAAATGTCACACCACCTGCCGACAGACGGTCCAAGTTTGGTGTTTTGATGGGCGAGTTCTTATCATGCAAAGATAACAAGGGCGCGGCCATCTGGTCGGCCATGATGTAAAGGATGTTAGGCTTCTTCTGCCCCATGATGAAAGATGCTAGTTCACTATGGTGGTAGATAGCAGAACGAAGGTTTGGTAGAAGATGGGTTAAAGAAAAAAAAGGAAGCAGAACCAAGGTTGGGAAAGATGGGATTCATATAAGTTTCCAGAACTGGCACATGTGGGGAATCAGAACAGACGGACAAAAACTTTTTTTTTTGCCTTTTACCATGATTGATAAGAAGGCCCGAGCATTAATTCCATTACAATGACCAAGCGAACGGATTAGCAGTCAATACAATCGCGCTTGTAAGCACAATACATTGCCCACGGGGTTATACATCCCAAACCCACAAACCCGCAACCCACTGGGGGGCCGGTCCACTAGAGTCACCGCACAGCCAGACCGCCACAGAATAGCACGAATAGCACAAGCAAAAGGTCCAGATCTTCCCCAATAAGTCCACAGTAGCGGCTGTACTACTGCATGGAAGATCAGGGGAATGATCCGGCACTGACGTACACTGTGGAAGGCGAGATGAAGGTGCAAGAATCGCAATCGATGGTGTGATGACTCCACTCCGTCTGTGCCGGACGGTATGGATCACGAATTGTGGATCAACGACGGTATTGTATTGTATGACTTCGTAATCGTATTTGATTTTGGACTGGGTCATGTGGCTCCTTTCCTCTTCTACAGGAATCGGTGCCCAGCTCGAGAAGGCGAGTCCTGTCCAGTCACATTTGAGTCAGGGAAGTTGAAGTACCGGGAAACTTTGCCACCAGTGTAACAAAGCCGATACGGCCCGGTGATTTGTAACATTCCGGAATCCATCCACTCCGTCTTAACATAAAGCCATAAATTCCACTCGACGACAGCAGTCCCTATCGGAATCCCCTTGTTTTTTCACCGAGTCCACTCGACCCCGGAGTGGACAGCAAGCTTCGAACGCTACCGACATACCCTTGTAACTAACGCGGACGATCTCAGACAATCAAAAGCAAAAAAAAAGTCTGGGATCCACCGGAACTTTTGTCAGCCAATCATCACCAAGTTGATGCCCCTGGTATTACCGAACTCAGTTAGCATAGATGCTTAGAGGCAGGAACCCCACTTGCTTATCTTGAGAACCAATAAAAATCAAACTGAAAACAACAGCTGGATGAGAAGCGAAGAACTGAAGGACCGGGGAAGGCGGAAGGGGGACAACAAGCGGTGTACTAACTGCAGAACATGGACATGACCTCGCGTTCATTGTATTTACAAACGTCAAACCCCCTGAAAGGATCAGCATTTTCTCCAAGTTTCATCCATGAGCAATCCCCCTTTTCAATCACGTCATGTGGCCAAATCCACGAATCGAACAATCCCCGGATTCAGCCCAAGTTGGTCACCGCCAGTTTGGCGGCTCCTCCGGTAAAGGCGGGCATGTAGTCTCCACTTAAGACACGTTTACTCTTGGGACCGAATCACCCGATATAGAATCGTGCAAATCAAAAGACCCATGACGGTAGGCCGGTGGCATACATATCAGGTTTCTGATAAGGCACTTGCGGCTTTCGAAACAAACTGGAGATGATCGAACATCGGTCACAGGCTGTGGTGAATCTTCGGAGCATTTAATATGCCACGAATGCCGGGCGCTATGCGATGCTGAGGATGATCCGGGTATAGTGGGTTTAATACTAGATTGCTCACCTGAAATAAGCAATGTTCTGCCATTCTCCTCTCGAGATTCTTTACTACTGTAATAGTCAGATAGTCGAATAGCCCTCCAATATTCCGACTAAACTTAAAGAAAGAGAAAGTGGAAAGAGAACGGCTAAGGATCTTGAACTCCAGAAAGTCCATGTACCCAATTGAGGTGAAGACTACTCCGTAGATGAGACGTTGATCGTAGGAATTGGGACACCAATGTTGCACCGGAACAGCTACAAATTGAACCCGAGGATTTTGCAGCATAATGCTGACTTATTTTTGTATTTTTTGTTGAGAAATAATCTGATTAATCGTGGTCCATGGATCTCATCCCATAATTAACCAGCTAACATGTGCGTCAGTCACTGTCGGGGCTCCAGTCCTTTTTTTGTGTTTTTTGTTGAAATTGATCTGATAGCCCATGGATCTCATCCCATAATGAATCCAGCTAAAATATGCATCACAGTCACTTTCGGGTCTCCGGTCCTTTTTTGTGTTTTTTATTGAGAAGTTATCTGATCAGCCTTTGTCCATGAATCTCATCCCATATTAATCCCAGTCAGAAGTATCCCAGTCAGGTGTAGTTTGGGGAATCACGACGTTCTCTGACGACCAATCCCCGTCATCCAACGGCTCCTGCATGACTGGACGAGCCGGCCCAATCATCCTTTCCGTTGGCAAGTTTTTGGCGTACCAAAAAACGAGATTGCGAATTGCCATCGCATCCTCGAGGCTGTCGTAGCGCCATTGACTCACCTGGATATCGCGGTTCAAGTGCTTCTTGGCGAGGTGCTTGAGTGTACGGTTCTGATCCGGGTTTGGGAGACGGGTCTCAAGCTCACTGGTGTCGATGATTCGATCATGAGACAACCGAAGGGCAACCAAATCGGACTGTCCATGGTGGCAGACGAGAAAGGCGTCCTTGTGCAAGGAATCCCAGAGCAGAGCGCGAGCCGAGTCGCGGCCATCTAAGGTTCGACGGTCCTCATGCGCTTTGTTCAGCATGGCCCAGGAAATGCAGCTGTTTTTGGTATCAAGATTTCGCATAGGATGCTTAGGCCATACCAAGTGGTCAAGGACGATGCGCCCATTGAAGAGGTCAACGGCGCTGATCCGAATCAACTCCTTCTCACCCCAGTGGTTGATGCCAGTCTTGCAGCTGAGCACGACACCTTTCATAACACTGGGAATGCACCAGACATCTGGAGTGGCGTGCAAGAGCCATTCATTGCTGAGGAAGTCTTGATGACCAGTTCTGATCTTCCACTCCTGCCACCATTCATGAGATTGAGTCACATAGACATTGTGGACAATGTATCCCATCCACTGAGCATGATCTAGCTTCAAAACGCATCCCTTTGAATTCGAGTCTTTCTCGCAGCAGGTACAGATCTACTGACTATTAGTGTATTTCAAATCAATCAAAGACGTTTCACTGACATCACCGTGAATGTTGCCGGGATGGTACAGGCAAAGTGGAGCCTCGTTAGGTTGACACTTTGTTCCCATCTGGACCACATGAGCCTTCTCCTCCTCGGTACATGGGAGGTACCACAAGGAAAGATTTCCATTTGGAGTAGTAATAACCTTACGCATGAACGTTCCATGCTCGTTGGTAATGGTTTGGGTGTCATTTTCGGCTCCAGGAGCAGGATCCGGGCCCTTGCCATCCTCATCTTCGGCCACAATGACAACCTGAGGACCCTTTGCCGTAGGCTTTGATACTCTTTCCAGCCATTTCAGCTCTTGAAAGGTCCGTTTTCTGACTCTCCCAAAGTCTTTCTTGAGAACTGTGATTGATATCAGTAAATCAACCTATAACACAGTGAGAGGAAGGAATGAAAAACATACCTAAACAGCGAGGGCAGCGGATCTTGTTCTTAGTGAGCCAATTATCAAACAAGTGGCTCTCATAGTGGTGAATCTTTTTCAAGGATATTGGATCCAAGCTGAGGCCCCACATAAGATCATCCATTTCTTGGGTGTCTTCGATTTTCTCTAGGACACGAGGAACACGTTGGCTGTTGAATAATGGATGATCCTGCTTCTCGGGGGAGATATTCATGATTAGCAGGATGAATCGCCAGAAGACGACTTGGAAATTGGAGGAAAGTCTAAGACGTTTGAAGAGATCCAACGTATTGCGAAAAATCACTCAATTTGAGATCGAATTGTCGAGATTACTCCCTGATAGGATCAGGACGGGTCAATCTCCAACTGAAATCATCACGATGTGACAACGTCACGCCTCAGCGGACATTGGACAGGACCAGGGAAAGACTTACAGGTCAGAGCTGATGCTTTTGAACAAGAAGTGCAAGCAATAAGCCGGATTGGGAAGGGTTGGAGAAGGAGGTTTGAGAAAGAAGCGTCGTGGGAACAAGGTGCGGAAAGAAGTAGAAAGAAACGGATCAAGTACGTGACAGTGATAGGTGAAGGAGAAGGGTGAAACAGAGTGAAGACGAGTGCAGAAGGTCAGAGTAGCTGAAAGAGATCGTCACATGGAAAGCGTTGGCTGAAGTTACGCGGGTTATTCGAGTATCAAACGAAAAGAAACGAAAGGAGAAGTCATATTGAGGAAGTTAAGAGTACACAAATGGCGCCTGGGCGATGACCCATCAATATGCAAATGGATTCACCGACTAACAGCATAGTCTCACTCGCTTTGACTCGAGTTCAATAGACAAAGATAGGAAAATTATGAAAGGAGAGGTAGAAAGATCAACGATATCTTCCTGCGTATGCTAAGAATCAAAAGATGCACAAGCAGTATACGCCGTGGTGGTCAATTGGATCACCAATGCTTATCAAACAGATTACTTCGTTAGGCATGACTGATTTCCAGTGTATTTGTGGAGAGTTTTAGTCAACCTTGATCGCGCTATAGACACGGCGGACAAAGGCGTATGCAGCCAGGAACCCGACAGTTCCAGTCAGCAGGAAATACACTGTACAGGCGAGGAAGCTGTAGCTGAAGAACAGCAGAGTGGACACAAATCCAGTGACATGCAGCTTGAACATGTAGTACCAGATGCAATAGGCGAATATCCAAAAGGCACTGCTGCCGCCTGTGAGGAAGCTCTGCCACCACCAGTGGTAGTTCTTTTAAGGCGGTGAGTTAGCGAGAGTTGTATATTCGGGCAGAATCTGGGACTTACCTCGGAGCAGAGTTGATTATATGTTGCAATGACAGTCACTTCAATGACAGTGACTATAAGCACTGCAGATACCGCACTCAGAAAGCCAAACACATAGTAGTAGCCACTCTTATCCTGCCACAAATTCTTGAATACAAATAGCAGCTCAATGAAGAGGACAGCAAATGGGATCAGTCCGGTCAACATCGGGCCAGCAGGGCCACTCAAGTACCATGGCTGGGGCGGGACTTGGCGAGGGATGGCATTGGTCTTCAGAGGGTGCTCCCAGGGCTTCGCTCGCACATATCCAACCCAGCTACCAAGGTAGACAAGAGGAACTTGAATGAGCAGCCAAAGGGCCAGCAAGCCAATCAAGGTGCCGAATGGAATCGCTGTGCTGGAAGCCTGGGTCCAGACGAACAAGTTCAAGATCAGGATAAGGAAAAAGGTCAGTCCGGGGAAAAGCAACGCCGTCTGGAAAGAAGTCAGTTCAATATTCATGTAACATCACGGTTAGATCACCCACAATCAAGGTATTCTTTCGCCATGCAGTTCCACTGAAGGTCTTATAAAGCCTCCCGGAGAAATAACCTGAGAACAAGCCGGCAAACACAAACAGACCCATGCCGACGCTGACGAAACCACCGCGGAAACTGGGATTCAAGATTCCCAGGCAGCTCAATAAAAGCAAGCCAGTTGCCATGAACAACAACTGCATACCAGATCCAACCAGGGGCGCCAAAAGGCCACTGTAGGCTGGGATTCGGAAAACATCGCCGTGAAGAAGCTTCCAGCCGCTGGTGTCCTCGGCAGGTTCGTCGTCAGAGGACATGTCCGCATCGTTTTCGACGTCAGCATTGTCCAGTAGCCCTTCCTTTTTCTCTCTCGAACGCCTACGAGGACCTTTGGGCTTCTCCATGGCTCCATCGCCACGGCCCTTGATGTCGCCTTGAACGGTGCGACTCCAGATCACGAACACAGTCGCACCGAGTACAGTGGAGATAATCAAGGAGTTAACAATCGCCAACCAGTGGGTCATTGAGCCTTCCTCCTGGTTAGTGAAGTATAAATCCCAACGGTTGGCCCAATCGATTGTCGGCTCCTCGCGAAAGTAAACCGAATAGGTGTATGGGATGCTCAAGGTAGACCCATCATCATCGTCATCATCATCCTCGGGGATGTAGGAGAGGCCAGCGTATTTCTCCGTCAACTTTGATTTGTCTGGAGCAATGTACAGACCCAGTCCTTCATGCTCCTTGTGGATGTCCTTCGGACAAACTCCTTCCTTGCGGTCTGCTGCAGTAACACTCTTTGGATACACCTCGAATCCGTTAATCACCTTGCCTCCCTCCGGTGCACTCCGCCAGCGGATGACGATTGTAAAGTGGTTATTGATGAAATAGCGGGATCGACCGGTGGACGGGGAGATATCACGGTATCCCAGCTTGAACCCGGAGGCGTAGTATTTGCGGCTTCGGTCGACGGTCACAAAACTAGTTGCGCCAGGCAGATTGTCCACAATCCACTCGATCACATAGTTGTCCTTGATGAGGTTGCGAGCCCACTTAATATTGGAGCGACTAATCTCACGAGTGCAAAGTGTCTCGCATTCCACATCCTTGCCCATGGTGAGCTCAAAATCAGAGGTCATGATGCGATCACCGCGCAACACTTCACCCAGGTTCAGCGAAATGCTCTGGCCGGATCCAAAGGGTGAACCGCCATGTGACTTGCCACTTGGGGGACAGACGAAGGGGAGATCGAAATAGGCATACTGGAGTTGCGTGTGGTCGGAGAAGATCTTATTGACAAGCAGTGGGATTGGATCATTGTCATTGTACCGAGTAACTGAGTATCCTATGGAAAAAGCGCAAGGTCAGCACCGCGAATCCCTGCTATGTCCAGGAAGCTTACCAGGGATATAAAAAGCAGAGGCACAGGATACAACCGATAGCACCAGCAGCCAGACACCAAGGCTTGATACCCTGGAAGTCACCATGTTGATTGTGACGTTGCTATTCCTTGCTACCTAAGCAATGCGCAGCTCCTTGCCCTGCACTTCGGCCGAGCACGAGTTTGGAAGTGATCGCACGTCAGGAGCGCAGATCACAACGGCTGATCGGAGCGGATCCCTCGATCTTCGCCTAGCAAAAAGCGAATAAAGATTTAGTTGTGAAGTCACCTCCGGATGGTATATATGAGATTGCCAAGGAGGCGGGAGATGCTCGTTAGAGTGACGCTTGGCGGGCGCTTTCGTCTCGATTTTATCGGATCAAAACGACAAAATAACTGACGGGATTGTGAAGAGTCAAAAAATTATAACGAGTGTAATTGGCACCGAATGCCGCAGGTGCCAGCACAATGGATACCTAGTGCTCGTCCGGAGAAGTCGAAAGGAGAGTAGCTCCGGAGATGACTTAGTTTATCCAGCGTGTCAAAAACATCGGATTATCTATTAGACCGGTAGTGAACCCTTAAAGTTTCAAGTAACCAAAGCAGAATGATAAGGTAAATTGCTTAGAATGTGTAGAGAGTGAAGTAAGCTAGATATGAAGGTCTTGATTGTATATGTACATATATATATGCATTAGTGTTAAACCTTCCAAGGTTGGAAAGACCTGACGCATGCAGCCGGAATATGTCTATAATATACAGGGAGGATCCACCATATACTCGAGGTCCCCGATAAGTATCCACTTCTACCAGTTTAAAACCTTCAAATGTACAAACATCCAGACATCGATTCAATATGGATGTTTGAATGTTCCACATGTGCAAAGTTGTATCTCGATAATTTATTCGGCTAGGTACGTATGTACCGGATTTCTGCTCCCACTTCTTGACTTTCCTCTTCCGGATTAGTGCTCAGTCCTCGCCGCTTTTTGCTCACTGAGTAAAACTGAGCACGCCCCTGAGCGCCCTCATCCGATCAGTGAGCATTACATAAGCGCACTGATCTGCTCACTGAGCATCTCCTGATACTCACCTGAGCGGTCTGATCCACTCACTGATCCTAATCTGAGCGCCCTGATTTGCTCACTGAGTCTGAGCTGAGCCTAGGGGTGAGCGGCCTGAGTAAGCTACATCGATAAAATGCAACACACTAGCACTATCACGTGCAGCCCTCCTGTTTAGATTGCCCCCATCGTCCCCATCACAAAAGGCCTGGCATCAGCAATGTAGCTATATATCCTGGTGATCTGGCTACACTTAATTGCGCCACGATGGAGTCTGCTATTTGATCACCTAATTAGCATTACTATTATATGCTATACGCTCTTAGGAATACTTCGTCTACTGGTCCTATTATCTCCTTTGGGACTACTGGTGCTAGGAAATGTGGATGAGTCTGCTTGCAGATTTGTAATTTGCTATAGTATGGAGTCATTACCGGATAAATATCCTATAGAGTGATGGTAAGTCACTCCTCTTGCTAATAAGCTCATACTTCTATGGGTAATTGTCATCTCCAATGTTAATTAGATATGCTTAGTACTAGCTAGTACATCAATTCCTCATCCTGTCATGTTCGACCAACTATAGTGACTAGACAAAAGTGTTCCACCCCCTCCACCCCCCCCCCCCCCCCCCCCCCAAGACGCCTTTTCCACCGCCTACTGTGCCTATCCAAATCGCGTATTTAAATCCTGCTTCACCATTTAAAATATCTCTGAGAGCCCCGAATGCAAGCAATTACTCGATATAATGGGTTGCATAGGTCTTAATATGCAGTGGTGTATACTGACTCTTTTAGTTTCAAAAAGGGTTTTGACTGGCAGAATACTATAATCAAATGGGGTGTTAACACTTTTGTCTGGTCACTGTACATCATTACGCCATCCTACACTGACTTAGGTTTTTTCAGCTTTTCATGAATTTGTACTTCATGGCTACATTATGGGGTAGGTTAATCTCGAGCTAGTAAACAGACCAATACAGTACAGTGACTAGCAAATTTTAATTCTTCTTTGTTGACTACTTTTCGTTTCCGTGAACCCACTACTAAAGCCTTAGCACAGATGTTATATGAAATATACCACGCTTAGTTAAGGGCCACAGTAATATACTCCGAAACTAATATAGAGACTATCATTATTTACTGAATAATGTTCACAGAATTAGATCTAACTTTACCAAAAGAGAAACAGTACCTTCTCTAAGATCCTAAATGTTCAAAAGTTGAACATGAAGTTACTCTATAATTCTTCAATAGTTAGACCTGCGTGTCGAAAATGGCCTCTAGCGCTCTCTGCTTTTGCACCAACCACTTTAATGCACCACTGCAGAAATGCATCAAATCCCTAGTCAGGAACTTGCTCGTAGTAGCCCCATTTACGTTTAATAAAGCTTTTGAGCTCAGCAAAGAACTCTTCTATTGGGTTTTTTAAGGTCCGGCGAATAGGGTAGCAGGTGAACCAGTTTCACCCTAGCATCGCCACACTTCTGTGCAAGCCGCTCTGAAGGGTGAAATGATGCGTTATCCATTGCCAAGACAGATCTGTGCTCGGGCCACCTTCCGCAATGCTCAAGAAGTTAGGCGATAAAGTCCTCGAACACGGCCGCATCCGTTGAACTGTGAAACACGCGAGAGAGAATAATCCTATCCTAGGCATACGCTGGTAGTATCTAGTAGCGTTGATCGTGGTGAAACTACGAAACTTACAGAGGAGCCTTCCTAAGAGGTGACCATCCTATCCGTCTAAACCTACCCGCTTATCACACCCGGATTCATCCACGTATACCAAGTGATAGGAATAAAAGTCCGATATATTGTGCAAATATAATTCTCGCAAATCGGCGTCCTGCTCCCTGGCTCTCTATCGGGCGACTTTATTAGACCATCCTTTGGAGGTGAGTGCCCTCCGGATGCTAGAAGTGGTCACTGGGGGTCCCGCGGAAAGAAAGGCAGTCTTCTGGGAGGAAGCAAATTCACTAGTGGCTATAGTCGGGTCTATTTTACACATGTAGATCTGTACGATCCCTGGATTCGGGGCGGCTTATCGGTAGATGGCCCCTTTTTCTGTCAGCATGCCTTGGAGGCGGCTTGATGGAGTCGGATTCCCTCGTTTTGCGGAGCGAGTGCCTTGAGCAGTAGTAAATAGTGACTGGCTGACTGTTAAGCCAACCTGAATGGAACTATTTCTCGGCAGTGTTGGAGGTCGCACGGCGTGGCAGTCTCACCTCTAGCGGCAGCTATTTGCGCCCTCAAGTCTGAATGGACCTGTCCTCCGGTTGGGTATGGCCGACCGATAGTCCTCAACGACTCTCAGTAAACCAACGTTACGGAATACTGACTCGTGTTGACCCTTTCTAACTCAAATTCATGCTCGGGGGTCCGAAACAGGCTCCAGATCTCACCACGCCTATATCCACGCCATACTGTAATTTGTTGAAGCACTGCGAGATCAAAGAGGACGAAAAGGATAGGGAATTATATACTTTTATCTATAAGAAGACCTTAGGCTATATTTCTAGTATTTATTAGCTCCTTCATCACCTAACTTTGCTTTCTTATAGATTCATCTATATCCGATCCTCCGAAGTAGCCTTCAAAGAGAAAATAGGTATCCTTAGACGCCGAAGATACGTCTTATGCGATGCCAGCGGAGTATATAGAGAGCCCACCCATAGTGACTAAGACGAAGGTACGTATTTTCCTCTTCTCATACACTACGGCTCTAACCGATGATCTAGACAGTGAAGGTCGCGATAACCCACTCTCTTCCAGAAGAGATAAAACAGATTCTCCATAAGATTCTATAGGCTAAATCCACAGCTATCGACCACCTTAAACTCTATCTTTATCTATAGGAGGGCTACATGAATAACTCGGCTAATAAGATTCGTCTATAGGCTAACCACCGCTTGCTCTAAGACTCAAATAACCGGCTAAAGCACAAGAATAGAGAGCGTCAACAGATATGCGATAGCCGCAAGCTACTGCTGTAGGATCGGCGACAGGCGTATCTAGCTATATACCAGGGTATTATTAAACTTTTACAGACTAGTGAGCGACCATACCTAGAAGTGGAGTTATCCTAAGCTTTGCTCCCGAATGGGTTACTTCACCTTATTTGGCTATTAGAATATACAAATTCAGAAGCGCGGTATTACTGGATTAGATTGACCCTCATACAGGGGGAAGGAACGATTCAACACAGAGCGGGTAGGCCCGCTGCTCCAGATTACCAAGAGAAATAAGTGCTGCCTCACTACAGTCCATCATATTGAGTACCCAGACGACGGTTTCATGGCCCTCCGCGCTTTTCTCGTTACTTGAAGTGTACTGCAGATTGTTCAACTGAATAAATGAGTACTTATAACGCTTATCGGGTCCTAATAACTACTGTCTTATTCTTTTTTTATTACTTACTGATAGTGATTTTCAAGTATCTGTGGTATTATATACGAAGATCGAATAAATCGAATATCAGTATTATTATAACGCCAAAGTTTACATCGCTGAACCTCTATATATATATTCTTATTCGCTATTGCGCACTAAATCAATAATGTTCTCTAAGCGCCCTAAAGTGACTAGATAATATATCAGAAGGACCTAGGGTTAAGGAAAAGTTAATACTGATTAGTTCTTCGGACTACTAATAGCAAAGAAAAGCAGATTTAGAAGAGTGTAAGATTTAACGTAATAAGTATACAATAATTTAAAAAGGAAATGGTTAAAGCAGCTTCATCACTAGATAATCTTCGAGTAATTGAATAGTTCATCTAGGTAAGATTTATAGATCGGGATTTCCTTAGTATTCTTTAGTAAGATAGTGGATTGCCTCTTGATCTATCTCCTGAATCTATATCTCCTATATTGACTAAGATATCTCATTAAAGGTCCCTAAGCGAAGCGTGGTAATTATACAGGAAAGAGTGGCTTGAAAACTTAATAGCTTAGCAATATAAGCCTTAGATCTACGATTACCACATAGATTATAGATATAGTCGTATTCTTTAGTAATACATCTTACATAGGGTATCGTTCTAGAGTACTATATTAGGTATATTAGCAGCGCCGCGCCAAGTTTCGTGATAAGACTTCTGACCTTAGCCCTCTTTTTCTAGCATTCTGTGTAGGCAAGAGAAACGTTACATCGCTGTTTAATTGATAAGCCTAACTTAAGAGTTAAAATAATGGATCCTTTAATCGCTGGCCGGAGCTTACGCAGAGAGCTGTTCTTCGGCATTGAGATGGTAGGTCAAGAATATCGCTTTGTGAAGTCCGGGGGAAAAAGGATATCACCTACGAGAGAGAAAGCTTAGTAAGATAATTAAGGATTTTAGAATCATAGGGGCAATTTCCAGGTTTTAGTCTTAGATTTCCACCTATATCCGCAGTTCTTTGTTTGCTACGCATAGAATCATTCATAGTAAATAAAGAAACTGGTAAGATGACCTACTTTCGGCTTCCAAGCCGTATTCTGATTAGAAGAGAGCGCTGCCGCCTCCCCTAAAATTGGCTGGGTTCTTAATTATGCTGGTTTATTCAGACATGACTATAGTCATGCGGACTTTGAGTTAGACCTATGAAGAAAAATTGCACAGCGGAAGATTTTCAAATTCATTACTTACCAAGGCAGTAGTGAAAAGTGTGCTAGAAATAGGTTGACAGATCTTGATAAGGCGGTCGATCTAGGGTGGGAACCTGTCGAAGTTCTCCCACAGTGGGGTCCAAGAATGAAAAGCTGAAGGATCCGCGAGGTTTATGAATTCAGGGGAATTTATTAAGTTTTTACTTATTCTCTTTTCATTTCCTATTTCCTTACTCTTGGTTATTTTTGTTTGGGGGATAGGAGTAACACTCCTGCCCCGTTGGTCTGTATAGACGGATAATAATGGATCTGGCGGAATTGGCCAGGCGGGCCGTAGCCTAGAGGCCGTTAGCTAAAATTGACCTACATAGATGCGCCAGATCGTACAGGAGTAGTAGTAGTAGTAGTAGTAGTAGTATTCATTTACACTGACCCCTCGCAAAGCGATATGCAGTATACGACGACTATGTATCCGAGTATGTACATATAGAGTGATCCACTTTCTGACAATAACTTAGAGCCTCGTCACGGCCTATCGTGGCCATTTGCCGCTCCCGTTGTTAGGCTGCCCTCATGGCGCGGCTATAGTGGAATTGCGGATGAGACGGATACGACGTATCCGATTTTGGCTGCATCACATACAGGAACCGTGAGAACGCGGGCAAAGCAGAAGCTAAGAATCTGGACAGTGAATGTGTGATAGATGCGGATTTGTTCCGAGTTCGTTTGGGTAAGCGTTGGCTTGTCTTGTTCTCGAGCTGGAACGGTGACGGTTTGTTATGAAACCGAAGATGAAGATCTTCAATTGTGAGTATGGGGTTGGCGGGAAGAAAAGGTTCTTGCACTGAAGGAGTCGGTTGCGGTATGGATGTGATAGGTCGCTGGAGGACGGAAGCATAGGTTGTTTGTTGGTTTTGGGGCGAGGAGGTGATAGAAGGTATCGTTTGATGAAGCTGGGGAGAGTGGGCTGTTGGAGGTTGTTGAGGCTCTAGGTCTATTGTGGCGGGTAGCGGATTAGAATGGCAGTCCAGGTTGTTGTTTAACCGTTCCTTCGCTGTAGTAGATGTAATCGGCGTAGATTGAGTTTGAGACTTTGTACTAGAGTCTGTAGTTTGTGTACTGGAATCGGCGGTAGCAGTCGACCGTTTAGAGGAGGAGAATGCGGTGGTTGAGGAGGGGGTTTTGTTGGGAGTTCCGAGGTGGTGTTTTAAATCGCACGAGATTATCTGCCATACGCAGTCTTCCTCGTGTAGCTGTTGCACTTCCTCGAAAGGGGTGGATTGGAAGGTGGATAAGTGCTTGGTCGATTGGCAGGCAAAACAGCATGCCATATTGCTGACTCCTGAAGGTCGGTAATAGAAGCCATTCTGGGCCAGTTGGAGCGGAGTGGCCCCAGCAAGTACTATTCCTTGGAACGAACGAGCTCTGGCTGTGATGGTGGAGTAGTCGTAGGCTATTGAGACGAGAAAGTAATCCTCATCGTGAGATTCATCCTCGAAGTGAGAATCGTCCTCATCATGAGAATCATCCTCGGCGAGAAAAAAGTCCTCAACGTTGGGGTATTCGGGTGAGATTGCGGGGTTTGCGGCTTCGGGGACGGGAGATGGGCGACGTGCTGGGGAGTCTGGAAGCTGAGGGTTCAGCCCTACCCGCTGGCTTCTAGTTGTCATCCCCATAGCTTGAGGATACAGGATCTTGCCTGGATCTGGTTATACAGTAGCGACCCGATCGTACAGGATGGATCGAAATCAGTTTCACCACTTACACACAGACATTCTGTCTCGAACCCTCTTTCAAAACACGCTATGCCTATTACACTTGCTCTACTTCTGACTCTGTTTCTTGGCAGTATTCCAATACAGTCGTAAATAATAGGACGAAAATAGATTCGGTATTACGCTTATATGGCTTTCGGGGTTTCTAGAATGTCGAACCTGCAAACCAGGCAAACAAAAGATTGATCTTCCTAATCTGGCTACTAGGCCAGACTTCCGATTCCAGTCTGTCAACCACTCAACTTCAGAGTGTTCATATGAGTGAGGTGTATACAGAATGGATCGGAATTAATTTCACCACTTACACATGGGGATTCTTTGTCGAACCCTCTTTTGAAACACGCTATACTTATTATAGTTACTCTTCCCCTGAACCCCTGCCTTGGGAGTAATCCCAAACAGCTGTAAATAACAGCACAAAAATAGCGTCTGTATTAGACTCATATGGTCTCCAGGATCTCTAGAACGCTGATCCAGCAAACAAGTCAAACAGACGGATGCCCTGCCCCTCCGAATGGATTTGCAGACTCACAAAGGGTTTCCATGGAATTCCACTTGTTTCTCGTAAGCTTTATGTAATTTGCGTATCAAGTTACATTTCTATACAATGTATCTTTTATGGTGCCCCAAAGTCAATGCAGCCCGCTCAATAATTGACCGGCGCCAAGGCGTCTCGCTGGCGAATATCCAAGTCGTACGCTGCGCTCAGGGCAAATAGCATGTTAGTTTGCTCAATTCTGAGGGTGGAAATTGAATAAGTCATAAAGGTTACATGTGACCTGCCCAATGTTTCCTTTTTAGAATTACGTGGAGCTGGTCGATGGAGCGAGAATCGAGTGAGACTTACCCTTACCCCGCGTCCGACCACAGGAGCTTTACTGGCCGAATCATAACCCGCTATGATTGGGCTCTTGGGGATCCTATGAAACTCTTGGTCTCTTGGCATTTGCACACAGCCACCTATAAGTCAGGGCAAGGTGAGACCTAAGCCTTCTGAAGTTGCAGGTGCCAGGCGACCTAGGTAGAAAAATGCACTTAAGCTGCTGTGGACCCAGAACCCCGGCCGATTACTTTCTCCCTTAGGTCAAAAAATTTTCGGCGAGTTGTGAGGGTCTAATGTGAAGATCCAACGAGCTACAAGATGTCAAAACCTGCTCTATCACTGTGGATCGTTCGGCTTCTCGGCGCCTGGATTACGTGTTCTGGTATGTTGAATAATGATTCTCAACATGCTGCCGGCTGTACTAAAGCCCAGTTAGGTGCTCTGGCTGGGGATTGTGGCTCGGTCAACATCACATCCGTATCAAGTGCAGATGCTTTGCGCAAAAATTGTCAAATCGTCGACGGAGACGTAGTCATCGGGCCATTCTCCGAAAATAGTGAAATCTACAACATCAATCTCGATGGAGTTGAGATAATCAAAGGAAGCCTAAGGTCTTACGATGATTACGGGCTTGTTTCCTGGCCATTCGCTGTCTCAAGCACTACTCTCAAAGAGGTTCAACGCTCCGTGGGCTTTCCATATTTGACTTCAATAAATTTGACAAGCCTCTCTTTACCAAGCCTAACCACTGTTGGAAATACATTTGATCTTGTTGGCTCCATCACCTCTCTTAATATTAAGTCCTTGGAATCCGTGCCTACTATCACCCTCGGAACGCCTTATCTCCGTTCAATCCAACATGCAAAACTTACCAATGTGTCGTCACTTTGGATCGAAGGAAATTACCTCGATTCACTTGATAGCTTCTTCAACAACGCCATCGACATCAACAGCTCTGTTGCTTCTGGGCCGTTTCCAAATATCGATACCATCACGGTTGGGTTCACCTCAGGTGATGTCTCTATTACATCTAAATCCGGTGTGATACTGGGCGGCCCAACTACAATGGCAATGGCATTTGGATACGTGTACCTTGCAGGCGGTGCAATGTTTCTCAATCGCAGTTCCACATTGAAATCTCTTACTGCAAAAAGCTTTGATCTAGGGGGAACTAGCAACACCCTCCTGGATATTCCTTTCGATGATCTCACTAATTTATATATCAACTTGGACAATGAAGACGATGTTCTTGTTGAAGAGATACGACTGCCTCCAATCGCCGTTAATTGGACTGACTTCAATCTTTATATCTTCGAAGTTCCGTCGCTAAATCTGTCATCACAATACAGTATCAATGATAATGGGTTTGTTTTCCAGACATGGTATTGGCCAGAAAGCGTATCTTCCATTTATATCAGAGGCGCTATTGTGGCGAATCCATTTTTGTGCGTATTTTTACTTCCTGCTGGAATCTTATTCCCTGGAACTTGGGAGCTGATATGGAATTTTATAGCGAGCAATTCTTGTCCTACCAGCAGTCAGCAGCTGTAAACAGTACAATGCCACCGTCAAATTTGTCAAAACTGGCAATTTATCCAGCCGATGGTTCTAACTTCAGTTGTAACCCGTTTGACAAACTCCAGACTATTGGTCGCTTAGTCGACAACAAGGCGAATTATACCTGTACCAATGCAACACCGACTCCCGCTCCTGAAACGAAGAACGAAACAACGAACAGTACAGCCAGCGCTAAAAACAGTGGGATTCGTTCTGCTCAGGCGTCGAGTCTGTCTTTGCTTTGTGGAGTGATGGTCGGCTTATACCTGTTAAGATGTGTGACCGGAGAAGTTCTATAAATCCTTGCTACTAGCCACTTATTTCAATGCTTTGTTTAATCCCCTTGTCCTAGAATTATTGCGTGACACGTTTACCCAGACGCATACACACAAACACACACACACAATTTATTAACGCCCGGCGGCTAAGCCGAAAGGGCAACTATCACTGACCTACTATACATGTCATAATATATACAATTCTGTGTCTCTTTGGAGCCTATATATAAAACCTTGCCGTATGTATCATTTCCAGCTCGCAGTGATTGACCAAGCTGTGCCGGATCAAAGATAAACCAGCATTTTTGGCGGGTTGACATGTGCGTCATCGATAGCAGCTGCACAAATCAATTACATAGTCTAGAGTTATATAGCCTAGCCCTAGTTTATAGCCCTTAATATCTTATTCTTTAGCGAATCTAAAATAAGTTAGTATCTGTTTCGATAGGTATTCTACATATATAATTATATAGTAACTTACTCTATCTAATAATTTAAAGCTTAGTAGTGTATCCTTTTAGTCTTTGCTAACCTTTTATCCTTCTCTTGGATAGAATCCTCCTCTATATAAGCGCAAAATATATAGCCGCTCTCTACTAGCTATTTATAGCGCTCCTCTTTAGCGATCTTAACTTTTTCTTATAAAGAAGAGGTTTCTATCTGTAAGTCACGAAATCAACAATATTGTAGGGCGAAGTGTACTTTTGGGTTTAGACTAAGCGTAGACTGAGTACTCGATAGATACCTCTGATCGATCTCTGAGTAATCAGTGATGGATCAGTGAGCAGCCAATCATACTCACTGAGCGCTTAGTGAGTGCTCACTGATCCATCACGTGATATGACTGAGCAGCTCACTGAGCCTGAGTCCGGACTGAGATTTACTCAGTGAGCCTGACTCTGAGCGCCCTCATAAAAGCGGCGGCAGCTAAGATAGGAAAGCCCCACCCGGGAGCGGAAATATGTTACGTAGAGTGACCTAGGTATAGTGGAAACCTTGTGGCCAATAATACTCAAATGACGTTGAAAAAAAGTTATATGACTAGAAGGATAATCAATTGTCACTACCTAGTAAACGCTAGGACCACCTGTCAGGTCAAGAGTGCACAATTAATAACCTGGAAACAAGATATCCACTTCCAGAAGACAGCATGCAAAAGGGGAATGGGAAAGTCGTCAACTCGAAAGGCGGGTCGTTACTGAAGACAAATCGGGGCTATGGAATACACAAAATGGCCCTGGGAAACAATTGACAGAAAGGGATTCAAAAGGCAAGGTCTGACAGTATGTCACTTATGAAGGGTTGCTCAGAAGGTATTCCACAGCTCCTTGCACGCTACCACCAGCTCGTCGCAAAGCCTCAATGTTTCGCTCAAACTCAAAGAATCCCATGTCGTTCAATTGGCGAAGCTGGTCAGCATATCGATCCTCAGGAGGACGATTGTCTGTGGGAGCAGGGGAGCCAAAACCACCGGCTCCAAACAATGACGCCATAGGATTTACACCACCCTCTCCACCTTGTCCACCCATCGCCTGCATCATTTGGGTCATGAAATTAGGATCGCGTAGGAAAGGATTCTGTTGGGGATTGAACGGATTCACACCCGCACCCGCACCCGTACCCGCCTGGCCTTGGGCCTGACCTAAACCACCGAAGAGAGATGGATTCAGTAACGCCGCAAAAGGATTCTGTGCTTCTCCAGTAGTAGATCGGTCGGTCGGATTTTGTGTGCCTTCGGTAGCTTCGGTCTGGCCTGTTGTTCCGGTGGCAGTCGGTTGCGCTGGAGGGGCAAAGGGATTGGCTCCGGTATTGGCTCCGAAGAGACTAGCAAACGGGTTCCCAAGGCCCATTTGACCCATTGCGAACGGATTGGGTGGCGCTTGTTGCTGAGTATTCTGATTTCCCTCGGGGGTTGTGTTGGTCACACCTGGAGCGGGGAAGGCGCTTGCACCACCTGCACCACCTCCCATTCCCATCGCTCGCTGCATTTGCATCATGTTGCGGAGGGAGCTAGGATCGGTCAACATGCGACGGAATTCTGGGCTCTGCATCATCTGTCGCACTCCAGGTCCCATATCCCGCAGCATGGGGTTCTGCTGAATCATCATGTCGATCATTTGGGGGTTTTGGAGGGCCTCATTGATAGTTGATTGGAATTGAGGGTTTTCGAGCATATTCAACATCGTTTCGCTGTCAGGAGGCGGACCCATCTATGATAAATAACGAAAGTTAGTATGTCAGAACATATAATTTACCGGTTTTCCGCAAGTGATCCGGTTATTAGATTAGGTCACTTACCCCACCATCAGGGCCAAACATCCCTGCGCCAGGAAGTTGAGCGAATCCAGCATACCGCGCTCCAGTCAATCCAGCCAGAGGGTTGTTGCCAGTGCCCGCAGCAAGATTGGTGGGTACGCCAGCCGCAGGCTGACTCGGGGCGGCGGCGGGGGTCGCAGTCGAGCTAGACTGGGTAGATGTGTTGGATCTTTGTTGGTTGCTCGCAGCACTCTTAACCAAGTGAATAGTGTGTCCATCCTTGATTTTGTATGTGGCCAGGGTCTCGTTGTCCTTCAACACTCGGCCGGAGTAGATCAGGCGCTGGCGATCAGCCGGGGTATCGGCATATTCAGAGCTCGAGAGCTTCTCCTTCAACTCTGAGACGGGAGTGGAAAGAGGAAGTGTCAAGGAGAATTTGGCATCATTGGAGGATTTCACAGTAAAGGTGATTGGGCCATCTTCCGTAACGTTGGAGTCGGCCATGGTTGTGTAGGTGAGGGGAAGCTGAGCCAGCACCGGGGAGTTTAGTGAGGAAGATTTCACAGGACGGAAGATAAGCAATGTGAGAAGCTATGGTGAAAGTAATATAAGCAATGGGAAGAAAACAGATAAGGGCGTGATAAACCGGCCAGATTGTTGGCTTTGAAGTTGATCTAGTTACCTGGAGACCCGAACCATTACATAAGGGCGGTGATGGAGGAGAAGGCGGTCGAATCTGATGGTGCATATCACGTGATCCCGGCAAACAAGCTCCCACTGGAAATTTGCATTTTGCTCCTGCTGAACTTCCCGTTCTCTTGAACAACCACACGTTCATTCTTGTCAAAGTGGCTCCAACCACGGAGTCTTTTCTTTGCTAGTGACTCCACTAAGCAGATATGGGATTGATGTGATTTCTCCACATCCCTGGACTGCAATTGCCCATATTTCACGCGTCTTTTCCCCTTTACTGTCGGAGCTGCAAAGCTCTGCGAGCTAACTGCCCATTATGGCGACCACCTCGCATATGTTCATGTACTCTCTGACCATCCAACCACCTACTGCAATCACACAGGCAGTGCTGGGCCAGTTTTCTGGAACTAAAGAGCAACAGGTCATCACGGCTTCTGGCTCTAAGCTCACTATCCACAGACCTGACCCAACCCTGGGCAAGGTTACCCCAATCTTTTCCCAAGATGTCTTTGGCATCATCCGCTCATTGGCAGTGTTTCGGCTGGCTGGCAGCAATAAAGGTATGTCGTTTAGCCCGACTCTTGCATTTACGAGTTCAACTTAGTGATTCTTGAAGCTTCCCGGGTAGCACGGTCCTGGTTTCTCGACCCGACCCCTTGAAGGGTGTGGGACCTGCCCTGGCCAGCAGCATGAACGCTGTTAAACCCTATGAGCGGAACTGTGCTGAGTCATTTCCATTGCAGATTATCTGATCATCGGATCGGATTCGGGTCGTATTACCATTGTTGAATATGTTCCCACACAAAACCGCTTCAATCGGATCCATCTGGAAACATTTGGCAAGTCCGGAGTTCGCAGGGTTGTTCCGGGACAGTATCTCGCCGTGGACCCCAAGGGTCGTGCGTGCTTGATAGCCTCGGTGGAGAAGAATAAGCTGGTCTATGTTCTGAACCGCAACTCCCAGGCCGAACTCACAATCTCATCGCCCCTGGAAGCACACAGGCCCCAGACACTAGTGTTTGCTATGATCTCTTTGGATGTCGGCTATGATAACCCGGTATTCGCTGCCCTTGAAGTGGACTACTCAGAGGCCGATCAGGATCCCACTGGTGAAGCGTACAAGGAGATGGAAAAAGTCCTCGTCTACTATGAGCTAGATTTGGGTCTCAACCATGTCGTCCGCAAGTGGTCTGATCCAGTCGACCGCACCGCAAACATGCTGTTCCAAGTGCCCGGAGGCGCAGATGGACCTAGCGGTGTTTTAGTGTGTGCCGAGGACAGCATCACCTACCGCCACTCCAATCAAGATGCATTCCGCGTGCCCATCCCGCGCCGCAGTGGCCCCACCGAAAATCCCGAACGCAAGCGAACCATTGTCTCGGGTGTGATGCACAAAATGCGTGGCGCATTCTTCTTCCTTCTTCAGACTGAGGATGGCGACGTTTTCAAGGTCACGATTGAGATGGCCGTGGATGAGAACGGTCAAGTGACTGGCGAAGTGCAAGGTCTTAAGATTAAGTTTTTTGACACTGTCCCAGTCGCCTCGAGTCTTCTCATCCTCAAGAGCGGTTTCCTCTACGTTGCAAGCGAGGCGGGCAACCATCATTTCTACCAATTTGAAAAACTTGGTGATGATGATGAGGAGGTGGAGTTCAGCAGTGATTCGTTCTCTGCGGATCCTTCTGCTCCATATGAACCTGTCTTCTTCCGTCCTCGTCCAGCAGAGAACTTGACTCTCATGGAATCAATCAACTCATTGAACCCATTGATTGACAGCAAGGTTGCCAACCTGACAGAGGATGACGCCCCTCAAATATACTCCGTCTGTGGTACCGGCGCCCGCAGTACATTCCGAACTCTGAAGCATGGACTGGAGGTCTCTGAGCTGGTGGAGTCAGAACTTCGTGCCGTGCCTTCGGCTGTCTGGACAACTAAGTTGACACGATCCGACGAGTATCATAGATACATTGTCCTCTCCTTTGCCAACGGTACCATCGTTCTGGGAATTGGCGAGATCGTTGAAGAGATTACCGAGGATTCGGGTTTCCTTTCCACAGCACCCACACTGGCTGTCCAACAGCTCGGCGAAGACTCTCTCATTCAAGTGCACCCTCGAGGTATCCGCCACCTTCTCGCGGATCAGCGAGTGAATGAATGGCCCGCACCACAACATCGTTCCATCGTCGCTGCCGCCACAAATGAACGCCAAGTTGCCGTGGCTCTCAGTTCCGGAGAAATTGTCTACTTCGAGATGGATGCCGATGGGTCTTTAGCAGAGTACGATGATCGGCGCCAAATGTCTGGCACGGTCACCTGCCTCAGTCTTGGAGAGGTGCCCGAGGGTCGTGTTCGCAGTACCTTCTTGGCTGTCGGCTGTGACGATTCAACTGTCCGCATCCTCAGTCTAGACACAAAAAACATGTTGGAAAACATGTCTGTCCAGGCTCTCACATCAGCACCCTCAGCTCTCAACATCATGGCTATGGCCGATTCGAGCTCTGGGGGCACGACGTTGTACCTGCACATTGGTCTTTACTCCGGTGTATACCTTCGTACTGTGTTAGACGATGTGACCGGCGAGCTCTCAGACACCCGAACACGCTTCCTTGGTGCCAAGCCTGTTAAACTGTCCCAAGTGTCAGTTCAAGGTCAAACCGCAGTCCTTGCCCTGAGCTCTCGTTCGTGGCTCGGATACTCTGACGTCCAAACCAAGAGCTTCATGCTAACCCCACTGGACTACGTTGGTCTGGAGTGGGGTTGGAACTTCTCAAGCGAGCAATGCTTGGAGGGCATGGTCGGCATTCAAGGCCGAAATCTACGGTATGTAACTCATCCTAGCACCCCCTAACCTTATCCCCTTTTGTGATCATATGATGAAAAAATGGGAACCGAACCTCCATGTGGATCAAAAACATGTTTTTATTTTTCCAATTGTTCCTACTGAGATCAACTATCATTCTCGATTTTGTCGACTTGCTTTTGCGTGAGCTTTTGCTGACACAATTCAGGATTTTCTCCATTGAGAAGCTCGACAACAACATGCTCCAGGAGTCAATTCCCTTGGCATACACTCCGCGTCGCTTCGTTAAGCACCCGGAGCAACCCATTTTCTATGTCATCGAATCCGACAACAATGTCCTATCCCCTGCGACTTGCGAAAGCTTGATCAAGGACTCAGAGGCCCGAAATGGCGAAGTTACCACTCTGCCGCCCGCTGAATTTGGGTACCCCCGTGGAAATGGTCACTGGGCATCCTGCATCCAAGTGGTTGACCCCATTTCCAACAAGGAAGTCGTTTTCACCCTTCATCTGGAAGACAATGAGGCGGCCGTAAGTGTTGCCGTTACGCCTTTCTTCAGCCAGGATGATGAGCTGTTCTTGGTTGTCGGAACTGCGAAAGATATGGAAGTCAGTCCTCCGAAGTCCAAAGGTGGCTTCATTCATATCTACCGATTCGCCGAGGATGGTCGCAAGTTGGAGTTTATCCATAAGACGAGCACTGAGGAGCCCCCCCTTGCTCTCCTCCCATTCCAAGGCAAACTCCTGGCAGGCATTGGCTCCATGCTTCGCCTGTATGACCTGGGCGTGAGGCAACTACTCCGAAAATCCCAGTCCCCTGTGGTTCCCCACACGATTGTTGGTCTTCAAACCCAAGGAAGCCGCATTGTGGTCAGCGATGTTCGTGAGAGCGTGACTTTTGTGGTCTACAAACAACAGGAAAATGTTTTAATTCCTTTTGTGGATGATTCCATTGCGCGCTGGACCTCTTCAACCACCATGGTCGACTACGAAACTGTCGCCGGCGGAGACAAATTTGGTAACCTGTGGTTGCTGCGATGCCCGACCAAAGCGTCGGAGGAGGCGGACGAGGATGGATCTGGGGCTCATCTTGTTCACGAGCGGGGCTACCTGCAGGGAACGCCCAGTCGTCTTGAGTTGATGGTGCACTACTACACCCAGGACATCCCGACTAGTCTGCACAAGGCACAGCTGGTGGCTGGTGGACGTGACATTGTTGTCTGGACTGGCTTCCAGGGAACAATCGGCATGTTCGTTCCCTTCGCGAGCCGTGAAGATGTCGATTTCTTCCAAAGCCTGGAGACGCAGCTGGCTGTCCAGCATCCCCCTCTGGCGGGTCGGGATCATCTCATTTATCGCGGTTACTACGCGCCGGTGAAGGGAGTCATCGACGGTGACTTGTGTGAGATGTACTTCCTCCTGCCCAATAATACGAAGATGATGATTGCTGCAGAGCTAGACCGGTCCGTGCGGGAGATCGAGCGTAAGATTTCGGTAAGTGATCCTGATCTTGTTTGATTCTTCCATTTACTAACTGTATCTAGGACATGCGGACACGAGTAGCGTATTGATTTCTGGTCAGATCTGGCGTCTAATGTTGGCGTTTTCATGCTCTGGGCTTCTCATAGGTACCAAGGTTATGCTAATCGATATCCCCGCGGCCACGACCGCATGATTCTTTCAATACCCTCCTATTTTTGTTCTCCATTTTCCCCTTCCCGTCTCTTGCCTCGCTCGGTCTGCCGCCTTTCTCGGCTAATCTTGAGCTGGATGCAGTTCAGTCACTTCGGTGGTTGGATTGTACGAGACAAAATCAAGCGTGGTTTCCACGCGTCGAAGATTGAGTACGGCCTTTTCCGCTTTTCACCACGGATTTTCACCGTAATTTATCTATCGGGACAGCCCGTAAGCCAAGCATGGCATTCATAGAATCAGAACCAGAACCAAAATCAAATCCAATCCAAATTGCAATCATCTTTCTTCCGATCGAAATCCGATAACGTAAAACGTGCCGATCACAGAGCCGACAATGCTCAAAACCGAGATTTAACCAGGACCTGCATCAAGTTCTCCGAAAGAAAACCCACTTCGGCATCGCGACAACTCGGTTAAGGTCGGAAAGATCTGGATCCTGCCGAACGGCTATCATCGTCCGCGGAAAAAGTCCTAGAGCTCGTCATCATGCTGTGTGTACACCGTAGAGCCTTTGCAAAGACGGGAATATTTAGCTCTCTCCTCTTATTTTCCCTTTTCGAATCACAGTGTTTGGGTCAGCAGGTGTCCGCTAGAAAGGTTAAAATGATTGGTCACATCGTAGGGCCATGACGCCCTGTGTACGACACGGGGAATGTTAAAGTGGGCCCAGCCGAGTCCATATCCCCCAAGTGGTTCCAAGTGGGGTCTCCAAGGGCGTGCATGTCGACGAAAGGCGCGATCTAGCTTCTAGCTTTGTGATGTAAAACCCTGAAACACTGAAAGACCCAAAGACCCAAAGACCCAAAGACTCAAAAGCTCTTAATTTGAAGCTCCATGGATTTGGGCTAAACGAGAAACAAATCAGTCATCCATGGTAAAATAAAATGATCCCATGATCGGTCAAAGTACAAAAGACCGATAAAGCGAGTAACAAATGGAATGTCAATCCAAGGGCGTGCATTGACCCAAAGCCAATCATACCTGATTGGGTACGGGATCTGTTTATGGATCCTTTCAAGCCCCAAAACTTCCCAAAACTTCCCTTTTAACTCCCTAGATTGGCATGAACTTCTCTGTCGTTCTTCCTGAATGAGTCACTCCACCTTTGAAGCGGCTAAATACTATTGATTGCTAACCATCGCCATACGAGTCATACTGACAATTTGTATAAAAGCGGGGATCGTAGCCCCCATATATGCAGCGCGGTTGTTCACGGCTCCACTTTCTACTTTTTTTTCTTTCCAAGATATATTGTATATGCGATTTCCTTGATATCTGATTTTATTTCTTTCTCCTCGCTCCTTGGTGACTTGATTGCTTTTTCAAAGGGTTACATTTCCCTACCGACAATGGCAACCTCTATCATCAGCCGTGGCTCGGATACACTAGAGCTTTTCAGGCGCTCAACTCCTAAGATCGAAATTGATCTTCAAGGACAGAAATCTGGTCAGGTCAACTCTTACACTACTGGAGATTATATCGAAGGTACTGCCAAGATCACCGTTGACCTTGAGACGCGTTTCGATGAGATTGAAATCATTCTGCAAGGTAATTTCTATAACTGTTATACTCTGATATCTGGCTTACCCCAATCAAGGAACTTCGCACACGACAGTTGAACGAGCCGCATGCCCTGGCCGTACAGGTTCACAGCAGATGTTCCTCAAACTTCGCCAACCGATCGAAGATGCAGAATACCCTACCCCGCGAGTACTGGAACCTGGCCGAACATATTCATTTCCCTTTACATTCGTCGTACCAGATCGCCTACTACCTCAGGTCTGCTCCCACGCAAAGAAGAACAACCACATCCACCAATGTCATACCTTACTCCCCCCGACTTTGGGAGATGTCATGATATCAGGAGATATCAAAATTCTGATAGATGACATGGCGCCGGAAATGAGCCGAATTGCATATATTGTCCGCGTTGCCGTGTTGAAGAGATCAGCAAGTCAAGGTTCCAAAACATTGGCAAACATAGCCAAGAAAGTCCGCATCATCCCCATCGTTGAGGAAGAACCCCCCCTCAGCATGGTGAACCAGAGCACATATTGCACCCGAAAGGAGAAGACCGTCAAGCGTGGATTCCTAAGAGGAAAGCAAGGCCAACTCATCGCATCCGCCTCACAACCCAAGCCCATTTGTCTGCTTCCAACCGGCGAAAGACACGAGACGGTTAGCACGTCAGCAAAGATCCAGCTTCGATTCGATCCCGTGGGCAATGAGCAGCCACCTCAACTAGGCTCGATGACCAGCAAGATCAGAGCAAACACATACTACAGTGCGAACCCCTGGGAAGACTTCCCTTGCCAGTCAACCACATACGTATCACAAATCGGCCAGGGCATATACCAAGAATCCATTCCCCTATCGAACTTGTGCGTGGCGTCAGCAAAATGGGAAAAGCATTCCTCTGAGCGTGACCGCCGTGAATCCACTTCCTCCACTTCATCCGATGACTCGACCGGTCCCTCTGCATCTTTCACTGGGGATACCTATTATACCGCTTCCCTCATCGTTCCCATCTCATTACCAAGCCACAAGACATTCGTGCCAACCTTCCACTCCTGTTTGATGTCGCGGACCTACTCGCTTGATTGCTCGCTATCATATCATACCCCAGCAGCCAATGTCCTGACTCCGTCTATCTCCCTCCGACTTCCTATCCAAGTGACCACACAGCCTAAATATGCTAGCTCGGCCAAGTCTGACCTAGGCCTTGTTGTTACCCAGGCGGAATTAGATGAGTTCTTTATCCCACGATCGATGAGCTTACCTTCTTCGAATGTGGTTGTTGATGTGAATGCGCCGCCTGAGTATTCGGAGTCAACGGCTCGACCGAATCGACGAAGTGTACAGGCTACTCAGTAGCTGGATTTTGTTGCTCAATTTTTTTTCGGTTGAACCTGCCAATACCCTGTTCTGGTTGTTAAAAGTTATTTTTTTGCGTGGCCTTACGACTGATGGATTTTTTTTATTATTTATTTTGCATATACCCTTTGAAATATCTCATATTCTATGCATAACTTTAATTCACTGCCAAAATTTACTGCTACTGGATGGATATTGATAATTGAAATTCCTTCAATCAATTCTCCTTTTTTACTGGCCCTTTTTTACTCGAGAGATGTCAATAATATTTCTCAACTTCAGTCTACATTTACGAATATTTTTATCTTCTTCCGTTTCTTCATGTTCTTCAATTCCCGTTCCTCCGAGTCCTCCATAGAAGGGGACGTGTATATCAAAATCATGGTCTTCCTGCAACTCTTTATGTATGATGCATTGCATTCATATCCATTTGTGAATAATAATGTCTTTATGTTTTAAAGGACAATGAGACCTCCCTGGCAAGGAGAACAAGAACATTCACTTGAATCCTGTATGCGCTCCATTTGATAGTAGTGGGTCTCCAACATTCGGAAGAGTTCAGCCGTACTGTGTCCCTGCAAAGTATGATTGCAAAGGGACTGTGTGCTCATTGAGTGGTACAGATATGTTACATATTACCAAGGTCAGCAATGTCATTTATTTGATGCTTTGTTGAATAGTTTAAGAATGCCCTACGTAAATACAAAAACTGCGGCCTATAGCTATGTTACGGATAAGTGAAGCATTATGCGGAGTGAAAAAAGGAACGCACTACTCAAGAACAATAAAAGTGAAAAGAGGAGAAAAGTGAAAGAGGCTGTGGATAATCATCAGCTAAAGAAAACTGGGCTGAGGGATGGTATAGTCGTGCCCTAAGTGGTTCGCAAGGGCTAGTGAATCAAACTGCGGCTCGTGGGACTCGGCGGCTGGTGCGACTCGGCGGCTGAGACCCCACGATCTTGCGCATAAATAGACTCAATTTGTTGATAAACAATATGACTTCCTTCCTATTCTATCACTGCTCTTCCTCCAACGCATGCCCACCTCGACCCCGTCATGACCGACACGATGAGAGCCGCCCAAAAAGTGCTTCTGATGCCAGAGCTTGTTGCCGAAATCCTTTTCTGGCTTTCTGGAACCCTTCGAAAAAACCCCAATTTCAAGCTGTGGTGGGCAAGCAACGATTCGCGTCATGGCGAAGCAGCCCGCTATTTGACTGTCAACAGGGTATTCTTCACAGAAGGTATCCGAGTCATCGGCAAGATGCCCCTGGCCTGCTACAACATCGATACACGCAAGAACGTGCCACTCCTTGATCGCTTTGCGGTTGTCAAGTCTCTTCCACGTGCAAAGTTCTATGCATCCTCTGTCGAGTTTGGCCGCGTCACCTCCGTCCGACATTCGAAGATGGAGAAAGCCAATGCTGCATTCGACCAACTTGTCTTTTCGAAGCTCGTCGTTCTGGATTTGAGGATCAACAACTATGTTGAGATTCTCAACATTCCCCTTATGCATGCGCCGGTTTTGAAAACCCTGCATGTCTCCTTTGATCCCAAGGCCGATCCGTGGAACACCGAAGAGGACTACCTGTCTTCTCACAATGCTGGCAGAATCGCTGAGTGGATCCAAGTAAGCACTGTGAGTAGAGCTTCGATATAGTAAGTACTAACTATTGGTCACTAGGCTTGCCTTCCTGCACTAGAAAAAGTGGTTTTTTACAACGAGCTCCCAAAAGAGGCATTGACAACCATGTCGGGTCTGCTGGGGAGTGTGAAGGTGGAAAAGCCATTTCTATTCATCACACCTCCCCGGCGGCCCGGCCCGCCTTCGATGCTCGGAGTGAGGATTCCACCATGGGTGTTCCGGGTGGTGAAATACCACACCGGTGTGAGAGGAGAGTGAGGGAAAGAAGGGGAAATGGAGAACTTGGGCCTTCCCAAGATAGTATTCTGAGATGATGCCGCAATTGAAGCACTTCTGTTGACCAGGAAGTGTATTTTTAGATCAATATACCAGTATTATTTGCTACCCTCCTCAATAGTAGAACGATGAGTATTTGCCTCCCGCTGCCTAGTCACGAGTCCCTCGCCGAATCTGATCAATTCCGGGCAACAGAAAAAGCCAGGGGATGGAGGTCTATAAGGGTCAACAGGACATTCAAAGTGAGACTTGCTAAATGTACCTCGAAAACCACTATGATCAGATCCGACTCGGTTGATTGATGACTCCGTAGCCATCCAAGCACCTGCTACAGTATCAAATATATAGTACTCTCAAGATAGACCAGATGACTGCAGTTCAAATGTATATACAGAACTCTAGAGACCTATTATGAAGCTTCCAACCAGGCGGCATAATATGTAGGCATCCAAACAAAGTAATCTACTTGACTGGCCACCGGGACTATAAAAGGCATTTTCTCTCATTCTCTCGTTCTCTTTCTCTCTTTCCTCTTACCTCTCTCACCTTACCCCCTTCAAAACCTTGGAATCATCGTCTTTTCATTGGCGGAGGATCCGCCAGGCACTTTACTCCCGGCAGCGATAAATAGCTGTGGTACTCAAGTGTATCTTCGTCTTTGAAAAATGAATGTCTCGCTACGAGCTATCGAAAAAAGGATCCAAGATCGCCAATCAAGGGTACATGCAAAAGCCAGACATGCATCTGTTGAAGACCTTTTCACTTTCAGAACTCGGACCAAATCCAGCAGAAACATTCAAGGTCTCCTTTGTTGCCGGATGAAGAAAATAAGGTGCAAGGAAAGAGCTCAAGAGACGGACTGTTCACTTCTTCCCAACTTTATTGGACGTCTTGTGGGTTAAATCTGACGTGTTCGCATCGGAAAAGCTCGGATCCATCGCGTAATGACCTGGCTCTGCTGTTGTCGTGCTCCGGCCGCTACCACCGCTCAGCAACATCATTATCAGCCCACCCCTGAGGCTTCGCATGGTCCCCGTGAGCGACGTCGTGATTCATGTTACTGTCAACATATGGCTGGCTCGGGTACACAATCTGTGCTAGTCCATGATTGCACCGAGTGGGAGTTGTACAGGTTGTATTTTGACACCGAGGTCTCATGGGTGTTTCGGTATGATCGTCACAGTACCGGCCCTCCACGAAAACCACTGCGTAAAGCCAATTCCTACAAACTTCATTACCGTCACGATTACGCCACAATACCAACACGCTCAAGAAGTTCGTTGGCAACACGAGAAACGAAAAGGGCCGAGTGCTATATGAAGTTTTCATCGTCGTTTGGCGCGCGAAGCGCACCAAATCGACAGGCTGCTACATACCATTCTGTTTGAATCTACTGGCACAGTGAGGCCCATTCGTGTGCCCCGAGGAAAGCCCCCAGCCGCCGATTATTGCTGCATTGTCTGGCCATACCAGATTCCGATTTACATATTATGTTCTAGCTGGCCACTGCCTTGGGCAGCATATACATGATATGTTGGCCAAACCCCGCCTTCTAGGCTCCACGATGGACATTGGCTGACCACAGTGAGCGACGTTCCAAAACCCAGGAAATGCCTTGCATCGTTGTGAATTGGGAAATCACTGCGGATTTTGCCATCGACCACTACGGCGAGCCATGTCACTGTACCTTCAGGCTATGGAAAGGACAACTTCAAACAGAATTTGGTCATGAGTCTGCTACGACCGTCGGGGGAGCCATCAAATTTATGAGAATGTGTGACATCACGGCTTTCTGTCTGCTATGCAATACAGAACTCGGGCTGTGAAGAATGGCCTTTTGATGGGCTTGGTTTTGTCGCTGTGGATGAACATGATACTGCTGATCTCGATAAGGGAATACATGTGGCAATATACTCGCGGGATATTGTTGGAGCCAATATGGGAGAGAGACAGATGAGGTTCATGCAGACTGTCAGGACTAGGGCTAAATCCACGAATAGGTATGAGGGAGCCGCCAGATCTTTGTTGAGCCCAATCTACGCCAAGTCAAAATGCTAGGATGGAGCACATGGACTTTATTTTCAATGTCGTGATGGTCAGCCACCCTACCTACCATTTTTTAGTTAGAAGAATTGGAGCCCTTACCATCCTAGTTCTGAGTTTTCGTAACACCCACCCTCTCGAAAGCCACCAGGGAAGCAGCTTCGGAACGAAAAAAGAGCCCTCAGATCTTGTTCCCCTTGGAGAAAGGCTGCGATTAAATGCTCTCTTTTGTGATGCATGACTAGACTAGCAATCCAGCAAATCATGAAGGTACAAGACCACTACTTTGCCCCCAAACTATGAAAATAATGCGCATTGTTTCATCCAGGCTAGACTTTGACCCATTTCTTATTCAATATTAAGAAATACCCAAAGTGCAAGTAGTCGAAAAAGAAAACGTCATAGATAAGAGTGAAGATTCACTATCGTCTGCTTGACCTCTCAAGATTGTAGGGTTGGTTGGCTTTTTGGCAAAAATCGTTGCCACAGGCGAGTGAAACAACTGCTTCCTCGACTTAATATAGCTCTTAAGCCGACAAAGATGATTTTGAAATGCGTTTGATTCTGGCATTCCTTGCATTTTATAAGCCGTGACGAACATCACGGCTATCAGTGGTTTGGCTCTTGGGCTGGTCACATCAACATGACACCAATACCACATCCATGTTAAAAATGACTAAAGGCTTTTTGCTGTGCTTTTCGCGCGGCGCCTATCGGTTTATTATACCATATCTCTTACTTAGTCTCTTAGTCTCCCACTCAGTCTGTCACTCAGTCTGAAAGGAGAAGGGAGAAGAAGATATTCGGGGACTAGTGGTTTCGAACGGATGTCCACCAAGTCCGCGGTAGGGGTAGATCATATTGTTTACAATTTTAAAAGTGACACCTTTCTCCGTCAGACCTCTTGATATGACATCAGAATGAAGAACGCAATGCCGGTATATCCGATGAGATATCCCATAATTGCAGACTTGCAACCTCCTTGCACGATCAATTAACATACCATCATGTCTACAGGAAACGCCAACATCATTGTGCCAGGCTCCACTCACGCGTTCGACTTTGTTGTCGTCGGAGGTAAGCATTAAAGAGCTACGCACTAGATGGAAGCTAAGTCCTCTCAGGAGGGACAGCAGGAAATGTGGTGGCTGGTTGACTGGCCGAGAATCCGAAAGTTTCGGTTCTAGTAATTGAGGCGGGACGAGGGCAGGTCTTAGGTACTTGTGAAATATCATTCCCCTACTAACGCATCTCAGAGACCCAGAGAAGATCGCAGAAATCACCACTCCTGCTCGCGCCTTTGAAACCCGTAATGGCCCCCAGGACTGGAAGTACAAATCAACTTTGATCGACAGACCAGACTACACACGCGTTGAGAAACCCAACACGCGCGGAAAGGTGCTGGGTGGTAGTAGCAGTTTGAACTACTACGCTTGGCTTCGAGGTAGTAAGACCACCTTCGATGACTGGTCCGATTATGCCCCAGGGTGGAACTGGAACTCATTGAAAGACTACTTTGACAAATCTGTCACCTATCATGACGATGCCAAAATTTACACCCACGTGAGGAACATCGGTTTAGGCGGGCCGCTTCACGTTGAACATGCGGAGCTCGTTCCTGAGCTACGGCCTTTTCGAGACGCGTTACTCAAGGCATGGAGAAGCAAGGGTCTCCAGGTCAACGACAGAATCTATGATGGTACGCAGAATGGAATCACCCGCTGCGTCAATACCATTTACAAGGGTATCCGCTCTTCCAGCTGGTCCTTCCTTGTTGGAAAGCCCAATGTTCATGTCTTGCCTGGCAGTCACTGTAAGCGGCTGATCATTAATGCTGACAAGGTCACTGGAGTCGAAGTCCGCGATCCAAACGGCAAGGATATCACAGTACAGGCCAGTAAGGAGGTCATCGTTGCCTGTGGGGTGTATGAGTCACCAAAGCTGTTGATGCTGTCAGGCATCGGTCCGGAAAATGAGCTGTCACAGTTTGGCATTAAAGCCATTTCCAGCTCTCCGCATGTTGGTCTTAACCTGCTGGATCATCCCATTCTACCGCATGTCTTCCGCCTGAAGGATGGTATGGGGTTAGATGACCATCTGCTTCGTGCCGGTCCGCAAAAAGAGGGCGCCATTACTGCATACAACCGAGACCATTCTGGGCCCTTGGGGAGCGGTCTGTTGGAACTTGTCGGCTTCCCACGCATTGATGACCGACTTGCTGGGGTGAAGGAATACATCCAAGCAAAGAAAGAGAACAAAGGAGTGGATCCATTCGGACCAGGGGGGCAGCCGCACTTTCAAATCGACTTTGTTGTAAGCCACTATCTATTTGAATTGGCTCGGAATATAGCTGACCATCATAGCCTATGTTTTCCGACGCATTTCAATGGCATTTCCCCGTTCCTCCAGAGGGGAGTTGGTTAACGGTCATCGTCGACCTCTTGCGACCGATTTCCAAGCCGGGATGGGTGAAGCTACGTTCGAAGGATCCTCTTGATGACCCGTACATCAACCTGAACTATTTCAATGACCACCTCGACGTGATCGTCTTGCGAGAGGGTATCCGGGCTGTGGATGATATTCTTATGACGGGAGAGTCTTTCAAGGAAATCATTGGCGAAGACTACCCGTGGCCCATGCCTCGTAACTCAAACGAGGCAATGGATAAACTGATACTGGAACGCTCTCAGACTGGATTCCGTAAGTTTAAAATTGGAATAAATACTGGCCCAGCTGACTTTCTTAGACCCCTGTGGAACGTGTCGTCTATCGAAGAATATTGAACAAGGCGTAGTGGACGGCGCGCTGAAAGTGCATGGGTTCAAAAATCTTAGGGTGATTGACGCATCTGTTTTCCCTGTTATCCCGGACTGTCGGATTCAGAATGCAGTCTATATGGTTGGAGAAAAGGGCGCTGATCTGATCAAGGCAGATCATAAAGACCTTTACTAAATGAGATACTCCATAGATCCTGCAAAGGAGTAATGGAAAACACTTCTCCAGTCCATGTCGGGTACCCAAATAATATAAGGGTAGATCCTTGCTTCCCAGACACGAGCCTAGAAATGATTCATTGCTGTTTGGGCCGAGCGAATACACAAATAATAGATTAATACAGGGTATGATCGATACGAAACTGCGTCGCTTGAGAGACCTTATTTTCTCTCAGATTTGTTCTCCATAGTCACATCCATCTTCTTCACCTGTGTTCCTAGCAACCCTTCATTCTGCTGCAACTTGAGGATCAAGTTCACCAGTGCATTGACCTCGCTTGATGAAACGCAACCTCCTCTTCACGAAGCCTCACTCACAGCATTTGCATCTGCTCACGGTTTTTTTTTTGATCGAGCTGGGGGCTTTTGCACCGTTAGGGATTGTCTCGGTCCAAAGTTGAGCCCTCTTCGCACCACCTTCTCTTTCGAAGTGACCAGAACCATCTTCGGGCTCATCTGCTGAACTGCTTCGCTTTCGCTTCTGCAAGGTACTGCATGGAGTGTCAATATCGGTAAGTCCTTCGCGAAGCTCCAGAGCGGTATTGTATATGCGAAGAGGGGTTCGCAAAACAAGCGGAAACATAAGTGTTCCATCCTCATTTTTGGTGAACAGCAAGTCCCAGTGCGCTGTCCTAAGTCTGCCGTTGACATTGAAAGCTGTCCTGAATTGCTGGCGGACACAGACCCGAAACCACATCAACTCCATGATCTCCTATTTGGAAAGCACCTGTTCTTTCCGTTCCTCGATAGACAGTGACGCCCAGCGCTTACTAAAGGACTCAGGACCAAAACCACGATACTGGCGTCCGCAATGAGGGCGTTCCGCTACATGATGGATCGGCGGTACCACGGCTTCCTTTTCGTTTGCGCACTCAATGGCTTGACCTCGCTGTGGGAGATGAGCGATCCAAGATAGAACTAATTCAGGGATTTGTAGAGAGCGCATCTCTACTGCGTCGAGATGGGAGTTGAAATGAGTCGGGGGAATCGTATGGGTGTCAACTGGGACACGGTCACCCTCGTCTTCCCTAATTGTCTCCCGGTCATCACTGGCTCCTTCATATTGGTCTATTCCGAAAGATACCTCGCTTCCATCTGTTGTTACCCATTCATCACTTGCTTCTTCGGGTTGGTCTTCCTCGTCGATCACACTTCCCAAGGTAGTTGTCCAATCATCGTCCTCTGTCTGGGTATGATTCGTCATAGCCATCATGATTTGAGCTTTCCGGTATGCTGGGATGAGCTTCGAGTGCTGGTAAAGGTGGAATGAAAGAAGAAAGAAGAAAAAGAAGTGGTTCGAAGAAGGTAAAGTTGGGTGAGTGAAAGTCGAATTCGAAGTCGAAGTCGTCGTCGTAGTCGTAGTCGAATATGTAAGCGCAAGAGTGCGGTCAGGAGAACATGATTGAGTAAATCTCTTTCACAATGCGCATAGCTTTAGTGTGTAGAAAGCATGGTAAGGCATTATTGTTTCTAGCTGTTTGGAGCATGTGTTTAAGTAGGAATAAAGAACTCAGGAGTGGTGGGAAATTAATTATCTGGCTAACATAGGTCAAATGAATCGAATTGTGCAGAAATCTCGCGTAATAGCATGACAACTTAGTGTCAATGTGCCCTCTATGATAATTCTTACCTCAAACCTTCACGTAAGGCATAAGCCAGCCTGGCCTTTTCTTTTTGTTAGCGGATCGATTGCTACTGTTGCTGTTATTTATTTGTTATTCGCTGTGAATTATATATTTTTTCTCATTAAGTATATTTCTATGCATGTTTCTCTGCCCGATTAGAGCCTCATCGCATTTAACTTGTTTTCAGATTTTGATCTTTCATGCATACATTCAACTCCATCAAAATGGCTGAATGGTTTAGACCTAAATAATATGAGTATCAAGTGGTGACCCTTTTGGTTTCGTTTCTAAATTTATTCTTCAAATTTGCTACTTTCGTTGCAATGTAACTATACCTATGGGCAAAGTCCTATATACAGTAGACGTAGGATGTCTGTGGACCTAGAGTTGCTTGTGGAAAGGGAGGAAGGGAAATTGACTCGAGAAACGGGATCTTATATCTATGACTACTGGAGACTCAAGTTCATTGACAGCCTCGTAATAGAAGCTAACATTTAGCATAATTTGAATTGACTAGAAACGTAGCCTTTTCACTACTACCTTTCTATAATTTGAATTCCTCTTGCTTCGATGTTTTCAACTCCTACATACATCTAACAATGGAAAGAACATTCGGCATTATTCTGATTGTTTCTGATATATTTTCCTGATAATATTTCTCCCCAGTTGCCAGCATATTGGAAATCTCTGAGGCACTAGTATAAATGTAGTGTCAAACAGCTAAACGTTCTTCTAATTATTTTCTCACCCACGACTCGACCTCTGTCGTTCTTCTTTTCTCAAAGCGTCCATTTCAGGCATTCCTATCATTGCCGATCCTCACTGATGCAGTCATGGCAGATGAGAATAAGCTCACACCGGCCCAGACGGTGCTTTCGACATGCGAGCTCATCGGCATGATTCTCAACAGCCTCAACGAGATCTACGCCATTGATGCCTTTGGTGAGAGATGCAAGAATAACCCACCCTCATGGTACTCGATGCTCGCAAAATATGGGCGCATCAATAGCTATTGGTTCAACGAAGCCATGCGCCTCCTATGGCCAGACGGCACGGCAATCAAGCACCGCTCAATCGTCCTTCTGCTAGCCAAGGCCATCCCCAGTCGCCGACAATACTACGCAAGCTTCATCAAAAGCAGCTGCTTGATCGACGTCTGTAAAGACAATATCAGAAAGAACAACAAAATCCTTTGCGGGATTGTCTTCCCTAAGCTTCAGTACCTAGCTCTGATCATTCAGCAACGATACAGACAGAAACTTTGGATTCCGAAGATCTGTGCCCCAATCCTCGAGGCTCTGCACGTCCGCCTTGCTTCTTTGATGTGGTCTAACGGGGACACAGAGGTCAGCGTGACCTTTGTCCAACGACGTTGGAGAGGAACGACGCTTCATTTGAACGTCGTAATGGGGTTGATCCATCGAATTCAGGTCTGTTGCACCTTCTGCTTGGTAAGAAAGAGATCTAACTTGCCAGACTAATTAGAAAATTTTCACGGGAGTCCGATTGCTTTTGCTGGGAAACGAACTCCTGATGGCGGGAAGCATCTCCCGGAAAATCATTCAACACACACCAGGTGTGAAGCTAGGGTATGCGTTCAACTATCATGGAAATCAGACGCTGGACACATATCTCAAGACGTACAAGCGGAGATACTGCACTGATGCTCTTCCTACGGGGTGATGAGATTGAGTTACCTTTGCATTTTACTTTGTTTTGACTGAAGGTGACTCATTGTAAACAGGTTCGAGCCAGACGTGACTCAATATCATCCAGACTATCTAGGTTAAATAGCCTCATTTCAATATATCGGAATATCTTTATTCTGTCAATAAAATTGATTCTGTGCATCCTGAAACCATTTTAGGGCCTTGTCACCTTCACTTTCACCTTCTAATTCTCGTGAAAGATCATGGAAAAGAGTATTTTAGTGATGAAAGTGCTCTGTGACTGCAAGGGGCTAGTGATATGGAAGCCTTCCAGCTGTCATTTCTAGTGGAAGAAGCTCTGACATCCCGGGTACTATTCCGACTCGTTTCCTTTAATTAACTGGGATTTTTGACTCAAATTCCAGATAATACATAGCGTTGACCATTTATCTTACACTCAAGCCTTTTGAGCTAGTTACACACGCTTACAGAAAACCATCGGTATGCCTCAGTTCTTCAGTCACCTGAATTTTTCTTACCATTCAGTCGTGGAGATTGAAGTCATGGGGAAATTTTCCGCATTCGTGACATCTTCCAATCAATTGCCTCATCAGCAGCTACTCTAGTTCGTGAATAGTTCTGTATCTTGTCTTGTGAAATTGCATCCTACTCTATGGCCGTCGATCAGTATTAATTAAACGAGCCTATTGACTCTTAGTGACCCCCTCTAAAAGCTACGGATGTTCAAGTAATGTCCGCTGTAGCGAAAAATAACACAACGCGCGGGCTTATTAACAATATGTGTCAAGGAAGTGAACTTATGCTGGCTGGTTTTGGTATTTGTCAAATGAACATATTGTTGGCCCTTGGGTATTAAGCTCGGATGAAGGCGGCTTCGAGCAGCAACAAGGTCGTTAAAGCCAAACAACGCTCATGTTGTCTTGATGATATGCCATGTTTGGATTACAGAGTCCCTGGGCAGTATTTTATTTAAAAATAGAAACTATATTAAGCGATATGATTATATGAAAGGACAAGATCACTGGTAAACGAGATACAAAATAGCACGGTAGTCTATCCCTTAGCTCCTGCCCGCATGTATTGGCTTCCTCCCATATACAACGACCCTAGTAATGTTAGAACGGTTCGAACTTCACGTTCAGGTAATCAAGTACTCACTCTTTAACATAAGCATGTAGACTTTTGTCTTTAAGCTGCTTCTTAACCAGCGCCTGATATACTCGGGACGGATCTTCACCCCATCCTAAAACCTGAGTCAACAGTCTCAGCCCATACGATTCCACTGCCTGATTGACTTGGACAGCTTGGTATTTGCCCAGTTCCTTGAGGTACGGGTCCCGAGGCCATGGCGAATATGGCAGAAAATATGTAGATTGCTGCACATCCTCAAAGCCAACCGCAAGAAGCCAGTCACGTAGCTTATCGTAGATGTTCAGCTCACGTCCCATATATTTTCCTGCAGTATCGAGAGCCTGTACATATTGTAGTAGCGGTGAATCCGTCTTTAGAGATCCATCATCACTCCAGGCCCACACAGCACTCTCCTGAATCTCAAAATACCCGCCTGGCTTAACGTGCTGAAAAATGGTCTGAATGAATTTTGGCCAGTCTGCGACGCATCTAAGCAAAGTTAGTCTATTATCACCTGTATACTTATCAGACATACCCTGCCAGAAGTCGCGCATGGATAAAATCAAAGCTGTTTGGCTTATAAAGCCACTCATCTTCAAAGTTTTCAACGATGAATTCGACATTCGGTAAGCTCCAATTCGGTTGAATCGGGCTAATATCATTACCGATAACATGTGCCTGTGGGAACTTCCTTTTTTTTAATTGAATCAATATAGCTCCTGATATGCAGTGATAAAAGGGGCATAAGAAACGTACTCGGCTATATCGAGAGCCCATATACCTGTTCCCGTCCCAAGATCAAGAATCTTATGAGGCGCTTTCACAGGGGCATTATAGAGCTCTCCTTTCAATAGCATAAGCCATCTAGTAGAAATATTATTATGGATAAACATATTATGTAGGTTTAATATATAGCCTACAAGTGATGTGCCTGGTTTTGATTAGCCTCCGAATTGATAATACATACTATGAAAAGTAAGGTACTTACCAAATCCATTCGATCTTGTTCCTCTTCATCATTCGGCATCCTATTTCGTTAAAATTTTGAACTTCTAAGTTTCTGATTTGGGTGATAGATACATGTAGTTTCCCTATACAACTAGAGAGTTAGCTACTAGCTTATAAATCTTAGCTCGTAAGACAGCCCTACCAAACGGTTACTATGATATCGTCGGCCATTTTCGTATTCATATTGAAGAATACTGGAAGATAGGGATGTGTTATCAGTCCATTCACTGTCGAATTCAGGTTCATCGCTCTATTAACATTTTAGAAAGAATTCGTCAAGTTGAGAATTAAGGCGATACCTCAAAGTCATCGATAGAAATTGGCTGTGGACTATTAGCAATTTGCCCCTCATCACCCGGCCCCGTAAGAGGCTGTTCTGCTGCGGGATTCGATCCCGATTCTGATGCCATTGATAGCGGCAAATGGAAGGTGGCGGCAAACTGAAGCGATGAATTAACAGTTCTTGCCTATCGAGTTGCAACTGAACCTTCAACGTGGCAGAAAGTACATGAATTGCACACTAGAAGCTTCTTCTGGTGATAGAAAAGAGGAGAAAGAAATAAAGGAGGGACAGGAAACAACTCTTTTGGACTTGAAGCGTCGACCCGACAGTATGGTAGCAGGATAAAACACCCGGAAATCTATTGGAGGTCAGGGTGTTCTGCTCGTATAGCCACATTCTGGAGGATTAATGAGATAGTGAGGAATTTTTACATATAGGCATTGTAAGATCATATGACCCGGTGACTGTAATTAGTTACGTCCTCGGTAGTCTCTCTTGTAGAATCGACACTTATGATCATTACATTACGGCAGCAATTTATCACGGAGGCCTGATTTTGGCCTGATCGTTGATCGCCTATTTAGGCCATAATTCTTCTGACGAATCCTGACGAAGGCTAAACCTTAAATATATGGAAAAGGGCTAAACTAACCTAAACAGGCAACTCTCCGCTGCAATAAGCCTTGACCGTATGATACACTGACCTCTACACAAATGTGATGCATCGATTCTTTTCTCTCTTTGCACTTAGAGCTGCACTTTCCTAGGGTTTCCCGTATGACTATGATAGATTAATTCCGGTTCAGTTCTTGACACTAAGGGTATGAGGGGGGGAAGGACTGCTCCAAAATTCAGCTTGAATCTTATGTATCATCTGGTACTTTGAAGATTTTGTAAATATTGAGGAATTTGTGGAATTTGTGGATTTGAACAGAATGCAATACAAGGCGGTTAGTTTGAATCATGCAAGGAGAGGAAGCTGAGTGCAAGTTTGCAAAATAGGGCGGATGAAGAAGGGAAAGACTATCTGGAGAGAAGGGGAAGATGGTTTGCTTACCGTGCGCTGGCGCGAGTAGTACTTGCTGAACTTACTCAATTGATCTCTTGCGGGGCTGTTGTTTTGCATTTTTCGAATTTCTACCCTTCTCATGTCTCTGTTGTGTAGATCCATGTAGGGCATTTATTGCCAAGTATTACCGGTTGGAAAACCTCAGGCTCCTAAGAATTGGATTTGAAGAACAGGTGCTAATCATGAAAGGAACTACAATGGAACCTCCTTCATTTCCTGCCCGAAAATCTAGAATATACGCAGATCTCTTCCCTTCCCATTTGCCTACAAAGCCCGCCTTGGGCAACATGGCACATGCCTCGGTCGCATGGCCAAGTCTTCCCTTAACTGATCGTGGATGATGTGTTCCTGCAGCAGTGAGTACAGCACCAAACTCTCTATGATCAAGAGCAACAACACTGGCTACGCGAGTATGCAAGTCACGTATCGCCGAGCCCAGAAATGGCTGACCCAAGTCACATCCACTTGGCAGCGAATCCATCTTGACCTGGCACCGGAGGCTGTAAGGGCCAGGTCTCCGTTCATACTCCCCGAAAATCTGAGTCAATCGAGAAAGCAGGAGAAATAGATGCGGATGTCACCTAGTCCGAGATCTAGCCAAAATCTTGCAAGCCGATTGGCGGAAATCGAACCTGGCCACGAGGCCGGATCTTTGATCGGGACAAAAGACTCAGAGTTTGCAAAGTAGGTCGCCTTGATTGATGTGGCGACCTTTTTTCTTGCCTCCTTGAACCTACCGGTCCAACAGTTTGTCAATGTGAATCATCCGCCGGTGTGGGATACTTCGTGATAGGGATATTGAGCTGTGTATGGACCATCGGTTTCCTTTTTAGGAATACGCGGTCTAAAACCGGAAAGAGACTTTCAAGAGAATCGCTCTACAGAAATTCGCGTCCAGGCTTGGACCTTGATATCGGAAGGATGAATTTGAAAATGACTTGACAATGGCAGTTGATAGATTCATGTCGAAAGGTTATCGGCCTGGAGACTTTATGTTGATCTACAAATAATGACGTTACCTCCCCTCAAAATTCGTTTGAAACACTCTTTCCATTGGTGCCAATCACGACGATAATCCACCATAACCACATTGCCTGGCATGCGTTTTACCTTACCGTTTCTGGTAGCTATAGTTATGACAAATGCTGCTTCTATAACCCTTTGCGATGACAACGTGACGGCGATTGAAGCTCGCGATGGGGGCGGCTATCGCTCCGTGGCATACTTTGCGAACTGGGTAGGCAACTCTACTGCTTTATTTATCAAAGCTAATCCAGCATTTAGGCCATATATGCAAGGAACTATGTTCCTCAAAACTTGCCTATTGAACAACTGACGCATGTTCTGTACGCCTTTGCCAACGTCCAAGCCAGTGGGCAGGTGTTTCTTTCTGACAGCTGGGCAGATACTGATAAACACTTTGCTGGCGACTCCTGGAATGACCCAGGAAATAATGTATATGGATGTGTAAAGCAACTTTTCTTACTGAAGAAAAGAAACCGCAATTTCAAAGTGCTCCTATCTGTTGGTGGATGGACCTACTCCCCTAACTTTGCAGGGCCGCTTAGTACGACAGCAGGGAGGGCCCAATTTGCCTCATCAGCAACCACCCTGGTTCAGAATCTTGGATTCGATGGAATTGATATCGATTGGGAGGTGATGAATGTTATAACCTTTCTAGCAATCATATACTAAATCAGACAGTATCCTGCCGATAGCACCCAAGCTGCCAATATGGTGGCCACGCTGCAAGCACTACGCCAGGCCCTAGATTCATACAGCGCAGCAAATGCAAATGGCCACCATTTCTTAATCACGGTTGCTTCCCCAGCAGGTATGGTCCTCGTCTATCAGAATGAACTCGCTGATAAATACAGGCCCTTCCCACTACCAGCAACTTCAACTTGCAGCTATGGACCAGTATCTGGATTTCTGGAATCTCATGGCCTATGATTATTCAGGAAGCTTTGACACCGTCACCGGGAATGATGCCAATCTCTATGCTTCTACCTCTAACCCAAGTAGTACCCCTTTTAACACGGATCAAGCAATCAATTACTACACCTCGAATGGCGTGCCTGCGAGTAAAATTGTGTTAGGAATGCCACTTTACGGTCGCGCTTTTATGAACACCAATGGCCCCGGCACCGCTTACAGCGGCGTGGGGAGCGGAAGCTGGGAGAATGGAGTATGGGACTACAAGGCACTACCCCTGCCTGGATCATCGGCCAATTACCTGGATCAGCCCATCGCTAGCTACAGCTATGATTCCTCCAAGAGCATGATGGTCAGCTACGATACCCCTCAAGTCGCGCAGAAGAAGGCACAATACATCAAGTCCAAGGGCCTTGGTGGTGGGATGTGGTGGGAGAGTAGCAGTGATAAGACAGGATCAGACAGTTTGATCACCACGGTTTGTCTCGATCAGTGGTATTTGAGGTCATTACTAATTTTTGTTAGGTTGTTACTACACTCGGAGGCACTGGTGCTTTGAGACAAGTACAGAATCAACTTGGCTACCCAATTTCCGTCTACAATAACTTGAAGGCCGGGTTCCCCAATAACTAGATGACCTTGGCTGTCAAGACTCTTTTGCAGTTAAAGGGGAGATGTGGGACAGCTCGTGGATATCCGTCGCGAGATACGTAACTGGGGTGGATATGGCTTTATCTAGATCATCTTTCGCTTAGATCTATTGAAATTCAACGCCCATTTCATGCTACTGCTATAATAGCATCAGCTAGCTACAGTGAATCAATCATCGGATTAAAATCTTGTAAATTGCAGGAGTCGGATGAAGAATGTCTGGATGTCGAGCCATTTAGGGGCTTCCAAGATTAGAGTTAAAATTCATTTCATGCGCTTTATTTCAGGGTAAATAGACGGGTTTTAGTTGAGTAAATTTGCATCAAAGTCGTGAATAGAAGAAAATAGTGATAGATCCTCCGAGTTTCATAAAATACTCTTCTCCTGAGCCCCGTCGATGACAGATGTTGCTGACGGAGATGATGTGGATACAGACTCGTCTACCCCCATGATATTGGAATGGTTTGCCAGACCTTTACTTCCAACAAGGCCTCTAAAAACCTGCATGATTTGCTGGATACCACCATCAACAAGTGGGTACACAATAGCGACCAACATGGCACCCCAAAGCCAAATGATAGCGACGACCACCCAGGCGATAAAGAACTATCAAAAGTTAGCTGCAAGAAATCATCGAATAGAAGGATCACCTACCTTCTTCTCGAAAATATAACCAGACCCATACATAGGCAAAGGCCAGAGCACCCAATGACCTAAAAAGGTAGCGATGGACCAGAATGCCGCAATGCGACCCCATCTCTTCAGCTCCTGCGCATCAAATGCCGCACTTCGAACACCGCCGTCTTCAAGACCATTTGCCCCATTCTGGATAGCTGTCTCCTGGTGAGCAGTAGTCAAGTTACTATCCAGTTTCTCCAGTGCCAATTTCTCTTTTTTGAAATCATCCCAGTTGTACCGCTGCGGCTTGATGAATGTGATGATAAGAGAGTACACGATTGGCGAGAAGCAGGAGGCTACAGTGCCGTACATGCAAGGAAGTACCTCGCCTGTTGTCGCGACGGAGACTTCGCCGCCGAAGTGGACGGCTGTGCCGAGCCAGACTGCCAGTCCAGTGATCATTCCTAGGATAGGAGAGAGGATGGCTGCGGTTTTGCTTTGTTGCCGCCAGAGGATAGTGAAAACCATTGGGAAGATCCCAGGGCAGGTAACAACGCCTGTAAAATGTTAATAATATATTCTAGACTCCCATTTAGAGCATACCAAGCATATATAGCGTCCATCCAAGATCAATTCCAACGTAGTGCAGCATTGTGCTGAAGCCAGCTGAGAAGGCCGCAAAGAAGATAACGCCAAAGTGACTCGCGCGGATCAGGTCGCGATCTGTGGCGGATTTCTTGAAGTATTCGCGGTACACATCAAAGCTCAAAATAGAGCTTACTGCAATGACTTGGGCGGAGAGGGTGGATGTGCATGCCATGAAGGTGATCAAAAGGGAAGCCGCAGCACCACCTTTACCTGCGATCGTCATCGCCGCATAGGGTAGAACCAGACCGTTGCTAACCTCGGATGTAGTCATTCTCTATTTAAAGTATTAGATATCATATCTGGAAGACTAAGAGAAACTTACCCGAGGATATGTGGGGAAGTTGGGCTGGTTCTCGAGTCCCAGAGCGATGGAGCTCATCACGGTTCCCAGACCCCATGGGACGGCAAAGTATGCAATACCTCCAATGGTGTAGCCTGGTACCACTGCAGCTGGAGATGCTGAGAACGCTTTGATGAAGTAGCTTGTATCCATCTGGCTAGTGTTAGGTCGATCGCTCCTGGTGCAGGGATTAGCTTACAATAACAAGGCCAAAGTTGCCCAAAGTATGTAAAATGCCAAAAATAATTGCCTAGAGATGTCAGAAGATTGGTATGCTGATTGAAGAAGATACTAACGCTCTTCGACTTCATGGTTAAATAAGTTCCAGCTTGATTGCCCGAGACAGGGTGTCGCTCAGCGGCGGCTACAAGAAGATCATACAGATTGCCGACAGAACCAACTTGATCCACCGAGAAAGCCTTGGCCGTGAAATAGCATGCGATGATTAGAATAATGGCAGTATGGAAATAGTCTGTCAAAAAACTGCAGTCTATCAGCATGAAGTCTCAAAACACAGGAGAGAACCAACGTTGCTTTGATGCCACCAACAAAGGTGTAGACCGTCACTCCGACCGGCAACAAAAATGTCGCCGCAATGATGTGCATTCCGGACCTAATTCGTTAGCGGCTGAGTTGACCGTTTGTCGAATGAGACATACATGGCTGTGATAACAGCAGAGGCACCGAGAAGCATATTAGCACAGGCGAAAATGTTGTTGATGAGACACAAAATCATGAACACGATATGAGCAGTCCGTCCTGATCACCATTAGCCCTGTCGAATTGCATATATCTCATAGCTACATACCATATCGAATCCGCACCACCTCGAGCGATGTATGCGCCTCAGGGATCTTTCGTTTGCAGGAGATACCTAGCAGCGCGAAGAAGACAATCATTGGACTGCAGCCAGCAGCGAACCAAAAAGGACCAGCAACGCCATAATCATAGCCCACGAATGAGGAGCCGAGCAGGGCGGTCGACCATAACCAGGACTGGTATGAATGTCAGGACAGGAAAGCTTCATATTGAGAATCGGAACACCGCACCGAAATAACAGCCGACGCGGTAAGGCCAGTTCGTACAGTGCGATTAGCTGTCATGAACCTATTGTCTGATCAGCATACTCCCCAACAGGAGCAGTTGAGGGCTGGGTCGTTACATTTCGGTCTTCTGGTTGTCTTCCCCGGTAGTCTTCTTCAGGATTTTGGTGATCAACATCATCACTGATTGAAGTCAGCCCGCGGTCAACAAAGATCCAGATCGATCACACCTAGAGCTATCACCAAACCAATTACGACAACCACAACATAGCCAACTGCCTGAGACAGGGGTGGTTGGACGCTTGTGACACCATCGCGAATCTTTAGATTTGACATCTTTGATGTCCAGTAAGGGGAAGAAAGAAAAGATTCTTTGGTGCCGAGCTCGCGGATCTGGGCCAATACAAGTTTAAATGCAGACCGCAGGAAGTGAGAGCATAGCCTACATGAGAGTAAATGATCAGAATCGATCCAAAATGACTTGATATAAGCTCGCGATGAGGTGCTTTGATCAAAAAAAAGTTTAAAGTTTAAATTGATAATGCTGTAAAATCAATGTCAGAGAAGGACTATTAATGATGAAGATAAATATTAGGAAGATCGATTGACTGATTCCATGAAAATGGAAATAATAACCGAGATCTGGAGGTTCGAATTTCCAATTCGTTCAAACAATGATACATTGGGAATCTAGATTCTACATGTCTACAGTCTGAATGGACCGAAAGCCATTCAATGTTGCTCAATCTCTCGCCCGAGAAGATTCAGACTAAGTAAGCTTGGATTTGAATGGGTAGATCTACAACTTTGATCTAAATAAACCAATGACAGCGCTTGTTCTCTTGTTTGAACCCCTCGATGTTCTCCTCTATCGCGCCATCGCGCCCCACATTGATGCTATAGTACATCCCATGGGATGTGACGCACGCGGGGATAGAAGGAATGGTGTGCTCGTTGATTATTCTATACAAATTAAGACAAGCTCCTCTGTCTATAAGAAAATTGCAAAGTAAAGAATTTCAGAGTCGTGTTGAGAAACTCCGCTACATCTATCGCCAAGATTTCCAGCTATGGCGGATACCAAAAATGCAACCGGCGAGAAGCCACGCAAGTCATTGATTCTAAATGCCTTTGTGGAAATGTGTGAGTTTTGGCCACTGTTATTTTTCATTAGTATCTGACAGGTATCAGGCAGTGGACACCAGTCTCCTGGCCTTTGGCGACACCCCGAAGATGAATCTCATCGATTCAACGATATCGGCCACTGGGTGGAACTTGCTCAATTGCTTGAGTCGGCCAAATTCCATGGCATTTTCATTGCAGATGTTCTCGGTAAGTTGAGTTGGAAATCATCGCTATCTTACTAACATTTGACTTACAGGAGGTTATGATGTCTACAAGGGACCCCGGAACCTGGACCCGGCAATTATCTCTGGTGCTCAGTGGCCAGTGAACGAGCCCTTGGCAGTAGTGCCTGTTATGGCAGCAGCAACCAAGAACATCGGGTTCGGAGTAACTGTGACGACGACATATGAGCAGCCTTATCACTTGGCAAGACGTCTATCGACTGTTGATCATCTGACCAAAGGACGGTATGTCAAATGCAATGTTGATTGAATGGCCAGTCGCTAACATGAATACTAGATTGGGATGGAATGTGAGTATCTCCCTACCCAAGCCCATCGAAAAACGAGACTGGGCTAATAATTGCAGGTCGTAACTGGATATCTGGACTCCGCAGCCCGAAACATGGGCCAAGCCGAACAGCCACACGTAAGTCCTTCTTTTTCAAACCACGAATTCCTAGTTCCTACTAACATAGACAGCACGATGACCGATATGCTGTCGCAGAGGAATACGTCAAAGTAACCTACAAACTCTGGGAATCATCCTGGCGCCAAGATGCCGTGGTCCTGGACCGTGAACGCGGCGTCTACACCGAACCCTCGCGAGTTCGACAGATCAATCACGCAGGAAAGTACTTCAACGTCCCAGGACCACACCTGTGTCAACCAAGTCCGCAACGAACACCCGTCATTCTCCAAGCGGGAACATCTAAGGCTGGAAAGACCTTCGCAGCTCAGCACGCCGAAGCCATTTTCGTCGCAGGACACAGTCCCTCTGTCGTGGCCAAGAACGTTGCCGAGATTCGGCAGCTGGCGAAGAGTGAGTTTGGACGTGATCCGCAGAGTATCAAGTTCCTCGCTCTACTTTGTCCTGTTCTTGGTCGTACGGAGGAGGAGGCTTTGGAGAAGTTTGAGCATTATCAGAGTCTAGGGTCGATTGATGGGGCGTTAGCATTGTTTGGTGGTTGGACGGGGATTGATCTGGACACGTACGGTGATGATGAGGAGCTGCGGCATGTGGAGAGCAATGCGATTCGGTAAGTGGAATGAAAATCCGTGAGCTCAAGTGCTGATGGGATTAGGTCTGCTGTGGAAGGATGGTCGAAGGCCAGCCCTGGGGTCCCGAAATGGACTAAAACCACCGTTGGCCAACACATCACTGTTGGTGGTCTAGGTGCCACTCCTGTTGGCACGGCGGCGCAGGTCGCTGACAGCATGGAACGCTGGATTGAAGAGGCTGATGTAGATGGATTTAATTTGGTAGGATCAAAGTCTCAATTTGTTGGATTTCAGATCACTAACCGAATCTAGGCTTATGCGGTCAAGCCGGGCTCGTTTAAGGATGTCATTGATCTGCTGATCCCTGAACTGCGTCGTCGGGGTTTGTTCTGGGATGATTATGCGGTGCAAAAAGGAACATACCGTGAGAACCTGAACGCCACACCTGGCCAATCTGGTCCTCGACATGATCACCCGGCGGCCAAATACAGGTGGCACGCAGGTGTTGACGCTGCTGACCATCCAGTCCCGGAGAATTAGTAGATCAACGTCAAGTAAATAACTAGCATATACATGGATGTTCAGTTTAGTCTTTGAAATTGAAATATTGAAATATATTGAAATATCTTTTGCAAGATCTATTTTTACAACGCCAACCTTGAATGCGATTTTTGTACATGGCAGTGCCACGGAACCCTTAAGTCAACATATCATCCAGTCGCTCACCCAGTACGCTCTCAATCTGTTTCACCCACTTGCGCACTTCTCTCTCAACACTCTCGTCCTCATCCTCCATTAGTTCACTGATGTATGGCAGCATCTCCGGAAGAAGAGCCAGCCATTCTTCACCGAGCTGCTCAGTAAGAGCCTGCTCGGCTTTCAAGGCAGCAAGGCGAGTGAATGGGTTATCACCACCAGCCGACTTGGCGTTGGGAGCAGTGGAGGGGCGGAGGTATCTCATCAGAGCAACGTTAAGCTCCTTGTGGTTATCAGTCGAGTCAGCTGCGGTAGCAAGCTCGGTAATCGCGGGAACAACTTCTGTGACAACGAGTTCCGCTGACTTCAAAGAGGTTGCGTGGGCCAACTGCGAAATGAGAGGACCAGAGATGCTGCTGAGGTGGGATGGAGATTGCCAGAATTCTAATTTAATCAGCACTACCCAGATAAAAATAAGGAAGAAAGAAACGTACCGTCTTGGTCATGTTCGAATGAGTTGCGCAGAGTGCCGAGTGTAGCCAACCAGAGCTGCTTGGTGGCCTTGGCAGGTCCACTTGAACCCAGAATCTTGACTGTGTGCTCCAAAATGTAGCTGGAGTAACCGGTGACAATAGACTGAACAAGTTAGTGAGAGCTAAAGGGATCATCTGAAAGGACCATACCTGAAGGGTGCCGAAGAAGACCTGGAGGAACTTGTAGAACGTTGTGAGACGAGAGAGTTGGGCTTGCTCATCCTTCTGAGCACTCGTAGCCCATTCGACCATCTTGATGAACAGTGGTCGGAATGTGCTGTCGTTGAGCTTGTAGATCATCTTAATCGTGACATCGTGCATGGTAGTCTCAGCTTCATCCAGATCACCGGCGTCAAACTGAGCACGGTCGCCAAGGGCGGTTTGCTCACGTCGCAAATCGAAGGCCTTGAAGAGAATAGTGGTAAGAACACCAATGTTATTGGCCACAGTGGACTTGGGGTTCTTCTCAACAGCCAGGCTCAAGACCTGCAGGACCTCAGTAGTAGCAGTTGGTCCGGCCTTGACAGCGTTCTGCCAGTTGCGGTCAATCGCGCCAAGAGTGGCGGTCAGATCCATCTTGCGAGCAGCCATGAGGCGAAGGGTCTCTTCGCGACTGTCCTCGGAGGAGTCGTCAAGGCTGGCATTGGTTGACTTGAAAGAGAGCAGCAGAATCTGATCAAGAGTGGCAGCGGAGATCATGAAGGGAAGGTGGTCGAGGAGGGCAGAGAACAGCGAGAAAACGGCGTCGTGCAGGCGTGAGTTCTCCTTTTCGGGAACCAGGCTGAGCTCCAGCAGCTTCACTGACTGCTTGAGGGTATCGGGGAGGGCTGGGATCATAGCCTGGCCCAGAACCTCGGCCATAGAGGCCAGACACAAAACACCCATGATGCGAATGCGGTCATCATCGTAGCCGAGACAGGATTCGCTAGCGACGACTCTGGCGGCAGTGATGACCTTCGAAGGGTCCTTGCGACCGTACTTCTCGGTGATGCGATCAATACAGGCGACAGCGGCATGCTTGAGCATGGAGTCGGGTGACGATTCAACAATATTGACCAAAGTAGGCAAGAAGTCAAGGACACGAATCTGGGACTCGTTGTCACGCTCGGGGGTCTGGCGCAGGCGGTTCTCCAGGAGTCGGAGGACCTTGCGACGAAGGTCATCGTTAGGCTCTTGCAGCAAGACCTCAATGGTATCTAAGAAGTCGACAAGAGACAAGGTGCTGAAAAGAGCGCCAAGAACCTCGCCACATGCTTGGCTCACGGGCTTCATGCTTTGCACGGATTCGCCAATGTTCAAAACCTGTCCGAGAACGCGCGAGAAGCAAGCGCGAACTTGACCTGCAACCTCGTCGTCCTTCTCGAAAGCAGCCTCCAGCTTAGACTTCAGGGAGGAATGCTTGAGTAGGTGAGCGAGATCACGGAGCAAGTCAACGGCCACCTTCTGAGGGTCACGGCCGTCATCGCTTCCGATTCCAAGTAGAATCTGGGAAATACCGGCCTTAGGCTGCAACGCATCGATGACGAGGTTGAGGTACTTGCTGTAGGTGGTGAGCTCGACAACGGGAGTGGTGTCTGAGGCCACTCCAGTCATCAGAGTGAGAACATCCTTGTCGTTGGAGTAACGGTTCGCAAGCATAGCTAACACAGCAAACAAGAAATCCTGAGTGCCCAGCTTGGTGATCAATGCATGGAAGAGTCGCAGACGACGGTGCGAGGGGATGTGCTCGAATGCGGCGGTGAAGCTGAGTAGGAGTTCCGAGGTTCCGGAAACGATATCGCGCTTCTGGCTACGCAGAGACTGGATAAGAGCCGGCACAACATGGTCAATGGTCTGATCGATGACAGAAACCGAGTAATCATCATCTTTGCGGAGAACACTTGATCCCATGAATGTGAAGATCGGCATCACGCTGTGAAGGACGAGCTCCGGCGCAATCACAGAAAGGCCTGCGACCAAGAGGAGGGCGGCATTTTGCACCTGTGGGCTTTCGGTTGTGCGGACGCAATCCACCACCAAGTCAGCCCGGATGGCAGCAGTGTCGAACAGCGGCTTAGGAGATCCCTTGGACTTGTTGACAATGGCCAATAGGCTGCCCAGAGTGAGACTGAGCAGGTAGCTCATACCAGATTGAATCTGAGACTTGAAGTGATGAAGAGCAGCAAGGGTCTGGAAGAGGCCTCCGGCAAGCTCGGGGTGAGAATCAGGGCTGGAGCTGTCCACAACTTCAAGAATGAAGGTCATCTTATCCATGAGCTTGCTAAATTCTGCCTCATCCTTGACGGTCATCGCAATCATATTGTTCTGGCTGGTCCGTCTGCGCTTGGGCGCGGGGCCAAGACTCTCAATGTGAGTCAATGAAACGGGAATCTTGTTAATGAAGCTGAGAAGAATGGCACCCGACAGCTCGACACTGCGAAGAACAGCGCGGCAATTGTCTGCGAGAGGCGTTTCGTCAGACTCGCCAAGAGAGATATCCAAGAGCTTTTCGGCGGCTGTTACTTGGACATCTTCTGGGATCTTACTCCAAATCGCCTTCATGTGAGAGAATCCAGCTGCCACGAAGGAAGTTCGCACCGAGACGGGGCTAACATTTTGCAGCAAGATGTCAATGGCATCGCTGTCCTTAGCAGTCACAATGGCAACCACATCTTGCTCGACCTCAGCAAGAGAAAGACGCTCTGCCACACAGATATCCTCGACTTCCTTCTGACTCAGGCCACGCCAGTGCTGGAGCAGAGGGAGAAGCTCCTTGGCACGAGTGGTTCCCGAAACCTTCTTAACATTGTTAAGCAAACGGAGAAGGCCAAACTTGGGACCATAAATTGGCATTTGAATCGTGTTAGAAGAAAGGAATTTGAAAAAGCCCAAACGAAGAGACTTCTTCAGTTCCGAAGCACCGGAATCGTCCGACAGAACAGATCCGCGCATCGTAGCATCAAGCACCTTAGCAATATAGGTAGGATCCAGAATGTACTCCTCAAGTCCAGGCAGCAATGCACGCTCCAGTACCTTTAGGACATCAGTAGTGGGCAGCCATGAAACGCTAGAAGATTGAGTTCCCTTGCCGTAGATCACGTCGTGAGCCCAGGGTTTGGCATCTGCCTTCTTGTTGTTCTTGTAAATGGTAACAATGAGAGCCAAAACACCGGTGGTCTCACGACGAATGCGCTCGGAGGGATCACAAAGAGCCACGAGTAGGAAGGGCAACAGGGCCTGAGGGTCGAAGTCACCGTTCACTGATGATAGAACGGAGGCAATAGAATTGAGTGCAGCAATCTTTGTTCCCAAGGGATAAGGTCCGGAAATAACCCGAGTGAAGAACGACAGGAATTGCGGAGATTTCGTCGCATCGGCCTTGGCAAGGATTGGGAGACCAACAAATTGAGCAAATTTGGATTCAGATTCGACGGCCAAGGCAAAAACCTGAACAAGGTTGTTGAACTCGGGGATGTACTGCTTGGTCAGGAATGAAGACGGGAATTTGGGTTCCTTAGACAATGACTCAAAGGCAGGTGTGAAGTTGTCGACATCATCGTCAATATCCTCCATCTCCACGTCTTGGATAAGCTGAGGTTGAACGGGTGCCTCAACGACGGTTTGCAGATTGTGCTCCAATGCTGAGACGTTGAAGGATGATTCCGCCAGCAAGTTTTGGAAGGTTGGCTGAAGGAAGCTAGACCGGCTAAATCCTTGGATCAGCTCAGCAAGCTGTGTTTGGGTTTCCAAAGACATATCGCGAGTCTTTTCAATGTCACTGGCCGACTTGAGGACCATAACCATAGCTTGTTTCACTTCATCCTCCTGCAAGACCTTGGCTTCGAAAACAGATGACAAAAGAGTGAGGTGCACGCTGTTCTTCTGCAAGTCACTGACGAATCCATCAACAAGCCCAATCAAAAGCTTGGATGTGTTGTATTGTGTCGCAACTTCGGACAATTGCTGCATGGGGCGGTCAAGGCGAATAAGGGCCTTGAACACCTTCTTTGGCAGGGTAGCGGTTGGCTTCTGCTGAGCAAGAACCGACAAACAAATCAAGCCAGAACTCAATGTTTCCTCTTTCCATGAAGTAACCACGGTCTCCATCAGGCCGTCTAGAACATCGTCGGCCAGGGAAGCTTTTTGAGCTAGCACAACGGAGATCATGTAGCAACCGATAATCAGTTCGGACACCTTCTTCAAGGCGAAACCGCTGCTAAGAATCGGCAGCACGCGAATTATAACATCCTCGTGCTTCTGCTTCTCAACCTCTCGTCGACCCGAGCGAGCACCGTCCAGCATACCTGCAACAGCCTCGGTGGTAATTCCCGCCCAGAAGGAAAGCAGGGAGTGGCTCTGGGCACCTTGCTGACATACCTTTAACACATAGTTGTTAAAGGCTGAGAAAAAAGGTTTGTTTGTGGTAGCGCTGTGCACGATAGGGTGTCGGGGAGGGTTGATAAGGCCTGTCTTATAAGGGTAAAGGACTTTCAATGTCGGGGTAAGATCATTGGGCAGTATCGAGAGAAGATTGAGGAAAAGCGGTGTGGTATGGTAGGGCAAGAATGTCAGAACCATGTAGGTTGTGTTGTACTCGTGCGATCTGTAGAATGGTCAAGATTAGTTCTTTACTCAAATGCGCAACCCGTCGATTACATACCTAAACCTTCGTACCAACCATTCCACTGCCTTAACAGCAGGGCTGAGCTGCAGACGTCCTCCAACAAGTGCCAGGAAATTCTCAATAACAGTATCCAGTTCCTCGTTCTGTGTGGCGTTCATCTGTGTTCGATCCTCGGCCTTGCTCTGCTCACTGAAAATCGTGCGTTCAAACTCCTCAAATCGGCCATCCAGTGAGCAAAGCTCCCGGAAGCCTTCATAACAGATTTCATAGATAGTGTCAAAGTCCTGGGAACCAGCAATGTTGTAATCAAAGATCAGTGACTGTGAATGAGCGATCCGCTGGGTTTTGAGATCAAGCTCATGGGTTGATTTGGCCGCAATCTGCGACAGCTGCGCAGCAAGAGAGGAAGCCATTATTCAGGGTGATTAAGTGTGATTCAACAGAAATCACAGAGGCCCATTTCTGAAACTCAGCAGTGGGTGTTAATATGAAAGGTGGGGAGTTGGCGCGCACCTCTTGTTTGAAGCCGCTTCAATCGCAACTTTTTTTTGTCGCAGATCCCCGCTGACCGCTCAGGAATAACCTTCCCCCGAACTATCAAACTTCCATCCTCACCGCCCTCGGATCAACCTTCCACCGAACTATCAAAATCCACTCCGCCCGATAACACTCCAAGGGCCTGTGAGGATGGATTCGTCCGGTTCCAAGGTGAGCTTTCTTGTCTTCAGCTTCGAATGATACGCCCTGACCCCCAGAAAAAGGACAAAAAGTCCACTCCTAAGTTCGCCAGCTTCAAGCTACCCTCAGCCACTGATACCGCGGAATCGTCCGATCGCCCTCAAAGCAATTCTGAACGCGATCATAAGCCTCGGTCATCACGACGATCTGACGGAAACCACCATGAAAGAGTGTCTGATCGGCCATCTCGCTCCAGTCACAGTTCCTCCAACCGACATCGCTCGCGCCAACATTCCAGACATCGTTCTCGAGAACGTTCCCGGTCCCCCAGGGTAACCTCCAGACACCACCGATCCCGAGAACGCGATCTGCGTCGTCGATCAATCCAGTCCAGTGCAAACAAGGACAGTTTGCTGCTCCCCGAGCCATCCCAAACAACTCCGATCAAATCAACGTGGCCGCAATGGGCCTCGCAGGTCTCGACAGCAGAGGACTCCTACTCCGACTCCTCGCCCGAATTCTTCATTGATTCCAGAGGAGACCAGGATGCTCTCGCGTATGGGACAGGGAACCGCTGGAAGGTCCCATATTATCACCGATTCGGTGGAGGCTTTGTGCTTGGTCTTGGTCGCACATACCGAATTGATCGTGACCAGTCACATGGAGAACATGTAGTCTTGCGCCCAAGTTGGGTTGCAGACTCATCGACGAGAGACGGAGACAATCACCTTCTATCTCAAGCTCGTAGCCTCCCGTTTCCCGAATATCGCGTGGGTGGCTCAGCGGCCTCTGGCCTTGAGCTAACTGCGGACTTCGTCATGATTGACGGACAGGATTGGGGTGAGCCTTGTCCCCGCCCAGTTCACAACACTGATCTTCAGGAAGAAATCGCCGATTTTGAACGACTGCTAATATCAACTTGGCCCCCAGCTACACGTGATATTGAACACCCTACCGAAGGAATCGATCTCGACGCCGAAAGAAAATCTCGGAACGCAACCCTATGGAAAGCGGTGGAAGATAACCCCCAAGATGTCGGTGCATGGCTTAGGTTTATTGACTACCAGGATATGTCGATCCTCGGACCGCGAGACGATTCTTATTGCCTCACCCACGATGAAAGGACCAGCCTTGCCGATGTGAAGTTGTCCTTGTACGATAAAGCCCTTAAACAGGCCAGCGAAAGCCCTCACAAAGATCGCCTATTGCTGGGCAGATTGCAAATTGGAGCACAGTTATGGGATTCCGAAAAAGTCTCAAACCAGTGGGAAAAGACTCTTCAGGACAACCCCGAGTTCATTAGTCTATGGGTCAAATTCCTCAACTTTTGCCAAACCGACTCCCCGGATTTCACCTTCGGGCAGTGTATCGCTACCCATGAGAAGTACTTGAGACTCGTTTCATCCCTGATCCCGCTTCGCCCCAACATGGTTCAAGTTCTAGTCTACATATTCCTCCGTTTCACGATTCTCTTCAGGGAAGCAGGCTTTAGTGAAATTGCAGTCGGTCTTTGGCAGGCAGTACTTGAGTTTTGCTGTTTCAAGCCGGAATTCGACAACACCAATGAAATCTTGTCATCGTTCCGCGATTTCTGGGATTCAGAAGTGCCCCGCATTGGGGAGGATGGAGCAAAAGGTTGGAGAAACAACACAGCCTCAGACCCAGATCCTACCACGACGCAGTATTCGTCCAATGTCTGCAATTCCGATGTGGCCTCTTGGGTAGAGGCAGAACGAGAGCGAATGACAAAATCTCAATTGCCATGGCGCAGCTTAGATGGATCAATCCCTGATGCCGACGACCCAAACAAAGTTCCTCTCTTTTGTGACATTGAGCACATTCTGCCGTTGTTCATGAGTTTGACCCAGTCAGATGAGCTGATCGATGCTTTTCTGTACTTTGGTCAGCTGCCACATTTGACATTTCCCAGCAATATCCAGACCACTAGGGTGTGGGGATGGGACAACCTCTTACGGACCGAATTTGTGGCAGATCACCGCCTTGGGCTCTCCTCGTGGATGCCGCCTCACGATGAAAATCAAAAGCCAGCAAAGCCTTTCCTCTATCCCCTCCAGAACTTCTTGAACACTACTGACACGTTGTTCGCTTCGCCCAATCATTGGTTCTATTCATTCCAATGGTGGGGCAAATCCCATTCAATTCAACCGCCACTCAAGACCCACGAATGGACGTTGCGCTCTTTGCGGCTTCTGGTGGATCAACACCCAGATGACGAGGAATTAGCAGAATATGCTCTAGCGTTGGAGTTTGCATGCGACCCTGTGATGGGTAGGAAGATTGCCAAGAAGACCGTGAAGAAGAGACCATCGAGCCTGAGACTATGGAATGCTTTGGCAATTATGGAGTCAAGAAGTGAGGACACAGAGGGCCGAAAGAAAGCGAATGGAGTTTGGGCGACCGCTCTTTCAATGAGTCTTGATTTCACAAAAACTGAGCAAAAAACAGACCGTGCTATTCTTTGGCAGTCTTGGATCTGGCAGTTCATGGAAAGGGGAGAACAGACTCAGGCTTTGTATCTGTTGCACAACATAGCCGAGGCCAGGATTGACCCGGAGCAAATTCCAAATGAAGAGACGTTTTTCACCCCTACCTCAACTGTCAAAGTACAGAAGTTTCTGCGTGAATGCCAGGAACAAGCTTTGATCGCTAGAAGAGCCCAGGCATACGTGGCCTACACCGACTGCCTCGCTCTCATTTACTATCTCTCGAATTGGCCGTTCGAGGCTGTCCTGGATATCTACGACAGTGCCGTCCTGAAGCTAAAGGGCTTGTCCCCGGACCGAGAGGCCTTCAAGGCATTCACAGCGGAGCTACTCCATCAAGCCCGCGCAAGGGTCGTGTACGACTCCCTATGCCAAAAGGACCATCACTACACCCCCATGCAAGTCCGCGAGCTCTTCAGGGAGAGCATAACCTTATTCCCCCACAACACGATCTTCCAATCGATCTGCATGTGGAATGAGTTCAGCATCATCCAAATCGACCGGCTTCGAGATCTACACAAATTTGTCAAGGAGGACATGGACAGCCAGTATCAACTGGACGCCTCTCCAGTCATTCCCCCGCAACGTGTCCCGATCTCAAGCTACCTCCTTCCGATCTGGATCCAGCTCGCTAGCCCACGATCCACCGGCCCCTCATACTGGATCGTACGTCCAGTATTTGAGAAGGCGCTAGGCGAGGTCCTTGACCCTGCGGAATTCCGCACAGGCGGAGTAGCTGTACGGAGCCGCTTTGGCGTGGATAGCGCCAGATCAAACCTCACGATCTGGAAGCTGTATATGCTCTACGAACGTTACCACGCCAAGGACCTCGACGCTGCCAAGGCCGTTTTTTACCGCGCTATACGGGCTTGTCCATGGTCGAAGGAGCTGGTCATGTTTGCCTTCGAGCACCTTCGCGACGGCATGCCTGTCTCGCCTGGGGAGGTCACCCTGAAAGGCGACGGTCTGAATGCTGACGAGCTGCGCCGGTTAGTCCTTGTGCTTGGTGAGAGGCAGCTTCGGCTGCATCTCGATATCCGGGCCGATATCATCCGGGCAGCTGACGAAAGTCATGCCAGCTAGGCATGAGTGGATTCCCGTCAAGAATGGCATGTCATTACAGGCGAAGGTGAGGGTTGCAGTGATCAGAAGACATGTTGTCAGGGTCTTGGCGAGTGAGGACTTGGTGAAGAGAAAGAGAAAGAGAAAGAGAAAGAGAGGTGCCGTGACATCTCTGTATAATTTAGCCCACGGGCAGCCATTCTTATTCCACAAATGAAATGGTCACGAACAATATAATATCATATGTAGCTTTTGATAATACCTCGCAGTATTATCAACTATAATACAGGAGAACCAGTCCGACGTATACTTCGCGAACAGGATACACGTCAGACCAACGAAGAAATCAAAAACAAACTCATCACTCATAAAGTCATGCGATATCAACATCGCTCAAAAAAAGAAAACACAACTAAAAGTTCTCCTTCCAGAACTTGAACCGAATTTCCTTGGAAGACGCAAACCTAGCCGCCTCATCAATCTGCATGGCCGCAGTATTGGGTCCACAGAAGTAAACACCAATCTCTGTAGAAGAAGTAGCCTGCAATCCACGCATATAGGTCTGATCTACCAACCCAGCCCGCATAGCCAGAAACAAGCGTTTAAAGTCCGGACGACCGAAATTCGTCCGACTCCTCAACTCAGTAAGCGGATCAAGCGGCTGCCCAACAGAATTCAAATAGATATTCGCAGCAGTATCCTCATCAAGGCGCTGAGTGAGGTAGGTATGAATACGCAAGAACTCGGTATTTCCCTCGAAAGCAGCGGCGTTCGCAGATTGCGCCTCCAGGGACGAGAGCAGAGCCTGGAACCATTCAAATGAGGAGGTGTCTTTGCAGATCCAGATGAATTCCACACGACGTAGACGGCGGGGCGGGTTGGGACTCGAGCGAAGATGCCAGATATTCTTCAGGATAGATGCCCAGGGTGTGACACCGATACCTGTTCCGATGAGGACGGCGATTTCGTTCTCGAATACATCTTCGGCAGGTGCTCCGTAGGGTCCGTCAATGCGCATCTTTGGCATGGTTTGCCCATTTTGGAGAGCGACTTCGTACATCCCGTTTGGATCTAGGCCTTCGAGGTCCTTTGCTTGTGCGGGACCGCAACCCAGAGCGTCTCCGAGGGCGCGGGTGAAATCTCCAACTTGGCGGACATGGACGCTGATGTAGGGGTCAAAAGGGCAGGACGTAATGGTGAACGGATGCCATTGGGTGGTTGAGACGTCAGGGACTTGAAGGAACAGCCATTGTCCTGCTTTATACTTCATGCTTGGCTTTTGGAACTGGATTTCCATGGCGGCTGTTCTATGTTAGTGCTTGAAGTATTGGTGGATCGGATCGGGTCAACATACCATATGGGTGACGAATGACTTTGGTGATGACAGTTTCTTTTCGAGCTCGTATTTCCCGGTAAAGTCGCTCAAAGAGGTACATGGAGCCCGCTACGAGCTCCCATCGCCATCCTTCATAGCCTAAGCAGTGTTTCCAGAATTTTTCACCAGCGAATGGTGAATACGGCTCGGGGCTGTCTCGCACAAAGCACCCAGTTGCGTGGGAGTAGAGAGCAAGAGTGAATGGAATGAATAGATGGTGAGTATACCAAAAGGTCTCGAACGCTTGTTGTCGGATTCGAGCATGCGCCGTGGTGTATATTAGTAACATGCATAATAGCATGACATGACCAGTGATACCACCTGCACTCTTGTAGTGAATTTCCACTGCCAGTATCGGTCGAATCTGATCTTTCTCGATATTATAGAAACTGAGATCATTAGCACTCCTCCGTACATGTAGCGCGGGTACACCTACTTCACATAGTGGGCTGCCACATGGGCACAAGTGAAGAACAACATGGCATAAGCAACTTGACGATGAAACCAGACCGATTCATCGAGAGGCAACCAGCGAATCTGAGGACGAAGCCATCGTAGAGCATTCCGGCACATGGGCAAAAGAATCAAAGTTGCGTCGACAGTAAGAACCATGGCCGCGGCCCTAGATATATAAACGGAGTACTTGAGGACGTTTAATCCTGATAGCCTCTTGTCTGATGACTGGTTATACCTATTTTCATGTTAGCGATTCCAATTTCATGTCTACAATCAAGCGGCAAGTCATACCATCCCGCTGCGAAAATGCCGAAATGTATAGTCCAGAAACCCAAATAAAACCAAATTTGCGACACGGTCAATCCATATCTTTGGAGCAGAGACCTATTAGACACAACCATATCGTGTGGTTTCGGAATTGTCGACCAGCGACAGTTGTTAAAGGAGTGACAAGCAACGTAGGTTGACCGGCAACCAGAAGCCGTGGGTGGGGAACCTCGATAAGGAAGAGATTCGTCTTCAAGCGATATTTGTTCCCACTTTTTGCTATGGAGTTGAATAAATGAGTCTTTGGGTGTACTGCTCCATAAACTTTGCCCAAATCACGATCAGTGAGAATTTCTTCAGGTTAATATGCAAGTCCTGAGCTGAATGCTGAGTGGGACTCCCGAGGTCTCAGAGCTCACGGATGTGATTAATTCAGGGATATGAGTTTCCCGAGTTTAGTATCCCCCAGTATCTTAACCTTGAAAGTGTGGAAACTTGAATGCTGAAAGGTGTAAAGATGAAAGCAAAACAGAAATTCCAGGATCAGAGGTTTAGCTGCAGGGGTGAGGGGTGAGATCTATAATTACTCAACTTAATTACGTCGCTGCTGTCCAACCAAACTCTATGTATATTTATCTCGTAGGTCATAGCCACTTATCTGTCTTATTCGCTTAATACTCTCGTTAATTTCGCCTCTCAAAAATAGTCATTTTTAAGTAAATAGTCCCGAATCTGTTCATCGGAACCACATGGCATGGCTGCAAGCCACAGAATTCCATTAGGGAATGGATTGCGATTTCGATTGTTGTCATTGATGTCATAGATTGCCCTTTTTCATTTCACTCCAATATGGTAAAGTCTCCGGTTCAGGATTGATGTGGCTGGTGAGTGGTCGGCAACTATGAAGTTCGACCTATAAGAATCAGTCTGCAAGCGCTGGAAATTCCCAATCACACAAACTCTGGGGGTCGGTGAAGCATGTCATTCGGTTCGGTCGCTCCGTGCCCAAATATAGTTTTTAGTGTGATTCGTGGTATCTTTGCTCGTTCTCGTTCTTTGCCTTCGCATATTACGTTGGGCATCACTTCAAGGCTTTTTCTCCAATTCAAATTGTTCTTCTATGATTGTTTTATAGGCGTCTGCACATGTGAGCTTGTAACCAAGTCTAGGAGTTTCTGAATCCAGGAATAGTATGATCATCTGATAAGTCGGGTTGGAAATAGATCTATGTGTCTCTTGTCTCGATCATAATAGCGATAAAGGTTGCAGGTCTTGAAATAGAACTTTCCCGGGGTATTGGAAAAAGAAAGTTCAAATGTAAGCGAGCTAACCAAGCCGTCCAGTCACTACATCCTTCATACAATCCGAATTGTGTGTGAAACTCCTGGAAGCGCGTGCCTTGAGCTGCATCTCGTCACGCCAAGCCTTGCCGCTACAGCTTCTGATAGGTGCATATCTGCATTAAGATCCGCTCTGTCACATCTCCACTCCCCAATCACACCGCACCCCCAACTCCGTGAAGAATTGCAAAAGAGGGGGTGAGTAAGGATTCGGTCCTGTCAAGGGAATCTATTGGTTCAGGGCGCTGAGATGCATCCGTGCGGATCACAAAGCCCTACTGTCTTGTACGAAAGTGGGTGGCCCAGATGTGTATCGGTCACAGTTGGCGCCCAGTTCCAAGGTTGTCACATTACTTCGCTTCTCTTCACCGTAGCGACTTCCTGTAGGCTAAGTATAGATGCATGTCCTCCCCCGCTTGCAGTATGCTGGAACTACTCCACTCCCAGATCAATAAAATCATGCCAGCACAATAACACTCGTCCTTTTGAGTGTGGAATCGCTGCGCATTCCCACCGCAACCGTCGAACCTCGAGTCGCTCGCTGGCCGAGAGATTCACACTCTCCGATTCGAAATGGGCAGACTGATCAAGAATCACTGGGGCCGCTTGCTCATCATGACTGCATCAGCTTGTATGTATCGCATTCCCACAAACCAAACACATGCTAATCACGCGCCATAGATCAAGTCGCCAGCGCAATCGAAGGCTTCATCTGGCCAAAGGTCTTCTGGGACTTTTTGTCCAAAAATCTAGACGCCGCCGTCAGCCCGATACCCATCCTTCAAATACTCAATCTAATCATGGGGTTGATCGGTCTGGCCTGGGAATGGCCACTGAAACCACTGGCGGGAACATTACCACATCGGAGCATCGTAATTCGGCTCATCGTATACCCACTAAGCGCATTACTTGCAGCGCTACTTTATCAGGGCACGGATCCAGCTGGGTACTATCTCATTGGTATCGCTGTTTACTTTTGGGCTTACAGTGAAGGAGAGGTGGTATGTCCTGAACCGTGGACATTACCCAGACGATCAATGCTACTCAAGGCATAGACTCCGCTTCGATGCATTGATTGTATCGGAGATACGATTATGTACAGTAATGATAATATGAATGAAGATATGGTTCAATGAAGTATATTTATAGCACGATCCAAGTCCCCGGCAACTTGGTACATAAGTCACGACTCACATGTAGTGCCAGCTGGTGGGAGTGTTTACCACGGTATCAGCTGGGTGCCTGATTTAAGATTATATGGTACAGAATCACGTGACATATCCATGAATTCCCATTCCTTTCTGTAACTCGACTTGACCAATTCCCTTTACGCTTCTTCGAGGGTATAAATCGACTGTGGAATCTTATACAATATACTGACATAGCTTGTGTTTCCGCTCATAGCTTATATAGCGCCACTTGTCGCCGAAATGCACAATGTTCCTGATGAAGACGTGCCAGTCAACAAAACCACCAGCTTCAATGGCACTCTAGCTCGATTCTTGCACCCAAGCAGTTCTTCTGCGCCTGAATCCCCAAGCAAACTAACCAGTCCTGATGAATCAGAGCTCGAACTAGCAACAGACACACCCAATGTGACCCGAAACACCACTGCAAGTCCCAAGCTCCCCACGACCCAGCGGACCTCGACAATCAAATCAAGCACATCAACACGACTTACCCGCTCCAGCTCCAGTCCTTCAACCACATCCCCAAGACGACGTAAACGAAAACCCATCAGCCCATTCGACACCCCACCCGCCTCATCATCCCTCCTCCGCGACTCAATCCCTCCAAATCTGATCCTCCTTCTAATAGGCCTTAACCCAGGCCTCACGACCGCAAGAACAGGCTTCTCTTACTCCCACCCCTCGAACCGCTTCTGGCATCTCCTCCATTCTTCCGGAATAACCAGCATTCGCCATCCACCCTCAGACACATACAGGCTTCCAGAACTATACAGTGTGGGCAACACGAACATCGTGGCACGGCCTACGCGAGACGCAAGCATGCTCACAAAAGCTGAGATGGATGAGGGCGTGCCCATTCTGGAAGCGAAGATTGCGGCTCAAAGGCCCGAGGCCGTCTGCCTCGTTGGCAAGAGTATCTGGGAGGCTGTTTGGAGGGTGCGGCATGGAAGGGGGATTCGGAAGGAGGAGTTTACGTATGGGTGGCAGCGGGAGAGTGAGAATATGGGGTGTTTACCTGGGGTTTGGGGTGGGGCGCCAGTTTTTGTGGCGACGACTACTAGTGGGCTTGCGGCTTCGATGAGTATTGCGGAGAAGGAGGCTATTTGGGCGGAGCTTGGGAAGTGGGTCGTGAAAAGGAGGGAGGAGAGGGAGAAGGGGGTGGAAGTCGGTGATGCTGCTATTTAGCACGATGCATCTTGCTTGAATAGCTGCGCATTAGCGCTATTCACTATAATATAGCTACTTCCTTAATGGAATATACAACGTGAATTCGAATCTTGGTTTCAATATTGGTATTTATTTGAGTTTAAAAAAACTCGTCTCATTATCTCATGATATCAATCAAGTATGGGGACCTGCCACTGCTCTTATGCAATACAACCAAGAAATGAAAAAGGAGACCCCGGTAGAAGCAACTCCCCTGCACGATCACGATTCAACTCGGATAGAAGTGGGTCGACGAAGCTGTTCGGGGAGTCCACGGGGAAGCGGGGAACATCGGATAAAGCAACCGACCCCATTAATCCCATAGGAATGAAAGGTAAGATGGCAACGTTTACCGGCCAATGTTGGCGGGGTTCTTGGAATCATTGGTGCTACCTCCACGCCCGGATGCCTGCAAGGGATGTTAGTGTAAAGCTTCTTAGAGATCGAGAATGGAAAGACGAACGGTATCAGGCTGGTATTCACCACCTTCCAAGATCTTCTTCATAACTTCATCTTCGTTCTTAGTACCGAACTCGTTCTCAAGAGCGGCTTTGCTAGCAGTGTCCAGAATACCCTGGGCGCCGTGGCTGTAGATGAAATTAGTGAGGTTCAGAAGGACAGTCAGGTCGAGTTTTCGTACCTGTGAGACACAAGGATCTTCCAGCCGTTCAATACATCGGACAGAGGAATGCTGCGGTCGTTCTTCCACTTCTGCAGGATCTCGAGGTCGTCGACGTAGACGATGAAGTCCTCAGACTTGCCCTTGTAGAAGACCTTGTAGGTGGTGCTGTTTCCACGAGTCATGATGGAATAGAAATTGTAGTTGAGGAAGGGGATTAGAAAGAGATTGAATGTAGAGAGGAATTCAATAGAAGAGAATTGGAGTGAGTAGAAGGTTAAGTTAGCTACAAAGAGAGCTTTTAAACAGCTGATTGTCAGGTGACGTCATTGGCTCATGTTCCATGACACACGAGCATTTCCATTCGCAGCTTTCCGACGTCATCTAAGCCTCCACTGAGTGGAGAAGGGTGGAATGTTGTAATAGCTTCCATTCTTTACGTTTCCTAACTAATAACAAGTAACAATGTGTGGTATTGTTTCATCAGACTCCATACAGGCCCCTCTTCCCCCACTTCCAAGCTACAACAATCTCCCCATTTACCCCTCTGTCCCTGTCTCCGCACGAGACCGAATGAGATTCTTCGGTGATAATACACTTAACAAGTTTTTCGGTGAACGCCATTTCTTGCGTGGTGACGATTCTAGGTGGTTCTCTGGGCTCGGACGATTCTCACGAGAAGATGGTGACTTTTTGGCCGTACCTCCAAACCGGACAGTCTTGGAGCGCCCGACAGTCGATGTCGGCGTTTTGGGCGATTCACAATCTGTTCTTGGCGATGGCTCGTCACCACATCCATCCTGGCCCGTGATCAAATCCTTTTCCTCTTCAATGTAATCCTCAAGTGATTCAACTGCGTCGGGCCCAGAGTGAGATGAGTTAACTGAATTGGACCGTTTGAATCCCTTGTGTAGGCTCAGATGTCGCATAATTGACCCACGGCCGAACAACAGGTCCCCTCGGCCAAGGATCATCCCCGGCCATGGCAGCACGTCGCGCGTATAGACCTCCGATATCAGCCGCTCTAATCGGATCCGATCCATTCGTTTCGCAGTCACGGAATATTGAGTACGTGCAATTGGCGACTTTAGCCGCTCGATCTCACTGTTGGAGTTGGTGGACTCATCGTTGTGGTGAGGATGGCGTGTCTTCCGAATGACTACGTGTTGAGAAGTGGACTTGCGCGAAACTTGCACGGCATCCATGGACCTCCGTGCAAGAGAGGCCACTTCATACTGGACCCGGTCCAATGGCAGAAGAAGAACGCTCAGGAAGGAGTACTTGCGAGGATCTCGTGCACCTGATCTTTGAACCTGCGCCAAAGCCGCGGAACATTTAAGAGCCTCCGTCTTCCAAACCTTTTCTTCAAGGGCAGATGATGCACTGAGCACGAACTCAAAGTTCTCCTCTTGTTCTTGAAATAATATCTTCCATGAAAACGGACAACCATAACAATAGATTCCTAACCAGTCAGAAAGTCCACAATATCGATGAAAAAGAAGGGCTTACCTCGTCCATTTTGGATAATGTCCATTTTCAAATCATCCATATAAATACAAGCGACAACTTCCAGTCGATGGGAGTCATCAACGGTTTTCGCGATAAGAAAATAGCTGTTGAACAGAACGCATACCATGAATTCACCGTTGGTCCGTTCCGGTGCCTGATAGGTGACATGGAGCACCCCGCAAAGAGTCATTGGCCCAAGGTCTTTGTATAAATCTTGTAACACGTACTGTTCAAATCAAGAAGTCATTAGCCATTCCCAATATATTTGACGACGCTCATACCGAGTCGCTGAATTGGATCTTCTCTTGTAGCAGCAACGTTTTTTGGATACGATCCTTGTTAACTGGATTGCCTGTTGCCTCATTGACCTGTGTCACCAAAATTCGTATATTGTCCAGGATTCGTCGCATTGCATCATGAGAAGTTGGGCAATCACTGACAGGGGTGTGTCGGAGGAGATCTTGCAGGAGCAGCGGATACTTGCATAGGCGTTGGATGGGCTTCTATTTAGTTAGCACTTGAATCGCTCAAGCAGGAGGGTACTAAACCTTGATCATCAAATCGCTCATCGTCATTGACCTGTTCACGTCGTACCTGCGGCTATCTACAGAGCCAACGGACTTTGACAGTGCTTCAATTCCTTGATCATAAACGTGCCAATTCGGAATTGATCGACGTAGGATTGCGACGTCCTCTGTTAGAAGATCGTAGTTGCTGCAAAACTCCTCGTATGCGGAAAAAGAAGCAGACTTTTATGCAGTTAGCGGCCACTCTTCCCAATAGGAATCCTTGAGGCGTACTAATTTTTCAATTTCTCGCGCTACCTCCAAGACTTCAGTTGGATCCGCCACCAGGAATCTGCGTCGTTTGTTTATTTCCGCCTTGAAGTTGCGGGTTCTCAGTGAACCTTTTAGTCCACGTATATCGATGCCCCCCAAGCGCTTCGACAGGGTACGAGAAACAAGATCGGAGGGCTCTTCTGGAGGTTGACGGCTCGAAAAAGGTGATGTCTGCTGTAGCTGGCTTTGAAAATACTCGTGGATGCCACAAATCTGGTGAATGTTGTGCTGGATCTCAGTTCGGGTGTCGAAGATCGACAGTACCTGCATAGTAATCAGAAGTGCCACAATGGTGAGTCTGCAGAAATGAACACTCACCCCGGTCAGAGCCTTAAGGCCGAGAACATAATCAGCCTCCGTTGCGACCAGTTCTTGCAGCACTAGACGCCTCTTGGTTGCCCGAGCTTCCGCTTCTTCATCTACACATGGGCTGGAGCTTGGTCTGGAGCTGTCTCCCGAATTTCGCTCTTCTGAGAGTGCACTTTGAGTCGTCATGCTGTGCGTTGTTCCCCTCGATCTCGCTATACTTTGAGTAGTAGTGCTCATGGTGGCGGTCTTGATTTCCAGCTGTGACGAGTGTTCGGAACTTCGCTCCCACTGCGGGTCTGGTGCTGCAAGATCTGCTGGAGAATCATTCGGCCAGCCTTCAACGACTCGTTCGGGGATCTCTGAAGGAACGTATTTGCGGGTTCGAAAGCTGTCCATCCACTTCTGGAACGGGTAGGCAGGGACTGTCGCCTGGGTTGGTGTGGTCTCACCCGTTGGGCTTTGATTCTTGTCGGCCAATTCATCCTCAGTTGTCAAAGTCTCCACCTCAATCGTATCCTGACACTCCATGATCAAACCCCGATGCGGCGTGCCGGGTTTGGTATAGGCGCAGATGTCATGAAGATCGACAACAAGGATGAGGCGCCTCAATCAAACCATGCAGCACCCGACACAATGTAAAGTGTCATGGTTTGGCAGTCACGATGGGTCTGGCCACCCTGGGAAGGAATACGCGTCTGCGTCTTCACAAAGTGAAGAGAGATGCTGGTTCTTTCTTACCTCAGGACGGGAATACACTCAGTCCGACCACGAACAACAAGTTCTGCACCATGATGGCAACTTTGTCGGCTCCAGGTAGATGTTGTGCTGAGAAATCAGTCATTTGAATCTCATCCATGTACGTCATGTTGTGAGGGCACTGGGTAGGTCGGATTTAAATTTATTTCAAATCCTACTTCTAGGGCCGCAAAACGCAGGGATTGAGTGGTCACTTGAGGGAAATAATTCTGCTTAGCACCAGTCGCACGGATGATCAAGATCTGTACCTAGGTAGAAGATTGGTCTTGCTGAAATTATTTACAGGGACGAGATACATAGTCATCATTGGATTGAATACATGGATGGACGCGGCTATTGCAGGCGCTTATATAAATCCGCCCCACCGCCCTCTTTTACACGCGATGGTTCGAGCTTCCACCCCCACCTTTTTGCTCTTTCCGGATGATTCCAAGGTTTGACGAGAAAGTCTAGCTATGGGTGATAACATTCATGCTCCTACAGTGGCCTCCGGACCTACATCTGGAGGCATTCAGATTGACTGGTCGAAGCTGTCAATGCCCGAGCTGATGCAGGAGAAGGAGAAGATCGAGGAGGAGCTCAAGGCGCTCAGCGCAGTTCTCACATCAGTAAGCCCCCACATCTATGGTGTTGTTCCTTGCATTGTCTAATGATATGCGTATCACACAGCATGGGGTGACTATGCGCTCGACTCTCACGACCTTTGACGGCTACCCACGCGACGACATCGATATTCCACAGGGTACCTGACGCTGAAGACCTATGGGCGATCACATTACTAAGAACTTCAATAGTACGAGCTACGCGCGTGCGGATGATCCACATTCAAAATGACCACAAGGAGATCATGAAGTATCTCGAGAAAGGGCTACATGCACACTTTGCACAACTACAGAAAGCCCAAGCATCTGCTACCACCAACGGTACTAGTGTGCCTTCGACCGCACCACCTGCTGGGATCGAGAACAGCGTCGCAGATGCGAGTGAACTCGGAACACCGTTCGCCAAGGTCAACAGTGTTGAACCAGGGAGTCCGGCGAACCAGGCTGGCCTGAGGGCTGGGGACTTGGTTCGGGCCTTTGGCAGTGTGCACTGGTTGAACCATGAACGTCTTTCCAAGGTCGCAGAAGTGGTTCAGCAGAATGAAGGGGTATGTCCAATTCCGTTACCTTGATCCATTTCTGCATAGTGATCTGAGCTAACGAATATGGATGCACAGCGACCAGTGGTCATCAAGGTATCGCGCAAGGAGGAGGGTGGATCCCGCACTACCGAGGCAGAGCTGCAGCTCACTCCCCAGCGTAATTGGGGAGGCCGAGGACTTCTGGGATGTCATTTAGTTCCGCTGTAGAGAGGCTGGTCCTCCTTTCTGTGATGTGGACAGCCATGGACGATAATTGGCCTCTTTTTGAGGGGTGTCTCTTGCGGCTCTGCAGTGAACTTGTACACAAATTCGAGTTTATGAATAATGATTTGATACTTAATTGTACTGAACAAAGATATCAGGAGTAAAAGAGCAGTAAAACGAAAGTAAAACCCGATCATCTCTTTCTATATGAATACTACTCGGCGTTGACATGGTGAGCAATAAAGAGCAAATGTTTTGACTACGTCAGGCCTTCAGGCACTAAGGCACGTGACCAACGGCCGACCGGGCAAAAATTCCCTTTGAGCATTATTCACCTCCCTTCTCTTCCCCCCCTTCGAACCATCCTCTTTCCCCAGTCTCAACTATCCCGCGAAATCTCTTGCGGCTCTGTCCATCTCTTTAAAGAGTTTACATCATCGCAAAATTTCCGCAATGGCTGAACAACAACAGGTCCCCACTTTCAAGCTTGTCTTGGTCGGTGACGGTGGTACTGGAAAGGTAAGTGATCAATACTGAATATCAAGGTGTCGGGCGGTCTTCAAAAGTGCAAAGGTCTTGTCAGTGGAAGCGAACATCATTGAAACCTGATGAGGGCTATGATGGCATCGTTACTACCAAAACCCCTCCCCCTCTCCTTGCCCCGCCACTGTCAACAAATATGAAAAAATATCTGCCCGACGACCGCCTCATCATCCACGAATCACTCGATCGCTAACGGCCAACCCAATAGACCACCTTCGTCAAGCGCCACCTGACTGGTGAGTTCGAAAAGAAGTACATTGCCACCCTTGGTGTCGAGGTTCACCCGCTTGCCTTCACCACCGTATGTTATACCCCGCCGAAAGCCCCGCTTCTAAAGGCCCCTTCGCCTCATCATGCGACAATCAACTAATCACGAAAACTTGATAGAACTTCGGTAACATCCAGTTCGACTGCTGGGACACTGCTGGTCAGGAGAAGTTCGGTGGTCTCCGTGATGGTTACTACATCAACGGTCAGGCCGGTATCATCATGTTCGATGTTACCTCCCGTATCACCTACAAGAACGTTCCCAACTGGCACCGTAAGTTTTCATGGCAACCAAAATGCCTGTCTTCATTGTCTCATCTCCATTGCAGGTGACCTCGTCCGTGTCTGCGAGAACATCCCCATCGTTCTGTGCGGTAACAAGGTTGATGTGAAGGAGCGCAAGGTCAAGGCCAAGACCATAACCTTCCACCGCAAGAAGAACCTCCAGTACTACGACATCTCCGCCAAGTCCAACTACAACTTCGAGAAGCCCTTCCTGTGGCTCGCCCGCAAGCTTGTTGGCAACCCCCAGCTGGTGTGTATTCCCTGCTCAACAGACGCTCTTATTCAACAGATTACTAATTCAATATAGGACTTCGTTGCCGGTCTCGCCCTTGCTCCCCCAGAGGTTACTGTCGACCTGGAGCAGCTCGCCCAGTACCGCAAGGAGATGGAGGATGCCGCAGCGCAGCCCCTTCCTGATGAGGATGACGCCGACCTGTAAAGGACCAATCCCGGATTGGAAGACGAAAGTCCTTACACCCTTTCCCCCTCTTGATGGGGTCTTTTGAAGACATGGGAAGGAGGCAGGGTATATGTCATGATTGCCTGATTTTGTTACAAAGGCATAATCGGTTCTCAAGAATCACGATACAATGAACGCGGTTGGGGTAGTGGCGGTTTGAAGAAGGGAGCACGTTATTCATCTTTGTTTTTCTCCCTCTACCAGTTAGACTATTATCTCAATGTTTTTTTCCCTCTCGAAATAAGCTACTGCACAAAAGCACAGTTCTGATACGCGAAAATTTCTCTACATGACTGCGTAGAGTACCGAAAATCCACTGGATGTGTTCAGCTACCTAAGGTTATCCGTTGGAAAGCAAATTTTGATAAGTATTCAGATACTGATACTACTTGATTGACCTACTGCTACATCAGGACATCAACTTTCTTGACCCCTCGCCCATTGGGACGTTCTGGAGTGCCTTCACCGTCTGCTCAACCAACTCCACCTGCCTCCATCTTTTTCGACGCCTTCCTCTCAACGAGAGTGAGCGCTCCCTGGGTATGGGGTCGGCGAACCGAAGACCAACCTCCGTGGTCTGACTGGCCTCGATATCGCACACCTTCTTGGTCTTCGGAATTACTCTCCCCTTTGGGCTTCATTTCCTGTCTCGTCGCATTTTTCTTCTTGGAATTTCGCAATTGCCAGTATAGCTAATTACTTGCTTAAGGTACCAATGCCCCATGCGCATGAAAGTGCCTCTGCATGGTGCTTGGTAGAGGGCGGATTCTTCTGTTGCTGGTGTGAATGCTTGAATTGGAGTCAGGTGTGCCTCTTCACCGTCTTCCTGAGTTGCACGATGATAGTCCTCTACTTACTCGTTCGGGCCATACTGTCCTCTTTCCTTCCCTTTCTTTCGACACAGTTTCAATGTCTCAAGATCCTTTCGTAGTGCATCGCTAGTGTCTGCGGCTATATAAGCTATCTGGCATAGCTTCGGGTGTGAAGGTTGAACATTTAGCTTACAACCGTCAAACCCTATATTGGGTGGGCTATCTACCCCTCTATTACTTGGGTACACCGTAGATGTTTTGACGTACTTTCGAAATTTCCATCAGACTTTTTTCACCTTCTCCTTCCACTTCACTTGCTCTCTCTTTCTTTTCTATTCCGCTATTTATGAATCTGGTGAGCCCTTTGACCATTTGACTAATCCGGTACGGAAGAAGGTAGACTACTGGATAGGATACCAATTAGGAGACTGAGTAGAAGATATGGTAGGAGGCTTGGTATAAAACCCAAGTAGGCGCCGTGCAAAAAGCGCGGCGGAAATCCTCTACAGCAATATTCGAGATTGGCTTCCATATTTACGTAGAGAAACTATCTCAAGCCCCACCGCCAAGACGATAGTAGTACCGCCTAGGCCAGGTTTGGCTAGGCATTACACCACCCTTGTTTTGAACAGTTTTGATGTATGGTACGGGACATTGAGCGAAATGCTGCCCCGTAAGTTATACGTCTCGTCGAATGAAATTCTAGAAGCTTTCCATACAAACGAAGGGCTATTGCCTGGAGGCTCTTGTAATCTAGCATGTAGTTAGCCTATCAGATACGAGCTATTTCTTAGAATACCGCTATACCTATTGCGTTTAGAAGCTGTGTAATGAAATGAACATGATAGAATCCTTGCCGCTGAATATGATATATGACTGCATTACTGTAAGAGAAACAAATCTGCTCATCGCCGCGAGAAGTTTGTGCAGATGGCAGCGAGGTATAACAAGTGGCTTGGGGGTTTCTGTGGAGCTGGCTAGGATTTGGTGGTTCTCTTTCGTTTTAGTCGGGGCTTCAATGAGCTAGGAAAAAGGGAGTCGCCCTTCTTGTGCCATTCATTCAAAGTAGACTTGGAAGACATAGTATGCGGATGGTCAGAGCCTAGTTTTCGGTCTCGAAGGTGAATGCATTCGGCCATCAACTGCAACGCGGATGTGTATTGACCTGATGACTTCAGGGTATGAGCCAGGTTGTTCATGCTCGTCAGCGTATAAGGATGGTCCGCGCCGAGCTTCGTCTTGAAAGTCTCCATGACCTGCACCTCGAGCTGCTCAGCCTCCTCCCACCGGCCCTGGTTCCTGTAGGTCGATGCGAGATTGGCTATACTCTTTAGCGTCGAGGGATGGTCTGGGCCGAGTTTCGTCTTGCGAGTCTCTATAACCTGCGCCTCGAGCTGCTCGGCCTCCTCCCACCGGCCCTGGTCACTATAGGTTGACGCAAGATTGGCCATACTTGTTAGAGTCAAGGGATGGTCCGCGCTGAGTTTCGTCTTATGAGTCTCCATGATCTGCACCTCAAGCTGCTCAGCCTCCTTCCACCGGCCCTGGTCACTATAGGTAGACGCGAGATTGGCCATACTTATTAGTGTTGAGGGAAAGTCCGCGCCAAATTTTGTCTTAAAAGTCTCTATGACCTGTAAGTTGAGCTGCTCGGCCTCCTTCCACCGGCCCTGGCCACTATAGGTAGACGCGAGATTGGCTGTACTTATTAGTGTTGAGGGATGGTCCGCGCCAAATTTTATCTTGAAAGTCTCCACGATCTGTAAGTTAAGCTGCTCGGCCTCCTCCCACCGGCCCTGGTTTCTATAGGTTGACGCGAGGTTGGTTATAGTCATTAGCGTCGAGGGATGGTCCACGCCGAGCTTCGTCTTGAAAGTCTCCACGAGCTGTACGTCAAGCTGCTCAGCCTCCTCCCACCGGCCCTGGTTCCTATAGATCGATGCGAGATTGGCCATACTCGTTAGCGTCGAGGGATGGTCCGCGCCAAGTTTTATCTTAAAAGTCTGTACGACCTTCAAGTTAAGCTGCTTAGCCTCCTCCCACCGGCCCTGTTGCCTATAGGTTGTTGCCAGATTGGCTATAGTCGTCAGCGTGCTAGGATCATCGGCACCGAGCTTCGTCTTGAGAGTCTCTATGACTTCCACCTCAAGCTGCTCCGCCTCTTTCCATCGGCCCTGGCTCTTATACGTTAAGGCCAGATTGGAAATACTTGTTAGCGTGCTAGAGTGTTCGGCACCGAGCTTCGTCTTAAAAGTCTCCATGACCTGCATATCGAGCTCTTCTGCATCCTTCCACCGCCCCTCAAGTCGGTATGTGTGTGCAAGCATTGTAGTGCTATGGAGGGTCTGGATGGCTTCCGAGCCAAATGATAACGCTCTTTCCTTCCGCGATTTAGATGCCATATCCCTTGATTCCGCAATATTGCCAATTTCCCACGCATACCACGCCCCATTGTAAAGCAGTGTAGCCCATTCGCGTAGGGAATCTTGTGATTCTGGTCGTTGTGATACTGCTGACTTAACATGTGGAAAGAGTGGCCGGCATATCTCCCAATTCGCGTATTGGCCAGTCGGAAATTCAGTATATAGATTCTTAATAAATCGTTCCTTCCACTCCTCGTACTGGCCATTGCTTTTCAACCACATGCGTACCATAAGCTGCACCAGCCGATGCATCGTAAGTACTGTGCTATCTTTACCAATAGCAATGAACGAATAGTCCCTAAGGATTGCAATATCGCTCTCGAAATTGTCTTCGAAGCTGCATTCAGACGAACTCTCTATATCCTCGTCACTCAAGCTGTTCAGAGTTCCCTCTGAAGAACCCAAAATTTCGGGTTCTTCTATGCCCTGCACCTGTAGAAGATTCTCTGGGATTCCCTGCCAGTCGAAAAAGCTCATAAGAGATAGTAAATCGGCCGCAGACTGCCTTATTCGTCGGATATGGTCGAACGATATTTGCCATGTCAATAGAATAGAGTTCTTTGCCTCCCAGTCTCGGTGCGTGTGCGTATGAAGTCCCTCATGATTTAGAAGCTTCGTGGCTTGACGATCACTCTGCCGAAGCTTTTCGAGGTATTGCGATGCCGAGCAACGGGGTGAATGGTGCGCGATGTAGCTAGCCGCTTGTACGATCGCCAGTGGCATGAACTCAAGTTCCTTTACAAGCTGAACTAAGTCCGCTCTCTCTGTATATGAATCCAGCTTGTGCTGCATTAGATCTAGCGCCTCGGCCATATTCATTGGTTGTATATCAATCAGGTTCTTTTTATGGCCGGCGATTTTCGATGCTACTGCTTTATTCCGGCTCGTGATAATGATGGAGCCATTCGAGGCTCCGAGGAGGTACCTTAGCGGTGGCTGCGTCGAGGTATGGTTCTGGGCGTTCCCTTGGGCGTCCGCACAAGTTGCCAGCGGTTTGCGAAGGAGCTCATCATCATCCACATTATCCAGGACAAGGATCCATTCTCCGATTTTTCCATCTTGCAACCAGTTCCCGAAGAGTTGGAATATATGAACGTTGCGGTCCTCGCGCCCGGGAATCTTAGCGCGGTCGGCCAGGTTGCGAAGGCTTTCCTCGCAGCGCGCTGCAGTGCTCGCATGAACCCAAAAGACCCAGGTGTGGCTTGATTGCTGTCGGACCTGGTGGCAGTATTCGATAACAAGCCGAGTTTTCCTGTTTTAAAGTTAGCCTTTGACGGACCGTGGTTACACCCGTGATGCCTAACCCCACACCGCCGAGACCAACGAGAGCTATCCTAGACCCCGGGTTTGACGATTTCTCGTGGATTGTATTAAGGATTCCATCGCGGCTAACAAAGTCCGGGTCATGCGAGAACGGCACAGTCCACAGTGGCTCTGGACGGGGCTCTGGTCGTTCTAGAAAAGCGTGTCGTTGTTAGTCGATCCAACGTGGCCCTGTCCACGCTATCGGGAACTGACTAGATGTAAAATTTATCACGCCATTGTTGATCCCTATCTGGCAACCTGAGTTCTCATCGCCAAAATTTATGGATTCCATAATTGACATAGGATATACAGAGTCAATCGTGTTTTGGGCGGACGAAAGATGACGACCCCTCATCGAGGGCCTCAGCCTTACTATCGGGTGATTATGGGCGCTAAGCGTTCATTTATTCGGCACATGTTATGGGCGGAGTAAAGATGACGACCCCTCATCGAGGACCTTAGCCTTACTATCGGGTGATCATGGGCGCTAAGCGTTCATATATTTGGCACATGTTACTATGTGAGCATCCAATCATCCAGCAGCTAGCAGCCTCGCTCCGTCTATTATGCGACCGACATGGCTGTGACTAGGACTGAAAATTAGCATAGAAACCAATAAGGTCCTTCCGGAGCCATTCTGTGCGTGGGTGATCCGTGGTGGCAATGACGGTGATGTGGAGGGCTGAGATAGCAAGTTTTAGCGGGGAACGCATGAACCAACGACCTCGGCGTATCTGTCTTGTCGGGTAGTTTACAATTCCATTCTGAAAGCTTCTCTGTTTTAAACATGGAAGCCAATTTCGCATATTGCTGTAGTATCAAGATGACTGTAATATAGTACAATGTCATTTGGTTGTATACATTCCTAATTGGGATACCAGGGCTTGGTGTGCAAGCCCTGTTTGTGACGTTTGACACAAACCGCGTGACGCGTTGTATCATCACGTGGTGATAAAGGATTGTCGACGCGATTTTGCGAATATCAAACAAGGACAATGTTGGAAATGTTTGGCAGTGTCTGGCCGTAATAAAAAGGTGGACAGCTTTCAGACCGGATATCTCCGCAGTTTTTTAAACATCGGTGGTTGCTAAATTAAGCCCAGAAAGTGTAAGTGGGCATATGGTATGGTTTATTACCAGGCCTTGGCAACCTCAACATGACATCTATCTTCAGCACAAGCGGACACATCCTTTAATCTCACAGTGTCGCAACAAATACCCGGTATGGTTGTGTAAGACAGACAGGGCATTTAATCCCTGAGCCTCACTCTCGTCACCCGAACGCCTTACCCGATTCTCCACTGCGGACCCGAATGCCCAATCTCCGGGGTTCAACCAAGCGCCGTTAATCCCGTGCAATCTCAAAAGGTCAGTTATCACATCCAACCCCACCTCATCAGATGGGACGAACACGCCTACCTAAGTCTGGACTTGCAAGACCTGAGGTCTTTCATGCATCTTCGACTTCACTTTTCTACTCCCCGCATAGCCACCGCTTTCCGTTTGCACTTGAAACAGGCCTGAGCTAATACGTAGCGCAGTTCCACAAGAACATTACTTTTCTTGCGCATTTAATGCTGCTCTCATTCTCGATTTAAACAAACTCACTTTTCAACTTGAGATTCTCTTGGTTGTTTCCAAAACTCTCGTGCTTTTGGTGTTTCACTCTCTATCACTATCTAGCAAAGTCTTCATCGTGAAGTGAAATTTCTTCATTTGTCCTTTTCTTCCCATCTGTCAGAATGGCGGACTCCAGCGCGAAGGAAATTGATGACATCGTGGAGGAAGTGGAGCTCTATCAGTTCATTTTGGATGACCAAAAGGCAACCACACCGGATGACCATGTGGCGATCTCGGAGACACTCGAGACGATCAACAAGCTGCAGGCTAGGCTCGCCAGTCTCCTTGGAACCGTTGCCCCGACTTCTCCACCGCACTCCAGTCCTCCAGAGCCCCAGATTGAGGATCTTTCTCGAGCGACACCACAAACTCCGACTAGGGCAAAACAGCTTTTACCAGTCCCAGGCCAATATTGGCCTTCATCTGCACCATCCCCTTTTTCTTTCCAGTCCAACAGTCATGCCGGGCCATCCTTGCCGCCGATTTCATCCTTGAATTCTGGCGAATCGTCCCGTAAACGTCCACGGGAGGGGTCGATCGGATCTCTAGGCCCATCGCAGTCCTCAAAGAGGGCGATTGTAAGCAAATCTCAAAACCGCATGCAGGAAATTGAGGCCAAGCTCCTTGAAGAGCTGGAAACTAGCCGCAGAGAATTTGCCAAGAAGAGAGAGCGTGAGGAGGTTCGGAAGGCGGCCAGGTGGGAGGGCATCTCTGAAGAACAAGTCCTTCATGAACTCAACGAAGAGGAGTGTGAGAACGAGAAGTTAATTCGCGATATGAATCAGATCGAGAAGGATGGAGAATTTGCTCGTATGCTCCAGGCTGGGGGCGATGACTACGAGGAAGACCAGCCTCATCCGCAGCCGCATCCAAGCTATAATATTCCTGATCGAACCTTACCCCACCCTACTTCCCTGCTGTCGCCGAGTCTGAAGTATGAGAACGAATACCGCTCACCACGTCCAGAGATCTTAGACTCAGATGACGATCTTCAAGAAATTACACCCGAGTCTTTCCTTTCCGCTAGAGGACACACACTTCAACAGCCAAGCTCCTACTTGCCGAGACAGAGCTCGGCATACCCAACATCCTTCACGTCACCTCAAGCCAAGCCGGTGATGCCAGGAATGCCGAGCATGGGAGGGATGCATCCTGCAATTGCAGCACGATACGCAATGCCTAATGGGAAGTACCTCCCATATGGCTATTCTCCCGCTTCTGCCATGTCTACTGGCCAATCTCCAATGTATATGGGTCAGCCACCTATGTATATGGGTCTACCATCACTCTCGTCTCCAAGACGCCTTCCGTGGATTTCCAGTCAACATCCCGAGATGAGCGCTTTTGACCTTGTTCGTGAACAGCAAGATATGGAGGAAGATACTATTGATTTTGAGTATGTTTCCCTCCGTCTCTATCTACTGGCGACTACTAACATGAAATATGCAGACTTTACAAGGAGGAAGACTTTCCCGATGACATCAAGAACTTGCTTACGGGTATCAAGGACATCAACAAAGCTACCAGGGCAGACGATGACGAAACTCCCCGCGAACTCCAAGTGACGTTGATGAAGCACCAAAAGGTCGGTCTAGCGTGGATGAAGGCGAAGGAGGAGAGTAATCACAAGGGCGGCATTCTCGCAGACGACATGGGTCTTGGCAAAACTATTCAGACCATTGCTCTCATGGTCGCTCGTCCACCGACAGATCCTGATCGCCATCCGACTCTGATCGTCGCTCCGAAGGCTCTGATGGAGCAGTGGAGGCTTGAGATTGGGCGGCATGTCAAACCCGGGAGACATCAATTATCGGTATTTGTCTTTCACGGACTAACACGCCAGGTTCCTTGGAGGGAGCTACGGAAGTACGATGTAATCATCACGACATTTGGCACTTTGACTGCCAACCACAAGATTATCTTGCGTGCGGAAAAGCTCCAAGAAGAAAATAAGGACGCAAGTATCGTGAGACAAGTCCGAGATGGGGCGGTGCTCTATAGCTCAGCGAGCAAATGGCACCGTGTCATTCTTGACGAAGCTCAGAACATCAAGAACCCTTTGGCCAAATCAACCAAAGCCTGCTGCAAGCTCGATGCCACCTACCGTTGGTGCTTGACTGGTACTCCTATGATGAATCGACTTGAAGACTTTCAATCGTTGTTGGGTTTCCTCAAGATACGGCCCTACAACAACAAGGAGAAGTTTAAACGGGTAAGATATCTGTATCAGTGGCAAGTAACTGTATCATAGCTAATCAAGAAAACAGACATTTGTCAAACCAATCAAAAATGGATGGGGCGAGGACAATGTCATGAAACAACTTCGTGTTCTTGTGAAATCGGTCTGCTTACGTCGCACAAAGAAAACCAAGATCGACGGGCAACCAATTTTACAGCTTCCGCCGAAAGTTATTGAAAAGATACATGTCGTTTTCAACGAAGAGGAGAAGGGGATGTACGATGAACTCAGCTCCAACTCTCAAAATCAGATTCGCAGGTATTTGAACGCAGGTACCCTAGGCAAGAACTACAGCCATGTCTTGGTGCTTCTTCTGCGGCTCAGACAAGCCTGCGATCATCCTCTGCTAATCAATGGCTTCAATAATGCCAACTCAACAGTCGTCCAGGGCGTTGATCTAGTTGCTAATGCTAAGCTCCTGGATACTCAAACAGTGGAACGGATCAAAAACAACGAAGATGATGATGATGGCACTTGTCCTATTTGCATGGATAGTGTGGAGAATGCAGTGATCTACATCCCATGTGGACACTCCCTTTGTTCTGAATGTTTTGCCCGTATCTCTGACCCTGCACAGCTCGCCCATCAGGATACTGCTGGCATGATCAAGTGCCAGAATTGCCGTGGCCAAGTTGATCCCTGCAAGGTCACAGACGCCATATCTTTCAAGAAGGCTCACCATGATGGCGAGTCAGAACCCGTGGTCGAGGAATCCGAGCAGTCTGAAGTATCTGACTCCGACGAGTACGATTCCGATACTGAGACTGACGGATCGGGTAAAAAGCGCAAGAAGAGGTCTCTTGCGGAGCTGCGCGCTGCGGCCCAGAAGAACAAGGCAGAGAAAGCCAAGTACCTCCGCCGCCTTGAGAAATCGTATACACCCAGTGCCAAAATTACCAAGGCCATGGAGATCCTTCAGGCCAACGAGGACCGCGGTTCCAATGAAAAGACCATCATCTTCAGTCAATTTACCTCGCTTCTGGATCTTCTCGAAATCCCCATCCTCCAGAAAGGATGGCTCCATGTGCGCTTCGACGGTAGCATGAATATCGCTGACCGCAACAAGTCCGTGGCTGCCTTCACCGACATGCCGGAATGCAAGATCATGCTTGTCTCCCTCAAGGCCGGAAACGCGGGGTTGAATCTTGTCGCCGCGTCCCATGTTATCCTATTCGATCCATTCTGGAACCCCTATGTTGAGGATCAGGCGATTGATCGCGCACACCGTATCGGGCAGACGAGGGATGTTTTCGTTCACCGACTACTGATTGAGGATACGGTTGAGGATCGCATCATTGAGCTGCAAGAGAAGAAGCGGGAACTGATCGAGGGTGCACTCGATGAGGGTGGTAGTATGAACGTCTCTCGACTCGATACCAGAGAGCTGGCCTACCTCTTTGTTCGTTTCTCTTTTCATTGTGGTTTGCTTGTTTCATACATTTTGCTAACATTCTTTATCCTTAGGGTGTATCGGCTTAAATTCGAAGCAGGTTTTGATTCGGCTGTTTCTTTCGCCTGATGAAGCACAGGTTGCACTTCAGTTCTCTTTCCGCTGACCTTGCTTTACCTTCCAGTGTTTGATTTAACCGCAGATACACATTCGGCCTTAGTATTCTGCGTTTGCTAGGTGTTTTACCTTTGCTGGTTATCCTTATACCCCTTTGTCATTTACAAGCGCACACAGACCGTTTGGCAATGGATTCAATAGTCGTTATTTCGCATTACCATAGAGCATCTAATCGGTATCATTTTTTTTAAATTTACTCAACCTTTTTGAGTTTTGTGCAGGCCCCGGAGCAATGCCAGGTAGCCGCACACAGTAGTACACGGAAGGATCGTGTTTCTCATCAAGAATAAAGCCTTTTTAAGCAAAGGGTAGTAGAGGCGCGGGACAAGTATACGTCTTGCTGGATGGGCAGCTTGGTCTTGAACTCCATGCCTGATCGCTAGTACAGTTTTCCCAGTCTCCTGTCTCCTATTCTTGCGAGATGCTGATCAGGAGACTGATCAGAAGATCGAGCGTGTCTCTTGCAGATAGTCTTCGCCTATACCCGCCATACTGTAGGACTTCAATCTCCAGAACAAAAGGTTTTGCGTCGATACCTAATATGGGGCATTGTCCTCATTGACTCGACGGGACAATGAACCTTGAAAAGAAGACCCAGTGAAAGGCGTCGACGTTCCCATCAAGTTCATTCCATCGGCCTCAGTAAAGAAAAACAATCGCGAGTGCTTTGCGCGAAGCAAAGAAGTATAGGTAGGCACGGGAGCGCATACGAAGCAGCTAGCGTCATAGGCGAGGCAGTGACGTGTGTGGAGGCCGAGACATAAAAGTTCCTCGGAGGGAAGTGATCGGTCGCGATGAATTCCGGATTTGTACGACCCATTGAAAGGTCGGAGTTCAGATTAGGTCCGCATGTGGATCAGGGGTAATGGAAAGGGGGTGCAGGTAGGTTTTGGTTACTATAAAGTCATATTAGCTGGAGCGAAAGGAAAAGATCTTCGGGGTTGTAAACAAGTTGTGTGTTGTGAATGGAAAGTCCGGAGAAAGTGGATATCACGAGGGCCTCGGTACGGACGCGGAGATTCACATGCCCCGGACCATTTCATCATTGCTATATAACTTAATCAACTTTTCCCAACATCTTTGACCTTCAAACTGTCCATATCCATCATGTCTCTTAAAAAAGGTACTTATCTCTCTGCAAGCTGGCAAACTATACTAACTCAAACCAGATTCCCACCCTTCCTCAGAAGCGTTCGACGTCATCAACCAGACCCTCCAGGGCGATGAGGCTGGTCGCAAAGAAGCCATCAACGGAGCCAAGGCTATCGTCGCCTTCAACGTTAAGAACAAGGAGGGCAAGGAAGAGAGCTGGTACCTCGACCTGAAGGAGAAGGGCGAGGTCGGCCACGGCCCCGCTCCCGAGGGCAAGAAGGCTGACGGTGAGTGGCACTTCGTGCGCAAAGTATACAAATATACTGATCATTTTCTTCATAGTCACCCTCTCCCTCTCCGATGCCGATTTCGCGTCCCTCGTTTCCGGCAAGGCTAACGCCCAGCGTTTGTTCATGGGTGGCAAGCTCAAGATCAAGGGCAACATTATGAAGGCTACGAAGATGGAGCCCGTTCTCAAGAAGGCTCAGGCTAAGGCTAAGCTTTAAAGATTAGATACCCCTTGTTACCCGTATATGAAATGTCCCTCGGGCTTTGCTCCCTGGTCTCCAATGTCTGTCCATGTTGCTATACATGTCTGATAATGAATTTGTTCTTGGCTATCACATACCAATAATTCCTTATGTTCCTAGAGTTCATACTACCTTGGCTTATCCGATGCTGCTAACTTATGTGTAGGAGTTTAGGGGCCAGGTGAGCTCCAGATTTACCTCATGAATATAGAGAGGGCCTTTTGGCATAGGTTGGGAGAACTCGATTTCTTTATATGCTTTCTTACCAAGGTTGAGAGAGGCAGGGTAACTTGTATATAGTAAGATACCAAAATTTGCAGGGGTACTGTGTATTTCATTTCAATGCAATAGATAAAAAGCCTGTCCTAATAGAAGAACAAATTTAGGAATTTGTGGAAATTGCAGATATTGTCAGATCTGGCGCTTCTTAAATGATCTTAGCCTTAGTTCTGCATGTCATCATCTTCTCGAGTAGGAGACTGGGACTCTTCCTCGGGGCTGGTAGTAGTGGGCGGCGAACTGAGGCACTCGGGAGTGGAGGACCCGTGAGCCTCGGTGGTAGTTTGACGGGACTCATATGGGCTTTCGCCCGAAATATTAGATTTAGCCAGTGCGGAGGCCTCTTCCGTAACGGCTTCCGTAGCTGGAGCCACTATTCAAACGTTAGGATAGTTTCGTACTTGACCGAGATATTGTGGAGACAATAGATCTAGGATGGTTTGCTAAGAGTATAATCTAGATGTGGTCGCCTTGGGTGCAGAAGAACCCGTTATCAAGCATTGAACTTACTGATTGGGTCTGCAAGGATCACAAGAGAAGGATCGACGCGGGGACGAACTTGAGGGTAGCCACGAATAGGAACTAGTAGGCGATAAATTGGCATGTTTCGACTGATAAAAGGGGGGCGGTTTCAAATCCTTACGCTCGAAGGTACGGTCTGGATAATGAATTAGCATTCAGATAACATGACTGCATTAGACATGCAAGACGTACTCTGCTCAGTGGGACTGTGAGATGGCCCCTCTTCTGCCCGATGAACGTCTTCATTGCGCTTTATGGAAAGTCAGCTCGTAAAATGCCAGTTCTAAATATGCGAGGTCTATTACTTCACCAGAGATCACTCTGGGGTGCTCTTCAAACACGGCCTCGTCTACCTCCATGAGTCTGACCAAAGACGGGCATGTGCTCAGGTCGTGTCCAGATATATGGCAATTAGGACATGATAGACAGTCGGAGCACGATTCCTATGATCGGTCAATGGTAGTTCAGGTACTTGTATGAGCACCGGGGTCATCGGTAGACAATGAAATAGATGTAGAATTTGGAAGAGCATGACCACTCACAGTTTTGGATTTCAAGGTGCTGGAGTCAGACATCGTGGAAGTCATTGCTGTTCTGATTAAAACCTGCCAAAAGAGTTGGAGGGACGCGATGTTTGGAGCTCGAAAGGGAGGGCAAGGGGGGGCGAAGTAGCGCGTTGTGTCAAGAGGAAGATTCGATTGAGCTAGTCAATAATCTGAGTATCATCACTGGCATTATGTATGCTCGGAAAGTCGCCACGCAAACAAGAACCCACCAAACAAGTCACAAGAATGAACATCCGTCTTCATTCTATGACAATGACCTGTTCAAAAGATATACTACTGTCGTTGGCTGCATCATAAACTCCTCTTTATCCTCATTGGACCTGACCGACTTCCTTGATGCAATTTCCTTACTGTCCCCTTTCAACGGGGCCTTGTCGAATCACCCGACCCTGTTCTAGGACCACACAATAGTCTGCATCTTTCACAGCTTCCACCCGGTGAGCAATGGTAATGACAGTAGACAATTTGAGCTCTTCACGGATGATTTGCTGCATTTCAAGGGAAGTTTCGTGGTCGATTGATGCCGTGGCTTCATCCAGAATAACAACAGGACTTCTTCGCAGTACAGCCCTCGTCAGAGCAATCAGTTGGCGCTGTCCTTGGCTAAGATTATGACCTCCAGCTTCAATGTGAGTATCAAGCCCCCAGCCATGCCGACTGCAGATGCGATCTAGGACCTCGGCACACTGCTCGTCTGTAAACTCTTCGGTTGGGTCGAGATTAAGACGAATACTTCCTGGGAAAAGCACAGGCTCTTGAGCGACGAAGGTCACTCTAGTTCGAAGCGCCTGAGTGCTCACGTCTGCGATATCAATACCGTCAATCTTGATACAGCCGGTCTCCGGCCTGATGACGTTGAGCAGAGAAACCGCCAACGTAGACTTGCCGCTGCCCGTACGGCCGACGATAGCCGTTGTGGATCCTCCTGGGATTCGGAGAGATATGTCGGTCAGAGATGGATCGAGGTGTGGTGCGTACCGCAAGGTGACGCCTTCGAAGATGATATCGCTCTGATAATGAGGCCATTGAGCCGGCGGTTGGATGCTTCCAGAGGGCTCTTCTTCGATATGAAGCAGCTCATCAATCCTTTCTACAGAGACAAAGTCCATCTGCAGCTGGCCATACTGATGGCATATGTTGTGCGTCGAGGTTACAAATCCACTTGCTGCTATCAGCACAAATGCAGTCATTCCGGGTGTTGTGTCTGTGTACAATGCCAAGGCAGTAAGAAGGAAAGTTGAGCAATCCGATAGAACTCCAAAGCGACACATGAGCCAGGCTTGGAGAGACCAATAGAAGTGGTCCATGCCTTGGAATTTGTCAACAACCGATATGACGCGACTTTGGAACCGCTCCTCAGCACGAAAGGCGCGGACTGTCGTCAACCCATGGAGAAGCTCTCCAAAGTTGGAGAGAAGTGGACTTAGAGATACCATTTCGAGTCTTCTAAGGCTTTGAGATGCTGGCAGAAACTGCAGGAAGAAGAACAAAAAGCTGGTAGTAAGAACCAGCGAAAATACAAGGAACGCCGGGGTCGAGCTAGCAATTACTAGCAGTGAGGAGATCCAGGTGATGGCTTGAAAAGCAATTTGCTGGAATTGCTCACTGATATTTCCATCAATCACCCCTATGTCGGACGTAAGGCGATTCATGAGGCGTCCGACAGGGGTAACATCAAAGAATCGGAAGGTTGCATGGCTGACTCGAACCATAACCTGTCGAAACAGTGTTTTCCCAGCGTAGTAGACAATGACCAGCATCAAAAGCTGTGAGACTAGAAGAGCGACTGCTTGTAATGCGACTATGGCACAAAAGGCCCATAGCCACGGACGTACATCATCGCGAGGAGAGGGTAAGCGATCTGTTGGATCTTGGGGGAGAAAGGATGCACCGGGATTCGACCTGATTACCATCAAGTAGTCGCTATGGAAATTCTCATTAAGAGGTGCAGTCCGATCGTAGGCCTCGCCCCATCCCTTGAGGAACCATGATTCGCCAACATCAATCATTCGGTAAATGATCAATACGAAAACGAGGGCAATCCACCACCGATATTTACCAGCCTTAACATAAGTCCAGTAAACTCGGGCTTGAACGCCCCATTCTGCACGGTACTCCTCTTCCATGAATTTGTCTGGAACAGCCTTCGCTTGATCTTCAGAATTGGCCTCCTCGACCTCGGTTTCGGAGTCATGGAATAGGATGTTATTCACGGTAGCATCCTTGTCCATCGAATTAGCGATCGAGATTTTATCTTGAACTGTAGTTCTTCCGTCAGTAATGTCAATGATTTGTTCAGCAATCCCTTGAACGAGTGCAATCCGATGAGTCGCAAGAACGACTGTACGACGGTGCACCAAGGGACCGGACAGGCACTTCTGCACCACGAACTCGGCCGTGTTGTGATCCAAAGCCGATAATGGATCGTCCAGCAGTAACACTTCTGATCTGCTATAGACAGCGCGAGCCAGAGCAACACGTGCTTTTTGCCCTCCAGAAAGGCCGACTCCGTTTTCACCCACAAAGGTCAGGTCGCCATGTTTGAACTGTGAAAGATCTGGAAGCAGAGCGCAAGCCTCCAATGTCTGTTTGTATCGTGTTTCGTCATAGGGGGCCGAGAAGAGGATATTGTCACGGATACTCATACTTTGCAGCCATGGTGTCTGTGCACAGTAACCTATCATTCCGTTTGGAATTTGAGATGTTCCGCTGAGCAGGTCTAGTTCGCCTAAGACAGCTTGGAGGAAGGCAGTCTTTCCTGCTCCCACTTTTCCAACAAGAACCGTGAGGCCTTGGGGAATTGTCACGCTGATATCATTGAGCACCGGTGACAATTTTCCCGGCCATGCAAAGGAGCATGATTGCATCTCAAATTTTGCGTCAACCGCTTGGCCATCAAATGGAAAATTTTCTTTATCCGGCTCCGCCATGAAATCCTCAATTCGTCCTAGGGCAATGTAGGCGTTTATCATCATTGTGATGAACGTAGGTAAAACGCGCAAACGCGACTCCAGCATCGAGAAAAGCTGAAGGCCCGAAAATATTACACCAACGCTGAGCTCCTTGCCTGCAAGCATTGTCCAGCCATACAAAGCGAGGACTGGAAATAGACCACCAGAAAGGCCATTAAAAAGGCGGGTTAGAACGTTCAAAAGACTAGTAATGATTCTCAGATTCATTTCATGCTGTCGGGCTTCCATGACTTGACGAAGCCAGTGATTCTGCCAGCCATACCATCGCAGATGGCGGATTGCTTCCACAAATTGCGATGAAATTTGCAGCCTGCCATCGGTTGCCGCTCGTTCCTTTTTCTCCCATTTGAACATATACCGTGTGATGACTAAATCGATGCCTTGGCCAACCACGATGGTCAAAATGCCTATTAAGCAGGATGCCCCAAAGAGGGAAATCACAAGGTAAAAAGCGATGAACAAACCGAGGGGGGCATCTATGAAATCGCCAATCTCCCAGAATCGTTGAGCCACTTGATAAACATCTCCTCGTAGAAGATTAAAAATTTTGCCCAGCGAAGCAGACTCCTTGGCCTTGGTGGGCTTAGCTTCACGCTTCTTCCCCTTCAATCGACTCCAAATAGTAGGCTTCGGTGGTGCGGATTCGGTTTGATCGAGTATATCAGTTTCAACTATCTCTTCTTCGGCAAGCGTATCGTCTTTTTCCATTCTTAGGCCGAGAATGTTCTTTCGTGATAGTGCCTTCCCGTAGACCATCATGATCATTTCGCCCCTAGATCTTTCATAGCAGCGTCGACCGTACCAGAAGCTCAGAACTTGAACTTGCGTTTGAATCAGTCGAGCTATCAGCCCAAAGAATGCGTAGGTCAATGGTACACGCTTGGGCTTAGTTGTATCTTGCATAGCCTGCAGCAGCAGCCGGAGTAGAACCGGGGTGGAAAAGGCTGGGTAAATATTAGTTTAGTAATCAAACGGACAGTTAAGTTTGGTTGTAAAAATGTGGCTTAAACATACAGCATATAAGTTGGACGATGGTAATAGTGGAGATGATGATAAGGTCCAGAAAATTTGCCTTCAGTGCCCGAGCTAGGACGGATCCTCCCATGCGGCGAAATTTTTCATGAAGGCGCTTATGCTGAAATTCAAACCCAAGAGACCACACATCGGATTCATTCAGCTGTCTTTTCCGGGCAAGAGACATGATAGGTGCCATCCACGAGACAGAGAGAAATTGCCAGAGTCGGAGGTTATCTTCTGGACTGCGGAGCTCGCTAGATGGTGCTTGTCCCACAGGGCTGATTCCGGATATTGGAAGGGATGCCTCTCGAAATGGCATTAGCAAAATTGTATAACAACCCGCCAACGCTGCCATGGCAGAGACGTAACACGCAACCACTTGTACTTTCGTAGGAATATCATTTTGTGATGCGAGTATCATCTCGACAATAAAAGTCAAAGCAAAATATGCTAGCATCCCGATAGAACAAGTTCTTGGTCGTTTGGCGGCGATGAGGAAACAAATAGATATTTTGGCAGCGACAAGCACCAGCAATGGAAGATCGACACGAGGGAAGCATTGCACAATTTCGCCGCATAGACCGATGGCTGAAAAGACGAGAAGAGCGATGGTCCATTGGAGAGATGGCATCGGCCCTTCGAAAGGAATATCGGGTTTTTCATCACACTCTGAGACGAACGAACGCGTCCATTGGGGTCTCCATTGTTCAATCGATGGACCGAGTATATACCCTAGCGAAATCAACAAAGCGATACTCGCCGGTGCAATAACAAGGTAGGGCACTGTGGCTGGGCATAGCCAATCATTATTAGCGTCCTGAAATTGTCAGTCATATGCATACAACTGCAAGGGGGTATCAAACCCAAAATTGGCGACAACGCCCGTCATCAAGGGGAATCTGGTTCATTGGAAGATAGAACCACGTTGGTTTTGGAGGTCCATGTGACAAAAAACGCGTAAATTGCCATCAAAGTTCAACGCGTTACATTCAAGTTTGTGCGGGGGTGGAGTGGGGTATATCACTCAATGACCCTGGATGGGGGTTAGTCAATAGCGTACTCGGGTAAATTAACTTCTTTGGGATATTCCGGCCCCATAATATCAGCCCTATTTAGCTAGCGGTCAATTTGGGCAGTATCGATATGTTCACTGTGAATTAACTCACTCTTCACGTTCATTCCAATCATATGCCGGTAAAGCGGCCTTAAAGGATATTTTCGCCTTGGTTTACTGCCTCAACGACCACCTATAACACTAAGGTCAATACTCCGTATATCAGAGTAGTGTCTACTAAGCTTGACTACAAGTGCACCATTCGGTTGCCGCTTGTATCTGCAACCCGTGAAAACCCCGGTTGCTCTTTCCAGCTCCGTAGCTCCCTTCCTGTAGGGGCTTAATTAAAATTCTAGTCCATTACTAACGACTGTGATGGCATGGAACGGAGAGGCCTGGGCTTCCTGTGTACACTCGGATGAATGGAAATTTGTTCTTCGGCTTCACCGGTCAAAGGATTTACGGATATTTCAAGTGAGGGTCCGTGGCTATATCCGAAGTGGATATTAATCAGGCCCTGCCTCTTATTAGTTAATTGGCACGATGATCTTTCCTCAGCTGCGGAATGGAAGATGACCTCACCTATGAGCCTTTCCAAAAGCAAGATCTCGGAAATACATAGACTTGAGTGGCCGGAGAGATGCGAATATTATTAGTTCCCCCCCAAATGATTCGCTAACTACTTAACGTTGCACTTTTTCGTATTTTTTGCGGACACTATTGTTGCCTGCCATACTCTTGTTATGATCTGAATCAGTTTCTGAAATTTTGAAGTATCAAAAGCTCATTCGATCATGCCTTTGCAAGTTGGCTCTATCGAAGTTTTACAAAGGCCTGTGGAACCTCCTGAAACTTCAGATCCTCATTATGATGATTCGCAGTCCTCCACAACGATCTTACCAGAACATTATAGGAAAGGTCCGAACGCTGCACCCTTCCAAGCAGCAACGGTTTTTGAAAAGGATGTCAAGATCAGTCTGCGGGATGGGACGAAAATTCGTGCTGATATTTTTCGCCCGCACGGGGTTGTTGAACCTGTTCCTGCATTAATCGCCTGGAGCCCCTATGGAAAATCTGGCCGAGGTTCTTTTTCCTCCTACACCTCAAAGAGTACCATTTCTGATCCACATAGTAGGTCACTTCAATCTCAGTATTATTCCTGGTCGTGTTGGAGTCCCGGAAGACAGGGTCTCGGGCTTTGAGAAATTTGAAGCTCCGGATCCTGCCGAATGGACAGCTCGTGGATACGCTATTGTCAATGCGGACTCAAGGGGAGTATATGACTCGGAGGGAGATATTCGGTAGGTCTTCACAGCCATCCACCAGCCCTCTATTATGTGCCCGAAATAACAAATTTAGATGGTTAGGATCTGCTGAGGGGCAAGATGGGTATGATGCTGTGGAAGAAATTTCCAAAATGCCGTGGTGTAGTGGCAGTGTTGGACTTGTTGGCAACTCATGGCTCGGTATGGCGCAATGGTTCATTGCAGCCGAGCGACCTCCTCATTTGAAATGCATTGCTCCTTTAGAGGGGGCAAGTGATATGTACCGTGAGCTCTGGTGTCGAGGGGGTATACCTCAATGGCCATTTTGGGAATTTTTGGCTCAGGTTATGTGTGGTATGTCAACTGACGCTGATGTCAGAATCGTTACTAACAAACTCTAGGTCGTAGCCGACAAGAAGATGTGAAGGGAATGCTGGAGAAGTATCCCCTGATGAATGAGTATTGGGAAGATAAGCGTGCGAAAATTAGTCAAATCAGCGTACCTACCTACGTTCTTGCGAGCTATTCCACATTTCTGCACACCATGGGCTCTTTTCGTGGGTTCGAAGAGCTCGATCATGAACAAAAATGGTAAAGGTATATCATTCACTATCAAGGTCGCGATCTAACAATTCTGGCAGGTTACGAGTCCATGCTACACAAGAGTGGCATGACCTTTATAAATCTAGCACAAATGACGAGCTCCAGATGTTTTTCGACAGATACATGAAAGGAATTCAGAATGGCTGGGAAATGACTCCGAGGGTTCGAGTATCCCTGCTACAATTTAACAAAGTATGCGGTGCCCAACATATGTGAAGACTATTACTAAATTAAATGATTAGGAACCAATGGTGAACGTTAATTTTGAGAATTGGCCTGTTCCTTCTGCGAAATTCGAGACTTTACATCTGGCTGCAAACGGTCTCTTGTCGAAAGATGCTCCAACACAGGCTGAGTGTCTTTCGTACCAGTCGGATGTCGAAAGTTTGCAGATGGACTCAGATGGGGAGGAGCTTTGCTTCGAGTATATCTTTCCCCGAAAGTCATGTATTTTAGGCTGTGCGCGAGCTGTTCTCCACATGTCTTGCATGGATTTTGATGATATGGATGTATTTGTCCAATTACGCAAGGCGGACAAAGAGGGTAACATGCTACAAAACATCAACATTCCTCTTCATGACCTGCAAATGGATGCAGCAGAGGTCGAGAACGTCAACCCTCTAAAATACCTTGGTCCGACGGGAGCCCTTCGTGCCAGCCATCGCGCTATTGATGAACGCTTGTCAACTACATCTTGGCCTGAGCACGATTACACTTTCAGAAATCCCGTTACGCGTGGAGAAGTGGTTAAACTGGACATTGGTATCTGGCAAACAGGCATCATCTTTGACGCTGGTGAAAGACTTATACTTAAAGTTTCTGGCCACAATATGACGTTGGCCGAATTCCCTACCTTACGAGGACGCTTGGCCGCTAAGAATTCGGGCAGGCATAGCCTCCATCTTGGGGGTTCGCACAAAAGCCATTTGGTGATTCCGCTGGTGGACTTGGAGAAAATCTTGGATATAAAGACTCATCGTGGTGATAAATAAAGTAATCGTCAAGTCTAGGGTTTCATGTATACAACTAGGAACTAAGTATCGTTCGTAATGTCCAGTAAAATGATGGTAAATTTCCCAGTAGTGCCAGTTGCGTGTAGAGAGATAAGAAATCAGTCTTGGTATACAAAGCATTTACCTGATATGTTTTTAATGTCAAAAGCCGTTCTAGAACTGGCGGGAAATCTCTACCGAGCGGATTTATACGGTTTGTTGTAATAGGCTCATATTAGATAGAAATTAGTCTTTGTTCTAGTACTTTTTAGAAAAAGATCCTACTATTTGAGAGTAGATCATAGTTGAAAACTAGAAATTCTTTTTCTTTAAGACAGACTAGTAGCTAGCTTTAATATCACAATCATTTTTTCTTTCCTTCAAGAGGATCTTCTAATCTACGAATTGCAGTATTAGGGTTTATCTTTTATTTAACTACATAATTTAGTTCTATCTGTGCCCCTTACTGTAAGTAAGTTTCCATACAAGCTATTCACCCGGAATAAATTCATGAACAGATACGCTTGAACTTCAGTAATCTCACGTTTACACATAAACTCAGGCCTAATAGTCTACTCTATCATTTTAATGTATACAGACTCAGCTTGACAAAGTTCTTGTTTCAAAGACCGACTATAGTTGATTTCTTTCAACTATGCCATAATTACCAACATTGAAGTTATTCTCTCAGCGTAGATTTCGCATATTGATTTCTCATAGGATTTCCATTATCCATTTCTTAATGATGCCAGCTAGTGCCAGCCACCACCACCCCAACCACCACCCCAACCACGTCCCCATCCGCCACCGTATCCCCAGCCGGGGTGTCCCCATCCATAACCACCACCAGGTCCCCACCACTCAGCGTTCTGGCCAGCCTGACCAGTCTGAGACGTTTGAGCATTGTTCTGGGCCTCATCGGCTCGTCGCATCATCCCTGTAGCATGTATTACTAGGTGCAGCTCAGTATTGGGTGTTTCGGATCATTGAACTTGCCTGGCTCGGCCTCAGGCTGAGGAGCGGCCACTGCAGCGCCCACTAGGCCAATGAGGCTAAAAAAGATGCTATAATGCATGATTTGGTGGTGAATGACAGGGTATTCTTCACTGATGACTGTTAGCCTGCCTTTGAGTAGTAAAGAGAGACGTAGGGAAATCTTGCATTTGATTCAGTGATGGAAATACTGAAGCTTCTCGACTTTGTCTTTGATAAATCTCAGAGTAGAGGAGAAATTGGCCCCTTTTGTATCCTGTTCTCTTCATCGAACTCCTATGGTGATGAAGATCCACGTCATGACTGTAGATACCTAGTCCCTGTCCTTTCGCTTTGCTATTACTTGACATGTATCACCCATTTGTACTTTTTCTGTTTAACAAGTATGCCCTCTGCGATGACAGGGCCATGGATGATATGTCCAATTCAGACTCTAGACCACTTAAGACTATTCCTCTAGATCCGCAGTTTGGCATATACTAAACTTCGACAGCAACGGGAAAATTATCAGATAAAGTGTTTCCATCGCGGGAGCAGGACAATCGATGTAGACTTTCCGGTCATCTTTTGGGAACTTAAGGATAGCAACATCCCTGGAGAAATTTCTAGGCCTAATTCTCTGCTGTTACAGTGTCATATTGTGTTCATTGGATATATCCGTTATAATCGTGCTATTTGATATTTTGATGACTGCATGGTTGTCAAACCATGGAAAAATACCATTCTAATCTCTATTGTCAGGTAGCAGTATGCTAGACTAATGATGCTATCATTTTATCCAACCCTGCGAACAACACGAAGCCTAGACAAACTGCGTTTGTATAGGTAGATAGGTCGATAAAATTAGGTACCACACTTTGAAGAAAATAGGTATATTCGAAAAGCTATCTGAAACAAAAATGCAATATATTCAAACATTTAGATTAGCTTCCTGAGCAAATTAGCTGTAAACAAGGCAAGGAATTTCTTAAGCGGTCGAATATGTCTATTCTTTCATGAATGTAATTGAGCTTTGAGAGCAGCAGAGTAACGATAAATGAAATTTCAAACAAGGAATTCTCATATGATGCAATCCTGGCTAAGTCAACGCTGTTCAATTTTATTTGGAAGTCAAAATTTGATCCTTTATGACGCTCCAGGTTCTCTGATGTGAGAATTGACTTTTGCCTAGATCTTCGGGGGATATGCTCGGTTGTACAAGATCCATCCGTGGCCTCCGAATTTGAATCAAGATGAACTCCTTGGGATCTCAATTTGATGAGCAATTTTTTTCCCTGCAAGGTTACATACCAAAAATTCCCAGCAACACCCTGGGACCTCGTTCCATTGCGAATCAAAATGAACAAGGATAAGCCAGAAACCAAGTCATTCAGGAATGACTATTCAGAATTTTCAGAATACTTAGTGAGTTCTATGACTTTTAAAGCCCTATTGCTTAATAGAGCTGGTAATTGAGTGCTCTGTCATTCCATGACTTTTTCCATGTTTCTCTATGTACATCAAGTCTTTCATTAATTACACAGGGATTCTTAAAAAATAGCGAACGCATTTGGGGGACTTGCCACTCCTCCAACAACCTGATTATCAGTTAACCAATCATTCATCTTCCAACGAATAAGCGACTAGACATACCTTCAGGGGCATACTTGACAGGAAGAAATTATATCTCCCTGTAGCCTTGCAATGCGCCGAGAGCTTCTCCAAATCAAACATCTCACCAATCGGGGTACCCCATCCAGCCAAAACCCACTCATGAAGATTGAAGTTGGGGTCCGCATGGGCACCACGGATTGGAGCTCGTTCGAAACTAGGTGCATCTCCACCAACAGCAGCGAATTGATGTTCCCATAACCATCTAACCATTCCCTCGGTTGCTTCCACTCCGCTGAAGTCTGGATTTGGGCGATTTGGCATCTCAATCCGCTGCTGTTCGCTCAAATTGTTGTAGGCCGCGGTGAATCCGCTGCGGATCAATAGGATGTCACCCTGTCTGAATTCAAGCTTATGGTCTTTTACAACTTGCTTGAGGTTTTCTAGGGTAATTGCTTCGGACTGGAGTGCTGAGACTGAGACTGAGTTTGTTGCAGCCCAGTCGGCAAAATCTAGCAACACACCACGGCCAGTCATACCTCCGTGCTCAGCAACCGCTGTGAGAAAAATTTAGCATAAATACTGTTGTTGGCAGAGCGTTCTGTTACCATGAAGACCGATCACATCTGAAATCTCAATCTCATCCGTTGTATGTCCATTATAAAACTTCCGCATCTTTTGATTAGCTGTAATTGATAATCAGCCCAGTCCTCGTAGATATTTTCACTGGTCGAGTACCAACCGTAGTGTCTGAATCCATCCCATTGAGAAGATCCTTGACTATTAAATGTCAAGATGTCGTCATAAACACAGTTTGGATTCCTCAGCACAAGCTCTTGATTGAACGGATTTCGATTGAAGCTTGGATATGAAGGCATGCTGAGCGGCCAGTCCAGTGAAATTCGCACTCCCGTCTTGATCTCCTTCGCTGCCTCCACAATTACTTCCGGTGTGAGGAGATTCAGTGTTCCTAACTCATCGTTAGGTCCGAATCGTCCCCAGGCATTTCCTGGAGGGCCTTTAGGGTCCAAGGGGAGAGCTTCAAATGGTATTGTTTGAGTGTTGATTCCTGCCATGATGAATCTTATTAGATTGGAAGAAGAATAGATCGCTGGAATTCGGTTTCCTCTAATAAATCAGAGCCCTTCGGGGTATCTTTTCACCCGAATCACCCCTCACTCGGTGTTATTCCTCCAAAGCTCCACTTCCCCACAATTCGGATACATTTCCGCTCTACCTCCAAGCTTTATCCGCACATTCCTCCGATTCTAAAACTCCTATAAGATACCATGTCCAGGTCTTCGCACCTTGTATATCAATATGATATTTGCTTACCCATATGAGAGGGTTGCGTCGAAGCCGACTTCTGGAGCATCATGAATCTGCGACACCGCAGATGGGACGATCTTACATGGATAGGGCACACAAATCGAAGGAAGATACTACTACCAATGAATGATTCATGACCAAGCGTCCGAGTTTCACTGTTGTGGTCTCAATCCTATGCTTACTAAATTTGCGACTAGCGGTAAGACTAGGCAAAATGACACCTTTTGATAATCGGTGCCTGAGGCCTATCTACCCCTCTATTACTTGGGTACACCGCAGACTTTTGGGATATGCGTTCAAAACCTCCATCCTTTTTTCCCCTTCTCCTAACACTTCACTTTTTTTTCTCTTTCTGTTCTATTCCGCTATTTATGAATCTTTTGACCGCTTGATTAATACGGTACGAAAGAAGGTAAAATACTGGATAAGATACCGAGTAGGAGACTACGTAGGAGACTAAGTAGGAAAGTGAGTATGAGATATAGTAGGAGATACGGTCTAACACCTAAGTAGACACCGCGCAAAAAGCGCGGCGGAAAGCCTCTAGTAAAGAGATTACGCTCAACTATCACGGAGTTGAAGCATCTAGTCATTTTATTTTAAATTATTTCAATCGTCATGTCGTTTGATCCCTATTTACAGTGCTGAGCTCATCACTGGTCACTCCGAGTCAACTAGTTAAATCCCACATTTTTCGTTCTTTTCTTTCGTCAGTGATAACTCAGTTGTTGAATGTACTCTACAGTATAGGCGTAAGAGTTGCAAAATCTTGGCTTATCATTAGCTATATGAATCAATTATAGGTTTCTAATCTCAGAGAGTGCTATCCAGCTAGACTTATGAAGTAGGACTGTTTTTCTCACGGTGAATTACATCTCTTTGTTAAGAATCACACAAAGAAAGGATTTCCAGAGACAACCAAGACTGTCCCAGAAAGAAAACTACAAAAATTGTAGTACATTTATTCCTCAACATTTGGCCCCTTTCAAGGCTCTTTTGTGATTTATCGAACGACCCGGTGATCAATTTGTCTATTGATAAATCTATTCATCTCTCTATCCATCGTGATTTTGCCCAGTTCTAAGCAACTGCGCAGGTCTCTTTATTTTCAGTCATACATTACTCGACAAAGAACATCCACTCCATATCTAGGGCCTAGATAATTTCTTCAAAGAAAAGACCGACCAGAGCCCTCAAAGATGAATAAATACGTCAGTAAGGCAACGACGTCTCGCGGCTCTGCAAAGCCATCTCGAAAACAGCGCTGGACGCATTCAGACAGACAATCTATGAACGACTGGGCACAATTACCAAAAGGATGGAATATTGATGAGCCAGACCTCGATCCCCAGGATCTGGAGGCTCAGATCCAAAGATGCAAGGAAAGAATTAAAGACAACATCATGCCTTACATTTTCAGGATCAGATTAAAGGTCCTAGAAGAGGCGAAAGCTAATCGCGAGTGAGATACCCATCATCAAATCTACAAAATTTGTTGCTAATTATTTCAGTGCCATCATTGCTCCATATCAGGGACAAGGATTAAGTTGGGATGTCATCCAGCGACTAGAAAGTCTGAAAGCTCTCAGAGATGAGCTTATGGCAAATGGTGATGCCTTTGAAGAACTGCCTAATGTGGATGCCATTATCAGAGCTTATGAGTCTGGCGATTTGAAAATGGATGGTCAGATTACATACTGGTCCTATGGAAGAATTATCCACCGCTCGAATGCATTCGACTGGGATCAGTTCTCGAGAGTCAATCGCATGTATCAAGGTTTCAAGGCATTCTGGGTTGAGGTTAGTTACACACGCCGGATTGTTCAGCATGAAGGCTAATGATATCTAGCGAGGCGAACCAGGGCCATCATCTGTGAATTCATATAAAGCCATTTTCTCGGCAGATAACGATGGACAATATGTGGTACGTCTTCACTCTCAAAGCATCACATCTTCATTTTACTTATATTGTATTCAGGTCCCACTAGTCCTTAGACTGGGACAAGGCTTAATGGAAGATGAGGAAACAGCGAACACCGAGCCAGAAATTGAATTTGACTTTATCGACGACACCGGCTGCGGCCCACTGAGGATTTATGCCGACGATGTAGCCCTAATCCAAGGACCAAATGCTGCCAATGGAATCCAATGGCCCTGGCCACAGCTTATGGGGTACGAATCAATGAAGAGTGCGGACGGAACAGTCAGTTATATCCTCGCTATCATGGTCGAAGTCAATATGTACGATGCTCCGAAAGACCACTCGAATCGACAATTGATGATCCCGGCATGGGTCCCGGCGGTTGCTTTGGTCGATCCCGGGAAATCTATAGGTCCGGCTGGGCCTAATGAAAGGTTAAGTGGGCGTTGGATGAGGTATTCTCTCTTCACTGCGACAGCGCCAGGGCCTCATCAGAGTCTTTATATCAGCTCCACAAAGACAGGGTTGACGGAAAGGAATATGCTACCGAAAGTTGATGCAAAGGATATCAAGCCGATGAGGCCGCTACGCTCCAGGTATCTAGCTAGAATAAGCAGGACTCGGGGGAAGCCGAGGAAGATATATGCTAACCAAGTAGAAATGGGGCTATCAAGGGAAAGGAGGGACTTGAAGTACATAACTTTCAGCCATAAGACTTGATCAGCTGGGGATGAGGACGGTCTCTCCATAATGTAATTTGTTATTCAATAGAAATTCCAACATCAACATGATACATAGTATCAGGGTATATTCAACAGAAAGGTTGCATATGCAAAGTATGTACCATTTGAAGACAGAAGAAAGAGAACCCAAGGTTTTATAGAGTGAAATACGCAATAGTAGCGGCATATGTATCCAAGTTGTCACTCACAACCGCCAAGGAGGTACCATCCTGGACAATCATGTTCGTCGTACCCACTGTACTGAGGGTGTAGACCGTCAGACCAGTAGTAGAGCCTTCGACGCTGAAGATCTCACTCTGGCAATCCTCTGGTGTGGGGAATGTAGAGCAGTCGGTGCTGTAGTCATTGAAGAAGCTGTACAGACCAGCGCCGTAAATAAGAATGTTGTCGCTGTCAAGGACGCGTAGACCAAGAGCATCGCAGTTGCCAGAAAGACAAGTGCTGTAGTCAGGGTCGTTGAGAGTGTCGTTGGTAGGGTATGGGCCGTTGGCCGCATCAGGGTTCGGCTGATAGTATCTACGAGGTAAATCGTTATTAGAATGCTCGGTCATAATTCAGTTATGTTTACTTACGGTGTTTCAGTCTGAATGAAACCTGCCACAACCGAGCTGGCACCGGAGAACTGGTATTGGTAAAGGGAGTGGTGCTCAACCGCGGTTCCATAACTAGAACTTATAAGCAGAATTCAATCACGAGGAAGGGGTCGTACTCACAGCCAAATGTTGGTTCCTTCGACCAGCAGACCACGACCACTATACAGAGAGACCCGGGTGTTGGCTGGGTCATCAATGTCGTGGTCGGCTGTCCACAGCCAGTTATTCTCCATGTATACACCGCTTGCGGAGCTGGTAATGTGCATGGTCATGTACGCAACTTCGCAGGCTGCGGAAACGGCTGCAGAAGTAGGGCATTGAGCAACCTGTTGGTCAGAACCATCAAAACCACCAATACGGGCGTGTACATCCCACATTCCAGAGCCTGACTCGGCTTCCAGGTTCCATTCAATCAGAATAGCACCGGGTGTGGATCCCTGTGTGCTCACAATCATGTCGGACCATTCAATCGAGCCTGACTCTCCACTCTTGCCGACTTGAATCACCGGAATAGGAGCGGAAATGTCGGAGAAGACGCTTCCGCTCGCCATGATCACGGGGTAGGCCTCTCCAACAATGCGCAGGCCGGGCGGGAAGTAAAGTGTGTTGGTGACCTTGTATGTTCCTTGGTCAAAGAATACAATTGACCCGGTGGATGCAGCTGACGTCAGGGCCGATTGAATAGCCGTGGTATCATCGGTTGTGCCATCACCCTTAGCACCTGCACTTCTGATGCTCACAAAAGAAGAGGTCGGCGATGCCGAGTACTGGGGCTTCGTCTTGGTATAGTATCTGGTAGACCCACTTGCAAGCAGAGCAGATGGGCGCGTCGGCGCGGTAAATGTGCCCTGGAAGTTGGTAGGGCCATCAGGTGAGTACTTGTGGCCTTGGCCCCATGCGCTGATGGTGGTCGATCCCGATGATCCAGCAAGCACAGTACCGCTGGGTCCCTTCACGGCGACGGGAACGTCATCAAGAGCGATGTTTTCTAAGATAAGACTACCGTTGGACGAACTTGAGGTCTCCCACGCTGTGGTGATAAAGGTCGAGCAGTCAGAGATGCTGCTGTCGATGACGTTGACTGAGCCAACAAGCTGATCACCAGCACCACCATTGTTGATCGAAATTGCAGTGGTGCAGTTTGTGATGGTCAGACCCTGGTATGTCCAGCCCCAGTCCCAAATCTGAGAGATCGCAGTAACTGCATTGGAGATGACCATGTTGTGCATGGTAAATTGCTGGTTACCGATATTTGCGCCATAGAGGCCACCAGTGATGGTGATGTCAGTCAAGAAGCCGCCAGATCCTAGAAACAATCAGCTTGAGTTCAAAATAACCAAACAGTCATTTTACCATTTTCAATGAAAATGCCCTGGTGCTGGGTTCCTGAGGCAGAACTCATCACGATCTGAACATTCTGGATACTAGTGGCCTGTCCAACTGGCCAGTGGATACCTGTAGCAGCAGTTGCTGCTGCGATGGAAGTCAGATCCAATTTCAAATTCCGAATCTGCCTGAAGAACACGTTCGTTGAAGTCCAGCCCTGATTTCCACTGCTTTGGTATTGGTCCCCGTCGATTATGCCCAGACCTGTGAAACCAGAGGTAGCCTTGATCACCGGAATTGAGTTTGCATTGCCGATCAGTTGGGTGAAGTCATAATCGATGATGGAGGTCGAGACCAAGTAGGTTCCGGATGGGAAGTATACGATAGCGGGCGTAGTAGTGGATGTCTCTCCACTCGACGGGCCATAACGACCCCCGGAACTAATAGCAAGATTTATGGCTGCAGTGTCGTCCGTTACACCGTCACCTTTAAAATTGTGAGCAATTGCAGTCTCTTGGAGTACTTGTAGACTTTACCTTTGGCACCATAGTCCTTGACATTGCGGAAGACAGTATAGTTTGAGGGATCGGAGTTGAAAGCCGCGATACCCTGGTGCTTGATATCAGCCAGCCAGTATGAAGCATCTGTCGCGTCAAGAGACACGTCTATCGAGATCTCGATAGACGCGACGGGGCTTGGCACGCTGAAGCCAGCATGTGTTGGATGATACGGTGCATGGATTGATCGAGGATTAGTAGAGTCCTTGTGTAGCTTACCCACGTGCCGTGTGTCTACAACATGGGCATGGGCATATGCTAGCAAGGGAAGACAGGATATCAGTGAGGTAAAATGCATTTTGACACCAAGCCTTCGCTAAGGAGTGGAGGCGGGGCGGGTCAATGGTTGTGTACTCCGTACATGTAGAGGGGAATCGCTCGGTCTTATATCCACCTGGGACAATCTCATCAGCACTGGTTCGATGTGATGCACGCTACGCGCGTGTCAACACAGAGCCAGGGGGTGGACCTCCCAACACCTCCACATCATTCTTAGTCCATCGCGAGCCAGTCAAGGAATCCTACCCCGGAATACAACTCGACACGGGGGAATAGATTGCGAATGACCCTTAAATTAGACCCGGTCTGCCCCAATAGATTGAAATCCTTTGCCATTGTCTAAGAATCAGACTGTCACGCTGGTCGGGCCTCATGATCTGGGTCCGAAGATTTGAAAACCATGCCGATCCTGCCCCACTTAGGGATCATTCCCCTGTCGATACATTCGGTGGCCTATTAGAGTTGATAATGTAGACCAGACCATTTGGACTAGTCCAGCGGAGCTGATCGAAAAGCGGAAAGGAATGTGACTAGCTGCAGATTTTATTGCCGCCACAGTTGGGGATAATGCCACTCAGGGGTCATGCCGGGTTGCTTGTGTGTCACAGGGGTGAAGGTGAAGCTTTCAACTTGTTTTTTAACTCGTCAACCCTGGAAGATTGAAAATGATTCTTCTTGTTTTTTCTTTCCGTCCGGGGTGGGGTCAGCTGGGCCTTCCGGGAAAAAGAAGCTGATTATCTTCATCCCGATTGGAGAGCGATCACCCGCTAGAGGATTTGTGAAGATGTCCAGGTTTTCAGTTCTAGTGTATCAGAATGTATTAGTTGTTCTCTAAACCGAATTGGCTACTCAGCTATGACGCTTGTTTTCACCATGGTTTGAAAATGGCTTGCAAGCGCCCGTGGCTGAGCCTGACGAATCCATGTTCCATTTGCCGCGGAGATTTCTTGATCCCTATAATAATATGAGCTTGGAAAATAAAATGATGAAATTCGAAGCAAGTCGCTGGGCGTGATTTTTGAAAACAAAATGACCTTTGGCCTCTGTGGTATGTATCGACCCCGGGAGGTGTGCAGATGCGCGGGAGCACCACTCACCTGGGCAGATAGAGAAAAACTCCAACCCCTTTGAAAATTTCGGGTTTGTATGTTCAAGTTTCCAATTATGAGACATAAGTATATCGATCTTATAATTGCATCTAAGACCAGAGAGGTAAATGTTTTTCAAAATGTTTACGATATGCACATGTGCCAACATGAATATATATGTTGCATCAACATCTACATATCCAGCAGGAGAGTGCAAGGTAGGCATATTGGAGCCCATTGGGCTGCTGATAGATTGATGTAGTGCGAGGGAGATAGTAATTCAAAGGCTAAAGAATTGAATGACTTCATTAACTAAACATTTGAATAAAATAACTACCTAGTAGACAGTGTCCAAGGCTTGAAGATATGTAGAGTTAACAGGAACTGGCAGCGAGGTTATCAGTTTGAATCACATGCATGAAGACTGTATTTTCAGATACTTCAAGGCCCTACCAGTGGGTACTCCTAACTTCTGTCAGCATCTAATTTAACTCCATGGTTATCCTGATCAATCGAAGATCCAGTATACTGAGTCTCTGCAGTAAACAAATTGATTTGTTTGCCAAGAATCATAGTCAGCGGATATGGACACGTGACTTGAATTTTTCTGCCACCGAACTCTGAATGTTTCTACGACATCACGTACATGTATTTTTCCCCCAAGGTCACTTCTTCCCTTTCCACGTTAATCCACCCAGAGTAGCTTCTCTATCACCAAGAGAGCCTCTTCAAATTCCCCCCTCTTTGAATCTGGCTTTGGTGACCGTGGGAGTCAGCTTGCGCGACGGGTCGCGAACAAGGTCGTGTCAACCGGGACTTCGAGTCTATCCCTCATCCAACTTAGATCACATATCCCTCCATCGAGCTCCTCCGCTTTCCCCCATTCAACTTGTCATTCGGGTTTTCTTGCGAAGCCGTTGACTCCGAGATCCGCTTCCAACGAGATCATTCCTACGCGTAACGGATTTGTGCGGACCGCTATCGAGCGCGAGCGCAAACACAGACCGGTGCTCAGACATACATTGAAAATCGTCAAGCTCATAAAAGGCTAGGAAGACCTGTGAGGTCGTGTTGTGCATGTGCACAGCTGAACCGAGAGATCGTCGTCGATCTTAGAAAGGGTGCATCGATTTGCGACTCGCGACTGTACCTATTAATATTGGAATCTTGGGAAAAGATCTCAAAACATATTGCCGCAGATGTCCAAACGTACGGCGCAAGGTCCTCAGGGATCCAAAGAAGACGAGAACATTTTCGGTATGCATGGTACACCAGAGGACAAGCCACAGCGGGCAACGGCTGCGCAGCTGGCTAGCAGAAAGTAAGTTTGAACATTTCTATAATTTTGTGTTCATTAGTCCAGTCTTATTATTTGGATGTGAGAATGGTTGGCTTGAAGGAGCGAGTTAATATCAGGTGATGAACCGATGTTGAAGTATTGAAGATGCTTAATATGGCGACGCACCGATCCAGTGGTACAACTGTTGCTTGTTGACACTGCTGGATGTTTACACACATCGCCCAGCGTCATTCACGTCACCTAACTGCACATCACTTGAATTCTCGACCTTCTTCCTCTTCCTCCCCTCTTCCTATTCCTCTCACCCTTCCACCTGTTCCCCACCCTACCTTTTTGTTCATACCATGGTCAAGATGACGCTTCCGAAATTTGGGGTCCAAGCCTTCTACGAGAAGCAAAGATTTACCAGCCCTCAAACCCCGGAACCAAACAAAAAGAGAAAGGCAGAGCCCACTAACACCAATAACCGTAGGATAAAGGACGTGCGGAAACGTCCTCGTGCCGCGACTCCTGCTGGCGCTTCTCAACAAGCAGGCACCGCTTTCTCGTCCCTGTCCACCGCCCCTTCATTTCCATCTTCTGGATTCAGTGCTCCCCCAGTCCAGTCAAATGGCTTCAATTTCGGCCAAACCCAAAGCCAGAGCTTTCCAGGCGCCAGCTCAACCCCCTCGCAGCCTAACCAATCCAACACCACTCCGTTCTCTTTCGGCAGTGGCAGCCAGCCAGGCTTCAGTTTTTCTGGTTTCGGTGGCTCTAGTTCTGCTGCTGCGACTAACCCCTTTGCTACCACTTCTTTTACTGCTGGGAACTCTACCCCCTCTCAACAACAAAACACACCTTTCTCTTTCGGCGGCTTTGGAGGCAACCAGTCCACCCCCCAACAACAATCCTTCTCTTCCGGTCCGTTTGGAGCCCAGACCCCGAGCACACCTAACGGGGCTGGCCTGTTCGGACAGCCGGCCAATAACACCGGCGCGAACTCTGCTGCAGACTCGATGCAAACCTCGCCTGATGCAAAGCCCAAGACTCTAGCTGGGAATACTTCACCCACAATGCCTCCTTTGCCTTCTTCTCTGAATCGCAGCTTGTTTGGTGACTCGGGAGCTTCGGATAGCTTATCTTCCAAGCCAGCTACACCGGCGGGCAACATATTTTCTGGAATAGGCGCTTCATCGACTGCTTCCGCATCCAACCCATTCACATTTACTTCTACTCCCAAGCCTGCCGAGCCGGAGAAAGTAAATGGAACCCAAAAAGCACCTCTATTTGGTGCTGCTACCCCATCGACTTCACAAGCAGGAGCCAATCCTGCTCCATCCGCAACCCCCAGTCTCTTCGCCGCAAAGCCGGCCGCACCGGCCAGCAATCCGTTCGCCGGGTTAAGCGCTTCCTCGACCGCAGAGAAGCCCCCCGCGTCTAACCCATTTGCATTCACTTCTACTCCCAAGCCTGCGGAGCCGGAGAAAACAAATGTGGACCAAAAAGCACCTTTCTTTGGTGCTGCTACCCCATCGGCTTCACAAGCCGGAGTCAATTCTACCCCATCCGCAACCCCCAGTCTCTTCTCCGTAAAGCCGGCCGCACCGGCCAGCAATCCGTTCGCCGGGATAAGCGCCTCCTCGACTGCCTCGACTGCAGAGAAGCCCCAGGCGTCCAGCCCATTCACATTTACTTCTACTCCCAAGCCTGCCGAGCCGGAGAAAGTGAATGGAGCCCAAAAAGCACCTCTATTTGGTGCTGCTACCCCATCGGCTTCACAAGCAGAAGTCAAATCTACTCCATCCGCAACCCCCAGTCTCTTCGCCGCAAAGCCGGCCGCACCGGCCAGCAATCCGTTCGCCGGGTTAAGCGCTTCCTCGACCGCAGAGAAGCCCCCCGCGTCCAATCCATTCGCATTTACTTCTACTCCCAAGCCTGCGGAGCCGGAGAAAGTGAATGGAGCTCAAAAAGCACCTCTCTTTGGTGCTGCTACCCCATCAGCTTCACAAGCAGAAGTCAAATCTACTCCATCCGCAACCCCCAGTCTCTTCGCCGCAAAGCCGGCCGCACCGGCCAGCAATCCGTTCGCCGGGTTAAGCGCTTCCTCGACCGCAGAGAAGCCCCCCGCGTCTAACCCATTTGCATTTACTTCTACTCCCAAGCCTGCGGAGCCGGAGAAAGTCAATACTGCCCCATCTCCAGCTTCCAGTCTCTTCGCGACGAAGCCAGCCGAGAAGCCAGCCGACCGCACATCTCCCACTCCGAATGACATGGGGGCTCAGATTCCAATCCCTAAGTTTGGCGAGATGACTCAGGAGCTCCAAGACAAGGCCATTATCCTCTGGAAAATCCGAACCTTGGACATATTCTTCCAGGAACAAATCGCCAAGTCAAAGCCGGGAGAAGAATTGTTCGACAATATTATTTTGCATTACATGAAAGCACGCGCGTCCTTTGGCTATCCAGTCAAAAGACGTAATCAGCTTTCCAATGGTGCTGAGGAAACTCCCACCCAGAATGGTCAACTCGCACAGCCCAATAGTGAAAACGGTTCCGCTACGGCTAATATGTTTGCAAAATCGTTCTCTTCGCCAGGACCCGTTGCCCCCCAGTTCGGGAATGACTCCCCAGCTCCCGCCGCTCCCAAGTTTGGGAATGGCTCCCCAGCTCCCGCTGCTCCCAAGTTTGGAAATGGCTCCCCAGCTCCTGCTGCTCCCAAGTTTGGAGATGGTTCCTCGACTCCCGCCGCTCCCAAGTTTGGAGATGGTTCCTCGACTCCCGCCGCTCCCAAGTTTGGAAATGGCTCCCCAGCTCCTGCTGCTCCCAAGTTTGGGGATGGTTCCTCGACTCCCGCTGCTCCCCAGTTTGGAACTGGCTCCCCAGCTCCTGCTGCTCCCAAGTTTGGAAATGGCTCCCCGGCTCCTGCTGCTCCTAAATTTGGAAATGGCTCTGCTTCTTCTGTACCTAAGTTCGGCAGTGGAACCTCTGGCCCTGTCGACTTCATGGCACAGTTCAAGAAGACAGCCGAAAGCACCGAGGCCAAGGAGAAGGCCAAGCGTAAGGCTGAGGAGTTCGACTCCGACGAAGACGACGAGGAAGAATGGGAACGTCGTGACGCTGAAAAGCAACGCGAGAAGCGTGCGAAGTTTGCGGCTGATGTTGCAAAAATCGATGCGGGCAAATCTGTCTGGATCCCAGGACAAGGCTTAAAGTCGGCTGATTCTGATAAGTCAGCTACCCCTACTCCTGCCGACAAGCCCTCCCCTCCTGCGACATCTTCTCCCTCGATCTTCGAGTCATCTAGCCGCCCACTTTCTGACTCAGAAAATATTTTCGGTCGTATCTCTACACCACAGCCCGTCGAGGATGACAAGGACAGCGACGACTCTGATGCTGAGAACAAGCCTGCCTCTCCTAAGCGTCGCACTGGAGAAAAGGATACTGATCCCCTGTGTGATGCTAAGCGGGCCAAGTCCTCTGAGACCGCAGAGGTCACCAAGTCTAGCCTCGATACGCCCATCCCTGCACCGACTGCGGAGGCCGGACAAAGCCTCTTCTCTCGAATCCAATCCCCGGCGCCTCAGTCGGAGTCATCCTCATCACCCAAGCCAAACCCGTTCGGTGCCCTCAGCCAGGGCACCAGCTTATTCGGGAACTCTCCGGCTGATAAGACTTGGAAGCCTTCCGAGCCCATCAAATTTGGGGCCTCCAGCACAACCTCTACCCAAGCCCCAGAAAAAGTAGATGCAGAGGCCAATGATGATGAGACAGCACCTGGTGCCATCTTCAACCTGGCCGAAGACGCAGCTGAAACGGAGGGCGAAGAATGCGTTTTCAAGTGCCGTGCCCGTGCTTTCAAGCTTGGCACGGGCTGGGTCTCCCAGGGTACTGGATTCGCCAGCCTTCTCGTACATGAGAGTGGACGTGCACGCATCGTGCTCCGTGCAGATCCCAGTGGTTCTGTCATCCTGAACACCCTCCTCAAAAAGGACTACGACTACTCACTGACCAACAATTCTGTTCAATTCATGGTCCCTCAGGTTGATGGCCCGCTCGAGCATTGGGCTGTCCGTGTCAAGGCGGAGTCTGTGAAGGCCTTCCATGACAAAGTGAACGAAATCAAGTACTAGTGTGTCAACTAGATATTCCGGCATGAAATCTTTATCCATAGTTCGTTGTACTTTATCTTGTCCGAATTTATTACGGACACATCACAATTTAACCACATCTTTGCATAGTTATTTTGCTCTCTTACTTTCACCTAGACCTGTGCATCTAGGATAGGATGGCTTCCCATAGGAGTCCCAATCCACTGCCAAGCATTTCCCAGAGTAAGTCCCACGGGATTTCATGGCCCTCCTTTTGTTTTTGCCATATTTAATATGACGCTTCCTGAATTTGGAGAGCAAGGCTTATACGCCATGCAGCGTTTCTCTAGTCCGGAACCCTAACCGGACAAGAAGAGAAAGGCAACCAAACACCTGCCTGACAATAAGGGCAGATTCAAGGACGTGCAGAAACGTCCTGAGGTAAGAGCCAAACCCATTCAACAAAGCCAAACCCGTTCAACACCTAGAAGTTACCCTGAAGATCGCAGACTGTATTCTAAGCAGAATCGAAGCCATTACCACAGTAGTTTTGAGTCTTCCTTCGTAACAATCTGCTGCTTCTTGGGACATGACCAGATTGTGCAAGTGTTACAGAGCGCAGTTTGGATTGTAGAATAGCGCATGCTATAATATTCTCGGGAATAGTCCTCGGGAGTTGGGTCTACTGGTGTACAACAAGAACAAAAGCCAAGGTATGAAAAAAGTATTTTTATTTTGAAAAAGCCCCGACCGAACCCCAAGAGTAACATGGAATCATAGAAGCGAAGATAACGACAAGGTGGACCTCATTTACGCGTCATCGACGGTAGTGGTCTGCAGACCCTTGGGGTCCTTGACGTTGACAGCCTGGACGTGGGAGTACAGACGCTCAGCAGCACCCTCCTCGTCGTTACGCTTGCGGGAGATGCGAACGCGGAGACGGAAAGGAACACCCTTGATACCGGCCTCCCAGACCTTCTTGTTCAGCTGGGGGTCGAGGCGGACATCCTTGGTGCCCTGCGTAAAAAAAAGAATCGGTTAGAAATTTCGACCGCACGACATCTTCAGGAAGACAGAGGTTCGTTACTCACCATAGCGTGCTCGGCGAAAGCACGGATCTCCTTGATGGCACGAGGAGCGCGCTTCTTGAAGCTAACACCGTGGCACTATATTCCCGAAAAGAAGTTGTAATTAGTCTTCCGCCCGAATGCCATCGTGTAGAGACGAGCTCTGTGATGTTCTGGTTTCGGCCATATAGGTGGACTTCATCAAACTAATTCTTCTTTTTTCTGGTTCCTGTTTCCCGTCTATAGGGAAGAGGATGTCATCTGCAAAATTATATTTCAAATCTGCAGATGACAGGTTGTGTTAACACTGCGGTTGCCCACAGATCGCATTCCGAGGGGGCTAGCATGAGCTTCGAGTGGGGGTGGGAGAAAAGGAATTTTACATCCTAATCACCAATCCCATCACAAAGGCCCGCACAAGAACCCTCAAAATTCATTGAAGAATTCAAAAACCCGACTCCTTCAGGAGTGAGGTGTTCTCTGTCCATTTCCATATTTGTGCCTCCACAGTTCCTTCACAGGCTCGTCGTCGGAGGTAAAAGGTTTCGGGTTCAACATACTCTGCGGTGCAAGTTGATGGTGTACTCGCGCGACACCACGTCGGCAATGGCCGAGCGCTGCTTCTTTCCGGTCTGCTGGACGTTGGACATCTCTGAATGAATGTTAGAGGGGGTGGGAGAGGTGTAGTGGTGGAAAAAGACTGACTGTTGGGTTCGGCGTCGACTGTGGGCGGAAGTGGTCGATGAGTGGAAATTCACAATTTGTGATCTCGGATGAGTGTGGCTCGCTTAAGGCGGTGGGAGGACGATGATTGGTTGTGGGTCATGTGATATTGCGGGATTCGTTGATGCCATGAACTTCGGGTGTCGATGACCGATTTAGGTTTAGCTCGTCTTTTCCTTAGTAATCAGGCACAATGGTCTGCCAGCAAGCAGAGGAAATGTATTCATGAATTGTATTCAATCTCTAAATATGAAGTCTATTTATTGAGATCCCTCACCACTGACATCAGGGTAAAGGTCAAACCGACGCTGGGTGTAAATGGGAATGCTTGTGCGAATGTTCACGATCGCCTCATTGTCCAAGTCAGCATAAATAATAGTCTCCTTTTCCTCTGCCTCAGTCAAGATGTTGGCACTGGGGTCAGTAATCAAACTGTGCCCATATGCATGGTAACTCGCGTTCAGGTCCCGGGCAGGACTGCAGAGCGCCACATACGACTGATTATCCACTGCGCGCGCCCGGCCAAGTAAGGACCAGTGAAGTGGGCCGGTAGTTGTATTGAATGCACCGGGGTACACAAGCAAGAAGGCGCCCTTGCGGGCAGCGATCATAGCAGCCTCGGGGAACCGGATATCGTAGCAGATAGCCAGACCAATCTTTCCATATTCCGGGAGATCAATCACGGTCAATTGATTACCCGGGGACAGCACATCGCTCTCCTTGAACGCGATCTTGCCTGGGATATCGATATCGAACAGGTGTGTCTTGCGGTGGGTGCCGATTAATGAGCCTGTTGGCGAGAATACCAGGGAGGTGTTGTAGTATTTCTTGGTGGACTCTTCGAGCTCAGGGATACTGCCACCGACCAAGTATGCGTTCGCCTCAGCGGCGATGGCCGATAGCGCGTGGAATGTGGGTGATTGTTCTTTCGTCGGAGGAGAGGGTTGGAGTGTCTCGGCGTACTTTGGGAAGAATTGTGTGCCGTAGGGAGAGTTGAAGCATTCTGGGAGCACAATCAAGCGGGCGCCGCCTTGTGCAGCCTCGAGGACCTTGCTCCGGGCATGCGAGAGGTTGATGGCCTTGTCCGCGCCTTGAACAGGTTAGCCATGGAGATGAAGTTTGGAGAAGTATACATACCAGATGCAAGCTGCACCAGGGCGAGCTTCAAGGGCTTTTTCAAAAAGGTAGCCATTATGTTGATGGAGGGTGAGTTGGAGGGGAGAAGACGGGGAATCCTCCGAACTGCGGGGAGTACCGCGACAGATAAGGTACGACATCAAGGGATCACCAGATAAGGTAGATACCTAGACGAGAAATTTCCATACATCCTAATATACGCTGCCGAGGTCTATTGATCTGTTTACGAATTATTTTCATTATATATGTATAGTTGAATCTGACGAAATGGTGGTGTTTTTATTGGCCCATGTCTAGGTGCCTAGATGTACAGATTATATACATTACGATTCATATTTCGTGGTGAAAGGTACAGAAAATTCGATTCATTCAGTCACACACATTTTTTCATGTAGTGTATGTACATGTTCTAGAATCGGCTCTATCATTTTGAAAGATTAATATTAAACATTTGCAACTGGCTAGATATAACACTTAGTTGAGAGAAGAAATCGAAGAATGTCTTTATAATCAAGAGGAAATTCCGTATATCAGCAACCTCAAATGGGCACTTGAGCTATGATGATTGCTGTTGGTAGCCGATTTAACTGCTCCGTCGGCCATATGGCTCAAAGGGCAAGACCGCCGCAACAATAGCCATAACTATGTAAAGCGCAGCACAGATGTAGATCGGAACTGCTGTCTCAGTCTACCAAAATTAGCATAGTTTAAGAATCTTGGAAGACCAGATGTAGAACTCACATTGGCATATTTAGCCACGACGGCACTGACAATTCCCATGATCCGATTAAGTCCTATGGCAACACCATTGCCAGTACCCCGATGAGCCGAGGGGAAAACCTCAGGGGTGTACGCATATAGTGTACCATAGTAAACATTCAGACAGAAGGAGATCGTGCACGTGAAGCCTAAATTTTGGCTTTCTGTGCGCACTTGGGTGTAACAGAAGAAGAAAATCATGGTGACCAAAGCACCAATGATCATGGTTCCACGACGACCCCAGAACCAGGGCGAGCGGCACATGAATCCTGCCAGAACAGGCCCAAAGATGCTGCACGTGTTGTTAATTGCATAGTTGCGCCAGGTGATGTACGGACTTGACTCTCCAAACTGGGCGCCGCGGGACGACAGGTATGTGGGTAAGAATACGTTGTACAGAGGGTAGGCGAGACCAATTAACAACCATGAGAACCAGACCAAAGAGGTTGACAACGCCATTTTCCGTGTCGCATAGAGACCTTTGAGGTGGAAAATCACTTCTCGAGGATCTATCAGTCGTTGAGTCATACCGGCTGCTGTCGTTTGGCGGTGGCTTGTTGTTCCACACGCTTGGAGGCGCTCGAGAGTAAGGCTGCAAGGGCGCTGATATCTATCGGCGATGTTACGGAGAACGCGCAAGGCATCTTCGTCCTTTCCCTCAGCGAGAAGGAACTTGGGAGTCTCCTCTAGCCGAATAATGGTGATGCGAAGAATAGACAGCACGAATACAAAGGCGCCCGATGTAAACCAGACGTAACGCCAGCCCATGTTATTTTCGCGAGTGCAGCTGGCGGCATCGGAGCAGGAGTAGTTCGGAAGAAAGGCCCAAGCAAACAGACCAGCGATAAGTTGGCCGAGACCTAGCAGATGCGAAAATGTCAGTCTCCTGCTAATCATTCCAGAAGAAATGCCTACCCCACCACGCCGCCATGAGAGTCAACAGCCATTGACTCTTGCTGGGAAGGTACTCGAGAAAAACGGTCGTGTCCAGTACCAGATTTCCTCCAGCACCAAATGCACTGAGACAAATGAAAAGACCAAGAACAATCCAAGATGGTGCAGCGCCGGCTACGATTGTGAAAACCGACGACACAAAGAGCGAAACGTTGAATGCAAAGCGACGTCCAATAATGTCCGCAGAGAATCCCCAAAAGATAGCGCCCACCAGCATTCCCACATAAACGGCAATTGTCAAACCTGTCGAAAAGCTGGGCTGGAACTCGTATTGAGCCTGAATGGATATGATCGACTGGATTAGGAGGATGAGCGAGTCGACGGCATAGCCAAAACCATTCAGACAAAAGAGTTTCCAATGATGAGGAGTGAACCCTATCTCATCGATAGCCTACACATACCAGGAAATTCATTAGCCTTTCCCCAGTCTTTAGCTGCGGAAACTCACATTGTTGATCAGGTTCATCTTGGCTGCCAACACCTGGTCCACCTTCTCTCCTCCCAGGATATCATTTTCGCCATGCGCTATTGATCGCTCCGTTAACGAAGCGTTGCTGTGAGACTTCGCTTTATCCAGCGCACCTGCAGAAGCAGTGCTCGCAGTCGCTTCGATATCCATTGGTCGATGTTCTTATATGAAAATATCCAGGTAAATAGTGTTGGTTGGATTATAAATATTGAAGACTATAAAGCGACTCTTACAAGAAGAATAGCAAAGAGAGAAAAAGCAAAGAAAAAATGAGGCAGAGAGGGGTTAATCTTAATCGCATGTCTTGTTTCCCTATTCCCCACGCGCTATCCCCCCGCGGCACAGTGCATTGTCGAAGCTACTCACGCACGAGGTGAGCTGATTGGCTATGAAGAAGGTCCGTGGGAGGGTTAAAGAGTGACTAACCAGTTATGGAACCTCAACCAGCGACTGCATTGATAAGCCTCGGCTTCCCGTAATCGGTCGATCTCTGGAAAGCCACATCTCATATACACTAGATGACCGAGAACTGGGTTAAACTCGATAAAATGTTTTTTTGATTTCATAACTGTTTTGAACTAGAAAGAACTGGTTTCAATAGAGTAACTTACAAGTGGATCATGGATCAGAGAATATTCATCCCAACCATGGTACATCAAAGGTACCGAAAAATCATATCCAGTCCTCTCTTCGCCACCAATAATTCGTAGACTCAATCAAACGCACCATCCACGGCCATTTCTTCAAGATTTCCTCCGTAATCTCCCAATTCCAAGGATTCGAAACCCCCCAAAACCAACAACCCATAGCTCCTCATAGAGATATCCCAAGACCCAATAATATCAACACATATTTGAACACCCTCGGACTGATCACCGGCAGAAATAAGATTATCGCGCATTCTGCGAAACGGCAAAAAATCCAGCCAGGGATGATGCGCGACTTTACGCTGTATTTGCGTCGGTTTGAGACTGGCTGGCATATTTTCGTCTATCTCTGGGGTGCGGGAGACCAATGTAGATATTGTATTTTGTGCCATCTAATCATGCTGAGGTGTCATTCCGAGCATGAATAAATGCATGGTACACATGTATTTTCCCGAGGATTATTAAAAGGTCCGCATTTGAGGAGCCCTGTCAGTAGCTCGCCAATGAGGATTCGCTGAACTGCTCCAAAAGAAAATCAGCTTCATCGGCGGAAGGCCACTTACTAGGGAGTTTTGTTCGGCATCAAATACTGGATGGGACGGCTTCATCCTTGATAGCTTGATCAATTGCAATTTGAGCACGTTCTCGATCGCCTGTGTTTGGGTCAGCTCATTTTCTAGGCATATGGATTGCACAAACCCGGCTTCATCGGCCGAAATAATGCTTTGCCAAGATCATGCCGAAATCCAAGCCTAAATATAAACATCGGATAATTTGAACCGGCTTTTTACTTTAATTCTAGTGAAGTGCTGCTAAATCCTTTCCTCGATAGCTCCAATTTGAATGAGTGATTAAACCAAGTCTAAGATATAGTGAATCTATATCACAGCTGACTAGAACATCGTTCCTTCAAGGCTTTGAATGCACTCAAGCCTTATTCCCTTGCAGGAACTTGATCGTATCCACAACAGACTTTTCCAACGGCAGGTACTCAATTGCAAGCACTGCCCTGGAAATTTTGTTATCGTGACCGTACAGAACATCAGACCTTTCCGACTTCAACTCCGCTGGGAGTTGATTGGCGTATTCAGAGAAATTATTCTTTGCTATTCCCGCGACTTCCTTCATATGATAAAGAAACGTCTTCCAGCGGCCTCGGTAAACGCCATATAATCAAGGTGAGACCCCTAAAGGCGTGGGCCTTTGGCCGAAGGGCGCTTATTGGTCAGAATCAAAGAAGTGGAACCACTCTGTCAACTCAAAATATACAAATGCAATCTGCTTCTAGTACTTAGCGGGTTTAAGGTCTTAATACCCGATCGGCTGATACCCTGGCAACTTACTGGGAATAGAGGTGAATTTGGATTAATCATGGCATTGGAAACTGCGTGGGATTCGGGACTTGAGTAATGAAAGCGGTGCCTGATTGTGCAGTCAGATATCACTGCCGACAAAGTGAGGCTGTGGAGGATAAATAAGTGGAGACCGGAAAGCAAAAGTCATGTTCAGGAAAAAAAAAAGATAGAGTGAAAGGCAAGGGGAGTGAATGAGAAAGGGAACATTATGATAAAGGAGTGTGTAAGTAGGATGGGAATAGCCTCCAAAACAATACAGGGTAAGTTTTCAAGAAGACTGGGGGTGTGAATGGAATCATGGATGAGTGTTACGAGAGCAGTTTAAAATAGGGTCATAAACACAGTAAGGAGGAAAATAGGTGAACATATCTCTCGTGGCCAAGCGGGATAAGCGCGTCACCAGTGCCTGATCTGGAACACAATTTCTAGAGTTGTGGACGACTTATCTAGGTTACGATCTCTACTGGCATATTGCAATGTGTTGGTACAAGCTAGTCTTCAGCCGCGGTGGATGGTTGCTCCTTAATTGTGTAGGATCAGACCCTCACCTTCGGGTTCGTAGGGTCGACTGCCGGTCGGTACGGGGGAATAGTTCAAATTCTTTGGAATAACCAAGCATCATAGCTGTTGCTGATTATTCCTATATACTTTTCTCTTGTTTTTGATCATTCCTTACTGTTCTGGGAATTGCTCCACATACCCCCTTCCCCCCTCAAATTACTCTTGTACACCCTATCTAGCCCCCCATGGCTTCGAGTCAACTAACTAAACCAATGTAGCCTACCCAAGTAACCTCAAGTTATCTACTCCAGCAGTTATTCCAGCAACTACTCCAGCACCTGCCCTTTCAGCTCCGGTGTACTATACTAGTATATCGAATGTATACATAGATGTATAAATAGGTAGCGGAAAACGAGCATTTGAATGGTGGGTATTGTAGAGAGGCATCGAATTCGCAGCCATGGGTATGTTCCTGCTTGTGGGTTAGGGTGTACAAGAGTAATTTAGCGAGTACGTGAAGAAATTGCCAAAGTTCTTGAACAAAACGAAGAAAGCCGAGTGTGGCAGTCGATGACATTGGGAGCCTTATAGTGTCAGTGCCTAGTACACGCTGAAGGGCCTTGAGTGATTGAAGTCGAGACTAATCAAAAATTGACTGAGAATCAAAGATCCTAGCTTCGATTCTCCCCGTTATCATTATTTTTTTCATCTTGCTCATTTTGAGATTATCGATCAGGACTCTCTCTATCTTGGTGTTGGGCACGCCTACGCTAGATTGAAGAAAGATCAACACAAGTACAAATAAACTTGCCCTAATTTGCATTAGTTCTAGCGGTAGAGCACCCTTTGGCTCGAATGTTTGATTGGTCACTGAACAAAAGTGCATGTTTATCTTAGCAAGATTTGCGTGCCTTCTCCTCATGGTAATCGTATTGAGCCCACACAGCCAAAGCCACCTCACGAAACATGTCATTTGTGAGAAGATGAAATATTTTCTCGGCTCAGGCCGTGACTTTGGAAACACATCATTGAAGGCAATTTGTAGTGGACCTTCGGTTTGTGTTGTAGCTGCATCTCGAGTAGCGCTCATTTTGGCTGTCGGTACAGGTGGTTCATTTGGGTCCTCTTTTTTCCATTCCTCGATGACCAGCTCCGATTTTTTCACGCGAAAAGTCAATGAGACGTAACCTCCGTTTGTTGTTCAGAGGTCTGTGTCTTCAACGAGTTCCGATCGCGTTTCGCTAAACCATAAGTGCTTGCAGGACGATTGTGGGCCAATCATGGTCATCGGGGTCCATCTGTAGGCCCCCAGGCTCCATCGGCCCTTTTTTGGAATCATCGTCATGGGGCATTGTATTGGCCGAGGTGGATCTTCTGTCCATCTTCGAAACCCTTCGTCGATCCTTACCCAGGTGCTCACTGATCTACTCTATATCTCTATAAAACCAAATCTCTCCATATATCAGCTTATTATTATTATTCAGCACCCAAGGAAGTGTCCGTTTATAGAAAACTCAATATTTGATTGAGAGTACAGCATGAAATTATAGTCTATTCACTAGAGGCTTTCTGCCGCGCCTCTTGCGCGGCGCCTGCTTAGGTATTAGACCACACCTCCTACTATATCTTCTACTCTGTCTCCTACTTAGTCTCCTCCTCGGTATCCTAGAGTATTCTACCTTATTTGGTACCGGACGAGTCAAATGGTCAAAGTGTTCTCCAAATGCATAAATAGCGGAAAAGAAAAGAAAGAAAAGAAGAGAAGAGAAGAGAAGAGAAGAGAAGAGAAGAGAAGAGAAGAGAAGAGAAGAGAAGAGAAGAAAAGTGACGTGTAGGGAGCAGGGGGGAAACGAACAGTATCCGAAAAGTCTGCGGTGTACCCAAGGAGTGGAGGGGTAGGTACTAAATGGTTTCTATATTCTAGCTTCTCTTAATTATACTTAATTATAAAGACCACATCCCGAACTCAGATAGGTTCCAAGTCCATATTCATGAAAGACCTTGACTAACCTTGGAACTAGCTGCCAAGAGCTATCATAAACATCTAATATCTTGGCATTGCAGGATTTTCTCTTTCACTGAGATGCCAAATCTCGGCAGAATCAATATCCATGACACCACTATAGTACCCAACAGTTCCACATTACGTCTCAGCTACCAGGAACCCTTGACCGGAGTAATAGTAAAACGTAAGGTGCCTACCTTAATTTTGATCTGATAAAATCTTTGCTGTCTCAGCCAAGGCTCCATAATGATAATTACCGGTCGAACTCCGCCCAATTTATTACCTAACGACCGAAACATGAATTTTATCCGTCAGCCGTGACCAAGAACCGCTAAGAAGCACTTGGCAGCTTGGCAATGTCATGGCATTGACACCCACCCCGATGGCAATTGATTTTTTCCCCCAATACCCGCTCTACGCGGGCTTTTACGGAATATGTGGGTGTGCTTGACACACAGACCCCGTCATGAAAATTCAATCCGAGGAAAATCTAATCAGATGATCTTATCCATGGTTGGAAACTTCACCCTCAAGCTAGGGTGGGGTATAGGTGGGTATAGCCAATCAAAGGCTTTATTGCCATGCAGACTCGGCTGGAGAATTCTCCTTTTCTGGATTTCTTGGCCCAACGACTCAGTCTACGGAGTACCGTTGATGAATCAAATTACGTATCGGCCACGTGGAGGGGGTTATGACTATTGGCCTGGAATGAATCGCAGTATGGAGTTTTGTTTTCTACTCTGTGGTTCACTAAAGCCTCATGGTCCGCATTTTTTATCTGATCCTTTCGTGGGCCGAACTTTTACCGCTTCACCTCGGAGGATTTACGGAATAGTCCGTAAAGGTTTGTTGATTTCAGCCCGATTTGGTATTGGAATTTTAATTTCGAACCTTGTTATATTACCACCCGCATACTCGTATCTGAAACGGTACCGGTACTGGTAACTTTACTGGTAACTATACTGAGTGGAGCACTGGCGGAGATTAATCTTCTGTGAACCTTTTTCGTGAGGCGATTTCTCACAGAATCAAATAATAATAACATGATGGAGGTATCCTCCACCTTCTTTTCACCCAAAATGGCTAGTTCCACGCGTCAAAATCCGAAGTACGGTTGAATTCTTGAAATACAGTTTATCTGATCGTTACCCGCGATATCCATGGAAACATTATTTACTAGCGCAGCCACCTGATTGATTAGACCGATAAGATGAAAACTAAAGCTTGCTCGGAATCCAATTAGGCGGTCTTTTCTCATTAAACGCCAATATTCCCTCCGCAAAGTTGGCACCAGCATACAGTTGTGGATACCATCGTTCGGCCAGATCGGTAACGGCGTCCTCTGCACTGCCAGCTTCCCAGCTTAACCGAACCCCGAGACGGCCCACAATGAGCGCGTCCGGACTGTTCTGACACATCTCTTCAGCAAGACGCACTGCTGCCTGCGCAATATCCCGGTCGGCATCCACAATCTGGGTAACGAGTCCATAGTCGTAAAGTGTGCGGGCGGGCACTGTACGTCCCGTCAACACGAGATCCATGGTCCGCTGGAGACCGATGGTTCGAGTGAGTCGAGGAAGACAGCCTGCGACGGGGACGATACCCCGTTTGACCTCTGGGAGAGCGAAGACGGCGGATTCGGACGCGATGACCAGATCGCAGTTCGCTACCATCTCGAAGCCGCCACCCATGCAGATGCCGTTCACGGCGGCGATAATCGGCTTCTTGCCGTTGCGACGTGGGAGACCTGCGAGACCGGGTGGTGACATGTCATTGACTACACCGGTCTTGACCATTGTGTTCCATTCTACAGATATTCAGTAAGGTAGACCTGTCAAGGGTAGATTGAATGACATTACCGCCAAGATCGGCTCCAGTACAAAAGGCTCTGCCATTGCCAGTAATGATGCCCACCCATAGACTTTCATCTTGATCGAATAGCTCCCAGATCTTTGCGATCTCGGCGCTAGTCTCTTTGTTGATTGAGTTAAGTTTCTCTGGTCTGTTTAAGGTGACTTGCACCACGCGATCATGCGGGAAAGAGACATTGAAATGCCGGTAAGACAAGGGTCCTGATCGAAGCGACATGGTAATCTAGCCGTGATGCAAAGATGGGGCACCCTGTGACCCGCCTTTATAAGAATAATCGAGCTCTGGCGGAGATAGACGGATAATCCGTTGAAATATCTTACTGAGAAGAAATGTGGCGCCGGGTTGAGCCTTGGAACCCCAATGATAACCCGCAATTGATGTGGAGAACCGATGGTATTGGATGCAAGTTTCCTTTTTGTTTTTTAAAAATTCCATTGAAACACCTGTCTTGGACTAGTCAGGCTGAGCAGATTAAAGAGGTTCGCTTACCAGTACCAGACAAATCAATATCTCATTTATCTACCTCGGCTTTTTATTTAATTTCAGGGCTTGCGCTTTAGTCCCGGCTCTCTTCCCTTGAATCCCTCAAACCAATCCCGAGTTATTATTGGATCTAAATCTGATAATTCCTAATATCACCTTCATACTTCAGCTCCAGCCAGATCCAGCTTCAAAGCTTCTATAAGGCTAAGGTCCTACCTATAACCCAGAATGGCCGGCCACACTTATCCCGCGGTCAAACTCCCCCATCCTTTCCTCACCGCCTACCAAGTGCGCGCCGTTGAAGACGCAACTCCAACAAAGCGTATCTTGGTCTTGCAAGATCAGCCTGCTACTGGCAAACTGTTATCTGAACCCCTACACCTCGAATCCCTCTCATGGCGTGATCTGATCTATCGCCCCAAGGAGGAGCAACCTCCCTCCAACAACAACACCGCCTGGGGCCGAGCCCGCCGCAGCCCCGAGACCACCTTCCAATGGACCGATAACACTCCCTCCCTAGGCCAAATCTGGGGTATCGTCCATGCAATCTACCTAGCCTACCCCACAAATGAGTATTTCCGCGTGACTCTCAACGGAAAAGGCAAGGAGATTTTGCGGAGTGAGCTACTCGCGACCGGCCTGGCAGTGGAACACCCGAAGCCCTTCGGCTCCAAAGAGATCGCCCCCGAACAAGCAGAGGAACTGCTCATCCTACGAAGCTCCTTCTGGCAAGGTGCCGCATCACCAGCAGGTCCACGCCCAATCTGGGCTGCCGGCGACGGAATCGACGGACCCGCGCGCGAGTCATTAGCTCGGTACCCCGTTCTGCCTGAGAACTACCACTTCACAAACAAGTTCCCCGAAGAGCCAGTGTACACTCGCCACCCTGTTCGGCGACCCAAGCCCGCTCCCGGCTCAATTGCGTATAGTCGCTACATCCCCGAGGTTGATGAGCATTTCTCGCTGGAAGTGGTGAATTGGGAGGATGCAGAGCACTTGAAGCTCTTCAATACTTGGCAGAATGACCCGCGTGTGGCGAAGGGGTGGAACGAGACAGGAACATTAAATCAGCACCGGGAGTACCTGCGCAAGCTGCACGTTGACCCGCATGTTCTGTGCTTGTTTGGGCGGTTCAACGATACCCGGTTCTCGTATTATGAGTTGTACTGGGCGAAGGTAAGCATGCATTTTCTAGAGTACAGTTTATTCCAGTTCAATACTAACGTTGTGATAGGAGGATCATTATGGTGCTCACTATAACGCTGGTGACTATGATCGCGGTCGCCACTCTCTTGTCGGCGATGCCTCTTTCCGTGGTTCCCAGCGTGTCAACGCTTGGTACTCCAGCTGTATCCACTACTGCTTCCTTGATGACCCACGGACGGCAAATGTTGTGGGCGAGCCTCGTGCTACAGGCTCGATCATTCTGTCGTATGAGAATGCTCAGGGTCTGACGATTGGCTCGTACGTTGACTTGGGACACAAGCGCTCTGTGCACTCTATCGCCAGCAGAGAAAAGTGGTTCCAGTTGTGCCCGATCTTCTGGGATGGACGGGAGCGCCCACTAGAGTCTGCCGATCGTGCCGCATGGAATGCTAAGCTATAAGTGTTGTGTTGTTAGGGTTGTCATGTATAGTTATTTTCGATATCTCGTTTAGTGTTTAAATTCAAGCCCTCTTTATGTCATATTGACGATCTTCCGTGTCTTTATTGCGCAAATGTACTGTAGATCCATTGTTTTTTAGTGGACGTAGATCATAGGCCCCAGGCTAGGTTCACCCATTACAGTTGTTCATTTATCCAGCTAGACAGACACCATCACGAGCTCGAAGCGATACAGTACAAGGTGAACAACACAGAGAGATGCAGAAAAAACAAATCTTTTTAAGCGGTTGCACGTTGGTCTACAATGCAACAACTGACTAACTATTAGTGTTCGCTGAGTAACAGCCGTTACATAACTATCGTATCACTTCAACGTCAATCTCATCCTGTTGAACTACATATGGTAGTGGTATAGACAGGTGTCAGGGTATATAAAGAGGGACAAAAAAAACATATATAAAGATCCTTTCCAAGGCACTCGAAAGATCCTCCAGAAATGCTTAAAAGACCATTCCCTTGACCTGGGGCACAGACTTCAGGTCAATGTTACGGATCATCATAGTCCAGATGAACGCAAGAGCAAAGACACCAGTTCCGACTGCCAACATGCGAGTCTGAGCATAAGCATAAGCATCCTGGATAGCAATGCGGGTAACACTGCCAACGGGGTAGCTAAGCTGGGTGTTGAGATCCTCGTAGATGTTCTCGAAGTTGGACATCGCACTATCGGGCAGAAGTCTTCGAAGTGCGTTGGGGTAGGTGTTCTGCCAGATAACTCCGGAGATGGTGGCACCCATAGCATCACCGACGGTACCGACGACGTTTAGCAGACCCAGGACGGCGGCGACATGCTGGTGGTCGACAGCAGCTAGGATAGCAAGCTGCTCGACGATGATGAATACTGCACCACCGATGGAGATGAAGACTTGGCACATGACGAGGTATCCGACGGACTGGTTGGGGCGACGGAAGTAGATCATCAGACCCTGGGCGAAGATGTAGAGCGGCACGGCAACCCAGAGTAGCCACTTGAAGCGGCCGGTGCGGCGGATCAGGAAACCGACACCGATGAGCAGGACACCGGAGACAATATCGAAGATGCTGCTGATGTATCCGGCTTCGGCGACGCTGACGTCGTTGACGACCTGCAGGAAGGAAGTGAAATAGTAGTCCCAGCAGTAGTAGCAGAGTTGGTAGGTAGCGTCTAGCAAACAGGCACCGAGCACAGTGCGGTCCCACAGGAAGCCGAACTCGAACAGACGCTTAGGAGCGAATTTCCACTCGTAGATGAGGAAGACGAAGAGCAAGACGAAACCGACGCAGATCATAGCGATAATGTAGGGAGTGTCCCAGCTGTTCGGGGCACTGCCAGCAATGTCGAAGGGTAGGAAGAAGAGGACAAGACCGGCGGAGAAGAGGAGGAGACCGAGGGCTGCGACGGTTAGTATGTGCGTGGTACACTATATGATTGAGGTGCTTACCATCAAGCTCAACAATGTAGAACCAAATGCTCTGGGGAAGAGTGCGGCCGCTGGACTCCTTGACCACATGGCCGGCCTTGACAGCCTTCCGCAGGTTATACTTGAGGATGAAGTATAGAGGGGCAGCGACGATGGGGAAAATGATGGCGAAAACACCGAATCCCCACTTCAAACCAATCTGGTCGAGAATGTCATTGGCAGCCTTCGCACCACCGAAAGCAGTGATGATGTAGGGGGAGGAAGTGAAAGCGTATGCAAGACCTCGACTCTTGAGCATGGACGCATCGGCCGTCAAGACGTCAACAGTATAGGTCATACCACTGGTACCGAGACTGTAAAACACCTATTTTATGTTAGTTGAATCTCAATCAACTGAATAGAAGAATGCACGTACATAGGCAGCACAGAAGGTGGGCAAGTTGTTGCAAGCCGCCATCATGATCAGACCGATGGTAGCGCAGAAGATCATGAAGGCAAAACCCTCAGCACGACCCCAGATATCCATGATTTTACCGAGGGGAACATAGCAAGCAGCAGTTATAGCATCAGCGACAACGTAGATAACACTCAGCAAAGAGTGGGAATCCCAGTCACTGGTCACGTAGGGAATCAAGTTGCTCAAGACGGAGCTCTGGAAAGCATTAATGAAGTACAGGAGCCAGATGCTGTGCAAATATTAGTATAGAACAAACATATCAAGAACTAGCAAGTATATCATACTTGAGAAAAACCGCAATTAGCGACCGACGCGACCAAGTCTGGGTCATGGCCTCCATATCCGCAACACCCCGCTGAGTATTCTCATCCGGGGTCTCAAAGGAAGGGCCTTGCGTCTCGGGAACAGGGTTCTGGGTATCAACCGCACCCTTCTCGTTGGCCTCGTTGGCCTCCGAGCTAGCATTATCAGAAACATCGGTAGCCTTCTGATCATACGCAGTCTTAGACTCCTGGGAGTTCACATTGACCGTGGTAACAACATCTTCGGCGGACTGGCGACCAAAGATAGTCCTGAAACCAGCCATGATCGACGATCTCAGTGGGAGGGGGAGAAAAATATTAGATGTTGATCAAGTACCAAACTTCGAGGGAAAATCTCTGTCCCTTATAGTCCTGAACAGGATCTTCCACAGATTGATAAAGGCCGAAGTTCGCTTGTGGAACGGGACTAACATCACCGCATGAAGCCACGCAAGCCCAGACCCAAGAAGCGATTTTGACCCGAGAATTTCATTTGTTGATATGGGATGGCAAAACCGGAAACAGGTGATATGATCCACATATCCACCTGTATTTTATATCTATCTACACGGAAGAGCCTAACGCAAAGCGCTAAAGGTATCCGTAGAGAGGGTTTGTGTACTCTGTAGCCGAGTAAGATGGAGAATCGAGGATTCTGTGTGGAAAGGTCGTTACAATACATTACATGGATCCACTTTGGTATTTACTTTGTATTGACAATGTACTATAAAAGTGGATACATGACGGTATTGGTTGGAACTTGGCAGTGGGGCACCTTGGAAGTTTTATCTGATCATCCATTGTGGAAAAGATGCGATGTCGGCTTAATCCGAAATCATTCCGTGTGAGTGGAGATACAAGAAAAAACCAAGCCGGACCAGAGTGTAGCCGGAACAGACCTTGCGACTCGAGTCAAAGTGGATTCGGCACCTATTCAGGTTAGCTTTCTCTGATTGATAAGATTATTCTTCCTTCGAGCTCCTGAGCTTTAGCAACTAACTCAAATTCGCGTTTCTTCGTTGAATCGCATGGTCAAGTCCTGGTGATTACCAAGTACCTTCCAATCGCTGGTGTCCTCTGCCATCATGAAGGGCTTCGCCAAACTCACGAGCTATTGTAAGCTCCTAGTGGCCTGCAACCCCTCTAGACGAGAGATTGCCATGCTAGTCGTGGGTTTCTTTAGTGCAATTGCTTCTGGTGTCCCATTCCCTATTATCGGTATCGTCTTTGGTTCACTGCTGGACGACTTTAACTCCGCAACTTGCGCCCAGAGAGATGGAACCGCAACCGCCTCCTCGGAGTCCTCCGAACAAGGATCCATCAATAACGAAATTCTTCTGATCGTCTACCTGGCCATTGCGCAGTTCTTTACCATCTATATTCACCTCACATGTTGGACGATGACTGGTGCGCGATTGGCGCAGCGCCTCCGTGAGAACTACCTGAAGAACTTGCTCCGACAGGAACCTTCGTACTTCGACAAACTGCCTCCTGGTGAGGTCGCCTCGCGTCTCAATAGCGATATTCAAACGATTCGTTCTGGTACATCTGAGAAAGTGGGAATTGTTCTCTCGGCGATCTCGTTCTTTATCACCGCATACATCGTTGCTTTTATCAAGGACTGGAAGCTTGCTTGCATGCTGCTTTCGCTTATTCCAGCCTACATGTTGATGTCTTTTGTCGGAAGCCATTATATTGAAAAGTATGCTGGACTCATGTCCGATCATGCCGCTACCGCTGCATCGATTGCTTCCGAGGCCCTGTCCAACACGGTCGTGGTGCAGGCCTTTGGTGCCAACTCCCGTTTGGAGGAGAAATTTTCCAAAGCACTCAAGCTTTCCGAAGGTGAAGGCCTGAAAAAGGCTTTGGTGGTTGGTATTCAGTCTGGTGTGTTATACTTTGTCGCATATGGTGCGAATGGCTTGGCCTTTTGGCAAGGTGCCAAGTCGGTTGCCAAGTCCGTAGCAACGGGGACTTCGGGCGTCACTGTTGGTGCAACATTCACTGTGATCTTTGTTTTGATTGAAGGTATGTATGACGAAATGAAATCGTGACCTGTGATGCTGACATGACTTAGCCACTTTGCTGTTCAGTCAAGTTTCACCATTTCTGCACTTGTTCGTTCAGGCGGTTTCTTCGTACTCCAAGTTGCGCGAAGATCTTGAACGTGTGCCCCAGATTGATGGTACTTCTGATGCTGGTATTCGCATGACTCAGGCTGAGGGTGGCTTCGAGTTCAAGAACGTCTCTTTCACCTATCCTTCCCGCCCTGAGATCACCGTCCTCGACAACATCAGTTTGAGCATTCCCGCCAACAAGCACACTGCCCTGGTTGGTCTCTCTGGCAGTGGAAAATCGACAATTGCAGGCCTGATCACCCGACTGTACGACCCCAATGAGGGTCAAATTACCTTTGATGGCCATGATATCCAGGAAGTGAACGTGAAGGACCTGAGAAGTTTCCTCAGCTTGGTCCAACAGGAGCCTTCTCTTCTGGACCGCTCTCTTCTGGAAAATATTGCACACGGTTTGATTAACTCAAGTAACCCGAACCACGCGCACCTGAAGGCGGTTTTCATCCGCCCTGATCTGGAAGAGCTCGCTGAAGATCTTCGCAATGGAAAGGATCTTATGACTGAGGCCGAGAAGCGTGGCTCTGACGTCGTTGAGATTGTGGAATTGGTCAAAAAGGCGACTGTTCTCGCTGATGCCGAAGGTTTCATCTCTCGCCTGCAATATGGACTTGGTACGGTCGTTGGATCTAGCGGACGATTGATCAGTGGTGGTCAGAAGCAACGTATCTCTCTTGCCCGGGCTCTTATCCGTGACCCCGCGGTTCTGATTCTTGACGAGGCTACCGCCTCTCTGGATTCCCACAGTGAACAGCGTATTCAAAAGGCCATCAACAACATTGCCACTGGACGCACCGTCGTTACCATCGCTCACCGACTGTCCACCATCACCGGAGCGGACAATATCATCGTTATGCACAAGGGTCACATCGTGGAGCAGGGTAATCATGCCGAGCTGATGGCCAAGGATGGATCGTATGCCGAGTTGGTCAAATTGCAGACCCTCAGCACATCCGACAAGAATGACACTACCGTCAGCGTGGAGACTGTCAGCAAATCCGATCAGAGCTCCGTGACGGCTGGTGATATTGAGAAAGCTGAATCCTCCAACACTGCCTATGAAAATATTAATGAGAAGATCGCCACAACTGAAGAAACCCCAGTTGGTGATTCTGGCGATGAGGAAGAACCGGAAGAGCTCGAGGCCCCAAGAAAGTCTCTCTGGGCTCTCTGCAAGGGCTTTGCCCCAACTCTGCGCCCGCATTTGCTAATCATCTTCCTTGCCCTGCTCGGTGCAGTCATTGTCGGAGGAGCTTTCTCTGGTGAGGCTGTCATCTTCGGAAACACTGTCGGTAGTCTGGATCCTTGCAACAGCGCGGCCTACATTCGGTCCCAAGGTGACTTCTACGCCCTCATGTTCTTTGTCCTCGCCATCATCGAGTTCTTCGCCAACGTTGTCAGTTGGGCTGGATTTGGTTGGGTCTCTGAGAAGGTTGTCTACACTGTGCGAGTTCTATCTTTCCGATCTTTGTTCGAACAGGACCTCCAGTGGCACCAGTCGAATGGACGCACTCCTCCTTTGCTTCTTTCATACATTACCAGAGATGGTAACGCTCTTGCCGGCCTGAGTGGTTCCATTATCGGTACTTTGTTCTCTATCACTGTCAACCTTTTCGCCGCCATCATCCTCACCCACATTATCGCCTGGAAGATTGCCTTGGTCTGTCTTGCATTGGTCCCGCTTCTTCTTGGGGCTGGATTCATGGAACTCCTCATTCTTGGTCGGTTCGAGGAGCGTCATGAGAATGCCTACTCCCTTTCCGTAGACATTGGTGTCGAGGCAATCAGCAACATCAAAACTATTGCCTCCCTTTCCCTCGAAGATCAGACCCTGAAGACCTACCGCAAGTCTCTCCGTGGACCTCGCAAAGAGACCCTCAATGTCACCTTACAAGCAAGTGCATGGCAGTCAACCACCTACTTCCTCGGTAACTGTGTGAACGCTCTTGCCTACTGGTGGGGTGCTAAGCAGATTCTCAACGGCACCTACACCCAGACCCAGTTCCTGATTGTGGTCTTCTCCCTCCTCGTCAGCGCCCTTCTGTGGAGTCAAATGTTCGCTCTTGCACCGGAACTTTCCCAAGCCAGAGCTGCCATGGCTAGAATCTTGGACCTCATCGAGCAGGGTTCCGACAAAATGCGTGGTCATGTTCCTACTCACGCACCCAATGTTGCCCCGAAAGGAGATGACGAGTCCTCCATCGAACCCAAAGCCATCCAGTCCGATTCAACAGCGTCGAGCGTCCAGCTGCGCGATGTCCACTTTTCCTACCCCGCTCGTCCAGATATGAAGGTCCTGAATGGCCTATCCATTGACATCAAACCGGGACAATTCTGCGCCCTCGTCGGCCCCAGCGGTGCCGGTAAATCGACCATCATCTCCCTCGCCGAGCGCCTCTACGTCCCCGAGTCTGGATCAATCCTGATCGACGGCCTCGATGTAACAAAGACCCGCGACCCTTCTTTCCGCGATAATATCTCCCTCGTCCCCCAAGAGAGCGTGTTGTTCGAAGGAACTGTAGCTTTCAACATCGGCCTCGGCGCCAAGCCCTGCAGAGAAGCTACCCACGAAGAGATCGTCGAAGCATGCAAGCTCGCCAACATCCACGAGACCATTGAATCACTACCCGAAGGCTACAACACAATGTGTGGACCTAACGGTAGTCAGTTCTCTGGTGGCCAGAAGCAGAGATTGTCCATTGCCCGTGCGCTGGTTCGCAAGCCTAAGTTGTTGATCCTGGACGAGTCGACCAGTGCATTGGACGCTGAGTCAGAAAAACTTCTCCAAGATGGACTTAGCAAGGCTGCTAAGGGCATCACTGTCATTGCGATCGCTCATCGCTTGCACACTATCCGTAAGGCTGATGTCATCTTCTTGATTGATGCTGGAAGGTGCACTGATCATGGTTCACATGAGGAGCTGCTTCAGAGGTCCGAGAGTTATCGGACAAATGTCATGCACCAGACAGTTGCAACTTGATTGGTGAAAATATTAGATTTTGATTTTAATACCTGACGTTTCCGAATGGGTCGTCACCTTTGCATGTACATAGCGTTGTTATTTCATTCTCTTCACATACTCTTATAGACTCGTTCAACTCATCATTTTATCTTCGTGATTTCCATGTGTCGACTTAGGCAGGGAATGCAAAAAAATAATTGTTAAATATTAGATTCTCATTATCAAGGAGGATGTAGATTCTTGTAAGGTTGACACCCATTCCCAAGGTTTGTTCTGAGTATGTTTAACACCAATTGATACCTAAGCCTATCAAATCCAAGAAACAAGTTTACCGCAAAATCATAATGAAATCAGGAATAAATTGGCTATAAAATAAGAAAGACATCAAAAATATACAACGAACGACGTTAAGTCTCATTTAAAAAATCTCCGCATCAAGCAAGGCTTCCACCTTCTGACCACTCAACTCCTGCACAGTAGCAGCCAACTCATCCAAAGCCTCGTCAACAAACAGCGAGTCATTCTCACTCCCAACAAGACCAACATTCACCTTACCCTCTTTCACAAACGAAACAACCTTCATCGGGTAAGGGGAATCACCATGAGGATTCAAAATATCGACCTTGCAAATTCCGCCAGCGAAAGGCATGGTATCGAAATCATCCCAATCCTGATGATGAACAAGAGAATCATAGAAATGGCCCGTCGACCAGCCTACCTGCTGAGAAATCTTCTCGAACCCGAGGAAATCATACGCGGCCGACTCGGCACTTTGCTTCTGTACATATTGCAGAAGATCCATGGCCGTCCAGTGGGATTCGAAGAGGACACGAATGGGTGTGAGCTGGTAACAAGGACCAGCGATATTCTCCACGTTAGGCAAATCGATCGATCGACCAGATGTGACACCTCCGAACGTGACATCTGATTTGCGGAGACGACGCGCCAGTACCAAGGCCCAGGCTGCTGTAAGGAGGGTGGCAGTAGTTATGTATTCCAGTGGCTGAGCATGCTCAACTGTCTTGGTCTTGAACACGCCCTTGTCGCCGGGCTTGACTGATGTTCCTTCGAGGACGGACAGCGAGGAACCCCTGAGGAGGTTACCCCAGTAGTTGGTGGCGGTCTTCTGGACACGCTCATCAGAGACCCGACCCATATACACGGAAAATGGCACATGAGCGGCGGGTTCACCGCCGATGTAGAATGTTTCGAGGTCCTCGAGAACCTTGGGAAGGGAAACACCATCGTACTGGGCGTGAGACAGACCGAGGATAAGACAGTCGCTTCCGTTTCGGCCTTCCACGTGAATTACCTGCAGGAATGATGAGCCGAGCTTGAAATCCAGCTCGACGTGGGCGGCGCAGACTTCCTTGACGGACTTTTCGAGGTCCTCGTCTGCCAGGTGCTTAGTCAAGGGTGTTTCCATCTCGTTCAGAACAACTTGGTATAATTTAGACTCGTGTTCGATGAAAACTGTGCGCAGGATTTCGTGGGTCTTGATGAGTTTGTCGCAAGCATGGAACAGCTTCTCCCGGTCGACACCCTCCTCAAAGAAGAGCATGGTGTACTGGATGGCGGTCCGAGGGGTGTTAACGGTAGCCTTGATGTCCACTACCTGGGAATCGGTCACCGGGGTGACATCGTGAATGGACCACTGGGGATTAGCCAGCTTCGGGCGGACAATGTCGGAGATGAATGAGTCGAGGTTTGACTGGTCCAGGGTCGAGAAGGGCTTGTAGGGCTTGATGTTCTGCTGAGAAGCTTGATCGAGCTTCAAGACACGTGCAGCGTCTCCAAGGCGCATGTGCTGGAAGATATCTGCCACAGTCAAGCCGTGTCCTTGTGCGCGCAGACTGGAGACCAGCTTCATAGCTAGGACTGAGTCACCACCCAGACGGAAGAAGTTGTCATCGAGATCGATCTTCTTTGGCTCCATGCGGAGGATATTCGCCCAGGCTGTTCGGAGGATGTTCTCCTTGGGAGTCAGGTTGGCTTGGGCAGAAGTCTTCTTCCATGCTTCCTGGAAGCCTTCTCGGAGTTTCTCGAGAACATGAGTGGGAATGCTGGTAGCCAGCTGGTTGAGAACAGTTTGGTAGTCGACCTCTTCGGACTCTTCAGGGAATTCCTCAATCACCACATATGCCGAGGGAGCCAAGTAGGTAGGAAGAGAATCACGAATGAACTTGTCGAGCTTCTTCAATCCTAGAGCCAGGCTAGAAGTGACGGCTGTACAAGTTGTGGCTTTGCAGCCCTTTGATCCAATTTCATGTTTCTCGAACATGATTTCAACAGTCTTCTCTTTAGAAGCCCGTGGCTGAAGAAGAACAATTAGCTCCGGCTGGTCATTCTGGCCTTCCGCCGACTGAATCACTGCAGTAGCAGCGCGAACCGTCGGGGGCAGGTAGCTTGTGAAGTGAGTCTCCAGCTCTGCGATGTTCACTGCATGTCCTTCAACTGGGAGGAGGTTCTCTTTACGACCGACAAATACCAAGGTGCCATCCTCTTGCAGTCGAACAATGTCTCCTGTAGGCTGGACCTTGCCTGCACGGCCACCACAGGCCGAGCTTCCAGCCACAAGCCACGCTGGAGAGTCAACAGTCTCTCCGGAAAGGATAGCCCCTTCTAGCCAAAGCTCACCAACACAGCCAATAGGCGAGAGAAGCGAAGAGTTCCGAACATCAACCACCCAAGGCACGACAGCACTAGGATACGAGGATCCTGCCTTGATGCTCGAATTAGCACGAAGCGTATGAGTAGACTCATCAAGCGACAAAGGCGGAGTCTCATTCCATTGCCAAATCTGGTTCAGCTCCGTCGAAGGAATGCAAGAAATCTCATCCAGCCTCCTAGACAAATTACGAGTTAACTGGAAGCAAGCGGCCTCCATCTGCGCAAGGACACGCTTCATTTGCGGAGCCTGAATCAGCGTACTGTCAAAGTTGGCGCGGATTCTGAAACCGCCCTTTCGAATTCCACAACCGATCATCAGGGGGTAGGGGTTAAAGTGTAGAGCTTCACGAACAACATCACCAAGCGCGAAGCCGAGCTCACCCACCGCAGCGGAGTCGGGATCGGGCTGGATGACCAAGCCGGTGGGAGCTTCGCATGCATGCTGGGCGTCGCGGCTAACCTTGCGGATGTTCTGCATACCCATATGCTGGTATGGGCTGCGAGCAAGCACTCCGGATTGAACGGCCTGGAGGAAGGACTCGATGGTGGTTTGTCGGTTGATGCGGATGCGCACTGGGACAGTGGCGATCAGCGGTCCAACAATACCCTCGACTCCAGGGAGAGAGATATCGCGACCGGTAAGAGTCTCGCCGAAAACGACATCGTCGCTTCCCGAGTATTGAGACGAAACAAGAGCCCAGGCACCGCGGATCAAGGTAGCCAGAGTAAACGGATATCCGGCGCCTGTCTGGACTGAAACAGAGTGCTCAACGTTGCCATCGGGATGTGGGACGAAATCTCTTGAAGGGAGACGAGGGAATTGGGGACCGACAGCATTCTTCAACTCTCGTCGCCAGAACTCTTCCATGGCGCTCTCGTCGGTATCCTTTACCCACCTCACAAACTCTCGCATCTGAGTCTGGATATTCACGGGCTGATATTTCAGAGCGTTGCTGACCTGGTGCAGAACCAACGGCTCAGACCATCCGTCGTAGACGACGTGGTGGATTGTCCAGACCATGTATCTCTTACCATTGTCTTCGACAATAGCATACCGGGCAAGACGGTCTCCAAGTTGCATTCTGTCATTTCGATCTTTTTCAAGGTAGGCTTCGAGATTATCTGAGTTTCTCCAATAGATGGTGTCCTGCAGTACAACTTGCTGGAGGCCGGGTTCCTGAAGCTGAGCTAGACGTGTGCGCAGGATGGGGCTGTTGGTGACAACCTTCTCCCAAGCGGCCTTCCAAGCAGTGACCTCAATATTGGATGGGATAGTCGCGACCCGCTGGGCGACATATGGCTTGACGGACTTTAGAGAGAACGTGAACAGCGACTCTTGAGTGGGTGTGCAAGGGTAGATATCTTCAATAGCAGTCTTCTTGAATCCATAAACTTCAGAGGCCTCAGCGCAGGCACTCGCAGCAGGTTGGGAGATCATCGAGAATGCAGGTGCCTCAGTCTGTATCGCCGCTCCACCATCCAATATCTCAACAACACTAGCCATTGCAGCAAGTGAAGGGTTGCCGAACATGCCAGTGACAGAGAGATCAAGGCCTTGGGACCGACAGACGGAGACAAGTTTCATTGCTGCGACAGAGTCACCACCCAGAGCAAAGAAGTTATCATTGGGCTTGATGCCTTCCGCATCGAGTTTGAGAGTTTGAGCCCAGACATCGCGTAAATGCTTTTCCAGATCGCTCAACTCACGGTTGGCCATAGCTTCGTTGCCAGAGTCCAATTGGCGCAGGTCGATAGTAGCTCCGAATGCTCTAAGCTGCTTGCGGTCTGTTTTGCCGGAAATCAAAACTGGAATTTCGTTGACCGGGATGTATGCTGTGGGCACCATGTACCGCGGAACGACCTTGGCGAGCTCTGTACTGAGGTTGGGCAGGATCTCGCGCAGGTCATCAGAAGGCTCCGCCGAGGTGACACCAGGGCCACCCTGATCCTTCATTGAGGGGGTGGTCACAAATGCAATGAGAGTTGCTTGACCCCCTGTTCCCTGGGGCACGATAACCTCGGCAATGACGTTGGAATCTGTAGGTAGAATAGCACGAAGTTGACTCTCAATCTCCCCAAGTTCAACACGTTGACCGCGCAATTTCACCTGGGTGTCTTTTCGTCCGGCGAAAACAATGCCACCAGATCCATCGGGGTCATATCTTCCGAGATCACCAGTCTTGTAAAGACGGCTCTTGCGACCAGGATGGCACTTGTAGCCGGCAGCGAGCCAAGGAGGGCTTTCAATGAATACAGAGGCGGTCTTCTCTGGATCGCCTAAGTATCCCTGTCCAACGATCGGTCCCTCAACAAGTAATTCACCAACAGCACCGATGGGCATGAGCTGATCATGATCATTTGGATCGACGATCCACATGGCTGCACCATTACCGGGTCCAATTGAGAGGTAATCTCTGCCAGTGGCAGCACTGCTGTTGATAGTACATCCAATAGTACATTCACAAGGACCGTATCCAATGATGATACGGGCATCTTGGCCCCAGATGTTGGCATCTCTTGCTGGCACAGCCTCTCCACCCAGACCAAGACCGTTTGTAAGCGATTTGATCACATCAGGGTCTAGGATACGGGCCACAGACGGTGTCATGCCGGCATAATTGATTTTCATGTTCCGGATCACTTCATTGATGTCATTCAGGCGGTCCTCATCTGACGGAATGCAGAGGGTACCACCCTTAGTCAGAGTGCAAAGCATGCTATCGATACTGACATCAAAAGCGTAAGATGCGAAATCGAGAACACGTGAGTCTTCCTTGTAGCCAACTGCCTCGGATCGCGGAATGCAGCTGCTGGTATAGGTTTCATGCGAGATTGTCACGCCCTTCGGAGTACCGGTACTTCCAGATGTGAAGATGATGTACATTAAAGTTTGTGGAGGGACAGTCGGCAATGCAGCAATGACCTCGGTCCTGGAGAGGTTTGCGAAGGCGTCGGCCTCCACAATAAAAATCTTATCACTGGGCATGATTTCTGCTGAGAACTCATGTTGGTTACGGGATGACACCATTGCCTTTGCGCCCACTTGCTTTGCCATATTCTGTAGTCGAGCAAGGGGGAGAGTGGGATCCATGAGCGCAAAGGTTGCGCCTACTTTCATAACGGCAAGGACTGCAACGATTGTCCATTTGGACTTTTCGAAGCACACAGGTAAGACATCGTTTAGCTGGACGCCCATTTCTTCTTTGAGCTTCCATGCAGTGTAGGAAGACCATTGTTCGATCTCGCCGTATGTTAATTGGCCATCCCATGAATCAATCGCGACCTTGTCGGGGATTTGTTTGGCTCGTTCGGAGAAAAGCTCATGTGTTCCGAAGCTGTATAAGGGGGGAAGCTCATGATTCAGGCGCCAGATTTCCTCAATGTCGCATGCAACCGGTTTCAAGCTCTGCTCGATAGTTGCGCCCGGGTTTAAGAGGCAGGCTTTAATTGTGTCTGCGAACTGCTCCACAGTGTGTTTAACGGTATGCTGTAGCATGTTGTCGGTCTGCCATACTGGGCGGATGTGGAGTTGATCGTGCTCAAAGCGGACTTCGAAGTGCATTGCTCCCTGAATCTATCAGTCCCAAAAAACCCCTCTATCATTGCAAGAATACTCACTTCTTCGTTGGCTTCCGCATCGTATGTTAATGAACCGGAGCTCAAAATGAGTGACGCTGAATTCGGTGCATCACCCAGCTCCACCGGGGTTGTTGATTTAATGTATTGCGAAATAGCCGTCGCAATCTGCTCAACGCTACTATCCAGTCCCGGCACCACATTCTCAGTGGGCAATTGGTTGTGAACGGACTTAACGTCGGCATCGGAGCGACTGTTGTACGCCCATTCAAAGCGAGGCAAGGTACCTTCTCGTGTTCTCATGAGCACAATCAGCCACGCAAGAAGCACAACATCTTCCTTCATACCCGTAGGTGTCGACACCTCGGGCGCAAGATCAGTGGCATGGAAGCAGCGGAAGCCGTCGCTATCCACCGGACGCGACAACTCTGCAACGCCATTAGGCTGGTTACGGTCAGGCAGATCATTCTCATCAATAAAGCCCATATTGGCGACCGTCCTGCTTCTGGGATCCAAGAACGGATTGTAGGGAAAAGAGGAGTCGAACCTCGGTCGTCCGTGAGCTTGCGCGAATCTGGAATGACGGAAAGGGTATAGTGTACAATATATAGCTAGACAGCTTGCATGCAGTCCATTTGCTCTGACGACCCAACCGCGGGGCCGAAGGAAATGTTCCGTACAGTTACTGTATAAAGAGCGAGATCGGCAAGTGTGAGTGGGTTCATGATTTCGCACATTCTAAGTCTAGCCGAGAATACCCTGCAGCTTGGAAAAAGAATGAATAATCCTAAGAAATGCCTCATTTATTCTGACTGGTTTACATTGATCCATACCAAGAAAATTAAAATGAAATCCACTTGGGAACCAGAATTTGGTTTTTTTTTGGATATTTTCCTATGATTTTTATCGGTCTTATCTGATTTACGCTAGTAACTTAATGTGGATCTGTATTGTTGTATATTACGTCATGTCTAAGTTTCAAATACAAAACAAAAAATACCAAAGCAACTTTGGCTGTTCCTGCCTCATGTCTTGGCTCGCAATATCCGGAGCAATCAGCTGTCCATGTGGCTCTATCCTCGTGCAGCTTCCTTAATGTGGATGGTTTATTATTTTTATTCATTTTTCTATTTTTTTTGTGGGTTTTGTTTACTCCGGATCAAATGTGGTACAAATTCAGGTAATTCATTCTTTGATGCTCATGTTCGCCATACTGTTAATGCCGCATTTACATCTGAGACTTAAATGTGCCCCATTGGACCCATTTTCGTTGACACGGGAATTGCCGATTGAAAGGTGTCAGCTACAGGTACCCTATCCGGTCACGATTGCTGGATAACCCTGCATCAATAAATATGCACGTTTCTTAAAAGAGGTCTGATGCATGTTAAGGTAGCAAGGACTCCGTTCACCCGCAGAAATTGGGTTGCAGTGTCTTCGACCCTGACGGGATTTGTCTCCGTTCAAGCCCGAAGGACCGTGCTTTGATTTATTTTCCGGTTTTGACTTTGATAAAAATCTAATCTTTTCGGACGTTAGTAGACCCACTATGTAATACCAACCCACTCGATACATACAAGACATGACATACAAATACGGAAAGAATTGTATCAAAACGGAGTATGAGAAGCCGAATGAGATCACCAATTACAAAGTGGGTCTAATTGTTGAAGCGGTTTAGGGCACGTTTTGCGATGCCGGCACACAGAGTCGGATCAGATAAGGGAACATTTACCCCAGCTCAGGAGTCAGAGTCAGAGTCGGAGCTTTGAGATATTCCAACACCAATTCATCCATTCTTTCACAAAAAGCCTCAAGCTTCACAAAATGTACTCCAAATTCTGGCCAAAGGGAGGTCTCCCAGGAATCCTGCACCATTACGTGAGTCCACCAAGCTTCCATCTCCAATTTCTCCGCACTGACTCCAAGCCAGACCGAGTCCCTCGTTACATTCGAATACACCTCCGCCTCCGTCCGCAAACCTCACAGTCTCCTCTTCGTCGGCGGTCTAGGCGATGGCCTCGCAACAACATCCTACATGGCTGACTTGGCCAAAGCCCTCCAGCCAACCGAATGGTCCCTCTTCACCCTAAATCTCACATCTTCCTACCAATCCTGGGGCCTGGGTCACCTAGACCGCGACACGAACGAGATCGCAGAATGCCTCCACTATATCAAGGACTACAAGACCGAGAAATTCGGCGAGGGAAAGATCGTCATGATGGGCCACTCGACTGGTAGCCAGTGCGTGATGCACTACCTCTACCGACCGAACCCGCATCTCTCGGTCCCAGCGTTCGATGCTAGTCTCGAGCACAAGCTCCGGTTACCCCTCGATGGCGCGATTATGCAGGCGCCCGTTTCTGATCGGGAGGCTGTGCAACTGTGTATTGAGCATGGATTTGGCAAAAATTCGCCGGCGCAGATGCGGGAGATCTGTGATAAAATGGAGGCCATTGCGAAGGAAGCGGTGCAGGGGGGGAGTAAATATGATACTATGCTGCCGCTGGAGTTGACTTCGGCTATTTATCCGTCTAATACGCCTATTAGCTGTCGGAGGTTCTTGAGTCTTTATAGTCCTGAGAGTCCTCATACTCCTGGTGAAGATGATTTGTTCAGTGCAGATTTGAGTGATGATCAGTTGGCTGCGACCTTTGGCTTGATTCAGCAGCAGGGGCTATTGAAGCATAAACTAATGGTCTTGTACTCGGGGGCCGATCAGGCGATTCCTGGGTGGGTGGATAAGGAAAAAAACCTGGCTCGATGGAGGAATGCTGTGAATCATGGTGATAAGTTCCAGATCTGGGATGATAAGCACACTGCAATTATCCCAAATGCTTCTCATGCGTTGAGTAACGACGATCAGGCTGAGCCGCGTCAGTTCCTGGTTGGGAAGGTTATGGGATATCTGGAGACAGCACTTGCGAAATAGAAGTTATGATCGCGGAATTGGATTATGCTCTTTTCGCCGGCATCTACTTGTCTCTTTAGATGCGAAAATGATTATAGCGAATGAATATTCTATAGAAATGTACAGTATCTATGAACTTCCTTGGAATAATCCTCACTCTGAATAACAAGAGCACCGGATGAGGGTCTACGGGTCTTTAAAGAGGCATGTGACTATATACGTGACAATTCTACTCTGCAGCACTTGGTGATCGGGCAGTGGGGTTATCAAGACGAGACATTCCAACAAACAGATCCTTTTCACAGTGACCCGAGTTCGCGTCGCAGGTATCCATTAATGCGCCAGTTATTTACAATGAAGTAAATGATAAGATCCCTTTGGGAGAGTGGATTCGGCAGATCAAATTCGTCCAAAAATAGTCTGCATTTGTAGGACTCTGTCCACGTGAGATCGACGGTCGATATCAGATGTTCGTTTTAAAAACGATTCAGTCCGACGTCAAATCGCTATGCTCTGCGGCAATCTGGGAAGACCTGTATTGTAGAGAAATATAAGAAAATAGTTCGGCGTAGTAGCCGCTTAATAAAAGAAGGAAGAGCGGCATCCTGCTGTTGCTGGAAAATCTGCACATCTATAAATCACATTGCAGCATCGGAATCGTGCAAGATTTGGGTTCCCCGGCCAAGTCATTATTTCATCGTCTCCTGCATAGCCATTACTTTCTCCGAATGGTACTTCTATTTCAACCGACAACAATATCAGCCAATACCCTTGTTCCGAATATGGAGATGACTTGGGCCTGGTTGACGTCTACGAAGACACCAAGACTTCGGACAAGGCATCTTTAGTCGGCTGATCCTTTAACATGCAGAACATATTGAGGAGCCGAGCAAAGCCTGAGCTTTAACCTTGCAAGTGGAGACGAGTTGTGATCAGGATCCAGCCAATTCGCCGCAAATTTCCGATGGATATAACGGCCAAAGCGCGGCAGAATATCCGAGTCTCCATTGTCTTCAAAATGCGGGGCAAGGGACTTCATACTCGATAGTCCTAAAGAGGTGGCTTTCGGGAGAGGCACTGGTGCGTTTGGTGGCTGATGTACGATGCGGCTTAATTTTAGTCGGCTACCCATATCGTCAAGAAACACGTCCCCCGGGATTAGGTTTTGGTTGGGCTTTCGTCGCACAGAGCGAAATATTGTGCAGATGCGACCATGCCCATTTGTGTGTTCAGAATGTAGATCAGTTGTCGGATATTTGGGGAAGCAAGTCGGGCAAAACCCCGGCGGAGCAGCGGAATAAGCTTGAACCTCGGAATGCCCAACAGAGCACTGCCCATGCAACTCAGGCGAAATAATACTTAATCCTCAATCAGGTTCATCAGAGCATCATGCAAATTGACGAAAGCTACTAGTACATCAATGTTTATACTTTGCGATTCACACAGTTCATTGTCGTATTTTGGGGCGGCTGTCTACGGAGGTCTATTAGAGCAAGGCAAGTCGCCAGCGTGTGGCTGACGAAACCTCTAACATTGAATGACACAGTGAAGCAAACTTTGGGTGGGCAATTAAGAGTCCATTTCTCTGTCAATAAAGATATATCTCTGTAAATATTAAAGTAGTCTTCATATCATGGGGCTCTAATATCACTCATTATAACATGTTATAACGTTTAAAAGTTAATTTATCGTAATTTTGTCTATTGCGGGACCTATTACTTCTTTGTCTATTCCGGGACCTATTACTTCAACAAAGACAATAAAAAAACCGTGTAATAAGTGGAATATTGTTATCAATTTACATTTTAAACTTCTCAAGGGATAAGACATTGACTTATATCCCATTTAAGCTTCTGAGTATGCGGGGAAACGGAGGAAGAGTTAGAAGCCGCGAATTGATGACCAGCTGCCCAGACAATTTCGTTCCCTTTTCCAATCCTAGAAGAAGCATATGGGCATGACCCTTAAAAATGAAGTTCAACACGGCGTATTACCCCTTTTGCTTCCAAATTCTTCAGAAACCTGTATTGGGGCTGACCAACAGACGCCACTCACCCCAGGAACATGGGAATCCACCACTCGGCACAGTCAGGATCCAGCCTACACGCAATTATACCCGGCTTTGTTGTGCCTGATGAGCCTCACGAGATCTACCCCACATGCTATTTAACCCCATTGACTGACTCCAGCGTCATTCACCCACTCTTCCCTCGAGTCTGTCAACCCGTGCGGCGTCAGGTCCATCGCGCCATTTCCACGAATGAGTCTTGGCCGGAGATTATGAAGAAGCTTAGTTTGGTGAATAAATAGATCACATTTCGCTGAAGAACACTTCAATCTCAATCTCCAGAGTCCGCCTTGTTCACAACATCTCTTGCAACAATGCAACCTCGGCAGTTGACAATTCCGGTGGCTGCGGTGGCGCTCTTTGCAGCACTAGCGTCCGGATATGCAAATCCGGAGGCCTGCTCTGGAGCATGTGTTGTCTATGACCCGACAATCATTCAACGATCATCGGACAGTAAATACTTTCGTTTTTCCACTGGCAATGAAATTTCCTACGCGAGCGCATCCAGTCTTTCAGGGCCATGGACGACTATCGGGTCTATGCTGCCAGATGGATCAAGTATCGATCTCGATGGGAACACTGATCTATGGGTGAGATTTCCTGAACCATTACCCCACATTCCGAGTCATGACTTGATCTAATTTCATCGAATATAGGCACCCGATGCGCATTACATTGATGGTCTCTATTATGTCTACTATGTCGTCTCGACATTCGGGTCGCAAGCCTCTGCTATAGGTCTTGCAACCTCCGAGACAATGGACCTAGATTCCTGGACAGATCACGGCTCTATCATTGAGTCTTCGTCTTCGGATGATTACAACGCAATTGACCCAAGCTTGATCGATGTCGATGGTACCTATTACTTGAACTTTGGATCATTCTGGGACGACATCTATCAGGTGGAGTTAAACTCTGCTGCAACTGCTACTAGTGGAACACCCTTTAACATTGCCTACTACCCAGATGGTACCCATCCAGAGGAGGGTTCCTATATGTATAAGTATGGAAGTTACTATTACCTCTTCTATTCTTGGGGTATTTGCTGCGACTACAGTGAAGATCTACCTGCTTCGGGACAGGAGTACCATATCAAGGTCTGCCGCTCGACCTCTGCAACGGGTAGTTTTGTGAGTTCATGTTCTCCTAATGAGATTACTTAATCCGACTAGTCTCTAACGTCTACTAGGTCGATGCTGATGGAACTGCATGTACCGATGGTGGTGGTACGATTGTTTTGGAAAGTCATGGAGAGGTGTATGGACCTGGTGGACAGTGAGTTGCTCCCTTGATGAGCCCATGTTTGACATGAGGCTAATTTCCAGGGGTGTGTTTGACGACCCGACCTACGGTACTGTGCTTTACTACGCCTATACGAATACCAGCATTGGTTATGCCGATGACGAAAAGCAATTTGGCTGGAACGTTATTGACTGGTCTACCGGGTGGCCTGTGGTTTAGATATACTTTGAATAGGAATGTCAAAGGTTCGAGAAAGAGGATCAGCGTCTATTGAGGGACGATGATAGGTGGCCAGGTGACCCCATTTGGCATGCTCAATGGTTTGCATATTTAGTTTTTTCCGTCTCTCTCTTCCTTCTGTCATCCCTCTTGGAAGATATACAGATATTTATCCATTCGGTTAATTTTTCACGCTGCGTATAATTTACCACTACCTCCCCCCTAGAAAAATTGGATTGCTGTTGACAGGGCCTATTTCATATCTTTGTTGCTGGTGCTTGGAAATTGCGAAGTGCATCTAGAGACCGCGATAATTAACTATAAGATGATCGCCAACCCTGAAATGTCTTTACTAAAAAATACTTTTTCATTAATGGATCTAAACTATTAAGTTCCACGGGCGGTCCATTCCGTGTCTTCCAAGCTCATTTGCATAAAAATCAGGGTCCAACCTGGGTGTCGGCAAGACCCAGCCGATAAGGCAACTAATCGTGGAAATGTTTATCCTCACCTCACCTACAGATCTTCATTGGCCAAGAAAGTATATTTGGCTGTCAGCAATATGCAAGAGCCTCGCCTCGCTATTCCTTTAAGTCCTTAGCTCTGCCAAGACAACGCCCCAGCGGGTGTTTCAAGGCAATTCCAGCCGATTGCTGATGGTCAAATCCATTGGCCGCAACCAAGGCATATTGTCGCGGGACTAGAGCCAAGACAGGTACGGACCGGCTGGGAAATGGTCACATTGGCCGTCATCCTCGTATTCAGTGTGTGGGCTGTACACATTGATCAGTCATACCCCCGGCGAAGGTCTTCTCCATCGGTCCTTTTCTCTTTTACACTCATAAATTCACGCTTTAACATTTAGAATGGTATGTCATATATTCCGCTCTGCTCGAAGTCAAGTCAAATATCTTAATTCTTTGGCAGGACGGGGAGCTGTACGAGTTTCCCTTCCTACAGGAAGTCTATACTCCACGCGATGCCCCTAAAGTAGAGTACGATTCACCTCCCGTTGATACTCACACCTGGGCATGAAGAAGTTAGCTGAACTTGACCTCTAGTTTTGTGTTTGTGCATGGTCTGAATCCTCTCGGTCGAAATGATCATCCATTCCAGACATGGACGCATGCAAACGGCAAGTTCTGGCCAACGGACTTTCTGGCCGAAGATATGCCTTTTGCGCGCGTCTTTGTTTATGGTTACAATTCCAGCGTCACCAACGCCCAAACGATGTCAACAGCTTCCATCAAAGATCATGCAAACACACTGCTTAACCTATTGGATATGGAGCGGGACCCCTCAATAGTAAGATATGCCCGGAATTTTCGGAGAATGTCAGGCTGACTTCAAGCAGAGCGCCTTGCCACCGAAGATCATTTTCATCGGACACAGTCTTGGTGGTTTGGTCATAAAACAAGTAGGCTCCAATATTGATTCAGTGCTAATACTGTCAACTCCAGCTGACGTCTCTTTTAAAAGGCCCTTCTCAATGCAAAGGAAGACCCCAAGTATAACTCCATCCGCACAGCTACATCCGGCCTAGTCTTTTTTGGTACTCCCCATCGAGGCGCGAAAGCTGTTGAGCTGGGGAAAATCGCCGCCAGGGTTGCGCGGTTCATCTCAAAAGGCCAAGCCAGTAACGACCTTCTGGACTGTCTGGAGCATAACTCTCTCTTCACGCGACAAATGTCCGATCGATTTCGGCACCAGCTGGAGGACTATCGGGTTGTCAGTTTCATCGAAGGGAAAGAGGTCCAGATCGGAGGTATTGGTCCGGCATCATTAAGCCATGTAAGTGTAAGTTCACAGTATTACGTACTGCTATCTGATTGAAATAGTTGGTCGTGGATGAAGAATCCGCCGTTCTCGGTCTTTCTGGACTCCGCGAGACCCAACTGAAGCTCGACGCGGACCATTCGCAGATGTGCAAGGTTGCGACGCGGGGACCCATGTACCGACTGATCAAGGGAAACATCAAGCAGTTGGTGGATCAAGCCTTGCTGGCAGATCAGGGCTTTATTCCTCAGGCAAATCCCCGTCCAACAGCAGGTAGAACTCCCCCTCCGGTACCCCCACGCATGCACTCCAACAGCAGCACACCATATGAACCACCGGGAAGACCCAGTGAGCCCGTGCAGAGGGTATCGGGCACAATATTCGTCGCTCAAGATAGAGACCCCCGATCTATTAGGTCTGCAGAGCTGAAAAATCAGGCCAAATGGGAAGCAGCCCGAACAATCGACTATGAGATTTTCCAGGAACACCTCAGAACGCTTGGCACAGACCATGTAAGCACCTTGTCAGTTGGATACATGCTAGCAGAGGTTGAGCTTGAAGGCAACTACTTCGCAAAGGCCATAGAATGGGGCCAGTGGGTTTCTGAGAACGTACAGCGGGTATTTGGAACACGGCATGCATTGTCAATGAAGGTGGAGAGCTTGATGGCCGAAATAATCTGCTCGAAGGGCAAATACTCTGAGGCGGAGTCGATCTGCGCCAACGTGCTAGCTCGACAGCAAATGACGATCGGTGAAGATCACTTCGACACCCTCGAAACACGTCGCCGATTAGGTATGGCATATAACGGTCTCAATCGACGAGAAAACGCCCTTATGACCGCAGAAAAAATCGCCGAAACCTACAAACGTCTCCTAGGGGAGAACCACATCAGAGTATTCGCCGCTATTCTGGACACACTCGAATGGATTCTTTACAACCATACCGATGGGACCTATGTGACATTCAACCTGCCTAGCGACGTTCAGGAGGCAGTCAATATGCTTCCACACGTTCACGAAGAGCTGAAGGCCGGTCTCGGACAGTCACATCCCCTCACCATCAGGGCCTTATCTCTGGTAGGCCGAGGATTAACACGCGCACAACAAACCGTCGAAGCGTCCGAGACACTCCGCCGAGCCCTCACACTCTCCGAAGAAACCCTCGGCCCCGACCACCCGCAGACGCAGGACATTGTCAGCAGCATCGGTATAATGTACATGTTCCAGGGGCCTCAATTTGGTATTGGTGCCTCGAACACGAAGACCGAGGCGATTCCATGGTTAATGCGCTACCTTGACTGGACGGAACGGCGCAGGGGTATAGATAACCCAGAAACGCAAATCATATTGGAGATGCTTGGGAATGTACACTTCGCAGCGCAGGAGTATGCGCCCGCTCAGAGATACTTTGAGCGGGCTTTGACCGCTTACGGGACTACGAATTCGAAGGTGACACAGCGCATCAGCACGAATCTTCAGTTGTGTCGTGCAAATACTATGTTTACCAATCGTGGGACTAGAGGAATAGGGGGATTCTTGTCGGCTTTGCAGCGATATTAGGTTAGGTTAGGCTACGTTGGCGATGGTGTTTGGGGTTATTCCACTACGCGTTTTACATTTGTTTCACAGTTGAAGGATGTATTATGAAAATTCGTAATGCCACGCAACTGAATCAACTGCGGGGTATGTCTTAATTGTGTAGTCTTATCATATCAAGTGGTATCATTATTGCCAAGCGAGGGTAAAATTAGTTGGAGAACTTCTCGGGGACGTTCTTGCTGTACGTACAAAGTATAGTCAGTATCACTCTGAATAATTATGTGCTCTAACGATAGAAAACACTTACCCAGTAGCACTCTCAAACTTCTCACGGGCAAAATCGGTGATCTTCTCATTGGTAGAGCGCATCTTAGCAGGGTCGACCTTGCCACCGCCGAACTTCGTCTCGACACCATCAAGACCTAAATAGTTGTCAGAAGGGTCAAGTTTGCCTGCCATGATAAAGACTCACCCTTGTCAAGGTAGTCCTCTTGACCAGCAGACGGGTTTGCGTTTGTGTTGGAGGAGCTGCTGCCACCACCGAGCTTGGAAGCGAGACCGGAAAGCTTATCCATAATGTAAGAAGGGTAAGAGTAACAAAGTTGTAAAAGATGTAAGAGGTGCAGGAATTTAGTGTAGATGAAGAGTGAAAATTAAGGGGAAGTGAGGATCAATTTATAGAATCATCTACATCATGCGTAGAACCTTTTGGTTTTGAAATCGTCATTCCTGTGTTTGGATCGACCGATGCAGTTGGATGCCCCACCCCCTCTTTATTGATTGTCTATGGCTGGTCATATCAGCTAGAGTTTTTGGATCTGACTGAGGTCATTCTTGCCGATCAGATCAGGATTAGGGAATTAATTGGATGTGGCGCAGGACACAGCATTGGCCCACGTCATGCAGTATATATCTTGGCCTCAGGCAGGTTATAATACAGCCTTATATATAAGGCAAGAGGCAGGCAATATTCAGGCAGAAATCATGACTCATCTTTGAGTCTCGCCTTGCCCAGGCGGATCTTGCCGACAGTAAGCACGCTTGGGCCCAGGCTGTAGTCGGTTACTCTGCTTGATACTTCATCGTGACAATGCTCATGATAGTTTTTTTTTGCGCTTAGTGCCGCAATTTGGTCGTTCATCAGGATCTGAAATGTAAAATGGGACGGATTTCATTCTACCAATGTCTAACAGAATATATACCCCTCGGGCTTCATTTCCCCGAGAAGTTTCCCCGCGCTGCACGCTCCACTTTGGGACATTAGATCCCACTAATTTCCCTATGGACAATCAACCAATAGGAACTTCGGAGACCCTCCATCAAACAACGTTTACCCCAATGCAGACCCTGAACGGCAGGATTTGTTGCTCTCGTGAGCTCTTTGTTTCGTCTCTCCACGGGGTACTTGGCGTCTTGTCGGAGTTGCACCGAGAGATCTGCGACTGCCAGGTCCTGCCGCGATTTCTATAAAGAACAGCTTTCTGCAGGTCGTGCATAGATAAACATCTTTTTGACATGCAAATTCTCGCCAAAGCTATGGCCAAATCAGACGCAGAACAAATTGAGTACCAAGATACATCGGCCAAGGGGGCCGAGCTTGAACAGGATGCGCTCTATCAAGCATATGCCTCGAAAAGTTCTGAGTGGAATCAGAAGATGAGTCGTACCCTTTTGCGGAAGGTGGACTTGCATCTTTTGCCTTTCTTGATTTTGATGTATCTGCTTAATTTCTTGGATCGCAAGTACGAACTTAAACCCGGAACCCCCTTCCACTCTTTCTGGGTATGCTAATTAATTTGTTCTAGCAATCTCTCACAAGCGCGCCTTGGATCTCTCGAAAAGGATCTAGGGATGAAAGGCACCGACTACAACTTGGCTACGAGCATCCTCTTTGTGGGATATTTACTGATGCAACTCCCGTCTAATCTTCTTCTTACTCAAATTCGGCCTTCACTGTTTCTGGGAATTGCTATGGCTATTTGGTAAGTCCTTGACAGATCACAAATGGGCAGCGGATATATCAATAACTCATATAGGGGTGTCATTTCGGCTTGCCAGGCAGCCGTCCAATCATTCACAGGACTGGTTGTTACACGATTCTTCCTTGGCTTTGTTGAAGCCCCATTTTTCCCGGGTGCTGTTATGTTAATGTGAGTGCTGTCACCAGCAAATATGAACAGCTCTAATATTCGTGTTAGGTCGAGTTGGTACACCAGAAAAGAATTGAGTGTCCGCATCGCATGGTTCTACGCAGGTAGCTCGCTGGCGAATGCTTTTGGTGGATTGATTGGCGCTGGTGTTCTGGGTAACCTGGATGGCGCCCATGGCCTTGCCGGGTGGCGTTGGCTATTCATCATCGAGGGCAGCATCACCACTGGAATATCACTTCTGGCGGCGTAAGTCTATGTGCAATTACTTGATGTCTCATTTCTCACCGTTTTAGTATCTTCCTCCCAAATTACCCTGCCACTACTTCGTGGCTGGACCCCCAGGAGCAAGCATATGCTCAATGGCGGTTGATTGATGATGCCGGCGAAGCCGATGACGCGAGCACCAGTAGCATCAAGGAAGCCCTAGCTATGGTATTTCGCGACAAGCGTATATACCTGTTCATTTTATTGCAGCATACTTCTCTCCTATCCCAGAACTTCCAATACTTTTTCCCGACCATCGTGCAAACTCTTGGACACAACAACATCGAGACTTTGTTAATCACCGCACCGGTCTGGATTGCCACTTTCTTCGTCTCCCTCTTCGTCACCTGGACGTCCGGCAAGACAGACGATCGCAGCTGGCACATCATTTGCTTGATGATGATCAGTGTAGTCGGAGGTGTCATTTGTACCGCAACAACAAATACCGGCGCAAGATTCTTCGCCATGTTCTTGTACGTCTAAGCCCCATAAACTCTCCTGATAAATGTCACTCACCCCTCTAGGATGCCAATGGGTGCCGTGTCCGCATACCAGATCATCCTTGCCTGGGTCGCGAATTCATTCCCCAGACCCTTGGTCAAGCGGTCTGCTGCGATTGCACTTGCCAATATGATTGGAAACACAGCTTCAATCTACGGGAGCTACATGTGGCCAGACTCATCCGGTCCCAGATACCTTCCTGGAGGGATAGCGACTGCTGTAATCGCTTTACTAGTTGCTGTCATAGCCCTCGTTATTCGTCTCGTTCATATGAAGATGAACAAGAGACTGGAAGAGGCGGAATCATCGCAAGATATTCCCTCTGTGGATTCTAGTGACCTGGACAGCCGCGTTATTAGATTCCGTTATATTCTATAATTCGTTTCACGATGTGAAATTCTACTATAATGGATTAACGTTCGCTGTTTTGTGGTAATGATGGATAGATTAAGATATTTAATTTGAATATACGTATGTAATCTCTGATAAGCAAGGAAGAAAAAGGCTTATGCATCAGACCCGAACGAGAGGGAAGTGGGGCAGGTGTAGAGCCCCATGCTGGGTTTAAGAATCAGTTGGCATCCCAATTCGCTCGTTTGTCTTTCGACACATGCCGTAGCCTCGTGAGTTGTTAGAAGTTGATTTGGGTAGCCTTAGGGCTGGCCGCCATCAGCTGTTATCCGTTGCCAGTGTGATGCACGGTTGAGGGAAAGGATGAACTTGGGAAAGTAGGCGAAGTTTTCCTCATCCACATACAGCCAGGGCTTTGTGCAGAGGCGACCACACAGTGTGCTTCATCATTTCGAGCTTTGAGAGGGGAGTCTTGGTGCCATGTCGCGGAGCGAAGTCTGGATTTTGATGGAGAAGAGCTTTGGCATGGGGGTGGTCGCCCGCCAAGGGGAGATAGGGAACGATTCCATCTACTCACCCGTGCACCGTTTGATAGGGTTATTCTATAACCCAAGTTGAGTGGCCTACGTATACCCCTAGCAGTGGGTACTTTCCGCGTAGATGTCAAAGCCCTACTTCAATATCAATATCATTAGGGATCATTTATACCGGGTTCAGGATAGTATCTTATGAATTAGTACTATAAGATCAAAAAAGAAGGGTGAGAATTCGAGACTCCACGTACTCCCTAAAGTTCTCACGTACCCCCTCTAACCCGATTCGGCCATTGATCTAAGTACCCCCTAAGTACCGATACTTTTTCTGCCACACTTATAATATGATTTCTCTCTCTATAGACGTGCTTTGATCTCAGTGAATTCGGTTATCATATTCAGCACATAAATCATATATTATCAACGATGTTTAATACAATTCAAACTCATTAATCTCACCTCGCTGCCTCTGAGTCCCCACATCCAACATTCAAAACGCGAGGACTCCTATCATATAGTGCGGTATATCTGGTACTAGACCTATATCTGCATTACAGAATCTACCATGTCCTCGCTTTATCGGACTCTGCCCCTGCTGAGTCCTGGCAGAGAACGCTGAGTGTGCTATGGCGGTTCCTGTGTCTACCGTGAATATTGCATTATATTGAGAAAGGCATACAGAACTCGGTCAATTCCTGGCCATTACAGCTTAGAGATCATATAGTCTACAGGGTCATAGTCTCAGAAAGCTTTAAGTAACTCGGGATTTGGCTCCCTAACTTTGGGAGTCAATTTACATAAAGAGGTGAGATAAAATATTTAGGGGTACTTGGACACAATGGCCGAATCGGGTTGGAGGAGGTACGTAAGAACTTTAGGGAGTACGTGGAGAAATCCTCGAGGATTCTTAGCCATATCGGGTTAGCGCCATTTTGGCTACTTCTTTTAAGTCCCACTAAACCACTAAAAAGAAGCAACCATTGACCTTTAATAGTAAGAGCTATAGGCGATTATTAGAAAATGTAGAAGATGTTCTGGAGTATATAAACCATTATCTTACTATTGATATCAGTTTTAATTTGTTTGAATCTGTGGTTGTTATGATTTCGTTGTCACAGATGCCCCTATAGAAGAGAAATCGAGTGCAGGGTTGACTGGATTTAACCATATAGTATAGGAAAAAGTGCTAAGACTTTTATAGTCTAGTAGACTACAGTCACTCCTATAGGATGGCCGGCCTATGCCGAAGTCTACTACTAGGTTACTAAAGTCTACTACCTTTACTACCCCTTTATTTTAAGAGCTTAGATATATTAGGTAGTAGAATAAAAGGTATATAACTAAAATTACTCTGTTTGATTCAGCGGTAGGTAGCTTAATATAACTAATTTCTACAATTTTTGGTTAGCGCGTACTAAAGGCGGTTAGGTTCTACTACCTTACCTCCTATCTAGAATACTAAGATATAGAAACTTTGAATATAAGTTATAGACGCTATAATGGGTACATTAAAATTTCAAGAGTGGTTCTATATTTCTGTGATGCGTAGCTATCTCCTTTAGTACGCGCTAACCAAAAATTGTAGTATCCCACCAGAGTCAATTAGTACAGAACTAAAGACTCTGATAGAGAAACACAAAAACCAAAAAATCATGATACCAAACTTACTTTCTCTTCTACCTGGCTTGCGCTGTGGAATCAGCCCTCATGTCCATGCAACGGAAAAGACTACCAGGCGTGGTCTGAAAGGCATATTAGACGCTATTTCCACTACCAGATTCACCTTGGCTAATCTCTCACTAGTCTTGAATTGACTAAGAAGAGCAAGATTGCCCTTGCTAAGGCAAATTACGTATTTTTGGAAGGAGTTTTCTATCCTGAGACCTGGCAAGAAAAATTATTGGTCTTGGCGAAGTTTATCAGCTGGGTAAGCTATGCTGGACCTTCTTCTTCTTCTTCTTGTGAATCTTTGTTAACGATTAGGTCATAGTGGAGTATATGGGACGATGGTATCGTGCGCCTCTCGTTCGTTCGAATCCTTTCCTAATAAATTAATAGAAGTTGACCTTGGCGGTCAGCTAGCCGATGACAGAGCAGGCGCTCTAGAATCCTGTCGACAGCTTGGTGATTGTATTGAAGAATGCATGAGCTCGAGCCCGAACTTCAGCCCACCGCCAGACATACACAAATCCGTAAAAATGCTTTACCCTACACTGGCCGAGTTCCATGTACATATGGGACCAGGTGAGCCTTTGGTGGCCGCATCTATTAGTGGTTTCTAACAGTATTTATTTAGTATCGGCGGATAATTTTCGTCGAGCCTTCCATGATTGGATTGAGTCTGTTGCGGAGAAACAGTCATGTCAAATTGAAAAATTTTTAGATCCGTGGGATTATTTCCGGCTCCGAACTGTCAATGTTGGAATTATTCAAACTGCTGTCTTACAAGCGTATGCCCGACGTACAGCCCAAAGGTCCAGATGAGACAAGAATGTGATATGTTAAATATGAAAATCAGATATGCCCTTGGTTACGAATTGCCACGTTGGGTTCACGAGCACGATGTAATTAGAGCCATCTCCCAGGAGTGTGCAAATATAGGTGGCTTGTACTTTCCACCACACGAGGGTGCAGCTTAAGAAGTCGTCTAATCCGATATAAAGTGATTGACATCCTGTCCTTACAGAAGGTATTTATAGACAAGTCCCATTCTATGCGATGCAAATCATCAAACTGACACAAGCGTAGTGTGACGAACAAGTCGAAAACATTGTGCTGCTTTTTGCGCATCACTATGATTTTAATCTTGAAAACGCCGCGAGGGAATGTTCTCGAAAGTATTCAGGAGCGCTTTGCACTTTGCACAGCAGCCGGAGCCAGACTACCAATTCCCTCTGGAGATGCTAAATTCGACATAAATATACTGATGTACGTTGAAGGTTGCAAGGATGTTGTTGTTGGTACGGTGTATTGGGCGTAAGTTGATCTACTCCTAGGGCTTTTGCAGACTCCTGCTTCCCTTTTTATTCAGAGGCTCGCATCTCAATACTAACTTTAGGAAGCTACCACTGCGAAAGATATTTCAAGAAAGTACAAGTCAATGGTGATCTAGAGCTTCAGCTCGATCTGTTTGTCGACTGAGTATCAAAATTTCGATAAAGCCGATGCCAGACTTCAGTAGAACCTGACCCGTGGCTCGGTTTCGATTAGAGAACCCCGCCTACAATTTACATGAAAAATTTCACAGGGTATTCGCGTGATGATGGTAGATCAGATCAATCGGCGTTGAGTTTGCCTGCTGTTTGAGGGCGCCTTATCTTAAATCATCCATGCGCCCTCCAGCACAAACAAACATCACAAATTTTTTATTCTATTCTACCGTACTACTAAAACATTCAGGGGTTGAAAAGAGAAGAGATAGAAGTAGTGGTGAAAAAACAAAAATCGGGGTTGAGGGGTTTTCCAAATTTGGGTTGAAGTTTACTACTGCGTTGTATCCAAGTAATGGAGAGGTAGATAGGTAGAATTCCCGCATGTTATCACACGATGCTGAGCGAGGGGTTTCAAGCGGGGCATGCAGAGGCGTGATCATCGCCATTTTACTTGGCTCGTCATCACAGCCCAATCAGAATGCCCGCTTCCCGGTGCGGCGCGTTGGGGACATTGTGTCACCTTCGGACTGTCGAACAATTTAAGAATAAGTAAACTCCTTGAATTCATGGTATCAGGTTGAATCTTAAATCTATCTGTTTGTAAATCTTCACGGCTTCGCGAGACGTTGAAGCCTAATAAGGACTGAGATTTTAACTACAATTCCCTCCCCGCCGATCTTGGAAACGGATCATCACAAAAATGGTGAGTATTTATCCAGCCTATAAACCATCAAATGAGGACTTGAGGATTCTGACCAGATTAGTCTATACAAGCGGATTCATACTCTGCTGCTTTCACGTCAATTCCAATCCTGGATTTCGCTCAAACGCTGTCTCCCTTGACAAAGCCGGAGTTCCTTAACGCGCTCCGCGAAGCTCTGATCAATGTTGGATTTTTCTACCTTAAGAACCCACCAATCTCGCTGGTATCACAGTCTACCTTGATCGAGAAAGGATTAAAGCTTTTCGAATTGCCACTTGAAAAGAAGCTGGAAATTGAAATGGTTAATAGTCCGCATTTTCTGGGCTACTCCAGGCTTGGAGCTGAGATTACTGCTCTCAAACCTGATCATCGGGAGCAATTCGACGTGAGCTTATCATTCTTGGTGCTAGTTTGAGGCTGATTTATTAATTTTTGCTAGTTTGCTACTGAGCTCCCTGCCCCCGGCCCTGATGAGCCACTGTATAGATATATCGTCGGTCCCAACCAGGTACGACCAACGGAAGGTTCCTACATCATTTAGCTAAGTTTTCTATTCTCAGTGGCCAGATGAAGAAGCGATCCCGGGATTCCGCCAGACGATTGAGCATTATGTGGACGAGGTCAGCATGTTATCAGCCGCGTTCACGGCCCTCATTGCAGAGGCTTTAGATCTTCCACCTACGGCTTTAGATCAAGCCTTTGACAATCCTCAGCAGCACAAACTCAAGCTCATTAAATATCCTCCACCAACAGCCAGCGACAATGATGCTGACTTCCAGGGAGTCGGTCCACACAAAGACTCCGGCTTCCTCACCTTCCTTCTCCAGGGCACACCACACCATGGTCTTGAGGTCCAGAATAAGGCCGGGGCTTGGATATCTGCTCCGCCAATCCCAAATTCCTTCGTTATCAACATCGGCCGAGCGCTCGAGGCATTGACGGGAGGTATATGTACAGCAACTACCCATCGAGTCAGCCTCCAGCCCGAGAACTTCGTGGATTCAGAAGGAAATTCACTCGGCCCTCGTTTCTCATTTCCCGTCTTTCAAGGCGTCAGCCCCGATCTCTCAGCCGACAAGATCAATCTCATCATCCCAGATCATATCCGAGATTTGGTCAAAGACGAGAAAGTGAAATCAGACGCTGAAGCAACATTTAACGCAATGTTTCAAACCAATATTGGCGAAGGTACTTTGGTGGCGCGAATTACAAGTCATCAGGATGTTGGTCAGCGATGGTATCCAGAAATCCTGGCGAAAGCCTTAAAAGGGCAACAGGATTTTGTGACTCGATAAACCCCACTTCTCAGATCCTTGAGGATTACCTTTCCTGTATGAGTTAAGCGTGTGTTTTTTTGAAAGATCGGCACATGTAGGATTGGTTGGTTGCAGCGCGTGCGGGCGGGGTTTGCAAGGATGCAACAGTCGCGTCTTGCATTCTAAATTTCCGATATGCGCGATCGTTTCAGAAACAAATAAACAGTCTCGTATTTGATTCCGACTTTAGAGGTCGTTTTCTTCAACGGCTGTTTACCATGTGGAAAAAGTTGTTGATTGGGCTATTTGCCGCGTCAGGGGTAGCCCAGTCCACCGACGGTCTTTACAATCTTGTCAAGCGGAGGTTACCCAACCACATTGACAACTTTCAATTTAATTTGGTTTCCAATATTACTGGGAATGATTATGATCAATTCACTGTCCGCAATTCTCCAAATGGCACTGTTATTGTTCAGGGAACTTCTCTCAGTGCGCTCTCTTCGGGTCTTCATCGCTATTTGACCGATGTCGCTCATGTGGACATATACTGGTTCATTGGAAGCCGACTGGACCAGGCACCTGCTGAGCTTCCTCGCCTTCACGCGCCGATTGTTGGTTCCAGTACTGTTCCTTGGCGCTATCACTTTAATACAGGTACTTTGTTCCCGCTTGCCTGTGCCTCGAATGAATATTAACTCGCATAGTAACATTCTCTTATACCACCGCTTTCTGGTCATGGGAGGAGTGGGAGACAGAGCTGGACTGGATGGCCCTGCGTGGTATCAATTTACCCCTTGCTTGGGTCGGCGCCGAGAAGATCATGGTCGAGGTATTCCAAGAAATCGGTCTCACCGACGCTGAGATCGCGACTTTCCTCAGTGGACCAGCCTTTCAAGCCTGGAATCGATTCGGAAACATTCAAGGATCCTGGGGTGGTGACTTGCCCACCGAATGGATTGACCAGCAATTTGCCCTTCAGAAGAAGATTGTGCGTCGCATGGTTGAGCTGGGAATGACACCCGTGCTTCCTGCGTTTACAGGATTTGTTCCTAACAACATCAGTCGCGTATATCCAGATGCGAGCGTCGTTCGCTCATCATCTTGGAATGGCTTTCAAGTTCGGTACACCAACGATTCATTTCTGGAGCCATTTGATGATCACTTCGCGACACTACAAGCTAGCTTTCTTCGCAAGCAACAAGCTGCGTATGGGAATGTGACCCACATTTACACTTTGGATCAGTACAATGAGATGGATCCTTACTCGGGGAATCTGGACTATCTTCGCAATGTCACCAGTACCACGTGGAAGAGCCTCAAGAATGTTGACCCGGACGCGATCTGGTTGATGCAGGGCTGGTTGTTTTACAGCTCATCGGATTTCTGGACCGATGAAAGGGTGAAAGCATATCTCTCCGGCGTTGAGGACGATAGCGACATGTTGATTCTGGATCTGTTCTCAGAGTCTGAGCCTCAATGGCGTCGCACCGACTCCTATTACGGGAAGCCATGGATTTGGTGTCAACTGCATGACTATGGTAGCAACATGGGCCTTTACGGACAGATTTCAAACATTACCCAAAATGCGACCCAGGCCTTGTCCGAGTCTTCATCTATGGTTGGTTATGGACTCAGTCCTGAAGGCCAAGAAGGAAATGAGATTGTTTATGACTTGCTCTTAGACCAGGCTTGGTCTGCGACTCCGATGGACACAGAGAAATACTTTCACAACTGGGTGACTAGTCGGTACACTGGCTCTAAATCTATTCCCCAGGGACTGTACGATGCATGGGAGACTATGCGAAAGCCCGTATATGACAACACTGACCTCACCGACATCGATGCCGTGATTAAATCCATTTTCGAACTTCAACCCGGCGTCGAAGGTCTTCTCGACAAGACTGGTCACCATGGCACGATGCTGACCTATGACCCGTCCGTAGTGACAGAAGCATGGCAATCCATGTTCCATGCCGCCAATGAGGAGCCAACGCTGTGGCACAATCCAGCCTATCAACATGATATGGTGGACGTGACCCGCCAAGTGATGGCCAATGCCTTCATCCCACTGTATAGCAATCTGATCTCGACCTGGAACAGCTCCTCAAAAGACACCCTCACGCAAGATGGACAGAAGCTAATCCAACTTTTGATCGACCTTGACTCTGTTCTCTCGACAAGTGAGAACTTCCGCCTCTCGACCTGGATTGACTCTGCTCGATCCTGGGCTGACAACGAAAGTCAAGCTTCCTTCTACGAGTATAATGCTCGCAACCAAATCACGCTGTGGGGTCCTCGTGGAGAGATTACCGATTACGCCTCAAAGCAATGGGGTGGTCTCATTTCTTCATACTATATCCCGCGCTGGAAGATTTTCGTTGAATATTTACAGACAGCCACAGTATCAGCCTATAACGATACTATTCTAGGGGATCGGCTATTGGATTTTGAACTTGGATGGCAGAAGCAGAAGTGGTCGGATGAACCTTCTAGCATGGTAAATGACCTAGAGCAAATTCTGACAGAAGTGCACCAACGGTGGCAAAACGTATTTGCGTGATGTAATGCATGGATCGACGCCAAGATAAAAGCCGTTGGAATCGATCAAATAGAAATTCGCCTACAATGAAGAAGATGAAAGGTGAATTCACCTGTCATTCATTGTTATTACACAATTTCACCTTGAGATAAATCACAAACACTAAAATAGTCTTATCGCACGCATTTTATGCCATTGGTGACGCCGATGGCGTTGCTTCGGGTCGAAGTTCCCCGCATCCCGAGATGTTGACAGTCTTATCGCCCTGAAACCAGCCCGGGGCCCAAACACTATCTATGATTAGAAATGCACCCGCTTAACTCCGAGCAATTCCTTTATCCTGCTAAAGTTGTTTGTCTCCAATGGCTTCCTATCTATCATCTTCCCATATTCTTCCAAGATTCGACCTTGGATAACCAAATCTCATCAACATGGCAGATACACAAACACCATCTGAACAGACACCGCTCATTGAGCCAACTTCAAAGGATGAATCTCCTGCAAACTTGAGTGCGGCGAGGGGCTTGCTAATTGCCGTTCTGATGGCATTTTTAATATTCATCCAAGGTAAACTTAAGGCTGATTTCTTTAAGATAATGCCCTAACAAACCGATCGTAACAGCAACCAACATCTCGATGATGACAACCGCCCAATCGCAAATCGCTGCGGACTTAGATGCCTTCGCCGAGGCCACCTGGTTTACCTCAGCATTTATGGTAGGAGATATGGAACTTCAGAGCCAAGAATACGGGATCTAACTGTTTGAAGATTGCGGCCTCGAGCGTGACTCCGCTAGCTGGACGATTTTCTGCGATCTTCACTCCACGCTATTGTTTGGTCGTATCAAGCATGATTTTGTCCCTTGGACTTTTCATAACCGCTGCCGCTCCATCACTGGCGATCTTCCTATTGGGACGCGCTGTTACAGGACTGGGAAGTGGTGGATTGATGAGTATCTCGGTAATCCTGGTTCTAGCTTTCAGCAGTGCAAAAAGACGAGGACTATTTATTGGGCTTATCAGCACAAACTACACCGTTGGACTGTCTTCAGGTGCTGTTCTAGCTGGTCTTTTAACACCGATTATGGGATGGGTATGTGTCATGAACCTTCGGACGGACGACGGCTAACTTGGTGATAGCGACTCATATTTTGGATCCAAGCTCCAATTGCACTTGTCATGGGACCTTTACTTTTCCTAGCCATCCCCCCGCCATCTGATGATAATAACTCACTGGTGAAACGAAATTCACTACGCAGCCTCGCTCGCATAGATTATGCCGGCGCCCTAACACTAGTAAGTTTATTTCAATGCTTCAGGTGACAATGCTAACAGGCTAGACAATTTCCGTTGTCCTCTTGCTTACTACTTTGGCTTCCCCCGAGGTTCTCATCTGGCCCATTCCGCTATCATTGCTATTTTTCGCTATTTTTCTCCTTGTTGAGTCTCGATGGACCCAAGAGCCAATTATACCTGTCCACTTATTTCTCGACCGCGGGGTTCTGCTATCATGTCTCTCTGGCGTTGCCTTGATGATGGCTCGCTGGTGTGTTCTCTTCTTTACGCCCGTCTACGCAATTGCGGTTCGAGGATGGGCTCCCGCATCTGCAGGGCTCATTCTCGTCCCCACAAATGCGGGGTTCGGAGCTGGTGGAATACTTGTAGGCTGGCTTCATATCCGCAAAGGCGGTAGCTACTACGCGTGAGTAATTCGATTGAGCTAGCAGGTCACGACTGATTCGTGTATAGATCCTGTCTGATCCTCTATGTCCTCTTTTCACTCGCCACGGTGGCCCTCTCGGTTCTATCTACAGACCACTCCTCACCAGTGCTGTATATGACAGCGACCTTCTTCAATGGACTGTTTGCTGGCGCACTAATGAACTACACTCTATCTCATCTACTACACCTCACCAGTCCTCACATGCACTATATCGTCAGTGCGTTGTTCACCACATTCCGCGGGCTCGCAGGTAGCTTTGGGTCCGCCGCCGGAGGAGGATTCTTCACCCGAATGCTCAAGGCTACCTTAATAAGAGGCTTTGAGCAGCATGGACTTCCCCCGAAACCCGATCTAGTTCGTACTCTTCTTGGTAGTCCGGCCACCGTCAGCCATTTGGAAGGCCTTGAGCGATTGATCGCTGTTCAGAGCTATGAGCATGCATTCCGGATGCTATTTTTGGCAGCCACTGTCATCGCGCTGGTAGCGACAGTTCTACAGGCAGGGGCAGGACGGAAGGCTGGAAGCGAGGATAAGACTAATGAATGGGAGGAACGTACGTAAAGATTGAAGCATCCACAGACTTCTCTCAATTCCCATAGACCAAATTGTGGTACATAATACAGAATTTGAAGCAAACGACGAATGAATGAACTAGAAATCATGGGCGTTTTAAGTTGAATTGTGGACAATATTTCCAATTATAGATAATTGTCAGCCTGCCACCTGATGACCTGATGAGCTAAAAAAACTCTTGAGAAATGGGAAGCGCAGGGTGATCTTCGGGTGGATGCCTTGCGGCCTTAATGCCTTGTCTCGCAGACAACTCCAACTCTATCTTCCTTACAGCATTCACCTCCAAGCTCAACCTCCAACCAACCCACTACCGAATTCACAATGCCGCGCGCTGTTCGAGGTAACAGCAAGATCTCTCCTTTATCAATCCCAGTACTAATATACAACCCCAGGCCTCCTCATCGAGTGTGACCCCTCGATCAAATCCATGATCCTGAGGTACGACGAGGAACGACACGACTACATTGTAGAAGATTTGGACGATGAGAACCACCTGGTCATCAAAGAGAGTCAGCTGGAAAATCTAAAGGCCCGTCTGGATCACGTATGTGCTACTGAGCTTTGACTCACTACCTGTTCCCCAAGTTGGCGCATCCGTGACACTAACATGAACACACAGGACCTCGATGAGAAGATTTTGCAACTCGACGAATCCGACTCCGAGTAACGGTACCATTTCTGCAAAGGAATTGATCCTCTCAAAACTCATGCCTCTTAAGAACACTATTCCAACTTAGCGCGTCCATGCTATTCTCAGCCATCACCGCTGGCGCAGCTTAAGACATCTCTCTGAGCCACCCTTCATTGCATATACCACGCAACCACATAATGGGCTTTATATGCCCGCTGTGATACTTAGCGATCACTCACATCGGTATACCAAGAATGCGACCGGTGGGTGTTGGATGAGACAGGCTTCGATGACTGGCCACGTCGGAACCGCGCCATGCATTTCCCGCCCTTTGCGAATGTTGATCACTTATTAGATACCCAAAGCGAATACAACCGAATTATGTTACCTTTGACTGGTTTTGGTACTGTCTAATCTACAATCACCACATACATGATACCCCCCTGTCCTTCACGAACAGTTGTAGAGATGATTGGGAAACGTTTGACCATTTTTCATGTATTCTATTAGCTTTTTCCCGATAAAGGCAACAATGAATTGCCAATAACCTTTACTATAAACAGATTCGTTACATCTAGAAGAACAAGCAAATTGGAAGCTTATACTGTAAATTTGGAACTCAGCCAGATTGCAAGCTACCAAGACCTGCCTATCGCAATGAATTAATACAATCTAGTTACTGGAGATAGTACTAATTAATCATTGTTGTACTCATTGCCTCCAACGCTCCACTCGATGTGTAGGTCCTATTGTGAAGCTTGATCTATATCAGTCACGTGATGGAAACGCGGAGAAGGATCCACAAGCGACATGAAGGCGCCACGCCACCCACGAGTTGCATCCAGCAACGTCCTGCAACTATGGGAAGTTACGACTACTATCTAGTAACTTCCAGAATTCCAACGATTATTAAAGTGTGGAAGATGCCAGCATGTGCCAGCTTTCACCCATCATGTATATTAACCTCCTACTGACCTTCTACTGATCTCCTCATCTCATCACATCAAACAACTTTCAGATTACTCTTGACATCAGATCCTTCAGACTTCCAAGTCACATCTCACAACTATTTCAACCACCTTCTTCCACATCAATCATGTCTATTCAATTCCGCTCCAACTTTCCCACGGCCGACATCTCTCGTGACTTGTCCTCCGTCTTCCGTCTCTTCGACGACTATGCCATCCACCGCCAGGGCCAGGGCAATTCTCACCTAGCTCCGCGACCATTCAATCCCCGCTTCGATGTTCGCGAGAGTGAAGAGGCCTACCACTTGGATGGCGAGCTGCCTGGCATCGCGCAAAAGGACATCGACATCGAATTTTCTGACCCGCAGACTCTGGTCGTGAAGGGTCGCACCGAGCGCGAGTACCACACTAATCCCGAGGCCGAGGCCGAGGCCGAGGATGACAAGTCTGATACCGATGCTGTCTCCAAGAGAATTACCACTCCTACTCACCGTTACTGGGCTAGCGAGCGAACCGTTGGCGAGTTCCAGCGTACCTTCACCTTGCCCGCACGCGTGAACCAGGACGCCGTCAAGGCCAGTCTGAAGAATGGCATCCTCTCCATCGTCATTCCCAAGGCCACTGCAGCGGCTGTCAAGAAGATTACTATCGAGTAAACAAACGATGGATCTCGACAACACAGAATGAGCTATGATTTTCCCATTTTTTATTGACTGCATGCATAGCTTGGAGGAGTTTCGATGAGTTTCTGGTTTCTTTTTCAGTATTATATTAGTTAATATCAATCAATCTCAGAATTAATTCAATTGCAACAAATCCAGTGCCAAGAATGTAGATCTAAATAGTCCCTCGTGCGCGTGAAGGCGGTGGCCGCTTATCGTCATTTATCTGAACCGAGGCACATGTCTTGCCATTTGATGCCGAATGCGCTACTCCTTTACTCTTATAACCTTGGCGAATATATCGACATTTTCTCAAGAACCTAAGATCTCCTTATTACAACTATTCTAGCTTTCAGATGATTCACTGCTGAACCGCTGACACTCGAGCACACCCCACACTTCTCCGCATTCTAACCACACCTACCCCATCCACCATGACGCAAGGCTACTCGTTCAAATATTTCACGGTGCAGTTTCCAGCAGACTATCCCTATGTCGCACATGTCGAAATCAAGCGAGCAGACAAACTAAATGCCTTCCACGAAGCGTAAGCACACAGCCCACCCTTCGAACCCAGAAACCACTAACAAGCCTCAGCATGTGGCTCGAAATGCGCCAACTATTCACCCGCCTCTCCGACGACCCCAACATCCGCGCAGTAGTCCTCAGTGGAGCAGGTAAAAAAGCCTTCACAGCCGGTCTCGACGTAAAAGCCGCATCAGAAGGCGGCACCCTCTCCCAAGAAGGCGGAGACCCAGCCCGCAGAGCCGTGTACTTCCGCCGCCACGTCGCGGAATTTCAAGACTGCATCACCTCGATCGAGAAGTGCGAGAAACCCGTCATCGTCGCCATGCACGGATACAGTTTCGGGCTGGCGATCGATATCTGCACAGCGGCTGATGTGCGTATCTGCTCACGCGATGTAAAGTTCGCAGTGAAGGAAGTTGATATCGGTATCGCGGCCGATATTGGTACGCTTACGCGGCTTCCGAAGGTTGTTGGGAGTTTTGGGTGGGTGAAGGAGGTCGCGCTTTCTGCGCGAGTCTTTGGTGCAGAGGAGGCGCTGCGTGTTGGGCTTGTTAATGCTGTTTATGGCGATAAGAAGGAGGCTGTTGTTGCGGGGTTGAAGATGGCTGGGCTTATGGCTACTAAGAGTCCGATTGCGGTGCAGGGGACTAAGGAGATTTTGAATTATTCGAGAGATCACCCTGTTCAGGATGGGTTGCGGTATACTGGAGTTTGGAATAGTGCGTCTATTCAAACGGAGGATGTTTCTAAGGCACTTTTGTCTGGGATTCAGAAGAGAACTCCGACGTTTGAGAAGCTATGAGTTCTAGCAGGGAGTTCCTGGTGGGAGATGGATTTCGCAGATTTACTATGTAAACACTACATGTTATGGACGTTGTATAGTTATAAGTCCACGTATCTGGGCTCTCTGGCCAATCGATCACAGCTCATGTACATAGCGTAAATTAATTCAATTCTGCGATAATTTCCAACGCACCAGCTCATGGTATATGTGTGTCCTAGATATCTTTGCATTGTAACTACCACTATAAATCAGGCCACTCTGGTGGATAGGCACCTAAAAAGCAACTTCCGACATCATAATGAAGTCTGGTTGTATCAAACGTTGCAGCTGGCCCAACAAATCGCATCGATTCCCCCTCCTCTCCTCCAAAGTTTCCATCAATTGTTTGAAAGTGGATAGAATTGAAGATGCTGGGAGCTTTGGAGAATAACGATTGTAGCATTTTCTTCTTGACTAACCGCGGCATGTCATTAAAATGATGAAGATAAAGATCGTGATGCATTTGACGAACCTGTGATTTAACAAGTTCCGGATATTCACCTTGGGAAAGAAGAAAAGTGTTGAATTGATTCAATGAAACAGAGACAAGGAAGTTGTTTCCTGTTTTGGATCGATTCTAAAGTCCGTGAAGAATTCCAATTATTCCGATGAGGCCAGTCCTTTAACAGCAAATTAGTCGTATTTAAGGTAGTAGACTAAGACTTCCCAGTACTTACTGATAATCAGAGTTGGGCAATAATGGAACAACTGGTTTATTCAGTCCCAAAAGCTGTCCTTGGAGCCAGCTGACCCCGTGACAGTCACTTATTTGCTGCCAGCCGCTGCAGTTTGCGAAGGGCCTTTTCCACCGCAACAATTCTCACGGACGTAGACAATTCCCTTCCCTCTTTTTTTAGCCAGTCCTTGGACGTACTCGGGACCAAATCCAAGGCTCTCCATCGCCACGGGGCGGTAAACATCAAGAAAAACGTCTGCAACGGCGAGCAGGTCTCTGAGAGTTTTCTTGCCTTCCACGGATTTTAGGTCAAGTGTGACATCCCTCTTCTCCAGATTCTCGTCAACCAATAGGCTTCCCATGTCTGGCTGACTGGAACAGGATTTTCTAATCACTGTGGCTCCCAGTAATGCTGCCATCTTTGCGATGGTTGGTCCTGCGATGACGCGAGAGATGTCGATCATTTTGATGCCCTCCAAGGGGCGGAATAATGCCACTGGAGAGGTGGTTGGCCAGAGACCGGCTGGAAGATCTGCTCCCTATCCTTCTTGAAGAAATATTGGATCATTTGCCACAGCCTTTCCTTGTGCCGATTGAAGATACTCCTCCGGATGTAAACATATTGTGCCAGCTTGTCGATAATGCTCATTATTTTCCAAATCCAGCCATTCCCTATCCGATTGTCGTAGACGTTCCGAGTAGATATAGCCTCCTCTTCGGCTGTGAAACACGATAACTTACCAGACTGTGACATTCGAGAACGAACCCTATTGGTCAGTAACTTTTAATAATTTACACCGGGTACCAACTAGTGTGCATATTTTCTTTATGAAGACCGACCAATAAAACCGAATGTGTTGCAGGTGGACCGTCAGTCACCCAACCATATGTGCTGACCAGAGAGCCATGACCTCGCCCAATTTGGCTGGAGGCTTAGCGCACAGGCAATAGAATCTCATCGACCCCTTAGGATTCTAGGTAAAAAGTCTTCGCGATCTTGTACCGTTCAATTTTCCTATCTCAGAACCGAACTTTCCAACCCTACTATTCAGTGCTCAGTAAATTGGTAAAATATGTCCTTGAGCCTACTAGTGGCTTCCATTAATATCCTATTCGCATAATCAGGCACAACCTCCCCAACCGCTTCCGCTGCCTAATGGATCCTCCAGCCCCGCAACAAGAGGAGGACCGTGTCGCGACAGCTCTATATGACTGGGCAAAGCGGCAAAAGACTTTTCATAGCGACAGTCTCGCCAGGGAGCGCAGTATCTACACCATCTCCTGGATATGTGCATTGCCGATCGAGATGGCTGCGGCACGGGCAGTCCTAGATGAGATCCACGAGTCGCTACCCACACAAACAGATGACCACAACACGTATTTACTGGGAAGTATCAAGGCGCACAATGTCGTCATTGCATGCCTACCAACAGACCAATATGGTATTGTCAACGCAGCCAGCGTCATGACCAATTTGAGGAGAACTTTCACCGCCATCCGAGTAGGTTTGATGGTTGGTATTGGCGGGGGCGTACCAAGCAAGATTGATATAAGATTGGGGGATATAGTGGTTGGAACCAGGGTGATGCAAAGTGACCTGGGGAAAGTTGTTGGAGATGGAGAGTTAGAGCGAACAGCGATTCCAAAAACGCCACATCATTTGCTGGGGACAGCCGTGTCTGCGCTCCGTGCAAAGCATGAGCTCGAAGGGAGTAAAGTTCCATCCATTCTTCAGCAAAGGCTTGAACGATATGAATATGGTCGGCCAAGCATGCCGGACCGACTTTTCCAAGCGACATATCATCATGAAGATCCATTAGCCAACTGTGACTATTGCGACCCAAAGAAACTAGTCATGCGAAGTACACGAACGTCCAAAGATCCATCGATTTACTACGGCGGAATTGCCTCTGGAAGCCAGGTGGTCAAATCAAGCATTTCCAGGGATAAAATCGCCCGAAATCTGAATGTCATTTGCTTTGAAATGGAAGCTGCCGGCCTAATGGACATTCTCCCTTGCCTTTCAATCCGTGGTATCTGTGACTATGCTGACTCCCATAAGAGTAAAGAATGGCAGAAGTACGCTGCAGCTACCGCAGCCGCATACGCAAGAGAGCTTCTTGAAGAATTGCATGTGACTGAAAATCATGCTAAAGAGGCATTTGTACCTACTCCTGGTGAGCCAAAAATTAATACTACGAGGGCTCATGAAGAATTTACTAACTCTTTACCAATCATATATAGATGAATCCAAATCGCAGGAGCGCCGACACTGTCTTCTTGACTCCCTGAAGTTTGAGCAAATTGATTCCCGTAAAACAAACATCAAAGCAGCGCACGCCAAAACATGCCAATGGGTGTTGAGTCATCCTGACTACAAAGCATGGCTGGACCCCAAAATGCTTGACCAGCATCACGGGTTTCTGTGGATTAACGGTAAGCCAGGTGCTGGCAAGTCAACAATCATGAAATTCGCCTACATGAACACAAAAAATCGATCTCGCAATGAACAATCAATCGCCTCATTCTTTTTCAACGCTCGCGGTGAGTACCTTGAAAGGTCTGTTTTAGGAATGTATCGATCATTGCTATTACAGCTACTTGAAAGCTATCCTGACCTACAGTCAGTGCTAGACGATCCCGAGCTTCTTCCATCCCAAAATCAGAGTACCATTCGTTCTTTGAATGTTCTCAAAGAGATTTTACGCAAAGCAGTTGCTCTCCTTGGCCGACGGTCTTTCACATGCTTTATTGATGCGCTTGATGAGTGCGATGAGCAACAGGTGTTAGACATGATTCAGTTCTTTGAAGAACTGACAGAATGGTCTACAGCTCAAAAGGTACTTCTACGAATTTGCTTTTCTAGTCGACATTACCCCTATATTATCGTTCGATGGGGAGCCCGACTTACACTCGAGCATCAGCCAGGCCATGAAATGGACCTAGAGACTTATATCAAGGGCCAGCTACGGGCGAAAGACTCAGAAATTGTCCAAAGAATCCTCTATAAAGCATCAGGTGTCTTCATATGGGTCGTCCTGGTTGTCGAAATTCTTAATAGAGAATACGCACGTGGTGCGATGTTTCTCAATAAGAGGCTTGAAGAGATACCAAGTGGATTAAGTGACTTATTTAGAGATATTCTACAGCGAGATAAGGAGAATATGGGAGAACTCTTACTGTGTTTCCTCTGGATTTTTTGCGCAGAACATCCATTACGACCGGAGGAGTTCTACCATGCGCTCTGGTCCGGCCTATTTTCGCAAGGTCTGGTCGATGGCCCAATGCCAGATGCCTCAGTTTACGATACTAGTGACGGTCTCTCTAGATCTCATATTTATGTTATCAGTTGTTCCAAAGGCCTCGCTGAAGTCACAAAATCGGGTAATCCTACAGTGCAGTTCATTCACGAGTCTGTTCGGGATTTCCTTGTTAAAGACGGAGGCCTGTATGAGCTGTGGCCTGAACTTGGACTTGACTGGCAGAGCCCTTCCCATAATAGGCTTAAAAACTATTGTCATGCCTATATTGGTCTTACGAAATTCGGGGGATCTGGTAGTATGCTACAAGGCTCTTCCAAGTCAGAGTACAAAGCAGAAACTTTGGCGAAGTATCCTTTGCTAGAGTATGTTGGCCAGAATATTCTCTTCCATGCCAATTTCGCGGCACGGGCTATTCCTCAAGATGATTTCCTTGCCTCTTTTGATGTCACCAGTTGGATCAGCATCAGCAATTTGTTTGAGAAGTTTGGGGTTCGCCAATATACTCGTGATGCAAGTCTTCTATACATTCTAGCTGACAAGGGTTATCCCGAGCTTATTCGAACAAAATTAAAGCGTGATCCTGAGATCAATATCTTCGGCGAACGAGATAAGTTCCCCATCTTTGCGGCTTTAGCGCGCGGCGATAAAGATAGCACTGCCGCTCTTTTGGGCTTATCTTCTATCGTCGTTGACGGGATCGACATTGCAGAAGGACTGAACTCCAGAAAGGATCTCGGAGAGTATAAAGGAAGAACACCTCTTTCTTGGGCTATCCTGAATCAGAGAACAGAAATCTTCAAAGCTCTTCTACGGAGTGGAATGGACGTAAACAAAAGAGTCGATCGAGACGGAAATACACTGCTTTTCCTAGCTGTGGCTCATGGCAACCGGGAAATATCCGAGCTCCTTATCCAAAAAGGAGCCGTGGTTCATGCTACAAATAAGAAGAAGCAGAATTTACTTTGTCTCGCTGCACAGGAAGGCCATCGAGATATCACCGCCCTTCTTCTCGATCAAGGATTAGATGTCAATTCAAGGCTTCAGAAAAAGCGGACAGCGCTTGTGCTGGCCATACAGAATGGACATCAAGCCACCGCTGAGCTTCTTATTGACCGGGGGGCCGACCTCAGCATTCTAGATGGTAGTAGACGGACTCTACTTCATTGGGCCGCAGAAAAGGGGCTAGAGGCTGTAGCAAAGACTCTCATTGAGCGAGGTTTGAGTATTGATAAACATGATAATAGCAAGAACGCGGCAATTCATTTGGCTTCAGAGCAGGGCTTCGAGGTCATAGTGAAAATGCTCATCGCTGCAGGTGCAGATATCAACAGCACTGACACCAGCGGGAGGGCGCCAATTCACTTGGCCTCGCTGCGCGGTCTCGCAGGCGTGGTGGAAGCCCTTATTAGAAATAGGGCAGACTACAACCGTGCTGATAGTGATGGAAAGACGCCAATTCATTTGGCTTCGGCGGCAGGCTTCGAGGCCATAGTGAGAATTCTCATCAAGACAGGGGCGGACATTCACAAAATGGACAGAAATAAGAGTTGAAGGGCATGCAAAAGTGATGGAAGTCCTCATCGCCGCAGGCGCAGATATCAACAGCGCTGACATCAGCGGGAGGGCGCCAATTCACTTGGCCTCGCTGCGCGGTCTCGCAGGCGTGGTGGAAGCCCTTATTAGAAATAGGGCAGACTACGACCGTGCTGATAGTGATGGAAAGACGCCAATTCATTTGGCTTCGGCGGCAGGCTTCGAGGCCATAGTGAGAATTCTCATCAAGACAGGGGCGGACATTCACAAAATGGACAGAAATAAGAGGGCACCAATCCACCTGGCTTCAGTTGAAGGGCATGCAAACGTGGAGGAAATCCTCATCGCCGCAGGAGCAGATATCAACAGCGCTGACATCAGCGGGAGGGCACCAATTCACCTGGCTTCAGAGCACGGCTTCGAGGCGGTGGTGAAACTTCTGACCGCTTATAATTGAACATCAAATACTGCAATAAGTCGTTGAGCCGCGCCTAAGTTTCAGTCTTAAGCGTTCTCTATAAGATTTACTTGCGCACCCTACATTGGGCACCGTCGTCAAGGATCTAGAGATATTTGTCATCATTTATGATCAAACTCCGCATATGAAAATTGTCAAACAATGGACGGAAAAGCAGAAGAATCCTGATCAATTTCCTCCTGCTCCCGACTTTTCATCGTTCCCTCGACCTCCCAATCCCAACCAAGAAGAATATTCTCAAGCTGAGACTGAAAATAGCCTGGCTTCAAACACAGCAACGCCTCCAGCACGAACTCTCCTACTATGAAGCTGTAAAGCAGCTCACTTTCTGTCTGATTCAAATTCGGATACTTCGCCGCATTGAGCTAGACGCCGTTGTTGTCCAAGAACCCAGCACTATAGTGATCACCGACACCGGGAAAACCAATTGTTATTCGGTGTGAATGCACGCATCGCGTAATTACTGCATTACAATGGAGGCTATTACCCTGAGTAAAGTTGAATTAAAAACTCTCAAGGTCTTTCAACGAACGCCTAGATGTAGTGTTCCACTATACGACATTGCGACCAATATAGAAATGCTTGATGCAGACAAATTAGGTAATATCGGAAAATTTCTCGAGCAGCTCTGTCTCAGTATTTCGAACAAGATTTCCACAGGAGCAACAGATCTACCACCCCGAAGACCGGTCCAATGCCATGAGGTGGCATGTTATGGAAAGAGACCTGCGAACGCTGCGTATGTTGTCTCGCTTCATTGAGATCACTCTGCAGGCAACGAGAAACTTGGCGGGGTAGCGCGACTTCTAAAATTCATGCCGAACCTGAAAGCTCTTGATATACATATTGATACCACCACATAGTGTGAAAATTATGTTGACTCCCATTTGATGTTCGCTTCTATCAGTGAACTCCAACTGCCTCGGCTTCGCAAATTCAGCATTGGAGGTATCATAACTAGCCATGATTCTTTGATGCAGTTTCTTTCCAATCACCCCAGCATCACGGATCTCGCCCTGAGTCGAATTCAACCTCTTCCAGAGCAGTCTTGGGATCCTGTTTTTATTCATCTTGAGCAAAGAATGCCTGATCTTGAGCGCCTTCATCTATCTGTATTGAAAACCGGCCACAATGAGCCAATTAACTTACATCCCGTGTGGGATGACTATCCCAAAGAGTTGGAAGACAAACGGCGTTGTGGCATATTGTATGTCCATACGAAGACTTTCAATACAGACGACATAGCGATGGGACTCAAGTTTCGACCGACGCCATTTGCCCCATCCATGGGATCCCCTGAAGCTGCAAATTGGGCAAGATCTGTGAGGGCACATTACGGAGTACCTTGGGAGGGCAAAACGGAGTTTGTTAGTACTGAGATGATGCGGGATGCTATGATGTATTCGTGGGTTGGAGCCTTGCGCACATGCCCCAGTAGTCACTATAGATAGACTTTCCCTCTTCATACCATCTTTCATGTGCACTTGAATACTGACTAGAGGTTTTTCCGCCGTAGGTCCTGTTGGTAGCACCTAGGTCCATTGTGATTACCTTGCTTTGAACTTTCCTTGCTATTAAACCCTCAATCGAGCCTCCATTTCATGTTGGATGCTTTCCTAGCCTTCTTTTGCATATCTTTCTCAAAATAGTACCTACTCGCCAATTTTAGAATTCATCTTTATCCGTGTTAATGGCGGTGTTCTGAGCGGTGGTGGTGATGTTTTCATACTAAATGGGTGACATTGAGTTGAGTCGGGAATCCGGGAATCCGGGAAACCGTTCATAAACTCCGAGTTCCCTTCCATGTTCTATACAAATAATGTGTCTGCAAATACTTCTGGCCATAAAAGGGTATTAAATATTCAGATCTGCCTGATACGTATCCAAGACTCGGCCCATTCATCAACAAGACCAAACACACACACCATGAAAGCTATCCAGATCCTAGGCAACGTTACCGCGCCAGAAATCACCATCAATCCTTTGATGACCAAACCCACCCCCCAAAACTCTGAGCTTCTCATCAAAGTCCACGCTGCAGGAGTAACAGGCGACGAAATAATCTGGCCAGAGCCATACGCTTCCGCAACCCGAATCCCAGGACACGAAATCTCGGGAGTAATCACCTCCACAGGTCAAGATTACAAAGGCTCCTTACGCATCGGTCAAGAAGTCTTTGCTCTTCTCGGCGCAGACAGAGGCCAGGGACAAGCGAATTATGTCATCTGTCTACCAGATGAAGTTGCGCCGAAACCGACGTCGCTACTCCATTCTGAGGCTGCGGTGTTGCCTATCCCGATTCTTACGGCTTGGGAGGCATTTTCTGATCATGCAGCACTTGTGGCTGGAATGAGGGTTCTTGTGACGGGAGCCTCGGGAGCGGTAGGAACGTTTGCTGTTCAGTTTGCCGCACAGGCAGGTGCGCATGTTATTGCGTTGGCTTCGTCTCGGAATCATGAGATGTTGAGGCGGTTTGGTGCACACGAGGTCCTTGATTACAGTACCGTGGAGTGGGAGACAAAAGTCAAAGACGTTGACGTGGTTTTCGATACTGTGGGTGAAGATGTGCTTATAAAAACCTGGGAGTGTGTTAAAAAAGATGGAGTCATCGTGACTATTGGAGACCCTGCACCAGCTTGGGCATTTGGACGAGGTCAGGCTTCTGAGGCTGTTGATCACCCGGATGTGCGATATGTGCATTTTATTGTGTCTCCTCATTCGGAGCGACTAGGAAAGGCTGGGGGAATGCTTGATGCGGCTTCTTTGGAGAAGCTGGCTGTGAAATCATTCCCCTTAAATGAAGCGAAAGCAGCTTGGAATTATGCTCAGCGAAGAAATCGTGGTCACAAAGTTGCGATTGATTTTATCGAATGAAAAACTCACCTGGTTGTATATTTTTTCAAATTATATCTTAAAACACATCACTAACTTTCGGTCGGTATGTCTTTCATTATGATTTAAAGAATAGTAGGATTAGCTTTCCCAGGCAATATTGGGATCTAGATCTCCAATAGTATACCACCCACATAGATCCTCTATAGAACCCAAGGAAGGAATATTGAAATCATCACTAGATGTCCCTGTTTCCGAATCCAAAGTGTCCTGTTCTTGGCCACTGGAAATGTCCAGCACTCCACACGACTGAGTCATGCCGACCGGGCTCACTTTAGATGCAAGCCCGAGTACATGGTGGGCAATAGTCTGGATTTCTCGTACATTCCTCGCAGTCCGGGGCCAGAATTCACCAAGCACTTTGAGGCAGCCAATAGTCATCCGGATTTGTTCTCGTGCGATCGTCAATTCCTTGCCCTTTAAAAGGAAGTGACAAGCAGAAAGAAGGGCAAGTGTCCCTTCACTGATCATGCAGGTGGTAAATGGGGTATGATGGAAGTGTCCGGTCGGTAATGCCAGGAGGCGGATTTGTCCCTCAACAGAACGCAACACGCGGACGGTATGTACGTTCACCAGATCCGGTGTGGGAGTATCTTGAGGGGGCTCCCTAGCACAGCTTGACATCTCTTCCACAGGGTTGAATTTGAGATCTGAGAAGGGTCGGTGCAAACCGATACTCGCGCTAAAATAGTCAATACCCGATCTATTGCACTTTGCAAATAACTTACACATGAATAAGCAGGTGTGCTTGAAACATCAGCTCGTCAATCTCTCCGCTTTTACTCATAACCTCCTTACGACCCTTGGGTAATAAACGTACCCAGCCATCCAGAATCGAATCTGCAGTCTGGATCACCTGTGGCGAATCTTCTTTGACGGCATTTTTCGGCACCGTGGATATGGCGAATGCCGCACATCGTACAGCACCAATGAGGTACGCGAAGGATGAGAAAACGGGATCATCGAGAGCGAACTCGCGGCAGTCAAAGTCGTGCAGAGTTTTTGGAGTGGGAATATTCTGCAACAAAGTAAGTTATCAGCCTCCTTGTGGGGGCAGATCTACGCTTACCCCACGTTCATATTCGGACTCTTCACAAGGAAGCTCAACCGTGGCGTCGACTTTGGCAACTTCAAAATTCATGGTCCCCAAAGTTCCCGCATAGTAAGCCTCCACGGTATAAAGCATCCACCATGTTCGCCTCCAGCTTTCCTGCAACACCAGATCATCCCCTCCATTCCTTGCAGCAAATTCTTGTCGGAACATTCCCTGTTCGCGGGCGAGATGAACCGCTGTATCCATTTGCCATTTGAATTCATCCTTGAAATCATACCAGAACAGCGCCATAGAGTATAGGAGCCGGCATTGAACCAAGACTGGATCGGTTGGTAGTAATTGCAAAAAGCCATTTTCTACGAGAGCTTTCAATGGAGTCGACCACTCGCGCGACTTATAAATATTTCCCACAAGACGCATAACGGCAATGAGTGAGTTCAAGGAGTTTTGTCGAGTCGGATTTTGATATGCACTTGTTAGGTATTTCCGGGGTAAGATAAATGGATGAAATTTGTGAAAGTGCTTGTAGTAGAAATCAATCAAAAGATCATTTTCAATGCTGTTGAACTGCAGCGGAGCTGCTGGAGATCCGGTATTGGATGATCGATTTCCAGCGCTACTCGCATCGAGTAGTATATAGCTGTTCGAGAGATCCATGTCAACGATTCCACTACTGAAATCCTGACGAACCTGGGACGCAGATCGTTGTGGACTCGGGCTGTTTACCCCGGAATCTTCAACGGCTGCTAATCTCTTGCGGCGCTCAGTCAGGGCTGCGCGGTCCAGCCCACCCCGACGCGATCGGGCATACTGACATTCCCTCGAGAACTCGGCGCAGCGCGTACAACGCGGTCTTTTGGCGTCGCATTTGAGGTGACGCGAGCGGCATGGCAAACACGCTAACGAGGATCGCGTCGCCCTGCCATTCTGCGGCGGTGGAGTTTTATTTTTATCGATATCCATCAAGGAGAGTATTCGCCTGACTTGTAGGTGCCGGGCGTTGTCGTCAAATCATACGGGTATCCGGGAATCCGGGTATCCACTTGTAGCGGGTCAGCGGTTGCCCGGTTTTAGGCTCGGGAACCTTATTTCTTATTCTTATTTCTGTCACACTATAGACTTGATTAGCCTGTTAGCGTCGGATATTGAACAAGGGTCAGACGGCAGAGAAGCGACTATATAAAGCTATCAATTTTCTCGATCGGTCCTAATCTTCATCTACATCACCAACATCTATCAATCATTCCAAGGTTGATGATCTAATTGCTCTACATCTGTTTGCTCGGCCTTACAACATGGCAAGAATAGTCATTATCGGCGCTGGCTTTGCTGGTGTTTGGAGCGCCCTTTCAGCCAAACGACTGGCCACCCTTGTGAACAAGGAAAGCAGCCTAGAAATCCAAGTCATCGCTCCTGAGCCGTCCTTGGTCATGCGTCCACGACTCTACGAAGCCAACCCATCCAGAATGACTCACCCCCTTGGCCCTCTCTTCAAAGAGGCAGGAGTATCTTTTTTGCAAGGTATCGTTCAGAGCATCGACACCAAGACAAACACAATCCAAGCCCGATCCATTGAAGGAGTGGAATCAACGGTCCAATATGACCGCCTGATTCTAGCCGCTGGTAGCTCCGTCGTGCGCCCCCGTGGAATCACCGGCATTGAACAAAATGCTTTCGACGTCGATTCCTTAGCCTCCGCAGAGAAACTTGATGCTCACATCCAGAGCCTCGCCTCTCTTCCAGAAAGCCCCTCCCGCGATACGATCGTTGTATGCGGCGCCGGGTTCACAGGCATCGAAGCCGCAACCGAGCTACCGAAAAGACTCACTCATCTCAGAAATACCCGCGTTATCTTGGTCGGCAATGCAGATCACGTTGGTCCCGATCTTGGACCCCCTCGCCCCGTTATCACAGAAGCTCTAACTGAGCTCGGAGTCGAGCTGAGGCTTGGATCTGCAGTTACAGCAATCGATTCAGATGGCGTAACTCTTGCATCTGGGGAGCAAATTGAGACAAAAACGGTGATCTGGACTGCTGGAGTAAGGGCTACGCCTTTGACACAGCAGATTCCTAGTGAGAGGGACCCTCTTAACCGCCTTCGTGTTGATCAGCATCTGCGCGTGTCATTCGTGAACAATGTCTTCGCGACTGGTGATGCTGCGTGTGCTCTTGCTGATACACAAGGACATTATGCTTTGATGTCCTGTCAGCACGCTCTTCAGCTTGGTCGCGTTTCAGGACATAATGCTGCGGCGGATCTTCTCGGAGAGCCGTTGACTGATTATCAGCAAGCCTCTTATAATTGTTGTCTGGATCTTGGTGCTTGGGGGTCTGTTATTTGCGCGGGATGGGAGAAGGAGGTTAGTCTTACTGGATTTGAGGCTAAGAAGGTCAAGTGCTATATCAACCAGAAGTTGATCTACCCTCCTGCTAAGTGGGAACAGGCACTGACTTTGGCGAATCCGGTTGGTCCTGACTCTGACGAACTTTTTAGGCAGATCAAAGAAGCGATTGCCTAGACATGCTATGTGTATTCTCATGCTCTCCACTATATTCAGAAAATTGTTTATTTTCATATATCACACCATTTAATATCAGTCTTGAAAAGGTCTAGGTGCTCCTGTATGAGAAGTGTATAACTAAAGCAGAGCCAACGTCACGTAATCTGACACCATTCTATCCTTCCAAGGTTCTATTTTAAGATTTTAATTTCTTCAGGATTCAAGGCACATACTAGTAGTCACTCGGTGGTACCAAACAACACTTTCCCCAAAAGCCAAGGCACTTCCACCGTGAATCGCAGAAACTCATCTTCCATGAATCAAAATAAGCGCTAGGTATGTCGATCGCACAAATCCGACCATTTCCTAGTTGCGCCTTTGCCGCTAATGCACCTAATCTGCACATTGAACCCTCTTTTCCGCTGATCCGAGCGTCCGTGGGTCGGATGACGCTGGTTCACATTGCTGTCAGAGCTCGATGGAATGGTTTTTCCGCGTATCCCAGCATTGAAGGGGAAGTATCTCCGGTAAGAGGGGTTTTGTTTATGGTGGCTTCATGTTCCTGTGGCTATATAAGGGGAGAAATGTGTATTGTCTATGTATTTGACCGAAAATAAAGACAAATCATCAAAACAACTACATTTAATACTCTCCTTCATTAGTCATGAAGTCTGCTACAATCCTCTCGGCGCTCATCCCAGGCTCCTTTGGAAGCACAATCTACTTCGCCGGCGATTCAACCATGGCGAAGGGCGGCGGAGGCGGAACAGGCGTAAATGCCACCAACGGTAAACAAATATTCCTTGCCACATAGGAATAGCTAACAGAGCCAGGATGGGCTGAATACGTCTCGCCATATACCACTTGGACTATTTCAAACCAAGCTGTCGCAGGCCGCAGCGCGCGCTCATACACCCGCGAAGGCCGCTTCGCGACCATAGCCAACGAGGTCAAATCCGGCGACTGGGTAGTCATCGAGTTCGGCCACAACGATGGCGGATCCCTTACACCAACGGACAATGGACGCACGGATTGCTCCGGCACTGGAAATGAGACCTGCACGACAGTATATGATGATGTGACCGAGACCGTCTTGACGTTTCCTGCATACTTGGAGAATGCAGCCAATACGCTCACTGCGCTTGGGGCGAAGGTATTGATTTCTAGTCAGACGCCTGATAATCCGTGGGAGACTGGGTCTTTTGTTTATTCGCCATCACGATTCGTGGCGTATGCGAAATTGGCCGCGGAGACGGCGGGAGTGGCGTATGTTGATCATGGCGCTTATGTTGCGAGTATCTTTGAGACTCTTGGGTCGGATGTTGTAAATGGATATTATCCTCTTGATCATACCCACACTAGCCCTGCGGGTGCGCTGGTGGTCGCTCAGGCCTTTTTCAAGGCTGTAGTCTGTGGCGGTTAGTAGATTCCCTTCACAAATTATTGGCTGTCACTAACAGATTTTGATAGGTGTTGCACTGGAGAGTGCACTGAACACTACCTCTTTCCCGGGTGATTGTCTGTAGGTATCAAAGATTGCAGTAGCAGCAGCGTTGGCAATATAAGGTATTCATAAGGTTCAGTTCATCAGATAGTTTCATCACGTTTCATAATATGTCCATAGCTACAACATTTATAAATGGGTATCAAAGTCGCCATCATCGCAGTCACCGGGACTCCAAGATGCCTCGAACAATGCCCCGCTTCTCAACCCGATGATAGTACTGGGTCACGTTGGCAAATCGAGCATCAAAGCCCCCTTGGGTATGTGCGATCTCCCACAAGATCGGCCAGAGCCCACAATCATCGATGCCAAATATCGTGCCTCCCAAGTAATGCTGTCCCTCTAGGGCACGCTCCCAGTTTCGAAGGCCACCAGTAAACACTTCCATGGGCGTTTTTGCATAATGTTCGCGCCATTCCAGCTGCAAGTCTTCTATCCATGAGAGATGGCTCCCGCCTCTCAGGATTTCGACTCCAGGTCGTGAATTTTCGGCGGGTCGAGAACCCAGATATCTCAAAATAGCCAGATCACCAGTGACAGTTGTTCCCTGGGGATCAACATATACCATTCTTTTGCTTTCGTTACCTTCTATTTCCATGATTGGGGTCTCAGAAATCTCGTATCGAATACCACTTTCCCCCAATCCAAGGCGCACTCTCAGGTCTGCCACTGGATCTCCGCTTAGTGTCAGTTGCGATGACGATGTAGTAACAAAATTGACTACATCAAAGCCATCGCCATAGACGGCATTCCAGTCAAATTCAGACAAGCGATTTTCTTGACCAAATGCACGAATCATTCGTTCTGTTTCCTCGGGATTTCCATGAATAGCGGGGCGAGCTGTATCCTGAGACTTTCCCACGGCACCCTGGCCCCAAATCAAATTCTTGGTCGGGTGAAGGTATGTGCCAATTAGTCGAAAGGTCAGTGAGATGCGCTCACCGCCGTGCACTTGTTCTTCCGTAGTCTTGGTAGTTTCTGGGCGTTTATCCGGCCGAATACCATGCATCCAGCGCATATTGGTTTTCGGGCCTAGAATGAAAAGTGATTGATTTGGAAGTGGTACTCGTTGCGTGGTCCGGCCTGATTCTTCTTTATTTTTGTGCTCCGAGGATGTTTTTGTGCGAAGAACCATCACTCGCTGGGCTCCCAAACTGACGTTACAAATGAAAGAGCCTCGAGCAATATCCAGCGTCTTATCAGAGTGCTCCGATATGTGGTCGTGCCCATCTCGGTAGAGTTGAATCAAACAATGGTTCAATGAATGGCCCAAAACTTTCTCGACTGCGATGCGAACTTCATCAACGGCAGACGTGAACGGCTTCAGGGGTGGCGACTCGTCGGCGGGGTGTCGATAGATTGGAATGGCCTTATTCGGCTCAATCTGGCCCTGGACAGCGACAAGTCGAGGTACCTGGCCGGACAGATGGTACATTTTCTGCCAAGAAACCTCGTTTCGGATACGCTCGAAAGAATTTCTAGGGATATCAAGGTGGTGGACAAGGCGCGAATCACCTTCACCAATAACAGGTTCTGATTTCCGTGCAGGATCTGCGGGGGGCTTGGGCATATCGCCTGTTCCATCTGAAGCATCCGGATCTTGGCGCCGCTTGGGTCGGCGCACTCGCGCGCGTACTTGCTTCGTTCCCTCGGAAGAAGACCGCGCAGCGCCCGCAGCCTTCCGATGCAGCCGAGTAAGCGAGGCAATCTCTGTTAAACTTGCCATATCTGGATCCTCGTCGGGCTCTTCCGGATCGACCCCCAAAGTGTCCATGATACTCTCAAGGCCAAGTGAAGCACCAGCTGGCCGTTTGTTTGGGGATCCACCCCGAGCAATAGCGTCTGTCTCCTCCCAATCTAATTCCTGGTATAACTCTTCCGCTGTCAAACCAGTTGCACCAAGGATATCTGCCATGCGGCGCATGGCTTCACGATGGCGCCCGAACTCGCGGTATCCCAGACAATCTTCAATAAGAGTGACCGCAAATCCATTGCGAACAGCATCTAGTGCAGTGGCGTAGACAGAGACGTTGGACAAAGAACCACAGAGATAGACCTCTGTTACAAACCGAGTCCGAAATGAGAGCACAAGGTCATTCGACTCTAGTGCAGAGTACCCTGTCTTGTCCAACACGGTGTCATGCTCGGGGTTGATAGCAGCAAGAACGGGCGCGGGGAACTGGAAACCGGGGGTTTGCGCGGCACAGCAGATAGGAGACCGGGTAGACAAAAAAGCTTCGGTATCGACAGGCTCTGGAGAATCGCGATCTGATGCGACTTCAATCACTTCCGACTTGGGCACGCCCCGTTTCTTGTGTGGCTCCTTGGCCAGGACGATACGATCGCCAAAATTCCAGTCCGAGGTGGACTGTGGAGCCTCATATTGCGAACGAACCCAAATCACGTCGCCGACTTTGCGGAATGCTGCGGCGAGTGGACCCAGGGTTTCAAGGAAATCTGAGGTATTGGGGATGTGGAGGGCCCCGGACGGGCGAACGAAGTCATTCTGAAAGTCGAGCAAGATAAGCGCCTTGCGCGTTCTGATCCTGGGAAGATTGTCAAATGAGAAAAAACTCATGATACAGAAATGGTCCGGGGACACATCCAGATGTATAAAGATTCTAGTAGTTGGAAGCTGGGACTGGTTGTACTTCGAAATGTTTGGTTCCGTGGGGCGTGTCGAGCGGAGGTGGACACCTCAGGCAGAATCTCACACAGTGCACGGATGGGGTTGAGTCATTTGCCTTACTTTTACATCGATAACTTGAGTAGTTTGTCATATTGAATATTAGAACATTGAAAGGAGATGGACTTGAATTCATTTTGATTCGTCTACATATTTAATTGTTGCCGCTATGTATGCACATATGTATGCAGACATTGAATAGGCTAACACAACACCCATGTGCGCACAGTCACAAAGATATATTTCCAGGTCTCAATCTTATAAAAGACGTCTAGAGATGATTTACATCACATGAGTACATATACAGTATTCTCGTATTCTTATCTCTTCGATTCTATTTACATCCTGAAAAAGAATCACATTGTTTGGTTCAGACGGTACCCTATGACGGTTACTTTTCTTTCATAGGCCCAAAAAGAGGCATAGGACCCTCCAGGACCCCCAAGTGCGTCAGAGGCGTAAAATCAAGGCTCAATTGTTGCATTCAACGCCGAGGTATGGGGAATGGGAGATATGAGTGAAATATGGAATGCTGGAATACCGTCGGTGATATAAGTTTTCAAACAGTTGCCGGAAACATTAGTATCAAGTTGGTGGCGATTGGCAGATCTGCAACCAACGCAGACTTAAAACCTAGATTGTCACCGAACTGAGTGCGGTGAACCACTTGCCGGTCATATTAACCAATCAAAACTACCCCGGTGTCGGACCGGGGAGCAATAGCATCTCTCCGGAAATCACGTGAGGTGACTCGCATTCAAAAAGTGGAGACTTGGAAGCTTTGCCCACCCCAGTCGCTACATTTAAATCTCCAGATTTCCTCCCTTCCCCTCAAGATTTCTTTTTCTCTTCACTCTCCACTCCCCCAATTCACATTCACAATGGCTTCCCGTGCCCTTCCCCGTGCCTTCCGCATGGCCCGTGTGGCCGCCCCTCGCTCGGTCATCACCGCCGCCCTTCCCCGGCCTGCTCTGGCCAAGGCCGCTGCCCGTGTCATCGCTCCCATGACCCCCGTCCGTGGTATCAAGACCATTGACTTTGCTGGTGTCAAGGAGGACGTCTACGAGCGTGCTGACTGGCCCCGTGAGAAGCTCCACGAGTACTTCAAGAACGACACCCTTGCCCTCATCGGTTACGGTTCCCAGGGTCACGGCCAGGGTCTCAACCTGCGTGACCAGGGCCTCAATGTCATCGTCGGTGTCCGTAAGGATGGTGCTTCCTGGAAGGAGGCCATCGAGGACGGCTGGGTCCCCGGCAAGAACCTGTTCGACATGACCACCGCCATCGAGAAGGGTACTATCGTCATGAACCTGCTCTCCGATGCCGCCCAGTCTGAGACTTGGCCCACTATCAAGCCCCTCATCACCAAGGGCAAGACCCTCTACTTCTCTCACGGTTTCTCCCCCGTCTTCAAGGACCTCACCAAGGTCGAGGTCCCCACTGACGTCGACGTCATCCTCGTTGCCCCCAAGGGTTCCGGCCGTACCGTTCGCTCTCTCTTCAAGGAGGGCCGTGGTATCAACTCCTCCATTGCCGTCTTCCAGGACGTCACCGGCCACGCCAAGGAGCGTGCCATCGCTATGGGTGTTGCCGTCGGTTCCGGCTACCTGTACGAGACCACCTTTGAGAAGGAGGTCTACTCCGACCTCTACGGTGAGCGTGGTTGCCTGATGGGCGGTATCCACGGTATGTTCCTCGCTCAGTACGAGGTTCTCCGTGAGCGTGGTCACTCCCCCTCCGAGGCCTTCAACGAGACCGTTGAGGAGGCCACCCAGTCCCTGTACCCCCTCATTGGTGGATACGGAATGGACTGGATGTACGCTGCCTGCTCCACCACTGCCCGCCGCGGTGCTCTCGACTGGTCCCCCCGCTTCAAGGACGCCCTGAAGCCCGTCTTCAACGACCTCTACACTGCCGTCCGTGACGGTTCCGAGACCAAGCGCTCCCTCGAATACAACTCCCAGCCCGACTACCGCGAGCGTTACGAGAAGGAGATGCAGGAGATCCGTGACCTCGAGATCTGGCGCGCCGGAAAGGCTGTCCGCTCTCTCCGCCCCGAGAACCAGAAATAAATGAAATAATTATTGTGATACCCGCTTGGAGGGAGGGTTTGGATAAAATGTTATGACTGTACTATGAACTTGTTTTTTGTGTCGGGTATACAAAAATATTATCACGGCACTGCCGTTTCCGAATTTCTCTCAAAATCTACCTGAATTCCCCAATTCTTCAATCTTCCATTAGAACTGTAATCTCAAATATGACTCAATTGTGAAAACCCCGCTTGAAAACCAATCACCTCGGAGAAATTTACCAACCTTCCTCAATCACACTCTTCACGAACACCACTAACATCACTACCATGCCCACTCCCTCCGAGCAAGCCCAGGCCTTAAACCCAGCAGCCATCCACGCAGCCTACGACCTCATAAAACCCTACATCCACCTCACCCCGCTCCTGACCTGCAGGACCCTCGACAAGATCGCCTCAACCCCGCAAACCCCAGAAGCGCTCATCGGCACCCCATTCGAAGGCCAAACCCCCGCAAACCCACAAATCCGCTTCTTCTTCAAATGCGAGAATCTCCAGCGTATAGGCGCGTTCAAGGCGCGAGGTGCACACCACGCACTCTTGCGATTAATTCAAGAACAAGGTGAAGAGGAGGTAAAGCGACGGGGAGTGATAACGCATAGTTCTGGTATGAGTGATGACTATCCATTCCTCCACAGAATAGAGCAGAGCACTAATCTATATTTCTATTTCTAGGTAACCATGCCCAAGCCCTTGCCCTCGCCGCTTCGACACTCAACGTCCCCGCCTACATCGTTATGCCGGAGATTAGCACACCGTCCAAGATTGCAGGGACTCGCTCGCACGGCGCGGAAGTCACATTCAGTGGCTCGACAAGTGTGGAGCGGGAGGCCGTAGTCGCGGAGATTCAGGCAAAGACGCACGCGTTCCTTATCCCTCCATATGACGACTTCAATATTATCTGCGGACAGGGTACTACGGCATTGGAAATGGAGAGGCAGTTCACTGAGACAGGAAAAAAGGAATTCGATGCCGTGATCACGCCTATTGGTGGTGGTGGACTGAATGCTGGTGTTGCGACGTACTTCTCTGATAAACCGACGCGGGTTTTTGGCGCCGAGCCTAGTTTTGAAGGTGCTGATGATTGTCGGCGCGGACTTGGTGTCGGGGCGAGAGTGGAGAAGGTGTCGACGCTTACTATTGCGGATGGGTTGCGGACACCGGTAGGGTTGTTGAATTGGGAAGTCATCTCTGACAAGCAGAAGATTGAGGGAGTGTTTTCTGTTACGGAAGAGCAGATCAAGGCAGCGTTAAGGTTGGTACTTGAGCGAATGAAGGTTGTTGTGGAGCCTAGCGCTGTAGTCGGGTTAGCTGTTTGTCTTTTTGATGAAGAGTTCCGGAGGCGTGTGGAGGTTGAAGGTGGGGAGGAGGGTTGGGATATTGGGATCGTGTTTAGTGGAGGAAATACGACTGTTGAGGCGATTGGGAAGTTATTTGGATGATTGTATGTACCTGCTCTTAGATGCCCGATAGAGGGTAATAGATTACAGACAGTAGAGGATACTATCATGCCCCAGGCAGAGGGACATGGATTCCATGCCCTCGGACATAAAAGGGAAAGCTTCCATCATCATAGGCTCTGAGACCTTCTACTACCCGACGAGGCCACTCCTCTTGTCTCCAGGCATTGACATAGGCCGAGAACTTGCCCTGGCGAACTGCATTTTGCCGCATAGGCGCATCTTTCCTTGCATCGTGCGCACTCATTGAAGGCGGGAACGAACGAGTAGCATCTCGCTGGACTACCAGACGTAGAAGTGGAAATTCTCCCCAAGGGGCCGGGAGAGCAGGTGGGAGAGCCGGGGTCCGAGATGGAGATTGGTCGTAAGGGCGCAAGGGACCATTTCCGCCGTTGGCCTTGTTCGGCCTGAAGGCAGATACGGTCGTTGTGTAGACGACGGTGCATCCAAACCGGGCCTGTAGACGCTTCAGCTCCTTGACTATCTCAGTATAAAGATCGACGAAATGAAAGCTCTGCTTCAGCTCGCGCAGTTCATCGTTTTCCTCTCGAGAGCGTCCTAAATCCTCTGTCCGAGCAAAACTATCACGCAATTTGTCTTGCCATAAGAACGCCGTAGCACTGTCAATGGCAATCATCTGTAGCGGACATGACGCAGAGTAATGCCGAGAGATAGCATAAAGGTATGCATCCAGCGTGGCAAGTGTGGCGAGGAGTGCCGATGACGATTGAGGACGAAAAATATGGACATGCTTGAGTGCAGAAGAGAGCAAATCTTCGAAGTCATCATCGGACACCCCTCTACCTTCTGTCTTCTCAGAAACAATTGAATCATGTGCCTGCTGTACAATCCCTCGAGCTACCACCCGTAGCCTGTGAACATCAAAACGATCATCGGCATCAATGAACACCACAGCCGAATCCTGTCCGCCGATGAGGATATTGCCATACTGCCGAGGCAAAACTGCAAGCGCTGTCATGTAATAGAGTAACTGTGATTTTCCAGCACCCGAAAGATTGCTAGATATCTCAACGGTCGGAATTGGCCGTTTGGTCCTATAGGCCGAGTCGAAGAAGAGATTGTGCTGGGCTATTTGTTCATCAAGTGCGGCATCTCCGAACTCGTCGGTAAAGAGCATCTCCTCGTCCTCAGGAAGAAGTTGCTCTCGTTCTTCCGCTTGCAGCGATCCCGGGGGTATATCATGATCTTGATCCTGGTGATGAGGAACAGGGCCCATAGTCTTCAGCATGAAGACTTCGACTAGCGCATCGAGAACTGGGATCCCGAGTGAAGGTCTTTGACAGTCTTCACTGGCAGGGCAAACATTTGCCAAATCATGCAGAAGCTACTGAAATTAGCACCATATCATAGTTGATCTGTCATACCACTTACCTCATCCAGCCTTTCATGGTGTACTTCACCTAACGAGGTTGCGCCTAAGCTTGCAGCCATAGCGGACAAATGCGTACAATATCATGGATCATGCATGCCTTGCAGTCTGATGCAATGAAGAATATACAGGAAACAACAAACTACAAGGTTGTGACATGACAAAGAGAAGTAGTCAAAAGTAAGTGATAGCTCGGAGGCTCGGGAACCGGACCAGCTTAAACTGTAAGTAGTCGGACCCGCAGGAACTTCGCATTACCAAACCCGACCAGCACTTCAGCCACTTCCTTCGAGCTTGACTAATATCCAGGCTACTGTGAAACGAAGACGATAATTACGATCTGCCACACACCCATCGCCCAAATGGCTCCTCTCGTCCCCGTCTTCTCCGCCGACACGCTCCCCGATCACGTCAACATAGTGCGCCGCAATTTCATAGAGAAGAAGCGCAAAGGCGAACCAGTTGATTTGAAGGAGTGTGCACTGCTAGAAATGATGCAGTACTCTTGCAATCCACCTTCGGAGCAGGTTCCGCAGCCGGGAGTTATTGTGTGCAAGCCTGTTGTGCGGCTGTTTCGACGGTGAGTCTGGGGAATGTTCTTGGTGTGCTGGGCTAGCGGCTAATCTTGCTAGTAGATGCGCTGGGGGATTGACAGTTGAGACAACATCGTGGGAACCATTGAGAGAGATTGAAGAGGCGAAGGAGAAGTTGATAGGATCGAAGGCATCGTCATAATCTCGACAAGAGACGCCCTGGAGGATGGACGACTTGCATTGCGTGGCGTTTGGGTTACAATTGTATTATACTTGCACATTACAGAGGGCATAGAGAATGCATTTCAATAATTGTCATTACGATGACTTGCTGCCATGGGGTATCTCCTCAAACGACTCCTAACAAAGCGCCAGCCCATAAATAGAGAACCGAGACTAAACGCCGATATCCAAATAAACCAGATCAAACCAAACCTCCTGTACATATTTTATGCGCCATTAACATCCACTGGCTCAGCACTAGAAGGCGGCTTGGATGCTTTTTCCTCCTTTCCCCGGGGACCAGAAGCTGGACGACGCCAGAAGTCCCGCTCGCAGTTGACGATGGGTCCCATCTCCAGATGCCATGAAGCCTGTGTGCGAGCTTTCCCGTCTCCATCGCCTGGTTTGCCCAAGTCAATATCCATCGCGGAGCCGAGCATAGGAGCAGCTGGATCTTTCTGGTCCTTTTGAAACTTCTTCGCGAGACCCTTCACCGTCTTCTCGAACATGGTCTCCATGCTCTCCATGCGTCGGCCCCAGAGCTTCTTATCCTTGCCACTGGAGCTGGTCGGGTTGTCACGGAACGCGGCACCAGCCAGCTTGCGCAATGCCTCTTCACCGTGACGACCATCTTCAGCGGCGCGCTCACGAATCTTGCGTGGATCGCTATCTCGTTCGGTGAAGACCGCAGTAGCGGAATAGGTGTGTTTGCTTGGGAAATCAGGGAAATGTTTCGGAATGTAGGAGCGATTGGTCACAGTCTCTTCTCCACGCAATGCATTCAAGAATGGAAGTTTGCGCTTAAGTTCATCTTCTGGTGGGGGTGACGGGAGGAGAGTCGGGGTGGGAGTAACGGTTTTCGGTGATTTGAGATAGGGACGGAGGTCATCGGGGGACAGATGGACGCGACTAAGAGCATGCTCGAAGTCAGGAGGAATAGGTTGAATCCGACGAGATGCCAGCATGGACTGGCGAACATATGTGGATATGCGAGTCAAATCTATGCGTGAATGGTGTTAGTCAAATCTTCCTCACGGCAGCGGTTGCCATCACTTCACGTACATGTCTCTGCGGCGCTGCGCAAGCTGGACAGCGCAGCGGGATCGGCTATATCGAAACCCGCATCTTTGAGGAGGTGACCGATCGAACGGTTCATCAGATGGTCGAAGTGAGCTTCATCTTGTATGGCCGGCTCAGACGAAAGTGGCAGGTTGACAGGTTCCCGCAAGCGGTGATGGTGATGGTAATGGTGTTTCGGGCGTTTACTGTCAGCAGCCTCGAGGTGAGACGAAGATCGTTTCACTTGTAGGCCCGTCGACGCCATAGCCTTTGAGCTGCGAGCAAAGAAGAAGCCGGGTAGAAGGAGCTTGCCAAGTTGTTGATCAAATCGGGAGGATGTTGTGTCACGTGATCAAAATCACATAGTCCAACTTAATCAGTTCAAGTACAAGTATCAATCTACAATTTCGTTGCAATATTTTTCAGATTGCAGTCACTGCAATGATACTATTTAAGAAGTATTATTCAACAACGTATACCCATTCCTCAGCCCAAACACAGCAGTCTTGACGTCAGTGTAGTAGGCTTCAATTTGCACCCAACTTTGCAGAGTTCTTGGATTTAAAATTTATACACGTTTGTCATACTATATCGTAATAAGCACCGGGATTCAACGACAGAAGACTGGTAGAAAGGAGAGGGGAATTGAGAAGGTCAGGAAGGTCTTGGACTTAGGCCGGGGATGATGTATAGTAGGATGTTATTACCGTGCTTAGGAATACGCATTAGCTGCAATCTATAATCACGTGTCATTATCTAAGGCCTGATATATTAGGTACCAACAAGTACGTAGGTACTTGTAATTGATATAGTGAATTCAGTATAAGCTATTGACATCAAATTCCAATTAAATATCTCTTATCTCGATGTACGTCAATATAATATCCAAACAATCTTATGTCAAGCGTAATAATCCGAAGAATCAGCCCATATACAGTCATAAAAAATCTCGACCAATCCGGAGCCTCGCTTACCGCCCGAAAGCTCTTGAACTTCAACTCCCGTACATCGCCCGACACACTCTCCTCTCCACCTCTCCAACCCCCAACGTTCGAGGCATGTCCCCACCAACACCTTATAATACAATCTTGGAGCCGAGCATCGATTAACATTCTTCTCCAGTCACAATGCCTGCCGCTATCCCCCCAATCACCGGCGTAAGTCTGCCCCTTCCTTCCAGCCGGCTTGCCCCGATCGGCCTGGTCGGATGGATCGCAATGAGTGAATGAACGGAAGCTGACCCGCATTCATAGATGCTCCGCCGGGGTCTTGTCCTGGACCTGAGCGTCGCTTTCGGTACGTCATTTCCCGGTGCAATTGCAGTTGAGGCTGAGGACTGCCGGTGGCATGATTCATGAAAACGGATCGGGTCGACCTGGCGCGATCGATGTACTCGCAAAGAACGTTCGGCACGACAATGGATTGTGCCTGTGCAGGGACTTTAACTACAAGAAACAACAACTGACCAGTTCTCTGACAGGCTTCGGTACTACCTTCGGTTACCTCTGGTGGTACGGTAAGTAGAGCACATCATGTACTATCTACCTTGCTGGAATCTGTTCTGATGATTTTCTTCTACTGATTCAGGCTTCCACCTTCCCCGCGTCCGTGAGCGTGATACCTACTACGCTCGCCTCGAGGCCGACCGCGCTGCTGGTCGCGTCTAAATCGGTCAACGATGATCACCACCTCTGAACCAATCCGTTTAGCTTCGTTCCGCCCTTCGGCATCTCCTGTTGTCAATCTCGATTTCTAAAGATTCAAACCCAATATACAACTCGTTCCAAGGAAGACTAGATCCGTCGCTCTTGTTTCGTCTCCTGTAATCTTTCGCCGGGTTGAAGATGTCGACTGTGTTCTTTGGAGGTGATGGCTGGATCGATTGTATATATACGCCGTGATCAATGTGCTTTGTTTGATTCGTTCCAGTCAAGGACATCACTTGCGAGTATCCGGTATTTCACGGGTAATACCGCTATCCTACGTTGAACACCTACGTAGACAATGATTGTAGGCCTGATCTAATGAAATTCAACGCTAAGTACGCCGGTATATGAACGTCAAAAACTCCCACGGCCACCTGGCAGAACCCAGGGTACACACATATGCAAATCCCACGCATCAGCTTATCGGAAACCCCACAGATGATTTCACATGTCCTTTGTAAGTCCCACCAGGTTATGATCGTGAGATAATATGCCTCCCTAGTGAATAACCTCGAAGATAACCGAGTCATGCTTTTCTCTTGTCCCCACATCAAGTAAGGAACCCGAACCCGTTCTATCGAAGAACGCGCTCATAGGTGACATGTCGAACGGTGCCACCAGCCATAGAAGTCCGCACATTCTTCTTAAACCCATCCCGGTTCGAGCGCAAATCTTCAGCCGCCTCCTTATTCAGAGGATCCGAAGCATTAGGTTCAAGGAAAAGGAACTAAAATGAAGTCAGCGAGCCCATTACCGCACCACCATAATCCAAGTATAACAGCGCAATAGAAACAAGTTTACCCACCTGCATGCCAACAATAACGGCATTCAAATTAAGCACCGGTTTCCAATCCTCCCGCAGAATGTTCAAGCACACATTTCCCTCAAGATCAATATTCGGATGATAGATCTTCTGCGTACATTTGACTTTCGGCGGATCATGCGGGAAATTCTGATTCACAGCAAAGGAAAAGTTGAAAAGGCCGCCTTTGTACATGCCCTCGTCTGGCTCGATGCTGAGCGTGAAGTTCAGGATATCGTCCGGGTTTGGGAATGTCATCTTCATTGTGTTGCCGAGCGTAAGCTCTTGGAGATCTGGATAGCATCGCGGTCAGAGATTGGGCGTCATGATGTAAGGCGAAATGAAAGAGTCTGGGGTTTCTCTGTTCGTCCGGGGTAGAGGGTGGGATATGAACCTCGTTGCACGCGCAGCTGTGCGGCTGTGACCTTCTTCTTCTTCTTGCCTCCGCCTTCGGCATTCTCAGCTTGCGCTTGCTGCTGCTTCTGTGTGGGTGTTAGACTTGGATATTCAAGAATAGATATAGGTAGTGGGTTGGAAATATCTACCTACCATAGACCAGATCTTCAACATCTTGATTGTGAATCACCGCCCCACCAGGCGAATGCGGTGTGCGGGAAGGAAAGGCTTTTTGTTGAAACTATAAGGATGAAATGAGTCCAGGCCGTCCTGCTGTCGGTATTGAGCAGGATTGTCGTCGTAGCAAGAGGAAGTTGGTTGGCAAAGGGCTTCGGCGAAGTGAACATAGCAGTGCCGGCGTTGCGGGGTGTGTTAAGAGGCGGTCAATACTGGCAGAATCATTTTTCCTGATTTTATAATTACCGCCCTATATACCGCTTCGCAACTATGCCAACCCGCTACGTAGTACAGGTAAACAGGGATCAGTTCTACCCTGGTCTTCCTCGCATAAGTATCTATCCACCCCTCCATTCCTTGCGTACACTGTGGAGTCTTTTGATCAATCAAGAATTGTCAGAAAATAAATCCCGATTTCTTTGGGTGCTTCCGATTTAGCATATGATTCTGTGGGGTGATTAATCCCGAAGACCAGGCGCTTTTACCGTCAGTGGGAAAAGAAAAAGCACTCATCTTGAATCGCCTTCCCCAAGGTGATGGCTCACATGTCTTTAGTCTCTAAATCCTTTCGGTGTTAGGAAAGATGGCGATCGTTGGGACTAGAAATGCAAATGGTACACACTGGATATCCAGATGCATCGTGTTGAATTGCAGTTTATTCACCTCCAATTAGTCTCCTACCCAGTATCTTGCCATATCTCCTACCTTCTTCCCTACCATGTTAGTTATATAGGCAAAGGCGTCCTCAAGTAGCTAAGTAGAAATAAAAGAAATGAGAAATGAAAGGATACGGTTTCGAACGTGTGTCCAAGGTTTTTGCAGTATATCCAAGTAATAGAGGGGTTAATTTGGGAATTGAAATCAGGAAATGAGGTTTTCAGGCGTTTTGACCTACTTCCCTAGGATACTTAGCTTTTATATTCAGTATCCAAGAAGCTGAGGATCAGGGCTATCTTTTCCACTTTTTGAACCTTGATCATTCTTCTGTAATGGTGTAAATTCGCTTTTAAATGCCCTTTTTCGATGTGGCAGAGTTGACATCGGGGGAAAGTTGTTGTATATGGGTGACTGTATACAAATTTGATATTTCCAAATGCAACTTGAGCCATCGATGTTTTCTTTTTTGGAGGTTTCAGGTTCCATCCTTGCAAGGTGAACTGTTTGGTGTCTAAATCGGTTGATTGGTACACATGTATTTGCAACCACACTTCAAGTGTAAAACTTATAGGACTTATCAATTCCGCTGTGCAATCATACCAACATTGAAATTTTTATACTACTTCGACTTTCACTTGCCTTTGATGTAATTAACAGTCCCTGCTTGAAATATATCGGAACATAGATTATCAAACAGCTGCCGTACTTACAACATGGGTGAATCTCGGCCCTAGCTTAGACCCCGAGGATCACCAATGGAAAGTCCATGAATGGTTTCTTCGCGACCCGGTGAATAATTTCAAAAATAGCGAACTAAATCTGATTTTGAAATTCTTTCAAGCATGTTTCGTCTATATCCTTGAGAAAACTGCGGTCCAAGAACATTTACGAAGGGCTGAAGATCAGCGATACAAAAGCGCCATTCGGGTTTACCCATCAAGGGTAGATAGCGTTTAGCATTACTTGCATTTACCTAAGATAAGCTTGAGTATCTAAAAATCTCTCATGCGTTTGTTCACACACTTTAATTCTAGTTTCCTGACCATGGAATGCTGTGAGATCTTCGTGCAAATGAGAGTGGAGGTCCGCTATAATGCTTGAAACCCTTACTCATATAGCCCCTGTAACCACCCTGCTACATCTACGAGTGTAAGTTAAAACTTCTATTGTAGACCCAAGTTAGCCTTGCTCAAATATTGTAATTCAATTTCAAACCCCTTCACACATTGGACGGGAGCTCCAGGTGTATACAATCTACCAGTAACCAATTGACCATGACAATTGCAAGTAGATTGCGTATTCCAGAATCACTGCATAGTCTACTGTGGGTTATCAGCTAGCATATTTTTCTAATGAATATTCGCAACGTATCATAGGGCAGACTTCTACCTCATTAATCTTGTCGAGGTTGTCATGGTGGAACCTTGGCAGCCAAGCCAATTGCGGGGAAGGTGCGGAGGACAACCGCGCACCTCTTTCATTCGCACCATTCCAGCCTTCCGACATGGCGATCCCTCAGCGGACGCTCAACTGGCTGTATTCAGCTCTAACCAAGGTGAGTTACTCCTCGGGGATTAATTATAATTATCTAACCCCTGAAGGATCACTTTGATCCCAAACAGACCTACCAAGATCCCAACCGCGCCTACCACGATGTCGTCAATGCGCTCGCTCAGTACCCCTCGCTCTCCCCTCGCACCGATGTCTATAGTGAGTGCTGTTTATTACCACAACCTTGGAATTAACATAGCGTCTAACTTGGAGGCTCCTCTCAGCGTACGAGAATGGCTTCTCTGCGCTTTTGCTCAACCTTATCGGCACACTGCCTGCCGTCTTCCGAGGCACAACATACCGGTTCCCTGTCGCGATTTGGATACCGAATACCTACCCTCGCGAACCCCCTATGGTATATGTGACGCCGCCTCAGGATATGACGGTCCGGGCTGGTCAACATGTCACGTTGGAGGGACGAGTGTATCACCACTACCTCGCTCATTGGGCTGACGCCTGGGATGTAAGTGGTTGCCCTCTACTGGACCGTGAACGTTTGTTGATGTGTCGCATGAAATAGAAATCGACAATTGCCGATTTTCTGTTCATTCTTCGTGACGTTTTCGCCAAGGAGCCCCCGGTTCGCTATCGCCAGCAGATGCCACCTCAGCAGCAACCGCTGCAGATGCAAACTCCCCCGCCAGTACCACCTCTCCCGCCTGGGATGGAAACGTCGTCAGCTGCGGTCCAAATACAGCCTCGTCCAACAAGCCAAGCTCAAACCCCTCCACAGCTCCCTCCGAAGCCCGGGTCGGCTCCCGCACATCAGCCGTCGCCAGTCCAAGCAGACCGGTACCGATCACCCCCACCACTGCCACCGCTGCCTCCGAAGGGCTATGATCCTAGGCGAGCTTCTTCGATTCCCATGGGTCTAACAGGCTCTGGAAACCCGGTACCTCAACAGTATGCGGCATCGCAATATTCAGCTTCGCCATCTGCGGGGCCCCAGAGTCCAACATACAACAGAAGCACCAGTAGCAATGGACATCAACAATCCCCCTATGCTCGCCAGGCTGGGCCACATGGTTCCCAGATCCCACTCCAACGGCACACTTCTAACCAGCCCCCGCCACAGGCACCGTCTCAACACCCAGGTTATCAGCATCCACCCACGCAAGCACCACCTGGGCCCCCATACCCACAAAACTCTCCTTATCCATCAAACTACCCTCACCCACCTCCGGCAGCACCTGCTCCAAAGGCCGAAGCGCCCGACCTTCTCACGTCCCCCTTCGAGATAGGGCTCCCTTCATTTGCACCCAGGCCTGCCCCTCCAATTCCACCAAATCCAGAAAAGGATGCCCTTCTCAGCGCTGTTTCCAGGACACTAGCCGAGACCCTGGGGTCTCAAGCTGCGCAGTCCGACGCGGCAATCCATTCCCTAGTCTCGCAATCCCACTCTCTCCGCGCGGCAATGACAACCCTGCAAGCCGAAGTCTCAGCCCTCAACGCTCTACAGTCAACCCTCCAATCCAACACCGCAATCCTCCAACAATCCATCCACCGTGCAGATGCAACTATTGCAGGTGCCCAGGCTCGCTCAGCATCTGTCCCCTCGTCCTCTACTCCTTCATCATCTACTGCTCCTGGACCCTCAGATCCTTCATCTGGCCTTCCCCCTATCGACGAGGTTTTGGTTGCTCCCACCGTCGTCGGGAAACAACTCTACGACCTCGTCGCAGAAGAACAGGGTATTCAGCATGCGCTTTATGCGCTGCAAGCTGCTCTTGTCCGTGGTGTTATCGGGGTTGATTCTTGGTCTCGCCAAACACGCGGTCTTGCGCGTGAGGCATTCTTGAAGCGTGCCCTAATCAGCAAGATTGGCCGTGGAATGGGATTGGAGTCTTCTTTGCCATGATGGGCCTCTTACTTCTCGTTGCATAGGTTTCAGGAGCTTTTGTTAATACCCTTTTGGAATTTGTTAGCAGTATACACCGATACAAATTTAGACCAGGGAATCTATATCGCTTATATTGCCTTGAAGCTACAATGTCTTGTAATTTAGAATACTCACGTAAAAACGAGTCAAAAAAGCAAACATTTTGGCAAGGATCGAACCTGCGATCTCCAATCAGTCATAAACGCTTATGTCCTCGTGATAGACCTGGAGTGGCTGTCCAACAGCCAAAGCAGAGCTTCACCTCAACAATATCATATATTCACCAAACTTAACTCAAAGCCTTGGCCACAATAAACTAAGAAAAAAGTTGATCTTTATCAAGTATTCATATGAGAAGATAGTCAGTAATTGATTAATGACAAAAATCTAGTTTCAAGGGCTCTATTGAAGGGGGTTTCCAAAGATAAGAGAAATCCAGTCCGGCAAGCTATGATCTAAGGAGCAAATGAATGCGCCCTCGGGCATGACACTTTAAATTGCGGGCAATGTTGCTTGCCACTATAAGTGTGAGAGGCCAAACCAGTTGGCCACCGGAGGATTTATGAATATTATCTCTGAAATTGTAAAATATAAGGGAGAAATGGTAAGAAAGGGTAACTTGACCTACACCTTCCACCGTCCACTGTTCACCTCCACCGTCCTTCGATTTATCTTGTGTGACCCAGTAGTTTGAACCTACATAAATAAATCACTCCTGGTTTTTTTCTTTGGTTTATCAGCACCACCAGTTTTTTCGAGTCCTTGACTATTAATTAATAACAAGAGTGATACCCAATCCACTTACTGCCGAGGTGCGTTATAAAGCGTATATTGTATATACTACTGTACCTTGTCATTGAATTGATCCACTTAGATTATGAAATACTACCAGCTTTCAAAAATAGAATGTACCGAGAAATAAAGCCCAGCCCTGGACAAGGTTGAAGAGCAGTCACTATTTCCAAATATCGACTTGAGGACACATCCTTCTACATGAATAGTTCAGTACTTAGCCTGGTCCTGCTCATGCGCCTGAGTTTTATCACTAAGTGACCGAAACAGCCAGGCATTGTCAATCTTGCGATTAACATGCAAGATTTCCATAGGATCCATATTCCTCGTATTAACACCAAACTCAGCTACACTACCGTCTGGCTTCTTTTCTTCAAACGGCCACCAATAGCATCTACGTTCAAGCAAAGCATTTCAGTTCAGCTCAGTTTAGCCAATTCATTAAGACCAGATCAGATCCATCAAGGATGACCGGCTGATTGAGACTTACACGCATCCGCAATTCCCACAGAAATTGAATGAGCTTGATCTACCTCCCCAAACGTACTGAGAGAGTTTGGCGCCTTCTTTGATGTCGATTTTGATTTCATTCACCTTGTAGTACGCCCAAGCGGCTGCGTAGCGCCGACAGATCGTACACTGGCATTGGTTGATTTCCGTGGGTTGATGAGGCACGGTTACGGTGATGGCACCACAGTGGCAGGTGGATTTGAGGGATTTGTCTGCCATCTTAATCGAAGGTCAGACCAGGGCAGAATGGAAAAGTAAAGTCGAGTTAGCCACAGGGACTGGGGTTGTAAGTGTCGTCTCTGGAAAACGAGGGTTAGTCATCCGGTCTGCAAGGGATGGCATGCCGTCACTTGACTGGTTCGCTGGAAGCAACAGCCGCGAAGGAGTAGGAGCTCGCTAGGAATAGATGAGTTCAGCTCTATATAGAATGGCAAGTCCCTTTGAACAGTTTTGAATCACATGAACCCCAGATTGACCACGTTCATGGTTTTCCATCAATTTACATATACATAGCGCTATTATTGTAGAATTATTTGTGTACATTTCCACAGGTCCACGGGTGGGTGACTGAATATGTTATGCAGCTGATAGTAACTCTCGAGGTCCACATGAGGCTGTGAATGTACAAACCGACTGGATGTATAAAACAAAAGTACCTACAGTATATAGGTAGCACATATATGCACATATGATGAAGTGTGGAAATATATACAATTCAAATGTTTGCTTCATACATCCATCGACGTCAGGTTATCGTACCTTCGAAAATATACAGTGTATATACTATACATATAGCCCTGGAAGGCTTGAAGCCTGGCCTGAAGGTATTACTTTGTAAGCCGAAACACATCAAAGGTAAATAGGTGACTGAGAAGAATATGTGCACTGAGATTACGAGATATATGAACAGTAAGTTGACTTCGATTGACTGTTTGGCTTCCGTGTGAATTCTCGCTGTACAATTCAACACCCGGATAACGAACCAACGCCCATAATGAAAATGTACCAAGGGATCCATAGGTACAAAGAAGTATATAAAACCAAATACAAGGAAAATGACATAGAATGATCTGTGGGAAAAAACCTAGATCAAGCCCAAACTCAATAAAATACACGCTCAACTCATTTCACTTCATTGACATCGGAGAATGGACTCTCCACGCGCGGAGGCGGTGTCCGGTCTGTGTGTCTGGAGCTGCGCTTCTGGGCAATCGAGGCTGTTGCACTCGAGCTGTCCTGGTCGTGGAAAGGACTGGTCTCGGAGGTCTGCATGGGAGACTCGTCGACCTCAACAATGGAGATGGAGGGAATACCCTTGGAGGCTGTCGAGTGGGAGCTGGAGGGCAGCGTATCGTCGTCCTCATCGGAGGAATTCCCGTCAAAGGTGGAGGTCTGGTGGTCGAATTGTTGGCTATCAGTCGTGGAGCCAGACGTCATTGGCTTCTCTGAAATCGTGACCTCCTTGGTGCCCACATTGGCTTCGTTCTTCTTCTTCAAAGAGGGTCCACGAACCATGACCGGCTTGGCCATCACGGTGCGGGCTACAATCGAGGAAGAGGAGTTAGAGGCGACAGGGGAGGGGGCTGGGATGGCTCCAGCCTTCGCGAGTTGGGCGGACGTGATGACGGGTACAGCGGGGGCGTTTGCTGGGGTGATCATCACTGGTGTGCCTCGACCATCGGGGGTCAAGAAGCCGGAATCGGAACCATTGTGGACACTGACGATGTTGGCACGAGTTCGGGTAATTTGTTGTGCGGGAACGGCGCTGACAATGGCGTCATTGCGGTAGATAGTGGTTGCCACACTGCTACGTAGGGTGTTCGCCATACTTTGGTGGCCTGTCATGGTGGTCCAGCTGGAGTCGCGCAAGTCACCGGGCATGAAGAAGTGTTGATCAGGGTGAGCACCAGGCAGAGGGGGGACCGGGGGAATCAAGGTGGCCGGGGTCTCTGGGGGCGACCGGTTGGTGACACCAGGGATGTAGGCGATCTGGATGACATTCGAGGCACGGGTGAGGACGGTGGAGGCGATGGACTGGGTGGATTGGCGCTCAGAGCGGGCAGCAGCAAATTGGCTGCTCTTTTCTTGTTGTTCGGCGCGCTCCTGGCGCTTTTTCCGAATGATGAACCAATAGACCAGGAAGAGAATCAGGCCGAGTCCGACAACACCACCAACTACACCACCAGCGATTGCGCCCGTATCAGGGCCACTGGATGGTGCAGGTGACGAGTTAGCACCCGACGAAACACACTTCGTTGTGGCACAGGATTCGCAGGACTGGGTGGACATGGTACATGTGTAGCCGGTCTCGCATGTCGGGCAGGTGGGCGAGGAGTCAGAGCATGATACGCAGCGCTTGAAGAGAGAATAGGAGGGGTCGAAGCCCGTGATGAGGTTGGAATCGATGGGAGTGAAAGACATGATGGGCGGATGGAATCGGGAGCGAAAAAGGGGGGAAGTGGTATCAACAGTCGACCGGTCAACGGTAGGTTCAAAAGAACGTGTATAGGATGGAAATTCAACAAGAAAGGAGTGTGAGAAGCTCAAGCGGCGTCAAGTCGTGAGCGTCAAGGCTAAATCATGAAAGAAAAGGATTTAACAAAGGCAATCTGGTGGAAGTAATCCAAAACGAGTGTGGGGGAGAGTCGATCCGATCAAGGTCTGAGGCCGGACATGATCCGGGATAAGTAGATTGTGAGGTGAACCCGTTGAGATCGGATCGGGGTATATAGTGAGATGAAGGAGAAAGAGTAAAGAATAGAGAATCTCCTGGGAGAGTTCAGTCAGAGTTCAGTCACGGGAGGGCCTGAGCGGAGGCTTAGGTTCCACTCTTACACGCACGATGAGCGGGGATTTAATTTATGATCGGGAGGAATTGGGATTAACTAGGTTATTAAGATGTGATGGAAATGTACAGATATATAGCACAGATATAGATACTACAAACCTCAAATATTAAAATTATTTCAACCTCCCCCTTTCTTGCGGTACCTTGCCTTATGTATATGTACTTGGAAGTAACTGTAGAAGATGTTTACCATGTAATTTCGGTCCGACGATTATCCGAAGTCTAGACCACAGGAACAAAATGAAAAGAGAAATTAGAATTAACTATAACTAACCATGAGAATCAGAGAGCAGAATAAGTCAGAATAAATTATGAAGTATGAAGGACTAAAAATAGGGGATCTGTAAGGCTGAAAGAAAAGTTGTCTCATCTACACAGCCCTGCAGGGAAACTACGATACTCCATAAAACAAAGTCGCCAAGATTTACTCCGTGTGGGTGCAGAGAGGTGAGACACGGGAGGCTTAGGAGTAAGATGAAGGACTATGAGGTCACCTGACAATAGGACACAAATATCTTTATACAGTCTCGGCACTGTTCTCTCTTCAAGATACGCCGACATTCAACTTCATTATAAGACTTTCCCCCCGAGCCGTGGAACACATACTATAAATGATGGTACCTGGTTAAACGTCCGTTGTCGACGCGAAGAATGCTGGAATGTGTGGTCCGTCCGTTTTACGTGTTTCACTAGTGGAGTCCTGATTGGAGTCCAGACTCAAAAGTGGAGTCTTTCCTGGAGTAACAGAATAAGTACTCCATAGAATAGAGTAGAATAAAGTACAGTACTCCATAAAGAATATGAAAAACGACTAGGAAATTAGGTTCTGCCAACGCATAGGGTACCCAAGGGTAAAATACATGTATAATACAAATACAATCGAGATTCCACATGCCAAGCCTTTTGTACTTAGACCCTGACCCTTTGACCCTTGAACCCTTCAAACCTGACAGGTCATCATGTTACCCACTGTTACAGGTACAAGGGATGAGATATGCATTGGCTAAATAATCCAATCAATCAGATTGAAGAATAGTGATCATGTTACAGCTCATATGGCAATATACAACAAATCAAGATTTATCCTGCTGAACTGTTTTGATTACTGAGTAAGAAATGTCTATTTTTGCTCTGAAAGTCAATAATACGATCACGCCCTGGAGACCTTACGCTTACCTGCCTTTTTCCCCGTCTCGCTGCCCCTCGGTTTCTTTACTCTCTCTTTCACCCCCTTCCGTCGTCACATTCCGGAGTTGTGCTGGGATTCGAACCGCGCTTTCCCTTTGTTATTCTCCGTGTCCCTTCCAAGACTCCAGGTACCCGCCATCTGCAAGGCCCTGGTGGCTTCATCTGATCGTGATTTTCGCGTCTCCAGACGCCCTTGTTTCTTGATACCCCTCCTTAGTGCTTCCTTTGTCTCCTTGTAATCACTTTCGGATTTGCGCATCTATCATGGCCTACCAAGGGTCTGGCGCGCGCGCGCATTCGCCTGGCTACGAAGAGACTCGTTTGCAGGATGTACCTCCTTTACAGGTATGCTTTTATCTAGGACAATATCAAAGTACCCTTTTTTGCAACAAACAAGCTAACCTGGAACAGTATCGTGAAGACGAGGATGCTTCGAGGGGACTGCTCTCACACCAGCAAGGTCCTTTTGCGACACCATTTGATGACCCTCACTCGCGCGGGCAATCTCCCACCCGTGGGCACTCACCCATGCGTCCCGCCTCGGGCTACAGCTTGACGGAAACCTACGCCACAGATGCTGCGCCAACTTACCACGACCCCTACAGCACGGGCACTGTTTACTCAGGCCAGTCAGAGAATCCCGCAGCCGCCTTTGGGGTTCCTGCTCGAACCGAATCACCCTATGCTCGCAGTGAGACTTCATCAACTGAAGCCTGGCGCCAACGCCAAGCTCCCGGTGGAAATGCCGGTGGAAATTTGCGCCGTTATGCGACACGTAAAGTGAAGCTCGTTCAGGGTTCCGTCCTGAGTGTCGATTATCCGGTCCCCAGTGCCATCCAAAATGCTATCCAGGCCAAATACCGCAACGATCTTGAAGGTGGCAGCGAGGAGTTCACTCACATGCGATGTACGTGACGGAAGAAAATTGGAGAACAGAACAGGGAACTAACGGACTCTTATAGACACTGCCGCGACGTGCGATCCGAACGAATTCACTCTTCACAATGGTTACAACCTGCGTCCGGCTATGTATAATCGTCATACTGAGCTGTTGATTGCGATTACCTACTACAACGAGGATAAGACTTTGACTGCACGTACCCTGCACGGTGTGATGCAGAATATCCGCGATATCGTCAACTTGAAGAAGTCCGAGTTCTGGAACAAAGGTGGGCCTGCTTGGCAAAAGATTGTCGTGGCCCTCGTATTCGATGGAATCGATCCTTGCGATAAGGATGTCTTGGATGTCCTTGCGACTGTCGGCATTTATCAAGATGGTGTGATGAAGCGTGATGTCGATGGGAAGGAGACCATAGCCCATATTGTAGGTGATAGAAAGTCGTATGGAAGAGGAAGCCGCACCCGCTAACATATTTCAAGTTCGAATATACTACCCAGCTATCCGTGACACCAAGTCAGCAGCTCATTCGCCCCACAGATGATGGCCCTACGACACTTCCTCCGGTGCAGATGATGTTCTGTCTGAAACAGAAGAACAGCAAAAAGATCAACTCTCATCGTTGGCTCTTTAACGCGTTTGGTCGAATCTTGAACCCTGAGATTTGTATCTTGCTTGATGCAGGAACTAAGCCCGGCCCTAAATCGTTGTTATCACTCTGGGAAGCCTTCTACAATGACAAAGACCTCGGAGGGGCATGTGGTGAAATCCACGCTATGTTGGGCAAAGGTTGGCGCAACTTGGTCAATCCACTGGTGGCCGCCCAGAACTTCGAATACAAAATCAGTAACATTCTGGATAAGCCTCTCGAAAGTTCATTTGGCTACGTCAGTGTGTTGCCTGGTGCCTTCTCGGCCTATCGATTCCGTGCGATCATGGGTCGCCCTCTAGAGCAATACTTCCACGGTGACCACACCTTGTCCAAGCAGCTGGGCAAGAAGGGTATTGAGGGAATGAACATTTTCAAGAAGAACATGTTCTTGGCTGAGGATCGTATCTTATGTTTCGAGCTGGTCGCCAAGGCTGGCTCGAAATGGCACCTGTCTTACGTCAAAGCTTCCAAGGCTGAGACAGACGTGCCGGAAGGTGCGGCCGAGTTTATCTCGCAGCGCCGACGTTGGTTGAACGGTTCATTTGCAGCTGGTATCTACTCGCTGATGCACTTTGGCCGTATGTACAAGAGTGGCCACAACCTGATTCGCATGTTCTTCCTGCACATTCAGATGCTCTACAATATCTTCAACACCATCCTCACCTGGTTCTCGCTGGCTTCATACTGGCTGACCACAACTGTCATCATCGATCTGGTCGGCACTCCCAGTGCAAGCAACAAAGAGACCGCATTCCCATTCGGCAAAGAAGCTACACCTATCGTCAATACCATTGTCAAGTACATGTACTTGGGTTTCCTGCTCTTGCAATTCATCCTTGCGCTCGGTAATCGCCCCAAGGGCTCCAAGTTCTCATACTTGGCATCATTTGTCGCGTTTGGTATCATTCAACTCTACATTGTCATCGATTCACTATACCTGGTCATTCGTGCCTTCGGCGGAGGTGCACCAATGGATTTTGTGACCAATGAGGGAGTGGGTGCCTTCCTCAAGTCTTTCTTTGGTTCCTCCGGTGCTGGTATTATCATCATCGCTCTGGCTGCTACCTTCGGTCTCTACTTCGTGGCATCATTCATGTACGCTGACCCGTGGCACATGTTCACCTCTTTTCCCCAATACATCGTGCTTCAGTCATCCTACATCAACATTCTCAATGTGTATGCCTTCAGCAATTGGCACGATGTATCCTGGGGCACCAAGGGATCTGACAAGGCCGATGCCTTACCTTCCGCCAAGACGACCAAGGACGAAGGCAGTAAAGATGCAGTCATTGAGGAAATTGATAAGCCCCAGGCCGATATTGACAGTCAGTTCGAGGCTACCGTGAAACGTGCCCTCACTCCCTATGTTGCCCCTCATGAAGACGATGAGAAATCCCTCGAAGACTCCTACAAGAGTTTCCGTACCCGGCTTGTGACCTTCTGGATCTTCAGTAATGGTTTCCTCGCCGTTTGTATCACCAGTGAAGCGGTAGACAAGTTTGGATTTACGGTACGTTCCACAGCTCTATACATCTCTGAACGCGCATACTAACTCTTCCCAGAACACTGCCACCACCCGGACATCCCGCTTCTTCCAAGCCTTGTTATGGTCCAACGCAGTAATGGCTCTCTTCCGATTCACCGGAGCTTGTTGGTTCTTGGGCCGCACCGGCATCAAGTGCTGTTTCGCTCGTCGTTAGACGGTGACCAAATAATGGACCCATGGAGACACGACCCTTTCACCACACTTTTGTTCCCTTTTGACTTTCTTTCTCTTCCTGTTTTATTGCGATATGTATTCTACCTAAAGATGCCCGTTTTATTTTGTGGTTTTATGCCAGTATGTACCGTGACGGAGGTTACAATAGCGTCATACCATGATGTTTTTGTCGGATAGCGGATAGCGATGCAAGGATGCATTAGGGGCGCAATGAATTTCATATCTGAATTAGTACTCAGATTTCACTGGAACGTTAATGTTTTCTCTTCACTTAGCAATCTGTAGAGATTTCTGCTTGCACGCAAGCTACACATGTTGTGCTAATGAGGCGTATGTAGAACATGTCATGGCGACCAGTTAAGTTGCGATTCAGGACAAATTACAATCTACCTAAATTGATCATAATCTTCGTTGGAGCTGACTATAGTGGCCACTTAGCCTTAGTAATTGAGCCTAATCTCAGCTATAAGATAGGGCATAGAAAGGTTACCTTGTCTCACGAACAATCTATACTATAGGTATAAAGCTTCCAACGTGCTTTACCCATGAGATGGCTATTAATACTAAACAGTAAAAATATCGAACCACGAAAATAGGTACAGAAACTTACCCTGTAATGAACCTTGAAAAGATATGACCCCGAAAAACAACCTGGCCTCGCCCCAACCAACCGACAAGTGCCTTGAAACATCCTCTCCAGCATAGCTCTCATAATCTCTACATCCACAGACTCCCTTTCCCAAAACTTCAGAATCCGAATCCCGAGCCTAACAAGCGCATCCCAATTCTTAGGTAGTCGTAAAGCCCAACCCCCGGGGTTCGGGTTCCGCATAAGAGCCACATTGCTCAGTACAGCAGCGAGAATATGCATGGCCGAAGAGAATGTAGCGCGCAGGATGTTCCAGACCCACTCATGTCGGAAATGATACCAACAATTTGGGAGGAGAATTACGCAGTTGTCGATCGCTTTTTGGGCTTGAGTGAATACCGCTTCGCAGAGTTGGGGAGTTGATTGTACCCAGCTTGGGAGGGACTGGAAATGGATTGCGAGGTAGAAGACGGGGCGGTAGATCTTTTCGCAGGCAACATGGTAGCGGCCCAGAAGGAAAAATTCAATGTCTTGGTTGGTTGAGGATGGGGGTGGAAGGGTGTTATGGCACATTTGGTGCCTTTCAGGGATTTTGTTAATGAATAAAAAGACCTGGTAGAGGGGGATGTGCATACCAGGACGAAACTACTTTCACAGCTTCGGTAGTTCGATCAACAATGCTGCTGACATTGTTTATCCATCCATCTTCTCCATTTCGCCACATATCCACTAGCATGTCGTTGACGGTGCGACGGTTGAAAATGGTTGCAATGTAGAACCTCCAGCCTCTCTCCTCGTCTGTGTCACTAAGATCACCCTGTAAAAAGAAAGGGTCGTCGTTCTCGCTTCCCATCTGCTTAGGTGAATATGAAGATGTCGGGAAGCTTGGAAACCTATCCCCGAGTCCGAATTTTTCAAGGCGACTACTCCACAAAGGCAACTCGCCCTGCATTTCACTATTATTGAAATTAGTAGATAGAAGGGTATCCATTCCTGGATAATATACCATTCAGCCTGAATACAAGACCAGTATAGTCTAGACTCCAGGTTGTGGTAGTTCGCATCAGCTTTCCAATGTTCTCTGCAACATGAGACCAGGCGAACTTCTAGCCTGCACGATGCTTGCTGAAAGCAGAACCATGCCTCCAACGGACGCACCAAATGTCTATGATAGAAGCCAGCGAGGAGGAAGCACTGGATATCCGTGACAGATGTATGCAGGGAGCCGAAGCGCTGTTTTGCAGCGTGGAAGTAGGCCTCTGCACGCTCGATGTTAGCATCCGATGGAGGGGGTGACGGAATGTAGTCTAGATCCTCGGGGACCTCTCCCAAAGGAATGAAAGTAGATGTGCAACAGGCCAAAGCGCATGCGAGAAGCTATGGGAATCAGTTTCCACATACAGAATGAGGTTTGTCATTCGAACTAAAACGCACCACTTGACAAGATGGCCCGTCCCAACTCAGCCCATGGACAGTCAATTCGCGGACATAGCGTTCAAAGATATTTCTATCTATCACTGGATTCCGCCGATGCAGCAACTAGAGGTATTTTCGGCACTGATGCGGGATATCATCCATAAATGAGCCAATATCCACCTGTTGGGCTGGTGAAATTCCCGATTGAGACCGGGAATCCAGAGAATCGAGCAGAACGGAACGAATATTTTTCTCTGCACTTGTGACAACCTTATCATATATCGGCCAGCGGAGCATGAGCTCGGCGGAACTGGCCGCAAATAGCAAGTCAGGATCATGCTCGCATGCACGGTAATCACCATTTGAGCTACCACCGCGGAGATTGCTGATCCCGAGCCCAATATCGGTCAGCGGACTAGGGTTTTGCGTAGCCAGCTCGAGCAAGGAACTATGGAGGGATCGAGTCGATGAGCCGGCCGATGAGCTGTCATTCTTGAGATCTTCCAGTAGCGAAGAAATATGGTTCAGCTGTTGTAAGATCTCCTGATTGGACGCATCATATCCAGATCTATGGGACAGGAGATAATGTTTCAGTTTCAGGCTTGCTTGACAAGGCTAGGCCTATGAAAAAGAGAACCAAGCCACTACTTACTGGCTAGGGAGTGGTGACGTCTCGGGATAGATGCAATTCACCCCCTGCATAGCACAGTAGCTACAGGTGGGCCTGGCGTTGTCGCACCGGGTCTTGCGTAGACGACATGTCTGACAGGCCGTCGGCGCGCGTGTCCGACTCTCACGCTTCTTTGGAAATCTCGAATCGGTTAAATCCATGGCTTTCTTATACTCCTTTTTTCCCACCAAAGGCAATATTTCGCCGGTTTCGGGGATCTTCGGGGAGATTTGGGGAAATAGATTAATCGAGTCCGACCCGTGGAATAGGGAATCAGCAATTAGAGAAGATTAGGAAGGAGAGTCAAGATCTAGGCAGTAACCTCACAAGGCCAAGGGACAAAGAAACGGTGATGTCGAGAGTGGCTCGGCCAATCTTGACCGATGAGGATTAGGTTGTTCGGCCCAGACAAAGAACTCGGTGGGATCCCTGCAATCTCCCATTTCCGGATTGGGGTTTGGGTGGTGCCTGATTGGCGTGCGATCATAACGAAATAGCCCTTTAACAAGCGTTATTGTACGGTGACGACCATCGAGGGTTGATGGGGGAGAAACGTGGCCAATCGACAAACCTCCACCATTAGCGCAGTGCCTCACTGAGGGTGGACGAATGAGGAAGCGCGAATCTCATGTACGTACAAGGGTGTGTTGTTGTAGAGATGTAATTGCTCATCATGCGTCCAGCTCCGGCTGCCCCGGGAAGGCTAATCCAAAAATTAGCCTGCTTCGAACAGGCAGTATGAAACATCGAGAAAAGTTGCAACGGTGAGTTGCCCTGCTTTGTGAGAAATGGCCAGCCAAATTCAGGAAAAGCAAAAAGAAGCTAATGTTGCTTGGCAAAAGTCGTTGATTGCAGATCGTCACTATTCGCTAACGTGCATAAAACAGGCGCCAATTGGCAGCACTAAGAGTACATGTACAGAGTCGTGCCCGAAGGCTGCAACGTAGAAAAGCAAAAATATTCCAACGCCGAGAAAAATGCGGATCAAAGTGGCCACCAAAGAAAGAGAGATAAGGGCAAGTCCTGCCACTACCTAACCACACGCTTTTTGCCCTTCTTCACCAGAGGTACCTCACATAGGTCGGTCCAGGCATCTTCAAAGACAGTCTTCCGCGGGCCAATCTGGCCTTCGTAGAAATTCAGCTTGCGTACAACTTCCATTGCACCGGTTCCCAGCCCGATAGTCTTGCCCATGATGATACATTCCGAGACACCCTCAATCAGATCGGTACGGCCAGCACCACCGGCATCGAAGAGATGATCGGCAGTCTTCTCAAAAGAAGCGAGCTGAAGGACGGAGTCACGCATCTTGGCCAGACCGAATCGGGTAATACCCAGCACCTCTCCCTTGTATGTCATAACGTCAGCCAGAAGCTGCATGTGACGAGGATCGATGTTCATGTCCTTCATGACTTCACTAATTTCGACCACAATTGTAGTTCGTGCAGCCTCGATACCAAGAACTTCACGCGCTTCCATGACGTTGTTGGTCCTTGTGCGGAGACCGTCGACACCAACGGTAGTCATGCAGTCTTTCAAACCGTAGCCTTCCACCAACAGGGTGTTGGACGTTGAAGTCTCATCCGTTCGAATGATAGCACGTTGGGCGCGAGCGTGTCCAAGAATTTGGATATCGGGCAACATTCGCTTGAGATGCTTGAGACGCAGGAAGGGGTCCATACTCGTCGCGGCGACCTCTGTCTTTGACAGGCCCGTCTTACTGGCCGGGTCCATGTCCATGAAAATCCTAATGGAGGACACGCCAACTCGGAAAGTGAGATCTCCACCCTTGAAGCGCTTGTGCGTTTTAATCGCTTGAGCGATCTTCCTCACATCTAGCTCAAGCTTGAGATCAGAGATCGTCTGGAGGTTGATTTTGATGGTCACGTAAGCATAGCTGCCGGTCCAGTTTTCGGTGATACTGCGCATGATATCCCGAAGGTAGGTCTTTTCGATACGACCCTTCACAATACGTGCCGCGGCCATGTGTTCCTTGTTGACCAGTTCGCAGGCGATGACAGGTGTACTGATTTCTTTGGAGGCGTTGATAATTTCCTTGATACGAGGCACACCCTGCGTGATACTCATACCGGCGACACCGGCGAAATGGAAAGTCTTCAGGGTCATTTGTGTACCCGGCTCACCAATGGACTGGGCACCCACAGCACCCACAGCATGACCCGGCTCAACCTGAGCTCTCCGGTATTTCGTGAGACAAGAAGTGATGAAAGCACGTAGAGTGGTCTCTGTCAGCTTTCCGGTATGATCCAAGCCCTGTCGGCTCTCCTGGCCGTCACCACCAAGCTTAATCAGCTTCTGGACCTTTGCGTCCACATATTCCTGAATAGAGTCAAGGAAGTCACGCGCACTCTCAAGCTGATCAACTCCGTGGTCACTGCGATCCATATAACCTAGCTCATTGCCCATGAGATCCCTACGCACCAGCTTGGCACGCTCTCTGCCAAGCATCTCTTCACAGACTGCTGTGATTTCGCCTGGCAGCAAACTCCGCTCGTAGTTGTTGTATGTGGTTGACTCGGAGTGAATAAAGGTTCGCTCGAAATGGACAGGTCTGGCTTTACCTTCCATATCCAAGGGATCCAGTTTATCGTCACCATACTGGAACTGCACAATAGCAGCAGAGGAGTTGCGTACGGTATCATCGTACATCGTTGAGAGATCTTCAAGAGATTTCATCAGACGTCGAGACATGTAACCTGTCTCGGCAGTCTTAACGGCAGTATCGACCAGACCTTCACGACCGGACATTGCGTGGAAAATGAACTCAGTGGGCGTGAGACCTGAGAAGAAACTGTTGCGAACGAAACCCTTGGAAGGAGGCTGACGTGCGTTCTTCGGGAAATGAGGTAGAGTACGGTCCTGGAAACCATCCAGAACACGCGAACCGCCGATAATCTGTTGACCCACGAGCGCGACCATCTGAGACACGTTAATACTGGAGCCTTTAGATCCAGACGTGGCCATGATCAGAGGCGAGTTATATTTGCTGAGCTGTGCAATACATTCATCACCAGCTTGCTGACGAACTTTACTGAGAATACCAGAGAGCTGGTTTTCCATAGTTTGCAACTCGTCACAACCAGGATACTTCTCCAAGGTTCCAGCTTTAAATTTAGCAATGACTTCGTCACAAGCTGCATAGGCTGCCTCGACTAGATCGTTCTTGGACTGGACAAGCCTCTCGCTGGGCCACACATCCGTGATACCGATAGAGAAGCCAAGATTGGTGAGCCAACGGGCTGACAGCTTGGAAAGACGGTTCATACCCTGGGCAGCGGCGGCAGGTCCATAATCTCGAAGCATAATGTAGAACACATTGTCCTTCTTACCATCACCGACGGTAGATTTGTCCATGACACCACACATGACTTCAGAGTTGCGGATCACCAGCCAAGAATCGTTCGGATCCAAGTCTTTGGGCCTTCCGTCCTTTGGCTGCTTGAACTGTCGGCACGCCGCGTCGAGGTTGACCAAGACGGGGTCGTCTTTGTTGGGATGCATCAAAATATTGAAAACCTGCTTGCCGGTCCAGAGCATTTGTGGTTTCAAAACTGATGGCGGTGGCAGATCAAATCGTGTCTCGGGGCCCAACATGTATAAACAAATTTGGCAGAAAGACCGACGATCGTAGAAATTATCTTTGCTGCTAAGCAAGAAAGCGGCACTGATGAAATCCTGGATGGCACCAATGATAGGTTCACCGTTCTTGGGTGTGGCCAGGTTATTCTTGACACCCATCAACTCCATAGCCTCTGCTCTCGCCTCTTCAGTTTGTGGTACGTGCAAGTTCATCTCATCTCCGTCGAAATCGGCATTGTAAGGGTTACAAACACACTCGTTCAAACGGAATGTCCGATGCGGTCGGACTTTGGCAAAATGAGACAGGATACTGAGTTTGTGGAGAGAGGGCTGCCGGTTGAACAGTACAATGTCACCGTCTTCCAAGTGACGCTCAACCACATCGCCCTCTTGGAGTTGATTGGCCATGTGCTTCAGATTACCGTACTTCAAGTTTGTTTGCCATATAGAGCCCTTTTTGATCAAGTATCTCGCACCGGGATATTTGTTCGTTCCATTCAGCACTACCTTTTGCAATTTTTCCTTGTTGTATCGGGTGACGACTTCCGGATAGGTCAGGTTTCTGGCAACCAGCTCGGGAATGGCAACCTCATCTACCCGTAGATTGGGATCGGGCGAAATGACCGTTCGACCGGTGTACTCAACACGCTTTCCAGATAAATTACCACGGAAGCGACCTTGTTTTCCCTTTAATCGTTGAACAAATCCACGAATGGGTTTCCCGAGATCCGCCTTGTTGAGGCCAGGCACATCGCTGTTGATGTAGACTGCGATTTGGAGCTGCATATAGTCCCAGCACTCCATGATGGTCTGAACGGGAGCTCCCTTAAGTAGGGAATTCTTCAGATTGATGTTGCTCTGCACGATATCACCTAACTTCGCAGTCAAGTCATCTTCGGTAGATGCTGCCTCTTGAATGACCGACGGTCTGATACAAACAGGTGGGGCTGGAATGAACTGCCACAGGAACATCTCTGGTCTAGCCTCCTTGGGATCTAATCCTAGAAGCTCACAATCGCTGTCCGAGATCTTCTTGAACAACTTGAGCACGCGTAGGGCATTCAAATCATCCTGTGCCTTCTTGAAGTGTTTCTCGACCTCGGTATTCGAATTCCGCACTTCGGCAAAGGAGTCATCAAAGACTGTCTTGCTGAGTGGGGGCTGCTTCTTGACGGAGGTTGAGGCGTTGAAGGCCCGGAACTTGTCATGGGTGATCTTCAGCGCACTCGTACCAATCTTCTTCACCACACCATTTATCGCGTTGCAGTGCTCGCATACACGAGTCTTCCGGCATCGTTCGTTGATTCGCTTCGCAATCTGCATTCGTCGCAAGTTGTCCAGGCCAGGACGTCTCATTTCTCGTAGGAAGGATCGGCGCTCGGTCTCCGGTAGGAGGATGCGTGAGCATTCTTTGCAAATTTCCTGTAGGATTCCGATAACTCTCTTGAAGTAACCGACGTGAAAGGCTGGCAAGACCAGTCGTACGTGGCCAAAGTGACCATTGCAATCCTTCGAGTTCAAACCACAGGTCGCACAGGTCGCAACCTTGCCTGAAATACCCATGCGTGTATCGAGAGGGCCATTGGAAACCACCTTTCTGCCATTCTCGAGGTCGAAAAACTTTCTGTCCGAAACTTCCACCGCGGCTTGCTCAACAATGTCGTTTTTTGTCCTGGAGTGGTAAAATTCATTATTAGCTATCGCGTCCCGCGCAAAGAGTACAGTAGCTCAGCTCTGGCAAACCGGGAACCCATACAATACACCGAACTTCAGTTCCTTGATGATCTTGGGAGTACGGTCAACGACCTGGGCCTTGCCCAGATCAATCTGTGCATCCTCTGAAGGCTGCATTGCGCCGTTGTCAAAGTGAGAGCATGACAAGGTGACTCAGTATGGTTTGATCGGCGCGTGCGGGTGTCGGCCGCAATCCACGGTATGGGAGACCCGTGGGACAAGTCGAGTGTGAAGCGTTGGCTAGTATCCCTGCGCAAATATGGCTAGAGGCAAAAATCCCCGAAGATTCGGTCTGGGGGAAGAATGGCGATGAAGAGAGGAAAAGAAGGCAGGCGGGGTCGGCGACGAGCACTTTTTTCTGCCATGGAGCTCTCACCGCCGACCCAACACCTCAAGTGGATCTTGAAGTATAATTGCATCCATCAATCACACCAAAATCTTAATTCTAACCATCCCTGGTAATTCCACAAACGGTCTCAAGGGTTTACAAGAAAGCTACCCTGTGTACTGAACAATGAAACTTTCTTTTAAAATCATCCACACGACAATCAATAAAAAAAGTCCCACTGGCTCCACAGAGTCTTAAGTTCCAAGTCAGCTTAGACTCCACGGTTCCCTAGCAGATTTATAAAGTTGCTGAGAATGACTGAATATTGTAAGATTTTGTCTTGTACAGGAATAATTGGTTCTAATATACAAAATTATTTTGACAAGAAGGCCTGGAATGCTTTGTGATCGATCACGACGTTTCCAACTGCACGGAGTCTTTTTCGGCCCTCTTTCTGTTTTTCTAACAGCTTTCGCCGCCGACTGACATCACTGGCATGCAATTTGGCCAAGACATCCTTGCGGTAAGGCTTGATGGTTTCACGGGCGATGATTTTCTTGCCAACAGCAGCCTGGATCACAATCTCGAACAGTTGTCGATCAACGTGCTCTTTGAACTTAGTGACCCACGTCCTTCCCTGGCGGCTGACCTGGCTCATATGCATGAGTCGCGACACAGCGTCAACGGGTACTTTGTTCACCAGAAGCTGGAGCTTGACAATATTTCCTGCTCGCCAGGCGGACTCTTCGTAATCCAAACTGGCATAACCCTTGGTGCCTCCTTTCAACTTTCCAAAGAAGTCATCCACAAGATGTGCCAAGGGAAGTTCGTATTTCATGATAACCTGGCTTGCGGTGAAGTATTCGATACTTTGCTGTTCGCCTCGATTGGCTTCGCAAAGCTCGATAACCTTTCCCAGGTACTCTTCAGGAAAGGTCAATGTTGCCAAGACATAGGGTTCTTGGACCTCAGCGACCTTGAGCCGTACGCTGTCGTCATCGGGAAACTTTGCCGGGTTGGTAATGATTTCCTCCGTGCCGTCTTTCCACACGACCTTGACTGGGACGGAAGGAGGTGTGATTATGATGCTGGCACCGTGTTCCTGACGCAGACGGTCTTCGAAAACAGAGCAGTGAAGGGTACCCAGGAAGCCCATGCGGAATCCAGCTCCCAAGGCCTCAGAAGACTCTTTTTGCGCCGTCACACTTCGGTCGTTCAACACAAGCTGGTTAATACTGTCATCCAAATGCTCGAAAAGATCAGCATTGACAGGATACACAGCTACAAAAACCATAGACTTCGGTTCTTCAAAACCAGGCAAAGCCTCGACTTGTTTCTCCTGGCCCACTCTAGCAAATGTGTCACCGATCTTAGCTTCCTTGCTTCGTTTCATCCCGGGGTTGAAATAGATGTATCCAACTTGGCCCGCACGGAGAACTGTTTGAGGTGTCTCCGTCGGGTACATGATTCCGACTTCACCGACATAGTACTTCAAGCCCGTGGCGAATGACACCACCTGCTGGCCAGCACGTACCTCGCCATCGAAAACGCGCACCAAAAGAATCACACCCTTATAAGAATCGTACCAAGAGTCGACCAGCAACATACGAAGGGGTTTCTCTGTGTCTCCAATGGGCCTATTGAACCGGGTTAGCATCAAACTATGTAACCACAAGTCCTGGTTTCTACGTACGCAGGAATCTTCTCAACGACCGTTGGAAGGATAGCCTCGATATTCAGTCCGGTCTTAGCTGATACCATGACGGTATTTTCGGTATCCAGCTCAAATGAGTTCCTCAACTGTTCCAGAGCCCGCTCTGGATCTGCCGATGGAAGATCAACCTTGTTAATGACAGGAATCAACTCAAGGCCTTGGGCGAAAGCCAAGTAAAAATTGGCCACTGTCTGTGCTTGAATGCCTTGACTGGCATCCACCAGCAGCAAAGCACCACCACAGCTGGCATAACTACGCGAGACTTCTGCACGAAAATCCACATGCCCTGGTGTATCCACCAAGTGCAGCAAGTAGTCTTCGCCCTTGTGCTTATAGATCATCGTACATGTCTGCGCTTTGACTGTGATTCCTCGTTCTCGTTCAACATCAAGCTTATCCAGAACCTGCTTGTTCTGTCCCGGTTGAATTGTGCCAGTGAGCTCCAGCAGCCGGTCGGAAAGGGTACTCTTTCCATGATCGACGTGCGCGACAATGCAAAAGTTTCGGTATCGGTCGAGGGGGATGGCAGCAATTCGTCGTTCGAGGTTTGTATCCGGGGAGCTAGAGGCAGATTTCGACCGAGCACTCCAGGTCGCAGAATTTGTGAAGGATCGTAGGGAATTATAGCGAAGTCCAGCCAGCGACTTGACACACGCAGCCGGAGGTTTCGGCGCTGCGCTCAGCCATCGGGCTACATGCAGACATCCTCGCATCGGGATTCGTACAGTAGCATGAACGAGGACAATCGCCTAGATATATTATTGCAGTTCAATTTATGCGACTCGGTCTGTCTTGGAATTGGCGGCCAATTTGAGGGAGACTTGGGGAGCGTAGGTAAAAAACGGTGCGGGTTGCGCGGGCGGTGACTGTGATCGCTGCGGTGACTATCGACTATCGGCATCAACAAGCCCTCCTCCCAGCTTTGTCTCCTACGCTTTTACCTCTCTTGATATTCAGACTCTTTTCAACATGCCTGAAGCTAAAGATAAGTCAAAGGTGCACAAGCTAGTTATCAAGGGTAGGGTATTCTGATTTACCATCCTTTTGTTGGATCAACAAGCTCACAAAGCCTTTGCGCAGGGTCGGCGAAGCTTATGGCTGAATTCGTGAGTGCTGTGCCTATGCCATAGGCAACTCTCCAATACTGACAACGATATAGTTTGAGTACTCGATTAATTCGATCTTGTGAGCCTCGGCCGAATTTCTGCGGGGATGTTGGTGGCGGACGCTTATTGAAACCAACATTGCAGATTCCAACGCGCTGTTTACCCTCCCGATGATTTCATAACGTAAGGTTAAATCCAACAATTTGCCAATGCATCCAGAAATCTGACCAACAATAGCGTGAAGAAATATGGCCTCAACATGCTCGGTTCGTGCCTTCGTTACATCCCTTCGATCCCCGCCGATATTCCATTCTAACCCCCCGAAAGTATCCGCGGACGACCAGGTGAAGGCATACATTAAGAAGATTATGTCACAACTGAACAAATGGATGGCTGGTGGAAAGATCTCAAAGCTCGTGGTTGTTATCACTGACCGGGACACTGGAGAGCATGTGGAACGATGGCAGTTTGACGTATGTACTGAAGGTCCCAGAGCTCTGTCTGCAGGCTCATCTGACGTGATGGATACAGATTGAGGTCTTTGGTAAATCATCAAAGAGCAAGACCGCTGGAAAAGTGGGTGACAAGGAGAATGCAGCTCCCGGGTAAGCTTTCGATCCCTAGCCTGGTACATTCCAGGTGGCTATTGCTAACTCGGCTTTTTTTTTTTTTTTTTGCAGTGCTGCTGGAGCCCCGAATCCCGAGCCTATTGTTGAGAAGACCGAGAAGGAGATTCAAGATGAGATCCAGGCTATCTTCCGCCAGATCACAGCTTCTGTTACCTTCCTTCCTGTCCTTGATGGAGACTGCACATTCAATGTTCTGGTTTATGCCGACGCTGATTCCGATGTTCCCGTGGAGTGGGGTGACAGTGATGCGAAGGAAATCAAGAACGCAGAGAAGGTTCAACTTCGTAGCTTCAGTACCAATAACCACAGAGTGGGTACCTTGGTCAGCTACCGGATGGCAGATTAAACATTCGGCTTATTATGAATATCCACGAGGGATGCTCTATGCATTGGCGTTTGGAGGGGATCAAGTTGATTTTTACATATCAAATTAGGAGATGTTATGCCTTAATGAATACTGCATTATGTCTATCATCATTATTATGCTAGACTGCCATAGTACCAGGGCAGTTCCTCCGTCCTTGTGAACCATTGGTTGCCCGTCCCGCCATCCCAGCAGACCAATTTCTCGACGACATCTTCAAGACCCGTATGTAAGAAGATTCCGCGCTCCATTCCTGGCTGCCAGCCTCTATTGTTGCGTTTGCCAGCCAAGTCCTCTCCAACTCCATAAAGATCTTGTCTCCAGAGCCCAATCCCTTTGCCTGATTCACCACGAATCAAGGATTCCAAGGGAGTGACTTCCTCTGGTGGATTGATACCAATCACAGAAACTTGGCCAACTCCTGCATCTGTGCAATGAACCTGAGGTAGTAATCCCACAGCAGGGAAATGACACTCCATAAACCGAGCTCTCTTGAACTCATGGGTCACGACAGTAACGCGTTGTGGGTAGATCCCTACGTGTAACCGGAAACGCAACATTGAAAAAAGCACATTTTGGTAGGAATCCGTAGCAAGATCCTCTGTAATAATTCTGGACCTGTCAATCTCAGAGACACTTGCCGGATCTTGGAAATAGTTGTTCTCTTCGCAGAGTTTCTGTGCGAATTTCAGAATGTCAGCCAGCTTTTGCTCAATAGACGAGTTAACTTACAAGGTATGATTGTCCCTCGCTGAGATATGTCCTTGGCTTCTTAGTTGGCCCCCTAAAAACAATTCATAAGCCATGCATTCGTCAGTGCAACATGGAGAGTAGTACTTACCCAGAGAAAACAAGCAGTGCATGAGGATCATCAGACAAGGCTTTCAGCCCAGCCTTAGCATGACTGATGAAAGTGGGTGTCTCTCCCTTCTGAAAAGGCTCAATGAACCTAGATGTTTTCAATAAGCATTTCATTATTTCATTGTGTTTATTAATCATAACTGACCATTCGTCTTCGGATAGTCCATGGTTTGGTCCTCCAGCATAAATAGCATGGCAGCAAACAATGACTAGATGCTTCACATGATGCAGCCTATGATCTTGCCCCATGACTTTGTATTTACAGGAGATCCAAGGCTGTGTATGTACTTAGTAGCGTGAAATGCCCACGTGCGTGTGCGCGTTGGACACCGCCCGCGCGACCACGTCAGATTTAAGAAATGGTCCGTGCTTCAGCATACCCGAAGGTACCCGAAGTATAAAATCGTTAGCGCGCTTTTCAATTTTAGATCGCACGACAAGTGTACCTCTACTACGTGCTAGCGTTTTAAAAGATTGAATAGCTACAGCAGACTCTAATGTATTATTATTACATTATCATGAGGCTCAAAAAGCAGATAAGAACATGCCTTTTACTAGTAGGGCCCTATCAATAGTTTTGAATAATCTTCATTTAGACTTGACCACTGTCTAGATGAGATAAACTGTCTCCAGTACATGTATCGTTTGGTAGTTGAGTAGCTAGCGTAAAGCCAGGAGAAGATCACTTGGAATATCTGAATCTGAAGCGCGACCAGTGGCACAAATTGGAAGATCAAGACCGAGATCCCGAAGGTGGCAAAGATGCGAAAGTCTCACGGCGTCTAGCCAGAGACAGTGAGAGCAATCTACCTCGCTCCTCCTCAAGCTCACTCTCGAAAATCAGGTCATGCGTGCCTTGGGGGGGAGAGCCGACGACAGTAGATGAAGAAGATGAGGAAGAATCAGACGAACTCGAAAGGGCCGGACTCGGGGGAGTGATCACCAGACGAATAGGCGGAGTACCGTTCCTGAGACTACGTATCGAGCCCTATTGATATATGTTAGGATCATTAATGAGCAGACACTCTTAGCAAGTAGACAGGTTTACATACCAGCGAATCTGGGCCCTCCAGCGAGTTGAGGTCGCTGAAAGAGGGCAACGGATGGCGAGGCAAGATCCCATGCCCTTGCTGCATCAGTTCGAACAGGTAACGGGAATTAGCTCTGCTTGATACTCGCAGTGTTCGGGGCTCATCTATCGTCAGAGGTCTCTGCCTAGAATTAGTGGTTTGTTTTCTTTCGAGAGTGAAACATGAGCACATACAATCGAGGAAGTAGGGGGATTCTGTAGAATTCCGTGAGTCTCCATTTGTCGTTGATCTAGCGTGCCGTATACAGATCGTGCCCTTTCCAGAGTTGCTCGACGCCTCGCCAATTCCGCACGCAACCAGGCTTTCACGCGTCTTTCTTGATCAGTTGTCATATTTGGCGAGGCTTGCCCCAGTGGCGAAACCGATAGTCTTTCCGTGAGTTCGTGTGCGAGAAAACCGGAAAAAGGCAACACAAGCATCTGGAAATTACGCCTCCATGACTGTACGAGAGGTAGGCGGGTTGCTTCAAATCTTGCCATTTGAGGACGAGTTCTGCGCTCGTTACCAGCATCGGGAACCCGACTAGCAACATCGGTCTGTGGGGACTTAGTAGGTGCAATATTAGTCAATAAGAAGTGATCAGTCTTACCAGCTCGCTGTTTCGAACTTGGCTGCTGCTTCGAACTTGGCTGCTGCTTCGAACTTGGCTGCTGCTTCGAACTTGGCTGCTGCTTCGAACTTGGCTGCTGCTTCGAACTTGGCTGCTGCTTCGAACTTGGCTGCTGCTTGGAAATTGGGCTGAAAGGCAACGAACTCTGGAACCATTGGGCTCGGGAAAGTCTTCTACACTTGCGGCGCGCACTCTGGCCTCCCTCTGTGCAAGAGCAAGGCGGGTTAATTCATATCTTGCCATTGGAGAAAGAGTTCTGCGTTCGCGACTAGCAGCGTGAACCCGACTAGCAACATCGGTCTGTGAGGGTTTATTAGCTGCAATGTTAGTCAATATGATGTCGTTGTCCTTCTTACCAGCTCACTGTTTTGGACTTGGCTTCTGCTTCGAACTTGGCTTGAACGGCCACGAATTCTGGGACCATTGGGTCCGGGACAGTCTTCTACGCTTGCAGGGACAAACGTGGTTGAAGCATGAGCAGGCCCACCGGATTCATCAGATGTAGTAGACATGTCGATGAGGGTTGCCTGATAAGCTGATATTGTCGACTGTGGGGACGTGGAGATCAGGGGAAGGGGAGTAAATAGTAAAGGTTAGGGGCCAGAACTTGGAGCGTGTTGGTGTAGAAAATAGATGTGGGAGGATAAAAATTCAACGCTTTTAAAGTTGGTATCAGAACATCCAGATTCGAATAAGCTTGAATCAGAACAATAACAGGCTGCCTAGCAATAGACCTTTGCTTCAGGGTCACCTATCAATGTCTGATAAAAGAAAAGAAAAGAAGGGTATAAATCACGTATACCTCAAGAGTCCAAGCAAACGACACGTAAAATTCTAGTGGGAGAAAGCCGGCAAAAAATCAGCATATAAAATCATCGCAAACTTACACTTTGACTTGATCCCATCCACCCACTTGAGCTTGCCAACTAGAACTTTGTCCCAATCTTTCAAGTCATCACAGAACATCCTCATCTCATCTATTTTGACATCCAGTCTAGTCCCTTTCAGCCAGGCTCCCTTGTCTGGCTTTTTGATGCGATGGAAACCTCTCCCTTTACTGCAAAGGAAACGATGCATTCATGCCTCGACAAATTTGAGGGTCCTGGTCTCAACCACAATCTAGAAGGTGCTCCAGGACCTTCCAACGTTCCATACGACAGAGTACTTCTGTCACCCGGAGGAAGTTTGAATGTCAATCTGGGTCTGAGGTCCGAATGGGCCGCATTTGACCAGGCTGACTGGGCAAACAGCCGACTCAAGCCACGTACCACTCTGGATCTTTACGATCAGGACGACAGTTGTTCTCAACGTGAGACTGTCCAGAAAGGCAAAGGCAAGGAGAAGGACTCGATGGGCACAGCAGGTAGTGACACCTTTCATTTGCCGCCTTTTGGTGTTTTCCCTGTGGAAGATGCTTCTGTTGAACCTGTTCCATATCTGCTCACCCGATACCTCGATAATAACTCCGAGTGCATGGAAGTCACACTGTTTTTTGAGGGTATGCTTTGGATGTCCAGAGAAAAGTCTCCTAACAGCGACACAGAATCGGATCCTGATTTCCTTCCTTCGCCCGGACCTAGTCAAGCCAAGCTTCACGAAGAGATCCAGACCTATGATCAAAGCGAAGACGACGGCAAGAACGATGGCGACGACGAGAACGACATTAACAATGCTGGGGAGTTTCTTAGTCCCGAGACCTACACGAATGCCGATGGGCACGTCTCACTCTTCGACTCCACCTGCGAGTTCTCCGTCCCATGCCACATGGGTCCCTCTCCAGATGGAAAGCACTACCGCAAGGTCGTGTCACACTTCTTCGGCCGCAACAAGGCTTCAACCAAGCTCTTTCCTGATGCTGTCTGGGTTCATTACTGCCGCAAGCACTATCAGCGAGCTCGTTACCGCGCTGATCAGTGGCCTTTCACCCAATGCGAGCTACTCCTTGAGTCTCTCACTCGCATGGAACAGTGGGATGGTGTGGAAAGTTTCGAGATCACACTCCGCCGCCGTGAAATAATTCGAGTCGAGGAGGAGGAGAAAGTCACTGATTCCAGCCCTGCTGGCAGCAGCAAAAAGGGAAAGGCTCCCGCTACTGCAGCGAAGAAGTCATCTTCTCGAAGCCTCGTCTCTGGCCGGAAGCTTCCACGGGCTGTTATTGCCCCTGTTCCTGAGTGGCTACGCGAATTTGTCGGGCATGGAAAATCTTTCGACGAGATTCGTGCCGTTGTCGAACGGATCCATCGCTACATGGCAGAAATGCGCGAGGAAGAAAAAGCTCAACTAGAGGCTCAGAACAACTCCGGTGAAGGCCCTAGTCGCAACGGCAAAAAGGGCAAGTGGCTTCCAACCAGAAATATCTCTCAGGATCACGAACGCGTGCAGGAGAGCCGTGCTAGGTTCCCGGATATCGAAATCCTGCCTACCTTTAAGCCATGGGTTCTTCAAGCTGCCCTGCGTCAGCGCGAACAGCGCGACACTGCGGTCGAGGAGGTTGACCAAGATGCGACTGAAGAGGATCCCGAAGCTCGAGACGAACAGTACAGTGATACTACTCAGATTGACCACGACAACGATGAGCATGGCCGAGAGGAAATGGGGATTGGCCGGACTGGGTTGAACCGTGGAAACTCTGCGAGTCAACGTCGTCGCAACGACAAATCTTTTGTCGCCATGGTGACTCGATCTGCCCCTCGCAAGCGGGTCCACGAAAGTCGTCAAAGTGAAGATCGCCACGGTAAACGTGCTAGACGTAGCCGTCTTTGATACTGGCCTTTTCACATATCATGCGAGGATTTCAACTCATCTGACCATGGAACTGATGAATCTTGGGTGAAATTTGAACGTCATTTGAAGTGTGGTCTGGGATATGAAAGAGGTTTGAAATGGATCGTGCGCTTTCGTTATGGTTGTGCTCAGATATGCACTAAAGCTCTTTAAGCAGCGACGAGATGCCTCATTTTTTGATGTCCAATCAGATGATGTGCACTCAAGCATGGATTTTCGTTTTTAATTTGTCCATTTGCGTACGGAGGCTCACAGAGCAACGACGATGCGCTTGTTTTCCATGTCAGTCATTAAAAGTTAAAGAAAACATATCCAAAAAAAATAGAAAATCAAATTGTTATTCTTATAACTTGGTCGGTGCCTCCATTCTGTAGTATGCATGTCTGGAAACCTATAAAAATGGCAGTACGTTTCACATGTAGATTTACGAAAAGTAGAGAGGCGGTGAAAGAGTAAAAGATATTTATGCAAATGGAAGAAATTCCATACATTGGAAAAGTATCAATCCAAGATTCGCTCATAAAGCACACGCAGTGTGTCCACTGTACAATATTTGGGAGGACAACCAAAGAGAATGGAATGAAAAGACATTAGGAAAAATTATGCAGGTGAGCATGGAAGATGTCATTTCAGTCGTTCGGGTCAATTTTCACCACAGATCAGAGTTTAACTGGCCACAGCCAGCTGAGCCACAAGGTCGGATGCGACATCTAAGAAAGGGTAGGGGCTGGTCACTTCTTTCTCTTTGTTCTTGAGGCGCTTGCTGATGGGGGTCCATTCTGTGTCACCTTGGGCACGGATCACATTCTGGTAGCCGTCGCATTTGAAATCAACCATGTAGTTGTTCTCCTCCAGCTGGTACAGCTGGATATCAACGAAGACCCAGACACCATGGGAAATACTCGGCAAACCGTTGTGTTGTGTGGCGGATGAGGGTGCAGAGGGTGCGCTGTTGTCCTTGTCTGATGTGGGAGACTTCACCTCCTTGTCCTCAAATGGAGTGGAGATGCCTGATATGTGGAAACGGCGACGCAGCTCTCCGAGGTCACTGCGGCTATTAAAGACACTGGTAGATGCTCCTGGGGCCTTGACTCCCTCTTTCAACAGACGTGCACGAATGAACCAAGGATCCTTGGGAATGTAGTAGTCTGATGGGAGGTCAGGGTATTTATTCTGGAGCGGCTTGGGTTTATCCGGGGAAGGTGTTGCGTCTGGCCCAATCTGAGTTCCTGACTCGACGGGCTGCACATCCCAAACACCCCCTTGAGCAGCAATTGCCCGATAAAGGTACAGCATGGCTTCATATGGCTGGTTCCGCGACCGAATACCAAACTGCCACTTGCGTGATCTCTTGGGAGGCTGCTGCGAAATTGGATGTCCAATAGGTGGTTCCAGGCGCAATTTATCGAGATCAATTATACTCCTAGCATGGGGCTTCAATGCTCGAACTGTAGCAGCTTGTTCTTCGGGAGAGAGCTCTCCATGTTGAGACCCAAGTCCCTCCGCTTCGTTCCGAGCAGCTTCTTTCCGACGCACTTCATCTACACGGGCCCTTTGCTCTCGGTCCCGTTGCTCCATGAGCTGTTCATGCACATATGGGAGGCTAGTTGGCAGAATTCGAACGTGGCTGGGACGAGGCTCTTCAAAAGAGTCAGAGTCCACTTGGGTCTCCTCTGTGCGGATACGACGCGAAATGCTTGCTTTCCGAGCAGCAACTGGGGCGGGTGGTGCTTGAGGTTTGGGTGCAGCGGTAGCTCGATCGACTTTGGGCTGTGCGGGTCCCTTAGGTTGCGGCAGTACGTTTGAAGCCATTAAATTATCTTCCGTGGGGGCTATGGCGACTTGGTTTAGAAATCTCCACGAATCAAAGGGCATGAAGGCGGGTACTCACAGTTGGTTTGCATCATTTCATTTTCAACCACGATCGAAAAAGCATCTTTAATTGCGCTGGGCTCTGGGTGTTTGAGCGCATCTTCAATGTCCTCACGGCCATATCCCATGCTTCGCTCGAGCTTCGACACAGCAATCTGGTGAACCTTGTGGTGCACAGGGACCGGCTTTCCAGGAGCAATTTTGTTGGCATCATTGGGCTTCCGTTCGATGCCGGGTGCAAGAAATTCATCTGACGGGGGTTCCAGATACTTGGGAATATTCTTGCTAAACCATGGGTCATCTCGAATCTCGGGGATGGTGATTCTGTGAACCGGGTGAACCTGGAGCATGGCCCGGATTAGTCTGGCAGCCCCGGGAGAGATGTAACTAGGAACATGGAAGTTGCCGGCGGCGATCTTCTTGAAGAGAGCAGGGATATAGTCGTCATCAAAGGGAAGACGGCCCACCAACAACACATAGAGAATCACACCGCAACTCCAGACATCCACCTCCGGGCCTGCATAGAGCTTTCCAGAAATAACCTCCGGCGCAGCGTAGTTCGGGCTACCACAGCTAGTCTTCAGGAAATTTCCATCTGTCATAATATTACTCAAACCGAAATCAGCGATTTTGACGTTTTTCTGGCTGTCGATGAGTAAGTTCTCGGGTTTGAGATCGCGGTGGACGATCTTGTGTCGGTGGCAGTATTCGACGGCACAAATAATCTGTTGGAAGAACTTGCGGGCTTCGTCATCGTTGCATTTGCCTTTTCGCACCAGGTAGTCAAACAATTCCCGTTCGGCGTACTCAAGAACCATCACAATATCGGTCTTCGTGGCGATAACGGTGTATCTAGCGGGGTAATCACCCGATCAGTCCAATGCACAACCAATTGAGATTTTCCGGGAATATCATACAGCTTGATAATATGAGGATGCCGAAGCAATTGAAGGTACTGAATCTCTCGTTCCACGCGACCGATCATGTCCCGGGACAGGAGCTTACGCCGGGAGATGATTTTGAGAGCAACCTGCCGGCCACTTGGCTGGTGAATGGCCAGCTTCACCTTTCCGAAGGATCCCTCACCTAGGATCTTGATCGTCTGGTATTGATCGAGGCGTTGCATGTCTCTCGTGGTTGCGGGAGACTGGGTGGCGCCCTCCGCTCTAGCGGTCGGGCGCGAAGGCGGCGGCATTGCCATGGCGGAGGGGTTGGAGCTGACCGACTTGCTGGTGCGGTCACGAGATTGTTCACGGTCGGAGGGAGCGAGGGGGATCGATAGATCTTCCTCATCGAAAGCGGCGGCCATGATGGAAGGACAACGTGACGTGATCGATTTTCTGGGTCGGGCCCAGCGGTCCGGGTTGCTGACTGTGCCGTGGTTTTCTTTCTTTTTTTTTTTGCCCTTAGAGCATCGCCAATCAGTCGGTCTCGAACCTCTCCACAATAGAGCCGAGGGTGGAGCGGAGACAGCTGGATTTTCTGTTCTCGAGGGGGCGGGGCGGCAATGGAGGGGTAAAGGATAGTTGCCAAGGGTTAGCCGAGATATGCGGTAGCCGATGCTCGTAAATGAAAAGTCCAAAGAAAGATGGATGAAGATGTGAAAGGATGCAACGAGTTCTGGGGGGAGGAAAAGTCTGGAGAGAGAAAAAAGCCGATGACGCTTACCGGTAGCTCTGACTGGGAGATTGGAAACTGGGGTCGGATCCATTATTCTGCCCAACCGAACAAGCTTCTTAAAATGGCTCAAGAAGTCCTGTGTATTCCAATCAAAATTATTCTAGACTTGCTCAATGATCCAGTGGCTTGGACTCGTATTTCTGTTTTCTCCCCAATTCTGGGAGCTGTTTCGCCATTTGTAAGATCGTGTGCAGCACCGACAGCAGAGCTCATATACCCCTAGAAGAGATTCCGTGGCCTAAAAAAGGTCACACTCAAACGCTTAATCCAGGACCAAAGGGTGCAATTATTGGCAATGGTCTAGATCACTGTCCGGTACCGCAATACAACCTCTCTATAGTCAGGGTCGCTTCAGTGCCTAGCAAAAATTTGGCTAGATTATTAGCCTCAAGCTTCCCAGAACCGCAATGCAAGTTTCATAGTCGGTTCTTCTCAATACTTTCAATGTTCCATAAGTATACAGCGATTATGACTTTCTTCGCTAGACCTTGAGATGTACCGTCATAACCGTAATAGTTGGAGAATCTCCACGGCGAGAGCAGCAGATTTCGTGACACGGGTTATCCATTGCAGAGCTTTATGGGCAGGTGGTATATCGAAGTTTCTCTGAGTTAAGTACTACCCTCATGTTTCCGTCTATCTAAGCTGTGGCTCCGTCTTTTAAATGCGGCCTACTAGATCCAATTATCTAGGCTCCGGAAAGATATGTTGTAATCGGATTTGAGCCATCCCCAAGAGACGATAAAATTCGTAGCCGATGAAAGGTCAAAGGGACTCCCGCACGGGGCTTTGAATTGTAAAGATTATTTGTGAACTACCGTCGCTAGTATGGAAAGACGCGAAGGAGATAAGGTAGACGGTACACATTTCACTGCACGTAGGACTCGGCATCTTCAAGTACGCCCTCGATGTCTTCACTTCCATTGAGCTATCGGTGACGGTATCTGAAGGTGCGTATAAAAATAATCTTGGAAGTACGGGTGTATGATATTCATTGGATTTGGGTTTGCTAGGTGACTAGGATCTAGATTTCATGACCACAATGAAGATACGAATGAGCTCGTGTCCCCTGTTAAGCCAGAGGCTGATATCATCCTCAACATGGCCTTGATTCATTCTCAAGTCTCACTGAACCTCGGTTGCAAGTAAATTTAGGGCTTGGCTCGATAGACCGGGGTTGTGGGCCGGTCGGGCGACTCGGGCCAGGGTTCAATCGACCCACAATCCCGAAAATCGGCCCGATCAACCCCACAATCCCGAGCCCTAAACTCGGACTTGGCTAGCGAAAGGTCCCGGTAAATCTTTGCCTGAGGGTCTGTTTTATCTTGCGCATAGGACTTAAAGTTAAAAGCAATACATTTAGCTTGTAGTAAGGCGGAAGTTCTATGGCATATTCCAGGGTGTTGGCTTCTCTCAATACGCTCGATATGATGAAGTACTAGTGTCTAGTAGTACATACTATATCCCTGTATCTCCTTTGGCGTCCATTGTCCTTTTGGCTATGGTACAAAGGCTTTTCTAAACCCTACAATGGCGAGTAAAGGTTCTTCTTCTAATTTTTCTCTTTTATTTTCTTTTCATCTTTCGTAGAATCCATGCTGAAGAAGCAAGTTAGATGAGAATGGTAATCCAACACAACTTCCTCTGGCCAGATGTGCTGCGCAGTGATAATTGGCTACATTTCATAGTCCCGGACTACTAAATTCTGGTCAGGAGTGTTCATGCTGTATTAAGGGCATGGACTATTTTCGCTCTGGTGTTATTTCAGTTGCCAATGGAGAGGGTGAAAAGTCATTGAGCGTGTTATTATTGTGGTTGGAAATACCAAGGCAGGGGTTTTCTCCATCGTAAGTGTCACCTTTCTCTGGATATTGATTTGTCTTACTCTCTCTCTCTCTCTCTCTCTCTCTCTCTCTCTCTCTGCATTCTTCACTTTCAACTTTTAACTGATAATAACACCGACAGGAAACATTCCCAGTATCCTCCTTTTATTCAACAAGAGATTGGTCGCCAAAAAATGGTGATGGGAATGGCCTCACAGCCCCCTGGAATTCAGCAAGTTGGTTACTTCTTAAATTCTGCGAATCAATACTAACAGATGAAGCCCACGGCTGCTGCTACGGCTACTCATTTACCAGCACCTGCCTCTGTCTACAATGGGCGTTATGACGGACGTTATTACAAATCCCCATTTCATAATCCATGCGTGCCGCTCTACGACGACCTCAGCTTAGTCTGCCGCGCCTTTGCAAGCTGCAACTTAACCTTCAAGTGTCCCAGAGTCGACCAAATATTCCTGCTCAATCACCTAAGGGAGATGGGCGAGTCTGAATTACAACGGGCGGAGGATGCCAATGTTGATTTCTCCAGCACACGCCTGCTTGTGGCTCGCAAAATTTACAGTGGCCGAGCCTGTGATGGGCGGTGGCTCACATCGTCTCTTGATGCTCCCGAGGTGGCAAATGTGTTCAACCACCCTGCTCATCGTCGGACCCTACGGGCATGCCCGGCATCGAGCGCGCCCAGAGCGACAAAAGCCGCCTCTTTCTGAGGCATCTCTATGACCCCGCTCTCGTCATCAAATACGACGGTACCTTCTCGACCGGGAAAGTGAAAGATCTGGACGACACGGTTCGTCAAGCCCTGCCGCCAATCACCTGGCCCCCTAAGCCGGCCAAATCCAAGCGAAAGAAAACGTCGGGCGTTACCATCGTCAAAGCCTGCATGACAACATGACGAAGTAGAGACGGAAGCCCTGACCGCCAAGATTCAGGCATAGAGCGCCAGGATCGATGTCCCGAACTCAGTAACATCATGCAGCCAATACTGGCTTCTTACATTGCGAAAATTGTACCTGGGAGCCGAGACAAATCTTCTTGCATACTACTTTCCAATCTCAGGGGACTACGGAATTGAAAGGGAACCGAATGTCCGACCGCGATCCCAGTCAGCCCAGATAAGGGCAAACGTTTGTGTAAGCACAATCAGTCAAAGCTCAATGTCCAAGGTGATCATGGTCGAGAACAAATGGGTCTCGAACTCAGCATCTGGAGTTCCACCGCCTAGTTGCTGGACTCTTGCAAAGTCTCAACTTTTGGGATACATGACATCCTGCCGTACCAATCAACCGACCTCCAAGACGCAGCAACCAAAACCCGCCAATCCTTGCGTCGCCTCAGCGAGGAAATCACCTACCTGGCAGAGGAAGACGGCATTTCTCCTCAAGCGTCCGACACTTTGTACGCAATCAGTGAAGACGTGGCTGGAGTGGCTAACACCGTATGAGTACCGTATGAGTATTGCGCACCGTGCGCGGTGCAGGTTTTCCGAGCTTTAGTCGCTGGGGAACTGGGTGCTCATTCGGAGCACTCTCTTCAACTATTTCGCTGGAAATAAGATTGGTGAGCTACTTCAGGCTTTTTTCGCAATTACCAAAGCATACTGCGATATCAAGACGAACCTAATTGCCGATGATGTTTTTTGGCACGCGATGCTGCACTGCTCATGAAAAATGACGAGGACTATCGCGCCATGATGATCAAATTCGATGACGCTATCGCAGATTGCAATACGGCCGATCGTGATTCAGCCGATCTGGACCCTCGAGGCGCGGCAATTGTGCAATTCCTTCTCTGCAGTTTCAAATTGCCAATGATGCAGAAGCAACAAGCGATCATTGAGGACATGGCCACTTTCCTGTCTACGCACAAGCTACATCAAGCAGGAGACGGGGTAAGCCTTACTTCCGAGTATGCTCAACGAGTATTGGCCCCTAATGCACGGATGTTGGGGGGACAGCTAGACAGAGGTGACGAGCGAGTCACCAGGCTATGGCCCATATAGAACGAAGAGAGTAGGCGCGAAGCGGGTTTTGTGATAAATTGGAACGAAAGCTTTACTGATTGAAGGCAAAGGGATTCCCCTTACTGTCTGTACTTGAGTTTTGTTTTGTGATTGCGTCTTGTTTTGTGCCTTTTTGCAGTGCGGCGAGGACGCCGCTGATTTTCAAAAAGGGGGCACTGTTACGGATCCTCTTGACCTGTGGAAGGAAAGTTTCGAGTAGATATGGTGTGCCATGTTCAGTCACAAAGGAAAAGAAATTTCCAACAGACGCAAGGACACTGAAAATGATACTTTTATTTCTATGCAAATCTGTACAACCGATAGCCCGCCAATACACCGACGAATGGTAAATCCAGCCGAAACTCCAAATTCATATTATAAGCATCATGCCTTCAACATGTCCAGGGCACCCTTTAGCTGATATGCGTTCTGCGCCATCTCAACCTCATCACGCACGCGGTAGTGCAACCGGTCCACCAATTTATCAACCTGGGCTGACTGGCCAAGGTTAGCCGAGTAGATATCCAGCAAGTTCATGGCAACTTCAACACAGAGATCGACAAGGCGAGGCTCACGAATGTGCTTGTAAACCCATGACAAGACTGGCTGAAGTGAGACCTCGTCACGGTCTTTGAGCGCAGCGCGTAAAGCCGAACGGTGGCGCAGTGCAGTGAATAAAGTGAGTTGTGCTGTCTTTTCGGGGCCACTGAGGACTTGATCCAAGGCAGCGGCGTATCGGCCCTTGCGCAAATCAAGCTCCCAGGTCTGTTCCCGCTTCCTCTTCTTGCTGTCCTGGCCCTCGATCACAATTTCGACGCCTTCTCCAATGAAATCACGGCCACGCAGCCGCTTCTCCCAGCCTGAGCCCTGAAGCTTCTTCTTCTTTGCCACTTGGCGATCGTGTTCCTCTAACTTACCCTCGAGCAGGGCCTGCATCTCCTTCTGGCGCTCACGATCCTTGACCTTTTGTTGACCAGATAGCCGGGTCTTGACAGAAAGGAGACCCGACTGCATACCGACAGCGATGTGCTTGTCCTCGTAAGCCAGACCGGAGGTGATAACGCGCAGAGATAAGATGGGGGATGGGTATTTAGAACCGGAGACAGCGTTCCAGCCAGTCGTCTCAAAGACCTTAAGGTGTCCATCCAAAGCACCACTGATAAGACGCTCCCCGTTGGACGCCAATGCAAGCGAGGTGACTGTCTTCTGGTGATTTTGGATCATGTGCAATGGCTTACCAGCCACGATATCCAGCACCGCAATCTTGTTATCAGCAGCAGCCAGAACGGTAGTGCCCGCCGGCATGGGCAGAACAGTCTCAATAGGGGCGGCCATCTTAAAGGTCATAGCCGCACGCCTCTGCACACGAGGATCCCAGATGCGAACTGTGCGATCATAGGAACCAGACACCAGCAATCCAGATGAGGCCATTGCGCCGGGCATGAAGGCACCACTGCGCACGTAATCGGTGTGTCCGACAAAGGTTCGCTGGCTGGTCTCGGCAGGCAGATCCCACAAGCGCACTGTCCGGTCGTCACTGCAGGTGAAAAGGGTCGTAGCGTCGCTAGGCGAGAACTTGCTCACCCAAACAGGCTGCTTGTGGTCTCTCCATGTCTTCAAAATGGCGCGGGATTTGACATCGAATACCTGGACCGTGCCTGTATCGTCACCGGTCACCAATACACGGCCATCGGGTCGCACATCTGTACCGCGTACTGTATCATCGAAGCGAGTGATGGTTCGCAGCAGTTTGCGAGTGTGAATCGAGTAGATCTGAACTCGGGCACCGGTGGTCACGGTGAAGATGTCCGGTGGCTGTGACAGGGAAGAGAAGACTGCAGAAGACGATGGAGCAGAGGGCTGAGTGATGAGACTGATAGGGCCATTGGCAGGCGACGGAATGAGGAGAGGGTTCTTGAAGGTGCGCCAGTATTGTTGCTCTGGTGTTAGGCGGGTGGATGGTAGCGAGGCGAGCTTCACCTGCTGCAAAGGCAAGACGGGAGCCGCCATGGTGAGCTATGTTACTCAATCACCGATTGAAAGTAGGACTTAATCTAGTAAAAGATAGCAGAGAAAGTATCCAAACGCGAAACTCGTGGCAGCGTGATCAAGAAGGTTTGATCTTTTTTCTGCCGATCAAAAAAGTTCATCCTGATCGGGAATGGCGGCGGTATCAAGCGACACCTGAGGCATCAACATCGATAATCTAAGGCATTAAGGCAGTCAGGCATCGAACATCGCGAACTGCAACCTTCCAAGGAACAAGTTGCGGAGATTTTTAGATACGTCATGGTCGCTTCCCATGGTTGACACATTCCATGCATCCGATGATATTCCTTTCATCAAAGTTGACGATCGAAAGGATTTTTGGTTTAGTATTTATCCTGTATAATAAACAACTTATCTTACAATGCATCGATATCGTCGTAGCCGATCGAGATATTCCCCTGTGATGTGTATATGTATCTTTCAGGCTCCTATTTAAATATATTTATATATCTATCCGCTTCAAATGGAGTCTAAAAGACTTCATTCAAGTATTAATAGAAATCAGCCTCGGGTGCGGAACCCGAATAATGGGGGCTTCCATAAACGGGGCTGTGAAGCAGGCAGCGACCAAAGAAGCACGGGATTGACAAGAATATTATCGATGGTTGTATAGTCTAGATCTGTCTCGCCTAGAATTAGCATACAGAGTACCTAGATATTCTTCTGCATAGGATCATTGGGGTATGGCAGCAATTGCGGTCACGCCCAAGCCAATATGTTTTGCCTGTCGCCATAGCAATCCACGATCAAGTGGGGTTGGCTTACATATGCATCTGTTCAAGCTTAAGAGTGGGGACGCTTGACAGCTGCGAGGCCTCGCAATTGAAACAAATTGAAACCGGATTCACTAATAACGCTATTGAAAAGATGACGATCACTGCAGGCCTGTCGCCAATCGTTGCACTTCCTGCCAACCTGCTACCCCTGTCCGCGTCGGAATGTATTGATCGGTGGAGCGAGGTGGCTGGGGGTTGATCAGAGCTGACGATGGTACTCCACTTGGAGTTTGGACTTTGAGACCGGGTTGGATGAGAGTAGAGTGAGAAATGGATATTTAATCTAAATCTCGTCTACTGTGATGACGAAATCCAGGAAGTAGTATTCCGAAGGTCGCGTTGCGTATACTTAGATGCAATGGAATCGATAAGGATTGTTTTTTATCAGTGTAATTTAAATCTGGTTCGGTATTGTCACATCGCTTGGATCGACCACATTTAAAACGGCTGATTCAGGGGTTACGCCCAATCAGATTCAAGAATGATCCGCCCCCAGCCACCAGCAATACTGTCTCTGACATTCCAGAAAAGCGGGCCCTTTTATCATCGATGAATTCCCCTCTCTTGGTCGATCATCTTTTTCTTCTTCTTTGCCATATCTCATGTTTTAACACGATATTTTGATATCATTGAACCATGGCAAAACTATTCAAGGGTAGTCATGCCGCTGGCATCTTTGCCGACATGTCTGTTGATGGACCCCAAATTGGCACTTTGGTGGCCATTATCGACCGCGCAAAGAATCTACCTAATCGCAAGACTATGGGAAAACAGAACCCCTATTGTGCTGCACGGCTGGGAAAGGAAGCCAAGAAAACTCCAACAGATATGCGCGGTGGACAAACACCTAGATGGTAAGCAAATAATAATGCATATGTGATGTTTGCAAGTAAATCAACTAATGTAAACACAGGGACCATGAACTCCGTTTCACAGTTCACCAATCTCCTGACTACTACAAACTCAAGGTTTCCGTGTTCAACGACGACAAAAAGACTGATCTGATAGGAGAAACTTGGATTGACCTGAACAACCTCATTATCCCTGGAGGCAGCCAGGATGACCACTGGCACCCACTGCAGTCGCGGGGCAAATACTCTGGCGAAGTTCGAATCGAGATGACATACTACGATACCCGACAACAGGATGAGGCAGTGATTGAGAAGCGAAAAGAAGCAGCGGATAGAGTTCAGGGCAAACCAGCAGCCATGACATCAACACCATCATCAACATCAACATCAAGCTCTGGCTTATCCGGTCCAAGGCAACCGAACACTGTAAAGCGACGACCACTGCCCACTGATCCAACAGGAGTAGCTCCTCCTAGACCATCTGTTCAAGAGCAGCCTCAGTCAGCCCCTTCATTGCACCACCCAATGCCTTCACGAACCATCCGGGAACAAGTTCAAAGCATGCCCACAGCTCCTGTTCCTGAGCCCGCACAGCCTTACCCCCAGAGACACCATTCAGAGCCTACATATGAGCCACATTATACTTCATCCCAATCTCGGACATACGATGCTCCTGATACCTATCAACGTGAATGGGAAGCGCCAGCCTCGGCACAAGTTCTCCCACCGGCGGGCATGATGAGGCATAACCCCACCCATGAACCGATGTATACCAGTCATGAGAACCCAGAGCCTGTATATGACTCGCGTCCACAGCAGCAGCCTCGCAGCCACTCTGACTTTGACCACTATCCCCCTCGAGAGTACCGCTCTGTATCACAAGAGCCAGCATTCGACACCGACATGCGCGGCAGGGCTCTTTATGAGCCCGCTAGACAGGGAGAGGAGATCTACAGTCCTCTATCGCCTCAGTATATCGCACCACCCTTGTCGTTTGGGCCGGTGTCAACATTCACACCACGTCAGTCCGCATACGCTGATGAGCCGGCACCTCTGAGTTATTCACGGCCGAGTTCATCATCAGGGCCAGCAGACGATCCTCGCTACCAGCCGCATGATATTCGATCATTACAACCCATGCGTCGCGAGGTTTATCATCCCGAGTACGCCACCATGCAGCCACGCGTGGAAGATGAGGATGAGGATGGGCCACCTCCACCGCCCCCGGTTCATCGGTCTCGGATGGCACAGCACGCACAACCAGTACAACATGTACAGCCGATGCAGCCAGCCGCCCCACCAGTCAGAGAGCATGCATCCTCATACCAGCCATACATACCAGGTCACTCTAACACTACGCCCCCCGTTCCCACCAGTCTCGTCGCTGGATACGAACCCGAAGAATTCCCTAATTATGATGACCGAAGCGGCCGTAGAAAAAGCGCTCTCTTCGACGATGAAATGATGATTTCTCACCCACCAGGACCGGGCGCCCTCGTGCCTGTTTCCAAATCTGCGCAAGCACCACCTGTCCCTTACGAATCTCCCATCTACCCTCTCCGTACCTCTCCACGGCCTATAGACGAGCGGCCGACCTCCAGCCGCGGTGGATCCACGGACATGCGAATGGTGACACGAAAATCCGTCAGCCCCCGACCTTCAATCTCAAGTGACCGTGAACGCCCCTCTTCGACCCCATTCTCGCCTGACTCATACAACCTAATCAACCCGAATGCTGCGCGTTCTGCCACTAACAGAGATCCTACGCCTGCATACGACTCGCCAGCTCAAGCCAGGGATGCAGTACTTCGCGCAGAAATGGAACCCATCCGGGACCTTAGCCAGCCTATCATCGGGGATGATGGCCGAGAGATCGATCCATCAGATCATCTTCCCACGGACACTTGGGCTCCAGAGCCAGAACGGAAGAACCGCAAACCAGAAGTCATCATTCGCTTCAAGCATTCGCCTCGAGACCGGCCCACTTCCCGCGGCAATGATACCACTTCAAGCAGCACTGGACCACCTCGCGTGGGTTTCAGGACGGAGACTACTTCATACAACTCCGATCGTAAGCGGTACACACCGAGTCATTCCCAGCCCAGTCCTGAACCCGTGGGAACACCGCAGCGAGGCTATGATAACTATGGAGGTAGTTACACACAACCCCGAGGCTACAGCACACCGACATCCACTGAACGGCCCCGCTCCTCTCGTGGCTCCGTTTCACCATCTCCTGGTTCTCGCTCCCCATTGTACGACTACAGCCCCGGTCCACCAATCCCTAACAAGGTCCCAATTGCCCAGGGCTCACCAAGTTACCCCGTGGCTGCCAGCAATACCAGCAGCGGGAACCCTGGCATGGATGCCTTAAGTCGGGAATTGAAGAGCATTGAGATCGGCTCAGCCAGTTGTAGCCCGAGTCGTGCTGTTCGGAGATACGCACCACCTCGTCAGTCAGCATCAATCGGGTATGCTAGTTAAAAGAGATTGTACTTTGATGATATATGTGCGGCTACGTCTTTTCCTGTGTTGACACTTTTTTTTCCCTGATACTGATGTTCATGATCTGGAATTAGCATTTGATTATCGTTGAATATCCGGCATGGCGGCGTTATGATTTGTTTTTGCTTCTCGTTTCTATCATGTTTTTCCATACACCTTTGGCCCAACGATGGCTTCGAATATGATCGATCCCTGGGTGTTGACCCACTCGCTTAATACTTATCCCTGTCATTTAGCGCTTAACTTAGTCGTAGGCGATGGCTTCAATTAGGACAAGATAGCCGACGCTGTTAGCCGACATGACAAGAACTAGTTTGTCATAATTTAGCTTATCAAAACCATATAACCAGATCTTAACTGCCGTTGATCGGCAATCCGGCCCTCCGTAGTTCCTCCGTAGGCAATCTCCGCCGCAATGAGGGGACACGACCAATCCCGCAGCAGATCAATATCGCTTATCAAATTTCCCCGCCTTTTATAACTTACAAACGCCCAACAAGTCGCAACTCATCTAAAAAAAAAAAAAACACAGCCAAACCAAAATGTCCGGCCTCACAGACGCCCAAGTGGCCTTCTTCCACGAAAACGGCTACCTTGTCATCCCAGACTACCTCAGTCCAACAGAAATAACCTCTGTCCTAACCGAAGCCGACACCCTCCTCAACAACTTCGACCTAGACACCCACCCCCTCACCCAATTCACCACCGGTGATGATGATACAACCGACCACGTAGGCGACGACTACTTCCTTAACTCCGGCGACAAAATCCGCTTCTTCTTCGAGACAGATGCCTTCAGCAAGGAACCCGACCCAGTCACGGGCCGCGCAGCCCTCCTCAAACCCAAGAACCTAGCTGTGAACAAAATCGGCCATTCACTCCACACCCTCTCCCCGGCATTCAAGTCGATCTCTCTGAACGAGCGCAACGCATCCATCGCACGCTCACTGGGCTTCGTCGATCCCCGCGTTCTGCAAAGCATGCTCATCTGCAAACAGCCCTCTATCGGCGGTGCAGTTCCCTCGCACCAGGATTCAGAGTTTCTGTACACGGACCCGCCCTCTGCAGTGGGGTGGTGGTATGCGCTGCAGGATGCGGGACCGGGTAATGGAACACTGGCTATGAGCAAGGGATCGCACAAGGGTGCGAATGGAGGACATATTAAGAGGCGGTTTGTGCGGAAGACGACTGGGTCTGGAACGGAGTTTATTGAGAATGAGGGACCTGCTTTGCCGAAGGGGATGGAGGAGGAGAAGGTCTCTGAGCCTTCGGAGTTCGAGGTTTTGGAGATTAAGGCTGGTTCTTTGGTGCTTATTCATGGGAATGTGCTGCATAAGAGTGAGAAGAACACTAGTGCGCGGAGTCGGTACGCGTATACCTTCCATGTTATTGAGGGGGCAGAGGGGTGGAAGTATGATGAGCGGAATTGGTTGCAGCCGCCGGAAGGTGGGTTTTCGAAGCTGTATCAGTGAACATTAGAGGTTATTCAAGTTCTGGAACTTAATTGAATGTACATGAGTGATGAGTCAAGGTATTTACATATGTATTTGTTGAAAGTTATCATTGAAATGCCATAAGTATTCATATATCCTTGCCAGATAATATGGTGTAAACAGTGACGATGGAACAACCACGATTTGTGGTCCTCTATCGAGAAATCGTGCTGTTTTCATATAAATATTCCATTGTAGGGTATCGAAAAAATAATATGCTGGACAGAAACATGTCGAAACACTCGAATGAATCTCATGACAAAATACTTACGATCTACTCGCTACAAAGGTCGGACAAATAATGAAAGGAGTGATTGCATTCTGTACATCGGAGATTGTTTTTACATCGAGAACCCAACGCCATTCCTCAAAGGGCAAAGTATTTTGTTTCTCCAACAGGAATTAATACGAAAGAATTAAATGAAATGAACGAATCAGTGCTGACTCCACTCAATCGTGTTCAAATCAATACCCTCCTGGACCAACTCCCAAAGCGGGCTCAGCTCACGCAGGAAGTCCACGCGTTCCCGGACGGCCTTAATAACGTAGTCGATCTCGGCATCGGAGGTGAAACGACCAATACCAAATCGGATACTGCTGTGAGCGCTCTCGTCGCTGCTACCCAGGGCACGCAGCACGTAGCTGGGCTCCAGCGAGGCCGAGGTACAGGCACTTCCAGAGGAGAGAGCAATGTCCTTGAGGGCCATCAGAAGAGACTCGCCCTCGACGTAGGCAAAGGAGATGTTCACACATCCGGGGTAGTGAGCCTTGGGGTCACCATTTAGGGTTGTGTGCTCCATGGAGAGCAATTCTGAGCTAAGGCGCTTCGACAGGCGCTCAACGTGTTTTGTATCGTACTGTAGGAGTAATGTTAGCCCTCTGTTACCATTCAAAAGTAAAAAAACAAATAGCCATATGACCAGAACTTCATCACCCCTGCACATGGTTCATAGATCCTGGGCATCATTCCGCGAGGGAATGTAGCTACCACCCAGAACTCATACATTAAACGCAGTATTTAATCATAACGCAAAGGAACGAGGGATCATGGTTGTCTTACCTCCATATCTTGAAGGGCAATGCGGCAAGCCTCACCGAATCCAACGATCAGATGAGGGGCCAGAGTACCACTGCGCAGACCACGTTCCTGACCACCACCGGTGATGAGCGGGTCCAAACGAACACGGGGGCGACGGCGAACGTAACAGGCACCAATACCCTTGGGACCGTAGATCTTGTGACTGGAAATAGACATCAAATCAATGTTGGATTTGTTGACATCAAGCGGAATCTTGCCGACGGCCTGGGCACCGTCAGTGTGGAAGAAGATCTTCTTGGAGCGGCAGAGGCGACCAATTTCATCCAAGGGCTGGATAACACCAATCTCATTGTTGACAGCCATGACACTGACGATGGCGGTTTCCGGGCGCATAGCAGCCTCGAGATCCTCCATGCGGATAAGACCATTGCTCTGAACCGGCAAGTAGGTAACCTCGAAGCCCTCATCTTGCAAGTGCCGGCAGCTGTCAAGGACACACTTGTGCTCGGTCTGGGTGGTGATGATGTGCTTCTTCTTGCCGGAACGGCCAAAGAACCTGGCCACACCCTTTAAACTCATGTTGTTACTCTCGGTCGCACCGCTGGTGAAAATGATTTCCTTAGGGTCGGCTCCGATCAGCTTAGCAATGTGCTCACGGGCCTCCTCAACGGCCTTCTCAGACTCCCAACCGTAGGCGTGTGTTCGCGAGTGCGGGTTTCCGTAGATGCCGGTGAGGTAGGGAAGCATAGCGTCAAGAACGCGGGGGTCGAGAGGGGTGGTGGCCTGCATATCGAGATAGATAGGGCGATCGCCCTGGTCCATAACAGTAGCCTGCTTAAGGATACCAGCGGATGGGCTCATCGCAGAGTCGCCCGAGACCGCGGAGCCGGGTAGTTTAACACTCCCCGGGGTAACTCCGGTCTGCTTCATGAACGACTTCTGCTCCTCCTTGATAGCAGTTTCGACGTTGACCTGGGCATGGCCAGCCTTGGTCTCGGTGACATAGGAGCGGGTTCCGCGGAAACCAGTGGCGAGAACGCGGCGAGGGGCACTGCAGGACGATGACAAGCGCCTGGAGCAGGCCAAAGAGGCCTGTCTCCAAGCAGCGGTAGCGGTAGGCATTATGGTGATTATGATGGAGAAAATACCATCAAGATGAAAGTGAAAGAGGGTATGCCAACAGTGACATTTTCCACTATCTCGGGGAATTCCTGTCGGAGATAGGAGGTCATGTGATCTCTCCGAAATTCCAGCTTGTCTCCTTTAGACACGTGACCTTCCATGACCAATCTCTATCTTCTCGTATTCAATTGGAGACTAAGTAGATACCGAGGTAGACATAGTCATAGTATAGACGATTGAGAAACATGTAGCGTGGAACAATGTGTGTGGGACTTTGATCATTAATATCTCATTTTGAGTATATCATATGATCTCACCTCTCGGCATACGGAAATGCGGCATTTGGTACGCATAACTATTAAGCCACATGAAATAAATCATTTCAGCCACTCTTATTAATTACTCATAGGGCTGGAAATGGAACGTGGAGATCAGGTTCCATAGTTTCTACCGGATGATGCGCCCGAGGGCAAACTCTGTAATTCTGGAGCCTGCGACACCATTAGGCACCAAGTATAACGACTATCAGAATAATAAAAAATGAAGAGCCAGCTCTTTAGCCAAGCCACAATGAAACACCTTACGGTCTCAATCGGGAGGAAACCAACTCGATGTGGTATAGTTCCGTAGAGTAAAAGTTAGGTACAGCCACAACTCTTCAAGGTGGGAGAAGTCTTATGTCATAGTTGACGTGAAAGTTGGGAACGGAAAGGCCGAACACCCCGCCTTGATCTTTTGACCTTCTCTCCAACTCTTTCCTACTCTAATTCTCTTCCCTTTCCCAGAAACTATTAACCATGAGTTTCAAGGGCTTTTCAAAGAGTCTCGCCCGAGCACCACAGCAATTCAAGCTCAAATTTAACATCGGTGAACACACTGTTGATGCCGTCTACAGCGACTCCGAGCGCCGCTTCCAGGAGCTAGAGAAAGAAACAAAGAAGCTACATGATGAATCCAAGAAGTACTTCGACGCTATTAATGGTACGCTGCCTTCATCCGGCACAACCCGAAGTCTATCTCCTTTCGAGGACCTCACAGCTGATTCACCGCACCAGGGATGTTGACCCACCAGATCGAATTCTCCAAATCAATCGCCGAAATTTATAAGCCCATCTCAGGCCGAGCTTCCGACCCCAACTCATATCAGGATGAAGGAAACACAGCGGGAATCCAGGCCTGCGAGGAGTATGAGGCGATCGTACGGGAGCTACAGGAGGCCCTCGTGCCCGAGCTGGAGATGATCGAGGCCCGAGTGATTAGCCCTGCGGATCAACTCCTTGAGGTCATCAAGATTATTCGCAAGGTGGCTACTAAGCGCGACCACAAGAAACTCGACTTCGATCGCCGGAACGCTACGCTCAAAAAGCTGGAGGAGAAAAAGGACAAATCCATCAAGGATGAAAAGGCTTTGTACAAGGCGGAGAATGACGTGGAGGTGGCGACGCAGGAATACAATTATTACAATGACCTGCTCAAGGAGGAGCTACCGAAGCTATTCACTCTCGAAGCGGAGTTCATCCGCCCGCTATTCCAATCCTTCTACTACATGCAACTCAACGTTTTCTACACCTTGCACGACAAGATGCAGCGCATGAATATCAGTTACTTTAATCTCGACCTGGACGTGGAGGAGGCTTTTGAGCAGAAGCGTGGTGATATTCAGGAACAAGCTGAGGCTTTGTCGATCGTCCACTTTAAGGCACAGGGCGTCCGTCGCTCCGGTTCCAAATTGCATCCCAAGCTGGCTGAAAGTAAGCGTGGGAGATCTGCTTCCAACGTCGATGAGCACCCTCCCCCACCTTACTCAGCTGGTACCTCTAGCCCAACGGGCAGCTTCTCCTCGGCCGCCAAGGGCAAGCCAGCCCCACCACCCCCAAGAGCGAAGCCCGCTCACCTCAGCAAGCCTGCCGAAACGGCCATCGCTCTTTACGACTACGAGGCACAGGCCCATGGCGATCTCGGATTCTCGACAGGTGATGTGATTGAGATTATCCAACGAACCGACAACACAAACGAGTGGTGGACTGGGCGGACCGGTGGCCGTGAAGGACAATTTCCTGGTAAGTACTACACCTGTATGCTCTTTGGCCTGTGTACTAATTCTCAATTTTCAGCCAACTATGTGCAACTGAATTAGGATCGGCGTAGTATTTTGATATTTTGGGGTTTATTCCTTGTTGTTACCTGCTCTGGCGCATATTGCCTTTACATAGAGCGTTCTGTGTGTAAATAACCTTCGTTTCGCTAATTTCAGCTCCATGGTTTGTTATATCTTGGCGGCATACGTGCTGCTTGAACTATCCGTGGACTTGCTTTCTGGTTGCTTTATATCTGATCAGGATATTTTGCTTCCGCTCATGTTGGCATTGCAACTTTGCAGACCATATATCTCCATCTTGAACATTATCCACTATCGGCCATTACCCACCTTCATTGGATGTCTTGCGTGTAAATAAATCACCTCGAACTTCTACATTAGAGGTGGGTCAGTCCAGTCCTTTTTGGCCCCCATGAAAAGCGGGGGTCTCGTACAGAAACATCGAACCAACGCGAGTCCAGCGCCTCCCGTCGAACCTATTATACCTTTTGAACTGAGCCACACTTCTTAGCGGGTGATCGCTGCTTCATTGGAATGACATCATCTCGGCCTGAATAGGGATAAAAATAACATTATCAAGGAAGCACTGCATACGACGTTACGAAGCCAATCAACACTGCAGTGGTATCCTGACATACATGCCGAATGGTGCAAATGGGGCCAAAGAGATACTGCAGATGGCCCCTGCATAACTAGTGGCCTGAACTTGTCCTAGGCTTACTGTACGGATGTTCAAAATCGGTCGAAAGGGCCGAGGAATGTATGGATGCTACAAGAGGTTTGCCATGTGGCAGGTAACCAGTTCGTTTGTATCATGTAAGTATGAGAGTGGCCAGCATATTTGTTTTTTTCTCCAATTTCTAGTTTCTAGTAACGGGGGGGAAATGTGGGCTTGATGTTCATGGATATCATATTTTCAATTTATTCTTTGGAGTTCACGGATGTAGACCGATTAGAGGATAATTCTATCCTGTTCTGAACCAGGATACCACCTTCGGGTCTTTCTTTCAAGTAGAAACTGCCTCTGTTGTGCTCACTAGCCGGAGACCATACATGAGCATTGGTCTCAGTGATAACCAAATTCTGAAAAGAGTCTCTGGGACCACTACTGGCTCTTGTAGTTGAGGTTGGCCTCTTCAGAAAAGGCACACTTCGATTTCCGTTCGTGCTTGAGCCGTAATACTTTTCTCTTAACTCCGATTCTTCGGATTCGTCGGATGTAAGACCCCGTTTTCGCATGAGATTGGTGAACAGACACTCGGACGGTGGAAGACATGCACAGACAATTCCCATGGTTGCTTCGACGACCGTAAATGTGATGAAATTGGTATTTGACCACTTGTATCAAGTTAGCTATCATTTTCGCAACTGGTGGGAGGAGGTTCTCATACAGTCACATCTTCAGTATCCGTATCTCGGAAAATCATCACAATTCTGGCAATCCCGCAACCAATCGTAAAAGCACCGAGGAAAAACACAGTTGATATTGCAACCTTCCGTGGGGGCTGCATTTTGAGACTCCAAAGAATCGGCAAAGGGAGAAACAAAATAGCCAGGTCCGATGCAGTGCTCAGGATCTGAGGTATAGCCATGTATTGGTGTCTGTGGGGCAAACATTTTCCAGCGGGAATTGAGTCACCATAGTACACCACGTAGGATTTCCAGTAATTATTGACAGGGGAGCATTGGAAAATGAAAAGGAATGTTGAGGCAGTTCCTAACATAATCGCATACAATGCGTTGATCCATATTGCGACATGGAACCAGCGAGGTTGTATGGGAAGTAGACGCCGATATAGTACAAGAATCGATAGTTTGATAAAGGTGAGACCGGCGGCCCAGAGGATGGTGACTATCCAATGATTCTGTTTGTTTGGTTAAAAGAGGTGCTCAGAAGCTCAGACGTACAATTGACTGACAATGTACACATGTTGTAATCCATATGGCGGGTTGCTGTCCTCGTGTAGAACGCGAACCTGGTGAAGACCGGCTCCAGCTTTCAAAGAGAAAATAGACGCGATGAACTCGGCATATACTATGAGCTTAACAGCACTTGTGATGTTAGATCTTCAAATGTTAAAAAATGTTGGTGAGGACCTTGGAATGGGGAGATAAATGGACATGGCATACCAAGGCGATGAGTATGAAAAGGTCATCCAGTGCCCAACTCCTTTTGGATACCCGTTGCGAATAAAGCCTCACTATAACAGCGACAGTCGCCGCAAAAGTCGTAATCGCAATAGCGGCATATTGCTGTGGCCGTTCATCTTCATCCCACTTTGCCATCTGAGAATTATATTCCTCGCTTCCCAGCTTAGGCACATACTGATCCGTGTATGTCATGATAGCACCAGCCGGTACTCCACCGACAGATTTGCATAAAGACCAATCGCACTCCAAGAATGCAGTTGACAAACTATTATACGAAGGGTCTCCTTTCAACCAAAACAAAATATCGGCATGAAAGGAGGAAAAGCCCAATAGTTTATGTGAAAGATGACAGGTGGATCACGGTCAGATCATTCTGCACTCTACTTCGGGGGATTTGGCTTTAGCCCCCAGTATACCCCGCTGACACAGTGCCAAGAAATTAGTAGATGATAAGCAAGGCAATTATGCAGCAATGAAACTCTCTCTGCATGTGGGCCTCAGATATGTGAGCTGTGTTGTCAGAAAGTGGCCCCCATGTAGTATGCGTCACCTAGCGTCCACGTTTCTGGGCCACGCTTCGCGGGCCGCAGACGCTATAAACTCTAATGCATGCCAATCATGGAGTCTAGTGGATCTGCGTAAGCGGAAATTCGTTTTCACTGCTGTGTGATGTGGCTTGAGAATTGTCCTGCTCTCTAGCCACCTTTTGGAATAGCCAGAATGTCAGAAAAGATTTACCTTTAAAATTCTGCTACTAAAGGTGGTTCAAATCCCCCGCGATAATTCTGTTGAAAGGGCATTTGGTTTTCTTCTAACAATTTCTTACAAGGTGTGCTTGGGGGCGAGGGGCCGAGCTCGTATTATTCCCACCAGCCTGCATTGCTCTTTTGCGAATAGACTCTCAGACTGTTAAGTCTTTTGTTCTAAGGTTTATCATTGCATTTTGTCCTTGACTAGCTGTCAAATGTTGATTTTTATTTACGCCTTGGCGAAACACTCTAGTCAACGGTGAACCTTGCTGACTTGAGACCCAATCCTTTTCAGAGAAAAATCAATCTCCGACATTGTATTCCCTGAAGACACTACATATTATACTATAGAAAGTGGTGCAGTAGCTGATATTTCATTTGGTTTTGTCGCTGGAGTAGAGATATTGCCGCTTGACATGGGTATATGAACACCCACCAAATCTAACCCAGGGTTCCAATCTGAAACAACAAGGGAGCTACAATAGAATCTTAAGAATCTCTAGTAAAAGACAACCCGAAAGCGAAAACTGCCTTTTGCACACGCTGGGTGCCCGTGCTTAGACGCACAGTGAGCTGCAAGCCCAATATGGCAAGAATAGTCGGTGTGTAGCGCCTGATTGCTTGAAGTCGAACCCGACTTGACGATTGGTGGTGCATGACGTGAGATTTATCAGTAGGTTTTATTGAGCGATATTGAGTACTTTTGCTTGTCCACCGCTCGCTTCCTCTACAGGATCATAATCAGCTGAGTAAAACTAGTAAATCAATCACTACTGGTAATCTATCTAATATAACTTTACGTTATGATCAACGTTCGAGTGTACTTTTCTTTGTCAAGCTTTTTGTGATCAAGGTGAAGGCTTCGACAATATTGGCTCAGTGTACACAATGCCATGTAAAAAGTCGTAGGACAAAAATCACTGGGCATATTAGTCGCGATGTCATCGAGTTGCACATAAAATAATATTTCCAGGCTTGGACAATATCTGGTGAAAGTGGCTAGGCCTTCTGGACAAACAGTAGCTTGATCAAAATGCAGTTTTGTAATTCTCGAGTTTCGTGGCAAAGGAGGCCTAGAAGTCTCAATCGCATATGTTCCATCATAGCAGATTTGAGTTGTGGAGAACACAAAGAGATGAAGGTAAGATGAAGGTAAATCGCTTGCAAAAGTTTCCAGCAGGTTCAACCTTAATAGATTCATTTGTTGTTGTTCCCGAATCATCAGAATTCTAGGTCTTCTAGCCCTAGTCTGGATTGGAAGGGCTATTCCCTCTCTAATGATTGGTCTAGCATGCCGCCTAAGAATCTCCCATCATCCTATACAAACCAGAGCGACCTTTTTCCTTCAAGGGATGGCATCAACACTGCAAGCCAGGCGTCCGGGTGTCCTTTGAGCAAGTTTTGGTCCTATCTCCGGTGATAATTCGTTCGATCTTTTAAAACCTAAGGATTTTCATGTGATGACGGGAAGCAGGAGTACAGTCAAACGAGTTTGCAAACATAAAAAAATGGTATTGGGTAGTATTCACATGTCAGATATGAGATAAGAATAACTAGGTTGTCAGAAACTAGGCTCACCACGTAGAAATTTAAAAATAACAAGATCCTGCAGAAAATAAAATCCTATCCTCCATATCTCGCTGACTTTCAGAAAGTTGCAGTATCAGCACACCTGTTTACACAGGGGAGTCGCTTTGATGCATGCTGCTGATGGAGATATCATGTTCCACACAGATACCGAGAGGGGCATCGGAGGATTCTGAATACTTGGATCGAATTGGATTTCCGTAGCAAAGAGTCTGTCCGACGGTGCTGCCAGTCATTTCGGTTGCTGTTTGCTTGCTTTGGGTAGGACTCTTTCCATAGAAGGCAAGTGCCTGCCACAAGTTCCGATTTTGAGGAGTTACGGAGTCGCCACGGCGAGGTTCGAGGGTAGCGCCAGCCCAGAGAGACGAGAGTGGAAGGGATATTGTAACGAGAGTAAAAACCATGCTAGAGAGTCCAGGGAGTAACACAAAGTATTGGATGATAGTGCAGATAGTAGGGACAATCAGGGTCTGGCATCCACAGATGAAGATGGCTTTCATGGGGCCGAAGTCTCGGACCCCGAGCCGGCGTCGTTGTCGGATCGCAAAGCCCAGCTTTGTGACAAACACTGTGCAAAAAAAGCAGATGCTGATGGTGATGACAATTGTTGTGGCGCTTTCCAGCCAATGGATGTCAGCGAAGGACGAAACATTGACGATCTCAATGCAGTTCATGACCATCCACCCCGCGCGGAATCCAATGGGGACCAGGGCCATCACGATAGAAAACACAAACAGGATCTGTCGGTGTCGACGGCGCAGGGTTGCGCAGATCACGTGGACTTGGAAGACAAGCGAACATTCGAAACATATGACGGTAAGGCTCTCAAAGATGACAGCGACGACTGACAGCGCATAAGCACTAGTTTCGACCTCGGAATAATCACCTGAGACAAATGCATAGACCCTTTCAAACCCGGTTGTGTAGTAATTGGCCTGAAATAGCAGACGAAGAAAGTTGAAGATCAGAGCCAGGGAATTGAGAATGAAGATGACCGAGCGACGTTTATCACGACGAGTGAGAAGGACCATAATCACAAATAGTACAACTGTTGCACCCAGTTGGGATCCATAGTCGATACATCTCTTGATGTTGTACTGGAAGAATTGATCCAGCGACGGAAGAGAAATCGTAATTGGTTGTTTGTCCTTACCCAGGAAAGTGACGTTCTGTTGCTCAGGATTCCACGAAGCCATCTTTGCGAAATGAAACTGTTTCAATGTGATAGAGTAGAAGTTGGTGTCGAAGCTCCGAGCGAAAAGGTTTGTCGAAGAAAGGGCTCCGAATAAGTCTTATACCAGGAAGCATCATTCACTCCAATGTTGATATTTTCGACAGTCGGGAGGCATGCCTGATCAAGAGGGTTTAATTGTCTCATGGTGAGGAAGGCCCGAGACAGACAATGAGCTAGAGATTATTCTGGTTAGAATTGGCGAAGTTGGTGTGAAGGAATGAATTCAAAGGGGGAAGAACAAATAAGAACAATACTAAGCGGAGAGCTCAGAGAACAATACTAAGGGTGAACAAAGGGACCCGAACATCTCAATATTACTATCTCTGGTCACCACATCCAGACACGAACAGCCAGACACACAGATAGATCCAGATCTGATACATAACGATCATGATGATCACATTCCTCTTCACTTAACTCTGTGATCTATTTTACTTATGCGGTCGAGTGGGGGATGAGACGTCTCCTCTCCCCACTGGCACTTATAGTTAGAAGTCGACACCTGACCTACGTGGCAAAAATCAGGTGAAACTTCGTGCCAACTTTATCAGGTGTCGAGTTACCCACGTGGCTCCAAACCTTAAAGTATTCTCTTGCAAATCAAAGTTGCAATAGTTGACAAAATCCGAGCCGTAAGCATTCCTTTTCTCTGTGTTATCGGGCAAATGAGTCTCCCAGCTCCCTGCCTGAGCAACAATAAATTCATGACGATAACTTCGCCCACCATTCGCAATCCAGCTTATGGCAGACATAGCTCCTCGCTCTACTAGATAATCAGATCTGGATTGATGGTGGAGCTCATGAGTATTTATCAGACTTTTAACTCAACATCTTTCTTCTGTTCGCAATTTACATGAGTATACTTTCGCCTACAGAGACGTATACGTATGCGGAAACAGTAGATATGGAGTTCTGATATGGAACATGTACTTAGACCTGGGGAAGCGAAAGCGTATAGTCATTACGAAAGGTTAGTCCCATGATTGTTCATGTATGTACTCTTCTAACCGAACTAGAATTATCGTACCACGGCAGATGGCAATACACTTGCCTTGGCTCAGGGCTATATAGCCTCACCCGTGGACGTCATCGTCAGTTCTGGAGGCCCTCGCGTTGGGCAGAGGTTCAGATTTTGCGGTTAATTGTCTCAGAAATGCAAGTACATACGTCTACTTCTTACTTCGTACAGAATGGCTGAAGAATGGCTGAAGATAAACCGATTATGTAATTCATTCTTCTTTTTGCCACAGTGATATCACGCATTGCCTAATACCTCAAAGCAATTCCCATGTTCACTGTTTCCAAAACCAGTCAAGGTTTCCAATTCGCTAGTCTATAGAATATATGCACTGGCCCCTCTTCAAAAATCATTAGCCGGAGTATATATTCCGTCGACGACCAACTGGGCATTGAGTGGATCCTCGGGGAGGAATTAAACCGGTCGGCACGGGCTCGGCGACTTTGATCGTTCCAAGGTTTGAGGTGCAAATAATGAATAAGGATTTTTTGTGCAGGAAATTTTAAGTGCTGACTATAAATTTGAACGAATCAAAGTACAGATTCGACACAAGTCCATCCATTTCCCGGCCCTGGTCAGCCACAAACATTAGAAATCAGCCACTGTACCCAATAGATTCTCTCCTGCGGAGACTTTGGGCGGATTCTATTCGTGTCAATTGGAAAAGTTTTTTGGGGCTTAGAAATCAGGCTTTGGGAAGGAGTAGACTATATAACATGGACAACATGATCCCTGTCAATCACACCGTTTATTCATAGATTACCTGCTTATTTTCTATTTCTATTTATTTTAATATTTATATATCATCATGACTTGGCCCGATGTTCCTGTCAAGCCCGCCGAGGGCATCTCTTACTTCACTCCTGCCCAGGAGCCTGCAGCTGGCACTGCTCGCAACCCTCAGACCAGCGGCAAGGCCATTCCGAAACTGTTCCAGCCCCTGACTATCCGAGGCAAGACCTTCCAAAACCGTCTGGGTGTAAGTCAATTTCGTGGAACATGTTCCAAATCCAAATCCGAGACTGAGACCGAGTACTAATGAGACATAGGTCGCTCCCATGTGCCAATACAGTGCCGACAACGGCCACATGACCGCCTGGCACTTGGCTCACTACGGTGGAATTGCCATGCGTGGTCCAGGAATGATCATTATTGAAGCCACCGCCGTTGTTCCGGAAGGCCGTATCACTCCCGGCTGTGTGGGTCTGTGGCAAGACTCCCAGATCAAGCCTCTGAAGGACGTGGTCGAATTTGCCCACAGCCAGAACCAGAAGATTGGTATCCAGCTCGGTCACGCAGGTCGCAAGGCCTCGACCGTTGCCCCCTGGGTGGGCGGTGTCACTGCTACTAACGCTGTCGGTGGCTGGGTCGAGAACGTCAAGGGCCCCAGTGCGATCCCCTTCTACGAGGGTGCTATTATCCCCAAGGCTATGACCCTGGAGGATATCCAGGAGGTCAAGGATGCTTGGGTTGCCGCCGTCAAGCGTGCTATCGCTGCCGGTGTGGACTTCATTGAAATTCATGGTGCCCACGGTTACCTTATTTCTTCCTTCCTGAGCTCCTCCTCGAACACTCGTACCGACCAGTACGGTGGCAGCTTCGAGAACCGCATTCGTTTGGCTCTTGAGATCGCCCAGCTGACCCGTGACAATGTCGGCGAGAACATGCCCGTATTCCTGCGTGTCTCGGCTACCGACTGGCTGGAGAGCACTCCTGAGGAGCAGGGCTGGAGCTTGGAGGACACTGTCGAGTTCGCCAAGGCTCTCGCTGCTCAGGGTGCCGTTGACCTGATCGATATCAGTACCGGTGGTGTGCACATGGCGCAGAAGATCAACGGTAAAGGTGCCTTCCAGGTTCCCCACGCTGCCGCGGTCAAGAAGGCCGTTGGTGATAAGCTGCTTGTTTCGGCTGTTGGCAGCATTAACAATGGTAACCTTGCCGAAAAGATCCTGAACGACGAGAACATTGATTTGATCCTGGTTGGCCGTGCTTTCCAGCGTGACAGTGGTTTAGCATGGGCCTTTGCTAAGGATCTGGATGTGGAGATTGCTATGGCTGGACAGATCCGTTGGGGATTCAACAGCTTCCGCAATGCGTCGGAGTACATCCAGCCTAACTCTGTGAAGGCATCGATCTTTGATTAGATTTGATTTGAATATGCATAGCGATTGGGTATAGAGCATGATAGAAATGATACGATTCTTTGGGTTTTCTAAAATACACTTGCCGTTCATCATCAAGTTAAGCATTGTAGCTCTAAGCAAAAGAAAGTAAGATCCAATGTAAGGATCGAACGTGGGAACTTCAAGTTCAATCATCTATAAGAGGAGATTTCTCAAATTAGGTAAGGAAGCATACATTAACATGGCTTTGATGGAAGTCACTTTCGCCCATTTGAGCATAACCTCACGACATCTACGGCACCGTCACCAACTTCATTCATCAATAACAAATGAAATAAAATAGACAAAATTGTTTTGAATGGATTTCATCAAAAAAATTGCAGATACTGTTTAGTAGGTCCGTTGCGCACTTTCTCGCCGAGGGTCTTGGGCACCCTACTAACTTAGGCTTCGTCTTACACTCGCCGTACCACGCAATATCCCCATGTCAAATGGGTCCCGATGTACCTGAAGTGGGGGCTCGCAAACCATCCCTGAGACGAGAGCGCAATGGAATCAGGTAGGCTACGGGGATGCCGGGATACAATTCGACCCCATATTAGTATTCATAAGGGAACCTTCACTACCATTTTTTACTACTGCCATTCCTACTTTTCTAAACCCACATCCCCTTTGAACTCAAAGCAATCTACTTTGAGTTGATTTCAGAACTTCGATATCACAATCACCGTCATAATAAATGAAAATCAAAGGATGTTGGTTCAATATGCTTAAGCAGTCGCTCATCTTCAACTTGAAACACAAATGCCCTTCGCGTAGAAAACCTTTATCTTTCTGCTGACATCTTATTAGGAGTTGGTCTTAACCCGAGTCTTGATCAATCATTGCCACACTCATCGCAAAGGAGCTTTCATCCTCGGGAAACGCTCGCCGTCCTCGGACTTGAACCTGACGGGATCGGACAAGGGACAGCATCGTCGACCACTCCATGAATCACCTACACGGACACCCTGGTCAACAGGTTTGGTAAAATCGAGAATCCTGATAACAGATGATGCTGAATTCAGACCACATCGCACGGCAAGTCAGCTTAACTTTAACAGCTTCCACATCTTCCATTTTGACCTCATGACCTCGGGATACAAACTGGAAACAATCGCCTATGATGTTAACCCTTGTCTGATAAAGGCGAACAAGGATATAAGCCCTTATTTACGAAATCGTATTCTGTTGTAAACTAGGCGACAATACATTGCAGATTCCGCTTCTCCGCAGATCTAATCGAGCAGAAAAGCTTTATTTTAAAACAGAACGAGCTACGGCAAGATGGCAGGATAATTGATCAGGACGTTGAATTTTCATTCGATGAAGAGGCTATCAATGATTGTTTGTAATGTACATGGTGTGTATTCCCATTCCCCCTGCATGCGCCGTAAAGTGATTCCTGACACAGTAAACCCCCCTTCTGGATGCGTAGACATATGGAGACTGAAGGCAAAAATGCCAGAGAGCACACACGAGACAAAAGAAACGATGGTGAAAATAAGATGCAAGAACGCCTTTGTGCCTTCGTGGAGGCCCATGCTAGAATTTGCTTTCCTTGGGGATAGTAATGGAATAGAGATAAGACGTGATGCCGTGGCATGTATTTAGATATGAGTAGCATACCAGCATCAGAGACCTCGTACGGGAGCGGGTCGTTCAGAACACAATCGGAGAGCCTTAGCCAGAGCCTTCAAGCGGATTAAGAGTCATGGCGGAAAGTGCAATTGTCGCCTTTCCGGCACTTCCCCTCGTTCCAGAACCGGCATGCAACTAATCCATATTTGTACTATTCTACTGTTAGCAAAGTGACACCCGATACATTGAATCTCGCATGGAAACTTACAGGCTTGGGTTCGTTGGATTTTGTCCGCTTCTGACGACTCCATGAAGGGTCATACTGGCCGTCTCCAGATCCATCCTCACGCATGCGCTTGCGTTCAGGGTCCTCGTAGCTATTTGATGGCTGCGAGAGCTGCTGGGGACCAGACTGCTGGTTCTGACCACCGAATGCAGCGAACATGGCGCCAAAATTGGGTGCCATTGGAGGCGGCGTCTGCTGTGGCTGGGTGAATGTGCCTGGCTGCAGCTGTTTCATGACATTGAGAATACCCTGGAAGTCAAGATTTGCAGCCGGTGCCTGGGGTATTGGGACTTGAGGGACTGGGAGCGGCTGCTGTTGACGGAACATGTTGATTGTACGTTCCAGGTCAGACATAGGGGCTGCAGGTTGCTGTGCCGGCTGCGGTGGGGGCGTAGATTGCTGTTGATTTCCGGTGTGGATCAGTTTGAGGATGTTGGATATGTCGAACCCGGCTGCGGCTTGGTTGGCTTGCGGTTGGGGTTCAGACTGAGGAGGCTTGGGACTTATGTAGCTGAAGTAGCGTTCTTGCCGGGCCTGTACAGGTCACAATTAGTTACTATCCCTGACGTGTTGTGGATGTGACATACCTTGACGTGATCGGGCAATTCTCCGAATGGAACGGCATCAGGGACAGCTTCATCCACCTCAGGAGCGGGAGGCTCCTTGGGTGTTGAAGGAACATCGGCTGGAGATGTGTGAAATGCCATGAGTGTAGTAGATTCTCGATGATCCTGGGCGTCTTTTTCTGGGCTGTTGGGTATCTGGTTACCGCCACGTTTGATGAAATTGTTGTTTTTCATTTCGTCGGATTCAATGACGATTTCTGTTTTGGGGGCTAGTCAGTTTTCGTTGTGCGTGTTGTGCGAGTTGCGCGCAGGGAAAGTGCAACTCACCAGACAGAGCAGTAGGGTATTCGCCGAAACTAATCTCCCGCATGCCTCCAAGATCATCTTCCTCCAACTCCTCCAAGTCTTTATGAAGTTTGAGAACACTCCCTTCACCTTTCACATCTCCTGCGCCGCGCATGGAGCCATCACCGGGGCCCAGTTCTTCGTTGGGGTCATGAGTGAAAAGTCGAACTTCCGTGAGCGACTCGTCTGGTTTCCAGCTAACGCGCAGCTTGCGTCGCTCTTCTTTACGCAGTCGCTTTTCGCGTTCTTCCTCTGTCTCCGGAGGCATGTCCTCTGCAGGCTTTACGACAACCGGCTGTTTAGGCTTGCTGAGGTCTGCCATGATATCACCAAAAGAGAAGGAGGGTTTCGCAGGAGGCGCTGACGGCTTCTCCTTCTTCTCAGGTGCAGGTCTATTTATAGTGTCAGTCTCGCTAAATTTGAAAATTGGACAATATATGAATTTCACATACGCAGGTTTTCCTGCAGCAATTGCCGCGGCTCTCTCGGCGTTTGTTGTTCCTGGCCGCTTGGAAGCGGAGCTCAGTGCGCCAAATAGACTCGAAGGCTTGGGTGCAACGATATTGGCTCTAGGGCGAGGCGCTGCGGTCGTTGCGGGCTTGCCATTCTGAGCGCCTTCCACAGCCCGTTTGCCCACGCTAGTAGGGACGGGCGGTTTACTCGGATCCTTGGGATTCGACGTCACGACCATCCGCTTCATTGCAGGCTCGGCAGTACTTTCTCCCTCTCGAGAACGTTTGGAACCCGCAAGTTCAGATGGGGATTCCCCAGATGAACCCTTCCCTGGGGAGTCCTCCGTTGTTGTCTCGGCAATCTTTTGCTTCCACTTGGTGGCGGCCGCAGCATTGTCTAAAATCTTCTGCGCTGGCTCCTTGATGGATGGTCCTCCTTTCTTAATAAAGCGAGGCAATAGCTTAGCAAGGTTGGTTTTCTGCAATAATTCTTCATCTACAGTAATGAATTGCGCCAAAAGCTGGACCATATGTTAGTCTTCAAATGCATTTGCGTAGTCTCGTATCAAAATACCTTGAGCATGTTGCTGGTCAACGATCCTTCGAAATCAGCAGCCTGGAAACGATCTGCCAAGAAGGAGTAAATGGCTGCAAGTGCCATGGGATGCTCTCCGCATCTACATAGAACCGACTATTAGCAATCTGATATATGACACGAATATGAGATGAGATGAGGCAATGTTTGTCTAAACATCGCTTAGTGCTTAGCAGATAAGGCATGTGCAATGTTTCAGTGATAGCTGTAGGCAGCATATCTAGAGAAGCCACTGAGCTGAATGATTCGATTATCCACATGTGATCAAATAAGCATCATGAATGCAGTCTGGAACATGGGAAATCCTTATGTCTAGCCATATTAATGGCAACTTGATTCATTCCACGGGAAACAGATTTACGTGGGCAATGCTCTCAATTTGGTTCAGACTTCTATCGCCACGACAACCATGTGCAAGAGCAGGGTGTTTCAGGAAGGGTATAGGGGTGAGGGAAGCATACTTCTCGACAATCATAGGATGACCCATTTCCATGGCGGTGGTCATTATTTTATCCATTGTCTGGCGCTGCAAAGTCACTGCTTGCTTGAGCTGGGCGGCTTTATCATTATCACCCTGGTTTTCCGCGTTCTTCATTGCCTGAACCTGGTCCTTCCAAGAATCCCGAAGAGCTTTGATAATCTCTTTGAATGCCATCAACCCATTTTTTACTTTATCAGCTGGGGCTCGTTTGTTCCGGGGAGACCACACAGCTTGCATAGTATCGTACGCAGCTGCTGCGATGGGCTCAGATGGGCGAACTGCGGGTATGGGGGACGGTTCTGGCGGGGCTTCAATTTCCAACTCAGAGTCATCGGAGCTCTCGCTGTCTTGCTTGTCCTTGCTTTCCTTTTTTGCAGTCTTCTTTGCCGGTTGTTTCTTCGTAGACTTCTTTGTCGCAACTACGGCTTGGGGAAGAGGAAGACCTGTTTGGCTTGACATACCATTCTGAGTAGCAGGGTGACCGGGTCCACGGAACTGAGGTTGAACGGAGAGGTCATTCTGGTAATAGTTGAACATCTGCCCTCCAGCCCGATCAAAATCTGTCGGGTTTCCATACATAAAGCTATTCTGTAGGGTCGGTCGTTGCGCAGACTGAGTTGTCGGGTTGAGATATTGCGGATCGATGGTGTGGTGGTGTGCAGATTCGGAGGGGAAGTCTTCAGTGAGGTCAATGCTGTTGTGCAGCTCAGAAGGAGGATACCCAGATGAGGCAGTGTATTGAGATAAGGCAGGTTGGGGAGTTGGCGTCTGGAACTCAGCCGAGTGCGACTGTTGCTGGGAAGGACGCGACTGGTAAGAGTCCTGCACAGGCAGTTGTTGCGGATAAAAGTTGGGTGGGTAGGAGTAGGAGGGGAATGCCGAACTCTCAGACGCTTGGAGGGAGCGAGGGTCATACTGCATTTGGTTTGGTGGGAACTGCAGTGGTTGAGGGGGGTGGTATTGAGGATTTGGCGCATAGCCCCGACCGGGTTGGTGCAATGGATTTGTCTGCCATGACTGAGGGATCGAGTAAATTTCAAGACTTGGATCGGTCGGCTGAGTCATCTGGTTTTGTTGCTGGAGCACTGGATGATCCCATCCAATTCCCAATGCCTGCTGTGAGGACAGATCCTGAGACTGAGATTGGGATGCTTGGAGTGATGGATCGGAATAGATAGAATCCATGCTGTTCCAGAACTGGGGCGAGTGCCCCTGGGGTGTTCTGGTATGGGGCAGACCCGGCATTCGGTTCTGAGCCGAGGACTGCTCCATGATTCCTTCACCCCAGAAATTTAAGGTAAACAACTCTCACTTCACTTTACTAATATGAGAGCTTGCAAGCTGTATATTTGCCCTGTATATCACGTGGATCCACCTTGGTTGATACCGCCTGCCTGTTTAGGGTTTCCGGAGAAATGATTGACCGGGGTCAGGTGCGGGGGTCACGCGTCTGATAGGGCGATATGATTGGATAGGAGAATGCGTGTCGGCGGCAACTGGTAACACTGAGAAGAACTGAGAAGGAAATGAACAGATTATCAGGATGTGATCGTCCCAACGTTTTCAGAGGTTATATCACAAGATGGTACAGCTAGAGTGGGACTGAGAGGTAGTCACGGACACTATCGTACCTTTCGTTTTTCGTTTGTTTAAGTTGCAAAACACGACATTCACTTGTCTCAAGCCAGTTTTAGATCTTTTCTGCCTCAGGCATCAACTGTCGCTGATGAAATCTTGTGGCTTTTGGTGTCGACTCCCTGGTCGTTTCTGTACCTTTTTAATGACCCTGAATGGCTGTATACAACCCGTAGAGAAAGAGAAGAAAAGTAGGAAATATTTCTGAGACGTCTGGGTCTTCCAGGATCCTTTTAGAGGCTGTCTGCTGACTTTCTCCTGGCACTGATTGTATTCTGGACCCTGATTCCAGATGCAGTTGCCTCCTTTCTCTGAGGTTTTAAGCTTGTGTCCCTCTGTAGAAAAAATACTCTGAAGCAGAGAATATGCAGGCTCCTATATCAAGAGCCACTCTAGCATCATAGCCATTCGCTTTACGAAGAAAAGGGGGGAATTGGGGGGAGATGATGGGGTGATGTGGATGGAGAGATTTGAGGTGGAAGGGGAACAAATTGCTTGAGCAAGGTAAGTAATGCTCTGAACAGGTTTGATACTGCGCCAAGGAACTTCATTCGTCAGATGATCAATAGATTACCGTATTATAGTACTGAGACAGTAAATACATGCAAGTTGCTGGTGACATGTCATACATGTGATACAGCCCCCCCGGAGTTTGCTCAGTTTGTCTGATTACCTCATCCCTGGTCGGGCCACGCTTCATGCTTAACAGGGAAAGTGGCATATCAACAAGTAGAAATCATATCTCTTCGAACTTTGTTCACCTTCAGTTGGAATTCTTCTTTTCTTACATGCTTTGAAGTATTTCTCAACTCCCTGATTGTCTTCTTTAAGCCCGTGGTACCTGGTCTGCCATGGCGCATCCAATGTCCCTCCGAGACCGACAGGTCGGTAGGTGATTGCTCAACATTGTCCCCCAAATTAATGAGCTTTGGATTGCTGACTCGCCATTCAAGCCTCCATTCAAAAACTCTTGAATCTAAACCATGATCCTCGCCCTGCAGAGGACTCTCATGATCCCTCTGGCCATGGCGGCCTCATCTCCCACTCCACCCCGATCTTGAATGAGGATGGCGATCCGATCTGGAAGGTCCTGGTCTTCGATGCCATGGGTCGTGATGTTATCAGCAGTGTCTTACGAGTCAATGATCTCCGAGCGTGGGGAATTACTATTCACCTGTTAGTTATTTTGATCCTGGACCCTGCGCATCAGTAGGCGGAAGTACATAACTAACATGGTTCCAGGAGCATCAATTCTCAAAGATATCCCATTCCTGACGTCCCCGTCGTGTATCTGGTCGAGCCAACCGAAGCGAATATTCAAGCGATTTCCCGCGATCTGTCCCACGGCCTTTACTCCCCCGCCTACGTCAACTTTCTATCCTCCGTTCCTCGGCCCCTCCTCGAAGACTTTGCTACGCAAATAGCTGCATCCGGTGCCTCGGAGCATGTGTCCCAAGTCTTTGATCAGTATCTCAACTTCATTGTCGCAGAGCCTGATCTATTTTCCTTGGGCATGGGCAATGACGCATACTACAAGATCAACAGCGGAAAGACGACTGATGAGGATCTGGATGCGATCGTAGACAAGGTGGTCAGCGGCCTCTTTAGCGTCAGCGTGACCATGGGTATGTATTCCATGTTCAATTCATGATCATCAGCTAAAACTCATTAGGTTCAATTCCTATTATTCGATGCCCCAAAGGTGGTGCGGCAGAGCTAATCGCCACGAAGCTTGACAGAAAACTCCGCGATCACATTCTCAACTCCAAAGACAACCTCTTCTCCGGTAACCAACGAGCCTTACCAGGAGTACCTTCGACGCGTCCCGTATTGATCATTATGGACCGAAACGTCGATTTGGTGCCTATGCTCTCACACTCCTGGACATACCAGTCTCTGGTGCAAGATGTGCTGCAAATGCGGTTGAACCGGATTACATTGGATGCCGACGAGCAGGGCTCAGGCAAGAGCGGGAAGAAGGCATATGACCTGAATAGCAATGACTTCTTCTGGCAGCGGAATGCCGGTGCACCATTCCCTCAGGTCGCTGAAGACATCGATGCCGAGTTGACACGGTACAAGGAAGATGCAAACGAAATCACGAAGAAGACCGGTGCTTCTTCTATTGAGGATCTTCAGAATGATACCAGTGCCTCTGCACAGCACCTTAAGGCCGCTATTACGCTGCTCCCAGAGCTGCGAGAGCGTAAAGCTGTACTCGATATGCATATGAACATCGCTACTGCCTTGCTGAAGGGTATCAAAGACCGACAACTGGATAATTTCTTCGAGATCGAGGAGAATATCACAAAACAGACCAAGACGCAGCTTTTGGAAGTGATCAATGACCCAGCTAAGGGCAGCAACCCGACAGACAAGCTGCGCATTTTCATTATCTGGTTCCTCAGCACCGAGATCGAGCTAAACCGTACAGAGATGACTCAATTCGAAGAGGCTCTCACTAACGCCGGTGTTCCCGACATTACGCCTCTCGCATACGTCCGACAAGTACGCGAAATTACCCGCATGACCATGATGACAACGGCCGCTCCAGAGCAGCAATCCTCTGATATCTTCCGTGGCTTCTCATCACTCTCTAACCGCCTCACAGACCGCATCACATCTGGTGCGCTCGGTGCCAACTTTGATTCCCTCATCTCCGGCGTGAAGAACTTCCTTCCCGCAAACAAAGACCTCACCGTGACTAAGATCACCGAGTCTATCATGGATCCAGCCGCAGCGTCAAGCTCCGCTATCACGAAGACCGAAAACTACCTCTACTTTGACCCACGCAGCGCCAACGCTCGCGGCGCCATGCCCCCTGCCTCGGCTTCACGAAACCAACAGATGCCTGGTGCAATGGGTGTATCCGGCCCAGGGACCGGCGCCACCTTCGGTCAACGCCGCCAGGCCTTCAATGAAGCTATTGTCTTCACTGTCGGTGGTGGCAGTATGGATGAATACGGCAATTTGCAGGACTGGGTGAAGCGGACGAGCGGTCAACAGGCCGACGGTGCAACTGCCGGTACTCGTGCGCCTGTGGCCCGACGGAGGGTCGTCTACGGAAGCACAGACTTGATGAATGCGAATGAATTCTTGAAAGACTCGCTGACGCCATTGGGACAGGAGAGTTAAATATGCAAGTTGCTTTGTGGAACGATCACGGTAGATCCAATAGTTGTAAAACACTTATAATTCAAAGCCATATAGGCAACTTATTCCCCTGCCTACTACAATTGACCGCAAATTCCTGCACTGTAAATCCATGAAAGCGCCTCACGTAAAGAATAACTGGGATATTGAATCGTTTAATTCGAGAACTTCTCTCTCTTATCCCACCTGCACCTGGAAATGACTCATTTACGCCTAACATTTCTTTTTCTCAGCAGACCTGTTGTCAGCCTTATAGGTTTCAAGATAATATGTTGTGTCGGCTAGTGGGAAGCCATAACGGCACAGGCTGTAGGACATCAATCTTAAAATGGTAATCTCTGCGATATTTTACGGAGTACTTACTTGGTTGTGGTTGGTCTGAGTCCCAAGAGGGTCAATAACATCTCCGCTCTCTTGGGGAGCTAAGAATGGGCGCGAAGCCTATTGTTTGAGAGGAACACCCAGGTCGACTTTTCGCAAAGTGATTATCCTGTGTCTTTACACCATACCCGTGCAGGCACTCCCCATCCACGAAGTGACGGGTCATCAGATAGGAGTTGCAGGGTACAACATATGAACTAGCCTCATAGAAGGTCAACTTCAGGAGAATTTGTCCAGCAGTCTATTAGTCTATTAATGCAATTATATCGCTGTATAAAGTACAGAGAGGCTGAAGATAGCAGTATTCGTAAATGCGTAAAGCTCACAAACAGACTAGTATATTGAGGAGAATACTCTCGAACTTATGAAATTTGATAGCTCTGTACCAGGTACAGAAGCGAGGTTCTTCAAGCCTTTGACTCAATACAGCTACATTAATCAACCATATACTGCAATCATCGTGACTGTTCATTATATGATGAATAGTACGGAGATAAAGGTCAAAACAGGGCGTGATATTGAGACTGAAGCATGGTACACTAACTACAATGAACGGTGATATCAAACTCCATAACGCATCAACAGGCACATTTACACCCTTGATTTTGTGCTTCATCATAGGCTCCGCAACCGAATTCGCTAACCCCGCCATACACAATCTCTGCTTCCACCAAACACCTCTCACGATGTGATACCGGGGAGATGCCACTCCTACATACGTCTGTCAAACAGGCTCTAATCGCATTGTTGCATCTGGTAAATTGAGCTGAATCGGTGGCGCACGTGCCAAAGCAAACATCATGAGCATTACAGCATCCCTTGAAACCTGGTACTAGTGCATTCAGTCCTTCCGACATAAGAACATCGAATGCACTTTTCCCGCTTGGTCCACAACCATTCGTTGTTATGGGTCCTGGTGCCTGTACCACTCCACCTCGGTGGGCGCACTGTGCAAGTATGGCCGGTTGACAGCTGAGACTGCGACCAGTATACCCCTGCACAGTACAACTGCTCGAGGTGGAAGTCGCAGTCGATGTTGAAGTTGGTATTGCAGTGGTGATGACACTAGGGCAAGTACAATCCCCAGTATCAGTGCCATCCAAACCAGAACAAGTTGCTATTTGCACACCCGTGAGCACACCAGCACCGTTATTCAGACAGATCATTTCCGGGCAACCCGCGCAGTCGGCTGGGAATAAGTCAATGCACGTCTGATCTCCGATTGGGCAATCAGCAGATAATATATGCTGGCAACATGCCTCGGAGTTGCATGAAAGCCCTGCCAAGACACATTCGTCGGTGTTACATCCTATGCAACTTCCTTGTCGTACACCATCAATGATAGAACAGGAATTAGGGCCGACCAAAGCACATGTTCCTGGAGGGTATGACTGCGCGTTCGTAGCCTGAATAACTGATGATAGCCAGAAGACCCACAATATGCCGTGGACGCTAATTCTGAATCGTGCAGTCTGGAATGGCATCATATGGAGTAGCCTGATCACCCACGTAAGATTGTTTTCGCGTATGCTGCGAGGTGTCAGGGGCCTTGCCAATATAGACCATAACCAGTGGTATTTCAGGGAGACTTGTTACAAATATTTTTATGATCTTGCCAGTATCGGAAATAAGAATTTTCGTGCCTGTGAAGGCCGATCGGTCGCTTTGGGCGTAATTTGTTAATGTGTTATGAGTTTGGAAAGACTGCCACGAAGGGGTGCGAATCTCGAGCTATTTGACCCTATCCAAGTTTACTACCAACGGAAATGAAGAAGTCGGGCAGTGGTCCGCATTATTAACAGTTTCATTACCATCCAATTGATAAAGTGAGCAAGCGGGATAATAAGCTAAATGTGATATCACGACTACGTTTGTGTTAAGTGTTTATACGAAGGAATGAGACTTTAAAGTTAGATCTGTCACATTAAAACATGTTCCCAACTAATCTATTCACTTAGCTAGAATGAAATTCAGGATACTGAGAACTATATAGGGCTTTGATGATTAAGGAGATACTGCTGATGAAATCGGACCAAAGAATGACAAGACATATGCATGGCTCTAACAAAGCTCTATTATAGTGGTCAACTTTTCTTTTCATTTTTCTAGCAGTATATTTGAATACTTTCAGAAAAGTTTGATGGTCTGAAAGTTTTTACGACCGAATGTTTGGCCCTAAAAGGAATTTATCAACGCAGAGCTCGGTAGTTTTACCCAGTAGCATAGAGGAGTAAAAGCTTCTTCTTGATCAAATTAAAAAAAAAAAAAAAAAACTAAACATAAAAGCACCACAGACCACTTCAATTAGCTTAAAAAGATAACTTAACTAGTTCCCGAAGAAGTCAGCGGACCATAAATAGAGTTCAGGCTATTGAAGGGCCGAGGTCTTGTTATCGCAATTAAGCAGACAGAATTACTCTACCGACCAAAACAGCCCCATACACCATCTTTCAAAAGACCAAGAGTTGATGCGTCAAATTTGCGCCATTGTCAGGTTCTAGATGTATTGGTATTTTGGCTCACCATCGGCTTTTGCGGTGATAGAAATAGAACCGAAGGGAAATCTTATGTGGCCAGCCTCAGACTATTCCACTCGGGGGAGGCAACTAATGTAAACCTTCCCCAGCATGAGAGCTTTTCACGAATCAAATAATAGGGGAAGTGGATCAATGGTGGCGCGTATCTAGTTCATCTTGGGTCCCGACACCATCATCCGCCTCCCAAGGCGATACCCTTATATCACGTTCTCTAAAGATCAATCAATCAGACCATGTTCCAACCTCCAAGATTTGAGGGTTGCATTTTTCCTCCGACGATCGAACTATCTTGCCCTGGCTCATTGACAATTTACTCCAGAAATGTGATGTCACACAAGAGTCATGACTGTCACATCACACGCCACGAGTACAGATATAAGAAATCGGCCCCTGACATGTTATCAACCTTTTCATTATATCTCATCAAACATTTACTTTCAACTCTAAGTTTTATCGTCTCGAAAAGAAATCTATATCAAGATAATGAGTAACCGCATCAACGCAACGGACACTTGCTACACAGGTGACTGCGAGCCAAATGCTACATGCGAGACCATCGAAACAAATGATTCGACCGGCACGACATATGATCTCACAACATGTTGCGGCACCTCTGAAATTGGCGCCGACGCCACCGGTCTTAGCTACGCTGCCGATGGATATGACAGCGGCTACGGCACAACAACATACGATCTCGACACCGGGGCATATGATCAACACCTCGACTACCGTACTGCAGACTCGCAAAGACACCACCGCGAGCGCCTCGACTCCACCGGCACATATCGACACAGGGATGTTGACAGCCGCGATGATGGAACCACCCACGTCCATCGGGAATACATGAACCCCAACACGGGTACCAGCTACCACCGTGACTATGAGCGGTAAATCAAAACAATGGTAATAAGTTGGAGGTGCGTTGGATTTTGATCCAACTGTCTATAAGGTCACGATTTACGACTAAAAGAAAAAAAAGCAATCTCCCATGAGGGGAAACAAAAAAACATAAAACAATTCAAAATCGACAAGATCAAGAAAAAAAATTGATAACATGCTTGAAATCATCAAAATATTAGCTCGTTCTTGTTTCAATAATTATAAAACAACAAAATATCACGAACGTTACGCATTCATGAATACTGCTATCTTCAGCGATTCTATATTGTGTACCATACAGCGATGTAGTTTCATTAAAAGACTAGTGGACTAATGCACATATTCTATGCCCCAAATTTGGTCAAAATGTGACCAAGCATAGTAATCAAGTGAAGAGGAGTATTAGGAGTACTCATACTTATGGCTCTATCATTTCGCGGGGCACCTAGGACATTAATGATTCTACTATACCTCCTACACCATTCACCTACCCAGTCTTCCACTCAGCTTCCTACCATATCTTCTGTCCTGTCTCCTACCGTGTCTCCTACCTTTTTTCTACGCTACTGGTTAAATATTCAAAAGTACTCTCCAAATTTATAAGTAACGAAATGGAAAGAAGAAAAGGTTAGAGAGGGGTTGATAGTCCAAATATGGTGAGGTCTATTGGATGCCTGAGGGCGGAAAAACAAGGATCCACTGTATGGTCACCAGCCTCATCAACTCCAACTGTCCCACCCGGGCACTTAACCCTGCCAACCCGATGCTGGGCAGATAATCTTCTCTTACCCCAGCTTCCCATGTCCCCGTGATCATGTCCCGGAGGACGTTGGGTGGAGGTCGTGTTCTAGGCACCCCGACCGCGCTTTCATCAGCCCCGTCCCCGTCCCCGCAGCCGAAGCCGAAGCCAAGAGTGCTCTCGCCAACCGCCAGCAGCGTGTCCCTCAGCTCCCAGACGTCCATCTCGCAGTTCTCAACAGAAACTCAAGATCTTACTTCACGCATATCTGTCGAAAATGGTGACACTTCTATATCTGCGGCGCCGGCGGCTCCCGGAGCTCAGCTCTCATGCCCGATCTGCAGTGAGGAGATGGTACGTTTAGCTTGTCAATGCACTCTGGGGACACTGCATACTAACATGATTGATGGGCAGGTTACTCTCCTCCAGCTTAACAGGTAGCTTTCGATCCCCCTCTCCGATTCATACCCCTAAAGTGGATTGCGGCGATTAACATTTGTCAAGACACCTCGACGACCTCCATCAGAATCTGGAAGATGACCGACAAGACGAGGTGAAGGATTGGTTCAAGGTGCAGATGGAGAAGGCGAGGAAGTTCCAGCCTCTAGCTGTGCTGAATCAAAAATTGAAGGGTCTGGATGTCTTCGAGTCGAATGAAAACCAAACGGCTCCAATCGTCGGCCGGCCTCTAGCCTCGTCAACCCACGCAGGACCGTCCGATAATACACCTAAACTTGTCGATCCGGAAGACCTCATTACAAAGGAGCACTGGCAAGTCGGTTATATTTATGACACCTGTCTGGAGCCGTCATGCGGCAAACGCCTGAACGGCACCAACGGCTGCGTCAATTGTCGGAAATGCGGCAAGCTATTTTGCGATGAACATACCATGTATCAAATGAAGCTATCTCGGTCGGCTCAACCTGAACCAGTGAGAGGCATCTGGGCTCGGGTGTGCGAAACTTGTTACAAGTCAAGGGAGGGCTATAATGACCATAATGGTATGCATTTCCTGTCCTTCCTGCAGATGCAGCAAACTTATAAAGCTCAGGCGCAATAAGGGACCATACGCAAACGTTCAAAAACATCAGGAAACAGACGGTGGACAAGGCTTTCCTGGAGGTTTCCCGACTCGAGAAACGTTTGACTCGGCTCACCCAGCTGCTTGCTGGTCTGCCACCTGATCAGATACAGTCCAGTACGACCAAATTATTCCCCATGCCCTGGCAGAGTGATCAGCGAAAAGCTCTAGAGCAGACCATTGTCAGCTGGCAAGACGATGCCAGTGTTACCAGGTGTCCTTTCTGTCAGCAGGACTTCTCGGGCTACTCTTTTCGGAGGCATCATTGCAGAACTTGCGGGCAGGTCGTCTGTGGTGATCCTAGTACGGGCTGTTCAAGCGAGGTCGGGCTAAGTATCGCACCTTGTGAGTACTTCAACCTTCCCTTCAATATGGCCATTTGTCTAATAGTTTCAAGTGTCGAAAACGTCGGAAAAAGCCACAGCGGATCGCATGATCAATATAGATGTTCGACTTTGCAAGGATTGCAAGTCAACATTATTTGACCGACGTGACTTCCAAGCAGATATTTCAAAGAAGCCCCCAGAGGTTAGAGCATATGAAAACCTGGTTCAGTTTGAAAGAGGCATCCGTCTCCATCTACCAAGATTCCAAAAACTCCTTGCTGCATTACAGTACGTTATGCCCATATTTATATTTACCACTGCTAACGGCATGATAGGGACCCGAGAAGACCACCAACTTCAGCACAGATTGCAGATGCGTCTAAGGTCCGCAAGCGACTTATCGACTCATTCTCAAAGTACGATGTTGCAGCTAGACGTATCCGCGATTTACCCACCAATTCCCCCACTCAACAACGCTTACAGAAAGCGATATATCAGCAAGCCAGCGCTTTCCTTCATCTTCATATGTTACCTTTGAAATCTCTCCCTAAGGTCCTCAAACACGCATCTCCATCGAGAGACCCTGTACCCAATCGCACTTCCTCCCCGAGCACCCGAGTCAATGGGTCACCAGCCCCCAAACCACAGGAGTCTGCGCTCGCATCCATTGCTTTTAACAAGCGCCTTGCCACCAACGGTAGCACCGCCAGTCTCGCCAGCGATACAAGCAGCGCCGTCTCCGCCCTTGAAGCGGAAGAGAAATCCCTAAGAGAGCGCCTCATCGTGCTAGAGGAGCAGAAATTTTTCGTGTCCGAAATGATCGCAGACGCCAACCGTCGACGCAAATTCGACGAAGTGAGCAGTCTTGCTGTGAATGTGGAAGACCTGAGTTGCGAGATTGACCGTGTCAACGGCATGCTTGCCAGTCTGGACTTTGAAGGTGTCTATACGGGTGGCAACAACCTGCAGGTTAGCGGATGAACCTCATCCCTTCCCGTGCAACAGACGACTTGTGGTGTCTATTCAATTACCATCTTTTTTTTTTCTTTTCTGCTATTGTTCCCTTCGATTCTTGATGTTGTGACAGGCGTTCTCGAGCACCTTACGGTGATGTGCATAGCATCGGGCGTTTAGCGGTCATTGAAGGAATTATAATCAAATGGCCAAACAGCTTTAAATAAACTAATCCAGTCGTGATAAGAAATCATTATAACAAATAAACGAGTTAGCTACGTACGCAGCTGCATGTAGCAAAGTTAAAGCTGCATGAATGCTACACACAGAATAGAGTTGCCCCAACCAACGTTTCAGATTTCACCAAGGAAACTCTATCACAGACGAAAACGATTGAAGCAAAGGTAAAAAAAAATAATAAAAAAAAGAAACAACGCTGTTTGCCAATCTTCAAAAAAAGAACCGAACGCGGGGGTCGAACCCGCAACCTTGAGATTAAGAGTCTCACGCTCTACCGATTGAGCTAGCCCGGCTGGGCTTGTGGTGGCTGAGAGATTTGTGGCTATATTAGGTAAAGAATTTAGTACCGAATAAAAGAGTCAAAATAAATTTTAGAGATTCTCTAAAAAAGAACCGAACGCGGGGGTCGAACCCGCAACCTTGAGATTAAGAGTCTCACGCTCTACCGATTGAGCTAGCCCGGCGGGCTTGTTGTATGGCGATAATATTATGGCATGATGATTGGAAAAACATCTTTACTTTTCTTGGGTTTGGCTTCCTCAGCACCAAGGTTTCGGAAAGGCTTCCGCTGTTGGATTGAACTATTTTTAAAATGCTTTTTTGGTTTATGTTTCGCGATAACCTGTTAGAAGGTGGCTTTGACATGCTTAGATGTCAAAAATTCACGGATTACTGGTGTTCAACGTTGTACCTATGTATGGATGGAGCATTGACGTGATCACAATATATATCTTGAGGGTTATAAAGGTTGACCCACCTAGCATCCAAAAAATGTATGAATGAACAGCTGATTCAAATAGATACTGAATTACCTGATGAGCCAGGGCGTTGGGACATATGCACCTCAAGTGTTACTTCCAAGTCTGAATGCAATGGATTGTAAAGTAATGACTAATTTAATTATTTGTACAGCTTAAAAGGATATAGAACATTAGAAAGCACAAAAACCCACCCAAGAACCTCTGAAACCCTATGAATCGTCCTCCGAAACAAAGAAAGTCTTTTGAACATTAACACCGCTAAAGAAGGTCCCCTTACCGGGATTCAAGTCCTCCTGGCTGCTTGAGCGACTATCGTGATTCGAACCATGAACGGTGGTGATCACCGCATGTGCGTCCTCCGGATCCAGGTCCGGTCGCCAGTACCGTGGACCCGAGGCATCACCGGAGCGTGCTACATTCACGCTATCCAGGGGCATACTGCCACCGGTGCGCTTGCTTCGAGTACCGACCGAGCTGGGGTCACGGAACCAGCGGAAAAGAGGTCGGAGGGTGACCAGACTACCTGCGGCAATACCGAGGCCGGCTTCGACGTTGGACCAGATGGAAATGTTGGTGGTTGCGTCTGTGATGGATATTAGAATTGAAAATCCATGCTGGATGAGTTTGGGCAGACTTACAAAGGAAATCAGTGTCCTTGTAGTCGTGTAGGAAAGGAATGCGAATGATCACAGCTGCGCTCGCACTATATGAGTTGGTTAGCCGAAGTACAAGCATGTATGTGGAGTTGAACATACACGCATCCCATGCCAAGAATGCCAGCCAAAGCAGCCTTGGTCCGGGTGTTCATTTGCAAATTCCAGACGAGGGAAACAGGAAGAAGTCCCAGTGTAAGATCACAACATGTGGCGGTGACACTGTAAACATAGGCGATATCGATGATCCCGTCGAGGTTCACACAGCTGCCTGGGACGATAACAGGTGGTTTGTTATATACGCGGACTCGCTGCCAGAAATATGAGACCGGTGTACATTGTAATGTCAGCATGAACCAGAACACCAAACCAACGATCGTGGTGATGGCGACAACGCCCCATAAGATCATTCGGTGCAGCTTGGAGACGGTGAGACGGAGTAAGGCGAGAGCAATTGAGATTTTGGCGATACTACAGACCCAAACGTAGCTGGTTTGGCCGAGCCACCACCACTGTAAAAAAAGATCAGCTCAGCTTACATTCAAGTATCCAAGAGAGAACATGATACATACAAACATGGCGGTTTCCATTGTACCTCGCTCGATGAGCACTTCCGTCCTTTGGCCAATGCCGTAAAGTGCGCCAGTGAGTCCACATAGTGCGAACAGAATGTTCAGTAGCTATTTGATCATTAGTCACATGTCAGGCGTCCAATGTTTTGGGGAATTGTGATCTTACCATAGCAAATACCATCAGGGCATCATCCCAGCCAAAGGCCTTGACCAGCTTGATCCGAACAAAACATCGCAGACAGACTGCAATGAAAGAAATACCCAAGAAGATGGTGGTGACAATAAAGATGGACAGACTGCGACCCTCCAGTGGAAGCATGATGATCGCAAGATACGAAATCAAGGCTTGATCAGTTCCAATTCATGTTCGCCCGGAATGAATCACTATATCACAGATTTAGATGAGACCTCTGAAGCCACCTTTGAAACCCCACAACAGAAGGGTCGACAGCTGTCTAGAGGAACAAAAAGGAAGAAAAAAAGAAAAGGAAAGAGATTGCACGATCACAAGCTTAGCATTACGATCCGGGAAGTGGCAAGATAGAAACGCCAAGAGTGCCTCGTGGGTGCTATTATCCGTGTTTATGGATAAACTTAGGGGGAAAAAAGAGTGAAAGAAAAAGAAGAAACGACTGAGGCTCCAGGAAAGATATGCGTATAACTAAAGAGAGACATAAATGACTAGTTCCATCAATGGGAGGGAACTGACCAGAACCCTGGGAACTTAACCAGCCGAAGGTTCCATGGTTGTGTGGGGTCTCACTCCCGCTACGGAGTCTGTTACTTCACGGTACAAACACTGGATCTGGGATTTATCCATCAGGGTTGTCATCACCTGGAGAAAAAAAACATATGCTAGTATGTTTCACTTCATCCGTGGACGGCAGCAACATATGCGGAGAAAATTGTCCGCCGGTCTCCGACTCTTGACTTGCTTGACAGCGTATAACCATTCGGCAGAGTTCTAGCCTGCCGCTCAGACCCACGCCCCTTGGACACTCGAGGGTTTCATGAGCATGGACGGGATCATGTTGCATATTTCTGTCCCGAAAAAAGCCTGTTCGATGTCCCCGCCAACGAGCGATGAGCTCCATGCACCAAGTGGAGTAGTCGCCTTGGCAATTTCATTATGCAGAACCGAACCGGGCACCACCACCACTAGTCTCTTTCTAGACCGTTGCCGCTGTTTGGATGGACGAAGCGTTAGATCGATTTCCCCCACCCCCTGGTCTTAGATTTTCCTCAACCCCCTATTTCGGCAATTGGCGGCGCAAAGCATCCGGTCGAAGGCATACAAACACGTGAGAGAAACCAAGAATTGGAACCGGCAAGGTTTGACAGGAAAATAGTGACAAACTATCGAACTGTCAACTATCGAACTGTCAACATGTGGGCATGTGTATCCAATCGATCTGGGTGTCTACCGGATACGCATCGACGATATTGAATCGAGATCGTATATGCGTTGCACTGTACTCCGTAATTATCGTGGGTCGAGGCAAACCCGTTCAGTGCACAATGACCTGGACTTTCCCCTGCCACGGACTCTCTCCTGCCACAGACTTTCCCCTGCCACGGATCGGCGGGAGAAAAGCTACTCTGTTACCAAAAGCGAGGCACGATCTGCAGTTCAGTGGGCGGTCGGAGATTACTTACTTGACCATCGTCGCATCTCCACTGTTGCCCTCGGTCAGAGTGGATCTTTCACACTTGGCTAGCGATCGCTTGACACCTCTGCCACACAATGTCACTAATAGCTCACCCGTTTCATGGCGTTTATACTTAGGTATGCAATAGGTGGAGTCAAGGTGGTTAAAAAATGTGGTCCTTCTTTATATGCTTAAATATCGTGAATATATCCCATGATTCATGAACAATTCCATTGTGCCCGGGGAGAACATTAAAACTTTTGAGACACCCGTTGAGGTGGACCGAGTTTAAATTACATGTTCGGTCCCTTATGAACCAGCTCCAGACTTGCTAAAATTAACCCGGCAGTGCAGCGCCATAACCGCGGTACAGTCCAGCCCCTTGAGAGCTATTGAACTCCATAGGAAAGAAACTACTGATCTGGAACCTTGGAATTGGGTGTTAGCGTGCGTCCTTATCATTAAACATTGGAAACCTTCTATGTGCTTGCTCGTGGCTGAAGCTAGCGCGATAAATGAAAACCAATAACTCTAGAATAACGCAAGTTGAATTTCGAGCTAATTTGCTAGCTCCGACAATGAAGCACGACAGCTAAAGACACACCGGTTGTACTTGGGTTGTCCAGGTCATCTTTAGAACCACATAAGCTAATTTTCATGAAATGAAAAGAACCTTGGAGTTGGTTAGGATCTTGGCTGCAACATAACTGCTTTTGATAGCCCTGTCGAAAGCGAAGTCATATATATGGATTGCACTCTAACGTTAACTGCTACAGCCACAAACAAACAGCGCATTCGCTATATCAAATACTCGATGTGCTCACAGAGCAACATGTTCAATATGTACATATCAGATTCGCATTGGGGACGTTCCCGGTGATCCGGCCGGATGCCTCGCAATAAATTTACTTCCATTGGGCCTCGGGGGAAGCCTGGAAGGTCTTCAAGATATTCACAACCTTCTCCAGAGCCTCAACCTCCTTATTCAGACCGGCAAGTACACGGGCCTCAACCTCAGGGTCCACCTGTTCCTTCTCGTCCGCGGCGGCCTTGGCGTTCTTATCATCCACCTTACGGATGAAGGTTGTCCGGTAGGGACAGAAGCCCATGGCAGCGTTGAAGACGCCCTTGACAATCATGTTGTGGTGGGGCTTGAGGGTGTCGCCGTAGGCCTCCTTGAAAGAGACAGTGAGTTGTGCGGAGGGGTTGTTGAGGTTGTGGCGGAGAGCCTGAACGGTGAAATCGAGGCCACTGAGAACAAAATATCAATATCTTGTTGAGCACACAAGCAACTGCTTGTTTGACTTGGAGATGGATAACTTACCGCACCAACCAAAGGAGTCCCTCGGTAGCCTTGTGCTGGCCAGACTTCAACTCATTGCGGACAAGGTCCTGCAAAGTTACAGACTCAGCAGGAGCAGCATCCTTTCGCTTTTGCACTTTCTGTGATAGATATCAATATCAGGAGCTGGGGAATGAGGGGCAGGGGCGACGAACCTCGATGTTGGTGTTCAAATCAGCAATGACGCGGTTGAAGGTAGTGGCGCCAAGGATATCTAGAGAATAGTGGAGTCAGAACAGACATTTATTTGAGATAGGACTGGGAAATACTAACCAAAGAGAGTGACCAAGGACCGAGCAGCCTGGAGGAACTCCTCAGTGTTGATGGCATCACCATTGGCGGAGTCAATGGAGACATTCTGGAAGGACTTGCCCTCGATCTTTGCGAGCCAATTGGTATCAGGAGAAGCAGCCATGATTGCGATGATTTATGAAGAATCAGAGTACAGTAGAAGTAGAAGCAAGAAAGTGTGATAACCAACAAGCTGTCCCTCACCGCTGCCTGCCACGTGAACCAATGGCGGGGCAGCATGCATATCAAACAGTGCAAACATCTGTTTACAATCACGTGAGATGATATCCATTTGTTGTGTTTGCTTTAATTTGACGTCATCGAATCATGTTGCATCAAGATCCAGATCCCTCAATCAACTCGACTCAGCTGATAGGTACCTGGTACGTGCTTTCTCTGCTGCATTAATCTGAGTGATTTATATGCGGGAAATTGCTCCATTGAACAGCCCCCTGGGTAAAATACCAGTGCCATGAGCGCTTCCCAGGCCGACACAGAACCGATCTATCATGAGCACTACAAGGGCTTGCTGGTTGGGTCCTACACGGACGAGAAGCTGGTAGGCTGGATGGGTGACTTCACTCTTGAAATCACAGACTGACAGGACCTATATTTAGCGACATGCCTCTGCCAAACATCTGCACATGACAAGTCGACGCTCCTTCATCGGGCCGATCCCTGCTGGATGGCTTCAGGGCCACCGAAAATCCTGGTACCGGTCACGACTTCGCATGAAGAACTATACATCGCAGACTCTTTCGTTCAAGGTGGATCCTGTCACATTTCACTATAGTCAACAAGATAGCGATCAGCTCCAGCCATCATCGCAGCCAATAGCGGAGGATCTTGCTCTTACGTTTACCATTACCAACGAGGGGACATCGGGAGAGGAGGAAGATATAACGACCGAACAAGAAGAATCTGAAGGGCCTCAGGGGGAACTTCGTACACTTTCTCATCCTACGACTGAATTTGAGGCGATAAACCAAACGGAGACGGAAGAAGAATCAGAGGCGACAAACCAAACAGAGACGGAGGAAGAATCAGGTTCAGAAACAGAAACGGAGAGGAATCACAATCAAGATGAATCAGAGGACGAAGATGATGAAAGCACGCCGCGTCAGAGTGTCCGGGCAAGTGCGATGGCACAAGAAAGTGTGTACAACGACGGGACCGCATCGTCCTCATTCGTGACAGCCAGGGAGGAAGTAAGCAGTAGTGCTGACTCAGGCTCCGAAACATCTACCATACATGGTAGCCCACGCTTGGCTTTTACCGATCAGAGGCCTCAATCGCAAAGGTCTCAGGATATGAGTGTTGGAAGGCCTAGCGATGGCAATGGTAGTCCACTGACATCCGCTACTTCTGGGGTTCCTAGTGAAGCCGACTCTACCACAAACCTGCTAAAGGGAAAGCAGAAAGCCCAAAGCATACCGGAAAGCAAGGCCCAAAGTATGCAGGAAAGCAAAGTGTCCGGCATATTCAAATCGAGGCTAGAACACCAAGAACCCCAAGATGAGTTCGACGCCGATCAAAATAGCCCAGGGCCAGAGGGACAGATTCAGGGACGCATTACGCGGAAGATGGCGAAATACAACTTGGATGACAATATCCTGAATAAACAGCAAAGACTTCGTAACAAGATAGCCAGGACAGGGAACACCATATCTGCGAATCGGCCACATCGACGAAAGTTGCAAGATGGAGAGATCATCAAGGCCGAGAGAATGTTGGTCCTGGTGGAAGAGTCGATCAAAGATAAGCTTCCTGAAGACTACTCTGAAAACCACAGCCTACGAATGGAAAATCGTACCGCAGATAAGTGGCGAGAGTTTCTTGTTGTATGCCGCAAGAGCTCAGCCGAGCATGCTCCATTTGTCCTTCAAATGTATCGCACTCGAGTGATCCCTGATGTGCAAAACCACAATGTCAAGACGCGGCCTTACTATGAGGTCCGTCTAAATCGCAAGAACACTCGAGTCAACCTTTACTCCGCACTCGATAAAACCATCGTCATCTGGCATCCCTGCAAGCGTGGCACGAAAATATACATCATTCGACCCAAGTCTTCTGCCCATGCTGCCGAATGGTACACATTTATTCGGCAGGTACTTGGGTGGCAACGACCTAACAAACTACCAATCAACGTTCCTGACCTTGGTGTGTCTTTGATCTTCAAGAACCCATTCCAGCAGCTGGAGGCTCGGCTGGGTTTAAGTCACGATGACAACAAACACGCTACAGTGGTCAGCCGATCTGCGAAAGAGGAGAAATTCGCCGCTGCTGCAATTATTCGGGGCTGTATAGAAATGCTCGAAGGTCGTCCCGAGTGGGCCGAGGTACTCAAGAGTTGGTCCAAGACCGAGAAGATGGGCCTTGCCTGGAAGCGATATGATCGTCTGGAGTGGGTGTATGGTGTAAACGAGGAAAATATGTATGGATCAATTGCCATGCAGTCATCCCATGAGCTCGAACTTCGACCACGCCATCACTATTCAACAGCCGTCAAGAAGCTGACAGATAAAAAAGAAGATGAGCCACCGCCAATTGAGGGATTTTTGATCCGTCTCACATCGCAAAAAGGCGTACATCAGAAACTGAACAAGATGTTCTACAAACGTCTCTACTTTTTCACCGAGGACCAGCATCTCTTGTTCTGTAAACCTGCCAAAGCTCTTCCTCCGGCGCCACCAAAACTTGCACCGTCAGGAGATTCGAGCATACCGTCTGCTCAAGAAATTTTAAGCCAAACACCACTGTTTTGGGATGTCGATCCTTACCCAATCCAGGGTGGTGAAGTTGAGTGGCTGTCCAGTGGAAACCCAGAATTTGTTCAACGGCACGACGAGGAAGCCTACGCACAGTGGCAGAGGAACGTACACAACATGAGCCACGCTGATGGATACATTGACTTATGCAAAGTGCGTGAAGTTCGCCGCATGCAATGGGGGAGCACTCCTGCCGATGCCAACCTTGAACCAGGACCAGATGTCGACTTCCAACCAGAAGGGAGCAATTTACGACAGGACGATGGCACTACCAAGCAATTTGATGATGAGCGAACATTTGAGATGACGCTCGAAAATGGGTTGGTAATTCGCCTACAAGCATATGACTCTGCCACTCGCGACGAATGGGTTAAAAGACTAGATGCATTGGTCAAATATTGGAGAGCACGCCATGCTGATGATGCCGCTGAATTGATCGCTGTGCGTCGGCGCAATCTCAAGCTTTTGGAGATCGACGAGGAGATGGAGTCAATCATAGGTCAATTTGCCCAAAAGTGGGAGGTGAAAAAGGCCGAGGCATCGCCACATCTGCATAATATGTGTGCACTGTCAGGTTGCCGGACAATCAAGGTATGTTGTGTGTTTGGCGGGTTCTTGATCAATACTGACCATGGGGAAATCCAGATGTCCGGTCAGCTCTACCGCAAACCTCGTCGCCACAAGACCTTCACCCGCTGCCACGTCTTGCTCTCCGATGGCAAGCTCCTCATTTTCCGAAGCAACCTACGCAAGTACAACGGTGTCCAAATCCCACATATCCACCAGGAACATGAAACAACCATCGACCTGCGAGACTGCTATATCTACTCGGGGCTGATCGCCGAGAACGACCTGCTGTACGCCAACCAGACGTTCGATAGTAATAACCCAGGTCTCCGTGCCCTACCGCGGGTCTATCCCGCCTCTGATTCTTTCACCAGCCGAGACGGAGACTCTGCCATCACATTTGTGATTTGGCAACCTACCCAGAAGAATCTTTTCCGTGCCCAGGAACACACTACCCAAGGTACTGCCAAGCGATCTTTACGGCACGTCTCGACACTTGGCAAACACGGCCGAACGATTGTATTCAAGGCTCGCAGTCGTGTTGAAAAGGATCGGTGGGTGATGAGTATCTCCTCCGAGATCGATCGACTGCAAGAGGAGAAGCCCGAAGACATACGCATCGTGTCTCAGTAATTATTAATAACTCGCTTTTCTATATTCTCACGAACACGCATAGCATTATGGATTTCATGTTATTGTTCTACATATTTTCATTTCGGGTATTTATGGCTATTTTTTCGTTGAAGCAGTATCCGAGCTACGATTCGCACAGAGAATCTAGGGGTTTTATCTTCATTCAAAAGTCCGTATAAGCAAGTAGACCGTCCAATCAAAGTTGACCTAACGAGTACCCGGTCTTTTCTTGGTTTCAGTTCTGGGCGGGAGTACCGGCACAGGGCGAAATGCTGAGCCATTTTTTTGTCTATATTTTGGTGCTGTGATGCTATTCATCGCCTAGGCCCGCTTTGTGGATAATTTTCACAAGGCGGACCATCTGCCCTTATCATTAAGCTTGTAAGTGGGGGCCTTACGCGTCAAGTAGCCGAGTTTGAGCTAGTCAAGAGCTTAGCCCAAACCCGACGATTGAAATATTCAAACTCCTCTTCACACATGTTCTGAAGTGTCGCCATGAGTCACAAGTAAGTTCGGCTTCCTTCCAATAAAGAATCTGTACTAACAACTTCCAGTGCCCTAAAGATCAGCATGGAAATTCTGCAGAGTCCCATAATCCTACTAAGCATCTCGCTTGCAAGTCTGGCTTTCCTGATGATCCATTCATTCCGCCAGCGCGTGATCCGCGCACTATACTACGCCAGTGCGCATCCCATCCGGACCCAAATAGCCGTGTTCTGTTTCACATTCCTAGTTACCATGCTCGCCATGTCTCTAGGCTGGAGACCTTCCGGCACCAATGTTGTGACATTCACCACAGACAACGGAACGGTGTACTCGACTGATGCCGGGGATTATAACCAGCTGTATAACCGGTTGGCCAAGTCTTTGGAAGAGAATCCTCACGCGGAGATAGAAGTTGAGTTGGTTTCGTTTGTGAGGCTGATTGATGGAGAAAAGAGGAATTTTATTCTTATTGAGGAGGGGAAGTACCAAGATGATCAGGGTAGGATCTGGACTCTGAGTGACCTCCAAGCTCATCCTCGAGAAGAATTGGTGAGTTGATTCAAATTTTTACTGTGGATGGCGAACTGGCGTGTCTGCATATGTATAGATAAATGTCTTCGGACTTTGCACCTCTGAAGATTATTTTGACGTCAAATTTGGGTACACTGTGCTGGAAATTGAATATGAGATGTGTTCGGTAATTCATACGCATTTGTGCCCAACATAGGCTGCCGGGCTGGGCACCTGTGCATTGCTGACTTGTCCCCACTTCTATCCTGAAAGCCAATCGAGTTTTAAATAGACAGCGGCTGGCCCTTTATTTAGTTCCAAATTCTACTTACAATGACGCTAACTTAGGATTGCTGAGCCGTGAGAATCTCACCAACAAAACTCTATTCCTATCTCTATATCCCAGATGCCTAGATCAGGCAACTGGCTGCTCTTAAGCCAATCAGGCCCAACCTAGACAATGGCTGGCCATTTTTAGTTTTAAATTCCTGGTTGGCAACTAGAAAAGTTGAATGCTGAGCCATGATCTTTGAGCCGCAATGATCAGCCTGGGAAGGTTTGCCAATCAAAGCATAGCCAAAATGCTACTGTGGGCCAAAATGCATTAATATCAATGCTAATGAGGCTCTACATAGACAGCGGGTAGCCTTTTCTTAGTTTCATATCTTACATTTCACGATGACGTCGAACAAGGCATTACTGAGTCATGATCTACGAATGTCACTCACACAGCCTTGCCCTCATTCATATAGATCATGCCCACCACTGCCCCGAGCCAATCAGGCCCAATCTAGACAGCGGCTAGCCATTTTTTAGTTCCAAAATTTAACCCCGATCTACAGTCAGATAATGCTGAGCCATGATGGAAATCTCACCAACGTAACTCTATCCAATCTATATCCCAGATGCCTAGACAAGGCAAACGACGGCACTTAGGCCAATAAGGTCCAACCTAGACAGTAGCAGGCCATTTCTAGTTTCAAATTCTTGGTTGGCATTTCGCCTGCTGAGCCATGATCCTTGAGCCGCACTGATACAGCTATGAAGGTTTGCCACCCACAGCCCAGCTGAACAAAGGCAGCCCCCACCATCCTCAAAACCAATGATGTCCAATACAGTCGAGACAGCGGGTAGCCATTTTCTGTTATCCCGGATGTGGTAGACAAAGTTTTGCAGAGCCATAATCTGTAAATCTCACCAACGCAAGCCTCATATTGATGCATGTGTAATAGATTTGGCACCCCACTGCTTTGAAAGCCAATCAGACTCACTATGGACAGGGGCTGGCCCCTTTTCACTTTCATATAACACCAAAACAGCCCCAGTTTCATCGCTGCTGAGCCATGATCTACGTGCCTCACCAACACAGCCTTCTCCATATTCATATCTGAGATCATGCCGTATGCAGTATTTGAGAGATACCAAGAACTCCATATAGATTTTCTTCTACTTTTATTATGACACTATTAATCACGATTGTTGCCTTAGTATTACGGTAGTACATTAGGCTACAAAAGTCCCGAGACAATTGAGTGCGCTGAGGTACGAGCGACAGCGAAACGAAAACGAGGCGATTTGCGAGGAAGACAATAATCTGGGATATTAGCACGAAACTCTTCGAACCCCAAAATACCCGACAACACCCGCTCCACCACTGCCCCGAGCCTATCAGGACCGCCCTAGTCAGTGGCTGGCCATTTTTTAGTTTCAATCATGCCCGGGTGAATGTTCTGCTGAGCCATGATGAGTCTCTCACCTATTTTTGGGTGCTGTGACGTAAAGCCTGTCCATAAGGCGATTCCGAATCAAGTCAGTCGGCGCCCTCTGAAGCCAATAAAATTAACTTGAGATAGCTGACAGCCTGTTTTGGTTATGGTTTCATTTGTAACATAGCATCGGCTCTACAAGCCTCAGCGAAAAGTCTCGAATTCTTGCTACACAAAGCTACGCCAAGTTCTATTGTAGGTAATGGACTTGATACTCTTTTTTTCGAATCAAAGGTGCTTACCTAGATCCTAGGTTTAGTCGTCAGGTGTAGATTTGATTCATCAGTGAGCTAATGGATTCATAGGGTAAATCAACTTGAAGTTCTATCGATTATAAGACTCAAATGAGGGATACGTTTCATAAATGCTATTAAGAGCACTAGAGGTACAGGATTCAGCGAGAATATAATAAAGGAAGTCATCGTGGCTCGTGTTCTATCGTGTTCTAGAACTTTTTTCAAAGGCTATGATCATCAGTCATCGCTACGTCAGTCGTAGACCAGGAAAATGTAAATTCATGACTCCCAGTTTTTGGAAAACGGGTTGTCCCGTAATTCGAGTACATACTGCAGAAACTACCTAGAGTATCTACCGGGCTATCTATCGAGGTAGCTAGAGCTGGAGTCCTTTAGCAAATCATAGTTGTAGGCTGTTGCTACTAGTAAGTACAAGACCAGAGGACATACGGGAATACAGTTATGAAGTTGGAGGAAATGGATTATTCCTTTTTAGTGTACATGTCACATATCGTCGTCGTCTCATAACGCTGCAAATCCAGATGGGCAAGAGAACAAGGAGGGTCAAGCAAAAGATCAATCATCGTTCTAATCTTCCGAACCCGCAAGATCATTATCGGTCGGAGGAAAGATATGGCTATGGGCGGTTAGCATCTTCCACTAAGCATTCACAAGAAACAAGAGAAACTCACGGAAGAACCTCATTGTAAATTCCAACATCCACATCCTGAAAAAGACAGAAAATCACCCTCTCGATTTTGTGAGCATCCTGAGAAGTCTCTAGAAATTTACGGACTTCATCTGCTGCCGCGATCGCAGCATCTCGATTGGGGTACCCGTAAATACCAGTGCTGATACACGAGAACGCAATACTCTTGATTCCCCTATCAACAGCAAGCTCAAGACAGCGACGGTAACAAGACCGGAGAAGCTCCTCAGGACGACGTGGATCCCTTCTGTACTCGATGCCATAAACCGGGCCGACCGTGTGCAGAACACGCTCACAGGGCAAGTCGTAGGCAAGGGTACATTTTGCATCACCTGTTTCACAACCGCCGAGTTTCTGACAGTCCTGTAGCAGCCGGGGACCGGCAACACGCTGGATCACGCCGTTCACGCCACTTCCACCTTCCAATGCGCGGTTTGCCGCGTTGACGATCGCGTCTACCTTTAGCTGGGTGATGTCGGTCTGCAGGCAAGATATCATATCATTCAGGGACTGTATGGGTTGTCTCGGGGTGGGTGTGGCGATGGTGGCGGATCCATCGGTGGGTTTGGAGAGGATGCCTCTCCTGTAGAGCTTTGATAGAGTGGGGATCTCAGCCACTGTTAACACGGTTCTCGCCATTTTGATAAAAAAGCGCTATGGGCCGATGAGGAGTGAGGTGGGGAGTTAACGGGTGCGGGGTGGGTAAGACGTTGGAGTTATCGATTATCGATAATCATTCCCCGCGCCTGGACGCGTCGAGCTCAGAGTCACGTGCAGTATTTGAAGCGAACAAAAAGGTAACGATTACTGCATCGAAGATGGAATTGATTGGGAGGCAATAATAAGTTGAATTATTTTCAAGTCAAACATTTTCTCAGATGTACTAAATATGAAGTCAAGATGAGCCACTTTGGGGGCCGGACAGGATCGGAATAAGCGGCAGAGCTATACAGAATACCTAGACACGCCTGGCCCGTTTTCATGACCAAGTTTCACCGGCTATGATATTGCGCAATTTGAAGGTGACAGATAAGATAAGAATTCAAGTGAACATAAATAATGGGGGAAAAAGCAAGGCCAAGTCAGGGGCCCGATGAAACAGCATCTAGACCTTCTTTTCTATAACTAACGACTCCTCCCAATTCTCCACCTGCAAAGCTAATCGACCATCGACCAGTCATAAAACCGCATATGACCCTGAGATCACTCCAGGCAAGACACAGTCAGACTAGACTGGAAGCTTAATGAAGAATCATACGACTTGTGCATTCCAGACCGACGCCCCGATCACTCAATCGGACGTTTCCCCACGACAAGCATAGCCTGAACTGAGATGTCATATTGCGAAAGGACTCGATCGCATGAAACTTAGAACGGTAAGCTGCATTGCATATGCACTCTGCACGCGACGGAAAGGGGACACGCTTGGACTGGTTCTTGCCATTCCACCAACCATTTCCCCAGTCGATCCCCTCGTCAATCGTGATCCATCCAATAAGCCAAAAGTACCGAGGCGTCTCCGGCCAGCCCCCTTCCCCTCAGCCGGATCTTTTCAGCTAGGGTCGGGATTTGCTGATTCCCCTCCTTCAGATCCCGGTTGGCAATGGGTAGCGGCGGATTGATGGAATAGTCTGGATGATTTGGCCACGGGCTAGGCGCCTTGGTGACACATGAATCTAAGACAAGTTTGGGGAATGACAGATCGCCACAGAGTCATCTGGAGTCTTCATCCCCCCCCAAAGAAAGAGAAATCAGGATATTCAAGGACTGGAGATCGAGGGTAAGGAAAAATTAGCGCTCAGGGATGCAAGCCAAACCCGAGGATCGCGCTAGGATTCTGCCACATTGTTGGGACTTGAAAAGAAGGTACTTTTTTCCTCTCTTTTCTTTTGTTTTTGTTTTTACACTAAGAACAGATCAGCATCAGCTAACTAGTGTCTCTATAACGGTGGTATGAAGCATACGAAAACAAGCGTCGGCTATCCAGCCCATTCTCGTGAACTTGCAAATTACCCACCCATTAAAATCAATCTCCACTGGGGAAGACCATGAACAATTGTGGGAACCTCGGTGATCAAATATCGGGGATTAAAACCAGAATAGGACTGCGAGAAGAATGGGTTTTCCGCGTGGTTAACAGTGGAGCCCGTAACTGCCCCTTCTTCCCTGGCCCCTTAGGGCCCGGTGGAGAATCCAAAAAAAAAACGGTGACCGGGACTGAAAGTAGCCGTTTTCCTGCCAGAGATTCGACGTTCCGAAGGCCCCGTGGATCTGCGGGGCCCAGCCCATGTGTTTATCCGGAGCCAATAGTCGCAGATGGTTGTTTTGATTGAAGATTGCCGATCCTTCGGCTGTTGCTGTAGTCGATCGCACGGATCTATTTCATTTCAATTAGTAGCTCGTATGAGGACACCATTTCCTTTTCAAGAGGAAGGGGTTGAAGAAATGTGAACCTTCGACTCCATCGTTTGCGGTCTGAACACATTCATTTCCCACTTATTCCAAGATCTTCGTTATTATTCCCATCTGAGGTTCTTGTGGAGTCAACCCGAATCTCTGGGTGGACGGATAACAAGGAGTGGGTACGAACGAGCTTTCTGGTGGTTGATCATTGGCTGAACGCTTAGCACAGTACAATCAATAAATCGTATAGAGGGTGTAAAGTGCAAGGCAGTACCTACCTGTATCTGTACCTGTGCCTATAAGCTGATATCTGGACTGCAAATGGCTTGAATGGATTCCAAATTCCAAACCAAAAAACCTATGGAGTGCTCGTTGTGGATTAGCTCCAGCTGTCACACAAACTCAATTTTCTGCGGGCGGTCTGGAACTGACTAATGCATCCCTGGCAGCTGTCAAGACCTGCATATCCTATCTGAGGATCTACCTCTATCATGACTTTGCCTTATGGATTTGAAATACATCCCTGGCAAGCGTTCCAAGGAAAGAGAATTGAAATTGAGACTCATGCATTACGCTCTTTTCGGCACTTCGCACTATATGCCATGCGTGGACTGTCTCACTGATGAGCACCGGGCATACAACCTCAATCCGGATACCCCTAGAGATCCCACTTTTAAGGGGAATGAGCCCCGATAGTCTTGCAAATAACAAACAACAAACCTTCAGCTATGACATATGACCTAGACATGGCCGATCGGACAAACGCCAGAACTCAACTCAACCGCTGGTCTCGATGCATCATGCCGCATACATGCAGAACCTGCAGATATGACAGCCCGGGGGTAATGACACGCCTACGAACCAGCCCACTCAAGCGCAACGGGGAGGTTCCGATGCATAAGCCTTGCGTGGCTGTTTGAAGTTGGATTCGGCATTTTCTTTGTTATGACTCGGCCGAAGCGCAGCCAAAAAAGCATAAAGTAACGATCTCGAGACAAAAGTCGGAGAAATACCACCTGTCATAGTTAGATGGAGGGCCTGCAGATGGACAGATCGAGCTCTAATCATTTGACAGATATGCGTTCCCCTGGATTTGGACCTGCCGGAGTGAGAGCTCCAATCCCGGGAGAGTAGAAGCGCCGTTGCAGGGCTCGTGCGAGGATGATCAACGGTCGCCACAGGTGCATTTCTCCTCAATTGATTTGCTTGCAGTAACACTGGATCAATGGGAAATTCCCGCACTTGGTCTAACATATCCTGTCATTTCTATTTCCATTTTAATCTATTTTGGTTTTCTTTCCCATCCCCCTCGGGGGTGGCTTTCCATTTTACAGGTCAGGGTCAAAACGGTCAAAACTTGAATCATGACGGGAGCAAGCTAGACCTAAAGTTAGTCAGTTCCTGGAAGATGACGTGCACCCTGAGAGTGATCGCTTTCATCGCCACCGCTATGCAGGAGAACCCACTGACCCCATCACAGACACGGGATATCTCGAGCAAAACGGGCACTAGTAGCGATGATGAAATACCGTGGATTTCCATACCGAACAAGCCAATAATAAATAATAATAAATAGTCGTTACGGTCTGACGAATAGAGTGGACCGTATTCAATTTATTTTTGTTTTGATTTGGTTTGCTCTGATGTTGATATTCTGGAAGGACGGCACATAGAAACCTGGAGCAAATAGTCGCATCCACTTCGTCTCCACTGAGGCGGATCTCAACCAGAAGATTTCTGCTCACCTCGTTGTTAGTCATTAAATAATCTCCCCTCGGTTCTTGGCTCTTATCTCCTTCCTGTATCGATCTGGTAGTTAGCATTAGCGTTGGAGTAAATTAAATGAACTTAAGCTTTACTCGGTACGGAGTAATGAGGACATGTACGTACCAGACCTCTTTCAGGAAAGTGAATATCGAAATACTTGGGAGAAATAATAATTATGCCCCCAAAGATGATTTTCTGGAGCTCAATGTCTTTGTTTACCTGCGGAGCCCAGTGGGAATTCTCCGGTAGCTCGGGATTTGCAGAGGAACGGCGTACCAGTCTGCAGGATAAGTGGGTCAAAAAAACGGAGACTCCTCTTTACACCGTAGGGACCCATTAACGCAAGATTGGCGTGGAGCAAAACAAAGAGAAAAAAAAAAAAAAAAGATTAGAGGCTGGGAATCTCGGCAGCGAGGCCAATCTTGCCCATCCCGCATGTTATGTTCGTATCGCATCCACTCAATTTAACTCGCAATTTAACACTTTGGTTAGCTCCGAAGCTATGTCTCCACCCCAAGAAACTTTTCACGGAGACAAAAGAAAGACAAAAGGTTCTCACATCTCTCCAGATGTCCACGATCGAGGCGGTCTATCGGGTGGGTCTGGGAACGGTCCGGCTTGGTATTTGGCCCGTTTAATTTGCGCCCCCTTTCGTTGCTAACGGGATTTTCCCCTAAAAACCGCTTTTCCATTCTGTCGGGAGTACGTACACATGACTCGAATACTCAGTATCGGAGATGCTTCTATTCGTGAGATTCCCCGATCATATTGCAATCACTATTACGCCGAAGCAGCCTGGAGGAGAAACTTTTTCGTCCCGTGTGTGCTAGGACTCTAGACTGGAACGTGCAGAAGATGTCCAGTGGATCACAAAGCGCAGTGGCTCAGTGCACCCCAGAAAACGAAGTCAAATTCAAAGTCAAACGGTGCGAATGTTATGAAAGCCCCGGGGGTGCCGATAATTGTAATGCCCAGATATACATACTCAGTAGTTCGCATAAAACCCGTCATCATTAAGTCATATCCGTGCACCCTGGCTCGAGGGCTTTCACGTGTAAATAACTGTCTGCCGGTAATTAGATCATGGATCATAGTCCCAACCGATAGGGTAAGCTACTTAGATTAAAATATATGTACAGCCGAACCGTTAGCAATAGTTTCCACTTAGCCGAGCTAGTCAAGACAAAAGAAACCAATTAAAAAAAATAATCAATAATCGAAAATCAATCGGAATCCCCATCATGCCCACCAGATCTGACAAAAGAATATCAATTTGGCCCCGATCAGTTGTTCACCCTATGACAACCCTGGAACTTTGGGAACACTGGTCGGGATCGAGTCATAATTTAATATAGTATCGGGGTCTACTACTACGTATACATAGCTTCAAATGAATACCGTTGTAGATTATTGATTAACGGTCCTTAACTGACAGTGAAGTTATCGCATATAGCGGGGCGATATTATCC